CCCCGCTGCTCTGCTTCGACTCATCACTAAGTGAAGTTCTGCCGTTGTTCTGAGTATCCGATACATTTCCAGACAATCCCCTCCAACCAATGCACGCCAATTGCCGGAACTTTTCCCTCGGGGCCGCCTCCAATATCGCGGCTTAGAGTTTTGCAGCACATCCGTTTGCATTTCCCTCTTCTCTCGGTCTCGGTCTCTGTGTGTTCGTGTGCTTTTCGCGTGCATATATGCACCTCATTCCACAGACTCTGTCATTGGAGTTAGTCATCCTCTTGCCTCCTTTTCACTCAAATGAAAGAAGGACACGGTGATCCTAGCCCGTACCGTGTTCCTCAAAAAATCAAATAGATGGCTAGTGAGACCTCAACCCCGGATCGAGTTCTTCCCATGCCTGCATGAACACAGGTTACCAGGCCCGATGCTGACTTTCAGGCCACGCGACATCAGCTCAACACAAGATAAGCACATTTTTTACTTGCGTGGCCCGTGCTCAAAATTCCAGTCGCGTTGGTTCGTCCGTCGAGACAGAAATCAAGTCGACCCCAACGAATGGAGAGCGAGGGAGGCCGCCTCAAGTGACGGAACGACTGACTCACCGACCGACGGTCTCTCTCTCTCCACGACCCATCAAGCTTCAGCACGCCACCAAACATCAAAAGCTCAGCTCTCACTCTCACAAAGAAAGTCGACAGTATACGGGCTTCTTTCATCACACTTTCACGATAGACACCATGAATCGTTTCGTCTCATTCCGCACCTTTGCAACGAGCCCGCTCGTCCGCCAGGCTGCGCCCACGCAGGCTACAGCCGCCACTTCTACCGTGGCATCCACTGTGAACAGCGCCGCCGCGTCGTCTTCTGGCAAGCGCGTAGCGATGATGCCTACGGCCAGCAAGGTCAATGGACAGACGGGCATGACGCCTTCTGCCTCGACGGCGTCGGCCACCAAGGATGCAGGTGTAGATGTCCAGCCGAGCTTCGACGAAGTTCTCGCCGTCGGCAGTGTCGTCTCCCAGGGAGAAGCTCAAAAGGTCATCCGCGCTGCTGAGAGCGTCTAGAAAACCCCAGACGCCGCGTCCTGCAACAGTCTTGCAACTTTCGTCGTCGGCGCGGCAGTGAGTCCAAATGGCAACGAGAGACACTGGGTGCCAATTACGAATTTAGCCTGATCTGTCCCTGCAGAGCAGCACATCCAACAGCTTTCCACCTCCCCTATCGGATAGAACCAAAGACGAGCATTCGAACAAAGACTCTAGAAGCCAACTTCTGTAGAATTGACCAGTCCGAAGACATGAAAATGATCAGTAGAAGATACAATGCGAGGAAAGACCGAGAAAAAAAGAGAGAGATAAGTCGTCTTCGTCATCGCTTCCTCTTGTGTTGGCTGCCGCCGTGTTGCTGGGACGATGCGGATCCTTGGATGAAGGGGGCTCCAGCCTTATATCCCGCTGGTACGCAGGGTGCATGGGGCGGAATGGACCCCGATCCTCTGAAGCCAGGAGGTGTGCAGAAGAGGCAGTACCACTTGCCCTTTGGCGGGTTCGACAGGCCCACACAGCTGTAGTGAAACCATTCGCGAGGACAGTCTTCGTGGTCGCAGGCCACCATCTTTCAAAGAGATTCGAGGCCAATGTCAGTCCCACAAGCGATTGGTGCGCCTTGCCTGTAAGTAAGCAAGCAGGCCGAGAAAGCAATTCAACTCACATCGCCGTACGACACCTGATTGCAGTAGCAGTACCGCGGCTCATTTGGATCAATGGCCATGTCCGGCACCATGATCGCTCCAGGCGAGCCGTCATTACGTGCCAGTGCCGCCGTCGCCTTTTTCTTTACGGCCGTCTTCAGTGTGGTGTCTTGAGGACGAGCACCACGGCTGCGGTTGACAGCTGCAGCGCCAGCCTCGGCACTGCTCCTAGCGTATTTTCGACCTGCCCTGCCAAAAACCATGACAGCAGCCTCAGGGGCTCCTACGACGCTATCGTCATCGTCAACGCCACCACGATCGCCTCGTCCGGCGGCCTTGCCATCGTCGTCGTCGTAGTAGTCGCCGCCGCCGCCGCCGCCGCCATCACTTTCGCCGACTTTCGCCTCGTCGAGTATGCCAAGAGCGTCTCGGACACCTCTGCTGGCCTCTGTGCCCGCACGCAGACCCAGCAGCAGGCTGCTCTCGCTCTTTTGCAAGTCACTGTCCAGCCTTCGAATGTGGCGATCCACCCACTCGTACGCTGTCACGGCAAGACCCACTTTCTCCTCGGCGGCCCGAATCGCGCCCGAGGTGGCGCTCGAAATGGCCGAGAGCATCGCCAGCCGCTGCCGCTTGCTCGGACGAGGTGAAGGCGACACAGTGCCATTTGGCTTCATGTATGCGCCCTCTCTCTCGTCACCCTGACCATCCATGTCGTATGCTGCCTGCTTTCCCTTGGCCTTGGCATCGTTTGGAGAGACGTGGGTGCGTAGCGCTAGCCTTGCATCGCGGTACTCTTTTGTTAGCGAGGTGAGCGTGGCGATTTTCTCTTTCGTAGACAACACGAAAAGAATGCGCATCAATGTATGAGCACCTGGAACAAGAGGACGAGGAGGCAAGTGGCGTACCGAACTCACGCTGGACATTGTGCTCGAGTTCTCGCATGAGTGAAAAGGACCTCTGCAGCTCCAGAGGCAGCTGCTCGACAACTGTTGAGAAAAGAGGCGTTAAAGAAAGAAGGGGCTCCTCTGCAAAGGGCACAGATGCCACCAGCCCACTCACTGTCGTAGTATTCTTCCTTCCAGCCCTCGACCATGTTCCTCTCTCTTCTCTCCTGCTTCTCCTTCTCCTCCTTGCTTAGCCCTTCTGCCCCTTGCTCTTGAGGAGCCGGCCTTATCGAGCTGCTTCCCTCTCCCTTGGAGGAAATCGAAGGCGCCTGCGACGCGACCAGGTCCGAGGACCTGCTCCCAGCACCTCGACCTGCACCTCGGGTCAGCCGAATCGTCTTTCTCCTGCTCCCTGGTGGGCTCGATGGATGGCCGCTACCATTGGCAAGAGTCTCGTCGTCCCGATGACTGTGGTCGCTAACTGCGTGCCTGGGCCTGCGCATGATCGTCATCAGATCATCTTCGGCACGTCGTACCGGTAGTCCTCGTCGTTGCGCCCCTTGAGGGGTCACGTGATGTACACGTTGTCGTCCGCGTTGCAGGACGGACGAGATTCAGGCGTCGTCCTTAAGTGACGTTACCTGGGTCCTGGTGGACAAAGACAAGGGAACTTTCGAACGGAAGCGGGCCTTTCTTATTGATCCAGCTGGAAGAGATTAGAGTAGCAGGACAACAAGGCACGCGGAGCGGTCAGTGGATGTCGTGCCGCGCTGCTCTTTTTCCCTTCTTCTTTTGGCGCTGTCGGGCTATTTTTCCGTGCAGACGCTTTCCTTTCGATTTTTATTTATTTATTTTTTACTTTATTTTTTAGACTAAATTTCTTCTCTCTCCACGTCTTCTCAATATTCGCTTCTCTCTGGTCGCTGCACACAGGCAGCATGGCCGACGCCCTCGAGGATGACTTTGTCGGCTCAGACATAGAAAGCGTTTCTGACGCATCGCAGGATCGCCGAAGAGGGAGCAGTGGAATGGCAGGAAAACAGCGACAAAAGGCCGGCGTCGACACCGACGAGGAAGAGGGGGAGAAGGAGGCGGGGGAGGAGGAGAGGAGGAAAGCACACAAAAAAAGGAAGCGAAAAGAGCAGGACAAGGCTCGAAAGGCAAAGGTGAGTTTCCTTACAGGAAGAATGCAGTACGGGCGTCCAACGTGGCTGATGTCGTTGTAATGCATCTTCTGCAGAAAGCAAAGGAGAACCTTGCCCTGCCGCCAGGATCCTTGGCACAACGACCGCCAGACGTCCAGGCAGACCACCTGAGAAAGCTGCTCAAGTCTTGCCGAGCCTTTGCTAAATTGTCGGAGCTCGAGCTCGATGAAATTGGAGTCTCAGGTGAGTCTCAACTCCTCTCCTGCCGTCCAGCATGGTCCTCTGAGCTCTTGAGCTGTGCAGTCGCTGATGTCGACTACAGAGAAAATGCTTGTCGATTCAACATCTGTCGAGGTCGAGCGCGTGCTGGAACTGCTTCCTCGATTTCTTGAGGGAGCAATGCCCAAGGCCATCGAGTCGGCCACGCACGCCGACCAAGGCTCTGGGCCGGGCCAGGTGGTCATCCTCGTCGTGACTGGCAATGCCCAGCGTGCCGCCGATCTCGCGCGACCGCTCCGGCAGCTCAGTCCGCGATTGACACCAGTAAATGGGAGAGGGAAGAAGGATGGAAAGGATGAGGAGGATGGAATGGAATCGAAGGGCCAGGGCCGATCTAAGGCCGCGTCCGAAAAGGGGGACAAAAGGGCACCGGTGGCCAAGCTCTTTGCGCGCCACTTCAAGATGTCTGAGCAACAGGCCTTTCTCTCTTCCCACTTTTCGCCCGTGGCCGTCGGCACGCCACAGAGGCTCGCAGATTTGATCAATTGCGGCTCGCTCCACCTCCAGCACTTGACGGCTATCATCCTGGACGCAAGCTGGGCGGATCAAAAGATGCGAACACTGCTCGAGGGCCCGGAGACGAGGGAGGCCCTCTTCCATCTGCTTACGCTCGCACCGATTCGTGAGCGGATTTCCTCCAATGGTTGGCCATCTCTTCTTCTCTTTTAATCTATTGCCCTTTCTTGCGTGTACAGTACAATAGTAGGATGTACAGTAGAGTGGTAGGGTAGTATCCCTCGGAGGACAGGTGCAATCTATACTGCCCCAAGTCCCGTTCCATCCGCGGCGAGGCGATCTAGAGCGACTTCGTCTTCAAGGCCCATGTCCACAAAGAAGTTTCGAAGGCCTCTCGGATCGGCCCCACCCACGTCGACGCTCCTACTTTCATCAGTGGCCGCTTCTGCACCGATTCCCGTGCTCAACAGATGGGCATAGGAATGTTGCAGTGCTCGCGCTGCGGGAAAGAGGCCTGCGGTGGGAAAGATTGCGATGGAGAATCCCAGCTCCTTGCAATCGCTGGCCGTCCAGAGGGGGCTTTTGCCGCCCGTGACGCAATTTGCGAGCAGGGGCCAGTCTTTGAGCAACGATCTCGCGCGATGGACCTCTGCATCGGTCGTCATGCCTTCTAAGAAACCTACATCTGCGCCGGCGTCTCTGGCCATCTTCAGCCGAGAGACCGCCTCGTCGAGCCCAAGCCCCGCTAGCGCATCAGTCCTCGCAATGACGACGATGCGATCTTGAACGTCTGCATTGCACAGCTGGTCCCTCGCATGGCTTGCCGCCTTGATCCTCGCAATGAAGTCGTCCTGGCCGACCAGCTGCTTAGAGTCGAGGTGTCCGCATCTCTTTGTCGCAACCTGATCCTCGATGTGCAATGCCGCAATGCCTGCCCTCCAGTACTCCTGCACCGTCCGCGCGACTTGGGGAGCTCCTCCAAAGCCCGTATCAGCGTCGCAGATGACGGGCACCTGCGGTCCAGCAAGCTGGCTAGCGAGGGAACCGACATGGACCACGTCCCTTGCCGAAAGAAATCCGAGATCGGCGCGACCCAGAAAGGAAGCAGAGGTGCCCGCTCCTGTAACGTACAGGGCTACATGACGGGCTCGTTTTCAGCAAAGTTTCTACGTTTTCTCTCATCCACTCACCCTTGTGCCCCGTCTGTCATGATGTCGACATGTAAGGAAAGGAAGACACTAGCTTGGGCTGCTTGTATCACGGCACACACACCTTGAGAGCCATCCTGATGGATATTCCATCGAAGACGCCGGGCGCCACGACGAGCTCCCCGTTTCGAATTCGGAGACGCAATTCGGCAGCTCCCGTTCTCATCTTTGGCTCGCTTGTCATGCAGCTAGCCAGGTGGTAATTGGGATAGTAGTGCCAGATCGCTGGTCTGCACCCTTCCTTTGTGCGCATGACCTCACATTCAATTGGCGCTACTCTTATTTCTGTCAATCCGACCTCTAACGCGGAAACAGCCTCGGGCGAGCTCGATCTAACAACTACCTACCACAACTCAAGTGCTCTTTAACATCGTCGATTTGATCCAATCGACGCCGTGCCGATGGTCATTGGCGAAAAGAGTGACCCTTTTTATTGATTCTGCTGCCTTGATTGGCTGTGGGTCTATCAGTCCTTGCTCGCTTTCCGACTACACGCGACGGGTGTAAGTAAGACTGCCCTCCCTTTCACGTCAGCGGATCTGTCTGCCAGATGTTGGCTGCGCTGTATGGACACGGTCGCGACTGCAAGCTGGCCCTATCGACAAAACAAGAGGAGGCTCAAGCGTAGCGGTCCCGAAGAACGCTAGCGAGCAAGGCATTTATGTTCTCACTTGGTTGAAGCGAAATTAGTAACGCTTGGATCTGCTCTGCTCCTCGCTGCCCAAGTAGCAAATGGAAGCATCCTTTTGAATACTGCGCTCTTTTCAAACTGCCGGTTGAATCGGAACACCGGCCTTTTATTCCTTTGTTTGTGATTTTACTGACCCCACCTTCTGTATTCCAGGGTTTCACGACCCTGCTTCTGCATTCCCTGCCTTCAAGGCCAATAAGTACGACCGCGGCCAGGCCGACAGGTGTTGCCCACAACGATTCAGGCCGGCCGAGTCAGGCGATACTAATAAAATTGGGAATTTACTTGTCTGCATCTATGCGAAGCCGTGGTGCACATCGGGATCCTCTAGCTCTGACTAGCCCTGCCTGCGGTGAAAGACAACAACCAAGCTAGCGGGAAACAATGGCAATGCAAGCACTCAATCTTCCTCTTCCATCCAGGCCTGGTGTTTGAGCCCTGCTGTATCTGCGATTACTCCAGGCTATTAATTTATCACTTTATGCATGCTTCCACTTCCCCACCTCCTCTCAGCTTCGTCCCTGATGTTTGCCACCTGCTGTTGAGAAATATAAAATTGCCTGTCAATCCATCATCACAAGCTCACAAGTCTCGCTTCTTATCCCGCCAAACAGGTGCTGAGCTCTGATGAGTCGTCTCACACGACCAAAAGGTTCTTTCCATCTCTCCTGTGCCACCAAACGTTGATGAGAGGAGCCCACACCTAAGGAGGAGAGAAGTGCCGATCTTTTGAAGATGTCTGACCCACAGGGCCTGGCGCCGATCCCTCAATCAGCACTGCGAGACAACGAAGCCTTGCTGGAGTGGGCGGAACCTCTGCTCTTGCACGGCGTCCCTCATTCTTTGCTCGCGTAAGTCGTCTGGTCTTACCTAAGTACCAGCGTATGCTGACTGTCGCCTCTACCCATCCGCAAAGCCAAACATGGTTCTACATCGCTTTGAAAGCCGTCATCATCGTCGTTTCTGTCCTTCTCTTCGTCCGCCTCTTCAGGTCTGGACGCTTCTGGCTTTTCCGAGTCGTCCAGCTGCCTAACGGTCGGATCATCTGTCCTAACGCTGTCGATTCACTCGTCTTCCTGGTGATTATATAAATGGTAAAATGTGTTCCTTTTATGAGCGCTGACATCGATTGACGGGAGCAGGCTGCCATCTTCTACGTACTTGATGCTGTATTTCGAGGGTGCGTAGCATGATTGACTTTCCCTCGCTCATTTATCTCATCTGATTGTTCGCTACTAACACTCCTTGCGCTCCTCACAATCAGACTGTCGACAAGGTGGCTGTTTCCGCCCTTCGACAAGGAGGTGAACATAATGGCCTTTGTCGCTCTTCGCCTCTATCCACTCTGGCTAGCAGGCTTCACCCATCTGAGTTCGCTTTGTCTAATCTGGCCCTTTTCAACGGAGAGGTTGTCGCCTTTCTGGTGGCATGTCTTGTAAGTGGGAGGTGCAGCCTGACAGTACCTTTCTGGTAGCGGAGCTGAATACAATCTCATGGCAGCTTCTTTGGGCTACCACTCGCCTTCCTGATTGCATACTTTCCGCCTGCCATCATCAGCAATTCTCACTACAACGCCGCCATTGATGGCTGGTATCTGGTTCGAGGCAAGCTCATAGCAAGTCCGTCGGCTCAAGTCACACAAGAGTCCATTGAGGCCGCCACAGCCTTGCATGTCAACATCGTCCGCTCTTATGAAGCAACAGCAATCTGGGCTGGCGTTGGATCGGGCTTCCTCGCATTTCTCTTCCTCATGAGTCTCGTTGTCGGCACGAAACTGCTTTGGAGAGCTAGCAGAGAGTTGCGTGCTCGTCGACAAGAAGCAAGATCATCCTTTCGGCGAAAATCATTTTCCTCCGTCGAGTTGCAAGCGCGGCCTCGCGATGTAGCACCTTCGGATCACACGCAACCAAACACCAAAGTCAACATCAGCAAGGAGCGGAGGCGAAGGAGCATCAACAAGTTCAAAACGAGCAGGGCGAGGCTCATCCAGTACTTTGCTGGCATACGTCCATTGGTGGCAGATGAGGATGACGTGGACAGCGCCTCTCGCGGCACCAACGAGGGAAGCGAAGAGCATCAGGAGACGAATGCGTCTTCATCGGAACAGCTTTCAGACGGGGCAATTACCGAACTCCTTGGTGAGGACAGCAGTAATTTCCTTCTTCCTTATATTACGACGCCTTACGCTCTACTTCTGCAGCCAACTTCTTCCGCTTTACCTTGCTGCAGATTGTATGTCTCCTTTGCATTGAGCTGGCTCTTCTTGTCGTCGTCATATACCTATGTGCCACAGGTGAGCTACAAAGCCCCCGAGAGAACGGAACCACCCACGCTGATGTTGATATTCGTTTGGCTCTAGTTATTGAAGCCGCCAAGACAAACAAACGCGATGAGGTGAGACGTATACCTCCTAGAAGCTGTCCTATCGCTGATCACTGTGCTCTAGGAGTATGGCAACGAACTATCCAAGATCGGCTATGTAAGTTTGATGAGGGGATTGAAGTTTGTCTTCCTGCGGTATACTGACTCTTCCATTCAGATTTATCACACAGTGGAAATCTGGGCCATCATTATTTTCGGCTCGCCTTTGATCGTATCCATGTTGTTTCGCTCAGCTTTTCCTTACAAGGTCGATGCACCTTCCCGCTTCTCCAGTGGCCGATCGAGCAGCAACAATGCGCCTACCCTAGGTGTCCGGCTTCGATACTACAACCGACAAAAACAGCAGCGTGACTGTGACGGTACCACTGTCAGCAGCGGGAGTCGGGATCGGCGGGGGGACTCCGTTAACGAGCAAGAAGTGCTACAGGGAACCTCTGTAGACGAAAGCAACACGGCTACGAACAACTCTACAGACATCGGCACTGCAGATTCGTCCTCTCAACAGATACATCTGGGCCGGGGAGAGGCGTCCACAAAGCCCGCTGCACACGACGAAGCTCTGGCAAAGGAACACAAAGGGATCGACAGTATGTGCAAAACAAACACCGTCATCGACGGACAGCATCATCCAATTGGGCTCGGGATCGAATACGAACATCGCGATGTTGGCCTCTCAGTGGCACACGCAGTGGCCCGTACGGCCACGCGAGGAAAGTCACAGCAACCTTTTCAGGATCAGCGTTCCTCAGATGCCATACGAGCCGACAGTGCATGCAGTCGAGGGAGCGATGCCTGGCTGCTCGGCAATACCCAAGGAAGCCACCGAACAACGCCAGAGCTTACCAAAGCTTCGCCCAAATCGCCCCCTGCGCCGGTTCAACAGAGGCCTAGAGACGTGAGCTGGGTCGTCGGCTATGGGTCAGGAAGATCGGTAGTACTTGACGCTCTTGAACAGGGGCACGCATATCGAGCCCAACGAAGACAGCGTAGATCGCCCTGGTCGAATGACGTGGAAGACAATTTGTCGACCCTTACGCCGTCACCGCCGAAGCCGACGAAAGCTGGACGAAGGAGAGGAGTTACCTCGAGCCCACCCGCGACTCCCACGTCTACGAGCCGAAGCTTTTTTGCAACGCCTCACGGACTGGTGGAAGGTACGCCATTGAGTCCATTGACAAAGACCGACGATCATACGCTGGCAGAATCCTCGCATCCAGCGTCATCTCCGAAAGCAAACTCCCAAAATCAGCAAACGGGGACTCCGCAGCTTCAACAGGAACATCATTTGCAACATGCATCGACCTTGCAGGGGAAGCATTCTGGAAGTGCTACGTTGAAGTTTTCGCCCTTTTCTTCGCCATCTTTTTAATTTTGAAGTAGGGTTCACTTGCTACTCGCCTGTGGCGAGCAATTGAGACAGGGAGGAAATGTATTCTGAATACTAGTAGTACAAAGGGGCCGTCTTTCTTTCTTTCACAGTCTGAACGTCCACTCGCGCCGGACGTCGGCACCACGAGAAAGATCTACAATGTTGTACAGCTTCTACGCCTCTCGCGCTTTTTCGAGACATTTGCCGATGACAATGACGTAGATCTAACAGAATTTCCACTGTTGAAGGGGGAGAGGTAGCAAGTGTAAGCTAGAGCTCAGCTTTTCGTATGGTTAAAGCTGTCTGCCAACCTACCTTGTTGTTGCAGTTTGTGCACGTAACAAACGTTGTCATGGGCTCGTCTGCACTCCTCGTTTGCTTCTGATAGTAGCGACATTTGCGCTGCTTGCACTTGCCGCATTCGAAGGCGTCTGTCTCTGCCTCCTGTGCTTCGGCTCCCTTGGCATTGAAAAGATTTTGCATCTGCAACGCCGTCCTCTCCGCTTTGAGCTCCTCCGACGCCATTTCCTGTACGAGATCTGCATTCAGCTACCGTTTGGGAGAGGTACGACGCCGACGAAAGACAGAAGCGACTTACCTCGGCGGTGAGGGTGATGAACTTATCCGCGGGTATCGTGCCATCGATGACACTGGACCTCAGCGCCGGATTCTTCTTGTCCTTGAGATTCATGCCCAAGCTTCGAATTTTGGTTCGATATTCGCCATTGACGGTGCCCGAACCAATCTTTTTGAACGTCGCCCCTTCGACGGCCAAAGCTCTTTCGAAGATCAAGTGTGGATCTGAGGGAATGGAGACACTTCAATTGCCTATACCTTGCTTCTTTCCCGACCAGAATTTACCTGCACTGCTGCCGATCTCGAGAGAATCGTACAGGAACTTCAGACATGCGTTGCGGGTCTTGTCCTTCAACTTCTCCCAATCCAAGGCTTCCTTCTTCGCAGGCGAGACCGACATAGATGCTGCACCCCCGCCTCCGGTCGAAGATGATGGAGTAGCAGGAGATTGAGCCCCGCCCGTCGCCGGCGAGGCCGAGTTGCTAGGAGCTAAGGATGGTCCAGTCAGCTTCCTCGCCAAGCTTAGCTGCTGTCAAACATTCCCGTAACACCTCACAGTCTTTCTTCTTTGCAGCCACTCTTTGCGAATCAACCTTCGATCTCCAAGTCCGAACTATCTCTTTCGATAGAGCCACCACCGACTTGTCCTCACACGTCCGAAGCTTTGCCACCGCCTGTCCAACCTTTGTAGCCTGTACAGCATCCACAATGCCCACGACCGGGGCAGCAGAGTCAGTACATACTCCTTCCCCATTTTACGAGAAATTTCCCACCCTGATGATCTCCTCCGTCGGTCGCACACCATTTTGTAGCTTCGTGAGAATCGCCTTTGAATCCTACAGCCCGTCCGCGATCACAAGGTCTGTCAGCTTTCGTGGCCGGACACAGTCACGGTGGCCGCCTCACCGCATGTCTATTTTCCCCCATGGCCGAGGAGAGCCCTTTGACGAGCTCTCTGATCTCGGCCTCGGTCAGGTAGGCCATTGTTCGCGCCAATCGTCGGGCCCAGTCGTGGTCGGTGGTGATCGGTGATGAGCTCCTCTGCTTGTCGGGCGACCCAGACCGGAGCCTACTGAATGGAGCGAAAATCACGTGAACAAATAAGTTGCGACGATCTTGTACCGGTAATTCTTGCAAGGACCTTCTCAGACAACGATCGCAAGTCATCCACCCGCACACGATCATGACAACAACGGCAGCGTCTCACAATGTTGCGGAGGGGTCAGTTTCGACCTCGAAGCTTCCCTCCGTTGCGGATCTGGCAAGGCGTTCTTCCCAGAGGACAAGATTGCTTTTCTCGTCTGTACCAGATGCAGGCGAGGATCCCCTGTCTCCTTCTGCATCGTCCTCGTCCTCGTCATCCTCATCTCTGTACTCCGCGGGAGGGTACGAGAGCATCGTCAAAGAACGTCTGGCGTCCAAGATTGCCTCGGAGTACAAGGACGCGCAGACACTACCTCAGGCCCTCTTAGCGCAGCAGGCTGGTGTGGGTCCTTCGAGACCAGGAGCAGCAGGGCAGAAGCGAAAGGCAACGGCGGACGAGTCAAGCGGGACCTTGACGGGTAGCTACATTGACGATCTCGATCGAGCTGCTCGCGGGAATGTAAACACTCCAACCTCGTCATCGGCGGCGGAATCGACAGCAGCAAACGGGCAGCTGGTAACGCTCCGGCGATCCATGAGGCCGGACCACGAGGCCGGCGGTATGTCGAATCGAGGTGGAGGAAGCACGCTGTCCAATGCCCTGATCCGCAAGCGCGATGCGGCCAGTCGAGCGGCGCAACCATCCTACCATCCTCAGTGGAAGCTATCGAGGGTCATCAGCGGACACCTTGGATGGGTCCGGTGTGTGGCGGTGGAGCCGGGCAACAAATGGTTCGCAACGGGTGCGGGTGATCGAATGATCAAGGTGAGATCCTCTACGTTGGCTTGTGGCAGGCGAGCACGGAAAAGGAAGGGTTGCTGATAAATCATGTCTCTCAGATCTGGGACCTGGCTTCGGGCGAGCTCAAGCTCTCGCTCACCGGCCACATCTCGACGGTGCGAGGCTTGGCCGTGTCGTCTCGGCACCCATACCTCTTTTCCTGTGGCGAGGACAAAATGGTCAAGTGTTGGGACCTGGAAACCAACAAGGTCATACGGCAGTACCATGGCTCTCTCTCGGGCATCTATTCGCTGGCCCTCCATCCCACTCTCGACATCCTCGTCACCGCGGGCCGAGATGCCGTGGCGCGCGTCTGGGACATGCGCACCAAGGCTCAGATCCACGTCCTCGCCGGCCATCGCGGCACCATTGCCAATGTGCAGTGCCAGGAAAGCGATCCGCAAGTCATCACGGGCAGCATGGACTCAACGGTGCGCCTGTGGGATCTGGCCGCGGGCAAGTCGCTCACTACACTCACGCACCACAAAAAGTCGGTCCGGGCCCTTGCGCTGCACCCGCGCGACTTCTCCTTTGCCTCTGGTTCTGCTGGCGGACGCAACATCAAGACCTGGCGTTTTCCCGAGGGCACCCTCCTCAACAATGCCACACACGACTCCATCGTCAACACGCTCAGCGTCAATGCCGATGGCGTCCTTTTTTCCGGCGCCGACAATGGCACATTTAGATTCTTTGATTACGACACGGCCGTGCCGTTCCAGTCGGGCGAAGATGTCCCCCAGCCGGGCTCCCTCGATGCAGAAGCGGGCATCTTTTGCTCCACCTTTGACCATACGGGCTCACGGCTCATCACGGGCGGCGCAGACAAGAGTGAGCACGGTCACAAGTTGCCCCTCTTTCCATTCTACCTCACTGACCTCTCTCTATGCTTTTGCCACTCTCTTGCAGCCATTAAAATGTACAAGGAAACATCATGAGCACGACAAGCCACGGGAGATTGTGTATTATTACCGCTCGTTTCTTCGGCCAAAGGAAAAAAAAAAAAAAAAAAGTCGGGAGATTCTCTTTTCCTGGCTTGAAAAGTTACGGTAGCTACTAATGACATGCGGGCGAAGGAGTAAGGTAGTACTTAAGGCTGCAGGACATGTAACATGAGACCGGCGACGGCGCAAGAGGGCCAGTCGAGGGAGAAAGCAAAGAGGAGAGGCAGAAAGGGAGAAGATCATGTGTAAGAGAATTCTGCATGGGCCTCTTGGAGGAGACACATGGACCGCCCTCTGGCGTCAGGGGCGGAAAGGCATGAAGAGCAAAGGGTTGGAAGGGGTAGGGGAAAAGGGGTTTTGGGGAACAACAGAGAAACTGGGGACCCGGTTGATGATTGACGGTGACAAAGAGACGAGAGAAATACCCCATTTGCGACAGCCGAGCGAGAAACTGGTATGCGTGTTGTGTGTGCGTCTTTGATGAAAGTGTGCGTATGCGTTTGTGCGGGTTCCTAGTGATGTTGACGATGGTTACCTGGTGGTTTCTGGAGAAAGATGGTGCCCAACGCGGCCGACGTCGGTGAAGATGTCGACAAGTCTTGTGGAAGCGGCGACTGCTGAGCGTGGCCTCCCTGAAATCGTCTTGCCTGCGCTGCTGAATGTAATTGAACCGGCATCGGCTGCTGCTGTTGCTGTTGCTGATGCTGATGCTGATGCTCTTCCGGTTCCGCCTGCTGTTGTTGGCCTGTGAATGCAATCGAGGAGAGCGATGAGGAGGGCGCTGCAAAAGGAGGAAAGTGGTATTGGCCGTCGGCCGAAGAAGAATGCTGCTGCTGGTGGGTGATGGACGAATCCATGGGCAAGCTGTAGGCATCTTGGCTCATGCCTGCTCTGACGCCCCCCATCGGCTGAGCAAGGGGGTCTGACTGCGGCTGCTGCTGGGACCACGCCGAGTCATTGCTGCCACTGCCGTTGTTGGCGACATAGACGACCCCCGCGGTTGCAGGCTGCCTCAACACACTCAGGCTGTCGTCAGCTAGTAAGGAAGAGACGCCTTGCTGACTCGGCCACACCGACTGCTGCTGCTGCTGCTCTTGTGCATAATCGAGCGAATGCCGATGTAATTGCTGTTGTTGTGGCGGCGGCTGTTGCTGCGACTCGTCAACCGCCGAGAAGGCGGCAAGACCACCGAGATTGAGCGACGTCAGATCTTCAGTCGTCGAAGATGCCGTTGCCGGTGCGCTACTAGCACCAAAGTCTGGCGGCCCTGTCGGGGGCGCCTGTGCAGGCCCCAACCATGGAGAAGGTCCCGATGCAAACGGGTCATGGCTGATCAAGGGCGACGAAGCAGAGTGGTGGTGCTGATGATGGGGACGAGAGTGTGAGTGGCTCATATATTGCTGCTGCTGCTGCTGCTGCTGTTCTTGTTGCTGTTGCTGACCCAGACCCGTCGAAGAGGGCGCTGTGTAGGGTGGCTGCATAGGAAAAGCAGAGGCAAAGTTCATCATCGACATGGAAGAGGAAGACGTCATAGGCCTGGCGAGGTGGTGGTTGCTGCTCTGGGACGAAGCAAAGCCAGGGTAGCCATACGGTTCATAGCGGTGCGTGGCGGGCGACAGGCTAAATTCCGAAGATCGTCTCGAGGGTACAAAGGCGCCTGAGCCTCCGACCTGGTGTGCTAGTGGGGCATGTCGCCCCGAGGAGGTCGACGAAGCTGCACCGCGTCCACCTCCTCTCCTTCGATGACTGCCTCCTGCACCTGTTCCTGCACCCGCCCCTGATAATGCACCTAGCCCCCCACCTGCGCCGCCTCCTCTTCGCGACTCGCTTCCGCTGCCCGAGCTCGTCCCTTCGCCGCTGGAGTCGTGGTGGTGAATGAGGTGGGGCGAGGAAGGGTTCGAGGATGAGGAAGACTCCATCTCCTCTGCTCGGAAACGGGGCACACCATCGGGACCAATGGACACGGCCGGTGGAAATCGAAACGACGTCTTTGCGAGGAGGGAAGGAGCAATGGAGAGCGAGGCAATCTCTGGCAGCGACGAGGGCGTCCTTAGTCGACCGGACCGGACATCGTCGACGGTGTAGTACGAGATGAGGTGGTGGGTGGATCCGTCGATCTGGATCGAGATGGTCTGCAGGGGTTGAATGCGTGGGGTCAGTGACTGAACTAATGGCGACGCATACATCCTACTTAGAGGCCGCGGAGGAGGAGGAAAGCACCTTTTTGCAGAGACCGCCTTTGGCAAAGGGGTAGCTGGACGTGAGGCTGCCCACGAGATTGCGCTCGGCCTGGGCATCGTCCTGCCTGCGCCACATGGTGGCCGAGTCCGAGGCGCTGCTTGCGGAGCGGAGGCGCGAGGAGCTTGGTCCGTATGCGTCGGCAAACGAAGCATCAATTGTATTCGTGTTGGTGTTGCCTGTCACGCTGTACTGGTGGAAGCTCGACGACTCAGCTGCTGCCCTCGTTGCCGCCTGTCTCTTGTCGATTTGGCGGTAGATCTAGCATGCGCGAGATGGTCTCGTAAGTGATGCTGGACTAGACTGAAGCAGGGACAGCAAGCAAAAAGGACATGGCACGGCACAGAGCCGGCAGCGCGTCGATGGCAGACGCGCTTGGGCAAACCGGAGCTCCAAGGCAGTGGTGATTTCTTCTCTAATCGACCAACTCACGAGAAAGTTCATCAGGATCCTGCTAGGGCTCCAGAGCAAGCCGTCGGTCCAACGCTTTATCCCGCTCTCTCGCTCATCAAAGACAAAGACCTGGCCGCTCCGGATGAGCTTTCGCTCGTCGTCGCGTAGCCTCCGCTTAATTTTTGGCATGACGCCCCTCCGCACACACTCAAACACGAGCAGTGCATCGTGCGTCGAGGAGCTGTGTGTGTGTGTTTACAGATCGGCTTCGTCAGTGCACGTTGCTCTCGCCCAGATCTGGAAGAGCATATATGACTCACATGTAGCCATGGTAGGTGCTTTCTGCCTCGTTGCTCATGGCCGCCGGGACCCAGACCGCCCAAAGGCGAGGCGAGAGTTGCAAGCAGAGAGAGAGAGAGAGAGGAAAAGAAGAGGGTCGGAAGGGCCGAAGAAGGGAGAGCTGGAGTGGAATTATGGGATGAAGCGAGGCGGCAAGGTCGTCACTAGCGGTAAACGCCGTCGGGAGAAGAAGGAGAAGGAGAAGAAGAAGAAGAAAAAGGGGAGGGGGAAGACGAGCAGGACGATGATGCCTCTGTCGCGCTGAGAGTAGAAAGGAGAGCCGGCTCTCACTCTCTCTTGCGTGTATCGTCGTTGTTGTAGATGAGGAGAAGGAGGAGGAGGAGGAGGAGGAGGAGGAGGAGGAGGAGGAAAGAAAGGGGGAAAGGCAGGGCCTGATGACTGTCAATCAAAGGCCGTTTTAGTTAAGGTTAGCAAAACGCTGACTTTGACAAAAGACAGCTAGCGAGCGCTCGAGCCAAGGTTGGAGGGGAACCTGACTCTGTCCACCGCTCTCTTTTCCTCTCTCTCTCTCTCTCTTTCTCTCTCTCTCTCTCTCTCTCTCTTTTTCGTTTGCCTTCCTCTCCATCTCTCACTGGGCTCTTCAGGCTCCTTATATCCGATCATTGGCTCCTGCCAGCCCAGCGAGCAGGCAGCGACCCTCGCCGTGATCTCGGCGAGGAAAATGGAAACAGAGCAAAGAAGGAAAGCAGGAGGAGATAGAAAATATAAAAAACTCACCCGTCAGAGCCAAGCACGAGGACGGCCCGAGGAGACACCGACCGGGGCGACGACAACGACGACGACGACGACGGCGGCGGCGGCGGCGGGGGGCGCAGGTGCGGACGGTGGCTGAGCTGACGATTATGTGCGTGCTTTTCCTGATGACGCACTAGGCGTTTGAGGGATCCGGACGTGGGCAAGGGGTCGTCGTCATTACACGCAAGCAGAGGCAGTGCCGGCAAACGCCCCGAGGTCGTGACTAGTCGTTGCGGTCCAGCAAACCACAGTCGCAAATTGGCTGCCGGGTTCGGGATCGGGTAGGCGTCCGGTCGGGTGTGGCGTCAGGAACAGATAAGGTACGGCGCGCTGCCAGGGGAGGAGGGGGAGGGGGAGGGGGGGAGTGAGGCTGGTCGGCAGGCAGCGGATGGATGCTGCCGGACGGTGGGAGTGTGATGTGACCCGCGTCTCGTGACGTCGCCTGCCTTGCGCTCCGCTGGTCAAAGGGGAGGGGACGAGACGATCCAATCTGCGATCTGGGTGTGGCGCCGCTCCCGTCGTCCAAGGAAGGGGAGGCGGTTAGGGCGAGGAGGAGTTGGGGCGCGCACTGGAGCGGAAAAAAGAAAAAAGAAAAGGAGGAGTCGCGTCGGACACAAAAGACGTCAGGTCTACGCAGAGTAGTAATAGTCGTCGAGGCGCATGGAAAGACATCAAGAAGATCTCTAAAAGGCGCCACGCAAACTTCGCGCGCCTCGCTCGGCTTGGCTCGAGGGTGAAAAGGTAGCTCGGGCGTCTTTTTCGACGGGCAGAGTTGACCGGCCTCGCAGCAGAAAGCAAGGGTACACAGGCAACAAGCTCGAGCAACCCACCCAGCAAATAATTTTCCGTTTAGTGGGCGTATCAGGAAGGGGAAGGGGAAAAAAAAGACGAGGCGAGCGAGGACGTGGGTATCGTTGGCCGAGCGGAAAGCCAACGCCATTCCTTCGTCTCACTTGCCGCGTTGTCTTTGCCCGTGCGTTGGTGCGCACGGCCTCTCGATTTCCCAAGCTTTTTCTTCCTGTCTCTCATATTCTTCTTCCCTTTTTTTTTTGGCCGATAAAATATTGTATAGGGCTACCAATTATTGCCTTTAGCGCCTAGCTTAAGGCACAGAAAAGTAAGACAAAAGAAGGAAAGAACTAAGACGAGAATGGAGGGAGGTGGAACAGAGGGCAATGAAGGCGAAGAAGCTGGATGGGCCATAAATTTATAGAAGCGAAAAGCGACTTTTCGGAAAGCGCAGGTGTTATGAGGAAGATTACCGATACGGGAATGGAGAGAGACGAAGGAGAGCGGACAAAATGAGAATCCCATGCTACCCATGCTACCACACTGCCATTACTACTAAAAGTATGTACTACTACTGCTACTAATACTATTGTTACTGCTGCTGCTGCTGCTGCTGCTGCTGCTGCCGCGCTACTAGAGCAAGACTGTGTCCGGGCTAAACGACGCTTGCGCTTCGTTTGCTAGCTACACTGCATGTGCCGGACACGGCGAACGCGAAAAGACCCAACACTGGCGCTGAGTGGAGATAGTAGTAGCTGCTAATAGTAGTAGTAGTAGTCACCACGATAGTGCAAAGATATAAGATACGGATGCTCTTCGGTGCGAATGAACGGAGCCCGGCTTTTGAAACTTGTGTCAGCCGTCGGCTCTTGAAAACCCGAGGAGCACAGCTAGTCCTAGCTACGTTGGCTGGTGTGATTTAAAGTTTCCCACCCGCCGCCCGCGCAGCCTAAAGTGCGTCTCACTATCTTCCTTTGACCGCGTGGTAGGTGCGTGCATCATTGTCCACGGCTGCTTTTCACCTTTTCGTCCGTCTCAGAGTGCCATGCCTTGGATTATGCCTGCCCTGGTGGTCTAGTCATGCACGCCAGACTTGGCACATTGTACAATTACATGCAATTACCTGCTGGCTTCGTTCGCCGGAGCAGCGCCGTCGAAGACGGTAGTCAGGAAGAACCGGGTTCTTTTCCTTTCTTTTTTTTTTTTTAATTTCTTTTGGGTCCGAAATGACACCCAACGAAGAAGAGAAATATTAAAAACAAAATAAAAATACGACGGAGGATGCATGTCATGAGCTGCGTGCGAGCGAGTCTTCGTAGCGTCTCCTCTGCCTCTCGCGGGCGTCTTGATGTCCGTGGCCATGCGCACTGGCACGGTCGGCCACCTCGTCGATCTGGAGCAGCCTTTTGCTGCCAAGCCCCGCCCGTCCCTCGACGCCCTGGGCCACGACGACGGCGCCCCGGTGGGGAGCCGGTGTGCCGTGCTGGACCATGCCTGCGTACAGCTGGTAGCCTCGGTTGTCAGACCGAAGCGGGTCCTCGCTCGTAGTCCGCGTCTTCGGTGTCTTTTCGGCGGCGGCAGTTCGCGCGGGCTCGACATTTCGGGGCATGTGCTGTGTTGCGGCTGTGGTTGGTGCCCCGCCGACCAGCGCCCTTCGCTGTGCCGCTCGGTCGACGTAGTTGTTTGTCTTGCTCTCGCCAGCAGCGACAGCTGGTGTGGATAGGGCATTGGCGGTGGCAGTGGCGGTGGCTCTATCCCCGTTCTTACTGCTGCCTTCGGCGCCAAGATGACGCGACCGAAGCTGGCTCATCGTCTGCCTCCTCACCGACTCCGACTCGAGCTTGCGGTCACCAAAGCCATAGCCATGCTTGGGCGCGACGGCGCCCTGCTGCTGCTGCTGCTGCTGCTGCTGCTGCTGCTGCTGCTGCTGCTGCTGCTGCTCTCTGCTCGTGCTCGCACTGTTCGCAGTCCCCGACGACGGCTGCTTCTCCTCCAGGTGGATCTCGCTTTCACCCCTCTCATCGAGGCAACACACCTCGCAGGACCAGCCCGTCGAGGAGTGATGGAGGTGGACCTCGAACTCGTTTGCACCCATGCCGAGCCTGACAATATCGAGATGGCCAAGGGACATGGGTGCGCTGGCCTTCTTTGGCATCGAGAGCCTTTCAAAGTGCGATGAGCCCCGTTTGGCAACAAAAGTGCCTGGGTGGGGGGAAGGGTGAGCGACGGCCACAAAGGAGCCGAGCCAGCTTCGGACTCACCATGGGTTGAGCCCGTGTCCGAGATGCCAAAGCGGCCGTCGTTGAAGACAAAGAGACAGGCGTGGTGCTTGGAGACCTCCATCGACGGAATTCTGATGCGCGCCGTGTATGATCGATCTCGACCCTGCTCGCAGCGGCATTCAGTCAGTCAGTCAACTAATCAATTAATCAGTCGGGATAGAGAGCGATGCAGACTCACGATAGCCACCCCTTCGGTCCTATGGTCGATGACGGCGACGCGTGCCCGTTCGGGCAGCACGTCGCTGCGCAGCTTCACCAGGCGCATCTGCATACCGGCAGACGACGACGGCCATGACATGGAAGAGAATGAAAAATAAAGCCACGAGATGTCTCAAACAGCTCGGAGTGGAGGAGAGATAGATTGGTTGATTCTTCCGCGCCTCGAGACTAACGGCCGCCGCGAGCGCGTGGAAGATATTTCGAAGATATTTCGCGCTCCGAACTCTACATTTGGGCTACTTCAGATGAAGTACTGTACAGCTAGAGTACCCTACACTTACTACTACTACTACTACTAATAGCTAGCTTCAGCTAGGGTCGTGTAGTGGAACAAAGCGAGAGGGAGACCAAAGAGGACCTGGGGGTCCGGGCTCGCTCCTTGCTTTTCTCTCTACTCCCATCGTCTGCTCACCAGATGTCGCTCTGGTCGCTTGCGGCAGTCCTCTTGGCCCTCCTCTGGGCGGTGGCCGGTCGTGTCGACCAGCATGGCTCCCTATGCCGCGTCCTGCCCGAGGGCGACGGCCAGGACGACAGCCCGTCGATTATTGAGGCCTTTGACAAGTGTGGCCAGGATGGCAGCATCGCCTTTGAGTCAGGGGCTCCATTCAGCGTCCAGCAGGTGATGAACACAACGAACCTCACCAACTGCGACGTTGATTTCTCCGGCGCTCGTCTCGTCTTTTCGACCGACGTGGCCTACTGGCTCCAACACTCCCTCGACGTCGTCTTTCAGAACCAGTCGACGGCGTGGCTCATCGGCGGGCACAACCTCACCATCCGCGGCGGGATCTACGATGGCAACGGGCAGGTGTGGTACGATGAGAACCAGAACCAGAGCAACCAGCCCGGCCGGCCCATCTCCATGACCATCTACAACTCGACCGACGTCGTCGTCGACGGCCTCACCTTTGATCAGCCCCAGTTCTGGGCGCTCTTCGTCTCCTACTCGCGCAACGTCACCCTCAGCAACATGGCCGTCAGCGCCGTCAGCAAATCGCAGTGGCGCACCGTCAACAGCGATGGCCTCGACACGTGGAACTCGGACCAGGTCCTGGTCACAAACTGGACCGTGACCAACGGCGATGACTGCATCGCTGCCAAGGGCAACACGACGAATCTGCACGTCCGCAACGTTACTTGCCACGGCGGCAACGGCATGACGATTGGCTCCGTGGGCCAGTACCCGGAGACGCCCGACTTCGTCGAGAATGTCCTGTTTGAAAACATCACCGTCACCGATGCGATTAATGCGGCCTTTATCAAGACGTGGCAGGGCGTCCCCGTCGATAATAGCACGAACGGTGACGGTGGCGGTGGCGGCTCGGGCTACATCAAAAACATCACCTTTGCCGACTTCATCATCAACGAAGTCGCCCTGCCCATCCAAATTACCCAGTGCATCTACAGCGAACGCAAGGGCAGGAAAAAGGACTGCGAGTCGTCCAAGATGGCCATCCTCGACGTGGCTTGGCGAAATGTGAGGGGGACGACAAAGTACAACATTGCTGCCTCTCTGCACTGCGCGGCAAGCCACCCGTGTCCCGGCGTGCGCTTCGAGGACGTGGAGCTTGTGTCGGTGAACCAGAGCATCGGTCTGCCCAACTATGGCGTCGAAAGGCAGGACGAGATCATCCAGTGCGCCAATCTCGTCGACGCGGCGGGCATACCCTGCAACAAGTATGCGCCCGCCGACTTTGGTCAATTTGTCGGGGGCAACGTTCCGTGAGTTGTTGTTGTTCTCCCCGTTTCAATCCGTCTGAGGTCAACATTGGTGCTGATGCTGCTGCTGTCGGTATGGGAACAGCTTTGATTATGACGACCATCAAGAAAACACGGCTACCCTTTCTACCGTTCTCTTCAAGGCTCAGAGGCTGGGCCGAACGAGGCAGCGGTGACCGCGCAAATACCCAAGCAAAGGGGCGAATGCACAGCCCCATAGAGACACGTATTCTAGAAATAGAGAAGACCATGCCATTAGCAGCTCAGCGACCGCAGGAACAGGGCGACGAAAAGATAAAGAAAGAGGTGAGAACAAGGGTGCTCGTGAGTGAAGGATTAGTTGTATAAAGGAGAGAGGTATCACCGCTCGCTCGGTCGCCTGTACCGACGTCGCAGGATAGTTGAGCGGGTTACGACACGTTTCGGATCTTCTTGCTCAGCCATCCCTTCATGCCTTTCTTGCCGCTGTTTGACGGTCCATCTCCCTCATCCTCGTCATCGCTGGCGAGATGGACGGAAGCGCAAGGGATGTCGACGCCGTGGTAGACCTGCTCACCCGTCGGCAGCCCGCCGGGCGCGAGGAGGTTGGCATTGAGTGGGTTCATGCCCAGCATCGCTGCTGCCTTTGTTGGCGAGGACGAGGCTTCCCCTCGGCGGCCCCGCTGCGAATGATGATGACTGTAGTAGCGCTGGTGGTGGTGGTGATCCCGCGGACGCCGAGCGCCCATCACAGCGATTGCTGCTTCATCTTCGGCGTCGCCTTTCTCCTGGAAATGCGGGACGTAAGACTCATCAAAGTAATGGAAAGGCTTCGAGACGGTATAGTCCAGCGAAGAGCCCCGTCGAATCGTGGGCGGATTGCCCGCCGAATCGAGCAGCGGGGGCGACCAGGGCGACCAGGCGGACCGTTCGGCCGACGAGATTCCCAATCCTACTCCTTGCTCTTCCTCTTCGGCATTCCCGCTACTCTCATCTTTGCCGAAGGGGTTGCGAAAGACAATGTGCTGGTGACCCTGCTCGATCGCCTTCTGCACTTGCGTCGCCGACGAGGGAAGACCAGACATGGTCGAGGGCCGACGACGACCGCCACGACCAGCAGCAGCATCGTGGGCGTTGCTGCCGCTGCGCAGATGGGTGACCTGTATTGCCGTCTCCGTGGGCCTGGACCGCGACAAGTCGAGGGTCGATGGTGTCGCACGTCCCTGCGAAGTTAGGCGCGCGCGGAGCGTCGACGAGGCAGAGGCCGACGCCGCAGCCTCATTGTTGCTTGCGGTCGTGTCTTCGACCGTGCCGTCCGACGCTTGCTTCAGCGGACGATCGAAGGCCTCAATCAGCAGGGCTGCCGAGGCCTGGTGACGAGGCAGAGGCAAGAATGCTGGCATTTGAATCGTCGACATGCTCAGCTTGAGCGGCTCCTCGTTGTCGTTCTTCTTCCCCTCACCCTCGTCCTCGTGTCCTCCACGAGGTTGCTGCTCGGTGACGCAGAGGTAGTTGCCGACGTGGTTTGACCGCTGCACTGCGCTATAGCTCCTGGTCTTGCGCGTCCGAATCGTGTTGGGCTGCCGAGGATGGAGCTGGACATGCTGGGGAAGCGGAGCCATGGGAACAAAGGTATATGCTGCCATGTCTGCGCCTTCGGTCTGGCCGGCTGCCGTGAGGGCCGTCATCATCGTGTTGCCGTCATTTTCGAGCGACAGGAGCTGGTTTCCAGCAATGGCAAACGAGCTCCCCCGGCGCTCTTGCTCATCAGAGGGAGAGACGGGCGAGCCTGGAGCCGAGTTGGACCGGCGAGAAGGGCTGTTGAGCGCCGAGTCGAGGAGGTACTGGCACTCTTCCTTTTCTATCGTCATTGATCGGAAGGTCAAAATGGATGGTGTCAGCCAGCAGAAGGAAATGAAAGGGGATTTCTTGTCAAGTGCGCTCACCAAAGCTGTCAAACCAGAGCGTGCCATCGTGCTCGTCCCTCGTCCTCAATGCCCGCTGCCGCTTCTGGGCCTTTGTCATGCCGAAGATGGCGTCGAGCTCGGCCGCGACCTCGTAGCGGATCGGACGGAAGTGGTTCTTGCTGATGGGCGAGTCGGTCACCTTCATTTCGCTGTAAGAAACTGCCTCGTCATCGACGGGACGGCGCTGCTGCTGATGCTGATGCTGATGATGCTCTGAGCTATCCAAGGCGGGCATCCTGCGGAGAAACGCGGACATTGTGGGCGAAGAGACGCGGCCCTCGGACGTCTTGGGGCGCAGATGGAGAGAGCGAGAGCGCAGCCGTCTGGCCCTGCTTTCGACAGTTGCGCCGCGCTCTTTGACCGTGGCTGAGAAGCGTGTCGCAGTAGGCGAGACGGAGGGCGAGTCGTCGGCCCGCCTGACCTGATAGGTGGTAAAAGGATCAAATGGCGACACGGGCACATATCGCCGCTGATGGTGGGGAATCTTGGCAGTCGTCGCCGTCGTCATTGTTTTGTGCGACTTGCCAGGAATGGAAATGGGGAGCGACTGTTGCGGCTTTTGCCGATCTCGCTGAGAGGCGGAGAGAAGGACGGCCCGACCGTAGAAAGCTGGAAGAGAGGGGGAAGGAGTTGAAGGTGCGACGAGGACGGACATGGTCGCTTTTTTTTACGGTGAGAGAGCGCAGAAAGATCGCCTCTGTGCCACGCTGACGGTCTGTCTTGTTCGGGTGAGTGGGAGAACAGGGCAGTTCGACGGTCACCGTAGGGCTAGCGTCCTTTGCGTTTTCCTTGCTCGAGGAGCGAGGTCAGGGAGGGGGAGAAGGAAGTGACCTGGTGCTTTAAAGGGCAGAATAGGAGTTGGACTCATGACATCTCAGACAAAGGGAATGAGACTGCACCTCTGCGGCACCCGCGTAAGAAAAGTCCCTTTGTTCCCCACCGAGGACTCCTTCTTTCCTCGCCTTGTGCCTCTTGTGCTGTGGACGCATCGTGTTGTACCACAAGGTTTTTAGCCGGCAGCGACGCTAAGCTGAACAAAGGGAACGGCGGCTTGCAGTCAACTGTGGCTTGTCCCTCTCTTTGCCAAGATCATTGGCTGCGAGGCACTTGGACCTTTCCATTCAGCCGGCCAACACAAGATCGAAAGATCGAACAAAGGGCAATTCGCCGTCTTGCGTCGTTTCCCTTTGTCCGCCCCCCTCCACACCTCTCCTAAATGGATAATTCTGTCATGACTGACTCATTTCAGCCACGCGCTCTTATGTCCGGCCCGCTCTTTCGTTCTGAGCCGGTCATCCGTCATCAATCAAAATTTTGAGAAGTTTTCTTTTCTTTTCTCCGAAGCTCATTTGTGGACCCAGAGTCGAGGACTGTCTTATCGCCTGTTGCATGGGTGCGTAACTCTGTCTTGCCCGAGCAATTATTAAGTGACTGGTTTCGACTTTGCTGCCTTCACGGCAGGGATCAGGTCAAAGGGGCCACGGCAGCCTAGAAGACGTCATGTCGTTCGACAGCAGAGTCTGCATCCCTGGCCCCTATAAGAAGCCCCTCGTCGGGCCCTCTACTTCCTGCCGTATTGTCTTCTGCAAGCCAACACTCGACAGAGCTCAGGCAAATGGCGACTAACTTTGACGACAAGGTCAACGATGCCATTGACCTCGGCACGGGCTACGCTGGCTCTTCGACGGGCAAGCTCGTCGCCGTATCGGGCAACAAGCGCACCCTGGCCCCCAACCAGGTCGTCATCGACATCACCCACTCGGGGCTTTGCGGCACCGACCTCCACCACCGTAAGCGGGCGGACATGATTCTCGGCCATGAGGGAGTGGGCGTGATCACCAAAGTCGGAAGCGAAGTCAAGAACGTCAAGGTCGGCGCCCGCGTCGGCTGGGGATAGTGAGCTTCTCCTCTCTCTCTTTCTCTGTGCCTCTCTTGCTCATCTGAAATCGCGATACAGCGTTCATGATGTCGATGGATCATGCACAAACTGCCTCTTGGGCCGCGACAACCTGTGCGATGCCCGCAAGGTGTTTGCCTACACGGACAAGGACGAGGGCTCGCTCGGCGAACGCTTCGTCATCCGCTCCGATTTTGTCCACGTCATTCCCGACGAGTTGCCTCTCAAGTACGCCGCTCCCCTGCAGTGTGCCGGCACGACAGTCTTTGGCGCCATTGTGGCTGCAGACGTCAAGCCGTGGGACAGGGTGGGCGTTGTGGGAATTGGCGGTCTTGGTCACTTGGGTGAGTGCCCACCGGGGTCCGAATGGGACGAGTGAGTATGACTACCAGCGATAGGCTTGCTGACGTTGCCGACACAGCCATTCAATATCTCAAGGCCATGGGAACCGACGTCGTCGTCTTTTCGACGACGGAAAGCAAGAAGGAGGAGGCCATGAAGCTGGGTGCCTCTGAGTTTGTCGCGACAAAGGCCAACGCAAAGCTGCAAGGTGTCAAGCCCGTCAACCATCTTCTCATCTCGGCCGATCGTCAGGTGGACTGGGCAACTTTCTTCCGAGTCGTCGCGCGAAACGGCAAGATCATCCCCTTGTCAGTCTCGGATGAAGACATGAAGGGGGTTCCGTACATGATGATTGTCGCGCAGCAGCTCAACATCATGGGCTCCTTTGTCGCCGATCGCCCCACACACCGGCGCATGCTCGAGTTCAGCGCCCGCCACCAGATCAGGCCCATCATCGAGGAGCTCAAGATGAACGAGGAGAACGTCAATGTGGCGGCTGACCGCCTCGCAAAGGGTGACGTGCGCTACCGATTCGTTCTCAACACCGGCGTGCCCGATCCTCTCTTCTCTCAGTCCGCTTCCCTGTAAACTTAAATCTAATCTCATCTGGCCATAATGTATAGAGGTCTTGTTGGAGAAAACACACTCGAGCCAAGTGTCTGATTCTGTAATAGGAGCTGGTCCGAGGCATCGCGCGCTTATGTGTTTGGAGAAGGCACGTTGCAGATGCGGTGAGAATCGCATCACGGCCAATGCGACCAGCATATTGGCTCTGGTCACATTCTACTCAGTGAGCTATCCCAGAGAAGCCTGGAGAAGGTGAAGTGAAGTCAGACTCTTGCTGTCTCTCGAACTTTCGCGCAATCGCGCCGACCACTGCTCTTTTCACTTTCTACGGCCGTGACTGGCGGACGAGGCCGAAGCTGTGGATAAATTGTGGATTCTCAGTGCAGAAAATCCACACTCTAAATCTCCATGTGCCCGGGGAGGCACACGCGTTAGCTTAGGCCCGAGTCTTCTTCAAAGGGCTGGAAGGTGTTGGTTCCCTCTCTTTGGACCAACCTGATGGGGTATAAAGGCAGCCTCTTCGTCGTCGTCGTTGCTCTTCTCACTGCATTTCTAGCAAACTATCAGCCACATATCAAACAAGCCACAAGTTCGTTACTGCAACAGTATATGCTCCGCAAAATGGCCACCGCCCACGTCGCCTCTTCTAAGGCCGCCTCGTCGGCCGCACTCGTCTCGCGATCCGTTGCCAAAAAGGTCCTGGCCGTCGAGACGCCAGAAGGAGCCGGCGCCGTTGTTCGACGCAGCATCGGCACGCCAAAGCTTCGCAACTTCTCTCCGTTCCTCATGCTCGACCACTTCAAGGTCAGCGAAGGGGCCGGCTTCCCTGACCAGTGAGTCTTTCTTGCTTGGACAAAGACGTTTCTGCCTACAAGTACACTAACATTGCTATACTCACACAGCCCGCACAGGGGAATGGTCACAGTGACATACATGCTCGAAGGACAATTCAACCACGAGGACTTTGCTGGCCACGTCGGCCGCCTCGGTCCTGGAGATCTGCAATGGATGTCGGCAGCGAGGGGCATCATGCACGCCGAGATGCCCATCCACCGTGACGAGGCGGGACGGAAGCTACCGGACCCCGTCGGCCTCCAGCTCTGGATCGACCTGCCGGCCAAGAACAAAAAGGACCCGCCCACATACCAGGAGTACCCCAAGGAGCAGGTGCCCACCGCCCTGCCCCGGCCCGACCAGCCGGAGGAGACCGAAGGAAGGGACTGGAGCGTCAAGGTCATTGCTGGCAGCAGCCACGGCGTGGAGTCGCCTGTCCGGACGCCAGACCAGGGCGCCTGCTGGTACCTCGACGTCACCCTCAAGAAGCCCGGCGCACGCATCTTCCAGGAAATCCCCACCGGCTTCAACTCGTTCATCTACACCATGGGCCCTGCGCCCATTCGCGTTGGCACGCCCGATGCGCCCGGTGCGTCGAATCCTATCGAGGCATCGACGGCCCACGAGGCCTTCCACACCCTCGTCCTGTCCAACATGGCCAGCATCTCGGACCCAAAGACGGACCCGGCCTCGGTACCCCAGGAGACGGGCGTCTGGGTCGAGCACGCAGGCACCAAGGAGGGCGAGGAGGCCAGGTTCGTCGTCATTGCCGGTGAACCGCTCGATCAGAAAGTCGTCCAACACGGGCCCTTTGTCCTCACAACAAAAGAGGAAGTCTACCAGACACTTTTGGACTTCCAGGGCGCAAAGAATGGCTTCGAAAGGGCCGCAGGATGGAAGAGCAAGATCGGGGGCAGGTAACCTACTTCATCACGCCCGTCCACTAGCCCGCCTCCTGATGTAGCCTTCGCCTCTGCTCTTCTGTACCAAATGAACGTTTCTTCTCCCCTGTCTCTTTTGCTGGTCCACCATGTACATCGATTTTTGTGGAATGGTATGGCGATCACGAGCTAATGCTCTCCAGTGTGTTGATGCATATAGTACAGTACAGTTCTACGCCTGCGCCGCTCTGCCTCGCCTCAGCTGCGCAAGACCGACGAGACATCCTCGACGTAGATGTAGTCGGCCCCAGGCGACTCTTCCTCTCGTGGCGTGGTCCCCTTTCTCCCACCTTGGCCAAAGAGAAAGAGCTCCCAGCCATTGCTGCCACCGTGCAGCTCGGGCCCGCGCGCGTGCTCATTGAGGTCTTGCGTCGTCATGTGAGACCGTCTGGCCACCTTCTTTGACCGTGCCCGTCTAGCAGTCTTGCCTGTCCGCTGTGCTTGCCATTCTTCTTCCTCTTCTTCCTCTTCTCCCACTCCCGTCAATTCAAAGGCTGGAGAGGCGCGGTTGATGGGGAGGGGGGCAGTCCAGGCGACGGGCGCGTCCTCAAACCCAGTGCATCTGACGTGGGCCCACCCAACATCTCTACGCAAGGCCGTAGAGGCCCATTGCCCAATGACGTCCACGATGTCCTTGACAAAGCCAGCCGAAAAGAAGCCGACGTATTCGACCAGCAGCACCCGCGCTGGCGTCCGCGGCTCGGCGACCTGGTAGCCGTTTGCGTATTCTGCTCGACTAAATGTCCGTGTGCTGCGTGTTTGGCAATGGGGACAGAGGTGAGTCAAGGTCCCGGGGCCAGTATTAGAAGAAGAAAACACCTACCACTCAGCACCGTTGGCTGCGAGTGTTGTCCAGGCCGTCAGCTCCTGCAGCTCCTCGATCCAGTCAAGCCAGTCGTCTTGTTGGCCGTGCTCTTGGGCCTGTTTTCCCTTTCCCTTTTCCTCTCGCCAGCCTTGTCGCAGCTTCGAGGTGCTCAGGTCGGGCAGCCAGACGTCTTCCATCGTTGTGCGGCGTGCATCGAGGTGGATCGATTTCAATGTGCATGTTGCTGCGAAGCGGGCAGGAAGAGTGATCTCGCAGCCGTGCTCGCCTCGCTCGTCCTCTGCCGTCGGGCTGTTTGCAGAGTGATAGAGCAGGACGCGCCAGCTTGGCCGAGAGCCGTCGGAGCCGTCTCCAGTCCCCAGCATAGCCGTCGACGACGACGAGCCAGAGGCAAAGCCGAGACCGCTGGCAGCGTCAAAGGAAGCGGCGTGGCTCCCCTGAGCGCTCCTCGCTGCGTCCCACGAGCGCAGTCGAGCGAGGGTGCGCTCGTACCCGGGCTTTCCGGGCACAAACGAGGGAGACAGCAGATCGACGCGGACGCTCCAGCGCTCGACACCGCCAGACCTGCGGTCGCCTGCACGGCCACTCGAGGTGTGTGCCAGCTTCGACTGGCGGCCCACGAGGCCAAGGGACTGGTACGTGTCGCGGGTGAGCGAGAGGTGCAGCGTGCCCCGTCCGTCGAGGCAAAAGACGTCGTCGGTGTCGAGCCGTCCGGCACTCAGGGCGATCAGGCTGCCGTTCTTGATGTATGCGCTCACAAAGATAGGATCCAGCAGGAGCGCAATGGGCATCGATGCCAGGTACGCCGTGCCGGGCGCGACGAGCCTGTCGAACGTGTAAGCGAGCTCCTGCTCCGATGGCGCATTGTCGCTTGCCAGAGGAATGAGAAGCTGGAGCTGTGACGGCAATATGCTAAGTCTCCGTGAATCAAGTCGCACAGAAGGAGAATGAAGAGAGGAAACGCACCCTGTGATTCAACGGATGGGCCACAAGGTCCCGTCGCAGCCTCTTCCACGCCCATGTATCGCCAGATCTGTCCTTGCCACCGCTGCCGGCGACGATGACTATGGCCCGCCCTGAGGCCTTTTGGTCCCGTGCATCGTCGCCCCTCTTTGCACTTCGCTTCCGCTTGTGCGTCGAACGCGCCGACAGCATCTGTCCTTTCCCTCGAGCGTCTGCAAGAAGATCGAGAGGGCGACGGAGAAAAAAAAAGTAAAAGTTGCGAGCTCCACATGCAGGGACGGAGACCCAAAAAAAAAGGACGAGACAGAACGAAGCTTCTTCTTGGATGAACGACGACGAGGACAAAGAGAGGCACGAGGCACGGCACAGCAAAGGATGGCGACGGGCCTCAAGGGCCTTCTCGAGGCGGCAGCATGTCTCTGTGGGCAGAGGGATGCGAAGCTGTCCCCGAGCCTCCGAGACAAGCCTGAGCAGGGTGAGCATACAGAGAGGAGTAGATGTCCATACCTCTTGCTGACGAGTGCAGCGGCAACAGAGCTGCTCAAGGCCAGGCTGCAGAACAGGATTGCAGCATACAGGGCCAGACTGGGGTTGGAAGCTGATGTAGGGAAAGAGGACGTCGAGAGGGCGACAGGATCAAGCGCGTTCGAAGCCCTTGTTGCCATCCACGACGCTGCAAAGACACCGGGCGAGGAGGGCACAGATGGTGAGGGCGCCTCTTCGTCGACTGGCCCTGCGCCCCTTTTTGGATCGCGCGACCTCCAAACGCTGCGCACACTTCTCTCCATTGTCACCCAGTGGTACTTTTCGCCTCTGCTGGCGAGCTACGACGAGTGCTTGGCCAGTCTGGCCAGCCCAACCGGCGAGGTCCCAGAGGATGGCAGGGCGACGTCGAGGCTCCAGGAGCTGCCCGACGAGGCAAAGCTGCGTCACATTAGACTGGAGCAGAGAGTAGTGCTGGAACAGACGACGAACCAGATGGACAAGACGACTTCATCGTTGCAGAATATGCTTCTGGGCCGGGCTGCCGGCCAGAAGGAAGTCGCCAATGCCGTCATCAATACATGCGCCTCGCACATCCTTGCCATTGCCATCCGACTTGGATGGGGGCCCCGCTTCAAGCCCGTAGCTGGAGTTCAAGGGCCCTCGCACAGCAACGATCACAGGGAGCAGGCTCGCAGCCTCGTAATCGATCTCCTCAAAACGTGAGCATGCCACTCTGTGTTCGAGCGCTTGTATAATCCAGACTGACTCCTTCCAATCGGCCCAGCCTCTCGACGCTCTCGGCGCTGCGCGTCCTCTCGGGTGTGACAAAGCTCTCATCTCGACGTCCAGTGCGCCTACCTAGCTTTGTCAAGGCGACTACGTCGAGGCTCGTCGCCGCTCAGCTACTCCGACCGGACGCCGTCATGGCCCTGCTTCGACAGACATTTGGCGCAGACTATGATGAGGTCGAGAATGGCTCCAGTGAGTGGTACCTACTCCTGATCAAACATCTTGGCAAGACTCAGGCTGAGAAAGAGTAGACGTTCTGGCGAGGATGGAAGGCGTTGCGAAGCTTCTCTCGACGCCGCCGGCCGGCATGTCCGCCGAGGTTGGTTTCGAGCCCTTCTTCACAGATTGTTCAAAGAAAGCTCAGACACCACGCCTTTCCCACAGACCTTTGTCTCCATCATCATTCCCCAGCTTTTGGATACTGTGTCCGAGCTTCCGTTCTCAAACACAGACACAGGGGCGACCCAAGGACCCAGTGGCCAATCAACGCCGACGCAGAAGAAGACGGCGACCTTTGTCCTTGCTCGTCTTGCTGAAACCCACAGCGAATCGATCAAGTCCTGCCTGGCCAAGCACCTCTGGAGCGCACTTGTGCCGACTTCAGCCAAGGCAGAGGCCGGGGTGGACGAAGGACAGGTCATCTCGCAGCCATGGTGCATCTCGAGGGCAGTCGATCTCCTCCATCGGATCCTGCAGTACGCCGAGCCCTCCTCGATCTTTATCTCCTGCATGGTCTCGCCCGTCGTCGTGCCCCTCTTCTCGCTCGTGTCTTATACAAAGAGTGTTCACCGCCACCCTGCGGCTGCCATATCGATGATGGACAAAGGGAAGGCCATCTCTCCAGACCCATCAAAGGAGCTTGGCAAGGCGGCCATGGACATCCTCCGGACCTGGCTCAGGCTTGCAGAGGCAGACGAAGCTCTGAGCCTCGTCGGGACCGGGCTCGACGGTATCTTTGCCGTTGCCGGGAGGAATACGGCTTCCATCGTGTCGGGCTGCACCGCTCGAGGAAACGGTACGGAGGAAATGGTGCCCTGCTGGACTGAGATGGCGGAAGGCATAGCCATCAAATGGGCACGATCCTCGTCAGATGATGTAGCGGATGCATTTGCAGATCTATCGATGGAGAATCCCATTCGTTCCGGGCCAGACGCCGACAACAACGACGACGAGGACACAGCCAAGCTAGCGCAGCAACTCAACTCAATGCTGCAGCTGCAGCCCGACCCCAAGCTGCTAGCGGACCTCCTTCAGGCCTCGGGGCGACAAGACGTCGCAGCGACGCTCCTTGTCTCCCTTCTCGACCGATATACGTCGTCGAAGCAGCAGGCTGAATCGTTGTCGTCTTCTGAATCGCTAAAGACGATCCTCTACCTCCAGCATCTCGTCCAAATCATCGACGTCTTTGGGTCCCAATTGATCAAGGGTGCGCCAGACAAGATCCTGGCTTTTGTCAACTTCACGCTGGACGCGGCAATAATGGGTCCTGTGGCTTCGGACCCGGCGGTTCATCCATCGTCAATGTCATCGTCGACACCAAAGATAGAAAGCGAAGCGGACGACATGCCCTTCATTAGTGTACGCCCGCAGGACACCCAGGGCGGTCTTCAAGGGTTGCTCAACGTGGAGCAGGAGGACCGCGCCGAACAGAATGGGGTGGACGACAAAGGGACGGAGAAGTCGGCAGTGGAAGATGAGGAGCTGGTCGACGTCGCTCTCAGCTTGCTTCTCTCGCTACTCGAGGGCCAGCCGACGATGTCAAGAGAGTCGACGCCACTGCTCAAGGTTGTCGATGCCAAACTCCAGGGTTACATGGCTTCGTCGAGCCAAGGTCAGATCGGAGCGCTAGCCAGGGAGGTCAGGCTCGTCCTCACTGCGCGCACGTCGGCAGGCGAGCAACAGCACCAGCAACGAAACTCAAAGCTGTTCATCGGACCGCGAGAAGAGGCGCTGGCGCGAGGGAGAGACAGGTACCAGGAAGCCCTCAAGCTTCTCCAAGACCCCATCCTGCCCGTTCGCGCCCACGGTCTCGTCCTCCTCACCAAGCTCGTCAGTGCACACTCTACGCTGGACACAGCGGCGACGGGGCACACAGACGTTCTCTTCGACGAGGCACTCTCGCCAGCGATCCTCGACATCTTTCTGCAGGCCATCCAGGACGACGACAGCTTCCTCTACCTCAACGCCGTCAAGGGTTTGGCCGAGATGGCAAAGCGGGGAGGGAAGCCCACACTCAAGCGCTTGCTTGGCCTTTACGTCTCAGATGCACCGCCGGGGGCAACTAGCGCGGCAATGAGCCAGCTGGAAGCAGACAGACGCCTGAGGGTCGGCGAGGCGCTCCTGCAGGTCATCCAGCACCTCGACGAGGCCATGTCGGCCCACGTCGCCGACGTGGTGCCTCCTCTGATGGCTGCGCTGCGCAATAGGTACTTGCCGGCCACAGTCAGGTCCTCGGTTGTTTCGCTATTGGGGACGTGTGTCGAGGCAGCTCCCACCGCCATGGCCTCCCAGGGCTATTCGCATACACTCGCCGGCGCCATGCTGGACCTCGCCAGCATCGAGAGTGTCGAGAGGCCTTCATCGATTGGGGACAAGAGCAAGGAACCACCACTAGATGGAGAGGAGGAGGGCGACATCATCATCGACGCAAGGGAAAAGGAAAAGAGGAGAAAGTTTGCCCCGGGCCACGACGATGCCGTCGATGTTGACGCGAAGCTGCCACAGCTCAGGCGGTCCGCCCTGCTTCTCTTGGCGCTCCTTATCAGGGGCACGCGGAACCAGCTGGAAGCACCACAAGGCCCAGAAGACGACTTCATTGGATTGGGTCGAGAGTCTCACAACCTCGAGGCTCTGAGATTGCCCGGCAGCGGCGCGGGGATCCTTGGACACCGTCAGGCACCCTCTGATGAGCTCCACCTGTTTCCTTCCAGGCTTCTCGCCCGGGCCAAGGCGGTGTGCGGCTTCCTCAAGTGGAGAGACACCGATGCACTCGTCCGCCATCAGGCCCAGGACTGCGTCGAGGAGCTCGACGGCCTCGAGCTGGACCTCGTCCATCAGGCTCCGTCCAGCCTCGTGTCACCACCAACCAGGAGAACTTGAATCAATCTGATCTTGCTGCTCGATTTGGTCACTGCAATACACCAAATGGAGCGCCGCTTTAATTTTGCTCTAATAAATAGCACTAATGGAAATGTCGGATTGTATTGCACCCCTGATTTTGCGCAGAGGTCTCAGGTGGCCCATGCACACTGGCTGGGCGCCTTGGGCACGTCTCGCTCGCGTGATGCCTATCTAGTCACACCCTGCTGCTTGCTGACGCGGCTTTGGCCAAGGTGCCCCCGCCCAACGCCCTATCTATCCCACCCCTCTCCCACCCACCACTCCATCTCCATCCATCCATCCACCCTCGCGCAACAGAGGGGGCCAGCGCACGCACACACACACACACACACAAGAGCGTCTTCCGGCTGTCTTCCACAGCCCTGCCCTGCTACGTGATCCCGTACCTCGCTACTGCACGACTCGTCTTGTAATAGATAGCACTGCTCCACATACATAAGAGAGCGCCACCCCTCGCCCCAACGCAACGATGCAGCTGCGCGCAACCCTCGTCGGCCTCGCCGTCGCCGTTTCGGCCGCAATGGCCGTGCCCGTCTCCAACACCGGCACGCCCCTCGAGTTTGTCCCCATGCAGCTCCACTACGACACTGCTCATGCACCCGCCGCGTTCCACGCGCAGTCGTCGCGCAAGGCCCTCAAGGGCCAGTACATGGTCATTCTCAAGCCCGGTGTTGACATGGCCACGTTTGCACTCCACCGCCAGACGGTTGCCGCCGCCCAGTCGACGGCCGATGCCCACCTGGCCGACGCAGAGGAGCGAGGCATCCGCCACGTCTACGACCTCGAGGGCCAGCTGCAGGGCTACGCCGGCAAGTTCTCCGACGACGTCCTCTCCTACATCCGTGCCCACCCCGAGGTCGAGTACGTCGAGCAGGACTCGGAAGTGACGACGATGGAGATGCCCGACGACGGCAACAACGTCTGGGATGTTGGCTACGACGTCAAGATCGAGGATGCCTTTTCGGCCCTGGGCGCGCCCCAGCTCTCGAAGCAGTCGCTCGAAAAGGGCGCTCCCTGGGGCCTCGTCCGCGTCTCGCACCGCGACGCCGTCTCGTTCAAGAACTTTGGCCAGTACCTCTACCAGGGCCAGGGCGGCGAGGGCGTGACTGCCTACATCATCGACACGGGCATCAACATCGACCACGTCGAGTTCGAGGGCCGCGCCACCTGGGGCAAGACGATGCCCGTCAACGACGAGGACAAGGACGGCAATGGCCACGGCACGCACTGCGCCGGCACCATTGGCTCGCGCAAGTACGGCGTCGCCAAGAAGGCCGAGCTCGTCGCCGTCAAGGTGCTCAGCTCCAGCGGCTCCGGTTCCATGTCCGATGTCACCGGCGGTGTCCTCTGGGCCGTCGAGGATGCCAAGAAGAAGACAAAGGCCATGGCGGCGAGCCCCAACTCTGAAAAGGCAAAGAAGCACCGTGGGTTTGTTGCCAACATGAGCCTGGGCGGTGGCAAGAGCCCCACGCTTGACCGTGCCGTCAATGGCGCCGTGGCCAGCGGCATGCACTTTGGCGTCGCTGCCGGCAACGAGAACCAGGATGTGAGTACACATCATGTCTTCTCTTCTGCTTTTGCATCCTGAACTGACGGCTTGCGACGACGCGCAGGCATGCAACGTCTCCCCTGCTGGCGCCTCGAACCCCGTGACGGTGGGCGCCATGACGCTGGCTGACGTCGGCGCCAGCTTCTCCAACTGGGGCAAGTGCGTCGACGTCTTTGCACCCGGCCTCAACATTCTCAGCACCTGGAACTCGGGCAACACGTCGACCAACACCATCTCGGGCACCTCGATGGCCTCGCCCCACGTCGTCGGCATGCTCGCCTACCTCCTCTCCATCTACGGCTCCGAAGAGTTTGACATCGTCGAGACGTCGCTCTCTGGCGGCCTTCCCTTCAGCTCCGAAGCCCAGTCGCTCGACATGACCGACTTCACCGACTCTGTGGCCAGCAAGCTCCACTCGATCATGCCCTTCTCTTCGCTCGCCTTTGACTTCGTCTCTGGCCTCTTTGGCGGTGCCAAGAAGAGCAGCAGTGCTCAGGTTGCCATGGCCCCCGTGCCCAAGAAGCCCGACGTGGCCTCGGTCCTGCACCCTGCTGACCTCAAGAAGGCAATGATCAAGCTCTCCACCAGCGGCAAGCTCAACGACATTGGCCAGGACAGCCCCAACTACCTCATCTTCAACAATGCCACGCTCACCAAGTGAAGGCTTGATTCACTCGCCTTCACTCTCCTAATGATTAGCTCTGTTGTTTCCCCACTCAACCTGCTCGCTCCTCTCTCTCCCACATATGTCTCAATCTGACTCTGCAATTGGATCCAAGTCTCTCTCTTTGTCTCTCTGTGTCACGTCATCACATCGCCTCTCGGGCTCCGGCTTCGGCCAGTCCCGCTTGCTCGCTAGCCGCGGAGAATTGTGCGAAGAGTGCTCGCAAGGCAAGGGTGCGGCCCGTCCTCTGATCACGTCAAATTGCGTGTGGCTGTGATTGCGATACGACTTGTAGTGTATCGGTCAACCTCGTCATTAGTAGTAGCAGCTAGTAGTAGCAGCTAGTAGTAGAGTACAGTAGCTAGTAGTGTAGTGTAGCTAGTGTATACGTAGTTGCAGCAGAGGAATCGGTACTTAGTGCGCGTTTCGAGGGCCGATAAGCCAAAAAGAAATGGGGGGAGAGCGGACACTGCACCTGGGGCAGTGGGCCAGTCTCTTCGCCGATATCGAGCCTGGTCGCACGGGCCTCGCCCAGCCCGCGTCTTCGTTAGACCCTTTATTTTATTTTTCGCTCCCTTTGAACCCCCCCATTCCAGCCGTATCGGTCGGAGCCCAAGGAATCCGGATGCTTATGGAACTACAGTAGTAGATGATCAGCAAAAGGCCCCACTCTATCAAGCCCGATGACGAGAGAGGACTTGCCTACGGCACAGTGCCGGGATAAGTGAAAAAAGAACACTCCTTTTCTAACATCACCATCACACCACCACCACCTTTTTGCTCTCCCCCCACTCCCCCTTCCTTCTCCTTTCCTTATCTGAGACCCAAGCCGGCCCTGTGCCCTCGTGTCTCGTCTCGTCTCGTCTCGCTCTCGCCTCCGCTTCATCCTTCTTCCACCCCGCCCCTTCCTCGACCCTTTCTCCGCTCCATTTATTTTGCTCCCCCCGTCCCGGCCCACTGTCCTTTTTCCCTCTTCTTCATTTTGGCTCGCCATTTCCAGCAAGGAAGGACCACCTTTTTCCCTTGCTACCCCCTCGTTCTTAAGAGAGAGGAAAAAAAAAAAGATGCCGATGCTGCTCATGGCCCCCTCGACGCACCTGATGCCACGCAGCCTCACACATCCGGGCGGCGCCTTCTTCCTCGACCCGGCCCATCGCGTCACGCGCGAGGAGCTCGACCGCCGCGATGCACGGTGGCGCGCCCTGAGGGAGCGCGCCTACCAGCGAGCCTGGTCCGACGACGCCACGCTCGTCGGCTCTATCCGCTACTACGCCGCCGCCAGTGCGCGGCAGCGCAGCGCCGCAAGCATCCTCTCGGAGGAACAACAACAGCAGCGGTCTACCGCGGCGGCGGCAGCGGCGGCGAGGCTCATGAGCGTCGAGGAGGACTTTGACGAGCTCTGCTCCGTCGCGAGCACCACGACGCCCTACACGCAGCCGCGCCACCACCTGCAGCAGGTCCAGGCCCAGGCTGGCGCCAGGGGAAGCACGCCGAGCGTGAGGAGCGTCCGCACCGGCAGGAGGACCGGCAACAGCAGCGGCGGCGCCCAGAGGATCCGCAACGCTTTCAAGAAGTGGGTCAACTCCAAGCGGCAATAGTCAGCGAAATGCAACGACGACACACACACGAACGACGACTACTTATTCATTCAATGAGCAACGCGCGACGATCAAACAAACGAACAGAACGACACGATGATCAGTCCTCCTCCTCCCTCAACTCTTTCCCCCCTTTCTCGACCTCTTTCTCGCTTGCGTGTCGGCTTTCAGGGTTCTTCAAACAGTGTATTTATTTCTCGTGTCTTCTCCTTCAAGCTCTTCCTCCCTTCTCGACCTCCTCATTTTCCCCCACCACTCTTGTCGGTTCCTCAATAGTCATAGACGGGCGTAATTTCATCCGGGCTTTGATCGTGTGACCCACCCCAGCGTTGAGCGAGCAAAGAGCGACGGCGAGACGCGTCCAGAAGGGGCCGCCCTTTTTCATTCTTATTTTTATATTTTTTGGAGGTCTTCTTCTTAGACCCGATCGCTCTCCACGCACGCTCGCACGCTCGCACACGCATCATGGCCGCTCCAACGGCGCCGAGCACGCCTCGGTGAGCGCTCCTCTGCATAAGTTCCGCTCCTCTGTTCGGCTGCATCACTGACAAGGTTCCCAGGCACGACTTCTACCAGACGGACACGGTGCTGACGCTGAGCATCTACATCAAGGGCCTCAGCCCGTCCGACGTCAGCCTCAGCCTCGCGCCCACCTCTGTGCGTCTGCTGCTCTGGCTTGTCGAGCTCGTCCATACCTGCTTCCTTGACTGACTGATCGATCGATTGTGACTGCAAATGCGCCACTTGGGGTGTACAGATGACATTCGACGTCCCGAGCCGGGCACAGCGGCTCGTCGTCGAGCACCTGCGCGACGCCATTCGCCCCGACGAGAGCAGCTTCAAGGTCCTCGCGACCAAGGTCGACGTCACGCTCGTCAAGGCCCAGCCTGCGCGCTGGGACGCACTCGAGGCGAGCCCTGGTTCTAATCCTGTCGCTGCTGCCTCCGTCTCGTCGTCTGCAGCCAGCGGTGTGTCGACGGCACCGAGCGACGGTGGCAGCCTAGACGCACGCAAGAGGAGCACACGCAACAAATGGGACACGCTCGACGTCGACGAAAACGGCCCAGGCCAGGGCGGCGAAGAGAATGGAAACGGCGAACTGCAAGACTTTTTCCAGAAGCTCTATGCCGACGCCGACGACGACACGCGCCGGGCGATGATGAAGTCGTACCAGGAGAGCGGCGGCACCCATCTCTCGACGAACTGGGGCGAGGTCAGCAAGGCGCGCGTGGAGACGAAGCCGCCCGACGGCATGGAGGCGCGAAAGTGGTAGGCAGTCATCCATCCATCCAGTCACGCTTGTACAAATAGGCATTACAGAAGAAGGAGAAAGAGAAAGAGAGAGAGAGAAGCGAATTACTCGACTGCCATGGGTGCTGTGCCTTCAAAGGCAGCCTGCATCTCTTCGATGAGCTGGGCCATGTTGTTGTCCCTTGCGCGGGCCACGACGGCGATTCGGCCAAACATGGGCGCCTCAAAGTCCTTTGCCGCATCCTTGGGCGCCGGGAAGCGGAATGTGTGCGTGTGGGCCGCCCGGCGTGCGATGAGGGCGTCCTCGGGGTGGAATAGGCCCATCTCTTCGTCCTCGGTGCCCACGGCGCCCTTGGCAATCGTCTCGTTCTTGATGGCCTGCTTTGCCTGTGCCTTTCTCCGCTTGGCCCGCGTCGCGCCTGCGCTCCTTTTTCCACCTGCACCCTCTCCCCGCGCCCTGTCTCTGCCATTCTCTTCCTCGCCCTCGCCATCGTCATCATCGTCGTCGTCGTCAGAAAAGGCGTCCGAGGAAAAGACGCGGGAGAAAAAGACGAGGTGGGTGTACTCGCTGAGGTCCTTGGCCTGCGCCACCTCGTCCATGACCATGCGGTACAGCGGCGGGGCCGTCGCGGGGGGCAGGTTGATCATGCGCTCGTGCAGGACCAGCAGCGGTCTCGCCGACGCAGACGTAAAGAGGTCCTGCATCGCCTTGCTCTGTGGCAGTGACGACGACGACGAGGCGAGGCGCGCTTGAAAGTACTTGGTCAGCTCGCGGCCTGCTGCTGATGATGTCGCTTTCTGTTTGAGAGAAAAGCGGCCTCGTTAGCTAAGTAGATCTAAAGCATGTAGAGCAGGTAGAAACGCACCGAGAGATCAACAGCGCTGATAAAGGCAAACGGATCCATGTCCTCGTCGCCCTCGACCTTGATGACGGTGCCCAGGCTTGCCTCGGCGCTGGCGGCCATGTCGAGCACATGCTGCGCGAGGACAGAGAGATCAATGTCGCCCGAGGCGGCGTGGGTGTAGAAGAGCTGCTGGAGGAGGCGCTTGATGGCCTGAAAGTCAATCTCGGACGGCGCCTGGAAGTCAAAGTCGACGTTGATCACCGAGGGGTCGTACGACGACGACGAGTCGTCCGAGTCGGACCCGCCGCCGTCGTCGGCCGCCTTTCGCTTCGAAGCGTTGTTGCTCATCGTGGATGGAGTGAACTACTGACTGACCCCGGAAGAAGCTAAGAAGAAGAAGAAGCTGCAGCGAAAAAGAAAGAGAAAAGAAAAAAAAAAGTTACAGTCCACACGAAGAAATTCTCAAAGTGGAGGAAAGTCAAACGTGACGTGACTTGGAGTGTCTCACGACCCAAACACTGCTTCGTCGACAGGCGACCAGGAGACACAGGCAAGCACAAAGGGCACCGTGTGACGGACAGGCAAGGGCAATGGTGTGCAAGACGTGCGAAAAGAAGCTGGGAAAGGTGTCGGCAGCCGATCCATTTGTGAGTCGCCACTTTTAGCAGGGGTAGAGAGTGAAGGAGGGCTGACGCGCCGGTCCTGATCACAGCGCAATCGCAACACGCAAGGCGCCGTCGTCTCGTCCGGCCTGGGCAGCGCTGGGCCGTCGAGGGGCGGGCCCTCGGCCTCGTCGACGTCGTCGAGCAGCGTGCGAGACGTGGGCAAGAACAAGCTGCTCGGCGCAAAGAACTGGTACAGCCCCATGGCAGCCAGGGTGCGTCTCCTGTCTGGCCTCCGTCGCCTCTCCCTTTTCAATCTCTGCCCTTTGCTACATGACACGCATACTGATCGCTCCTCTTGTCCCTCCTTCCTCCAGTGCACGCTGTGTAAGGCCAATGTACAGCAGGACAAGGCCAAGTACTGCCAGCGTGAGTCGTGCGCCTTCCCTCTCTGCCCGCGCTGGGTTCTTAGGCGATGCTGACAGCAGCCGTGACAGAATGCGCCTTCAAAAAGGGCCTCTGCGCCATGTGCGGCAAGGCAGTCGTCGACGAAAAGGTCCGAAAGATGTCCAAGATGAGCAGCGCCTAGCCAGTCAGCCCCGCCCTCTTCCCTTTTCAGGCACGCATTGCTGTACTTGTATCGCCAATACCAATCCTCATTCGCCGTGTCTCCACTCCGACCCTTGACGCAGTCGCGGAGCTGGACGCAGCGCTGGGCGCGGAGCGGGCCAATGCAGACGCGATGATGAGACGAGACGAGGGTTATCAGATGTTAGCTGGCCGACGGCGGGGCTTCTGTCGTCTGCCAGGCGGGGAGAAGGCAGGGCGTAGAGGAAGAGGCAGACAGGAGCGGTCACCCTGGTACAGTCAGCGGCCGCTGACGTACATTCTTAACGGAGCTGGCCATCGTGCGAGAGGACAGGGGTCTATCCTTTGATCTCCGCAACCAGCGAAAGGCGACACATATCGTGAGGGCAATTGGTATCTTCGTTCTACAGACAGTGTTCGTAAGGGAGGACAAAGGGAGAGCGTAACCGTAACAAGAAAACAAAGGGATGCACACGCATAGTTGCAGTGGCGCAAGAGCCTCAGCACCAAAACAGAAATTGGGCCCGTCGCAGATCTATCGGGCAACAGGCAGAGTGAGGCAGCGTTACAGAGCGGTGCGTTCCTAGGCGGCTCCGAGAGCACCGGCGGCCCTTGCTGCTTTTTCACATAAGAGGCGGCCCGTGATTTCACCTCGCCTTTCCCGTCCCCATCGCCACTGCTGATTCTTGCTTGCCGCCCCATTCACCCCAAGCAGAGATGGTGCCACTGGATCAGCTGCCGGCACATTTTGATGTCAAAGTCGTGGGCAGCGGCCATGACCTGCCGTCCAAAGCGCACGTCGACTGGCTCGTCTGCCCCGAGCCATGTTCAGAAATGTCGTCGTCAGAGAACGAAGAAGACGACGTACGGTGCTGCTACGTCGGCGTGGGCGTGTCAGTCCGAGGCCGCTCGGTGCCCGATGCAATCGTGCTGTCGTATGCGAAACGCCTTCTCGTCATCCGCTTCAAGTCCATCTACACAAAGAAGAGGGCGAGCCTCGAGATGATGAGCCACGTCGCCCGCTTCCTCGCCGACTTGAGCCGACACACGCTGTCGTCGGCGGCCTCGTCGAGCGACTCACGGCAGCAGCAGCAGCAGCAGCAGGAGTACCGCGTCGTGCTGGTCTGCTTCCAGGGCGCCATCCTCGCGCTCCTCCTCTACCAGACGCTCAAGCTGCGCTTCAGCGTCGTCGACCTGTCCTGTCGCTCGTCAAAATCTTCAGAGTCGTCCGACTTCCAGCTGATCCAAGCCCGTCTCGGCATCGATGCTGCAGCAAAGCTGGGCCGTCTGCCGTATGAACGCTTTCTCGTCATCGATGCCGCACTCAACCTCAAGCAGCCCCTCCGAGGCTTTCTCGCCACCATGCGTCTGACCATCTCTGCGCACCTCGTCGCCCTGCACTACAGCAGGTGGTCCAGCACGGGCGTCGAGCTGGAGCCTTTTGCAGCGTCGCAGACCAACTACGAATCGGCAATCGTCTCGACGAGGTGCGTCGCACAGCAAGTGGTCGACCATCTCTCGACCTGCGCACAGGTCCACTCGGCCTTGCACCTCATGGCAGGCAAGACGCAGACGGCCAACCTGGCTATGGATGCCAATGGATCCAGCGTCGAGTATACCCACCAAGAGGGCCGGTCGTCCATCTGCGTGACCAACACCGACTTCCGGACAAAGCTGGGCACAAGCAGTCGGCAGGGGCTCAAGATCTCCACGCTGGACGGCGCGGTGCTGCGTGCCAAGACGACAAGGAGTGAAGGGAGGACGAGCACGCTGGACATTCACGGCGTCACGGCAGGCCTGGCCAACCTCAAGATTGCCTCGGTCGAGGTCATGGGCAGGCCTGATCGGGCGAGCGACTACAGCTCGATGGTGCGCCACTGGACGGACCTGCTGCGCGTCGTCGAGATCGGCCAGGACAGCCAGACGGGCGAGATGGTGCCCGTCGAGATGGCCAACAGCCTGTCAGGCCTTTGCGGCGCTCTGCTGTTCAACCACCGAGTGCCGCACTTTCATCCAAAACACAGCCCAAGCAGCATCCTCAGCTCGAACTCGAGCTCGAGCTCGCTTGCCGCAATTGCTTCCGACACTCTCAATGAGTCTCAGCGCTTGGCCGCGGAAGCCGTCTTTGCGCACCTGCCGTCGCACGACTGGCGCCAGTGTCCGCACGACCCCAGGATCCTGCTCGTCCACGGTCCACCGGGCACGGGCAAGACAAAGGTCATTGCAACCGTCTGCAAGCAGTTTGCCGTCCTCGCTGGCGGATCGCGGACCGACGAGGCCATCTACGCCGCCTGCCAGTCCAACACGGCCGTCAAGAACATCGGCGAGGCACTCGAGCGGGCCGGCGTCGACTTCAAGATTCTCGTCTCGCCAAACTTCTACGTCGACTGGCACGAGGATCTGTATGCGGCCATTAAGGCGCGCCTCCTCGTGACCGACCGGCTCATGGCGAGCCCGCAAGCATTTCGGGAGCAGCTAGGATCCAGCATGGTGATTCTCATGACCGTCTCTGGGCTCTCGGCTGCGCGATACACGACCTCGGTGCCCCTGTTTGAGGCAAAGAGGATGCGCATGCTCCTCGTCGATGAAGCCTCACAGATCCACCTGTCAGCCTATCCGCACATCCTCCGGCGCTTCGAAAACACACTGTCCAGAGTCGTCTTCTTTGGCGACGACGAGCAGCTGGCGCCCTTTGGGTCTGACGATGTTGCCCAGGCTGGCCAGAGCGTGTTTGAGCTCGAGCACCTCCGCGCGCACGCCCACCTGCTCGACACCTCGTACCGCCTGCCTCGCGGTCTGTGCGACTTTATCAGCGAGGCCGTGTACGGAGGCGAGCTCCACGCCGCGCAGACCGTCTCGAATCGAGCGCTGAGCGAGTGCGTGGCCTTTGTCGATGTCGATCGCGGTCGCCACGTCAAGGGACGCACGACACCGTCGCTCGTCAACACGCACGAGGCCGAGACCGTCGTTCGCCTCGTCCGCTACCTGCGCACCAAGGCGATTGGGTTCAAGGTCCTGACGGCCTACGACGCACAGCGGAACGAGATCGAGACGAGGCTCAAGAAGCAGGGATTGAGTGGGTCCGGCGATGTCGTCTTCAACATCGATGCGTTTCAGGGACAGGAGACAGACGTCGTCGTCGCCAGCCTGGTCCGCGACGGCATCGTCGCGACGACGCAGACGACCGAAAACCAAGCCAGGGCGACAGTGGGCTTTCTCAGGAACCAGCGGAGGACCAATGTGCTCCTGACGCGCTGCAAGCGCCTCGTCATTGTCGTCAGCTCAAAGAGGTTCGTCACGGGCGCCGCGCGCGGGACGCTGATTGGCAGGCTGGAGAGCCAAGCGAGCGAGCAGGACGGGGACATCTGGACGTCCGAGTCCGACGTCATGAATGGACGCTTCGAGAGACTCGATGAACTTCTGTCGATCGATTGATTGATTGATTGATTGAAGCCGAGCCGAGCCGTACGAGCAAGAGATGTTCGCTCAAGAGAGAAACATGAACAAGAGATGGAAGCCAGACGTGATCGACTACATCAACAGAGACATCGATACTATCGCAAGAATAGGCGGTGCACAGAGGTAGAAGGAGACATTGTCGTACTTTGTATTTAGAAGCCCATTTCGAGAAGAATGACGAGGCAGGCCAGCCGTCGGAGCTGCGCTTATGACACATCCGTGGTCACGCTCTTGAGGGTCGTGTAGTCATCGAGGCCCCACTTGCTGCCTTCTCTCCCGTAGCCGCTCTCCTTGACGCCGCCAAAGGCGCCCTCCGAGGCCGAGAGGATGCCCGTGTTGATGCCGACCATGCCCGACTCGAGGGCCTCGCTCATCCTCGTGGCCACGCGCAGGTCGGTGGTGAAGACGTAGGCGCCCAGGCCGACGGAGCTGTTGTTGGCCTCCTTGATGACCTCTTCCTCTGTGTTGAACTTGCGAATGGCGGCCACGGGTGCAAACGTCTCCTCGTGGCTGATGAGCATGTCGCTCTGCAGGTTCGTCAGCACGGTCGGCGGGTAGAAGAAGCCGTCGTCGGGGCCCAGGGGCGGGGCCTTGGCCGGGCCGTACTCGAGCTTGGCGCCCTTCTGCAGTGCGTCCTGCACGTGTAGGCGGGCCTTGTCGACGGCCCGCTCGTGGATCAGGGGCCCCATCATGGTACCGGCGGCATAGCCGTCGCCCTGCTTCATGGTGCTGAGCTTGGCAATGAAGCGCTTGACAAACTCGTCGTGGATGCCGCTCTGGACAAAGATGCGGTTCGCTGCGACGCACGTCTGTCCGGCATTCCGTGTCTTGGACGTGATGACCGACTGAGACGATTGCAATCGTCAGTCTTCGTGAGTCAAGCAGGACAGGAGAGGAAAAGAATCTCACCGTCACGGCCTTTTCAATGTCGCAGCTGTCAAAGACAATCGTGGCAGCATTCTAGAGAAGTCCAGATGATAAGCGTCGCAGCTTCAAGAGCTAAGAAAACGACAACTCACTCCGCCGCACTCCATCGAGAGCTTCTTGAGCCCGTCTGCACTGTAGCGAGCCAGGAGCTTGCCCACGCGAGTCGAGCCGGTGAAAGTGACCTTGCGGATGTGCTCATTGCGACAGAGGGCCTCGCCCACCTCTGCCGTACGGTCCAGGCAGGTGACGACGGAGAGCACGCCAGGCGGGTAGCCGCTCCTCGTCGCAATCTCTGCCATGGCCAGCGTCGACAGTGGCGACTCTCCCGCCGGCTTGGCAACGACGGTGCAACCGGCCGCGAGGGCTGCTCCGACCTTTCTGGCAAGCATGGCCAGGGGCAGATTCCACGGGCACATGGCGGCCACGGGCCCAACGGCCTGCTTCATCGTGTGTATCCGCATGACCGGGTTCGCCGCGGGGATCGTGTCGCCGTACATCCTCTCTGCCTCGCCGGCAAACCAGTCAAAGAAGGACGAGGCGTAGGTGATCTCGGCCTCGGCCTCGGCCTTTGTCTTGCCGATTTCCTTGATCAGCAGGTGCACCAGGTCGGCACGGTTGGCGTTGAAGGCCTCGTCAAACTTGCGCAGCATCTTTGCCCGCTCCCGCCCCGTCTTGCGACTGAAAGCGGGAAAGGCCGCGTGGGCGGCTGCGCAGGCCTCATCGACGTCCTCCTTGCCCATCTCGGGGCAGGTGCCGATGATCTTGCGGGTAAAGGGGTCTGCCGCCGATTGTCAGCATCGTGCCTTCTGGCTATTCCTGGACTGTACCGAGCGGTCCATTTCGGAACAGAGGACTCACCCACGACGTCAAAGGTCTTGCCGTTCTTGGCGGTGACCCATTTGCCGTTGATGTACGCCTTGCCAGGCTCATACAGCGAAGGGTCCTTGAGCTTGTCGCGGGCTAGATCCGTCATTTTCGTGATCGTGTTCGTCGTCGGTGCACAGGGGTAGGAGCTAGTGGTGAGGCAAACGCTTGAAAGCAACACCTTCCACTTTTAAAAAGTCAGGATGCCGCACCCGCTCCAAGTGATGCCGGCCTCTCGCCCTATGGTCATGTGTTCCCCACACAGTGCTCCACATGCGCTCCACACAAATCGCACTCGCCTTTCTTCCGAGCGCCTAGTTCATGCATGCAGCCTGGCCTTAATTTTTCCATCTCTTCGGACTTTGTCGCTCGATCGGTATTGGTAGCAGGTCAACTTGTCACTGCTTACTCCTCATCAAAGACCGAGGAGAGACTTTGCTTTCGACCTAAAAGTGCTCTGAATCTACAAATTGTGATGCTGTCATATGAGTTCGCGGCTTCCGTTTCTCCTGACATCTTGGTCACTATACGGTACTGACAGGGTTCCTCACCACCTCGAGCACAAGGCCGGTCAGCGGGCATGTCAGACAGATCGGATAAGGAAGAATATTTCCATGTATTAGAGCGCAGACAGTTTGCTCATACGCCAAATTCCTTGCGATGGTCCAACCACCACCTGAGGCCTTCTTCTCTTGTGCTGGCATCCAGACCACCGAGCGCATCAAACGTCCTCTCGCACAGTTCTCTCCTTGTCTCCTCGCCTGTGCTTCTCCCTTCGTCTTGAGCCTGCTTCTTCTTCTTCTTGTTTTGCTCCTGCTCTTCTTCCACCACCGGCGGCTTCGCCACGCTGCCGTACGCAGGCGCATCCACGATGAGTCTCCTGACGCGGTCGAGCATCGAGCGGAGCAGGACGAGATTGACGTTGGGCAGCTGTGCAATGAAGCACCTCGCGAGCCCGAGCCGGCCCTCCTCGCTCAGTCCGCCCTCAACTGCTGTCGCTGCTGAGACCAGAGACGATGCTGCATATTGGGCCATTCTTGCCTGCCCTATCCTCGTCCAGAGCAGGTCGACGACGAGCCAGGCAAGACCGTCGTCGATGTCCGAAACCGCGTCGACCATTGTCGAGTACGCATGGACGAGCTGGCCCTCGTTGAGCTTCTCGGCCCCAAAGCCATCGAGGAGCAAGCGTGCATAAAAGGGCGCGAGATCCTTGACGGCGCGCTTGCTACTCGCAAAGACACTGAGCAGGACCGAGTGGGCCGACTCAAAGGCATCCTTGTTCGCGGCCTCGTTCGAGGCGCGATCGACGAGGTAAGGACGACAGATGGGGAGCAGCTCGCCTTCAATGACTTCGTCAGAGAGCGAAGGGATGAGCTGCTCGACGACGTCCATGTAGTACGTCGCCTTGGCCCGCCGTGCCCGGTTGGCCTCGAGCGTGCCCGGTGCGTCGGGCCGGATGAAGTCGAGCAGTGCGAGTGAGGCTTCGCCGTCTCGGCCAATGACGTCCAAAGCCTCGAAAAAGACGCGGCGGTAGGCTTCGAATGTCGAGCTGCCAAACGACGAGGTGATCCAAGACAAGCGCGAGTAGGTAATGAGAATCGTCGACGTGACTTCCAGCAGGGGCAGGGGTATATTGGATGTCGATGTCGCAGGCCACTTCTGTCCCTCTTGTGGCGGTGTCGATGCATCGATCGGCGTCGTGATTGTCGGGCTGGGGCACACATCGACAACAGCCTCCATGAGGGCGTCAAAGATCATGGTAAAGCTGAACAGCATTGTCTTGAACACACTCCACATTTCCGTCGTCCGCGGCCGAGCATCGGGTGCTAAGAAGCGACGAACGTCAGCCCTGGGGTTTCCATCGCAATGATCTGTTCTGATTTCCTGCTTACCAATCTGATCCTCTGTCAGGCCAGAGAGCCGGCTGCTGAGCCACTGAGACTGCCATCTGCCTGCGATGCTCTTCATCCGCGTCGCCATGGCTGGGCCATTTTCGCCGTCTTCCGCAAAGAGAATGTCGTGGAGACCAGCAGAAGGAAGGGATCGGACGACGGATGACAGGCTGAGGGACAGCATCCTCGACAGCGGGCCCAGGAGCGAGAAGAGCGGGTGTCTCGTCATCATGCCGCTCCGCTCTACTGTCTTTGCTGCATCTCGCAAGCCCACGAGGCCGTCGCTGCCCTGGACCAGATCCTCGCGGATCGAGTCGAGCAGATGGCTCTCCTCAAAGAGACCCAGGACGACGTCGGACATGACACCGACGAGAGGCTCGGACGCAAGCGCCTCGAGCTTCTTCTGTGGAATGAGCGGAGCGACCTGTGCAGCCAAAAAGAGCGTCGCCACCTCTGTGCGGTCCTCGTCCGACGACGGATGCGCCCCCATGCGCTTCTTGAATTCGAGCTCCCACTCGTCTGTCTCGTCCTGCGTCGACGACCGCTTGGCCGCGAGAGGCTCCAGACACTCGGCCAGCGCGACACACCACTCGTCCTCGGCCCTTGAAAGTGCGTAGCCGACACTCATGCCGCGGCCTTCCTCCCTCCGGCGCTGGGCGCGTGCGGCCTGCAGGCCAGCGACGAGGCCCGTGTGGATCGCAAGGCCGGGCAGGGGCACCTCGTCGAAGCGCTTGGGAATCGCGTCGGCGTCGAGGTGCACCGCATCGGCCAGCGCACGCAGCCACGAGATCAGGCCGCGACGAGAGGTCCACCCAACGGAGCCGACGCGCTCATTGACAATGGCCTGAATCCGGCCAAGGACGGCACGGGCGCACGCCTCGTAAACAAGCCGTGCCCGCTCCAGCACCTTGACTCTGTCGTCGCCGCCGCTCCACAGCGCCGGACTGGAAGCAATCGAACGTGCAAATTTGGCGGCCTCGTCTGTCGGGAGCGTTGCGAGGTAGTGGGTGATGGACGATGAGAGGCTGGATGGCGGCAGCAGCGCAAGGTGTTCGGATGCCGACGAGGCGCCCGACGCGAGCAGCGCCGAGAGCGACGCATACATCGAGTCAGGCTTTTGCATCTTCAAAGTCGATGCCGTAGAAGCGGCAGAGGACGTCGACGTCGACATGCTGCCTGTCCTACGCTGGTCGCCGTCGTCGTCGTCGTCGTGTGCCGTCTGTCGTCTAAGCGTGGAGACAGTCAGTCAGTCACGGCTGAGGCCATTTCCGAAAGCCGGAAAATCACGTGGCTCGCGACGCCAGTGGAGACGGGGCCCATCTTTTTCTCTTCGCGACGACGGCATCAGCAACAACGACAGCGACGACGACTGGCCCCCAGTCCTGCATCCACCATGTCCTACAACGGCATCGGCCTGCCGACGGCTCGAGGAACGTGAGTGGTGCTCTGTTCCGGTTGCAGTGGATAAATAAGTGACTGACTGACAAGGTAACCATTCAACAGCGGGACAAACGGCTACATCCAAAAGAACCTCTCGCACGTCCGGCCTCGTGATGACTACCGATCCAAGAAGACCGACAGCTGGCGGGACGACAAGGCCAAGCAGCGGGAACCGGATGCAGGTATTCTCGAGCATGAGCGGAAGCGCAAGGTCGAGGTTGGCTGCATGGAGCTGAGGATCAAGCTCGAGGATGAAGGGTGCGTCCAAATCTCACGTCGACTCTACACGCGAGCTTACGCTGTCTCTTTCTATAACAGATTCGGCGACGCTGAGATTGAAGAACAGGTCCAGGAACTGAGAAAGACGCTGCTCGCCCAGTTCGAGAGGCAGCCAGCAATCTTTGGTGGACCGACGAGGCAAGAGACAAAGGCGCTGCGTCCCTCAGATGTACATGCACTGGGCGCCGCCAAGCGCGCCGAGACGGAGAGCATGCAACGTGCGCTGGGCATCAGAGAAGGGTACCGCGAAGGCGATGCATTCGATCGCGATCTGCAGGAGAAGCTCAAGCAGGAGCGCATCGAGGAGCGCAAGCGGCGGGATCAGGAGCGCGAGGAGGCGAGAAGGGAGAGGGAGGTGGCCTGGAAGCGGCGCAAGGAAGAGCAGGAACAGGAGCAGAAGGATAGGGCGAGGGCAAAGGAAAAGGAGAGGGAGCGGCCAGCAAGAGAGGAGGGCAGACCCTCGAGGTCGCCACCTCCCCGACGCCGCGCGCCTCGCGATGACAGTCTGTCGCCCAGCCCTCCTGCGAGAGGGGCCAAGCGAGGTCGGTACAGCCCGGCGAAGAGCGACGAGGAGGAAGAGGGTGGAAGAGCTCGTAGAATAAGGTCGCCGTCGTTCAGTCGCAGCCCCAGCCCGCCACCGCGTCGGCGCCGGCGAGGAAGCTCAGTCGACAGCCGGAGCCCCTCGCCCCCACCGCGAAGGCAACGTCGGCGCTCTCCCTCTGCCGACAGCATGACTCCACCGACTCGCAGCCGGCGTCGCTCGCCCTCGGACAGTGTTTCCCCAGCTCCACGTGCTCGACGACGTCGCTCCCCGTCGTCGGGAAGTGTGTCGCCACCGCCAAGACGCCGGCGACGTTCGCCTTCGGCGAGCCTCACGCCCCCTCCGCGCAGTCGAAAGGAGACAAGTCGCTCACCATCGCCGACTCCACGACGAGCTGCGCCCAGGGACAGCCCATCTCCCTCGGTATCTGAAGCCGACGATGATCGCCGCCGAAGCCCCGTGCCCGAGGAGCCGGAACGCCGCGGCCCTCCGCCTGGCCCTCCGCCTGGTCCTCCGCCGCGCCGCCCAGATCTCGCCTGAGAAGGAGAGGGTCGCTCAAGCCACAAAACTCTACTTGTTCCCTAAGCCATGTCTCCTGCGCTCAATCAATCATTGTTTTTTTTTCTTGGCATTCATCTCTAAGAGGCCGTACCCTGTCTGTCGACTCGTTTTCCAAGGCAAAGCAGCGAACGACAAGAGATGAAGATTCAAGAAAGCCTTAAATTTTGGATCTTCTAATTGCCGGCGAAGCCTGCCGTCGTTTCGCGTTCCCGCGCGCTCTGCAGCGCTCTGTACACTGACGTAGGACCTTTCAAGATCTAAAACCATGGCAGTCTCAGTCTCCTTACGTGCGGCTAATAACGGTAGAAAATAAAGAAAGCGCTGATCCTCCCCACACACACACACAAGTGCGCGCACCTAGCCTTTTCCACACCACCATTGCCACGAACGAGAGATAGAACGCAAGCGACGATGCGACTTACCTACCCAGCGCTGACACTCACGGCCGCCGGCCTCGCCGCCGCGCAGCTCACCTCGCTGAACCCATCGCAGAGCTCCGTGGCTGCGTCCCTCTCGAGCAAGTACTATCTCCCGCCCATTACCGACAGCTTCTCCTCGTGAGTGCTCCCCTCTCTTCTTTCCTCTCTCTCGCTGCTATTCTTTCCTGGTCAGACTCCAGCAGAACTAACACCGCGGAGCACAGTGTCGTGCCGACAACTACATCGTCGAGCGAAGGCGGCAGCAGCAGCACGAGCGAAGGCGCCGCGGGCTCGTCGTCTACCGCAGTGACGTCCTCCACTACCTCCTCTCCCACCACCTCTTCCACCTCCTCGTCTTCTACCTCATCCTCATCAAGCTCAAGCTCGAGCTCCTCCTCGTCAAGCCCCGCCAGCTCCTCCAGCGGCTCGCCCGACGGCGCCGCACGGCTGCTCACGCACGCGGGGCTCGGCTACACGGCTTACTTTGCCGCCGCTGCCGCCGCCCTCGTCGGCGGCGGCGCCGTCCTCTTATAGCGCCCTAACCCCCCACCTTCTCTCGATCACTACCTCTCTCTCTCATCTCTTGCCGTGCACCACTGCTGTGGTGCATAGTTGTCCCCTTCTTGCTTCCTTCTTGTACCAAAGAGACACCTTCATCAACCTGCCCTCCGTCATCCCCTCTTTTACCATTCAAATTTGCACGGAATGCATGCATTCGTCGTTCTCTCCTTTTCAACAGAAGCATGCCGTCTCTCCACCACGCCCAGTGCCGTCCAGAGACAGCCCTGCCAAGGTCCATTCGCTCTGCTCTGCGCTGCTCTGCGATGCTCTGCGTGATTGTGTTTGTGTCTGTATGATTATATTCAATTGCAGAAAAAGTGAGCGGCCGAGGCCGATGAAAACGGGAGCGAGCGAGTGTGGATGCCCGAGGATGGACACGAGATGGGACAGGGCGAGAGGCAGGCCAGAAAAATGGGGGTGGGAATACGACTGTCGAGGGCGAGGGGACGGAACGAAAAGAGTCCCCTGTGTGAGATGAGACGACAATGGAGCGCTCAGCAGCTGCATCCGTTCTGCGTCGTGTCGCTGTCGATTCTGATCGGGTCAGGGTAGTCGGCGTACCTAAGTAGGAGGAAGCACCAAGTCAGCATGCGTGCTCGCTCTCTCCACACTCCACACTCACATCTCGGCCTCAGCCTCCTGCTGGAGGGCATTCTTTGCAATCGTCTGGAAAGCCTGCTCGACGTTGATGGCCTCTTTTGAGCTCGTCTCAAAGTACGGGATATTTCCCTTGCTCTGGCACCACGTCATGGCCCGCTTCTGCGACACCATGCGCTTCGACTCCTCGACGTCAATCTTGTTGCCCAGGACAACAAAGGGGAAGTTTTCCGGGTCATGCGGGCTGGCCTGAATGAGGAACTCGTCGCGCCACGAGTCGAGCGTCTCAAACGACTTTGCGCTGTTGACGTCGTACACGAGCACGCAGCAGTCGGCGCCGCGGTAGAAGGCCACGCCGAGCGACTGGAAGCGCTCCTGTCCTGCCGTGTCCCAGAGCTGGTATCGAGATTCAGCGTTCATCTTTTCGGACAATTTCGACCGCTGCACTCAAGGGTGGCAAGACGCACCTGCATTGTCACGAGTCGGTCATCGACCATGACTTCTCTTGTGAGAAAGTCGGCCCCAATCGTGGCCTTGTATGCCGAAGAGAAGCGCTTGTTGACATCTGGAGGAGGAAAGCAACAGCAATGTCAGCCACCCGGCTCGCCCGACGGCCACAGTGAAGAGGCAGGGGGTCACCCACATTGGTTCATGAGCGAAGTCTTGCCGACACTGCATCACCCCTCACAACGTCAGCCTTCCTGGTTCTGGAGCGCGTGTCCGTCTCGAGCTGCGCCACCGAACTCACCCCGAGTCACCAAGGATCTGTCGTCGGAAGACAGAGACGCGGTCTGGTGGTCAGCATCGGAGCAAGGTAATTTCGCATACATTCGGCCGTATCGGAACTCACGATGACCTGCAAGGAAAGCATTAGATACGTCAGTACAGCAAGTTCTAGAGCACGACAGACGCCCAATGGCAGGGTCGCATCTCACCTTGAGAAGGACCTTCTTTCGTGTAGCCATTGTCAGTCGGTCGCAACGCTCAACGCCACTGCCAAGGTCTTATCGGTCGGGGTGTCCGGAGGGGAAAGGGGGGCACCGTCCTATGTGGGCCCAGGTATCGAATTAGGTGTGTGTATGTGTGTGGGACGAGGAACAGCCCGCTCTTGGTGGATAGGAAAGAAACAAAGGACAAAGAGAAAAGTGGAAGCTACCGAAGTCGAGGAGAAGGCGCTCGAGGTTCGGTGGAGTGTTGTTTGTCGAAAGAGGCAATCAGCCAGGAGGGGGGGCTGGACTTTGGGAATACCGCGCGATCAAGTTTCTTTTTCCCACGTGGCTTCTAACCTCCTCATCGTTGTCGTCATCATCCGGGGACCGTGATCCGTGCTCGGTGCTACTTCTTATTCAATCACGATCATTCGCAAATGTATGTAGGCAGGACATCAAGGACAAGGAGACATCGTAAATGACTTGGCGAGAGAGAACATCAACAGAAAGGTATTGCGCATGACAAGTAAGATTGCTAAAGTTTACGGTGCCGCATCCTTGGTCATTGTCGAGACTGGGTGGCGGTCCTTGTCGTCAGCACTCCCTCCCTTGGAAGATCCGCCATCGGCTGTATAGTCGAGCATGTTCTCGCCGTCTGCCGCGAGCTGGTGCTCAATGACGCGCTCCTCCTGCTCGACCTTCTGGCGCTGCTCAGAGGCATCGATGGTGCCAAAGAGGACGTCCATCTCCTCGAGACTCTTGCCCTTTGTCTCGGGCAGGAGGTAGGAAAAGACAATCATGACCATGTTGATGCTGGCGAAAAAGATGAAGAGCTTCCAGCCGAGCGCCGTCACCATCCGTGGCGTGGCCTGCGACAGGGAAAAGTTAAAGAGCCACTGGGTGGCCGAGGCAAACGCGACACCGTGGGCCCTGGTACGGTTGTTGAAGATCTCTGAGACGACGACCCAAGGCACGGGGCCCCATCCAAACGAGTAGGCGATACAGTAGATGTAGAGGAGCCCAGCCATGCCCTTGCTTGCCGATGAAGGGCTCGTGGCGTTGACATCGGGCGGGTAGGTCTTGAGGAGCGCACCGAGGATGTAGAAGAGGATGCCCATGCCTGCAGCCGAGCCAAGGAGGGACCAGCGTCGGCCGAAGCGTTCGATGCCGAAGCTGACGCTGACGAGCGTGGCGACAAATTTGACGACGCCGTAGACGCCCGTGGCGAGGAGCGCGGGTGTGGTACCGTTGTAGCCGATGGACTGGAAGATCTGGGGACCAAAGTAGCTGTTTCCAAGTGCACGGTAAGCTTTTCCGTGCAAGGAGAGAACTGTAAGGACAATTGCAGTGACTCACTTGACCGAGTTCTGGCCGGCCCATTGCTGGAAGACAAAGAGGCCAAAGGCAATGAGGAAGCGGATGGGGGTGCCCTTTTGCTTGAGGGCCTGGAAGAGGGTGAAGCGGCCTTCGATTTCCTCCTTGGCCGATGCCTCGATCTCGGCAAACTCGAGGATGACTTCATCGTCGTGGACGGGCTTGCGGCGGAGGAAGGCGAGGTTCTTGAGCGACTGCTCACGCTTGCCCTTGCGTGCGAGCCAGCGGGGCGACTCCTTGACAAAGATGAGGCCGATGGCCATGAGGCCCGAGGGAACCAGCTGGAGGCCAAAGGGGACACGGTGGATGCGCGGGTCGGACTGAGCAATGTGCTTGGAGACTCCGTAGTTTGTAAAGTAGCTCAGCAGCACGCCCAGCGCGACGACGATCTAGCGGAGGCAGAAAGAGGAAGTGGTCATGAGCTTGTGAATGTGTGTGTGTTTGAAAGAGAGAGAAAGGTCAGACCCACCTGGAAGAGACCGGTGATGCGACCACGAGCGTTGGCGGGCGAGCACTCGGCGACAAAGCCAGGTGCAATGGACGAGACACCACCGACGCCGAAACCAGCAATGGCGCGGCCGGCATAGATGAGGGCGAGAGAGCCGCTGGCGGGGATCGTCTGGAGCACCGAGCCGAGGACTGTAGTAAATTTACAGTGTCAGCTGAGGAAGACTTGGTAGGGAGAAGAGAGACGCACAGATGAAGGCGTTGAAGATGAACAGACTCCACCGTCGACCGAGACGGTCGTTGACGAACCAGGCGCAGAGCGAAGCGAAGAAGGCACCGGCTTGAAGAACCGAGACGACGTTGGCCGAGACGGCATCGTGTGCCTTTTTCGTGTTGGGGACGCGAAAGGCGGTGCGGAAGCCTGGCTGACTGACGACGCCACCTGCTACGCCCGTCTCCCTGTGTGTGCAAAAGAAAGACGTGTCAGGGCCGGATGCAAGTGCAAGAGAAGCGTAAGAGACGCACCAGCCAAAGAGAAAGATGCCGCAGCTGTTGAGGGCGGTGTGAGCGACGGGAGGGGACGGAGGTATTATGCGAGGGCTTTGCTACTCACTAGGCGACGAGGGCTAAGAAGTACACATGAAGGTTGATGAACGTTGGTGCGGACGCCATGGTGCGGTGGTGCGTGCGTGCGACACGTCGAGTTGAGGAGAGTAAGAGAAGGAGGAAGGGAGGGGCGGAGATGGGTAAAGGAAAGGGGGAAATTGGGCGGCCGTTACGGCGCGGTCATGCCATAAATGCGATTGAGCGTTGCGGTCAAAGTGGGGGGAGAAAGTGTGGACGACTACTCAAAGGGAACAAAGAGCGGGGGAAGGCGAAGGAGAGCCACAGGAACAAGGCGGGGGAGAGGGTCGTGGTAGCTGATGCGGGGAAAGAAGTGGCTGGGAACCTGGGGAATCGCATTCAGGCAAGGGTAAAGTAAAAAGAAAGCTGATTCGTTAAGCTTCGACAAAGTCTTTCTAGGTAGGTACAACTACTGTACAGAACCATAGTTACAAAGTGGGCGAAGGGCCGGCGAGAAAGCACTGTTCCTGGGCAGAGCCAGCCGTCCACGTCGTCGTTTCTCGAATTAATTCTCCCCATTTTTTATTTTTTATTGTAGTGGGGCCAAGTATTGTCTAGGTCAGCACGGCTCAGAATGCCCCCCACGCGGACCATCAACGAAGACATCGTACCCCCACCGCCATCGTCGTTGGAGGTGCGAGTGCAGCTCGAGGCCAGCACTGGGGGGATAAATGGTGCCAGCTCTTGCGTTCAGCCACAACAAAGGTAACGACGATGCCTGTCCCACTTGCTGACATCTGCCACTCGAGCGATCCCGCCACTCGTGCGGGCTGCTTCAAGCTAGCAGCAGCCCTCATCGCGGCCCTGCTGCCCCGCCTCTCGCCCGGCCGCGCGCGGCTGCTTCTGGGTAACACGGGTGAGTCCATGGGCGGCCCCGTGTAGGCAAAGGGGGAAAAAAAAATGCAAGGAGACTGACGCTCCAGGACAGGCACCCACTATGACGAGACGGCCGCTGAGCTCGAGGGCTACTCGCGCGCACTCTGGGGCGTCGTGCCGCTCCTGGCCGGCCACCGCGCCGAGACGAGCGGCGTCGACGCGGCCCTCATCGCCCAGATCGAGTGCGCCTGGAGGGACGGCCTCATCAATGGCACCGACCCAGCCCACGCAGAGTACTGGGGCGCCGTGCGCGACCGTGATCAGCGTTGAGTGTCCCCCTCGATCTCCATTCAATGTAGTGGCAGTCCGGCTGATTCTCCCACAGGCATGGTCGAGATGTGTGCCATCGGCTTTGCCCTGACGAAGCTCCCTGGCGTCTTCTGGGAGCCCCTCACTTCGCAGCAGCGCGAAAATGTCGCGCGCTGGCTGGGCGACATCAACGGACGCGAAATGCCACGGACAAATTGGCGCTGGTTCCGCGTGATGGCCAACATCGGCCTGCGCACCGTGGGCGCGTCGACGTACAGCGCCGAGGTGCTGTATGCGGACCTCGACTTCATGGACACCTTCCACGTAGAGCGTGGCTGGAATGCAGACGGTCCTGTCGAAGAAGGTGTCAAGCAGATGGACTACTACAGCGCCTCCTTTGCACTTCAGTTCGCCCCCCTGCTGTACGTGTGCGACGAGGTGGCGCAGCGCGACGACGCGGCCCGCTGCCAGCGCTTCCGAAAGCGCGCGGCCCAATTTGCAGAGTAAGTCTCCCGTCTCCCCTCTTTCTCACTGTCATCCCGCGGGGCATGTGTGGACGAAGAGCAACTCATCGGCTTCCTTTCTCCACACGCACACAGAGACTTTGTCTGCTGGTTTGATGACGCGGGCCGCGCCGTGCCGTTTGGGCGATCCATGACCTACCGCTTCGCCATGGTCGCCTACTGGCCCGCACTGGCCTATGCCGGCCTCACCGATGCCGCCGCCAAGCCGCTCAACAACGCCGGCGTCACCAAGGGCATCTGGGCCCGCAACATCCGCTGGTTCATCGGCCAGCGCGGTGTCCTCCGCGACGATGGCACCTTCTCAATCGGCTACACGTACGAGAACCTGTTCCTGACGGAGAATTACAACTCGCCCGGCTCGCCCTACTGGGCCTTTCTCGCCCTTCTGCCCCTCGCCTTGCCCTCGACTCACGCCTGGTGGCGCAGCGAGGAAAAAGCACTGCCGAGCAGTGAGCTGCCGTCGATCAAGGCACTCAAGCCGCCGGGTCACATTGCCATCCGCCACGGTGGAAATCATGCCTACGTCCTCTCGGCGGGTCAGCAGCCCGCCTACAGGATGCGCCACGGCGCGCAAAAGTGTGCGTGTGCCTTCCGTCTCCTCTCGCTCTCTTCTCACCCACTGACGCAGGCACCCATTTTCCCCCTCCGCCCCCGCAGACTGCAAGCTGGCGTACTCGTCTGCCTTTGGCTACAGCGTGCCCACGGGTGCATCGGGTGACGAGCAGCACGCACTCGACAGCACCTTTGCTCTCTCCGACGACGGTGGTGAGACGTTCAAGGTGCCCCGCCAGCTGCGCTCTGCACACCTCGACGAGGCGCGTGGCTGCCTCACCTCGTCGTGGATGCCCTGGCCGGGCGTCCTCGTCGAGACGTGGCTCGTCGCACCCGCGCCCTCGTCACTCGCCTGGCACGTCCGTGCCCATCGCGTTACCGTGACGGACGCGGCGGCAAAGACGACGGTGCCCGCCGCGCTGCTCATCTCTGACGGCAGCTTCGCCGTCTCTGACCGCGCACAGCAGGGCGAGAAGAGGAGGCTCGAGCAGCGCGACCAGGTGGGCGCCGACAGCATTTACACGTCCTCCTCGACGGCCTTTGTCGCTTCTCACAAAGGCGCCGTCGGCATCCGCGACATCACGCTCGGAAGCGCCTCTGAGAGCGACAAGCAGCGCACGCAGGGCGTCGTCGTCCCCGTCGATGCCTCCTCCAACATCATTGCCCCACGCACGAGCGTCGCCTGCCTGCAGAAGACTCTCGCGCGCGCTCCCGGCGCCCGCCACATCCTCGTCTCGGCCGTCTTTGCCATGGTGCCGCGTGACGACACCGTGGGCCTATCCACCGATGAGATTCGTAAGGCATGGGAGGTAGACGTAGAAGTGCCCAAGTGGCTCGAGGAGGCCCTTTCGGCCTGAGATGTCCTTGATTGCTCTGCATCAATACATGACAGGTCAACCGGATGTACACCTTTCTTTATCATCTGTTCCTGCGCCAATCCTATCACCACTTTGCCAAGACCCCGACGGTATTAACTTGTTCCGTCTATCTGTGTGCGTCGGCCGTCTGTGCGCGAGCCAGTCTGTGCGTTTATCTGTGCGTGCAAGGGGGGAGGAGGAGCTAAACGCGACGAGCCTAATAACTACTAACTGCACACTACTGTACGCGTGTTGATCCTCCTCCAAAGCTAGATCGTTTGTCGACTAGCAAGTGGCTCCTTTTCGTCCAGTAAGCAGCGCGCCACGGGACCGGGATCCGATTCGCGGGTAAACAGGCCAGTCTAGGACTCTGGCCTTGGCCACAGACACCCTGGAATACTCGTCAGTCCCACGCAAGAGAAGTCGGCAGATGGAAGGAATGCACTACAGCTGTAGTAGTAGTAGCAGCACTGCTACTACTACTACACGTACTGCTAATGCCAGCTATTGATTTTAGCGTGTAGAAGTTTAGATCTAGACTGCCTTTCTGCAGGCAATACAGTGGTACCCTGAAATACTTGTTGATATGCTTACTTACTAAAGCTCAATCATCGGGACTGAAGGGGCAGGAAAGCAGAGGACCTGCTGATGAAGCTAATCGGAAGGCAATAGTACCAAGACACATTGACACTTTACTATTCTCTATTCTCCCTTTTCTTTTCCCCCTTTTTTGTTGTTTGCAACAAGATTCGAGGGTTCCTGCCTGGGAGCGCAAGTCCGTCGACCCCCGGAGGTGGGAGTCCAGTCTCTCGGAGATCCCGCTTGCAGAGACTGACTATATGCCATCATGCCATTTCTGCCTTCGCTGAGAAGGGGGAAGCCTGGGAAGAGAGCGCGAGAGCGTGTTGATGGACTAAGCTGGGCTGATATACCTGTGTGACTCTCCTTTACTCCTCCTTGACCTTTTCCCCCTCCTCGGCATCACCATAGCCTTGATCATTGCCGTCGTCTAGACGGGCTTGCTCTCTGTGCGCCTTTGACAAGAGAGCAAATAGAGGTGCGTCGGATGTGTCGTTGACCGAAATCCGTCGACGGAGGTGCGTGCTCTGCGCACGCATACATTGAAAGTGGGAGTCCGAAGGCGGCAGGAGAAGTAAAAGGGTTCTTTCCCCTTTCTCTGCCGTGGATGTGCCGCTGGGCTGGCTTGGTCGAGCTAGCAAGTAGGCTGAGCTGACACTTTTTGCTATTGCTGCCCAACAGCGTCTTTAAAAGGAATAGAGCGAAGCGGGAAGGCAGTCCGTCAAAGACACTGCACAAGCACCGCTGCGGTCTCCAATTTGACGGTGACTCTACCAACTGGTCGTCTCGCCGCCGATTGAGATGTCCAACGCGCGCTACCAGAGTGTCCCGAATCCCAGCAGTGGCACCAGCAACAACATCAACAACAACATCAACAACAACAACAACAACAATTACAACAACAACAGCAGCACCATCATGGCGAGCTCGGCTTACAACGGTGGCCGCTATGGAGTGGCCCAACCGAGAGGAGGCTACTCGTCGAGAACAGCGCAGCCATCGCCCCAAGGCGGCAGTGCGGGATCCTCGAGCGGCGGCAGTGCCGAGTCCATGACGGGTCTCAGGAGAGCCACCGCTGGCGAGGAGTTCGAAGAGAATGGAGAGTATGGTCCTTACTCTCACATCAAGAAGGGCAGCATGGGTCGAATTGGTCAGCGTCGAGGTGAAGGAGGTGGGCGAGGCGGAAAATGGGGTGGCGGCAAGGTGGCGGCGAGCGGTGCCGCTGCTGCAACAGCCGGCATGGGAACGTCGAACTATGGCGGCCGCAATGGGGGACCAGGCCCTGCGGCGAACCTGTTTTCCAGCTCCAAGGAGGACATCGAAGCCGACGACTTTCTCCACGATCCCAACTACAAGCGGCGCGAGGATGGATGCGTGTTCTGGTCTCCCCGTGGCTTCCTCAACGTGATATCCGTCATCATCCTCGTTTGCGGGCTACTCGCTCTCTTTGCGGGCTATCCCATCATCTCCTACCTGACGCGACGGCACGGCGACAAGATGGGCGGCTTCAACCTCGGGGGAACAAACGGGACGGGCCAGGTGCCCGTCATCTCGCAGCTCCTCGGTCTGCAGGACAGAGACACACCGTCGAGCGCGAGAACGTGGACTTCTGCCACGGGGACGAAGTACAATCTCGTGTTCAGCGACGAGTTCAACGAGGAAGGAAGGACGTTCTGGCCGGGCGACGACCCCTTTTGGGAGGCTCAGGACCTCTGGTACGGTGCCACGGGCGATCTCGAATGGTACACGCCCGAAGCCGTCAACACGACGAATGGCGCACTGCAAATCACCATGACCGACATTCCTGCACACAATCTCAACTTCCAGTCGGGCATGGTGCAGAGCTGGAACAAGTTCTGCTTCCAGGGTGGCTATATGTGCGTTTGTCCTGCATTCTTCCTCCTTTTATTTTCTCGCAGGCTGACGGAGTCACGGTAAATCTCCTCTCCACAGTGAGTTCAACGCCGTCCTGCCAGGAAGCATGCAGGAAACGGGTTACTGGCCCGGTCTCTGGCTTCAGGGCAATCTTGCCCGGGCCGGCCACCTGGGCACCACCGATGGCATGTGGCCGTACTCGTACAACTCGTGCGACTCGGGCATCCTCCCCAACCAGACGGCACCAGGCAGGCCAGGCTACGATGCTGTCAGCACAAGTGCAGACAAGTACAGTAACAACATCGGCCTCAATTGGCTGAGTGGCATGCGCACGCCCGCATGCACCTGCGCTGGCGAAGACCACCCAGGACCCAACGTCAACGTCGGCCGGTCTGCACCGGAGCTCGACATCCTCGAGGCCCAGGTGCACAGCAATGTGGGCGAGACGTCGCAGTCGCTGCAAATCGCGCCATTTGACCTCGAGTACAAGTGGGATGAGGATCTGGCGACGATCACTGACACCACCCAAACGCGCTTCAATCCCTACACGGGCGGACATTACCAAGAAGCCCTGTCTAGCCTGACTAAGATACAGGATAAGTCGTACGCCAAGAGCGGCAACGAATTCACGAGATTCGGCGTCGAGTTCACCCCCGACTTTACCGGTGGCGGCAAAGGCCAGGTGACGTGGTACATGGACGGTCAGACGACGTGGAAAGTGACGGAAGCCTCGGTGCCACCGGTGCAGGCCATCGACATCGGGCAGCGTCTAGTCCCCCAGGAGCCCATGAGCATCATCATGAACCTCGGCATCTCCAAGGGCTTCCAGACAATCGACTTTAGTTCTCTCGTCTTCCCTGCCACCATGAGAATCGACTACGTCAGGGTGTACCAGCCATCTTCGTACAGCTCGCCAAAGACGTCGTGCGACCCTCCGGACTTCCCTACAAAAGACTACATCGACCGTCACATGGACGTCTACACCAATCCCAACTTGACCACCTGGCCGCACGGGCTTGCTCGTAACCGGCTCACGGACAACTGTTGATCTCTCTCTCTCTCCCTCTCCCTCTCCCTCTCCCTATCTCTTTCTCTCTTTGTCTCTCTCACCCTCACTCTTCTGTACCTTTACTTGCACCTTTCTCTCTTTGGATGTGTTCTCATTTTCGCTTCTCTCCCGCTATCTCACTTGTTGTATTTACCGAGATGACCTTACCCACGGACAATCAAACCTGTTGCTGACGACCCAAATCTCTCCCTCGCTCTCTCGCTTCTTGACTTGTCAAATCATGTTGCAAAGTGGTGAAGTATAGCTACAGCAGACAAAGAGCATCCGTCGGGCAAGTCTCGTCCATCCCTGCCTCCCAAGCGGCCAATCAGTCAGCCAGCGTGTCGCTCAGTCAATCAAACGTTCAGCCGGTCGGACGGACGGTCGGTCGGTAGGTCGCTTTTTCAAACAATCAATCGATCGTTGCGGGAATCACGCCACAAGATCAGCGGCACCGGCGCCCCTCTGATCGGCGACCCTGCGCACATAGGTGGACGAGACGAGGTTAAAGGCCTCAAAGTAGCGCTCGAGGCAGCTGCCCAGGCACTTTTCCTCCTTGGACGAGAGCGACGTCGAGGGCGAGGTGACGCACTTTGCAAAACACTTTTCCGTCGCTTTTGTGATGAGCTGCTGGGCCTGTTGTGGTCACTCTCAAGAGTCAGTAATTGGAAATGGGGGGGCAAGGCAAGTGGCTCTGGCCATGCCATGCTGCGAGGCAAGAAAAGGACAAGGACACTAACGTTGGCCATGGCAATCTCGGAAGAGACCTGGGCCTTGATCGCCTCCTTTTTCTCCTGCGCGGAGCCGCCCTTGATGCCAGAGAGTGCCGAGGAGAGGTCCATGGTGGTGCTGTGTCGTCGGACTCGTTGCGTAAGGCTGATGAGAAGGAAGTAAAAAATCGCGCAGGGATTGTCGTCGACCGACCGTCTGACTTTCTTTCTCAAAAGCTCGCGCGCTCGGGAGTCGGACGTAGGTGGGATTAGTCAGCTTCCCTTTAGGCACATTCGACTTCTGAATGTCTAGGCGTCCTGTAAAGAAGCATCACGCGGACGGACGGACGATGGGCAACTCCGAGGGGCAGGGCGGCGCCTCTGCAAAGGGGAGAAAACAGGCATCGAACGCGGCGTCGGGGGGTGCGAGCAGCAGCAGCAGCAAGCGGCCCTCGCCCGAAGAGATCGAGGCGAAGCGGCGAGAGCGCGCAGAGAAGAAGGCGCGCGAGGAGCGTGAGCGCCAGGAGGCCCAGCGCCAACGCCAGCTGCAGCTCGAGGCAGATGGAGGCGCCGGGGCAGCCGTCCTGTCCCCCGACGGCCGACAGCTTTTCGAGCCAAGAAAATGGAGCGCGGTTGCCGGTGCGCACGGCGAAGGGGTTGAGCACAAGCAGAGGATCAAGGTGCTCAGCTGGAACATCCTTGCCCAGGGCCTCGTCAGGCGAAAGCTGTTTCCCGGCTCAGACTGCCTGCGCTGGAAGGACCGCGAGGAGGGCTTGTCGGCAGAGATGCTCTCACTCCCGTGGGACGTGGGCTGCTTCCAGGAGGTCGACCGCATCGAAGACCACGGCCCCAAGCTCAAGGAGAGCGGGCGGGCATATCTGTATGCTAAGGGCTATGCCCGCAAGCAGCACGGGCTCATGGTGGCGTGGAATATATCTTCTTGGCGGACGACTCGGTTCAAGGAGCAGCCGGCAGGGTCCAAGCTAGTCTTTCTCGACGACGAGACCGTCGACAAAGAAGCAAAGAGGACGGGCCTCTCGCGCGTCACCCGCAACATCGGTCTCTTTGCGGCCCTGTCCCTGGACGAGGAAGGCAGCGACGAGCAGCGAGGCATCATCGTGGCCACCACGCACCTCTTTTGGCACCCCATGCATGCATACGAGCGCGTGCGCCAGTCGGGCCTGCTGAAGCGAGCCCTGCTGCAGTGGAGGCAGAGCAACGAGGCGTGGCGTAAATGGCCTGTCGTCCTCGCTGGCGACTTTAACGATCAGCCGCACTCGGCCACCCATGCGCTGATGACGGCCAGCGACATCAGCGCGCACTGCCGAGACGAGGTGCAGCGGAGCACCGTCGTGCACACCAGCGTCGACGAGAGGCGGGCCAACCTGGCGGTGAAGGACCTTGGCAAGCTCGATATCGCTGGCGAGGCCGCCGCGCCAAAGAAGGGCGGTGAGGCAGGGGAAGAAGAGAAGGAAGAGGAGGGAGACGGTGAGGAGGAGGAAGAAGAAGGAGAAGGGGAGGACGAGAATGCAGAAGGGTCCGACCAGATGCTGAAGAACTGCCGAGCGGCCAAGGAGCAGGACGGCCTCCTCTCCTTTGACGAGCTCGTCGAGCTGCACAGTGCTTCGAGCGCCTCATCGGCCTATGGGCAACACTTTGGCTCGCTGCAGGAGGATCAGGCAGGCAACTACTTTGGGTCGAAGGAACGGGGAAAGGAGCGGTACGATGACACAGAATGGAAAGAGGGCCAACCCAACATCCATCTAGGACCCAGCAAGGAGTACGTAGTGCTCTGTATGCGTTGCCCGAAGCCTTGCTCTTGCTGACTTTGCCTCGCTTCACAGACCAATGTGGACGCTTTTTAGCTCCATCTTCTCTCTCACGCTCGACTACATCTTTCTCTTTCCTCTCCAGTCTCCTTCTCCCTCGTCATCGGATAGAGACGGGGCGCCGACCGTGACGGCGCTCCTGCCCACACACAAGACGGCGGTGCTGCAGCCTGGCATTCCCAGACGGGGCGTGTGCGCCAGTGACCACATTGCCATCGGCGCAGAGCTGTCCCTCTCATAGAGTTCCCCAAACCATCATACAATGTAGCTGATATCCGAGCAAGCAAAAGCAAGCAATCACGAGAGCCATCATCGTCGCCCGTTCTGTTTGCTGCCCAGCGCTGCTACCGCGTCGATCTCCAATCTTCTGACTTTTCCTCTGCTTACTTTTTCCAATTTTTCTCGTCTCTCTCTCTCCCTCTCTCTCCCGGCGACTTTTCTTCCTCTTTTTCTTCCTCCTTCACACCACATCCATCGACACATCCACGCCTGGACCCTCACCGCGACACACCAACGACGGCAGCAGGCATTGGCCCTCTGTTTGCCACACAATTACCTCTTCCCTGCCTGTCCTCTCTCGACACCTTTCAAGCGTAAGCCAGGACTAGGGTAGGAGAGGCAGAGAGAATCCGACTGTTCGTCGCACCTTCAAAAAACGCGTCCGTAGGGGAACATTGCGCGCATACAAGGAGCGCCGCCGGCCTAAATTGTGTTTCTTAGAGCATGTCGACCGATGCAGAGCCGGCGTCGGCGCCGGCAGCAGCAGGCGGGAGCAGTGCCGAGGCGTCGAGCAGCAAGGTGACGCTGGACACGCTCAAGCAGCGGCGCATCTCGGCACGCCGCGCGCAACTCGATGCCCTCCGACGGGCGCGCGACGCCGAGCTGCGAGAGCTGCGCTTCCTCCTGGCCCGGCGCGAGCGCTATGGCGTCGAGGGCGGCCCGGCCATTCCTCCCGCCGACGACCGGTGGGTCTTGGAGGGCGAGAAGGGCGGCGAGGAAGAGCAGGACGAGGAGCACGCGGATCACTTCTTGAAAGAGTATGCGTTGGAAGGGTGAGTTGAAGAGAGCAGTCTCCTCGAGGCACGCAACAGAAGGAAAGCTGATCGCTGACACTGGCTGGTCTAAAAGGGGTAAATCGGTCAGCGAGATCCCGATTCCGTCGCTGGAGGAGACGCGGGAGCGTGTAGCCAGAGAGGCCGGGTCCAAGCGCAAGCTCAACCTTCCTCAGAGACCGAAGCCAGAGGTGTCAACGCCGTCATCGAGCAAGGTGGCCACCGTTGGCGCCGAGGCCAACGAAGGCAGCGCTGAAAAGCGGGCGAGGAGAACGGCGTCGCCCTCTGCCAAGACAGCAGCAGCAGCAGCATCCCAGACAGCCGCGGATACGCAAGCGACGGATGCAACGACGGAGGCCAAGCAGTCGCAGACGACGGCTGCAACTGCAACGACGGCGCTCGGAACCGCAGCGAGCGAGACCGGCTCTTCGCAGACGACGGCAGCAGCGGTGTCTTTGTCTCAGTCGCAGTCGCAGGCCGAGCCGTCGACTCAGGCCCAGGAAAAGGAAAAGGAAAAGGCAAAGGCGGATCGGCAGCGGCCGCCGTCGATGCATCCGCCTCCCTCGCCGGCGCCCCCTGCACCGCTGCTCCGACCTGCGGGTGCCGATGCGCCGCTGCACCCCACGCTCCAGAAGCTCTCGCCGAACCCGCTCTCGATCACCTATGCCTCATCGATGCGCCCGCTTCCCCCCGATCCCTTTCGCAAGTTCACGGGCACGGGTACCGGGGGCGGCGCCATCCACCATCGCGGCCCACGCAAGGCGCCCCAGCTGCCAGCCAAGAACGGCGTGCCTCCACCGAGCGGACCGGCCGGCGCAGGCGGCACAGACCTGTGGCGCTGGGCGGTGCGTGCACGCGCGAGCCCGGGCGGGGGAATGGTGGGCAAGGCCGACAAGTGCCTCATGACGACGGACTGGAAGGTGGCCTTTACCGAGCAGAAGTTCATAAGGGCCATGGCGCGCATCGAAAAGATGAAGTCGCAGGGCGAGTGGAGCTTCCGGCAGCCCAAGAAGCAAAAGGGCCCCGTTGTAAGGCGCGCCCACTGGGACCACCTGCTGGACGAGATGAAGTGGATGCAGACCGACTACCGCGAGGAGCGCCGGTGGAAGATTGCCGTCGCCTTTGACCTCGCCCACGCTGTGCGCGCCTGGCACCGGGCCAGGACGGCCGAGGCGCGGGAGCGGCTGTGCGTCAAGACGAGGCCGCCCCGCTTCCTGGGCACCGAGGACGAGGAGTCTGCGAGGCGGGAGAGGGAGCAGGAGCAGGACGAGCAGGACGAGCAGGAGCAGCGGGAGCAGAGAGAGCAGGAACAGGAACAGGAGCAGAGGGACAAGGAGAAGGAATGGGAGAGGGACAGGAAGAAGGAGGCCACGGTCAAGGAGGAGCCCGTGGACGACGAGGCAGGCGATGGCGATGAGACCATGGTCGACGCTTCCAGAGTCCAAGAGGACCAACCCAACGAGGCTGGCGAGGCGATGAATGACGATGCTCAGGCCGAAGCGGGGGCACAAGTCGAGGCAGACGCCGATGCCGATGAAGATGCAGATGCAGACGCAGACGCCGATGCTGATGCGGACGCTGATGCCGATGCCGATGCCGATGCCGACGAGGATGCGCCTGGAGACGAGGACGCGCCGGGGGAGGAGGACATCGACGCAGAGGGAGAGGATGATGACGGCGAGGTCGAGGCGGCCACGAGGTCGCTGGCAGCGGACCGAGAGGACAAGGAGAAGCTGGAGGTCGTGCACGAGCCCAGGGAGGAGAGCCACATGCCAGATCTGACCGAGGACAAGTCCAAGGATGCCGCTCATCAGTTGACAGCCAACGAAGATGGCCCGGAGGATGGGCAGCAGCGCGAGGCAAGCGGCAGCGTCGAGCGCGGTGGCGTGCGGCCAGGCGCACCTGCCAAGGATGCCACGCTGGCCGAGGAAGGACAGGCGATGCTTCCCATGAATGTCATCTCCACCATTCGAGCGCCGATCTTTTCGACCAACGTCGCCGCCACCTTTGTCTCGCCCACTGCCCTCGTCGAGTCATCGGATCCAGAGGCGATTGCCGAGCTGCTGGGCGTGCCCGTCGAACGGCTCGGCGAAGCACTGGACATGGACCAGCTGTCGATGTCGAGCCTGTTCCCCGAGCTGCCGATCATGGACCCGCCCTCGGCCGCGCACGACGGCAAGAACGACCGGCGGTGGGACGACGGCAGCCTCAACCAGCCCCCGCGGCTGGCCCACGTGAGCCGGCTCCTCGACTGCAAGCCGCTGCTCGTGTCCACGCTGCAGCCGTCCAAGAACCGGGCGAGGGGACAGTGGCGTGACGATGGCGAGTGGATGCTTGCGGCCGAGGCGGCGGACCCGAACAAGGGCCTGACGCCAGAGATGCTCGACATGGCCCCGATCCCGGGCACGCTCCTCTTCACGCGCAAGTCCAACAAGGCCTCTCGCAACGAGCAGACGAGCACCTCGTCGACGGGCCAGCCCGTTGCACCGACCAATCCCGACGTGCGCGCCTCGCAGTTCTACTGGGTCGCCGAGGAGGACCAGTACCTGATGGCGCTCGTCAAGCAGTACGGCCAGCACTGGCAGCTCATTGCAGACATGTTCAACGCCACGAGGCTGTCGGTGCCCACCGACGTGCGCGAGCCGTGGGACTGCTATGACCGGTGGAACCGCATCCAGACGGCAGCCGCCGAGGGGAAGCCGCCGCCTGCGGCCCCAGCGCTGGCATCGGCCGAAGAGGGTGGTCGCTCCCAGGACGATGCATCGTCGGCGGCGGGAGCAGCAGCAGCAGCCAACCCCAAGACGCTCGCAGCCAAGCGCGAGAAGTTGACAAAGAAGCTGGGACAAAAGTACGACGGCTCGCGCAAGAAGCTCCGGCGGGTAAACATCACCGAGGTGATGCGCAAGTGCGCCAAGCGGAGAGAGATGCTGCAGCGGCCGCCGTCTAAAAAAGTGAATCTGCAGTCGCACGAGACCCACGCCCCACTCAAGCCGGGGCCGGCTCCGACGCCGCAGCAGCTCAGCCTGATCAAGTCGGAGCGCGACGAGGCGCAGATGAGGCAGGTGCTGGCATACCAGCAGCAGCAGAGGGCCGCTGTCGCGCAGGCACAGGCACAAGCCCAGGCCCAGGCGCAAGCGCAAGCGGCTGCGGTGGCTGCTGCTGCCCAGCAGCAACAGCAGCAACAGCAAGCTCAGCAACAGCAAGGCCAGCCACAGCAGCAGCAGCAGCAACCTTCCCAGCAACAGCAGCAGCCACAACAGCCACAGCAAGCGCAACAGCAGCAGCAGCAGCAACAACAACAGCAGCAGGCCGCCAACCAGCAACAACAAGCCCAACAGCAGCGCTTTGCCCAGCAGCAGCTTGCCAATGCCCAGACGCAGCAGCAGCCTCGCCCATCCACGCCGAACATGCGGCCAGGTCAGCCTCCCCAGCAACATCAGCAGCAAGGTCAACAGGCGCCTCAAGCAAAGGGCGCACAGCCGCCCCAGCGCGTGCCGACGCCGCAGATGAACTACGCGCGGCCCCCGGGCCAGAATCAGAGCCAGCAGCCGGCCACGAGCGGGGCACCTGCTTCGACGAACTTCCAAGCGCGTCCCGCTCCGACGTCGCAGGCGCCTGCCTCTTCATCGGGTCCCGCGACGTCGTCTGCGCCCTCGGCCGGCTCGTCGCCCTCGTCGAACCCGTTCAACCTCCAGCCGGGCCAGCCGCTTCCCCTGCCGCTCCAGGCGCTGCAGCGATCGCTGACGCAGAATCTCAACCAGACGAACCTGACGCAGGAGCAGATCCAGCAGCTCGCCTTGCAGCTCTTCCGCCAGGCTCAGCAGGGCCAGCAGCAGCAACAACAACAACAACAGCAGCAGCAGCAGCAGGGCCAGCAGAACCAGCAGCAGGGACAAGGTCAGGCTCAGGGACAGGGACAACAGGCTGCGAGGAGGCCGCCGGTCCCGCAGCAGCAGCAGGCGGGTCCGAACCAGAACCAAGGAGCAGCAGCCGCGCAACAGAAGCCGCCCGGCGTGAGGCCACCTCTTCCTCAGCAGCAGCAACAGCAGCAGGGCGGTCCCAAGGGTCCTCAAGCACCCGCTGGGACTCCCGCGGCGTCGGCTGCTGCTTCAGCAAACAACAAGGGCCCGGGCGCGGCCCCAGGCGGTGCTTCAGGCGCATCTACCCCCAGCAAGAACTCCAAGTAGTCCTCACCCTTTTCTTCTTTCTCTCTCTCTTCACTTGTATCACATCACACGCACACGCATATCATCGAGCAGACTATCGCAAACATACAATGACATTGATTATAATGACCGACTCCGTAAAGACCAAAGAGGCGTACGGCGACGCCTTGCTATTCACGCATCACACATCGCGCCTGTACACAATCGCGCCGGCGGCGGAAGACGGGGCCGCAGACGAGCGCCTAAAGAAGAGGCCAGTGAGCTTGTGCCAGGCATTGTCGTCGAGCTTGAATCCGTCGAGGGTGGGTGCGGCCGACTGCTGGTCTGTGCCGTCGCTGTCCTGCGCATCCTCGAACTCGTCGTCATCGTCGTACTCATCCTCGTCGTCTTCATCCTCGTCGTCGTCGTCGGTCGAGTTGTAGGCCTGGTTGACCTTTGCGTCGCTGTCGTCGTCGTCATCGCAGACCGAGTCCGAGTCCGACTTGGCCGCGTCGGTCGAGGTGGGAGCCGGGGCAGACGCAGATGAAGAGGACGCGGCCTTGTTGGCGGCCGAGGACGAGGGCGTAGCTGAGGCCGACGAGGACTTGGCTGTGGGAGCGGCGGAGGAGGAAGCCTTTGCAGAAGCGGAGGACGAGGGAACGGCCGAGGAAGAAGCAGCCTTGGCGGCGTCCTTTGGTGCGGCCGACGAAGAGGCAGAGGCCGAGGCAGAGGCCGTCGACGCGGCCTTTGCTGCCGAGGAAGTGGCAGGAGCTGCCGAGGCCGAGGCCTTCTGCGAAGGGTTCTTGAGCAGTGGGGGCCCATCGTCGTCGTCATCGTCGCTGTTGCTCTTGGCTGCGCTCGACTGAGCAGGCGCCGACGCCGACGACGCGGCGGCCTTGTCCGACGCAGAGGCCGTGGGCGTGACCTGCTTGGTGATCGTCTTGTACTGCGTGACGGTGCCCTGCTTGTCCAGCTTTGAGTTCGCAGCGAGCGACGTGGCGCTGTCGAGGTCGCCCTCGGCAGCGAGCTGCTGCTTGCTCGTGGCCGTGGCCGGCGCCGCCGAAGTGGCCTTGGCCTTTGCGGCGCTGCTGCGCGTCACGGTGCTTGCGACGGGGAACGTGGACTGGCCGGCGGGCGCGGTGCCCTTCTGCGAGCCGCTGGCCTCGGGGATCGACTCCTTGTCCGACGACTTCTTGGAGGACGACGACGACGCCGAGGCCTTGACGGAAGCCGAGGCCGACATGGCCGGCAGATCAGCCAGACCAATCGAGGGCGTGGCGGTAGCCGTGGCGCCGATGCGCCCATTCATGGCAGCGGCGGGGACGAGGACGGTGAGCGTCTCGTATCCCTCTGGCGCATCTGCCTCGGCCGCCTTGGCGTCGGCGCCCGCCGTAGCCGTAGCCTGGGCAGCAGAGGCGACCTGAGAGAGCAGCGAGGCGGACGCAGAAGCGGCGACAATCGACTGGAGCTTGGCAGGCGCCCTCGTGTCGTCGCCGGGGGCGGAGGGCAGCATGAACTTGGGCTGGAGGGGGTCCTGGTCCAGCGCAGACGCCTTGAGGGCTGCCTTTTGCTTGGCGTTGAGCGTCATGGTGATCGTGTAGACGGGGTTCTGGGCCGCGGCGGCAGCGGCAGACGAAGGGGCGGCAGTCGTGACTGCAGCAGGTGCCGAGGCGACGACGGCGGCGGCAGAAGACGCGGACGGAGAAGCGGCGACAGCGGCTGCGCTAGGTGCCGAGACAGAAGGAGCAGCGGCCGAAGCAGGCGCAGCTGCTGCGACTGGTGCAGCCACCGACGAAGCGACGGCGGCGGGAGCAGAGGCAGCAACGGCGGCGGCCGAGGAGGAGACAGGCGCAGCAGCAGCTTGGGGAGCGGCGCTCGAAGGAGCAGCAGCAGCGGCAGCAGCTGCACCGCCCTCCTCCCTCTTCTGCTGCCTGGCCCATCCGCGCTGCAGGTGCGCATTGACTGCACGCTTGACCGTCGCGGCGCTGTCGGCAAACATGTCCTTCTGGTGCTGCGTGCCTGCGACTTGCGAAAAGAGATCCATGTCGCCACCGGGGGCTGCGGCTGCTGCTGGTGCCGCCGGCGCGCTGGCCGCGTCGGCCATGTCCTTTTGGCGCTGCACGCCCTCTACCTGCGAGAAGAGGTCCATGTCGCCACCGGCGCTTGCCTGGGTGCTCGTCGAGGCAGCCATGTCCTTTTGGTGCTGCACGCCCTCGACTTGCTCAAACATGGCCATATCGCCACCGATGGCAGACTGCGTAGCCGCCGGCGCCGCGGCCTTGCCTGTCACACTGGCGCTGGGGCTAGGAGTGGGAGGGAAGGAAGCGGCAATGGCGGCCAGGTTGCCGATAGCGGGAAGGTCGGTGTTTCCCTCGGATACGGGCACGGTGCCCGTCACGGTGGGCTCGGTGGGCACGTCTGTGACGCTCGAGAAGCCATCGCTGCTGGCGTCGGCGACGGGCGTGGCAGCCGTGGGCTTGCCAGCAGCGCTCAGCGAGGCCAGCTGGGCCTCGTACCAGCTTCCACCCTGCTGTGGAATGGCCTGGCTGTACGCCTTTTGCTCGCCGTCACCCACCTCCTCCGCGGCGGAAGAGGTAGAGGAAGGGACAGCAGCGACGGGAGCAGCGCTAGTGGGCGTAGCCGCCGTTGCCTTGCCGGCCGCGGAAAGCGAAGCAACCTGGGCCTCGTACCAACTACCGCCCTGCGAGGGGACACCCACGCTGTACGCTTGCGCTGCAGCTGCGCCCGCATCGCGCCTCTGGTTGGCGGGCGCACCGTGAACTGGCTGCGGGGTCGACGAGGCGGCGAGAATGAGCGCGACGAGAACGACGGCGCCGAGGCCCTTGAAGGCCTTTTGGTTGCGCCTCTGCTGGATTCCACCGGCAGCAGGAGACATCGAGGAGGTCGCCATTGGTTTAATTAGGAGGTGAAAAGAGGTGATCGCCGGGATCCGAAACGGAAAGAAGAAAAAGAGGAGGAAGGAAGAAGGAAAAGAAATACGATGACTCTGACGCTCGTAACAGGAGAGCTTCTCTTCGCTTGGAAGGAGAAGGTATCAAGTGGACGTAAAGTGACTGTTGCTATTGTTGCTGCTGTTCGAGAGGCCAACGTATCAATGCGGTCTGACTGCCAGAGTCAAGAGTCCGCACAAAGAAGAAGAAGAAGAAGGACGAGAAGGTGACTGGTGGTGATGGTGAAGAGAAGCAGAGGTGACCCACTCGCCCTTTTTCCCTTTTCATCATCTCAAAATGCATCTGGCCGAAGCCTGTGCTTGGCCTGGCCCTTTGCCTCCATCACCCAAGTAGAATCTAGTCAGCCCGATCGGATTTCCGCCGCCGTCTCACCGTAGAAGTTGTGAGCGCGGTGAGGCAGCCCATCCGACGGTCGGCGCCAAAGACTGCAGCGCACCGTAAGAGTGGAGCAGCCGCCTAAATAAGCCTACGCGTGTGCCTCGGTCGCGTGGCTTTTGCATTTTATTCATTTATCACAAACGCGCCTCTTCCCCCCCACGCACGTTCCTAAACCGAGAGATTGGGTCTTGGCACACCGAAGCGTCAATCGGAAGAATCGAACAAAGGAAAGCGGCCGATGCAGAGACGACAGGCAGAATTTTGAGATGAGGTCCTAGCGAGAAAGAGCAGAAGAGCAACGGGACCGGGGCTGGGCCTCCTCTCTCCTCGCTCCTACCACCTATCCTCTCTCTCTTCCTCTTTCTCTTTCTCTCCTCTCTTTCTCCGTACAGAAGATGAAGGTCGGCGGCTTGGTTCAACTGGCGCTGCTGGGCGCGGCGCTGTTGGCGGTGACGCGTGTGCAGGCGTTGCCTGTCGGTGCCAAGGTGCAGACAAAGGCGTTTGTCTCGCCTCGCGCCATGGAGAGGCACCTCGAGGTGCATGGCCACCGCGGTGGACGAGGCGAGGCAAACGAGGAGACGCTGGCCGCGTACGCCGACGCCTTTCTTGCCGGTGCCACGCACCTCGAGTGGGACGTCGGCATCACCTCGGTGGGTGCTCTTACTTCCTAGTGCGGGACAGATGCTGACCTCACTCACACCCACACAGGACGGCGTGCCGATCGCATGGCACGACGAGAACATCCAGGCGGCCAAGTGCCTCGATCCGCCGTCGGGCGACCACGTCGTCGGCAAGTACATTGCCAATGTGACGCTGTCGCAGATCAAGTCGCTCGACTGCGGCGCCCAGCGCCTCGGCAGCGACTTTATGCTGCAGCAGACACGCAAGGGCGCGCGCATCCAGACGCTCGACCAGGTCTTTACGTTTGCCCAGTGCGTCGATGCGGGCCTGCCCGCGGCCAAGAAGATCCGCTTCAACATCGAGTCCAAGCTCAGCCCGCCGACGCCCAACACGACCGTGGGCCCGCAGGTGTTTGTGGACAAGATGTACGCCGCGTTCCGCAAGCACCGCGTCGTCGACCGCGTCGTCTTTCAGAGCTTCGACTGGCGCACGCTCCAGCTCATGGGCGAGCAGCACCCCGAAGTCGTCCTCTCGGCCCTCGTCTCCTCCGACGCATCCTACCTCGAGCCGATCTGGCTCGGCGGCATCGACCTGAACCAGCAGCCGGGCTCGACGCTGGCCCAGCGCATCGTGCACGCAGCAAAGAGCATCAACGCAACCTACCTCTCGCCGAACCACAACCTCAACGGGACCGAGGTCAACCAGCCCGGGTATGCACCCTTTGTCGACACCGACATGGTCCGCGCCGCCCACGACGTCGACATGAAGGTGATTCCCTACACGCCAGACAGCCTCGACACGGCCGAGAAACTCGTGTACACCCACGGCGTCGATGGCCTCATCACCGACTACCCCACCACGTTCACCGCCTGGGCCCGCAGCAGGGGCTTCCAGCTGCCGCAGAAGCGCGACGTGGTGCGCGTCCAGCGCTGCCTCAAAGAGGCCCGTGCCCGCGACGACGAGCCGTGATGAAACTTACCGTTTGTGCTACACACTTCGCTTCCCCACCAAGCCCGCCTCGCGGTGTCTTTCTTGGCTTGCTAACTAACATAGAGGATCGGGACATAAAAGAAGAATCAGATTTCAATTTTGGCGACAATCTTTTATCTTTTTTGGGTGGTGTGGTGTGATGAGATGAGATGAGGGAGGAGATGAGAGGAGAGGAGCGAGGAGAGTGCGCAAAGGTGGGAGAAGGATGCGTATAAAGCAAATCACCGGCCGGCGCCAGCCATGCCCTTCTGGACGGCACGCTTGAGGCGGAGCGAGCTGCGGCGGTAGTCGTCTGCCGAGGCGTCCTCCTGCTCGAGGAGCTCGAGGGCCTTGGCGAGCTCCTGCTCGACCTGGACCTTGAGGTTCCTCTTCATGTTGATGGCCGGGCCCGAGATGGTGCCCTCGACGCTCTCGGCGTACTGGGCCAGCTCCTGCTTGGCGTCGTGGCGGGCCTGGAACTCCTTGTCGCTGGCCTTGAATTGCTCCGAGTCCTTGATCATCTGCTCAATCTCGGTGCTCGACAGCCGGCCGACGGAGTTGGTGATGGTGATGTTGGCCTTGCGGCCCGACGTCTTCTCCGAGGCCGAGACGCGGAGGAGGCCGTCCGAGGTGACGTCAAAGGTGCAGATGAGCTCAGCCTGGCCCTTGGGCATGGGCGGGATGCCAGTGAGCTCAAACTCGCCGAGGAGCTTGTTCTCCTTGCACTGCGTGCGCTCGCCCTCGTACACGGGGAACGTAACCTGCTGCTGGTTGTCCTCGACGGTGGTGAACGTCCTCGTCTTGGACGTGGGGATCGGCGTGTTGCGGGGCACGACGACACCAAAGACGTCGCCCTGCATGGCCACACCGAGCGAGAGGGGCGCAACGTCGAGCAGGAGCAGGTCGGCCGTCTTGTCGCTCGTCTGGTTCGTCAGCACGGCGGCCTGGACGGCGGCACCGTAGGCAACGGCCTCGTCGGGGTTGATGCTCTTGTTGAGCTGGCGGCCACCGAAGAACTCCGAGACCATCGATTGGATCTTGGGGATACGGGTGGAGCCACCGACGAGGACAATGTCGTCGACCTTCTCGGCAGCCATCTTGGCGTCCTTGAGCACCTTCTGGACGGGGTCCATGGTGCTCTTGAAGAAGGTCGCGTTGAGCTCCTCGAAGCGGGCACGGGTGATGTTGGCCTGGAAGTCGGTGCCCTGGAAGAGCGAGTCGACCTCGACGGTCGTCTGGGTGACGCTCGACAGCGTCCGCTTCGCACGCTCGCAGGCGCTCCTCAGCCGCCTCGTCGCCCTTGGGTCGCCCGAGATGTCGAGCTTGTTCTTGCGCTCAAACTCCTTCTTGAAGTGCTCCAGGAGGGCGTTGTCAAAGTCCTCACCACCGAGGTGGGTGTCACCAGCGGTGGCCTTGACGGCAAAGACACCACCGGTGATGTTGAGGAGCGAGACATCGAACGTACCACCACCCAGGTCGAAGATGAGAACGTTCTTCTCCGTCGACGACTTGGAGTCGAGGCCGTATGCGATGGCAGCGGCCGTGGGCTCGTTGATGATACGGAGGACATCAAGACCAGCAATGGCACCTAGCAGGAGAATACGGGTCAGTATGCAGTGCTGCGACCACCGTTCTCCCAATCTTCCTTCCTCCTCTTCCGCAAGAGCTCATTCCCTTCGAATAAGAAGTAACACGCTCTCGCCACAGGAAAGGGACATGGCCCCCCCTCGGTTTTAGCATGGAATGTTTGGTGTAATCACTGCCGTCCATGCGCGCCTATCCTTGCCTCCTCATTTTCCTCCTTGTGGCCTCCCGCTTCGCCTCCAGACCTGTGCTACTCACCGGCATCCTTGGTGGCGAGCCTCTGCGAGTCGTTGAAGTAGGCGGGGACGGTGACGACGGCCTTCTTGACCTCCTTTCCGATCTTGGCCTCGGCAATCTCCTTCATCTTGGTCAGGACCATGGCCGAGATCTCCTGGGGGCTGAACTGCTTCTTCTCGCCGAGGTAGTCGACGGCAATGAACGGGCTGCCGTCCTTGTCGACGACGGTAAAGGGCCAGCTCTGCATGTCCTTCTTGACGTCGGGGTCATCGTACCGGCGGCCAATCAGTCGCTTGGCGTCAAACACCGTCTGGCGCGGGTTCATCGCAGCCTGGTTCTTGGCCGCATCACCAATCAGTCGCTCCGACTCGGTAAAGGCGACGTACGAAGGCGTCGTGCGGTTTCCCTCTGCAGGCAAACTCCCAAGTCAGCTCTTTCTTGAATCCTCTTTCTCCCCCAATTTCTTCTCTTCAAATCGCATCTCTCCATCTGATACCCACGGTCATTGGCAATGATCTCGACTCGCTCGTTGGTCCACCATCCAACGCACGAGTACGTGGTACCAAGGTCTGCACAGGTACATGCGGTCAGCCAATCGTTTTTCCCACAAAAGAGAAGCCCGCCGGCTCGGTTTCACGTCTCCTCACCGATACCGATGGCGCCCTGGTAGACGTCGTCGTTTGCAGAGGGGGTCTCGACGGACATGATGAAAGGAAGGTGTAGGGGGGCCGGAAGGGGGAAGTTGCAAAGGGGTAAGAGCAAAGACCTGTACGTCGGTGAAGAGCTAGGCGAGGCAAGGAAAAAAAAAAATGTTCAAATTTCTTCTCGAGAGCGTGGCCCACCACTACTGCCTGCCCTCCAGTCTCTCTGTGCGAGCCTAAAGCGAACGGAGGGGGCGGGCGGCGCGGGCTTGAAAAATGGGAGGCGAATACAGATATTCCAGCTTCCAAAAAGGCAATATTCAATGCTGCGGATTGGCACAGAGGCCTGTTTGAACTTTCGGTCCAACATAGGGCGCGACTATTGTATTTGCCATCTGAAGTTCGGCCGAGAAAAGCTGGGTCGCCTTTCTCTCGAGTCTTCGCAACGCCCTCGCCCTGGTCACACACGGGCCGACATCACTAAAGGGCCGACATCACTCTAGGGCCGACATCACTCACGGGCCGCAAGAAGATCACAAAGGATGGCCAGCCCGCTGGCCTCGACTTCGCGGCTCCGGCTCGGCAGCAGCTTGCCCGCTGCCGCTGGCAGGGTGCGGCAGCGGCTGGTCACATCGTCGGCAACCTCGCTTCCAGCGGGTGTCGGAGAAGAGGAGCCCTCTCTCGCATCACCTCAGCAGCAGCAGCAGCAGCAACAACATGAACTCGTAGACGATGTCGTCTCTGCCGGTGCCGTTGCTGCATCCCAGCCGAGCACGCCGCAGTACGAGGACCCACGCAAGGTGGCGCTCGATGCTGCGCGCGAGAAGCTGCGGCTGCGCAGCGTGACGCTCCGCAACCTCGAGTCCACGGGCAGCGGCTCCACCCAGACGCGCGCCTCGTCCTTCCGGCCGCACCGGACTCGGCTCGATCCCGTCGGCGCGCACGAGCTCACCGTGTCGCACCTGCTCGCTGCGACGGCGCACGTCGGCCACCGTCTCTCGTCGCTCAACCGCGCCGCATCGGCATTCGTCTACGGCAAGCGCCACGACGTGGCCATCATCGACGTCGAGCGGCACACGCTCCCGGCGCTCAAGCGCGCGGCCGCCGTCGTGCGCGACGTCGCCTCGCGCGACGGCGTCGTCCTCTTCCTCGGCACCGCCCCCGGCACGCAGCGGGCCGTGCTCGACGCCGCCAAGCGGCTGGGCCAGAACGGGTACCACGTCACAAAGGAGCGGTGGATGCCCGGCGTCATCTCCAACGCACCCAAGCTGCTCGGACGCGCCATCCTGGGCGACATGGCCGCATACACCGAGGGCATGCAACAGCAGCAGCAGCAGCAGCAGCAGCAGCAGAGGAACGGCAGCAATGATGGCCCCGGCCGGCGGAGGGCAGAGGAGCCGGATGCCGCGACGCTCGCCTCGCAGGTCCTCGTGCCCGACCTCGTCGTCGTGCTGAACCCCAAGGCGAACCTGCACGCGATCCGCGAGGCCACCGAGCGGGGCATCCCCACCGTCGGCATCGTCGACACGGACGTGGACCCGCGCATCGTCACGTATGCCATCCCCGCCAACGACGAGAGCGTGCGCACTGCCGAGCTTGTCCTCGGCGTGCTCAGCCGCGCTGGCCAAGAGGGCCTGCAGCGGCGCGCATGGATCGCAGACCAACACGACAAGGGCAAGCGAGCCGTACGGAGGCTCGGCTCCAACCAGCAGCAGCAGCAGCAGCAGCAGCACCAACATCAGCAGCGGTATAACCAAAGGCAGGCATCGCAAGAGTGAAATAAACCACGTCCTCGTGATATTGCTTGTGAATGTATGCGTGTGTGTACCTACAATTACAATGTGTGAACCACGGTCAATTGCATCGCATCGCATCTACCCTGCCCCCTCCTCATTAGGCTGTGCGCTCTAGAACCTAGCTCTACGCTCTACGCGCCCCACTCGCCGGCGCTGGCGAGCTGCGCAAAGGCGCCGCCGCGCTGCTGGACCAAGCTGGCGAAGGGCCCGCTCTGGACGACGCGGCCGTGCTCGACGACGAGGATGCGGTCGCAGCGCTTCATGAGCTCGAGCTTGTGCGTGACAATGACCGTCGTCAGGCGCTCGCCCGCGTTGTCGTCTTGAAGCAAGCTGCGCGCGACGGCCTCCTGGTTGACAGCATCCAGGGCCGAGGTGCACTCGTCGAGGACGAGGAGCCGGGCGAGGCCCGCGTCGACGCGGACGAGGGCGCGCGCAATGGCCAGGCGCTGCTTCTGCCCGCCCGACAGCTGGCTCGCGTCGCTGCCGAGGCGTGTGTCGAAGCCGGCCTCGAGCGCGTCGACAAAGTCGAGGGCGTGGGCGCGCGCCGCGGCGCTCCGCAGCTGCACCTCGCCGACGGCAAAGCAGCCGGCAGGAAGGCCGTAGAGGATGTTGGCGCGGACCGTGTCGTCAAAGAGATTTGGATGCTGGCTCACAACGGCCAGCTGTCGCCGGAGGGCCTCGACGTCGATCGAGGCCAGGTCGCGCGCGCCATCGAGGACAATATGGCCCTGCGTCGGCTCGTACAGCCGCTGGAGCAGCGCCGCGATGGTGCTCTTGCCGCAGCCCGAGCGTCCAACGAGGGCGATGCGCTCGCCCTTTGCGATGCTGAAGCTGACGCCGCGCAGCACGGCATTAGTTGGCCGGAGAGGGTAGGCAAAGTGCACATCCCTGAACTCGATGCCGCCGTCAATGTCGACAGTGGCAGCTGCTGCTGGTTGAAAGCAAGACTCGCTCGTGTCGTCGAGGCGCAGCGCGAGCAGCCGGCCGAGGTCGCTTGCCGCCTGGACCGACTTGGTGAGGCCGGGCAGGTAGGCCATCGTCTGGGCGGCAAAGGTGACGGCAAAGAGGAGGAGGTTGAACACCAGGACCATGCGCTCAAAGTCGTAGAGGCCCTTGATGATGAGGACGGCGCCAATGTAGTAGAGAAAGGCCTCGGAGAGATATGTCAGCGCCTCGCCCATGCCAAAGCCAAAGCCAGAAAGTGGGGCCGCCTTGAGAGCACATGACTGGCACGCCGCCAGTGCGTCTTCGTAGTTTGCGAGAAAGACGGCCTCGAGCGCCATGGAGCGGATGCCGCGCACGTTGGCGGCCATGTCGTAGAAGCGCTTCGAGACCTGCTCGCGCTTGACCTTGTTGAGTGCCTCTCTCCTCTGGACGAAGCGCGTCTGGAGCGACGTGGCGCCAATGAACAGAGGCGCAATCGCCAGGCCGGCCAGCGTCAGCTGCCAGCCCACGGCGAGGGACCAGACGAGAGCGATGGAGATCATGGATGCGACGAGGATGAGGCTTCCCATGATGCGGTTGATGAGCCAGCGCGCATCCTCGGCGTCCTTGACGATGCGCATCATGAGGTTGCTCGCCTTGTTCTCCTCGCGGTCGAACCAGGCCTTATCCTGGGCAAGGACCCTGGCGTAGGCCTTTCTCCGCAGCTCGCGGACCCACAGGTTTGCCGACTGCTCGAGGAGAAAGAAGCGGGAAAAGGAGAGGAGGCCGTCGAGGAGCGCAATGCCGAGGACGATGAGCGAGAAGACGACGACGGCGTGCGACTGGCCCTCTTTGCCCATCGTCGCCATGAGCCGGGCCAGCACGACGGAAAAGGCTGGCGTCACGGCGCCCGAGAGCACCGCGCATACAAGGCCGGCAACGAGGATGAGCTTGGATGGCTGAGTGCGCCAGGCCATCCACAGGATCGTAAACACCTTTGGTCGCGCGGGCGGATGCGTCTGCTTGCCGTGGTCCTCGTCCATCGTGACCGCGGTACTGCCTTTGCGTCTGTCTCTCCTGCGGCGACGGTGGAGCCTCGACGACGAAGGAGAAGTCAGGGGAGCGTCTCCCGAGGCCTTTCGCAGGTCGTCGTCGTTCCAGATCCTCCTCGCTGCGCGCTGCTGCTGTATCGGCCGACGGAGGCTGACGGCGACGCTGGCCTCCTCGAGCCACGCCTCTGCGCCCTCCTCGTCGACGAGCTTCTTCTGCCGCTCGGCAGCCAATCGCAGCGGCTTCAGCCCAGAGATGGAGCCTCCTGCCGTCGTTGTCGTCGTCGTCGAATTGGTGAGAGTGGTGCATACACTGTCGCCACAGCTGGACGCGGACGTGCTCCCGCTCGACCAGCCATACCTGACCCTCGAGTGGCCGCCCCTCCTCGGCGCCGCCCTCTCAATGGTCCAGCCTGCAGCAGCAGCAGCGGCAGAAGTTGCATCACCATCACCATAGACAAAGGACGAGGGGAGCGGCGGCTGTTCTTCCTGCACAACAAAGTCCTTCGCCCACCGGCTCGCCCTCGAGTGCGACTGTGCTCCCTTGCCCTGCTGCTGCGCTCCAAAGCGCTTTTCCTCCCTCGCGAGTGCCCTTGATGCTCGGTAGTCAAGCCCCGTCGGACTCGGCTCCTCGTCGATGAATGCTTCGACTGGCTCTTCGTCGACGTCATCCTTCTTCCTCCCTCCTTCGCCTCCCTTGCCGCCTTTGCCGCTCTGCGTCTGCGCGAGCACCGAAAAGGCACCCGCTGCGTTCTTCTCGAGGTCGGCGCGGTAGCCCTGCTCAGCCACGCGTCCCTGCTCGAGCAGGTAGACAAAGTCGTCGTCGGCGACCTGCTGGAGGTCGTGGGTGATGACGACGGTCGTCTTGCCGTGCCGCCAGCGCTTGATGGCCTCGTTGACGAGGAGGCGCGACGTGACGTCGAGCGCCGACGTGCATTCATCGAGGATCAGCACCGGCGGGTCGCGCAGCCGGGCGCGCGCGAGGGCCAGGCGCTGCTTCTGCCCGCCCGACAGGCTCGCGCCGCGCGTGCCCAGCACCGTCTCGTAGCCCTGCTCCAGGTCGCGGACAAAGTCGTGGAGCAGCGCCATCCGGCACGCCGCCTCGACGTCGTCGCTGCTGGCATGGGGCACGTGGTTGGGGCCGAGACGCTGCTGTTTTAGCTGCTCGCCACGCACGCCACAGAGACCCAAGGCGACGTTGTCGTGCACGCTCAGGTCAAACACGATCGGCTGCTGGTCCACGGCGGCCATGTTGGCGCGGCACCAGTCGACGTCGAGGAAGCGCACGTCCTGGTCGTCGATCTCGATGCTGCCCGCACTCGGCTCGTACAGGCGCAGCAGCAGGTGGGCGATCGTCGACTTGCCAGACCCGCTGCCGCCGACGATGAATGTCGTCTCGCCGGCAGGGATGAAGATGTCGACGTCTCGCAGCACCGCCGTCTGGGGCCGCGAGGGGTATGCAAATGAGACGCCGCGCAAATTGATCTCGCCGTGGCAGCGGCCCGTCGGCCAGATCTTGCGCAGGGGCTGGTAGACCGGTGGCCGAGCAGCCAGGCCGGTCCGGAAGAGGGGCGAGGAAGGCGTGCGGCTGCGTGGCGAGATGGGCGTCATTGTCATCGTCGTCGGTGTTGTTGGACTCGACTTCTGGCCGAGATCGGGGAGCGAGAGGAGCGAGTGCGAGTCCGACGCCGAGTCCTTGTCCTTGTCCTTGTCCTCTACCTTGCCAGCCGTGCTACTCTCACTGCTGCTTGTGGCAATGACGGGCGCCGAAGCAGCCTGGACCACCTCGTCGTCCTTCTCGGTGAGCGCATGGAGGCTGCTCGCGGCCTGCTTGCCCTTTTCGACGATGCTGAGGCGCATGATGATCATCTGCAGGTGGCCCACCGCGAGCAGGCTGGCCCAGAAGACGGTCAGGATCGTGCCCGGGCTCTTGCTGCCCGCCTGGACCTGGTGGCTGCCGTACCAGAAGCCGCTGGTGAACATGGCAAAGGTTAGGGTGCCCGTCATGCCGATGCGTGCGGCCCATATCGCCGCGAGCCGGGTCCATGCGTCAAAGGACTGGTCGAGGAGGTGCTGAAACTGCTGCTGCTCGAATGGCTGCGCGTTAAATGCCTTTACGGTCGCGATGGCATTGACGCTGCGCTCGACGATGCTCGATGCCTTGGCCATGTGCGCGCGCTCTTGCATCAGGTGCGGCGCAGTGAGGCGCTCGCTCACCGTCGCCAGCGTCGCCGTCAGCGGGATCGAGGCGAGCACAATGAGGGTGAGCGACCAGTCCTTGGACAGGGCCAGGCACAGGCACGACAGCAGCGTCGTCACGTACTGGACCAGCTGTCCAGCCGTCTGCGACGTGGCCTGCCGTACCTCGTCGGTGTCTCTGCTCGAGAGGATCGATCAGCTTCGACTTGATTCTCACTATGAATGCTACCTAGCACAGCTCTCACCTCGCAAACTTGGTCATGAGCCCGCCCGCACCCGAGCTGGCCCCAGCACCGTCCACGCCCTTGTCGAACCACGCCATCGTCTTGGCCGACACAGCGCTGTAAACCCGCCTCCGCCAGCCCAGCGCGACCCGTTCGCTTACAATGATCCACGCCGAGATCATCGACGTGCTGAGCGCCATGGTGCCCGCGGCCAAGATGCAGAGCTGCCAGACGCTTCGAGCTACCCCCCGCATCAGCGCGTCCTTTCTGTCTTGCGAGATCGACGATGGCACATCGCCATGCGGATTGTAGGCCGTGTAGGCGTCAAAAGCGTCACCAATGACGAGCGTCATGAGCGTCGGCATGGCGCCCGACGCAATTGAGAGGAACAGCGCGAGGCCTACCAGGGGCGCATCTCGCCGATGCAGCGTCGAGAACAGCGTGTGGTATGTTGCCATCGTCTTTGGCTTCTTTCGCTTCTTCTTGCCCTCTTCTGTCGCCCGTTCTTTGGACTTCCTCCTCATCATCTTCTCTTATTCGTCCTGTCAGAAGATTGCGATGAGGAGGGGATATAGAGAGAGAGAGAGAACGAGGAGGAAAGCCACACCTACTCCTCCCCGTCTCTCGTCGTCAGGCACCGCACAGTCCATCTCACACCTCCCTTTGTCTCACTCGACCCCTTTGTATTCCTATCTCCCGGTCCATCGTCCGCCCTGCGCGCCGCAAAAAGAAGACAATGGGCCCTGGGAAACAAAGGGACGGACAAAGGGATGCACAGCGCTCGAGAGAACAATGGGCTGCACTAAACTGTATTTTTTCGTGCGCTACTACTACTACTACTGTCTCTGTCTCTGCCTGTGCGCGAGTCGAGATAGTGAGGCCACGTGGCGCGCTGACATCCCTCTCCCACTTCCGAGACCCGGGTGCTCGAGCGTCCTCTTGGTCTTACCGGGCGCAGGAGGAACGCCGCGAGATGGTCGATCTGGCGGGCGGGAGGGAGGCGGTCGAGGTCCGGCTCGGCGAGAGCGTCTCGCAGGAGCTCACGAGACGGCTGGCGGCATCCTTCAGGGAGGTGCGTTGCTGTCACTATTGTAACATAACGAGAACCAAAAGTAGGAATTCATCAAGTCTGAGACGGCATCTGCTGCAGTATTTGCCGACGTGCAAGCTCCATGAGTCCTACCTCGCCAGTCGCCTGAACGAGACGGTGAAGCTTCGCCACGAGGCAGAGCGGGGTACTGATGACGAGTACGACGAGGCAGGATGTAGCTGCGAGCCAGACGAGGCGGGCCAGGCCTGCTCTGCCACGTCCGAGTCGTGCGACTGCGTGGGGACCTACGGCAACTTCTACGTGGACCAGCCAGCTTCGCCGACCCTGCTCTTGGATGCGATCCCCGCAAGGCACGCGCTCGTGGAGTGCTCCGACGAGTGTGCCTGCTCCACCAAGGGCTGCGCGAACCGCGTTGTAGGTCGAGGCCTGCGCGCCGCACTCACCGTCGTCGACGCCGGACCGTCAATGGGACTCGGCCTGCAAACGACACACAGCATCTCAAAGGGCCACTTCGTCATCGAGTACGCCGGTGAGATTGTCTCCGACCACGAGGCCCGACAGAGGTGGGAGGCCTATGCGATGGACGAAAACGTCGTGGGCAATTACATCCTCGCCGTCAAGGAGCACTCCGAGGGCCACATTCTGCGCACGAACATCGACCCGACACGGGTTGGCAATGCCGCGTGAGCCTCTCCCTTGTTCACTATTATGTTTATTGTGGTGTGAAGAGCGCTGACGGCTTGTCTTGCTCAGGCGCTTCATCAATCATTCGTGTGACGCGAACCTCGTCATGCTTCCGGTCCGAGTTGACGGGTCAATTCAGCTGACCTCACAATCTGAGCAAGTCAGGGCGCCCAGCCCTCCTCGAGCTGCGCTGTTTGCAAAGCGAGACATTGCAGCGGGAGAGCAACTCTCTTTCGACTACAGTGACGGCAGCAGCAGCAGCGGCGAAAGCGGCGGAGGGCAATCCACAACTGGCAGAGAGGAGCAAGCAGTAGGAGCCACAATGGCAAGGTGCCTCTGCATGGCCGCGACTTGCAGAGGGTGGCTCTACACCGACGCTTCGCTGTGATGATGCATTTGGAAATGGCCCGCGAAAGGGGCTAGTTCGGAGAGAGGCCCGTCCGCCGCGCCTGTACCATACTCACGGTGTAGTCACATTTCTTCCCATTGTTTGTTCCGGGCACTCTTTGTTCTGGGCTGCTGTTTCCCCCTTTTGTGAGTTGTCCCACTTCGTTGGCGCACAGATCTGGGGCTAGCCTTGCGTACGGGCCCATTGGATCCGAACCGAAAAACACGATGAAGCGTTTTGATCGAATTCCCGCTGTACGTCTAGCAGACTAGACAAAGCTCACCCAGTCCAATCGCGTTTCGGTCCCGCGAGTGTCAAGCGATGGCTCCAGCTAGAGCAGTGACGGAAAACAATGAGAACACAATGACAAAATATTTAAGCAGGAAAGGGACAAGCTGGGAGTGAAACAAAGCCGTCTGCTTCCCATTATCTTGCTTTTGGAGGGGAGATCCAGGCGAAATTGCCACTATAGAGCACGCACAGCACTTCGGAGTCTGCATTCACTCCGACACGCTGCAATCAAGAGCGAGACTTGCTCCTCGACTGCTTTGCGCTTCATTACCACTGGACCACATAGGCGAGCGCTGCTCGTGTGATTGAGGTTCTTGTGAGCCACTGGCCCCGAGAAATTTTGAACTTGATTCGCACTTCCTTCGTTGGCCGGGCTCTCGGACGAGCCAATTCTTGGCACTCTCTGCCGAAGGGCCAGCAAATTGCGCTTTCAACAAGAAGATTGGCAATCACCCCTCTTTTGACAAAATTGACATTGCAACTTGGGGTAGCCGAGAGAGTCTAGATGAAGCGCTATGGGCCCTCGCTTTGCGTGCTTGCGAACTGTGGAGCCCAAAAGAGGTCTGGGCGACAGCGTTTAGTAGTGATGAATGGGGAGCTCGAATAGGGGGCGGGTGCATCCTGCATCCTGCACCTTTGGTCGGTGGGTTACATGCAGCACGCCGGCCTTTGTTCTGCGCTTGAAGCGAGGCAAGATGGAGCCATATACGTATAGTTCAGCGCATTGAGGGGATTTAATTTGGTGGCGCACAATCAGTCTTGCCTACTTTGGATCCCAGCGGTACAACTAACGGGCCTTTAATTGGCTCACGAACAGCTTGCATGGCTGCGGGAGGGGCGAAGGACTAGGAGGCAGCATAGACGCCTGCGCGAGAGGCTGCTCAGTTGTGCATCCGCCCACTGCTACTGTGAAGAAAGCACATTGCCATCGCATATGCATCCATCCTGGCGCTCATCTCTGTCCAATCACAAGTGGCCAGCCGAAGCGCTAGCTCCTTTTGATCGGGAAGAGCAGGGTGGACACGGACCCCCCTTGCTTTGTTTTTCCTCTTTGGTCTGCGTTGTCGGCGGCGTCTTTATCGTGGGATTATTATGCGGGGCAGAGACACCTTAACAGGAAAAAGAGTGCTTGTATTGAGCGTTGGTAGCTAGCTAGCTTAGTGGGCAATGGTACCATAGAGAACACCGTCATTTAATTACGATGAGCAATTTAGCGCTTCATCAAACATGGGAACCAAAAAAGCTGTATAGCTGGTGGGGAGGCAATCGAGCGATGGCCATCATGTATGCTTAGCGGACCGGAGGTTCTTGGTGAACTGATGACGCGGTGATTCTCTGCTGTAGTGCATTGTGTGGGGGAGACGAGGCCCGGGAAACTTGCCGTCGCGTCATGGGTGTCGCAAATCACTACGTACTACTACTACTACGTACTGAACTAGACATTCGCCGGTCGGTGCAGGGGTGTGACGCCCCACCTCGGCAAAAATTCGCCCCTTTTTGGTAATGGTGAAAAAAGCGATCCAGGCGCTAATGTGGCATGTCTCTTCTCCTCGCGCGGGCGTTGAAACTGCAAACTTCCTCATTGGGCGGACTGACTGTGCGTTTAGGCCCCGTCTTTTTGGATCCATTTTTTTTTCTCTTCTGTCTCTGTGTGATCACTTCAAAGAGAAAGTTTTTCCTCCTTTTTCTTTTCCTTTTTTCTGTGCTTGCTTTCCAGCCTTTCGGGACCTGAAAATTTCAAATCCACATGAAACTCCTTTTTCCCTGGAATAAGTCGCACAAAGAGGAAAGCGAGGAAAAGAAAAAAGAGGGGCTAGAATTGCAGCACACGAAGCAGCTGTGCAGCACACTACTTGTGCTCTATTGCTAAATCGAAACCTTGTCTCTGTCCTTTGCCGCCTCTCCCCCATCCCCCGAGGCGAGAAGAGACGCGTGAAGGCGGCGGCAGCACACGGAAGGCGAGGCCATGCGCTAGGCGGTGGAGTTGATGGGGTCAATTGCCGCTCCGATAATGGCAAGAGAGACTTGCCATTAGTACAATGTATGCTGAAACTGTCTCGCCTCGGACTCAGTTATCTGACAAGCATAGCAAGCAAATTGATGATGGACAGAAATTACGCACCCATCACTAGAGTGTCTCGAAGGCCTGTTGTAGTGCACAATACTAATTACTTGCTGTACTGGGACGCTGAATTGTGCTACCACTGACCGACTGCTGCTGCCATCCGTCACTCTGTGCGAGGACCATATATACACTACTATCCCTACTCGCTGCTGGCCGTCTTTCCCCCGTCTCAATTCTCTGCTACCTCCTCACCGTTTTGCCCTCGACTCGCCTGCCCCGCCCGTCCGCTGCTGCACCCATCGGTCCGGTCGTTGCTCGAGAATCCGCGTGTGTGTCTCCGTCTCGAAGGAGAACACGAAAAGTGCAGAGGAAAAAAAATAAAAAATAATAGAAGGAGAGCACCGCTATCCCGCGAGGCTCATCAAACGGCTCTGCGAACGGCTCTGCAAATTCGCCTCGCCTCTCTCTGCCTCTCCAGCGGTCGCAAGGAGGGATTAGGAAAAGGGCCGCTTTGACCGCCCGCACACATATTCATAAAAGGAGTCCGGGAACGATTCGTCGCTAGACACCTGTCGTCGCTCACCTTGGCATCCCCGCGTCTTCGTGCACAGCAGATGCGACAAGCGTAGAGCAAGTCAACCTCGAGACACCTTCCTCCTTTCTCCCTCTCTTTTCTCTCTCTCTCTCTCTCTCTCCTCATCTTCTCTTCTTCGCTTGCTGCCTTCGTCTTTTCGCCTACTCGCTCTTCTCTGCTACACCGCCACCACGACCGCTCCGGCATCGTTGTGCAGCCAAGCCCATCCGACCCCATCCGTTTCCTTCACCATCGCTTAGAGATACCAGCCTCGCATCATGGCTACTGCTGCGACACAATACCCGGCGCCACCTGCCGTGGCCGCTGCCACCACGACTGCGACAGCGACGGCTGCTCCGTCATCATCGTCGGCGCACCAACAGAGGACTAGCCAGCGGGGATCTTCGAAGCACCACTCGTCGTCGCGTTCGGCCGAGCAGTACGACCGCTTCTATGGGCATCGGGAGCTCTCTGAGCTGTGCGAACAGGTCATCATGGCCCTCTTCAGCTGCCCACTCGACTCGGCCGCCTCGTCGGTCAGCCAGCAGCAGCAGGCCAACGACGGGCGCGCTGCCCCACGGCTTGGCGAGTTCATCGCCTATGCACTCCACCGCACCCGGCTTCCGCTGGCGGTGACGCACCAGGCACTGTTCCTGCTCAAGAGGCTCAAGAGCCGCTTCCCAGCGGCACGCGGCTCCTCGGGCCACCGCCTCTTTATCTCGGCCCTCATGCTGGCGAGCAAGAGCAGCTGCGACGACACGTACAGCAACAAGAGCTGGACCGTCGTCGGCCAGGGCCTCTTTACGCTGCGCGAGGTCAACCAGATGGAGCGCGAACTGTTTGGCTACCTCGGCTACAAGGTCAACGTGGAGAATGAGGAGCTGGAGATCTTTGTCGACGGCCTCAACCAGGGCAAGATTGTCGACACCGTCTCGACGATGCCACCCCCAGCACAGTCTTCGCCCGTGCAGACAGGCGCAGACGACGCAGGCTCGACTTCGTCGTCGCACGATGTCGATGACGAGGCAGATGTCGATGACGAAGAGGACAACAGCGATGGAGAGCTGCCTTCGCAGCACGACATCGACGAGGAGCATTCGGTCTCACCGAGCACGAGCCTCGACGAGGACGACGACGACGACGCAGAGGATGCCAAGGTCGCCGATGACATGTCTGTCTCGCCCACAACGAAGCCGAGGCAATACAGCCGTAGCCACCAGGGCCACGCCGCCGTCGCCATCCCTGCCCATGGCCAGAGCCACCATCTCCAGCAGCAGCAGCAACAACAACAGCACCACCACCAGCATCAACACCAGCACCAGCAAACGCTTCGCGACGTCTACCACCAGCAGGCCGCCGCCGTGTCTGCGCCCAACGTCTACAGCGCAGGACTGGCTCGAAGCGCGAGCATGTCTGGCTACTCGTTCCCCACGACGCGCAACCAGAGCTACACGATGCCTGCGCAGACGGCCTCGCTCGACGCGCACCAGCAGCAGCAGCAGCAGCAGCAGCAGCAGGCCGCCGCCATGGCTGCCGCTGCTTCGGCGGCCGCATCATACCAGCAGTCGTACGCCTCGTCGTCGTCACGTGGCAGCATCTCATCGCTCAGCGGCTACTCGCTCGCCAGCGGCTCCATGACGCCCTCGCCCTCGCACACTGGCTCCAGCAGCTGCACCTCGCCCGAGACGCCGGCGTCGGAGCTGACGGGCAGCCCGTGCTGGACCGGCCAGGAGGCGCGAGTCCGACGGTCATCGAGCAACAGCAGCGCCCACATCGACGGTCACTTTGCGCCGCTGTCCAAGTACAGCGAGCAGTATGCGCGCCAGCCTGCGTACCCACAGCAGCAGCAGCAGCAGCAGCATGAGCGAGCCGCACAGGAGGCGGCCGCTGCGTACCGTCACCAGCAGCAGCAATACCAACAGCACCAGCACCAGCACCAGGCCGCATACGCTGCCGCATCGCAGCACCAGCGGCCCTTTGGCATCCACCCTGATTGGCAATGATAATCCACCAACCCAGCATCTTATTCGCCTTTCTATTCCAGCATCCAGCCGTTCCAACATCCTTAAAACCGGCTTCATTACGGACAACAACTTACTAAAGGCCGTCACCACGGTTCTGTTTCCTCACTTTATTCGTCTCTCTTCTCTTGTAGAACAGTCAGGTCGCGATCACAGTTCGCTCAGCTCATGGAGAGTTCGGCGTTCCTTCCACCACCATCATCGATCATCCCTCCCCCCCCCCCTTTCTTTATACTGTTATTCCCGCCTAATACTTTGGCCCCCCTTCTCTTGTCATTCAGCTTACTTTATTACTAGAAACGTCCCTTGTTACTACTACAAATGTGACACTTCACTGAGCCTTACTTGCTGTTGTTGTTGGTCGTGGCTGCCACGCCTGAGCCTGAGCCTGAGCCTGCGATGCGGTGGCTGCCGCCGCTGCCGGCGTGGGAGGCGGCGCCGAGAGCGTCTTTTTGCGAATGTCGTTGAACTCGCGTACGACGATGCTGCAATCGACGCTGTCGCACAGCGGCCGTGCACCGCGTTTGACGTCGTCGGAAAAGAGCGTGAGACCCGCAGCGCGCTCGACGGACTCGACAGGCACGAGAAACTGGCGCAGGGGTACCTCGTTGGGGATGCGCGCATTCGGCAGCACGAATGCGCCGAGCACGCCGCCGCCGCCTCGGGAAAGGAGCGAGGAGGAGGACGAGGCAGGGAGGGCGTAGATGACTTTGGCAAAGTGCGTGGGCACGCTAATCGATGGTGGCGAGCCAATGACTTCGTAGCTGACACGGAAGCGCTCCCGGCGCTCGTCGACTGCGCTGCTACTACCGCCTCCCGTCGCCGTCGGCGCCGGCTCGAGGTAGGACCGCGGGAGGTAGAGCGGGACCGTGAACACGTACACGTTCTTCCACCGCGGTGCGCGCCCATCGGCACTGGCCTTGGCGAGCCGGCGCGTGAAATCCTCGAGGTGGGCCCAGTAGTCGCGGTTAAAGCCCTCGCCGACCTGGGGGGCAATGTTGGAGAGGAAAAACGTCTCGTCCATGGCCGTCTGGCTCGTCTTGGCATCGGCGGCCGGCACCATGTGGCCGCGGTCGTAGCCCGAGCGAAAGTAGTCGGCGAGGCGCGCACGGAACAGCTCCGGGATCCGCGGGTCCTCCTTGAAGACGCTGTACCGTCGGTCCACGCCGCCACTTCCTCCGTCGCCGCCGCCGCTTGCAGGCGGGGCAAACGAGGCCGCGGTCAGGTGCTCGGCGGTCCACGCAGGGTGGCGAAGACGGCGGTCATACGCCGAGATGTAGGCCGTGTTCCTGAGCAGGTCCACGATCGGCCCCACGGAGCCTGCGCGCACCACCGGCTGGCCCGCGGCATCGGTGAGCGTCAGCGAGGAGGCGTCGATGAGGCTGTGGCCCGCCAGCGTCTGCGGCGCCCCGGGCGGCGGTGGGGGAGGCGAGCTAGGTTGGGTCGGCGCAGGCGAGGGCGAAGGACGGAGCAGGAACGCGCCTGTCGCTCCTACGAGGACGCCGCCGGCGAAGAAGGCCGACGAGAGGGGCACCGACATGGGACTTTGGGAGGGGTCGCGCTCAAATGGGCACTCACGTCTTCGCAGACACCAACCAGAAAAAGTGGACCTTAAGGTTAGTGAATCTCTCGGCCGAGAGAGTGACAGGACGAGCGTCACGGCCCGTCACTCTTGCGCACGCCCTCACGGAACTTCTGCGGACTCCCCTTCACCCCTGTCGTGGGATTGGTTGTGGCGGGGCGCTGGAGCGGCAATCAATACTTCGGAAAAATTCCGTATCAACGAGATACCCGACATGCCGTGAGAGGCACTGGCAGCCTTGGCAGCTTGGTAGCGGAGGACACAAAGGGCGAGAGTGCCTCGTCGGAGTTCAGGAACGGCACGGTCCGTTGACTCTGCTTCCGTCGTCACAATCGCAGGGCAAGCCCCTGTGCTTTCTCCTCCCCTGTAGATTATACGGTTCGCGGTGTATAAAAGACCAGGCATCTGGCTCTTGACATCTCTTCCCTGTACCACCACCATTCCACCGAGGCAAAGACTCTTTTCCGTTCAAGAAGGTACCACACCATCAGCGCCATACGGCCTAGCACGCTGTACGTCTACATTCGGAAGCAGCCAACATGAGGCTCACGACGATGCACATCAGCCTCTTCCTCCTGGCAACTGTCCTGGCCGGCAGTGCGACTGCGAGGTGTGGTGACATGATTTACAAAGGTCATAAATTCAGGAAGGTGTGCTGCGAGTGCCCAGATTCAGATCACGAAGGCGAAACTCTCCACGCAAAGTGCTATCCGCACAGCAGCTGCGATCTTGTTGAAAGTGGTTGTGAGGAGGTCTTCAGTTGTTGATCGACGTCATGACGCGGCGTTGGCTCGGGCGCTGTCTTTCTCGAGAGTAGAGTCTGCACAAGACCCAAGCAAGAGGCCTGTGGCAAAGATCATCATTGGTAAGTCTCTTCTTTCCATGCCATAGTTTGGCCGACACCACCTCTCCCTTCTTTTTGAGCTGACAACTGGACCTTGACAGCAAAATACGATTCTGATGGCAAAGGCAGCGACCGCGGTCTCTCCGTCTGTCCTGCCAGGAATGCTCTCTCATCGATATATTCACCGACAGTCCTTCCTCAACGATATGCCCCTTTCCGGCCCTTTCCTCCTCGATCCACCACACTGTCCATTATTGAGTCAACTTCTTGAAATGATACTTTAAGTCCGCCAATTCCAGACAGGCGCCGAGCTGCGGTGGGAGCTTGGCAGCGGAGAAAAAAGCGCGAGTGCGCCTCCTCCGAGGTCCAAAGACACTCACGGCCCGTCAATTCCGGCCGGGTCGTGCTATAAAGAGAGACTGCGCGAGGCTTGCCGACAAATTCCTCATCCTCCTTCGACACGATTTCGTCACACCATCAACGCCGTTCGAAAAGGCTCCCGACGCATCACTGCATTGCAGCAACAGCCATGAAATCCATCTCGGTGCAGGCCTGCGCTCTTCTTCTCCTGTCCATCGCCTTGTCCGTCAATGCGGCTTGCGGCAAAAACCAGGTGTGCTGCGAATGCGACAACGTACTGGTCGACAATCCGACAAAAAGGATACCAAAATGCATCACCACCACGTCTTGTGAGACCTACGACCCCAATTCGTGCTTCGAAAGGTCTGAATGCCCAGCATGATGCACGGACAGCGGCGCTACTCTCTTGAAAGCAGGCGTCAATGCTGACGAATGCAGGAAGCAGACGAATTCGGCGGACGCCAACGACCTTCACTTCCTATGCACCAAGCAAGCCTCCAACCATCACTCTTCCTGCTAAAAACCCGGCCCGGGCCAAATCAGCTGAAACCCTCAGGACCAGCCACGATGTGTCTCTCTGTGTGTCTGTTGACCATTCTCCCCCTATTCGTCGCGCACCACTACGCACACACCGATGTTCTTCTTTCTACTACCAATCCACTACCTACAACTTCTCTCGAGTCACTCCATCTTAGTCTAAAGCCTATGGGTGACGAGCCTGAGCAGCAGACGCGTCACAATCCTGCATCATGCAGCGAAAGGGGCGAGCGAGCATCGATGCTCCCTGAGGTCCCACAGCCTGTCCGAGAGCGCACACGAGACGGAGACGGAGGGGAAGCCGCCTGTCGCAGAGCAAGGCAGCTGCTACTTGGCTGGGCGAGGGATTATCGCGCGATCTCCACGCTCGCGTCACTGCCCCTCCACTTCGCGTCGTCGCACGTGGGCTCTGCCACTTTCGATCTCCTTGTCCTCAAACCACTCGAGGAGCTTTGCCGTGGCCTTTAGGTTGCCGATTGAGGTAGAGGGCTGGTCTGTCGACGTCATGCTTCTGCAAGCAGGCGCAGAGTGTCCAAGCGATCCTCGGTCACCATTCGGCGCGATTTGACTCGCGGGCTGACCAGTGAATCGCTGTGACGAGACAAGATCGGTAGAATAGGGGCGCGACGGTAGCTCACAATGACGCCTCTCTGAGTAGTCATGCGGCAGCCACTCAATTGACCCACTGGCCGGCCTGTCCCCACGTCCCAAAAGAGATTTTTTTTTCGACGCAGCCCAAGAAAGGGCTGAGACAGAGTGTGAGCGAGAGAGCGAGAGTGAGAAGGCCCGGCCTATGCCTGGTGACTATGCGCGCTTTCCGCCAATATAAACACTGCCTGCTTCATTTTCGAAATTCAGCCAGAAAGGGCCAGCCCGAGAGAGAGCCCGCGAGCGAGCCACTTTGCAGGGGGGTTTATTTTGGTCACTTTTTTTTCCATCGATTTTTCCACTTTGACAGGGCTGGCCCTGAGGAGACGAGACTGCTAGCTGGTGTCTTCCCACTAGCTAAAGCCACGGCCGCGGTCTGCACCACCAACACCAACATCGTTACAAGTCATATCAGTCTACCCTCCATGCTTTTGTAGCATCAGCTCTCCCCTGCGGCTTCTTGCTACCCGGGCCAGGTCCATCGCAGCCTCTCTCTCTGAAGCAGCGGCGGTGCTCTCTGCACGCAACATAACCACACCATGTCGACGAACCATGAACCAGCGGCCACGAAGGACGACGATGCTGCGGCTGCTCTCGGCGTAGGACACCCTCTCGCGGCAGCGCAGTCGGAGAGCGAGAGCTCGCACGAGAAGCGCAAGCTGGGCTCCGTCTCGTCGGGCGACGACGAGGTGCAGCGGCAAAAGGACGAGGCCCAGGGAAGGCCACTCGAGGCGACGGCAGCCGACGAGCAGGGCACCGCCAATGGCCACGAGAGAAGAGGGAGCGAGGAGGAAGACGAAGACGAGGATGGATTAGCAAAGAAGAAGAAGCGACGGATGTCGCGCGCAGGCAGCGTGCCCGACTTTCTCAAGCCGACGCCACGGGTCAAGGGTGCCAGCCAGAAGCTCTGGTCCTTTCTCGCCAACAACCTCAACTTCTACCGGATCCACCTCACCGTCTTTACGCTCACCCCGCTCGTCTTCTCGGCCATCTACTGGGCCTCCAACACGACGGAGATCAAGTACATCGACTGCCTCTTTGTATGCGTCTCGGCCATGACCGTGACGGGCCTGACGCCGATCAACCTGAGCATCAGCACGCCCTGGCAGCAGGCCATTCTCTTTTTCCTCATGTGCATCGGCAACATCAGCGCCGTGTCGATCACAATGGTCCTCATCCGCCGCCACTTTTTCCGGCTCAAGTTCGACGACGTGATCCGCAAGAGTGCGCGCGCGCGCAAGCGCATGCAGGACGTCGAGGTGGCGCACCAGAAGGAGAAGCGCAAGGAGCTCATCCGGCTGCAGCGCCTCGTGGGCTTGCGCAAGCGCCACCGGCGCCATCGTGGGCACCACGACGGCGATGACGACGGTGACGACATCGATGGCGACGACAGCCCCAGCTCGACGCCGAGGCGCGGCGAGGGAGGTGCAGCAGTAGGGGGAGAAGGCAGCCCGCGGAGCAGCGCATCGACCGACTCGATTGCGTCTGCCGAGCTGCGGGCCGAGCGCAAGAAAAAGGCGACAAAGCACAAGAAGGGCCCGCTGCGCGCAGACATGATCAAGCGCATGGACCAGCCCGCGGTGCTCATCAACCCCATGGGCATGCCCTCGACGGCCGTGCGCGAGCCGACGCCGGAGCAGCCGCCGCCGGAGCAGCCGACGCCGGAGCAGCAGCAGCAGCAGCAGCAGCAGCAGTCTGTGATGAGCAGGTCGCCAAGTGCACACTTCGCTGCGTCGACTGGCGGCGGCGGCGGCATCCTCGCCAGCAGCGGAGGCGGGCCCGACGAGAGCGGCGGCGACGACCAGCAGCCAAACGTGCGTATCGCGCTGCCCGACGAGAGCCAGCGCCGCCGGTCCAACGTCACCGTCGAGTCGCCCGAGGAGCTGAGCACGGATTCGAACCTGCTCTCGCCGCCGAATGCCGCTGCCACTGGGTCGGGGACGGGGTCTGGATCTGGGTTAGGCGCCGGCTCGGGTTCGGGCTCAAGCTCAGGAGGAGGAGGATCCAAGCGGCGCAGGGGCAGCATCCCCCCCTTTCGACTCGCAGCAGATGGCGGTGAGGCCATGCCCAGGACGGCCGAGCCACACCGGACGCGATTCAGCGACGCCGCAGACGACGACGACGCTGCTGCTGACGAGAGGCGGCCTGCCCGGCGCACATCGGACCCAACGCGCGGCGGCCAGTTGACCCACCACGCCCGCCACGGCTCCGACGTCGGCGCGATCCGGCCCCTTGTCACGCGGCCCGCCCCTGACTTTCCACGCGCACAGACCGTCGAGTTCTCGGAGCCATACGTAGACAGGGAACGGCGCTCGGTCAATCACGACCGCTCGGCGGCCACCACGACAGCCTTTTCGCCCGGCGCAGCGCAATCGCTCGGCCCAGGCTCCGCCTCGCTGCGCAACCGCGTGCCCACGCTCGACTTTGAGCGGACGCCCACCATGCGCTCCTCGACTGGTCAGGGCGGCTACGGCTACGGTGGCTACGGACGGCGCAACACGGGCGTGCCCATGACGCGCACCCAGACGACGTCCAAGGAGCGCGGCTTCGGTGGCTTTCCCACGCCCTTTGAGATTGCCGGCTTTGCCCTCAAAAAGGCCCTGCCCCAGCTCGAGGAACGCTTCTCACGCTCGACGACGATGCCGCGCACCGCCACCTTTGCCTCGACCTACTCGGCCACGGGCGCAAACGTGGACCCCAACACGCGCTCGGCGCCCTACCTCTCCTTTGACGCCACCGTCTCGCGCAACTCGCGCTTCCACGAGCTCACCGAGACGCAGCGCGACGAGCTCGGCGGCGTCGAGTACCGCGCCATTGATCTGCTCGCCAAGCTGCTGCCCGCCTACTGGTTCGGCATCAACTTTCTCATGGTCGTCCTCGTCGCGCCCTGGCTCGCCAGCGCCTCGGCCGTCACCGTGCACCGCGTCTTTGCCGAGCAGGGCGCCACCGCACCCGACACGACCTGGTTCTGGTTCTTCCAGGTCATCTCGGCCTACTCCAACACCGGCTTCAGCCTCATCGACACATCCATGATCCAGATGGCCGACCAGTACTTTATGCTGATCCCCATCGGCCTCCTCATCCTCGCCGGCAACACGGCCTTTCCCATCTTTCTCCGCTTCTTCATCTGGCTCTGCTCCCTCTGCGTGCCCAAGTCGTCGCGCGTCTACGAGACGCTGCGCTTCCTCCTCGACCACCCGCGCCGCTGCTTTGTCTACCTCTTTCCCAGCGCCCAGACCTGGTTCCTCCTCCTCGTCCTCGTCGTCCTCAACTCGACCGACTGGATCTTTTTCCAGGTCCTCGACATTGGCAACCCGGTCATCGAGGCTTGGTCCGTGGGCCAGCGCACGTTTGACGGCCTGTTCCAGTCGATTGCCGTGCGCGCTGCTGGCTTCCAGATCATCTCGCTCCTCGCCCTCGCACCCGCCGTCCAGTTCCTCTACATTGTCATGATGTACATCTCCGCCTATCCCATCGCCATGTCCGTGCGCAACACCAACGTCTACGAGGAGCGCTCCCTGGGCATCTACAACGACAGCGACGAGACGCCGCCGGCGTACGACGACGGTGCCCTCAACACGGGCGGCGCCAAGGTCTGGGGCACCTACCTGGCTGCCCACGCGCGCCGCCAGCTCGCCTTTGACATCTGGTGGCTCGGCTTTGCCCTCTGGCTCATCTGCATCATCGAAAAGACCAACATCGAGGACCCGGCCAGCAACGGCTGGTTCACCGTCTTTTCGTGCCTCTTTGAGCTCACGTCGGCCTACGGCACCGTCGGTCTCAGCACGGGCACGCCGTACGACAACTTTAGCCTGTCGGGCCGCTTCAGCACCCTCTCCAAGCTCGTCGTCATTGCCGTCATGCTCCGTGGCCGCCACCGTGGCCTGCCCGTCGCCATCGACCGCGCCATTTTGCTTCCCAGCGACCTCGAGTACGAGGACGACCTCAACCAGGCCGACCTGGTCCTCGACGAGACTGGCCACCTGCGCAGCCGAAACACGTTTGCGCCCACGGCCAGCAACTCCTTTTTCCCGCGCAGCGCCACGGGCGCCACGAATCCGGCGACGACGTTTACGCCGCGCACCGTGCGGGCGCGCAGCGAGAGCCTCGAGCGCGTCCCCTCCCGCCTCGTCCTGGGCAGCGGCGGCGAGCAGCAGCAATTTGACGACGACGACGGCAGGGACTTTAAGGATCTGAGCTACATTGTCGAGAATACGACGCAGGAAGAGGCGCAGCAGGACGACGCCGCTGCCGACGAGGGCGAGGGGCATGTTAACTCACGGCTTCAGCGGCCGTCCCTTGGCCAGCACTACCACCTCAGCGCCATCCGAGAGGCCACGCCGTCGCCACTGACGGCCACGACGCCCACGGCGATGAGCCGCGCCAACTCTGGCAGCGCTCAGACTCAGCAGCAGCAGCAGCAGGCGGCCGACGCGAGCAGCAACGGGAGCAGCGACTCGAACAAGGGCAAGGCGAGGGAGACGGGCACAGCGTCTGACTCGCCCCCGCCGCCATTTGAGAAGGCCACGCGCATCGAGTCGCTGCAGAGCGACGTCGTCGATGATTCCTCGACGCACGAGCACGGCAGCATCGCCGACGAGCAGACTGCTGCGAGGCGCGAGGAAGAGTACAGGAGAAAGTACAGCTGTGATTAGATAGATATCCCCACCGCAACATGGTCCCCGAAGCATACGACGACGGCCGTTCTTTGGATCGCCTTTTGTACTTTTATCACCTTTATCTTCTTCGATAATCTTCTCTCCTTCCCTTTCATCATTGATCGATCAGCGACGCTCAATAGTTCTATAAGCATTCTTTCTTCTCTCTTGCAATAGCACATCTGCGAATGACAGCATCAATGGGAAGTCAATGCGACAGGACCGAGACCAATCGGCCGAGAGTGATCTCGAAAAAGATCTCATACAGTCAGTCACTTTCTTTGTTGCCACGATGTCCTGCACAAACAGTCTCGCGATCGTTGAGAAGATCGAAGCAACGACAAAGAACTATTGAGTGGCAAAGTAAATTGACACTTTTGCGACCCCAAAAATATACACAGGCCATCTTCTTCTTCCTCCTCTGAGAGAGATAGGACACGCGGTAAGAGGACGGCATGCATCAACTTCTTCGGAGTCCGGCATTCGGTTTGCCAAGGGGGGGAAAGAGAGACTGTGTGATGTGATTCTAGAATGAGGTGATTGACCGTCGCACCAAGAGGACGCGCTGGCCGCAAGCGGCCTCTTTCTCACCACGCCCGCGGCGTCCTGGATCTTGCCGGGCCGTGGGAAGCAGGCTCGCGCGGGGCAAAGGGCATGAATGTAGTGGATAGTTGCGCACGTTTTGCGCGCGCTGACGTGCAATTCGAGATCTAGGCAAGGCAAGGAGAAGCGCGACAGTGTAGCTAGTGGTGGGCCTTGTGGAGAGAGGGCGAGGCCTCGGTGACATCAAGAAGAACTCGGAAAGAAGGCAGGCCGCTGTGGAAGCGTCCTCTGCATCACAATTACCGAGGCGGACTTTGAAAGTGGATGGAGAGAGAGAGAGACTTATTGATGGTGGGGTGGCAGCAGGCTGGAGATCTACGATGCAGAGAGAGGTGTGTATTCTGAAAGGGCTAGGCCTGACGGCATCTCGTCAATCTTGGCATGCCACAAGTTGCGCTTCCGGAAATTGGAACAACAAAAAAAAGTCAATTAATTGTCGCCGAAAAGCCAGAGCCAGAAATATAGCCGTCAGAGTAGTGTGGCCGTCCCCACGGTCGCTAGCGGCAGACTAGGCCAATCGCCGGCAAGCTCCAAGATGGGTGACAGGGCAGATTGAGCCAAGCCGAAAAGGCAGGACTGGAAATAATGAGCTTCCTCGGTCACTAGCAGGATAGCGTCGAGAACGCGTCTAGAACGCCGGTGGCAGCGAACGTGCTTCGTCCTTCCTTTGGCTTTGCCACTACTTATCGCCCTCGATGAGCAGAACTCTCGAGCTTCCCGTGCTTTGCTTATCCATTGTGGCAAAAGGGCCTTTTTTTTGGTTTCCTACATCACCCGAGCTGGCCATCACCATCGCATGCGAAAAGAGACAGAGCCACGATTGCCGTGAATGCTGTCCGTGCATCCCATTTATCGTCGGACTTTAAATCCATGCTAATTTACCCATCCGATGGGAGGCGAACTTGAAGCAACTTGTTCGCAAACCGGGGCCACACGACATACACTCTCACACGCATAGTCGGGTGCAGTCGCTATGCCAGAGTGGTGACCTGCTCCTGGTCGCGCTCACGGTTCACGGTTCCGCCTGTGGCTTCGCAACTCTCTCCGTCGACCGCGTCCGCCGCCGCTCTGGGACCGCGCGGGCCGGCGCCTGGTACCTGCAGAAGAGTTCTGCCCTGCCAAGCCCGTCCGAGAGCAAGGGGGAAAGCTAGCAGCCGGCTGACCAGACGACAATAGTGCAGCAACGATTTGTTATTCCCCAGCAGTCGCAAGCAGCGACCCCCCCTCGGCGGAGTGCCAACTCCCGACCACCGGAGAGTTTTGCTTAAATTTTCCACCTTTTTCCCCAAGCCATGAATTCGCGCTTTCAGATTTAGAGTGTCAAAAGGGCGTCCGTCAGCCAATCAGATGCGTGGAATCTTGACACGTTCGCTCATGCACCGATGCATCTCGCTCCATCTTTTTTTTTATATCTACTTTTGTGCCTCGAACTTGCTACAAGCAGAAGGACAACCTATATCCGCAATCGTGAGCGAGCACGTTCTTGCCCTTCCCGGGAACCAGGCCAGAGACTGCAAGGCCTGTCCCTGGTCTGGTGGCTGAGAAGAGCGACTGGACTGGAGCTGTGCCGGCTCTCCTGGCTGACAGATAGATGAACTCCATTAGCGTACCTACCTGAGCCCAATTTAAAAAAATTTAAGATGCGGTTGTTCGAGACCATTGCCACAACAAGTAGTGGGATTCGAGGATAACGGACCGTTGGTCCTGGGCTTGGCTGCTGCGTGATTCAGCGATTGCATCCGTAGGAGAAGGGTTGGCACCTTCGGTAGCGATGGCGAAATGGGCGGACGGGAATTTTGCCTGCTGCACAGGTGCAGAGTGGCCAAGTGCCCCCCGGAGGATCAATGTCCATGCACTTTCTTCTAGTGTGATCGAGGCCCAGCGACGGTCAGACCAGGATTTTTTTATTTACTTTTGCCGGCCGCAACTGTGCTGCCACTTGATCGCAGTAGGCATGCGGCTTGATACTCCGGTCAAACGCCGCAAGAGACTCGAGGCTCGCAAAGGGACGGGAATAGGAAGGACGAGGCCGAGGAGAGAGAGCCATTGACGAGGGGGGAATTTGCACTCAGAACGTGCCATCGCCGCCCTTCGCCAACAGATAAAAAGGGCGTCTGATGTCGCACCATCTGGAAACTCCCCTCAGAAGCAAGCCAAGGAGCACTCGCGCCCACCACTCCTCTCCGCCAGCCCACCACCTTCCATCAGCCCGGCTGTCGTTCTATAAGAGAGCGTGACTGACTCCCTTGCTAGACTCTCACCTCACCTCACCTCACCTCTCTCTACTACCACCTCCACCACCACCACCACCACCCTCGCATACAAAGCTGCAAAAATGGCTTTCGGTGCCGACCTCGACAACTACACCAATGCCCACACCACTCTCGGCCTGCTCGAGAAGAAGCGGGGCGCCCGCTTCCTCGGCATCTCCTGGGGCGAGGTCAAGCTGCTCATGATCGCTGGTGTTGGTTTCCTCATGGACGCCTACGACCTGTTCATCATCAACATGGTGAGTTGTGCCCCGATAGATAGAGATAAGGATCAATTGGCTGATATGTCGACAATTACAGATGTACGCAGTCATCATCGTCGCCTACCCCGAGTTCCACGCTACCAAGACACGCAAGGCCAACGTCACCTGGGGTCTCGACGGTGGTGTGCTCAAGGCCTCGGCCAACATCGGTAACGTCCTCGGCCAGGTTCTCTTCGGTTTCCTCGGTGACTACTTCGGCCGCTCGGCCGTCTACGGCAAGGAGCTCATCATCATCATCGTCGGTGTCATCATGATCATCAGCGCGCCCGACTACCTCGGCGGTGTCGGTGTCACTGCCTGGATCTTCGCCTTCCGTGTGCTCATGGGTATCGGCATTGGCGGTGACTACCCCATGTCGGCCTCGGTTGTCTCGGACCGTGCCAACCTCAGGAACCGCGGTCGCCTGCTCGCCATCATCTTCTCCAACCAGGGCTGGGGCAACCTGCTCGGTGCCATCGTCGCCGTCGTTGTCATTGCTGCCTACCGCGGCCCCGTCCTCGCCGGCGACCTGCACAAGCTCTCGGGCGCCTGGCGCATCATGCAGGGCCTCGCCCTCATCCCCGCCTTTGCCGTCCTCTACTTCCGCCTGACGCTCGTCGAGTCCACCCGCTTCACCCAGGCCCGTGCCATCCAGGACGACCCCGAGCTGCTCAACAAGGCCTCGGCTGCCGGTGTCATTGTCAGCGAGGACGAGTCCGAGTACGCTGGCAACGGCGAGAAGAAGCTCAGCTCGAGCAACTCGGACATCATCGCCCCTGAGCCCGAAGCCGTCGGCCTCAAGCTGGCCACCGTTGGCAAGAAGCCCAAGAACGAGTTCTTCGAGTACTTCAGCAACCCGCGCCACGCCCTCACCCTCTTCGGCACCGCCGCCTGCTGGTTCCTCGTCGACATCACCTTCTACGGCATCAACCTCAACCAGTCGTCGATTCTCACGGCTATTGGCTTCACCAACGGCAACACCTACGGCAAGCTCATGAAGACCGCTACCGGCAACCTGATCATCACCGTCGCTGGTTTCCTCCCCGGCTACTTCTTCACCATCGGCCTCGTCGACGTCGTTGGCCGCAAGCCGATCCAGATCATGGGCTTCACCATGAACGCCCTCTTCCTCGGCATCCTCGCGGGCAAGTACAACGAGTACAAGGCACACACCAACCAGATCTTCCCCCTCTTCGTCTTCCTCCAGTTCTTCTTCAACTTCGGTGCCAACGCCACCACCTTCCTCTACCCCGCCGAGGTGTTCCCCACCGCGGTCCGCGCCACTGCCCACGGTTTCTCGGCCGCCTGCGGCAAGTGCGGTGCCATCCTCGCCTCGCTCCTCTTCAGCTACCTGTCCAACCAGCCCTTCGGCACGGCCAACGTCTTCTGGATCTTCTTCGGTATCTCCATCCTCGGTGCCATCATCACCATCGTCTGCCTGCCCGAGACCAAGGGTGTTGACCCCGACGAGAAGTACCGCCAGGAGCTTGCCGAGAAGAACGGCCTCGGCCAGGAGACGGCTGCTGCCCTCCACTAGATTCGCCTTCGCTCCTCCTCCTCCTCCTCCTCCTTGTATACAAAAGAGCAAGTCATTATTCTTCCACTTCACACAACAACAGCCCTTGCCCAACCCTTAATCTGTCTATAAATGCCTTGCGCTTCTCTTTTCTTTTTTTGTCTCTTCCTCTTGGGCTTTTCTCCTCTTTTCGTAGCTTACCCGCTCTACGAGTACTTGCTTGCGCTTTGGAGACGTCATCCTGATGAAATCCTCATACCATTTCATGATCACACGTGGACGTCTGATGCAGTGGGCTGGGTGGTAGGCACATCGCGAAGGGAAAACTCGACGAGGAAGAGACCGGAATGGAAAGTTTTCGATGGGAGGGACGCAGCTCTCGATCGCCCTGCCCGCTCGCTTTCTTTCACATACGAAGCGAGCGCATGCATGCGACGGCTACTAGCTCTAGCTCGACCCTGGCCCTGACCGTGACCAAGACCCTGGGAACCGCACCGGCAGCCGGGCCACCAACATGCGGGCGGGCAAACCTCGGCTGTCCGCAATCACAAGAGAGAGTGATAGAGAGGTTGTGAGAACCCTCCCTGGCTGGCCCTTAGCCACGTTTCTCTGGCAAGAGGCAAGCCCGGGCGCGCGCCTACAGCCAATCTTGATCTGGTTTACTTTAGGTATCCTTGGTGTGAAATTTAGCTCTTCTTTTTTTTTAATCTTTCGCTCAGATTGAGAAAAGAGAGACGCAGGCTTTCCTTCAAGAACAAGACGCAGCTGTGTCCAGACCTGTCTGCTGCTGCTCAACCCTTCCACCCTCCAATCTGTGCAGGCTTCATTGGGCAAGAAGCGGGTTGTTGCAAGCGCTCGCAGCGCAGAAGAGGTACAGCACGACAGATAGCCGCAGCGGGGCACTGGAGATGGGATGCAGCGGGTGTCGTCGGTGAGGGAGATGCTCGGCGGCGCGGCGTCGCACCGCCGTGCGTCTGCTTCTCCGCGCGCGTCGTCTTCCTCGTCCTCCTCGTCCTCCTCCTCTGAAGAGTCCAGCTCGTCGTCCGAGGCAGAGACAGAGACAGAGACGGAAACAGAGACAGAAACAGAGACAGGGACAGAGTCCGGGGCCGACTCGGACGCCTCTGCGACGACGGCGCGCGCACCTGGGCCTGGGTCTGGGCCGCCCTCTTCATCATCTTCATCTCCGACACGGGCGAGGCGCGAACTGCTCCGCTCGCTCTCGGCGCCTGCCTCGCGCTCGCCCTCGTTTGCCGAGCACCTCGACCGGCTCGCCTCGCACGCCCAGTCGGCCCACCGCTTCCCTGCCGGCGCCGAGGCTGTGCCACCGTCGTCGTCGTCAAGCACGAGCACGAGCATGGCCGCGGCTGCGTCGAGACCGAGGCGCTCCTCGTCGCGCTCCACGCCGCCCTCGCCTCTGCTGAATCCTTCGCTTCCTGCTGCGTCATCATCAGCATCACCGTCGTCGTCGCTCGCAGCGTCCTCCTCACTCGCCCTGGGCGGCGCTGCCTATCCGGCCCGGCGTGCCGCAACACGGCCTCCTTCACCCATCGAGCGGCGTCCCCAGGCAGCCGCGGGCGGGCTCACGGCCGAGCAGCTCCGTACCCGGCGCGCCCGTGCCAGGTCATGGGTCTTTACGCCAGGCGCTGCCTTTACGCCGGCCACGAGTCCCTCGACGGCTCCTGCCAATCACCAGCACCAGCAGCGCCATGCATCGTCGCCGGGCGTGCCTGTCGGCCAGGTCGCAGAGGCGTGGTCGGCCGAGACACAGCCAGGAGGAGGAGGAGGAGGAAGGGCCCGATCGAACTCGGCGTCGTCGTCGCGATCCGTCTCCTCCACGGGCTCCGCAGGCACATCATCCCGCCAGCGGAGACAGCAGCAGCAGCAGCAGCAGCAGCAGCATCATCATCAACATCACCACCACCGTGACCGTGCACCCCCGCCGCAACCGCCACATCTCTCTGCCAGCATGGCGCATGCAGCTGCCCCGCCCGCCCGGAGCCGATCGACGCCCCAGCTCGCCGGCATCTTTGACGGCACCGACCACGAGGCCGACGCGGCGGCGCTGCTTGACGGCTACTTTGCCCTCCCGCCCAACTTTGCCGTCGCCGCCGTGGCAGCAGCTGCAGCAGCGGCCGCGGGGCAGATGGAGAGCCCGCCGCCGTACAGCGCGAGCGCCATCGATCTCCGCTTGCTTGGCGGTTCGTCCGACTCGGACTCGGCCTCGGCCTCGGCCTCGCTGACGGCCTCGCCCTCTCTGCCTGCCTCTATCACGGCGGCGGCCACTCCAACGACGGCCACTCCGATGACGACGACGGTGGGAACAGCAGCGCACGAGGAGCAGGAGGACGATGGGCTGAGTTTTGCCGTCGCTCGGCGCAGGAGACGAGACGAGGGAGCGTCACGCCGCAGCCTTGTCGCGGCGCCGGAGCAGATCAATGCTGAGTCTGCAGCCGCGGCGGCGGCTGCGACGGCGACGGCAACAGCCTCGGCCATTGAGCCATCGCCGGCGGTGGCGACTACGCGATCACGGAGGAGGGCCTCGTCGAACCCGACGAGGATCCAGGACTGGCCGGGGCAGAGGGATAGTGAGCGAGACGACGACAACGACGACGGGCTGCGGTCAGGGCCAGACGACGGCGGCATCACCTCGGGTGGCGAGACGCTCCTCTCACCCGACGACGACGAGCGTGGCGATGATGAAAGGACAAGGCGAGCGACGACGACGGCGAGAAACGACAAGGGGAGACGGCGGAGACGGCGAGCACGGGCCCACGAGCGCGACGGCAGCAGCGGCGGCGGCGGCGGCGGCCTGCTCGCGGTGCCCCTCTGGCTCTGGCAGCGCATGCAGGACGAGACGACGGTGCGCCGCTTTGTCATGCGCTGGCTCCTCCATCCGCTCCGCCTCCTCGCCGCCGTGCCCGGCTGCATCGGCACCTTTTGGCTCCTCCGCAATGCCGTCCTCCTCCTCTGGCACGGCGACGGCTTCCTGGGCCGTGCCGATGGCCGCGGCGATGGCCACGCGTCCCTCGACAGGCCCTGCGCCCTCGACTTTTTCCTTGCCTGCCTCTGGGTGAGTGTACTCTTTTGTCTTGTTGAGAGAGAAGGAGCTGACAGCGGACACACAGAGCATCACGACGGCCTACCACGCCCTGTCCTTCACCACGCTCCTCCTCCGTCGCTGGCTGCTCTACTACTCGCTCGTGCCCTCGCTCATCCGTCTCGTCGCACTTCAGGCCATCTGCTGGCCCCTCGTGCGCCTGACGCTGTACGTCGCTGGCCCCGACGAGCCCACGGGCGCGTGGGTCGTTGTCGGCACCACGACGGCCCTCAGCGACACCGTCGCCCGGTGGGTCACGAGCAACCTGGCCGACGTCGATGCCGCCGAGGATGCCCAGCTGCAACATCAACAACCTCAACAGCAGCAGCAGCAGCAGCATGGCAATGGAAGCAAGCACAGGCTCGTCAAGAAGCGAGGCGACAGACAGCGCGGAAGCGCCTTTTGGCGTGCCGTCGTGGGAGGTCCCTCGTCGTCGTCATCGCGCGATGCAGGCACTTCAGAGCACAGGAGCAACGGCAGTGCGCGCATTCATTCAAGCAACGGCAATGCGCTGCACAGTCAGGACGAGCTCGATGAAGAAGAGGACGACGAAGACCTGCTGGAAGAGGAGGAGCTGCAGCAGGAGCACGAGACCGTCGTCCGACGCGTCTTTCACTGGGACGTGGCCCTGCGCAGAAACGTGCTGCCGATTGCGCTGCTGGGCTACCTGACCATGTGGTCCCTCATCCTGCGCAGAATGGCCTTTCGCGGTGACAGCAGCAGTCCGGAGCAGATGCACCTCTTGTGATTCGATACCCCACACAAAGACACACACACCAGAGCCAATCAATGCCTATCCATTATTGTCCGCGTCTGTGAGCGTGCCTGCATGCCTGCATGACCTGCTGCCTGCCGTGGAGAGACTGGACTTTTCACTCGCGTGGCATTTGCGCGCTCTTTTAACACGCCGCGAATTGACCGAGCAGGAGGCAGGCCTGGCAAGAGCGCGGGCCAAGACGCGCGTGCGTGGCTTTTTTTCTATTTTTTTTTCCCTCTTTCTCTCTTCCGGGATCCCCCACCTTGAAAGAGAGAGAGTCTCCTTCCTGCGACGCACATATACAGGCACGGACAGACGACGGCGACCAAGACGAGACAGGAGAAGATCCGGATGTACAGCTAGAAAAGGGGATATCCAAGCCAGAGAAGATCTTTGCCCCACAGAACCACCACTTCCTCCCTCTCCTCCTCCTCCTCCTCCTCCTCCTCCTCCTCCTCCTCCTCCTTCTGACAGCACAATGGCGCCCGCCTCGCAACGCAAGCTCCGTGTCGCCCTCATCGGCTGCGGCCGCCAGGGAAAGGTGCACGCGCTCAACGTGAGTGAGATACAGTATACCTTACCCCTTCTAAATTGGGTTGCGACTGGGGCTTTGTTTCTCTACCCCTCGCGACCCTCATTCGTTGGGAAGAAGAAGAAGATTATTCTGTCGAGCCAGAGTGGGCACCTATTCTTTTTCGTGAGAGAACATCGCACTTCTCCTCGCTCTTGTCCCTCTGGCTACATTTTTCATCTCACCCTGCAAGATGTCTTGGTCGGTGACTGACGAGACGCGCATACAGTTTGCCATGTCGACGCCGCGCTGCGATGTCGTCGCCATCGTCGACCCAGCACCGACGACGGCCGACTGGGTCCGCACCAACATCTCGCCTGACTTGCCGGTCCTGCGCACGCCCGAGGACCTCTACGCGCGGTATCCCTGCCCCGTGGGCGGCAAGCCGTCGAGCGGCGCCCTCGACGCCGTCGTCATCTCCACCGAGACGGCCTTCCATGCGACGCTGGCCTGCGATGCCATCGGCCGCGGCGTCCACGTGCTCCTCGAGAAGCCCATCAGCATCGATGCTGCGGGCGACGAACAGGTACTGGCCGCCAGCAAGGCGCGGCCCGATGTCCGCGTCGTCGTCGCCCTCAGCCGGCGCTTCGACGCCTCGTACCGCGCCGCCTTTGACCGGCTCCAGTCCGGCGAGCTCGGCGAGGCTTTCCTCGTCAAGAGCGCCACGGTGGACCAGTACGACGAGTCGGGCTGGTTTGTGCCCTACTCGCTCAAGAGCGGCGGCATCTTTATCGACTGCGGTATTCACGACATTGACATTGCCCGCTGGATGCTTGGCCTCTCGGATGCCCAGGGCGTGCGGCAGCGCTCGTCGGCGCGCGTCAAGCGCTGCTTTGCCATTGGCTACAATGCCCTCCACCCGGAGCTGGGCCGCTACGGCGACGCAGACAATGCCACGGGCGTCGTCCAGCTCACCGACGGCCGCAGCTTCACCTTTAACCTCGGCCGCACCGCCATCCACGGCCACGAGTGCTCGTGCGAAATCATCGGCACAAAGGGTCGCGTCTTTGTCAACCAGAACCCAGCCATGAACCGGGTCCAGATCCTCGATGGCCACGGCGTCCGAACCGAGTCGACCCCGACGTACTTTGAGCGCTTCGAGCAGGCCTTTGTCACCGAGGCGCGCGAGTTTGTCGCCGGTTGCCTCGACGGCGCCGACATGTGCGTCACGCTCAACGATGCCGTCGAGGCGGCACGCATCGCCACGGGCCTCACCTATGCCGTGCGCAGCGGCGAAATCGTCGACTTTGACCAGAAGACGGGCAAGCCGATCCCGCCGCGCGGCCTCGTCGGCTCCACCGCCGGCACGGCCATTGTCGACTCGCAGAGCAAGCTCTGAGTCGCCTTGCTTGCTTGCTTGCATGCGCCTACTCTTGTATGCACCTACCTCTACTACGATACACCAGCAGCACCCCTACCTAGAGCCATTCCCCCTTCTTTCTCTCTCTTTCCCCAGCGCATCGATGCTGATGCCGAAGCTCAACGACCTCATTAGAAAAAGCAGCCCGTACAGACAATGAACAATTTTTGGATCCTCACGCCAGAGCCAGAGCCAGAGCCAGAGCCCAGAGAGTGAGAGGAAAGAGAGAGAGAAGAGAGAGAGAGCGAAGAGTATTATTAGATATAAACAAAAGAGACGAAAGAGAGAGAAAAAAAGAGAAAAAGAGTCTCGGGGGCGTCGAGAGACTCTATGTCTAGGCAGCCGCCGACTGGCCCTCTTTGCTGCTGTGCAGAATGTCGTCGCGGGAGCCAGAACCAGAGCCGGAGCGGGCGTGGGCGGCGTCTGCCTTTGCCTGGCGGATCTCGCGTGGCAAAAGGGCGGCGCCGGCGAGGTACAGGACGGCGACGAGGGCGGCCCAGGCATAGATGATGTAGTCGGCGGCCATGGTGGGCTGCCAGCGCCAGAAGCGGAAGCCCTTGTGGATGTTGTAGACGGAGAGCGCAAAGAGGGTGAGGCCGAGGGGCGCATGGAGCAGGCCGACGTAGCGCACGCCGAAGCGGGCGCGCACGACGTGGGCCACCTGGCCGAGGCTGAGCTGCACGGCGAGGAGGATGACGAGGGCGAGGCCGAGGCGCGTGTGGGTGCCGCTGAAATGTTCCAGGCCCGTGGACTCGGAGACGGCGACGATGCCGAGGATAAAGGCAATGAGGATAAAGACGGCGGCGCCGTACTGCACGTTGCGGTGCCAGGGGAACCACTTGAACGTGGTGCGGCCATAGCGCGCCAGGAGCATGCCGATGGGTGCCAGGAGCATCCAGCCGATGATCATGAAGAGCTGAGAGAAGGAGGTCTCACTGTGTCAGCCAGTGTCGTGCGTCTCTGCATTAGGGAGGGAAAAGGAGACTGACCATGTGGACGATGATGAGGCGGTTTTTCTTGTTCAGCTCGCGAGCGCTGTTCTGCGAGTTGCTGGTGCTGCTGGTGCTGCTCGTCTGCTGCGCACCCGTGAGACCAGCCGGGACGGCGGCAGCAGCCGTGTATGCCTTTGTCATGTCGAGGGTGAACTGGTCGGTGTAGTCGTGCATGCCGATGCGCGCATTGCTGTCGGCCGACGCCGGTGTGTTGGGCGACGTGGCAAAGATGTGAGCGACGCTGTTTGAGGGCGCGCTCGACTGGGGAAACTGCCAGCTGATGATCGTCTCCTTGTCGGCCGTCGTCCGGCTGGCCTGCTGGTCGGGCGTGTAGGCCGATGCGCGCACGAGGGACGAGGTGGGCATCGAGTGGCCCGAGGCGCTGCGCTGCGACGTCGTGATGCTTCCGTCTGCGTTTGCCCAGCCGACCTTGAGAAAGACAGGCGATGAGCTTTATGTCTCTGGCAGTGCGAGGAAGAGCACTCACCATCATGTTGGCACCGGACATGCCCTCGCCCTGGCCGACGCCGTACCAGCCCTTGTCGGGCCCGCCCATGCCAGCGGGCACAACAAGGGTGTAGTTGATGGCGTTGCTCGCGGCGCTGTACACGGCTGTGAGGCAGAAGCGCTGTGCAGATGGAAAACGGCGTCTTACGGCTCAGCCAGGAGGCCAAAGAGGTCCATCTGCAGGGGGCACACTCACGGAGGAGCAGTACGAGTCGGACGTCTCTGGCTCTGTCGCGAGCACGGCTGGGCTGCTGGAGACCCGCGAGAAGCGCGAGGGGCGCGAGGGCGGCGACGATGGCTCCAACGTGGAGCTGTACTGGGCCGAGGCGAGTCCGGCGAGGGCGGCGAAGCCAGCGAGCTTGTAAGCGTAGAATTTCATGCTGTATGGGTCCTGACTGTCGCAGGTCGCCGTGCACAGTCTAAGCTTGGGGTTGGGTCACGGTCTAGGAGGAGGCTGAGTTGCTGTCGCTGAGGGAGAGGGGAGAGGTTGCACGACGGTCAGGGTCGAGTTCAAGGAGATGAAGACACAAAGGGAGAAAGAAAGACAAGAGGACAAGGCGCAACTTAAAAAAAAGAGGCAAGGGAAGAAAGACAAGGGGCAACAGCCACGCCGCTTGTCTCGACCGGACTCTTCCAGCTATGACGCTGCGCCTCCGCCCGATCGCCTGCCTGCCCCGTCGCCCCTTGGCCCGCGCTTGGCACAGCTGGACACCGACCGCCGTGGAACAGCAGGCCAGCAGACAGACGAGTGCGCGGCGCCAGCCAGCAAAGTCTCTAGTCCCTTGTTCAGACAGCAGCTGCCAGGCACGGACCAGCGAGGATATACACGAGGGTGGCTGGTTCACGTCAATCAATATGGCGGCCCGCTGCTCCGAAAAGCGCACGCCCTTGTTTTCCGACAGCTTGTCTTGCTATCTCTCGCACGCCACGCCTGCACACACGCACAGGCCCGCTACTCACCTCCTACGAGGCTGTGTCTTTTTGTCAGACGACGGGGGAGCGATGGACTGAACGTAGCAGACCTTTTGTTTAGACGGGGGCCGTGCGTGACGTACGGGTTAATCGCACGCCGTGTTTGCGAAGAATAGAAACCGAGTTAACGGGTATGGTGTAGTAGTAGTAGCTGGCTATGAGAAGAACGTTTTCCGTTGCCAAGCGCCTCGCCAAGAAGGGAGGGGGGTGCCTGCGTCACCGAGTTTGCGCAAATTTATTCTCGCGGCGAGGGTTAGGGAACCAGTGTAAGCGCGGAAGGGAGGCCCCGAGTGTCGGTGATGAAGTAGGGAGGGAGGGATGGCTCAAGTTCACGGTACGACACAGCCATGCAAAGGCAAGATTGGAGAGCAGGCAGGTAAATGAAGGCGGTGCCTCGATTCTGACAGCAGCCGACGTCAGCGCGCCCGGTACTTCTTCCATCGTGCCGGCGAGGCTTGTGCATGAGGGGGACACGCAAACAATAATCTGCCCACAATTCATCGCGGCTGCACGTACAGTACTACTCCTCTACGTCTCTCGGATTAATGGCTTGAGTACTGTCTCGGTCTCAAACGAGCCAAGGCCGCTTCGTTGTGACACCGGACCACTGGCTGCTGCAGCCCTCGAGTCGCGATGCGCTCCGAGAAAATGGCCGGAAAGGACGACTACACAAAGCCACACGAGCACAGCCAAGGCGACAGCAGGAATGCGCGTTAAATTTTCCTTTCTGGCGTGACCCTGACAAATGCCAGAAAATCGTGCGGTCCACCTGCCTGCCTGTATGTACAGTACTGTAGACAGGCCTCCGCTGATCATCTGGCTTCCTTGAGCGTAATGCGTTTATTTTTAGCTTCCTCTCCTCTCCTCCCTTCCCACTGCGACGCTCTTAGCAATTTGCACCGCGTCATTGGCTCCTCTTCACATGCCCTAACACTAAAGTGCATATATCCGACATTGATGAGGAGGAAAAAAGCACACCATACGCTACTGGCTTTGTCTGATTGACGGAAGCATGCATAAGGTGGTCATTCCACTTTGGGCCTTGTGTCGCGTGAGGCCAAGGCTTCTTCTCCTGAACTGGCGAAGAAGCTCGTCATCGAGAAGCTTCAGCCCAGCAATCGTACAAGGACGATAAGGAGGAAGAAAGGCTAGTGGTAGATTAATCCATGTCGCCCCGAGAGGAGGCTCTTCGAGTGCGCCGCGATAGAAACCTCGAAAGCTATCTTATCGCCATGTTCCGTCCCAAAGAAGCTAGATTGCTTCGATGGACCTTCTTTGAGAATCTCCCGTCCAGCAAAGTGCTGGTGAGAGAGAGAGATATCAGATTAGCATGGCTTCTCGCTGTCGCCTGTCCAATCAGGTCTCGTCTAGATAACGACGTTTTCTGCCCGATGACACGAACCACTATCGCCCTCTCTTGCGTTTCCATTGGGTCGAATGTGGTTGGCTGGTCCCGCATCAGACGGGACGCTAGTCACTATCTCTGCCAATGACAGGTCGCAGCGAAAGATAGATTGCAGCGAAAGATAGACTGAAGTGAATGACAGGCTGCAGTGAAAGATAGAGTGTCCTCTCATGATTAGGCCCAATGAGCATCCCCATCAGGCCCTCCCCGATCCTCCTTATCAGAAAGAGGCAAGCCAGCAGCGCACGAGGAAAGGGGAGCCGTGCGGGGCACTGGCGCTCCCATGACGTCGCCACCAGCTAGGAGGGGTGAAGAGTGTTCGATCTTGGACGAGGCCTTTGCGAAGGGGAGAGTGCATGTAGAGGACCTCCGTCCCAGAGACGGGGCGTCACTGGGAGGCGTCGCATGCATCCTTCGCCTTTGTTTACTTCTCGTCCGTCTTTTCAACGAGGACTGAAAATGACAATTATCAATGACACATCAGAACAGAAACGGAGAAAGAACAGGGAAGCAGTACCAATTGCAGACAAAGAAGAAGAGAAATGAATGAAATGGAAATGTCGCCGAACAACTCAATAGGCACGGAGCGTGATGCACATTCGCCTTGTATTTCCCGCGCCAAAATCCCAGGTTCGGATTGCTTGGATCTTCCTGCTCTTCTTCAACGATCAGCTAGCCACGGGTTGTGTGTAGGCTAGGACGTCAAATAGAGAGGGGGCTGTCTTTCCTTTGTTCACGTGGTCCGTCTCATTCACACTCACTACGTCGCGGTCACATTCACTCACGCATGCACGCACTCTGGTCCGTCAGTCAGACGGCAGAGGGGGAAACACAGTATGCCATGCCATTCATCCCTGTGCCTGCTTGACGAGGGCGTCGTTCAGCTCCTCGGCCCACTGCTCGAGCTTGACCTTGCATCGGAAATTTGTCGGCTGACCCGCCTCGTCGAAGCCGAGAAAAGTGAGGACGTTGGCCTGGCGCATCGGCTTGAAGCTGGGCAGCAGACGGAAGTTGACCGTGACGCGGCCGTTGCCCTCGCTGCGGACGAGGAGGCGCCGGGTCGAGTTGGACAGGTGCTTCTTGACCTTGATCTGGCCGATGCCCAGGTCGGTCCAGCTGCCGCTCGTCAGCTTCCAGAGCTTGCCGCGGACCGAGTGGACCGTCTCCTCGTCCTCCTCGCCTTCGCCCTGGCCCGAGAGGAGCCCGCTGCTGCTGCCCTCTTTTCCCTGTTCGTCGGCTGCCGGTGCTGGGGATGAGTCTGCACTTGCCGAGCTGGATGCGGCCACCGCGCTGCTGCCCGTCGCAGCCGTCGACGTTGATGGTGCACTGGTGGCCGCAGGTGGTGCTGCAGGCGGTGCTGCAGGCGGTGCTGCAGCCGTGGCCGAAGATGCGACTGAAGACGTCGCAGGCAGGTCAAAGGAGAAGCGCGGCAGGGACGCCTCTGCCGCCTCGCGCGCCGCCCTTTGATGGACCTCGTCATCTTCTTCCTTGCTCGCTTTCGGCACGACGAGCTGGAGGGCAAAGTCAAATTTGGGCAGCGACGCGACGGGCGTCTGGAGAGCCTCTGCCTGTGGCTGCTGGGCTGCTGTACTGCTCGTGGCTGGCGCTGCTGGTGCTGCTGTTGATGGTGCTGCTACTGAAGCTGACGGAGCTGACGGAGCTGTTGCTGGTGCTGATGCTGAGGACGACGTGGAGGCGGACTGGCTGCTCGACGGCGTGCCGAAGGAAAAGGGCGCGGGTGCAGGCTTGGCCGACGTCGCAGGCGCTCCAAAAGAGAAGGGACTCGAGCTGCTCTTGCCCGACGTCTCGCCCGTCGTCTCGCCCGTCGTCGCCTTCGCCGTCGCTGATGGCTGGGTAGTAAAGGCAAACGGCGACGGCTTGCTGGCTGGAGGAGGTGGATGGGCGGTCGCAGACGCAGCGGCCTTGTCAGCCTCGACAGGCTTGCTGCTCTGTCCAAAGCTGAATGCCGGCGGCGGTACCTTTTTCTGCGGCGAGAACGCCGTCTCTCGGTCCGACTCTGACGAGGAGGAGGAGCCCGGCGAGTCTGGCGCAGCCCTCGTGGCCGCCTGCGAGAGCGGGCTGGGCTTCTTTGGCGCGAACGCCGGGCTGAAGCTGAGCGACTTTCGCTGCTGCTGCTGTGTGCCTGCTTGTGATTGCTGCTGCGGCTGCGGCTGCTGTAGTGGCTGCTGCTGTGGTGGCTGGAGCTGCTGCGGCTTCTTCTGGCTCGCCAGCTCGTCCATGCGCTTCTTGATCTCGTCTGTCTTTTGCTTGCGCTTGCTCGCCTCCTCCTGCTTCTGCCTCTCCTGCCGCTCCTCCTCCTCTTTCCTCGCTGCTGCACCGTCGTCCTGCTTGTCTTCCTGCTTGCCTCTCTCGCCCTCGCCCTCGCCATCCTCGTCGTCGTCGCTCTCCTCGAGCCGGATCCCACTGGCCTCTCTCCGCGTCCGCCTGCTGCCAGCCTTGACCGGCGCCGTGCGCTCGAGCAGATCCAGCGTCGTCTCCCTCACCACCGGCTTCTTTTGCTGCTGCTTCTGCTGCTGGCGCTTCTCGCGCTCCTCGCGCAGCCGCTGCCGCTCCTTCTCGCGCGCACTCGTGAGCGACGAGGGCGACGCGGAGCCCGTGCCACTGGTCACGCTGCTGCTGCTGCTCTCGCGCGTGCTGCGCCGTGGTGCGCGCCCAAGCGACGACGCCGGCTGGTACGGGTTGACAAACTCGGCTGCGAGCGGCGCAGCAGACGTAGGCGCTGCAGACGCACCCGTCCTGGCGGCTGCTGATGGCGAGGAGGCCGCAGGAGCCAATGGCCGAGCGCGCGCGGGCCGCTGGGGCCCCGAGCTGAGGATGCTCAGCATCGCATCGGCCGTTGCTGTTCTGCTTGGGGTTGTTGCGGTTGTTGTCGCTGCTGCTGTCGTTGCTGTTGGAGCCACCGGTGCCTTTGCTGCCCTGGCGTCGACTGGAGAGGAGGAAGAGGAAAACGGTCTTTCGTCTGCCTGCGCCGAGAATGGGCTGAAGGAAGAGGACGACGAGGGAGCAGTACGATCATCGGCATCGACGCGCCGCCGCTTGCCCGTCGCCTCGTCGCCGCCACCGCCGCCCGCCTCGCCCTCCTGCGACGAGGGCGGGGTGAGGGTGGCGGGCTGCTGGAGCGCGCGTCGCTGGGCAGCCACGGCGGCTCGCCGGTGCGCCTGCTCGTGGCGGCGGAGGAGCGAGCTCGAGGTGCTGGCACCCATGCCGGGGCCCAGGTACAGCGGACGGTGGCGTCTCGCTGGCGCCTGCCGCAGCACCGACGCGCCAGGCCGGCTGCTGCTGCTGCTGCCGCCAAGCCCAGGCCCAGAACCAGGCCCAGACCCATGGCCATACGCGCTCGGTGCAAAGGCATGGGCCAGGGACCGTCGCACGCCCTCGTCGCCGCCGTCGTCGCCCGGCAACAAAAAGGAAGAGGAGGCGGCGGGTGCGAGAAAGGACTGCGAGGCTGGTACTCGCGCGGTGCTCCTTCTGCCAAAGAGCGACGCCGAGCCATTGCTGGCCATGGCGAGCGCGCCCCTCGCGCCGACGGGCGTCTCGCCAGCGGCGGCACCGAGCGGCAGGCTGGGGCTGCGGCTGGCGAGGCGGCGGATGCTGCTGCTGCTGTCGAACGCATGCACAGGCAGCATGTCCTCGTGGCCGACGATGCTGCCGTCGGCCATGCCCCGTGCGATGGCCTCGCCCCGCAGCCGCTCCACCTCGCTGGCCCGGCCCTCGGCCAGGCTCTGCTCGATCAGGCGCATGCACCCCGCCAGCTCGATCTCCGAGAGGCCTGGTCCTGTTTCTTCGTGATCATCGTCCTCGTCGCCATCGCCATCATCGCCATCGAAGTCGTGGAGCATCGTCGACGAGGGCGCACGCCTGCGACGGCGCGCGGCAGCCTCCTCCTGCGCCTTCTCAGCAAAGAAGCGCGACAGCAGGCTGTAGTTCCTCGCCAGCGGACTCGACATGTCGCTGGGTATGGCCATGCCCGCCTGCTCCTCCTCCTCGTCCCGGTCTGCGCCAAAGTGAAAGACAGGCGGCGGGGCAGTGGGTACGCCGCCGCCGCCGCCAAAGACGTTGCTTGCCCTTGCAGAGCGTGCCAGTGCGCCAAAGCCGGTCCGCGAGGGGGTGTCCTGGCGTGCCTGCTCGAATGTTGACGGTGTATGCGCTGGTGCGGGTGGCTGTCGCTCGTGTGCGGGCAGCGAGGGATACGCGGTGCCCTCGTGTCCCCTTTCCTCGTGAGCCTCCTCTATCTGTCCCTCCTCTTTGGCCGTCTGTGACTGTGATCCTTGCGCAGGCGACGGTTGCGCCATCGACTCGTCCTGCTCCCGCTCGTCGTCGACGTCGTCTGCGCCAAAGGCAGCACTGCGCTTGGCCCTCCTGCCCGAGCCAAAGGGCGAGAGCAGGCCCAGGAGGCCACTGACGGCCTTCATCGCAGGCGACTGCGGCGATGTCGGCGGTAGCCCCTCTCTCTTCGCCACCAGCGACACTCGCCCGCGCTGGTTTGGCGTCCTCGGCGATGACTTTGGGTACGGTGAATGCGCGAGCGTCGTCGATCGCCGAGCCACGGGCGCCCTGCCAACACGCGACGGCGTCGTCGTCGTCGTCGTCGTCGCCGAAGAAAGGCCCTCTGCGTTGGCCACGAGCCCCAGGCGCATCTGCGACGTCGACGCCGCCGCAGCCTGTCGCTCCGCCTCCTCGTCCGCTCCGTCCATCATTGTGATATCTTTCCTTTTCCAAGCCCGAAGCGAAGGCGAGAGGTGCGGCGCGGCGTCTCCCTTGCTTCTTCTTCTTAGTCCAATCAAAAGAAAATAAGCCCAGCCAAGGACCGCGACTGCCTTTTTCCTCCTGCCGGATCACGTGTTTGAGTGAGCCAGAGCGCCCGTCGCGCCTAGAGCATTGTCGGCTTCTCTGGCTTCTTCCCATCGTCAGCGTCGCAGCCCCTTGACCTTCGTCCGTCTTCTCATCATGCGTGAGTGTCGAGCAGATTCACACACAGACTTGTCTCCTCTCGCAAAAGAAAGAATGGAAGCGAGGACTTTGCAGAGCCGTCGTCGAGAGTCGAGAGCTGATGCAGATTGTCTCCCCTCCCCCAGCGACCAAGACCTTCGACACACCCTACCCGCCCATCGACACCGACCCGCACTTTCGGCGCGTCGTGGGCAACTTCCGCCAGTCAGACTACGTCGCCTGGGCCGGCGCCACCGCTGCCTTTCCCTCGTCGATCTACCTGATGGGTGCGTGTCCTTCACTCTCGCGCTCCTCCCTATGTTGCACACTGACGATGCTCTGGTTTTGAACAGAGATGTTTGACCCGACAAAGGCGCCGCGCGGGATCCGGTCGGCGCTGCGCCTGTCGACGTTCCTCGGCGCGTGCGGCGGCTTCCTCTTTGCATACCAACGGAGCAGCTGTGCGTGTCCTCTCCCTTGTCCCTCCCCTCAGTGCTGGAATGAGAAAAAGCTGACGAGAGTCCCAACACAGTCCGGCTCTGGGGATGGAAGGAGAACGCAGTGGAGCAGGCCAAGGCGGAGCAAGAGAGCGCCGCGGGCCCGGCCCCGGGGACAGACGCCTCCAAGAGCGACCTCGACCCGTACCTGCAGGGCGTCGCCCACCGCAACTCTGCCTTTTCCCAGCTCAAGTTCAGTGAGTAGGACGCTATAGCAGCATCGAGATCTTCTGTGTGACGTGTCTGGAGACTGAGAGTGCGTCTCGCTTCACCAGGCACCCTGCCCTGGTTCAACACCGTCTCGCATGGCTACCACGGCGAGCAACCGGCCGCGGCTCCCAAGGACGACGACGAGTGATAAAAGAAATGAGAATTGCATGAACTCCAAGACAGTGTTTGAGTAGCGTGAGCATGAGCCCCATGGCATGTTGTTTGAGCCGTGGACAGGCACCTTCGTTAGCAGAGAGGAAGGCTGGCCTGGTTGCAAACAGGGCTGCTATCACTGGCTGCTGCTGCTACAGCTACTACTACTGCTACTGGCCTGGCGTGGCCCGCCGTCCACGTGGATGCACGCGCCTGCCCGCCCGCCCCTGGTGCCTGCTCCTGACGCAGGGCGAAACTTGAACTTTTGGGCGACTCCACCTGAAGGCTTTTCTTCTCTTTCTTTCTTACAGTTCAAAACTGGGTCAAGTCCCACCTCAGCGACTGACTGACTGACTGACTGACCGACCAGCCATGAGCGGTGAACAAGACGGCAAGCGCAGCGGCAGCAGCGGCAGCAGCAGCAGCCGGCCTGCGCTCGGCGGTCGTCAGGTGTCGGGCGAGGTCGTTGGTGGTGCGCCAGGCACAGGCGCAGGGGGAGTGATGCCTGCATACAGCGGCTCCCCGATCCCAAACATCCCCCCGCGCCACGGCTCGCCGCACGACGAGATCTTGCGCTCGCCCGTCATGTTTCCGCGCTCCCTCACGCAGGACAGTCGGGCCGCGCACAACTCAGGCGGCGGCGGCGGTGGTGGTGGGAGTGAGGTGCCGACGCCGGTCAATCTCGCCGAGCTCGACTCGCTGCCGTTGAGCGACGAGCAAAAGGCGCGCATCATTGAGCGGCAGTGAGTGGTGGTGGAGAGGGTGGCGTGTGGAGAGAGAGAGAACCTGCCGCTGATGTGAGACTAATACAGCCTCGCAAGGGCCGAGGGAGGCGAGGACGAGCCAGGGGTGGACGCAGCAGGAGGCGCGGCAAGACGCAGCCGCGACGGCTCGCGCTCGCGGTCGAGGCCCACGTCGCACGCCGACTCGGACGCCTCGCACTCGCCGTCGTTGTCTGCAGCAGACGACGACAACAACATCGAGGAGATGGCGACGCCGTCCGACGACGGCTACCAGGGCCCACACACGATGCAGGGCGGCGCCATCACCGACGACGTCTACCGCTGGGCGCACCACAACCGCCGGCGGGTGCCCAAGCGCGCGCGCAGCGAGAGCCTGCACCTGCCCCGCACCAGCACCATCGACCCGGACCTGGACGCATCGGCGATCCGCGAGCCCGGTGGCTTCCGTCGCTACTTTGTCCTCGCCCAGGCGGCAGACCAGGGCCGGCCGGCACCGCGTGCTGTGCGCAGCTTCATCGATTTCCTCAGCCTCTACGGCCACTTTGCCGGCGAGGACCTGTCGGACATTGAAGACGAGGATGAAGACGAGGAGGATGAAGACGACGACGACGAAGAAGCTGGTCTTGGCATGGCAGGCGCCAGCAGAGGCAGCACCACGAGGCAGGCGACCGAGTCGACGCCGCTCGTGGGCAGCAGGCGCCGAAAGGGCCTCTCGCGCAGCGGCAGCCGGCTACGCAGGGGCTCGGCTGGCGAGGGGGGAGAGCGGCAGCGCGGCGAGGCCACGGTGACGGACGCCGTCATGATGCTCCTCAAGTCCTTTGTCGGCACCGGCATCCTCTTCCTCGGCAAGGCCTTCTACAACGGCGGCCTCCTCTTCTCCACGGGTGTCCTCTGTGCCGTGGCGATGATCTCGCTCGCCTCGTTTCTCACCCTCGTCAAGACGAACCTCGCCGTGCCCGCCAGCTTTGGCGAGATGGGCGGCATCCTCTACGGCCCCAAGATGCGCCTCGCCATCCTCGCCTCCATCGTCTTTTCCCAGCTCGGCTTCGTCGCCGCATACACCGTCTTTGTCGCCCAGAACCTGCAGGCGTTTGTGCTCGCCGTCACCCACTGCCGCACGCTGATCCCCACCGTCTGGCTCATCGTCGCCCAGATGCTCCTCTTCCTGCCCCTCTCCCTCGTCCGGCGCATCGCCAAGCTCTCGTCGACGGCCCTCATCGCTGATCTCTTTATCCTCCTCGGCATCATCTACCTCTTCAGCTTCGAGATCCGCCAGGTGGCGCAGCACGGCCTCGCCGACGTCGTCTACTTCAACTCCAAGAGCTTTCCCCTCTTTATTGGCACCGCCGTCTTCACCTTTGAGGGCATCGGCCTCATCATCCCCATCACCGAGTCGATGCGCGAGCCCGAGCGGTTCCCCAAGGCCCTCTCGGGCGTCATGGCCGGCGTCATGGTCCTCTTTGCCACCAGCGGCGCCCTGTCTTATGCCGCCTTTGGCTCCCACGTCCAGACCGTCGTCATCACCAACCTGCCCCAGGACGCCAAGTTTGTCCAGGCGCTCCAGTTCCTCTACTCGCTCGCCATCCTCCTCTCGACGCCCCTCCAGCTCTTCCCTGCCGTCACGATCCTCGAGCGTGGGCTGATGGGCACCAAGTCGGGCAAGCACGACTGGCGCGTCAAGCTGCACAAGAACCTCTTTCGCTGTTCGATTGTCGCCGTCAGCTGCCTGGGCGCCTGGCTCGGCTCCGCGAGCTTGGACGTGTTTGTGTCGTTCATCGGCTCCGTCGCTTGCGTGCCGCTGTGCTTCATCTACCCGCCGCTACTCCATCTGAAGGCCTGCGCCACGCGGCGACGCACCATCATCCTCGACTACTGCCTCCTCGCCTTTGGCATCGTCACCGTCGTCTTTGCCGGCAGCCAGACGGTCCGCGAGCTCCTCAGCCCGGGCAGCCCGCCGGACCAGCCCGTGTGCCGGCCGCCGGAGTAGGCTGCCGTCGCCAGGCAGGGGGCCAGCGCAACTAACCAACGCACGCACAGCTTCATCAATGCAGCAGCGCCACGCACAGCCCCGCTCATAGGCCACACAGCTCTGCACAGCGGTAATTAGAACTTGAATTGGAATACAAAAAGGGATACAAAGCGACTGGGCTGATGTACTGTACAGACTCGTCTGCGGGGGATGAATAATGCTACAGGATGCTTGGATGGCCGCATATAGAGGGCCGCTTCTATGTGTGCTGCTAAAGGATGCTTGTTTGCTTCCATGCAGAGGTCGATGAGTTTTGCTACGGTCTGCGCTTCTTGGAGGCGGAAGAAGGAATCGCAAAGGGGTCCTGCTTGCGGCGCGTCGTCGAGGCGAGCCTGGCCGCGAGCGCCTGTGCAGCCGTGGGTGTCTTTGCGCCACTGCTGCTGCTACTGCTGCCCCTCCGCTGCAGCGCCGGGCCAGCGTCGTTGCGGGCCTCGATCCAGAGCCGGCGGGCGTCGGGCGTGGCAATGTCGTCGCGCGGCACGAGCGGCCGCTCCGAGGCCCAGCCGAGGCGCTGGCGCAGCGCCGCGTCGTCGGCGTCGCGGGCCTGCCGCACGTGCTTGTCGGCGCGGAAGCCGTCGCGCAGGCGCCGGTTGCGCTCGTACGGGTCTGCCCATGCGCGCCGGCTCTTTTCTTCGAGGGCTTCCAGCCGTGCGGCGCGTGCGGCCACGAGGCGCCGTTCCGTCGTCTCCTGCTCCAGCTTCGCGAAGGGGTCGGCCTCTTCGGCGGTCTTTTGCTTGCTGCTCAGCGACGAGCCGGCACCCCGGTCGCCCGTCCCGTCATCCAGCACCAGCAGGCCGTCCTCGCCGCCGCCGCCGCTGCTGCCCTCGTCGCCGGGCTGCGCCTGCGCCTTGGCGCCCGAGACGACGACGTAGCGCGCATGCTTGGGGTCCGTCTCGATCTCAAAGTGGTGCTGGCAGCACGTCGTCTTGCAGCGGAACCGAAAGATGGGCGTGCTATAGTAGTTGCCCACTTTCGTCTTTTCCGCATTGAAGCGCACGCCCTGGCCGATGTGTGTCTGGCAGTGGCCGCTGTGTGTCAGGAAAATTCAGTCAGCAATGTCAGCAGGAAAGGGAGAGAGGAGAAGAGACGCACCACCAGATGTTGAATGGCAGCTCGAAGCGCACGACGAGGATGCCTGCGTCGAGCTTCCGCCCGCGCTTGCCGTAGGGGTTCGTCCCCGTCAGGCTGTTGAACGACTGCGCGCGCGGGTCCGCGTCCGGTGGCCGATAGCGGCCCATGTTGAAGCCCTGCATCGTGGCTGCGTGTCTCTCTTCCCTCTCTTACCAGTGTGATGTGAATGATGTAATGAGAAAAAGGCGCGACGAGGTGATGGCGCCGACTGACTGCCCCGAAAGTGAAAAGTGGAGCGCGACACGTGGAAAATCGTGTGTGGCTGGCTGTGCGAAGGCTCGGCGGACGGATGGACGATTGAGTGTCTCTCTCACTATCAGACCACTCGGCACAGCACTGCCGGGAAGAGAGACGCTCCTCCCCCAAGCCAAGCTAGATCCCCAACGCGCACAAAGCGGCGGCCAACAGCGGCATCCTCCTTCTGCCGGACACCAGACGCCTGCAGAGACCAGAGGGATAGCCTGAGCAGCGCCGCCCTGCCGCGCGACCCGTCCCTGTCCTGCCTTCGCTCTCCTGCCCAACAACAGCGTCTTTCCTAGCTTCAAGAACAGCAACGGGCCCACGATGTCGATGCAGAACATGTCCAAGAGCGTGGTGCGCTCGGGTAAAAACTACCTCAAGGGCTTCACCAACACGCAGGTCAAGGTGCGCGACGCCACCAGCAACGATCCCTGGGGGCCCTCGGGCACCCAGATGAACGAGCTCGCCCAGCTGTCGTACAACCAGTGGGTGCTCTGTCCATTCTTTCCTCTATCTGGACGCTGCTGATCTGAGGGATGTGACACCCGCAGAAACGACTTCATCGAAATGATGGAGATCATGGACAAGCGGCTCAACGACAAGGGAAAGAACTGGCGCCACGTCTTCAAGACGCTCACCCTGCTCGACTACCTTCTCCATGCCGGGAGCGAGAACGTCGTCATCTACTTTCGCGACAACATCTACATTGTCAAGACGCTCAAGGAGTTCCAGTACGTCGACGACTACGGCAAGGACCAGGGTGCCAATGGTGAGCGGTCCCTCTGCATGCTATGCTATGCTATGCTATGCTAGTCGAGGAAGGAAGAGAGGCTGATGATAGGAGCACAACGACAGTGCGGCAAAAGGCAAAGGACATTACGAACCTGCTCCAGGACGAGGCCAGGCTGCGTGAGGCACGACGGTCGCGCGCCCACATGCGCGACCGCATGACCGACGGGCCTGCCTCGCCGACGGCAGCCAACGGCAATGGCGGCGACTTTGAGGACGAAGAGGGGCGCCGGCGTCGGCGCATGGAGGCTGAGCGGAGGCGCGCGGGGCAGAACCGCGAGAACGACGAGCTGCAGCGGGCGATTGAAGAGTCGAAACGCATGGCGAGGGAGAACGAGGAGAGGATCCGGGCCGAGTCCAAAGACGAGGAGGAGCTCCAGCGGGCACTGGCGCTCAGCCGCGAGGAGGAGGAGCGGCGGATCAAGGAGCTGGAGAAGAAGAACGAGACGGCGCTCTTTGACGACGACTTCAATCTCCTCGACGGGCCAGGGAACCAGTACGCGCAGCAGCAGCAGCAGCAGCAGCAGCCCCAGCAGCAGGTCGACATGTGGGGCAACCCCATCTACGGGATGCAGCAGCCACAGTACACGGCCTTCAACCCGTATCTGCAGCAGCAGCAGACGTCGTTCAACCCCTTTTTCCAGCAGCAGATGGCGCTCCAGGCGCAGCAGGAGCAGGAGTACCAGCGCCAGATGGAGCTGCAGGCGCAGGCGCAGCAGTACCAGCACCTCATGACACAGCAGCAGCCGCTGCAGCCACAGCCGACTGCATTTGGGAGCAACAATCCGTTTGCGTTCCAGCAGCAGCAGCAGCAGCAGTCCCAGCAGCAGCAGCTGCCACCGAGACAGCCGCAGCTGCAGATGTCGACGTCTGTCCCTACGGCCGATCTGCTGGGCGAAGAGTCGCAGCCGCAACAACAGCAGCAGCCACAGCAACCACAACAACAACAGCAGCAACCACAGGCAGCACAGAACAAGTTTGCGTCGGACCCGCGCTTCAAGGAGCTCGACCGCATGCTCGCGTCGGGCGACGGCATCGACACGTTTGGAAACACGGGCGACCTGCGCATGGGCCACAGCGCCATGCGCGTCCAGGCCCAGCAGACGGGCGCGCCCCGCCAGCAGCAGCAGCAGCAGCAGCCTCAGCCAACAGGCAACAACCCCTTCTTCCAGGTCTAGGTCAGTCTCAGGATATCACCCCCTCTCTGTCTGTCTTTTCTTTCTTTTCTTTCCTCTTCAGTTGCGTCACATCTTGGCTCGGCCTGCCACTTCATAGTAATGCGCCCAATACATGCGCTGACCTTTTTCTTATTTGCGTCTGTGTGGGCCCCTTTTCCTCCTTGTCTGCCATTTCCGTTCAGTCCCTGCCTGTCAACCCTGTCATTCGGTGACAGAAGAGCCGCCTTCGGCCAGTGCCCCATTTTCGACTGAACGTGCGCCACCCCTGCCCTTATTCGGCGCTCTATATGTTTTGCGCGGCCAAAAGCCGGTTGCTAACCCCCCTCTTTGAATAAGCCGGCCTAGGTTTTAGCAGCAAGCTTCCCGCACTCGTTTTGTGGAGGGGGGGTCCACGAACCCTTTCTTCCTTCTCAACCATCTACGACTGACCCACATCCATACGCCGTCTTTTACACACACCACTCACTCACTGACCCACCCATCGACACTCGCTTGCGCACATCATGGCCTCCTTCTATGACCAGCTCGTCAACGCGACGGGGCCCTCGGCCAAGAACATCTCGCTGTTTGCCGTGCCTGCCATGTGGCTCGTCAACATGTCAGCCCACTTCTACGCCATCAGCCTGACCCGTGGCAAGTTTACCAATGCCTCGCCGCGCGGCTACGTCAACGACGTTGCGCGCAAGGAGAAGAAGGCCGCGTGGGAGCAGAAGTTCATCCGCGCCGAGGCGGCTCAGATGGTGCGTTGCAGAGACACCCTTGCCTTTTTTTGCTGCTGTACTGGAGGCTGACGAGAGAGGGAGTTTTCTTTCCGCGACGGTAACAGAACGGATTCGAGAACATTGGCTGGTTCGCCGCGGCCGTCGTCGCCGGCAACTTTGTGAGTCTCGCTTTGGCTTTCAGAGAAGAGAGAGAGAGAGGGGGAGAGCAGACGAGGCTGACTGCACGAGACACCAACAGGCCAAGATCCCCGCTGCCGAGCTCAACACCCTCGCCGGCGGCTACCTCCTCACGCGCATCCTCTTCACCTTTGTCTACATCCAGACGACCGACGAGGTCCTCTCGGCCCTCCGCTCGGTCCTCTACGTCGCCGGCGTGGCCATCAACTCGACGCTCTTCATCAAGGCCGGCCTGCGCCTCCAGTAAGGGCGTAGTCATCTCTCCTTAGGACACGGTTCATTCATGTATCAGTCTTGATGTACGAAGGAAGAAATGGAAAGAAGAAGAATGAGGCGATCTAAAGCAAAGCCATCGACGCAAGGCGCACGTACTCCTCGGTGAGGCTGCCGTAGATGAGCCAGACGTCGTCGTCGCTCTTGGCCACGCGCGTCAGTCTGTCCTTCTCTGCCCCCGTCTCCTGACTCGTCGTTCTTGTCATTGTTGTCGTTGTGGTCGTCGTTGTTGCTCTCTGGCGCGCCGTGGAGTGATGGTGCTGCTGCTGCTGCTGAAGCGTGCACTCGAGGCTGCTCCGGCTCGCGCTGCTCTTTCCCCCGTCGCTGGCCCGGCTGCGGCTGCCACTGCCACTGCCACTGCCACTGCTGCTGCTGCTGCTCCACCTGCTCCCACACCACTGCTCTCCTCGCCGCTGCCCATCAGCCAGGCCGACGCTCATGCTCGCCACCCTGCCTCTCGCCCGACCGCGCGAGGGAAGCCGTCCCCGCTGCGTGGCGGCTGCCGCTGCTGCCGCGGCTCGCTGGTCCACCGTCGATGCCTCGCCGTCGAGGAGCAGCAGGCCGTTGATGCTCGTCGCCTCACGGTGCCGCGACGTGAGCATCGCCGTCGTCGGCAGCGTGCTTGACCGTGGCCTGCTGCTGCGAGTATTGTAGCTGCTGCTGCTGCTGCCCGTCATTACATGCATCTCGCTCTTGTTGTCGTCTTCGTCATTATCATCTGTCGTTGCTGCCAGGCCTGGCCTGCCATCCCTGACGGCGAGGTTGAGCAGGCACGCTCGAGGCGTCGAACCCTCCTCCTCGTCGATGCCGTCCCACCGGCTCTCCCCTTCTTGCTGATGCTCTTCGTAGCTGTCACCCTTCATTAGACCGCGCCGCCCTCGGCCGCTGTCGAGGAAGCGCTGCACGACACCGTCAAACGTCTCGCTCTCGCGCGCATACATGCATGCCAGCGCGTAGAACACAGCGCCACGTGCCTCGCTCGACGGCGACGGCGGTAGACGGCAATCCACAGCGCCTATCTCCCCCTGACCGTGCAGCCCGTCTTGCGTTGCGGTTCGCGGGTCGACATACACGTCTGCGCCGAGGATGGCTGAAAAAACGTCTGCGATGGCGGCGTTGCTTGCGGCCTTTCCGCGCGCCAGCACGCGCGCCGGTATCGTCCTTCGGTCGTACGGGTCGAAGGCGAGGCTGCCGGCGGCACCCCAGTAGCCGGCGCCTTGCTGGCCGGTCTGCTTGAGCAGGCGTGGCGCCAGCACTTCGCGGTCGATGGCGTCGGGCGACTGCTGGAGGAGCGACAGGAGCGACGCATGCGAACTGCTGCTGCTGCCGTTGCTTGTAGCGGGACCAACGAGGGAGCCGGCAAGGCAGCGCGAGAGGTGCGATCGCAGTGCCATGGCTTGGCCCTCGACGAGGCACCGTGGGTTCGCCGACGGGTTGCCAAAGTCGGTGACGCGGATGCCCTTTTCGAACTTGAGCATCTCGACGGAGGGCGATGGTGATGTAGACGAGGAGGACGAGGACGTGCTATTCTGCTGCTGCTGCTGCTGCTGCGACGGTGGCTGCCGCGCGGCACCGGGCACAACGACGCTGAACAGCTTGTTGTCCATGCCTGCCGAGCCGCCAAAGGGGACAGCGGCGAGGAGGCGGTCAAAGACAGTCCACTTTGCATTGGCGTGCGAGTCGCGCACGATGCGGCGCGCCTCGCCAGCGCTGCGCAGCGTCGACACCGCCAGCCACGGCCGTGGGGCCAGTAAAGAGGACGAGGCCGTGACCAAGCGCGCCAGCGGATTGGGCAGCAGCAGCGTCGGATTGGATGGCGTGCCGTCGAAGCATGCATCCGGCGCAGGCTTGCACACGGGTGCGAGCACCGTGTCGTCGGGGCCAAGGTCCAGCACGACGTCGAGCGGGTGCGGGCGAAAAGAGAGGAAGATGGCAACACTGGCCTCGAGCACGGGCAGCACGCGGCAGCCGCCAGCGAGAGCGTCGCGTATGTTGAGCGCGGGTAGGCGATGTTCCAGCCAGGCCGAGCACGCGGTGCGGCCGTGGATGGCTTCTTCATACTGCGTGACGGAGCCCAGCATCGACGCGAGACGTCCTCCCTCGCCGCGTGACACTCCGTCGAGGGCAACCCGGTCCCACGTCCCCTTTACTGCGTCGAAGAGACCGGTCGCGGCTGCCTCGTTGGCATCGATCCTGCTGTTGTCTCGCCTCGTCAGTTCCTCTCTTTGCTTTTGCCAGCAGGCTAGACTCGACTCACGCGTGTGGGCGGCCTGCCAGGAGCGACGTGAGCAGGCTGGCGGGCGTCGTGATTGCGCATGCGAGGTTTGATGCCCATCGCTGCTCGATGGCGCTCGCGAACGACCCCGTCGCCGCCACCTTTCCCTCTGCCATCGTCGTCGTCATCATCTTTGCTGTTGTCTCTGTCGGTACAGCTCCTCCTGTGGTCCTACTGCGATTGTATGCACACTCAGCCGAAGAGGCGCGCACAAAGATCGGCGCCGCGTGCTGTCTCGTCGTCGCATCCACCGAGCGTCATCAGCGTACACGATCTGCAAAGATCGCCACAGAAGGGGACCCACCCTGGTCGAGATGGCAAAGGCGGTGACCTGGCCACGCTGCACTGCCTCAGTCGCGCAGAGCCGGCCGAGGAGCGCGACAAAGGCCTCTGTCCACGCCTCGACGTCCCTGTCCTCGTCGTCGTCGTCGCCGCCGCCGCCGCCGCCGCCCTCGCCGTGACGGTCCTGGAGGCATGTATTCAGAGCAGGGTTGGTAAGGGAGAGGGACTGATGGGCATACGCACGGTGAAAAGGCCCACGTCGGTGCAGGACGACGCGACTACCTGGATGCCATCCTCGTAAAAGGCCGTGGCACAGACGGAGGCACCGTCAATTTCGACACAGACGATCATTCCCGGCTTCGACCCTTCTTGCCCCTCCTCCTCCTCCTCGGCAGCAGGCATTGGCAGGGGAAGCATCGCCGGTCCTCGTCGTGTCTCTCTGCTCGTCGCAGTGGACAGACAGACGGGCCATCAGCTGCGTCTCACTCGGGCAAAGTGACAAAAGAGGGTGTTTGAGACTGACGTCGCCCGCTGGAGCACAAAAGGGGGACACTGTACAGTACACAACTCCGTCGTCGGCACACCCTTGTTGGAGAGTACAGTCTTCCTCCGCCCGATGAATGCAGGATGTCCTCGGTCTGTCCTCTGCTGCCTATTTCACTCCGACAACAAGACTGACAACAAAGAATGCAGGCCCCCACGGCCAAACGAGACGAGGCACAAGGGCGTTGGACAAGGGCGGCGTGTGTTGCTTGTGCGTACGCGCGCGCCACGTGGCAGACAAGGGCAGTCTTGTTTTTCCTTGTCTTTATTTCAGACAGACGGGCCGATTTCTTCTCGTCCGCTCGTCGCTCGCACGCCCTCACCCGCACGCACGCCCTTGCCCTCGCCCGCTGCAGATTGAGAGAGAGAGAGAGAAGAGAGAAAAGCGGGCACGAGGATGGCGTCGTTAAAGGGAGGCGAGCAGGCGGCGTCGTCGTCGTCGCTGCTGCCAGCAAGGAAGCAGCAGCACACCATGGACACGCTTCGCCCGTTGCTCAAGACGCTCACGCTCTCCTGCACCATCCCGCCCTCGCCGCCGTCGTCTTCGTCTGCGTCTTCATCAAAGTCGCCCTCGGATGCGTCCGCTGCTGCTACCACATCGGCGCCGTCTACGGGCATGCGACCACCAGGCCCAGGCCTGACGACGGACGAGCTGCGGGACCTGTTTGTGCACCTGGCCGACGCCGACTTTACGTCGAACCACATGCACCACGCCCAGCTGGGTGCTGCGCTGACGAGCCTCCGGCTGAGCGGGCTCGACATGAGCCCCGCAGCGCTGTCCGTTGCCAGTGCTGTCTTTCTGCAAAAGGCGGTGCCCGTCGAGGTGCCGCCGCTGGTCAGCATGGCTACCGCTGACGATGGGCATGGTGAGGGCGAGGACGACGGCGAAGACGAGGAGCACTACGACGGCGCACTCGACCTCGTCGGCACGGGTGGCGACGGCCACGATACGTTCAACGTCAGCACGACGGCGGCCATCGTCGCAGCGGGGGTGCCGGGGGTGCGGGTGTGCAAGCACGGTGCGCGCGCCTCGTCGTCGACGTCGGGCTCGGCCGACCTGCTTGCCGCCCTGGGCGTGCCCCTGGCGAGCCTGACGCCGGCCACGCTGCCGGGCCTGCTGGCCCACGCGCCCTTTTGCTTCCTCTTTGCCCAGCTCTACCACCCCTCGCTGGCCCCGCTGGCGCCGATCCGCCGCTCGCTCGGCTTCCCCACCATCTTCAACGTCCTCGGCCCGCTCATCAACCCGGCCCGGCCCCGGCGCAGCGTCATTGGCGTCCACTCGCCCCGCCTCGGCGCCACGTTTGCCGAGGCCCTGCGCCAGATGGACGTCGAGCGCGCCTGGGTCGTCTGTGGCCGCGAGGGCCTCGACGAGATCAGCCCCGAGGGCCCGACCGATGTGGGTGTCTTCTCTCCTTTTCTCTTTCTCTGCAAGCAAGCCAGCTGACACATTGCCGCCACCGCTTCTTCCACCAGGTCTGGGAGCTGCGCAGGGGCACAATCACCAGCTTCGCCGTCGAGCCGGCCTCGTTTGGCCTCGCCGCCCACCGCCTCGACCACGTGCGCAGCGGCACGGCGGGCCAGAATGCCGCCGTGGCGCGCCTGCTCCTCACGAGCGACGAGGGCGCACTTGCCGCACTGGGAGACGCGCCCACGCAGGCACCCATCGCCGTCGCAGGCATGCCCGAGTCTATTCCTGCCGGCACGCATCTCGCTGCGATCCGCGACTACGTCCTCATCCAGGCCGCCGCGCTCCTCTACGTCGGCGGCAAGGCAAAGACGCTGCCTGCCGCCACGGCTCGAGCACGCAGGAGCATGGAGGCAGGCGCCGCAGCGCGCTCACTCGACGTCCTCATCAGCGAGGCACACCGCGTCCAGCGCGAGGCAGAGGCCCGCGACGTCGAGCGACAGCAGCAGCAGCAGCAGGTGCGGCTCCAGCGCGAGGAGCTCGAGCGCACAAAGCGCAGAGACGAGTTCTTCTACAGCCCCGAGCCGACAAAGGACGCCAACGTGGGCACGACGGACTGAGCAGGCCAGTTGCTTCTTCCTCTCTTCGCCCACGAATCCCAAAAACATACAATGTACAAGTAGTAGTATTAGACGGGAGCGTGATGTCATCTCATCTACATTGGTCATAGCCAGGTGTCTGGTGTGGTGTGAATGCGCATGTCTCTCGGCAGCGCAGTGAAGAGTGAAATTGCCGTTGAATGCGCTCGGTGTATGCTATGCAAAGAGGGGCGAGAAGAGGGGTGCGTCCAGCGCGACGAGGCGGTCCATCTGCTGAGATTATGTGAGCTGGCTCATGCATGGAGAGAGAGTAGTGCACGCTCACCTGCGCTTGCATGCCGTCGAGGTCCCTCAGCGCCTGCACGAGCTGTCGGCAGGCGCGCTGGATGTAGCTGTTGTAGTTGTTCTCATCGTTGTGGCCCTCTCCCACGTCGCGGCGACTCAGCGTCCAGGCGCGACAGACAGAGGCGAGGATCTTGCCGCTCCACCGCGCCACGCCCGGCGCCACCAGCATCTCCACCTGCTTCTCCTCGTCTTCGTCGTTGCTACCGCCACCGTGACCATCGCCATTGCGGTCGCCACTGCACCGGCGCACGCGACAGGCGTCGACGAGGCCCGCGGCAGCGCGAATGGCCAGTGCGCCGCGCTCGGCCGAGCCAAAGTGGGCGCAGAGGAAATCGAGCAGCGTGTCGAGGTAGGGCGCCATGGCGGGGCCGAGGGCGTCGGGCTGGCTCAGGCGGAGCAGCGTCGCGAGCGTCGTGCGCAGCACATCTGTCGGCTCGCAGCCGTCCTCGTCTTTGTCTGAGGGGGTGGCAGGAGAAGAAGAGGAAGTGGAAGAATAGGCCCAGATGCGCAGCACGGCGTCGTCGAGCACGGTGTAGAGGCGCAGACGCTGGCTGTGCTCGTCGTTGTCAGAGCCAGGGCCAGAGCCAGAGCCAGGGCGCGGCCGCAGGAGGAGGGCGAGGCGGATATGGGCGTCTGTCGATGCCTCGAGCAGCGGCGCGGCGTACGGGTCCGACGACGACGCCGCATAGGCAAAGCTCGTCTCGAGGGCGGCAAACAGGAGCGGCGCGAGGCCCGTGCGACCCATGAGCGATGCCACGCGCAGCCGTGCCTCGACGCTGCCGGGCGACAGGAGCGACGTTGCGAGGATGCGCGCCCCCACGAGACGGAACCGCGGGCCGGCATCCTCGAGCAGCGTGAGCAGCGGCGGCAGCACCAGCGGCCAGAGGTCCGGCCAGGCGTCCACGTCTTCTTCATCTTCTTCTGTCGTCGTGGTCGTGGTCTTCGTCAATGTCGCGCCTCGGCCGAGACTTTGGCAGGCGGCACCGAGGACGTGGCAGCAGCCCAGCGCTGCGTTTCGGTGGTCGCCCTCGATTTGCAAGAGCATTGGCTCGCCCAGCACGCGGACGGCAGCCGTTGAGGCCAGGTCGAGGCCGCCGCCTTTCCAGACGATGTCCTCTTCGGCCGTCGAGGTGGCCCGGTGCAGGGGATTGTCCACCAGGCCGGCGGGCTTCGATGCCGCGCGGCCCGTGTCTGTGCGTACCGAGTCGGTCTGCGTGGCGCTGAAGAGGGGCTTGATATAGTGCGCAAGGACGTGCCTGGCCAGCGCGACAGTGGCTGACTGCTGCTCCTGCTGGCCCAGCACAGCAAGGAGGATGCTGCGTGCGACTGCCTGCGTCTTCTCCTCGTCGGCGGCGGTGGGAGGAAGAAAGGCGTCGCGGGGCGCTGAAGACGAGCGATGCCGAGGCCGAGGCCTACGGACGTCGATGAAGCGCGCGGCGGCGACAAAGATTTTCGACCGGAGCTCCACGCCGGCCTCGGCGGGACATCGCAGCGCCTGCTCGTGGAGCTGCTCGAGGAGCCGCGACACCTGCCCCTTTACCCAGCCGTCATCATTGGCTGCCGAGGCGGACGCTCCAGATACCGAAGACAGGCGCGTGGGCGGCGTCAGCAGCCGGCACGTCTCCTCGACCCTCGCCCGGTCGTCATCGCCCCATGACATGTCGGCATGGCCCTATGCGTGAGCGAGCGAGCGAGGGAAGAAAAGCATGGCTGCAGCAGGCGCGATTCTCGGGAGTCGGAAATATAAAACACGTGGACACGGGCGCCGCGCGAGATCCAGTCGGGCGGCGGCTCGAACGTCGGCAAATGCAGGCTGCACCGCCGCTCTTAGACCAACAGCCACCATATCACACGCTGCTGCAGACATGGCATACCCAGGCAGGCAGGGACAGCACTACCAGTACCAGCAGGGCGGCGCGCCGCCGCCGCAGATGCCCGGCGTGCCCCAGGGCTTTGCGCCGCCGGGCTACGGGCCCCCTCAGGGCTACGGGCCTCCCCCCGGCCAGGGCTACGGCCCACCTCCTGGTCAAGGGGGCTACGGCCAGCAGGCCTACGGCGCACCACAGTCTGGACAGTACCGCGCCAATGGTCCGCCGCTGCAGTACGGCAACCCCAGCGGGGGACCCGTCGGTCCGCCAGAGTACCAGGGCGGGCCGGTCAACTACCAGCGCCCGACGGGGCCGCAGATGATGGGCAGTGCGTAGGGCGACTTCTTGCACTTGCTGTGGCATTCCTTTACCTTGCTGAGGCGTTTGTTTGCTGACATTTGCGCGATCACCAGACCAGCGCTACGAATACTCGTCGATGACGGGCAAGCGAAAGGCGCTGCTCATTGGCATCAACTACCACGGGTGTGTGTCCGTCGTGCTGCTGAAGTAGGGGTATATACTGACGATGATGATGCCATGCCGCGGCAGGACCCGAGCCGAGCTCCGAGGGTGCATCAACGACGTGCAGAACGTGCGCCAGTTCCTCCTGCGTGAGTCGAGTTGTGCCATCTGGCGTAGCTGGATGAGCGCTGACCTTGACAAAACAGAGCGCGCGGGCTACAAGGCCGAGGACATGGTCGTGCTCACCGATGACCAGCGCGACCCGCGCTCGATTCCCACGCGGCAGAACATGACGGCCGCCATGCACTGGCTCGTCTCGGGTGCCCAGCCGGGCGACGCCCTCTTCTTCCACGTGAGTCTGTCCGCATACATAGCACGCCTCTTCCAGTCTGCGCTCACACCGAGCTATGACTACAGTACAGCGGCCACGGTGGCCAGGCCAAAGCGACGCAGGGCGACGAGGCCGACGGCATGAACGAGACGATCCTGCCCCTCGACTACGAGAGGGCCGGCCAGATGGAGGACGACGAGCTGCACATGACCATGGTGCGGCCGCTGCCCATCGGCTGCCGGCTGACGGCCTTGTTTGAGTGGGTTGTCATTCTCCAGAGGCAATGATGCTGTTCCCAAGACTGACCCCACCTGAAACAGCTCCTGCCACTCGGGCACCGCACTGGACCTGCCCTACGTCTACAGCACCTCGGGCCAGATCAAGGAGCCCAACATCGCCGCCGGCGTCGGCAAGGGCATGATGGGTGCCGCCATGGACTACGCCCGGGGCGACGTCGGCGGCATGGTCAAGGGCCTCTTTAGCACCATCAAGACGGCGACGAGCACCAACTCGGCCGAGGCCGTGACGCGCGAGACGCGGTCGAGCGGCGCCGACGTCATCATGCTCAGCGGCTGCAAGGACAGCCAGACGAGTGCCGATGCCACCGAGGCCGGCCGCGCGACGGGGGCGATGAGCTGGGCCTTCCTCAAGGTCCTCTCCGAGTTCCCCCAGCTGACGTACAACCAGCTGCTGAATGCCACGCGCGACGCCCTCGCTGCCAAGTACAGCCAGAAGCCGCAGATGTCGAGCAGCCACCCGATCGACATGAACCTCCTCTTTGTCATCTGACCCTGTCTCTCTACTCTCTCTGGCTTTGTCTCCGTCTCTATCTCTGTCGCTAACTTTCCTTAGTCTCTGACTGTCTCTCTGTCTTTGTCTCCGTCTCTGTGTCACAGAAGAAATGAAGAAGCTAGCCTTTGCCAAAGTGGAGCGAGCGCGTTAGTGTGCTTTTCCGTGTCTGTTTGCGCTTTCTCCGTCGCGCCGCTGTTGTTGTTCCTTCCTGTTGCTGCTGCATGTCGCTGCGACTGCTCTTTCGTCGCCCTTCTCTCTCTCCGCTCCGAGTCTCGTATCGCGCTAACATGGCCACCACTACCTCGTCCTCGTCGTCGGCAGCGGACGCACCTGCGCGGCCGCCGCTCGTGATGCAGCTCATCGTCGACCACAGCCTCGTGGGCGTGAGCAGTGCTTCCTATTATCCGCTCTCTTCTGTGTAGCGACTGACACTCCTTTCAAGCAGGGCACCGAGTGGGGCCTCGGCCCGCTCATGGCCCAGGCCGCACACGCATCCCTCGCCGTGAGCAATGACCTCTGTCTACCTAGGAGACGGAACTGACAGAGACACACAGATCATCGCACGCACGCGCGACTCGGCCGCGACGCAGGCCTACCTCGCGCCCGACAACGTCGCGCACATGCGCAAAGTCGTCCTGCAGACACCCAAGGACGTCGACCTCGCGTCCCTCTCGCGCGCGCTGCAGGAGCGCGAGCACGCCCAGCCGGGCTTCCCGCGCCACCACGTCTGGATCGAGATGCCCGAGGGCGTGCCGACGGTGCTGGCCCTCGAGCCCAACGAGCGGCCGCCGGTGCGTAGAACACTCTTCAAATAGTACAGTAAAGGCAGACTGGCTCACACAGTACAAAACAGGCGCTCAAAAAGGTGCTCAGCAAGTGTTCTCTATTGCGCCTCTAGCGGCGGCTGCGTTCGTCGGCAATAAATGCGCGCATCACATCCACCAGCACAGCCGTCTGCTCGAGCGTGACGGCATTGTACAGGCTGCAGCGGATGCCGCCGACGCTGCGGTGGCCCTTGACCTGGACGATGCCGCGCTGGGCGCAGGCGGCGACGAAGCGCGCCTCGAGGCCGTCGTCGGGCGTGCCCTCGGCCGAGACGACGCGGAACGTGACATTCATCCGGCTCCGCGCCGCCGCCTGTGTGACGGTGGGCACGAACAGGCCCTGCGAGTCGGCAATGGCGCCATAGACGAGGCCGCTCTTGGCGGCGGCGCGCTCCGTGGCGCCAGCCACGCCGCCGTGCTTGAGCAGGTCGGCAAAAACGAGCCCGGCGACGTAGATGCTGAACATTGGCGGCGTGTTGTACAGGCTCGCATTGTCTGCCAGGTTCTTGTACACGAGTGTCGTGGGGATCCGCGGCCCGCCCTGCGCAAGGACGGCGGGCGCGTCGGGGTCGTGTGCGATCAGATTGCGGCGCACAATGACGACGGTCACGCCGCTCGGCCCCACGTTCTTCTGCGCGCCAAAGAAGATGAGCGCGTGGCGGCGCACGTCGATGGGCCGGCTGAGGATGTTGGAGCTGCAGTCGGCCACGAGGGGCACCCGCTCGGCGTAGTCAGCCGGCAGCTCGTCGATAGGGAAGCCCGGCGCAGGGAACTCGACGCCGTCCACGGTCTCGTTGTCGCAGTAGTAGAGCATCGCCGGCGCATCCTCGGCCGAGGCTGCCGACGACAGCTTCCACGCCGACACGGGTGGAACGACGCCGAACTTGCCGCCGTTGTGCTCGCGCGCATCTACAGCGACGTTGGCTGCGACGCCGAGCCGCTTGGCCTCCTTGACGGCCTTTGCCGTCCAGCTGCCCGTCACGATGTAGTCACACTTGGCTGGTGTCGGGGTGGCAGTCGCTGCCGGGCCACGCCGGCTCGCATGGGCCGAGAGCATGTTGAGGGCCGAGGCGCTGAACTGCTCGGTGCCGCCGCCCTGGGTGAACAGGACGGCATAGTCGTCGGGAATGTCGAGGAGCGCACGCAGCGACGCCTCGGCCGAGTCGACGACGGCCTTGAACGTCGACGAGCGGTGCGAGAGCTCGGTGAGGCCCATGCCCGTGCCCTGGAAGTCGAGCAGGCCCTGCGCGGCCTCGAGCAGCACGGCCGTGGGCAGCGACGAGGGCCCTGCACCGAGATTGATTGTTGCGTCGCGCTTCGAGACGTCGAGCGAGGAGCTTGTGGCGGCCATGGTTGTTGTGGCTGTCTTTTGTCGATGACTCTTTCTTCCCTTCCGTCTCGTCGCGTTTTTTTAGAATAGAAGAAGAATGCGAAAAGTTGAAAATTGTGTCCTGTCCACGCGCACGCACGAGCCACAAACACCATCTCCTAGACAGACTACTCGCGCGCGCAAAGATGATGGCGACGGCGAGGAGTCTCCTCGTCCTCGTCTTCGTCTTCGCGCTCTGCAGCTTGGCACAGACAGCGGCGGCGTCGGCGTCGGAAGAGGGCTTCCGCGAGTCGCTGCGCATCGCGCCGCTGGCCGACGGGCGCGTGCACATGCTCTTCTCCTTTGAGCTCACGTCGGCCGGCGCCGAAATCGACGAACAGCAGCCGAATACTGCCTCGTCACAGCAGCCACCGCTGTACTCGACGGTGCCGCGGCCGCTGGTGCACCTGGCGCAGGCGAGCGACGCCGACGAGGTGCACCTCGCCATCAATGCCGGCCGGTGGGACTATGCGCGCTGGGGCTGGCCCACGACGGAGCCGGCCGTGGGCACGGGCGCCGAGGTGTGGGCGAGTCTGCGCGCCAATGCGACAAGGACGACGGCTACAGCAGACAACGGCGACGGTGGCAGTGCACGCGTCGAGCCGGCGCTCATGGCGCGCTGGCGCACCCTGACGGCGAACCTGGCCGGCCTCTTTTGCGCCTCGCTCGATGCCCTCGATGAGCGCCTGACGGTGACGCCCTGGACGCGGTCCTTTCCTTCCTCTTCGTCATCATCGCCGAGCAATCACTCGAGCAAGACACTCCACGCCACACTGTCGTCCGAGGCCGTGTGCACCGAGAACCTGTCGCCGCTGCTGAAGCTGCTGCCGTGCAAGCAGCGCGCCGGCCTCGCCTCGCTCCTCGAGCCCCACCACTTTTTCGCGGCGGACTTCCACGGCATGGCCCTGCATGTTGTCCGCCGTGGCGAGGACGGCCGCTGGGCCGTCGAGATCAATGTTCAGGCCGTCTTTTCGCCCGTGATGCTGCCTGGCCTGCGCGGCAAGCGCGGTGGGTCAAAGGCAAAGAGCCCCGTCCTGTAAAAGACAATCGAGGCTGACTTTTTCTAACACAGACTGGTCCCTCTCTGGCCTGCTGGGCCGGCGGATGGAGCAGGCGTGCCCGCTGGCCGACGAGAGTGCCATCACCGTCGTGGCGCCCGCCGAGGTGGCGAAGAGAAAGAAAGAGGAAGACGAGGAAGAAGGCGACTACAACTTCCTCATCAGCCCCATCCTCGTCCTGCCGCAGCTGGCCCAGGAGGAGCGCGACGCCTACGAGGACGAGGCCGCGCGCTTCAAGCGCTTCGAGCGCGCATTCATCCGCCGCGTCGTCGACGAGGGACACGCCGTGTACGACACGCGCACCGCCGTCGGCTTCGACGTGCGCATGTACTGGCCTACCGAGGGCGAATTTGTGTTTCCCCACAGCTACCCCAACAGCCCGGCCTTTTCGGCCGACCGGAGCTTCCTGGGCGCCGGCCAGGAGCGAGGGCGAATCGAGGTCACGCTGCGCAACACCGACGCCGTGCGCGCACGCAGCGTCGTCTACTACGACGTCCTGCCCTGGTTCATCCGGCCCCTCCTCCACTCGCTCCAGGCCAGTGTCGAGGTGGCCGACGACGACGGTGAGTTGGTATACTAGTTCAAGTCATTGGAACACAGCTCAAAGAAGACTCGACCCCACAGACGAGGAGGGCGACATTGTGCGCTTTGCAGACGACCTCACCGCGCCCATCGTCGAGGCGCTGCGCTACTCTGCGTCGACGCCGCGCGGCGCACCGCTGCACCTCGAGGCGACGGTGCGCGTGCCCCCGCAGAGCACCGTGCGCCTGCGCTACGACTACGACAAGGCCTTTCTGCGCTATGCCGAGCACCCGCCCGACGCCCACCGCGGCTTCGACATTGCCCCCGCCGTCTTTCTGCCTGCCGGCAGCAGCAAGATGCCCCGCCTGTACACAAACCCCAGCCTGGTCGAGGTGGCCGTGCCGGACTTTAGCATGCCGTACAATGTCATGTGCGTCTTCCTTCTTTGCAGCCCCTTTGCTTCTCTGCTGACCCTACAGCATTCTTCACAGCATCTTCACGTCGACACTCATTGCCCTCTGCGCGGGCTCGGTGCTCAACAACCTCGTGCGCAAATATGCAGACGTCGTCGTCGAGCCGTAGTAGTAGGCAGGACATGCAATCCAATCTAATGCAACCAGTCGGATCGCGAGATTGATTGGCTTTTCCTGGCCTGCATCTAGTCAGAGTGAGATCAGGATCGGGAATGAAGTGAGCGCCCGTGCCTTTCTCCAAATACGGTACGGTACAGTAAAGTATGTGTCTGTTTGTCTCCAATCTGATCTGTATGCGCGCGTGCGCTTCGGCAAGCGATTCGGCCGCCATCTCTGCTCCCCTTTCCATGCCGCCATTCTAGCGTCAAAAAGCCCGTCTTACAGGCAGGCCCATTCTCCGCCTCTGACATCTCTCTCCCTCTCTCTTTCCCTCCCTCTTTCAGAAGAGAGCCCTCTTTTTTTTTTGTTCTTTTTCTTAAAGAATTTCCTGGCGCGTTTGTGGTGTCCCGTGTGAGATCCCGTGTCTATTTTTTAATAAAATAAACGTCTGATCGCCAAACCCCCCTCACTATATTAAATGCTTGCTTGAGATTAGTGGGATCGATTGAGCTTAGAGGAATGTTCATACAAGCAAGGAACCGCGAGGCACAGCTAGTGTATCTTGGCTATACATCTTGCTGCTACGTACTACTACTACCTACTACTACTATTGTTGGACCCGCCGAGCGCGGGGAGTGCGCTCGTTTTTATAGAAAAGGGACAACTCGTTGGATGGTACGCTGCTCTGTACGAGATCAACAGGCTGTCGCTACCCCCTTTCCCTACTCCCCCTCACGCTCCTTCCCATCCACGCTCCTTTGCACCACACTCACAACACACCCACACATTCGTTTTAGTTGAAGAAGAAGAGAAGAAAGATGAAGCTCGCGACACTGCTGTTGCCCGTGGCGCTGGCCATGGCCATGGCCGGCGCCGCCGTCGGCTCGCTCGAGCAGGGCGCCAAGTCGGGCATGCAGCGCCGCGCCTCGAACCACCGCCGCGTACTGACGGCGTTTGAAAAGACCCTCGAGACCAACCCGGAGGTCGACGGCGTCGTGGCCAACATCACCAGGCGCGCCGGCGCGCTCCGCTTTCCCTTTGGCGGGCCCCAGCTCGGCGGCCAGACGGTCCGCGGTGTCTCGATTGGCGGGTGGTGAGTCTGGCGGACAGTAGCTCTGGACCACGCAAGCAAGGGAGGGCTGATACAGAGACAAACAGGCTCGTAATTGAAAACTTCATCACGCCCTCGGTCTTTGACGCGACGGGCCCCGACTCCAACGGCATCGTCGACGAGTGGACTTTCGGCTCGAAGCAGTCCAAGGCAAAGGGCACCGCCATCCTGCAAAAGCACCTCAACACCTTCATCACCGAGGCCGACTTTGCCGAAATCGCCCAGGCGGGCCTCAACCACGTCCGCATCCCCATTGGCTTCTGGGCCTTTGACGTTCAGGGCAACGAGCCGTACCTGAAGCTCAACCAGTGGGACCTCCTCAAGCAGGCCGCTGTGTGGGCCGGCAACCACAACATTCGCGTCCTCGTCGACCTCCACGGTGTGCCGGGCAGCCAGAATGGTGAGTTTTCAACCGTCTCGCCCGTTTTTATTAAAGACCGACCGCTGACCCGAGTATTTACAGGCTTTGACCACAGCGGCCGGCTCGGCGGCAGCCACTTTGCCGACAAGCAGTCGTACATCGACCGCGCGCTGGCCATCATCGAGACAATGGCCACCGAGTTTGCCAAGACAAAGTACAGCAACAGCGTCGCCTCGATCGAGGTCGTCAACGAGCCGCTGGGCGTGCCGACGGACACGCTGAAAAAGTACTACAAGGACGCGTACGCGCGCGTGCGCAAGCACACCGACGCCATCGCCGTCGTCATTTCCGACAAGTTCATCGACCCGTCCAACTCGGCCTGGGCCTCGACCTGGAAGGGCTTCATGACCACGGGCTACGACGCCGTCATTGAGGACAGCCACCAGTACACCGTCTTTAGCGAGGGCCAGATCCAGATGAATGCGCAGGCGCGCCAGGACTCGTACTGCGCCAAGGCCAGCTCGCTGCAGAGCGCCAACCGCGACAAGTGGCAGGTCGTCGGCGAGTGGACCGCCGCCTTTACCGACTGCGCACGCAGCCTCAACGGCCGCGACAAGGGCGCCCGCTACGACGGCACCTTTCCCGGCGTCAAGAGCAAAAAGGGCAGCTGCGGGCCCAAGCGCGGGCCGGCGAGCAACTTCAGCCAGGGCTACAAGGACCTCCTGGCGCGCTTCTTTGCCGTGCAGAAGGAGGCCTACGAGAAGGGCAGTGGCTGGATCTACTGGACGTGGAAGGTGGGTTTCCTTCACAAGTCATACCTGGCGCATCAGATGGGCTGACCTTACCACTCTCAGACGGAGGGCACGGGCGAGGACTGGAGCTACCAGGCCGGCATCAAGTACGGCTGGATCCCCGCGCAGGCCGATGGGTCTGTCAGCAACTACCACTGCTGATCTCCCGGCTTCTCTCCTTTTATCCCTCCCTCTTGGTATTCCCCTTCCATATCCTCTTTTCTCTCTCTTTTTCTCTCTCTCTCTTCATGTAATGGATCTTCCTTCTTCCCCCATCTCTTCACGAGCAGGCTCCTCACTCGGACTATTCAATGGGAATGAAGATAGATGCGGGGCTCTCTGCATTTTACACGAGGACGGCGAGCGTGCAGTAGACGACGGTAGCAAGGGTAACGAGTGCGACGAGGCGCCCCGTCCAGCGCCGGAAGGTGGCCGAGGCAGATGCGCCCGATGAGGACGCAGGCTGTGGCCCGGCCGTCTGCTGGCTGCTGTAGTACGACGGCAGGAGGGTGGGCCCCGCGAGGGAGCGGTAGCCGTAGGGGTCGTCGTCTGGGTATGTTGTTGCGGGGCGCGGGGTGCCGGAAGAGGAGGCAGGGAGCGAGACGGCGCCGTACGTGGTGGATGCAGACGTCATGAGGGGCGTCTGCTTGCCCGTGCCCGTGCCCGCGGCCTCGGCGCTGATCTCTGTCCAGAAGAGCGACATGGAGCGGGGCCGTTCGCGGGGCTGCTCAGCGGGTGAGGCGGCTCGGGACGACCGTGGCGAGGGGCCGGTCGCGGAGTGCATGCTCTTGCACCGCGGCCGCTTCTCGTCCGACGGCTGGCGATGAAACGAGGCAGTGGTAGGGTCGAGAGAGTCAGAGGGGGAGAAGAGTGACCAGCGGGACCGCCGTTGCTCCTCGGCTGGCTTTGGCGACGACGACGATGATGGCATGGGAGGCGATGGCGGGTCGGGTGCTTCCGACGCGGGCCGCGATGACGTTGAGGGAAAGCGCACGGGCGCAGGCCCCAGCGCGTACTTGTACCGCGGCATCGCCATCTCGGCCTTGCTCTCCCCTTCTCTTATTGAGCTACGGTTCGAGCTCGAGGCCGGGGCGGGGCCTTGTGGGGAAGTCCGCGTCGAGATCGAGGGAGCACGATAAACAACAACGCTGCGCCCCCGGCCAGACCCTGTCCTGAGCTAGCGCACGGTTCAGGACTCGAACCCAAAAAGGGGCGAAAAAGCAGCAGACTTCTCCGACTCCCGGTGCTTCTTTTTTGCTCGGTCTAAATTTTTGTTCTTGCAGCACGTCAGAAGGAAAGGGAAGAGATCCGCTTCTTTGTCGCTGTCTCGCCGCGCCTTTCTTCCATCGTCCTATTTTTATATTCGGCCCATGGCCACCGTCGATGCGCGCGTGCCTCGGCAGTTCCCGACGGCGCCGAGCGGCAGCAGCGGCAGCAATGGGCGCGCTACACCAACGATAGCAGAGCGCGCAGATGCGCTGGCCGTGTACGAGGACGCGGTGCAGGAGCCGGCGCTCGAGTGCGGCAACCTGGCCTCGCTCTACTACAACGCCCAGGACCTCGGAAGCCGGCGGCCCGAGGCGCGCGTGCTGCGCGAGGACTTTTGCTCGTCGGCCATTGTGGCACAGACGTGGGTGGGCCTCGACGAGGGCCACCAGCGCGCCCAGGGCGTCGATGTTGACCTGAGGGCGCTCGAGGTGGCTCGCAGGCGGGCGACGAGGCCGGGTCGGGAGAATGGTCAGGCACCCCGCGTGATCCTCTTGCAGAGCGGGCAGTACGGTGAGGGGCACGAGGCGAGGATCGTCGAAGCAGAGGTGCAGCACGAGGCGGAACTGAAGAGGGAGGGGAAGAAACAAGAGGAGGAGCAAGGGCAAGAGCAAGAGCAAGAGGAGGAGCGGCAGCAAAAGGAGAGCAAGACGACTTGGAGCGTCGGTGCGACGACGGACCGATTTGAGCGCCGCTTCCAGGCCCGTCTGCGGCGGCAGCAGGAGCAGACAGCAAAGGAGAAGGCGCGCGAGTCCCTGACAAACGCCGAAGAGGACGACCTGTCAGCGACACCCGCACTGACACTGATGCACGCCGACGTGCTCTCGCTGCCGTTGCCGCTGCCGCCGCATGTCACACCCGTGGCTGCACCGGACATTGTCTACGCGGGCAACTACGCCCTCTCCTACTTCCACACGCGGCCCCTCCTGATCGCCTACCTCGCCCAGGTCGCACGCACGCTCCGACGGGGCACCGGCTGCCTCATCGTCGACCCCTTTGCCGGGCCCACGTCGTGGTCCTCGAGCGCGGCCGAGCAGGCGGCCCTCTGGTCCGCCTTTTCCGCCGAGCCGGGCTTCCTGCGCGGGCCAGGCGACCCGCCGGTGCCTGTGTCCGACGACGCCGCGCTCCAATTCTGGTCCGCCCCGCCCTCGCAGGCCGAGGGCGGCGCGGCAGACTGGCGGCGATGGCCGCGCGGCAACCTCGTCAAGGTGCGCCAGGGCGCCCTCTTTGGCGGCTACGACTACTACCGCGAAGACTCGCCGCTGGACCACGCATCGAACCGCTTCAGGTGGGTTACTGTCATCTTCTTTCATTGTTTGCTTCAAGCTGCTGACGAGTTCAAGGGCAGAATGAGCCTCAGCTTCCGATTCAGGGGCGACGGCAGCTGGCTGCGCGACTACTTCAGCTACGACTTTCGCGCGTGGAGCATCATGGAGATCAAAGAGGCCATGCACGAGGTCGGCCTTCGCCACGTCGAGGTGCATGCAATCGAGCGCGCCGACGAGAGCGCCGACGATGACCACGACGACGACACCGACGCCGTGCCGCGCTCGCCCACCGACGACGACGACGACGACGACGACGGTATCGAAGGCGACTTTGCGCTGCTGGGGAGGACGGAGCGGAGCGAGGCGGGCAAAAAGTCATTCAGGCACCTCAAGCCCGACGACTCGGAGAAGCTGTTTGCGACCAGGAGCTTTGGCAGTGAGTTGCCTTTCCCGATGCGAGACTGCGAGATCCGCTGGCTGACCAAGACTTGACCCAGCATACATTGTGGCGAGAGCGCCAGAATGATAAAGATACATAGACGTATAATCATTGCACTGAGAAATAGATTTGCTGCATTGCACCGCCATTTGTGCCAAGGGACTGCCAAAGGGGTCCCGAATGACTGCCATAGCCTGCCAAGCGACTGCCGACTGCCAAAACGTTGCCAAAGGACTGCCAAAGGACCGCCGAATGATTGCCGAAGGACTGCCAAAGAACCAACAGACTTTGACTGATTGCCAAACGAATGCCAAACGAGTGCCAAAATGCTTGGAAGCCAAAGGACAGCCGTTTGATTGCCAAATGACTGCCGAAAAGCTGCCAAAGGACTGCCAAACTTGCCAAAGGACTGCCAAAGACTGCTAAAGACTGCCAAAGAATTGCCAACTGACCGCGTTTTTCTCTTTGCACGGAGGCAAGAGAATGTGAGATCTCGAAACGCGTGGTGCCCACTCTCTAATTTTTAAGCTTCCACGTTGGCCGTGCGCGTTTCTCACTCGACGACCGACGACGACTGCCGCCGACGACGACTGGCAACCGCAACCATGTCTGCGCCCGAGCTCTTTGCCGGCCGCGAGCAGCCAGACACGCTGTGCCTGTTTGACGTCGACGAGACGCTGACGCCCGCGCGCAATGCCGTGTCGCCCGAAATGATGGACCTGCTGACGACGATCAAGACGAAAAAGTGCGCTATTGGCTTTGTCGGCGGCTCGGACCTGGCCAAGATCCGGGGCCAGCTGCAGCTGCCGGGGCTGCCCGATGGTGAGTAGGTCCTTCTCCCTCCACTCTCGTCGAGAGAGAGTGGAGTGCATGTCTGAGTAGCCGGTCGACTGACTGACTGGGACGGGACACGAAGCGACCGACTTCTTCGACTATGGCTTCGCCGAGAACGGCCTGATTGCCTATCGGGCCGGCAAGGTGCTGGCGTCGCAGAGCTTCATCGGCTGGCTGGGCGAGGAAAAGTACAAGACGATGGTCAAGTTTATCCTCGGCTACATATCCCAGCTCGACCTTCCCATCATGCGGTGCGTACCTTTCCCCTCCTCTCTCTCCTTGGCTGTGCGAGAGAGCTAAGACGTAGATGGTCGTTTTAACAGCGGCACGTTTGTCGAGTTCCGGAACGGCATGATCAACGTGAGCCCCATTGGGCGCAACGCGACAAACGACGAGCGCAAGGCATTTGAGGCCTACGACCGGGAGCACCAGGTGCGCACCAAGTTTGTCGCCGTGCTCCAGGAGCGCTTCCGCGACTACGGCCTCACCTTCAGCATCGGCGGCATGATCTCCTTTGACGTCTTTCCCTCGGGCTGGGACAAGACGTTTGCGCTGCGCCACGTGGAAAAGGACGGCTTCAAGACGATCCACTTCTTCGGCGACAAGACGTACAAGGTGAGTTTGTCGGCGTCAAGTCATAAAAAGAAGAAAAAGGAACTGAGAGTAGCTGCAGGGAGGAAACGACTACGAAATCTTCAGCGACGAGCGCACCGTGGGCCACTCGGTGGCCAACCCGCAAGATACCATGGTCCAGCTGCGCAAGCTGTTTGACCTGTGATGCTGCCCTCATCGCTTTGCTTTTGTCTGGGCTTACAAGAACAATTGAATTGGAAGTAGATGAGATGGGCTACAGAACGGTTCGGCTGAGTCGCTGGAGCGAGTTGAGGAGCAGGTCTCCGTCCTTGAGCAGCTTGCCGTAGCTGCCCGAAAGAAAGTCTGGCCGGCGTGTCTCTACGACGCCGGCGACCTGTATAAGAAAGAGAGGCGCAAGATTGATGAGCAAGCGTGAGGGGAGTGCATGTCCAGCACACTCACCCGGTCAATCACGGCCGGCAGGCGGCCCGAGGCAATGAAGCGCGAGAGCTCGGCATCGATGAAGTTGGACGAGACGCCGAATGCCTGGGCCATGTTGTCGAGGGTGAGGGAGCGGTAGGACTCGAGCAGCTGGGCGTAGCCAATGATGCGCATCTCCCGGACATAGTAGCGCGCATGTGGGGCCAGGAGCCGCGAGGGCAGCAGATGTGTCTGCTCGACCTCGGCTGATTTATGGGAGATTCCAGTGAGCTTTGCTGCAGGAGTTTCACACAGTGAGACTCACCCAGGGCCTGGAAGAAGGTGGCGTACTCGCACGCGTAGAGCGACGTAACATAGGTGCGCAGGTGGGGGATGTCGTCGACGACCTGCAGCACCTCGGGCGAGTCGATGATCTGTCATGTGTGTTCCGTTGAGCTGCACAGTCAAAGGAAGCGCATGCAGTCAAGACGCACCTTCTTTTTGAGCTCGGTGCGGGGCAGCGAGAGGATGTTGCTGAGCACGGTGAGGGTGATAAAGTCGTTGTACTCGAGCAGCTCCGTCGCCGTAAACGTCGAGAGGGCATCGAGAAAGAGCTCGCCGCCGCGCTTGAAGTCGCGGATCGAGAGGAGATGGAGCCCTTCGTAGACCTTGAGCCGGTTGCGCCTGTCCCAGTCGCCGCCCTCCTCGACAAGACTGCTTGCCTGTGTGAGCTTTTAATCTCGAATGAAGAGAGGAGAAAGAAGAGAGTCACTTACAGCTTGGCTTTTGCGATGCTCGACACTGTAACCTCGGGGTCGCCGTGGAAGAGGCCGATGCGGATCATGGCCAGCGTCAGGTCCAGCCGGGAGCCGAGCCCGGCGGCCTTTTCAATCGCGATCCGATGTGCCTCGAGCGCCCGTGTCTGATTGCGCAGTGCAGGCAAGTCAGCTTGCGGAAAGGAAAAGCTAGGAAGAGAAGAGGTAGGAGACTCACCTTGTCGCCAATCTTGGCCAGGTAGCTGGCCTTCTGCCTCAACACCGCATTGACCTCTGACTCGCCCTCCTCCTCCTCGTTCTTCTTGATGCTCTCGTCCATCAGCCGGAGCGCTTCCTCGTTTTTCTCTTCGAGGCGCTTGAGCAGTGCAGCGTCGCGCTTGAGCAGCGCCGCCACGGCCGCATCGGGGCTGTTGACGATGCTGGCATAGTACGGCGCCATCTCGTCGTCCTCGATGCCCTTGAGGAGCGCCGTCCGCGCCTCCTCCTTGTCGGCGTGCGGCGCGCTCGGCCGTGTGAGGAGGAACAGCTTCTGCTGCAGGCCCAGGTTGGGCACGGGGAGGAGCGAGGACTCGTCGTCGGCCATGGCTGTCTTTGCGGATGTTGTAGCTGTGGTCGACGTAGAGAGCAAGTACTTGTAAAGATGGAGGAGGAGGGGCGTCGTGTTCCTTTGGGTGCTTATGTAAGCACGTGCGATTTTAGACCTCCATTTCCTTCGTGCAGTGTGGAACGCGCGTCGTCGTTGTCGTCTGAGCAGGGGCCTCTCTAGTCTGTCCACAGCAACCATGGCCATCGAACCGGGCGCGCCGACGTACAAGGCGGCGACCGATGCCCTCGATGCGGGCAAGGAGGCGCAGGGCGAGAACATCCTCAAGCAGATTCTCGAGACACACAGTGAGTGACAAAGCGAGCAAGGGGAGGAAGGAGCCCAGACTGACCTGTGCATGCATGCATGCACTTGGACCAGCCGATGACAAGAGCGAGGAGAGCCTGCGACAACGGGAACTGGCGCTGATGCGGCTCGGGCAGCTATACCGCGATCAAAAGTGGGTTTTCATAAACACAGCTTGGGGACGAAAGACACTGACGAGTTCCACAGAGACGCAACAAAGCTGGCCGAGGCGGTGCGGTCGTCGCGCTCACTCATGGCGTCGATTGCCAAGGCCAAGACGGCAAAGCTGATCCGGACGCTGATCGACTACTTTGGCGAGATTCCCAACTCGAGCGAGACGCAGATTGCCGTGACGCGGGAAAACATCGAGTGGGCCAAGTCGGAGAAGCGCATCTTTCTCAAGCAGAACCTCGAGACGCGGCTGATTGGGCTCCTCTTTGACACGCGCCGCTACCGCGAGGCGCTGCCGCTCATCGATGCCCTGCTCCGCGAGCTGAAGCGGCTCGACGACAAGATGATCCTGACCGAGGTGCACCTGCTCGAGAGCAAGGTCAACCATGCGATTGCCAACCTGCCCAAGGCCAAGGCGTCGCTCACCTCGGCCCGCACCGCGGCCAATGCCATCTACTGCCCTCCTTTACTCCAGGCCCAGCTCGACATGCAGAGCGGCGTCCTCCACGCCGAGGACAAGGACTACACGACGGCCTACTCGTACTTTTTCGAGACGCTCGAGGGCCTGTCGTCGCAGGAGGACGCACGTGCGCCGCTGGCACTCAAGTACATGCTCCTCTGCAAGATCATGCTCAACCTGGCCGACGACGTGGGGGCCATCATCGAGGGCAAGCTGGCGCAAAAGTACGCGGGCCGCGACGTCGAGGCGATGAAGGCCGTCGCGCGGGCGCACGAGGAGCGCAGCCTCGAGCACTTTGAGCAGGCCCTCGCCGACTACAAGGCCGAGCTGTCCAACGACCCCATCATCCGCAACCACCTCTCGGCCCTCTACGACACGCTCCTCGAGCAGAACCTGCTGCGCATCATTGAGCCCTACAGCCGGGTCGAGATCAGCCACGTGGCCAGCACGGTGCGCCAGCCCGTGCGCGACGTCGAGACCAAGCTCAGCCAGATGATCCTCGACAAGGTCTTTCACGGCATCCTCGACCAGGGCGCCGGCTGCCTCGTCGTCTTTGACGAGCCCGTCGAGGACACGACGTACGAGGCGAGCCTGGACACGCTCAAGCACGTCAGCACCGTCGTCGACTCGCTTGCCGCCAAGGCGAAGCGGTTGTCATGAGCGCGCATGTAATGCCATTAATTCCACTAATGTTAAGAGACAGACTACACTGGCAGTGCTTGAGTACACTGGTATTTCTAGAGTGTGTGTGTGAGGGATCAAGCAGCGGCAATCTCGAGCATCTCCGGGATCGCTGTTTTTTTCCACGTCAGCAATGGTCCACTGACTCAATGACTCGCAAAGACAGACTCACACAAGACCTTTTCGCGGAGCTTGCCCAGCGCCTTGCCGCGGCGCCGCTCCTCGTCGTCGAGGCGGGTCCAGCCGGCCCAGTCGACGATGGGCGTGCTGCTGCTCGCCAGCGACTCGGGCACGCTTCCCGGTGATATCGATGATGATGACGACGAGAGAGTCGGCCGCTGGGCGCGCCAGTCGTCGAGGATGGCGTCGGCAATCGTGTTGGCATCGAGGCGCGTCGAGGCAATGACGCCGACGGGCCCCGTGGCGAGCCAGCCCGAGACGTAGAGGCCCGGCACGACGGCGGTGCCCCGTGCGACGCGGCCGGCCACGTTGGGCACGATGCCCCGCTGCGCGTCCCAGGGGATCAGCGGCGCGGTGTCGGTGTCGGCGTCGGGCGCTGCTGGTGGCACAGCAGATGACGGCGCCGCGAGCGGGGCGCCCTTGTAGCCGACGCTGGTGATGACGAGGTCCGTGGGCGTCGTGAAGCGCTCGCCCGTGCGTGCGAGCGACGTCGCTGCCGTTGTAGTAGCTGCTGTCGTTGTCGTCGCACTCGTCGTCGTGACTGAACTCGCCGTCGCACTCGCCGAGCCCTGGCTCGCATCCCACGGCCGCGCAGTGCTGGCCATGTCGCCGTCGGCCGTCGGCGTGCGCGCGCCAAAGGCCATGCGGTCCCACTCGACGGCGGCAACGTGGCCCTGTGCATCGGCATCGAAGCGCACGGGGCTGGCAAAGAAGCGCAGCGCCCACGTGCGCTCGGCAGTGGTGGTGGCGGCCTCGTCTCTGGACCCTTTTTCGAGGATGGTGAGGAGGCGCTTGCGGATGCGCGCCTGGCCCGGCTCGGCGAGGGCGTCGACGTGGGTCTTGGCCAGCGCGAGGTCCGCGTCGGACGGCCGCTCGAAGCGCGTGGCGCCGCCGAGGTCCATCATCTCGCGCAGCTCCTTGTTCGTGAAAGCGACCTGGGCGGCGCCGCGCCGCGCCACGACATCGACACGCTTCAGGTCTGCCAGGCGCGAGGCCAGGTGGGCGAGCACGGGCTCGGGGACGTCGGTCCGTGCGAAGCCGTCGTCGGCAGGCCCGCGTGCGCCGCGCAGCAGCACCCGCGCCACGTCGAGCGCCACGTTGCCTGCGCCCACGATCGTTGCGTGCTCCGTGCCGCGCCGCACGTCGATGCGCCGGTGTGGGTTGCGCGCCAGGAAGCGCGCGTCGTGCGAGGCCGGGTGGCCGTTGTACCAGTTGACAAAGTCCAGCGCCGAGTGCACGCCGAGCGGCGCCGGCGACAGCGACAGGGGCCGTGCCAGCGACGAGCCATAGGCGAGCAGGAGGTGGGTGTAGTGCGGCAGCAGCTCCGAGAGCGCCAGCTTGTGTGCATCGGGGTAGTCGTACTGGTCCGAGGGCGCTGTGAACGATGACTGCGACGACGAGGAGACGACGTCGACGTTGCCAAAGAAGCGCAGGCGCGGGTCTGCAGCCACCTGCGCAAACTTGTTTTCGACATTCTATATTGGCACCACCTCGGTCAGCACACTGCAGAAGAGAGAGAGAGAGAGAGAGGGAAAGATCGAAGAACGCCCACCTTGACCTCGGGGTGGTCCGGCGCGACGCCGTAGCGGACGAGACCGTTGGGCGTGGGCAGCCGCTCGTACAGGTGCACCTCGGCCTGCTCGTCGTCCCGCAGCGACGAGAGCACCCTGGCCGCGCTGTAGAATGCCGACGGCCCGCTACCGATGACGGCCAGCTTCAGCGGCGCTCTCTGCCGCACCAGCGTCCATCGCATCGTCTCTTGTTCCTTCCTTCCCTCGTCCCAAGAAGCGTTCGGGCCGGGACTGCGAAAAAGTGTCTGACTAGGCACAACAAGATCACGTGGAGAGGGCACGGACCAGCTGTGACCCCCGACAGCCCGAATGAAGTTCATTTCCTAGCTCGACTGAAATTCATGCCCAAACAAAGTGCAACTTCTTGCGCAACTAGACTTCACGCCCTGTTGAAGTTCGTTCTCTAGCTGAGGCGAACTTCAAGCCCGAATGAAGTTCATTTCCTAGCTCGACCGAAATTCATGCTCAAACATAGTAGTGCAACTTCTTGCGCAACTAGACTTCACGCCCAAATGAAGTTCATTTCGTAGCTCAAGCGAACTTCAAAATACCCTCTCTTTTCCGTTGTCATGAATAGACGCGACTTGCGCTGCTGTCAAGAGTCAGCAGTCCGAGATGTGCACGAGCTACAAGATCGCCTCGCATTCAGCCGCCACGAGCCACAGTATTGTCCGCTTTTTGAAGGCTGTCCCTGCCCGACGAGCGCAGAGCGACAATCATCCTGAATGCGAGGCCCAATCTTGCCCGATTCTGACTTTGGCCTGTCCTTGTTCGCGCGCCCGCCCCGCGTCCGGGCTGATAGCAAGATAAAGTGGAGGCCGCGGACTTGGACCGGACCTGCCTGCAGGGATAAGAATCCTGGGGCAAGCCCGGCTGCTCTCTTCATCACCATCACTCCCTGACCGACACACAGCCCAGCCCAGCCCAGCACAGCACAGTACACGCAACGCAATGGTGAGTCCGACGCCTACATTAAAAGTGACTGCGCAGTGAGAGCTGACAGCCGTCGCAGTCCGACCTCAAGCGACCACACATCGACGAGCAGGGCCGCTGGCACTTTTTCGACGGCGATCTCATTGGTGCGTGCAGGGTGCCCTTTCCTCTGATGCTGAGGCTGACATGGCGAGAGGCCGCTGAGCAGCATGGAAGGTGTCCAACGACGGCAAGTCGTTCACCTCGGGCCAGATCTTCAAAAAGGGATCGCCCCACTCGGGCGTGGGCCCAAAGAGCACGGCCACGCCTCCCTACCGTGGGTGTCACTTCTCTCCCTTTCTTTCTCCTCCGCCGACTGGTATGCATGAGCTGATGTAAAGGTCCGAACAGACACGCACCTGTACCAGACAGAGACATTTGACGTCAAGAGCGGCGTCCTGTGCTACAAGATCGACGGCAAGCTCGGCAAGCTCAAGCCAGGCCAGACAGCCGTCATCCCTCCGCACCGGCCTCACACTGTGGGTTGCTTTTACCATGCGCTGGGGAATGAAGGAGCTGATCCATTCTTCAACAGTTCTGGTGCGACCCAGAATCGGGCCAGGACCTCGAGGTATACATCACTGTGCGCGGCGGCGACAATGCCGGCTTCGACGAGGACTTCGTCCGCAAGTGCGTCTTTTGGCCTTCGCTTCCTCTTTCTCTCTTGCTTGAGCTGATACTGACGCATGCAACAGTTTCTACGGCTACCTCTCGTCGCGCACCATGGCCGGCAAGGCGCCGAACCCGCTGCAGATGCTCCGCTTCCTCGACGACGCAGACGTCATCCTCGCAGACGTGCCCTTTGGCCTCGGCGGCTGGCTCAATGTCATCGTCGGTGGGTGTCTCTCTTCCCACCCCCACCTGCGTCGTTTTCCGCTGCTCACACTCCTTTTGCACCAGGCCGATGGCTGGGAGGCTACCTCTTTGGCTACTCGCCGCGCTACAAGCTCTTCCAGGAGTAGTCAATGCCATTCCAGTTCGTCTGTTTGTTCACTACATTGCTTGTCCTTTTTGTCAAGGCGTGCGCACGCGCGGCAGCCTGAAAGGGAGAATCTCCCTACTCTAGAGTCGCGATTTCGAAAGAGAAAGGAAAAGAGAGGAGAAAAGAGAGAGAGAGAGAAAAGAGAGAGAGAGAGAAAAGAGAGAGAGAGAGAGAGATGGAACCTTTGCCCGTTTTTTTGACGACACATGACAGTGCGCGAGGGATGGCACCCTAAGAGATCCTCAGAGCGAATCTTCTTACTCAACAACGGCGTCTGGAACAAGGACCATGGTAAAGGTCAGATGGGGCCAGACTTCTCCCAGACGCAAGTCCTAGCATGATGATCGAGGCTCTGATTGTGACCTATCGGGCAAGTGGACTCGTCAGTGACTGTCCGTCGCTGCCACTTGGCGCCACACACGGCCTAAGATTGACCCGTCTGAGTCCAGGCCGCTAGCAGCACCACGACGACCGCTGCGATGGTCTTCTCTCTTCTTCTCAGGCATCTTGCTTTATGTCTTGCTCCTTGCTCAAGCCTGGGTCTCGCAGACGCAGCTCTCTGCAACACCCAGACATGCTCTTGGTAAGAAGTGAGACAAGATCTGACCTTTGGTACCATAATACAGTGCTGTGCAGTACTGTACAGTACGTACAGTACATCTTGACGTCTCTGCTCTACTGCTACGTCTCTTTGGCTGATAGTCGGCATGCAAGCATTGGCAATGTAGGATCGTGAGAACAAGGCTCCTGATTAGTCGTTCGGAACCGATCCTTGGCAGTCCAACACAGCTGAATTTCTAGAACGTTTTCTCCACGGAGACCCAAAAAGATACCCAGAATACGTACCAGGCACAGGTCTTCAACAATTTTTAAAAACAAGTGAGACGCGGGATGCGCTGTGGAGTGGCTTTTCGGTGGTCTTAGCCGCTATTTGTCATTTTGTTTATTTTCCGCTCCTGGGTCTAGGTCCTGCGCGCTTTCTGACGATCGTTGATCGTTCTTTCGGCGAGAGCCACAGGACGTCATACATTGCCCCCCAGACTGACGAGATCCAGAGTCGCTGCTTGGGCCGCGAAGATACATTAAAGTCTGTAATACCGACGCGAGTGACGACCCCCGGCACCAGAAGAGAGAGAGAGAAGTTCTGATGGAGAAAGGAGGTGCACATGCGCTCTCTCCGCCACCATCTGCAGTGTTGCTCCGCATAATAGAATCGGAGTTTAGTGAGACATCTGCTCTGGCCACGGGAATGCATGTAGTGGTACGGCCATGGGACCGGCCTGCTGAGCAAGACATCGGTGCAGGCCACGGGAGTGCGCGATACGATCAAGACCGTGAGACAAGCCACGATGGATGGAGATGGAGGCCTTCTTGGAAGCCATCAATATCATCATCATTAAACGCTCGTCGCTGTATAAAAACAGTAGCAGCGAGCCTCCTTTCCCTTTCGGCAAGTCCTTGAGGAAGACGTTTCCATTTTTTTCTTTATTTTCTTCTTGTCTTCCACCAACTTACCTCTACACCAAGCAACCATGCAAATCCGTGCTCTCGTCTCCCTCGTCGCCCTCAGCTTGACTCTCGTCTCGGCACGACCTCATGTCGTCGAGCGCGATGCCGCCAACCGTCCTGCGTACGTCAACGCAGACGGCACCCTCGACATCGTCGGTCTCGTCGCTGCTTCGCGAATCACCCCGACCAACCTTCCCCCAAGCTACCCCACCAACCAGACGATCTCCACGAGCGATACCGATGCTGCAGTCGTCCAGCAGGCTCAGCAACAGCAGTCTTCGACATCTGTCTCCAAGCGTGGCTCCAGCAGCGGCGGCTGCCCAAAGACGCTCAACGTGCCCAGCACATTTGGTAACCTTCTGGTGCCCCAGGGCCTGACTGCCAAGACCTTTACGGCATGGCCTTACTTCTCCTACACCGCCAAGCAAGGAAACGATACAATCTCATCTGGCAAATACACGCAAGTGTACGAGAACCTGCAGGGAACCTACTCCAACCCTGGTGCCAACTCGTACTTGGGCATGTCCACGCACTGGTGCTACAAGCCAGAGACGTGTGCGGCCAAGTGCGATGCTCTCAAGGGCTGCATGTCCTTTGATGTGAGCTTGTTCCTGCCTCAAGTGGAGTGTAGGAGGACATGATCGGCTCACCGCTTGCGTATCCGAACAGATCTACTACGAGCGTGACCCTGTCGTTGACCCGACTGTCAGCAGCACCTGCTCCGATCCACTTTCGATCACCAACCTCGTCTGCGCCTACTACGGCACCCCCATCAGCTCGGACCTGGCCACCAACACTGTGAGTTGTTGTGGCAAAAAAGAAAAGCGGGAAAGAAGTCCGTCGACTGACCCAACTTTGTGCACTCCAGGGCTCCACCCTTGGAAACTTCCAGGTGGTCAAGGCGGGAGTGGATGGCTACCAGCTGACGAAGTACACGCCACCTGCTATCGCAGGATTCAAGGGTGCCACGCGCCCTGGCCTTGTCGACAACCGTGTCGCCACCGGCCAGGGCCAGCTCCTCAGCCCGGCCTACGCCAACTACAACACCTACTCCATCATGTACACGGTGAGCCGCTTGACTCGAGTGAAAGAAAATTCGTCTCAGTACGCTGACATTTCTTTTGCCTCTTCCAGTCTGTCCTGACGCAGAACGCCTACTTCGACCCCATCTTCTGCAAGAACGTGGCTGACACTGTGTCGGGCTCTGTGAGTGAATCTTGCCGTCGATCAATAGAACCACGTCACTCACCCTTGCCCTTCCTCGTTACAGAAGTCCTTCAGCACGTGGCCCCTGACTGTCGGCGGCGACCCCAACTCGACGCCCTTCGCAGGTGCCGGCGGTCGCTACCTGGGCCAGGGCTGCATTATCTACTCGGTCAGTGGCTTCCCCGCGGCCACGTTCAACGATGTGGGCCAGTACGGCCACGACTCGGTCACTGGAAACGACCATGCCTTCTACACCCACGCGCCCAACTTCCACTACGACTCGGTTGCTTCTTCGTAAATAGGCCCTGCTGGCATTGTCCCCTCGCTTTCTGGTTTGTGTTGTCACTGTACTCTCTGTGGGTTTACCGGGAATATGATTTTGTCTCTTCTTTCTGCTGGTCGCTTCGCACCTCTTGCGGTCTTTGATGAGTTAACTGCCCGTTCCTTTGCCGATGATTTCTGACTGCGCGCCAAGTTTGCGGTTCACTTTTTCGAATTAGGCTAAATGAAGTTCGGTTCGCGTCTGTTCTGAACTTCACAAAAACACGTCGCGACTTTTTCAGCAGACACCATCGAGCGCGCAGGTCGACGACAGGGAGGGTTGACATATGGGACACCGTGATGAAATGTCAGCAATATTACCTTCTTTACACAACTTTAGACACACTAGTCCTCATGGTACATGCGCTGGACATCGACAAAGGCTCCTAACCTCACAGAATAGCATTATTGAGGTCGCAAACACAAAATTAATCACAGTCCTCTGACCATCCCGGCACTCGAGATGCTCTCTCTCATGACAGTCAACCGTTCAATCATCGAATAACAAGAATAAAGAGAAGAGAGTCCATAGCAGCCGAGGTTCTCAAACCTTTAGCTAGTGGGGCACTGGCCGCCCAGGCAGTAGCCGTTCGAATTAGTCTAGTCACAGGCACTCGTCAGTGCACCGCCATCCATCACAGCGACTCCGAAGACATGCTCACAATGTAACTGGGGTCGTTTTGACCTCCCACATTGTTTGTAGTAGTTGCCGGGTCAGGGCAGGCCTTGTAGAGGGCACACGTAAGCTTGCTTGGGTCGTACTTGGCCTGGGCGCTGGGCGGCAGATCAGAGGGCGTCTCGCCGTCGGGATACCTGTAAGAGGTGGCCACCCGGGGGTCAGCTACAGTCTGTATAACACAGAAAGAGGCCTGATACCTGCCTATCATTGTAGCTGTTGACAAAAACGCAGGAGTTCGTCTGGTCGCAGAGCTCGAGGCACTGCTCGACGGTGTCGGCGAGACCGTAGGTGAGGTAGTTGTCGTTGTCGACGGTGGCGGCGCCGACGGTCTGGCCCGCGTAGACGCCCGAGGTGGGGATGGTGGTGTAGTTGGTGAAGAGCGTCTGGTAGGTGTCGCCGTTGGCATCAGTAGTGCAGATGGGCTGGGCGGCGCCTCCGTCGGTGACGGTCGTCGTGGTCGTCACGATAGCCGTCGTAGTCGTGGGCACCGTCGTGGTAGCCGTCGTGGTGGCCGTAACGGTGACGGTGGCGAAGCCGGTGCTGCACGACTTGGTCGTCCTGGTCTTCGTGTGCGGGCCCCAGGGCACCCATGTGGTGGGGGGCTTGCATCCCTTGGGGACCGTTCCGGGGTTGTTGCCGCCATTGCAGACGGCGCCACCCTTCCTGCCGAGCCGGTCACACTTGGCGGAGTCACCGCCGTCCCAAGTGGGCAGCTTGGATCCCCACTTGTTGGACTTGCCGACGCACCATCCGGGCGACGAGGTGCGCTCCCAGGGCTTGCCGCTGGCACCGTAGTTGGCCTTGTCGCAGAGGTAACGCTTCTGTAGCGAGCGCGAGTCCATCTCATTGGCATCGCTTGGCATGGCCGAAGAGAGGCCCGCAGCGACGACGACGACGGTGGCAGCAAGCGAGGTAAACTTCATTTTGAGAGGGGGCAGTCGCTGTGTGTGTAAGGCCGTGTGAGGGAGAGGAGAGGTCTGCAAGGATGCGAAAGACGAGGTATACCCTCACAGAGGCATTGGTCTTTATAGCTCTAGAGGACCGCGGTAACTAGTCTCGATCTTCATACAGATGCTACCGCCAGTGCTCGTTCCATCGGAAGAACAGAAGAACTCGTCGCTGACGAGGCAATTACCGAACGCAAGGTGATATTATGGCCAGGCCCATGATGCACGAGTAAGGAACCATAGAAGGCGAGGAGAGGACGGAGCTGCTTTGGCTCGTCTCAAGCTCACCTTCACAGGCACATGAGATTTCAAGATCTGCATCAGTCTGTACACAGCACACACGGAGCAAATCGAGGTGCGTTTGTGGTCGAGATTACCGCCTGGCGAGTGCCTCCTTGTGGCTTCAATGGGTGCGTAACGGAGGTTTAGCAACTGGCCTGGAACTAATGAAATGCGAAGAGCACAAGTCTCTCCGGAGAAGGCAGCTTCGTCAACTCCGCAAGAGTCGAAGAGCCACACGAAGGAAGGATCCGCTGTAGAATGTCCACCTGCATATATTTGTGGCTCGACTTTCCCCTGCTTCTCCGAGGTCTATCTACCACTATTAAATCAACTTCATTTCCTGACTGTAATGGCAAGTCGAGGGGGGTGCTTATCAGTCAAGCAGATGAGTCCCAGTAATTCGGTCAGAATCGAATCGAGAAACATAATTTTAAAAGTAGCTCAGCAAACCAAAGAATGCGAAGTTTCCAGAGCTTTGTTTCCCGAGACAGAAGTGAGACAGGGCAAGGGAAAAATCTGCATCACCCAGATCGCGCTTGGTAGTAGTCGATCTCCCGTGCGGACTTTACTTTTCAGTAAGCAGGAACATTTCTTCTTTACTGTAAACTTAGATAATAAAGGGATGGGGCCTGGCCTCCCGCCTTTTCCTTCCCGTCGGCAGCACTAACAATGTTCCTACAGAAGCACAATAAGAAACAAACAAAGCTGACTAATCAAACTGCAGCTAGCGTCAACAGCACCGGAGATTACAGCACGGTTTTCGACGATTTTGGGCCATGTGGTCAGTCCTTTCGCAATGTCCGGTAGTCAACTTTGCCAGGACCTGAGAGACGCCGTTGACGCCATCCCAGTCGTGGGACCCGCCATAGGTTGATCGCATGGCTCTCAAAGAGAATCATTCAGAGGCCCTAATCAAGAGGCGCATCATAAGGAAAGGAGCTGCCTCTTCTCGAGATAGGCGCAGCAAAGTTACACGCACCCGTCCTGATCATAGATGCCCCTTCATCAGATCCGATCCTTGCTCGCACGGAGAAGTCTGTGCATGCTCTTACGAGGCGACAGGCTGCCCTGATCATCAGACTTGGAAAAATGGAAGAAGACGAAGTTGACAACGAGATGAAAAAAGAATGAATAAGATTGTAACAAGCAAGAGGGTGTGACGAAGACAAAAAAGGAAAAAGAGTAGAAGCAAGAAGAGAAATGAATGGAGCAGATTTTATCACAATGACAAGAAACCCAACGTGGCAGACTCAGGGGGAGATGAGGAAAGCCGAGAGAGAATAGCAGAGAGTGGTTCCTTTAGACGGAAGCGAACTTCCGGCTGTGGAGTAAAAAAAGGAGTCGACCATTTAGATGCGTTCGAGCGTGATGTCGTCGAGGTAGAAGTACGACGGGTCCTGACGCTGGTAGAAAACGAGGGTGTTGGATGCCGTAGCCGTCACGGGAATGACGATCTGGCGGTAAGCAGTTGCAGACCAGTCCGTGTGCCGGTAGACCTCCTGTCCGTTCCACACGACCCGGAACGAGGATTGGGCAGGGTCCCTGGCGGCGGGGTTGAAGAACCAAACCTTGAGGTTGTAGCTGCCGGGGCTCGTGGTGATGGGGCCGTTGTAGGTGATGGTACCTTCTCCTCCGACAGTGCCGCAGTAGGCAGACTTCAGGCCGGTATGAGGGTAAACATTCTGGACGCCGAGGGCGCCGCCATTGAAGCTCCAGTAAGGGCAGGTCTGGTAGTCTGTGCAGTCTTCGAATCCTGCATCAAGGATCACACCAGTGTTGTGGTCGTTCTTGGAGTAAAACACCGAGGGTTGGAAGGAGTACCACTTGCCATCGGTGCCCCACTGGCCCGCGTTGTTGCCCTGGTCCTGTCCGATGACAGTAGTGTAAAGGAGGCACTGGGTGGCTGCGAAGTTGCCGTCGGCGAGAATCTCAGCAGCATCGAAGCCAGCCTAAGGAAATTTACAGAGAGGGTAAGCAAAATGTTGGAGAATATACGAAACTAGGAGGAAGCTTTACTCACGCAGTTGCTAGAGCCATCGCACCTTGCGGCGCAAACCTCGGGCGAGTAGCCGATCGCGCCGGCATTCTCGTTGGGGTTGTAGACCTCGAGGAGGTACTGGGCCGTGTCGCCGTTGCTCGTCGTTCCACCGGGGTAGGTTGTGCCAGAGTAGCCGCTGATGTCGCGGTAGATGTCGTCGCGGACGTAGCCGTTGGCGGCGGCAATGGCCGTCTGGAAGTAGTCGCCCTTGGTCTGGCCAAACTCGTTGATCATGTCCTTGGTGATGGTGGAACCGAAGACGGCGCAGCTGAACGTGGTCACGCTGGGAGGGTTGTTGCACTGGCTGAGGTCAACAGTGTCCATGTCGACGTACGTGTCGCGGGACATGAAGACACTGAAAGCCTGGCAGTTGTAGTAGTCGCACGCGCCCTTGCAGCTATTAACGTCGTAGCTGCTCAGGGGAATGATGGCCTGGGTGATCGAGGAGCTGTCACCCTTGGGGATACCATCAGCGCCGACGTAGACCCTGCTGAAGCCGGCGGGGGCGCCGGCATTCTGAGCATAGACCTGGGAGAGCCAGCTGTTTCCCTTGAAGTTTTCGGCCGTGTCAGGCGTCAGGACGGGTCCTGGGCTCGAACCGGAGCTGGGGCATGCAGCTGCGTCCCAGTGGGGCTCTACATCACGCTTCTCCCGCTTCTCCTGAAAAAACCCCCGGCGAGAGGGAGTGGCAGTCTGGGTAGCCGCCGTCTCAGGGGCGTCAGAAGAGGCGCTGGCGGCGACAGACGAGGAAACGTCAGGAGCGACAGCCGTAGCCGTTGGCACGATCGGGACAACGACGGGCGTAACGGCAGTGTCCTGGAGCAGAGCGGCATAGTCCACAACTCCGTTGTCGCCAACGTAGGCAACACTGGGAACGGTGCCGGTGGGCAGTGCCTTGTCCCGCTTGACAGGCGTGCCCGAGACGACCAGGGCGGCCGCAGCCAGCATGGTGGCAAGCTGAGCGAACTTAGGGCTCAGCATCGTTGCTGGAAGTGTCGGATAGGATGAAGAGGAGGAGGAGGTTGAGAGAGGTAGAGAGAAGTAGTTCAAGAGAACTCGAAATGATGAGGAGGTGAGGCTTGTCGATCTCGAAGATGAGAAAAGTGCCCGTTTAAGTATCACTTGCTCGAGCAGCTGAACGCTCCGGTCGGGCTGTTCTCTGTTATCGTAGTCCTCCCGTCGCTGTGCTTGCCCTGTCGGATTGGGCCTAGACTAGACGTGGACTCTGCGCTTATCCGATGCCTTGTATGCCTACCCCTATGCTCAAGCTTCCATCAGCCACTCTGAGAGGCAAGACTACCAAGCGCGGACATCGGTGTGACATCGTCGCCGTCTGGAATCCATGTTCCCGTGTCGGCCATTCCTGTTGAACCCGCTTGACTGGACGCATTGCTGCTGGTGTTGTTGTACGCACGGTGCCCCGGTCCATGTATGTCAACCTAGGGGCAGATGCAACGCTCCCGTCAAGATGCAAGGCCATAGTAAGCCACAAGCACCTGTCTTACATGTCGGAAACACAGCAACGTGCTTGCTTCCCCACGCTCTTGCTTTTGCTGCAAGCCACCTACGTGGGAAAGGGTTTGGTAAGATGATCGTCACATCGGAGATACAATGGGGAAGCCACAGGATGTGCTCGGGCCCGCACGGAGCGAAGAGCTGCTTGGCAGCCCCAAGAGTCTAGCCACACCAAAGAAGCTGGACGAATGGAAGGCAGAGCATGGCACGGGATCAGGCTCACCCGCCCCAGTGTCGTCATCTTCCTGCTAAGGTTGACGTTTATTGACGAGAAGTGGATTGTTGTAATGAACACGGGAAGGATTTATTAGAAACAAGGCCCTTCAATATAAATACTTGACATCTGTGTCAGTTTCATATTAAGAATAGGTAGCGAAATCGGTTCCTGAATCGAAGCGGGTATGCGCGCCAAGAGAGCAAGCGAGGTAACATTCGAGCCTTTCTTGCTGTTTGACTCATTTTCATGGTCAGCTCAACTCAGCACCCGCGGGTCTACATCTGGTGCCAGGAACGCGGGCAAATCGGGTAGAGGAGGGCCTATGAGCGACCGAGATACGGGTTGGCCGCAGTAGAAAAGAGGACCGACGGTCCCGAGCCGGACAAAATACTTGCAAGCTCGCCGATTGGGGCATACCGGTGACGCTTGCCTCCTTACCATGCCCTTATCATCATTTGGCTCACCGGATGCAGGCCATGACACGAGAGCGCACTTGGGGAAGTCTAGACCCTGGATCACTCGCTCACAACATCTTCAGGCACAAAGACCCGACGCGTTGAATCTTGTCAAGCTCCGATGGACCCGACATCCCTTCCCGCGGTGGCTTCTGCACGGGACGACCCATCAGGCGCCTTTCCTTCTTTTGGAAAGCTGCAAGCACCAAGAGAGAAATCATAGACAGACTGCCGAGGTGCCTCCCCTTCTTGACTATCCAAATTTGTATAGAGTTACACTCGCACGTTCTGTTGCAACGAGACAATCGATCACGCACCATCGTGCCACAGTCCAGAGGTGCAGACAATGAATAGAGAGAGAGTGTGTACAAGGTTCGGTTTCGGTGACAGTTATACAAGGCCCCGCAAGGAAAGAAATGTACGAAAAGCAGAAGATAAGGAAAGTGATTGCTGAGTTTGGTAAAAGAGTGTATACTATCAGACTGAGAAGGTGCCCTTTTCGACAAAAACGGCATTGTTGCTGTATCTGACCGTCCCTGCATGGCCGAGGTCGCTCGTGGACTCCAGTCGGGCCGCGGGAGGCCGGCTGAGACGGGCAGCAATGCGGGTTGTGTCGTAGGTTTCTTTGATCTTCTCTCCCGCCGCGTAGAAAAAGCTCCTGGTGTTTTTCTTGACCACCGTTTTGGCTTCTCCAATCTGGGGGAGGTACTGGTGGAGCATTCCCGGATCCAAAATAAGCGGGAAGAGAATACTGCCAAAGAAGAACAACTTTAAGTTTTAGCGCCGAAGCCGGCCAGACGGGCCTGAGAAATCGAAAAAAAAGAAACTCACTGCAGAAGCAGAAGAAGCAGTGGCGGCACCAGCGCGTTAAAGCCTTGGATCCTCCACTTGATGCTGAACAGGGGCGAAGCCGAGATAGCGATCCCAGCGAGGAAAGTGGCGCAGACGGCGTACACGGTCCAGAACCGCCTAAACACTTGGGTGATGCTCGACTCGGTGAAGTCCTTGTTGGTCGTCGTCCAGGACATGTTAAAGCTGAACATGTGCGAGCAAAGGGCGGTGAGAATGTGGTAGGAGAGACCCGAGAAGAAGACGGCCGACGCTGGCAAGTGGGAGATGCAATCTTTGAAGGCACCCCAGAGCGTCTGATGGCCACAGCGAGCGCGTGCGATGACCAGACCGGGTCCACCACAGAGGGTAAAAATGAGGGAGACAGTAACCCAGACGTCGAAGTTGGGCAGGAAGGATGGGTCGAGCCAAGGGTAGAAGAGGCCTTGGACAGCGAACATGGCCATCGTCAAGGGGAACGAGACACCGAGTGCGTAGTAGGTCGACATGTAGGACATTGTCGAGATCTTGTATGCCGTCGGCACATTACTGAAGAGGAAGCTTCGGAACAGCTTGCTCAGTGGGCCTCTTGTGAGCCAGTAGCGAAGCGGGTTGAAAACAATCTCCGAGCAACCGTAGGCGTACTTTTGGTACCTCGTCACCTCATCCTCAGGGTTGAAGGAAACACCTTCTGTGAAACCTTCGTCCGAGTAGGTGGCCCATCGCACGATGTAACCCTTGAGCTGCATCTTGAGCGCCATTTCGAAGTCCTCGGAAACGTGATGTGGTGAGAAGATGCACCTCTCGCCGTCGCTATCAATGGTGGCGACTTGCTGCATAGCCTTCCACCTGAGGAACACATTGTGACCCATCAGAGGTGCCATGGCGCCATTTGCGCAGTTCCACGAGATGCTGTTTGCGACAATCTGGACGTCAGTCCCCTGCAGCATTACGAGACTGCTTGACCCCTCATGCTCACCTGAAGTTGATGCATGCCGACGTAAAGTAGCCAATGAACCGTTCGAAGTAGTGGTTGCGGACGTACATGACACCGGAGCAGTGTTGCAATGCGCCCACTTCGGGACTCCGCTCCATCTCGGCTGCCGCCTCAGCCAGACAGTCGGCTTTCATTCTCGTGTCAGAATCGATAAGGAGGATGTAGTCGCCCATGCGAATGTTGCCCGAGGCCCATGCTTGTCCCTGTGTCTCCTCCACCGCTTGGTCGAAGGCAATCTGATAGGAAGACTCTTCATCCCACTCTGAAGCATTCGAACGGTTCCTGGCCTCCTCAAGTAGCTCTTCAATGCGCAGCGAAAGATTGTATGTGAAATTAAGGCTGAGGAGGGGTGAGACAGACAGCAAGGGCAATAAGTACGAGTGGTTCCCTGCTATCATCACAACGTTTCAATACTCACTTTGATGCCTTCTTGAAACGGCCCTTGCGGATGTATTCGTCACCGTGGCGCGGCCTTGCAACCCAGCCAGCTTCGATGGAGTCATAATAATGAACGCGCTCTTCGGCCTCTTCCCTTGACAGAAGCCGCATACCATCCTCAGATACCACGATGTTGGCCACGCCACCCATCGCGCGGTACGTTCTGACAGCGGTGAGGGCGCTTTCGAGACTGGGCCTGAGGACGGAGTTGAGGCCTTCCTTGTAACATGGCATGTGGATTGTGAAGCTGGGGAGCGGATGGTCGGCCGGCAGCGGCTCGCTTGCGACGCCCGAATAGTACAAGCTGTTTTCGTGCATCTGCTTGATCGGGAAGAAGACTTGCGAGATGAACGAGATCAAGTTGTCCCAAAGAAATTGCGAGATGATCATGAAGAACGGTACGACGGCGAGCATTGCCATCCGCAAATAGTTGCCATCGACCAGTGTCTCGACGACAACTTTGGTGACGAAGCCAGAGACCATGAAGATGTTGAGGCCCACCGAGAGACCAGTCGAGAGCGGTGCGAGGTAGTTGACTCTGCGCCCTTCTTGAAGAATCTTCTCGCCGGTTTCTGGGTCTGCGGTCACGACAGGAGGTGGGAGCTTGACCTTGGTGCCCATCGTCGCCTCTACGATGCTCAGGTCCTCATTTGACCTGTTGTGAGCCTCAATTGGTGCCCAGGGAGCTTCAAGGTTGGGAGAGTGTGACAAGGAAGGGGGTGTCCTGGGGCTCCCGCGGCTGCTGGGGAAGCGAAAGGAGGAGCTAGGTGAAGAGAGGTCCGGCGAGCTCTCGAGGTTGTTGGAAGCCGCCAAGTGCCGGAACGCCCTCGACTCGATCCCCCGAGCTGCAGTCTTGACCAGATCCAAAGGTTGGAGTAGTCCCAATGCTCTTTGGTTGCGGACCATAAACCTCGTCATGCCTCTCTCGACATTGTTGACGGCGTCTACGACGTCCTCAAAAATTGGTATCGCGTCCAGTTTGCGCTTGCTCAAGGGCAAAAGCTTGCAGTCATCCTGCACAGTGCTCAGCAACAGGTCGTAGAGCGACGTCGAGGTGATGACGAGGCACTACAGGGAGGGTCAAGGTCAAAGAGTTATGGTCAGAATCAGCTCTCTTCTCTCCTTGATGAGAAGAGTTTTCTGCCTTCTCACCTCTGCACCTGTCCGTTCGAGCAACGCTCGCCACTGTTGCAGGCTGTCGGCATTTCTCTCGGGTTCGTAGGACAGCGTTCTGTCGTCCTGTGCCTGTTGCTGATCCCGAAAGGGATCGTCGCCTTCGCCGTCGACTTCACGGTCATTGTGGAGCAGAACAATGCCCGACGTGCTGTTCTGGCCGAGCCATCCTTCCTTGACACCGCTGGAGTAGATCGCGCGTAGGCGTTGCGAGGAAGCCATCTCGGCGCTCGAAAGGGCGAGGAGGAGATTGGTGAGGGGGAGAAATGTTTGAGGAGCCGAGCAGAAAGAAGTTTGCCTCTCAAAGAAGGAGGTCCTACGGTTATAAGGTTCACGTTTGATCTCTGAACAACACCCTCGGGAAGCGAAGGAGGCCCAGAGAGAGATTGTGAGAAGCCACTACTAGATACGTAAGTAGTTGTGATTGGCATTCGGGGATGCAAATCCCTCTCAACACGCAGCAATACAGCGAGAAACAAGCGGATAAGCCTCTGGCCGACACCCAGAAACCATTGATCAAGACGCAAGCGCGACGGGTTCGCGGTCTTACAATGATATCGGCCAAGCCACCAACCGAGAACCGATCTGGAACATGGGAGAATGCATGTCAGCTCGAGGAAAACTATCCTGCGACAGTCCCGGTCGGTCCCACGACGTTGTCCCCTGTCAGTCCCCTGATGGTTGCCTGTAGCGGACTTGAATTCGCGTGGCTGGCTTTCGTTCTGCATGTAAAGATTTAGAATTGCGATTCTTTACAGAGCAAAGAAGTTTGTTTATTTTCTGCACATCTCGGGAAGACAGCGCGCGTCTAGCTAGTATTTTCGGTTCCGTTGCTAGAACGTGCCAAAGTGAAACTGTATTGTTTCCGAAGCCTAGAACTCCAGCTGCAAAATTGCACCCAGATTGCTTCCCGAAAGCAGTATCCGAGACTGCAGCAATATCCCGTCCTTGTGGCGTCCTCGTGCTTATCTGGCCCTTGCTCCTTCGTGGCTCTTTCCCGTCTTGCTTCGGGAACGCAGTTTCATCGGTCGGCCCGTCGTAGTACTGGGCGGCGTGAGACGAGAAGTGTAGCAGAGGCCGGGTGTGTGTAGTTGTGTAAAGGAGCAAGAGAGAGAGAGATTGTTCACGACAATAAAGATAAGCGGCCAGCAGAGGTCATAACAACCAGGGCTGACCCCAAAGAGACGACAGGACTTCCCTCCCCCTTCCTCGCCTCCTACGACACGCGCAACACACACATCCGCCACCAAAGCACAATACCTCCTTTTGCTAAAATGACCCGACTCTTTTCGCGCAAGGGCAAGGGTGAGCGCGAGCCTACCGCCAGCGCACAGCCAGAGGAGAAAAGGGTACTGGAGAAGCCCGCAATCGTGTTCAAGGCGTACCACACATCTATGCTGCGTTCCCGAATGATCTCGCCGAGCTGGACACCTCCCAACCTGTTCAGCGGCAGCAAACGTGGAAAGCGCGTCGCCCGCTTCGATCTCTTGGTCCTTTTCCTCGGTGTCTTTGTGGGCATTTTGGGAATGGGCGCCGTGCTCGGCCTTGGCATCTATGACTGGTTCAAGAACAAACACAACTACTGCCTCGTCCTCGACGAGAACTTCGACGGGCCGCTCAACACCGACCTCTGGAAGCACGACGTTCAGGTCGGCGGCTTCGGAACAGGAGAATTCGAGTGGACGACGACTTCGCCCAACAACAGCTTCACAAAGGACGGCTTTCTCCACATCGTGCCCACCCTAACTGCAGACGTCATCGGCGAGGCCGCCATGCTGAATGGCTACACGGTCAATCTCACTGATTCCAAGACGTGCACGGCGGAGCCGGTGCCGTGGGTCGACCGCTCTCAGAGCCTCGATCTTGCCGAGCAGGCAATCGGGAACGCCGACACAAACTGCCAGATCCGCAGCAACAGCACCATCGGGACGATCATTCCTCCCGTTCAGAGCGCACGCCTGACGACCAACGGCACCTTTTCCATGAAGTACGGTCGCGTCGAGGTGCGCGCCAAGATGCCCACTGGTGACTGGCTGTGGCCCGCCGTGTGGATGATGCCTCGCGACAGTGTCTACGGCATCTGGCCCCGCAGCGGTGAAATCGACATCTTCGAGAGCAAGGGCAACATGCCCACGTCGCGTTCCCAACTCCTGGCAAACACAAGTGCGTAAATCGCGCCTCGTCCTCAATCGAAGCTTAGAGCTTGTGCAGAAGACTGACCCTTTCCCAACCTTCCAATCATCAGTGAACAGCGCCCTTCACTTTGGTACAGAGTCAGCCGACGATCAGTTTGCCAAGTTCCGTGGAGGTGAGTCAATTCTTCGTCATACGGCCCGGCTAGAGCATCCTCATCTCACCCAATGATATTACCTTGCCTTCATTCTAGTCGCGACACTCTGGCGTAATTTCTGGAACCAAGGCTTCCACACTTTCGGTCTCGAGTGGGACGAGCAGGGAATCTGGACCTGGCGCGAGTCGCGGGCAAAGAAAGTCCTCATCACAAAGTTCAATGAGCCCTTCATCAACAAGATGCCTCTCGTTCAAGCGGCGGCCGGTAACTACATCCCAGGGGCAAACCCATGGAGCATCAGTAACTCGTCGGCGGCTCCCTTTGACCAGGAGTTCTTCCTGATTCTCAACGTCGCCGTCGGAGGCACAAACGGCTTCTTTGCCGATGTTGGCCAACCGTGGAGCAACAGCGACTCGACGGCTCGGAGGACGTTCTGGAACCAGAAGGAGAGCTGGCTTCCTTCGTGGGGCGACGAGACGCAGCGAGCGATGCAAGTCGATTACGTCAAGGCTTGGAAGCAATGTTGATAAGCTACCTTTTCATCCTTAGACGGCCAAGGCCACTTTTTCATTCCTTGTTGTTTTCTTGAGCCTCTTGTACCTAGCACACTTCTCTTCTCTGACACAATGGGATTCTCTCGTCACGATGATTCTTTCGGGTTACCATAAGTCTCAGCGTGACCTCGAACAAATACTGTTGATGGTACAGTACATTCATGTTATGAAGGACATTGCTAAATGTCACGAGAGCAGACACACGGCCTCAAAAAGCATCGGCTCTTAGCTCAATATTCTACACTCTACTCACTACCAAATTCCGGAGTCGAGATGAGGAAGACGGAGGGTAAGAAGCTCATTTCATGCGTAAGAGTAGGTTCTATTGTATTGTACACTATTGAAGGAGTAGGAAACCGCAACCAGACAAAACAATCAGCAACGCTGCCACATCTTGATGTAATCAAGTTTGAGGCTCCTCTCTTTCTTGTCCTCCGACCAGGTTGGGAGCCAGGTCTGGTCCCTGAGCTTCCAGAAGGTGCCCGCTGCATTCGGTTCAGCGTTGGACCAGATTGGGTCGTTATGCAGGAAGTAGCCACCCGTGCCGCCAACAGCCAGATTGACGATGAGGAAGAAGCGCTGGTCGAAGGGGGCGTTGGTGTTGTTGGAGATGGTCCACGGGTCCGCGCCAGGGATGAGGACACCGTGCTCGTCGTACTGCGGCTTGATGAGGGCGCTGAAGGGCTTCTTGAACTTGGCATCCATGATCCTTCGGTTGGGCGTTCCCTCCCACGTCCAGATACCGTGCTCGCTCCATTCCATGCCAAAAGTGTGGAACTCTTCGTTGAACCAGTTGCGCCACAAGTTTCGATACTTGAGGAACTTGTTGACCAGGTTTGTTGTTTTGTCGAAGCCGACGTGCAATGTGCTCGACGCTTTTGTAGTACCGCACGGGTCAGCCAGCGAAAGGAAGGAGGATGAGGGAAAGACACTACTCACCGGCATTGCAGTTGTTGTCGTCGCGGAACTTTGGTGCATTGCCCTTTGCCTCGAAGATGTCAATCTCGCCGCTGCGGGGCCAGTCGCCATAGACGTTGTCCTCGGGCATCATCCACACTGCAGGCCAGAGGTAGTCTCCCTTGGGAATTTTGATGCGGAATTCGACTTTTCCGTACCTGATGCTTGCTGTTCCGTTTGTGTTGAGACGTGCACTCTGGATCGGCGGAATTACGGTTCCCAATGTCGCGTTGCTTTTTGCCACGCAGTTGGTGTGGGTACTGTTGATGGCCACTTGCATAGGCACCTTCTTGTCGATCTTCGTCCACTTTGACTCCGGGGTAGTACAGGTGCCATCGGCAGTCAAGTTGACGGTGTACCCGTCAATGACGTTGGCCTGACCGATCACGTCCGAAGTCAATGTTGGGGTGATGTAGAGATACCCATCTTCGGTCTGCAAGGACATGGGATGGCCTCCACCAGATCAGACTCCTCTCCTTCTCTTTCCAAGAGACAGACCAGAAACTCACATAAGAGTTGTTGGACGATGACGTGGTCCATTCGAACTCGCCGTTTCCGAAGCCTCCGACCGAGACCTCGTGATTCCAGAGCGAAGTGTTGAGCGGCCCATCGAAGTTGTCTTCAAAAACAAGGCAGTAGTTGGCTTGCGAACTGAAATGGTCGTAGATTGACAAGCCCATCCGAATGAGTCCAAGAGCCAAGCCGCTGAAGATGCCCAAGAGGACCATCAGGTAGCTCTTGCGGAGCGACCTCTTGCCATCTTTGCTTCGGGTCCACTGGAGCGTCGGCTCGGCTTCGTCGGCAGCGAGCTTCGTGGATCGGAATTGGCCAGCGCCGGTGGCTGGACGCTGACGAAGCTGTTGCATATGCTCCATTGTTACGGCGCGATGCACGTTACTTCCCTTGCGCTGATCTTGTCAAGTGAAAGAGAAACGGTCAAAGTTGTGGTGGTGTATTGACGGAGGGGTGTCCGGTGCAAGTGCGTGTCGAGAGAGCCACGCACGCTACTTTTATCAGAAGCGCTACTTTTATCAGAAGACTGTCGTGACAAGAGAAATCGACTTTGGGTTTGTGTGGCTTGACAGCGCGAACCAGTTGGCCATAAAAGCAAGGCAGAGATACGACCGAGCTGTTGTTCGAGCGTACAGTACATGCGCCTCTGCAGGAAGAGTCTCACGAACAGTGTTAGCAATATCGGGTTCGGGATGTCCCGTACATTTCGTTTGCTTAGCTGAAACACGGGCCAAGGGAAGGATTGCCATGGTCTGGACCACCGCCATTGCAACTGGTCATCGCTCACTTTCGGCCTCTGCCAACCCGACTGACCAAGGATCGACGTTCTCTAATACTAGAACGTAAGCGGAGTAGCAAATGTAAAACTGTTCCAGAGAGCGGGATCACTTCTTCAGAGAACTACAGCACAGTACAATGCGGGTCTTTAATTCAATTATAGCTAGAATCAGTTTGAAGGGTGAGCAAAATTTGTTCAAGCAGATGCCGTAGCAAAAGTCAACGATAACAGATGCACAGCTATGTGCAGGCGGGAACTCGGGAGGTGTGTGAAAATAATTAAGAGGGACCGAATCTGGGTGGCAGGGCAACGAAGCTTGCTCCGTTTGTTTGTCAAGATTGCAGCTAGCTCGTCCCGCTCCCGCATCTCCGAAAATAAGCACTGTACAGTACAGGATTGTAGAAAGGGAAGCTTGGTCTAAAATGAGTAATACAACCACGCGAAGATAAGAAGAGCTCTGAAATTTTTGGGTGTATGCGTGGCTTTTAATGAATTTTGGGCCCGGTTGCCCGACAAGGAGCGGGAGCATGGAAGTGTGGCTTCGCCGATTGCAAGGCCGCGAAGACTGGAACCACACCTAGGCTCTCACAGGCCTCAATGTATCTCCAAGAGAGCAAGTTTATCTTAGTTGGCACGTTGAGGCGAGAGGCAGGATAAGCCACGGGAAGGGGCTGTCGATACTACGCTGCGTCCATGTTAAGTTAAAAGGTCTTCCTCGAATGCGAGAAACCAGGCCCTCGCTCCCCTTTTCTTTCTTTAGGTCCTCCTCCTTCGCCATCGCAAGCACCACAACACCCCTCAAGGCCGGCTTGCACCTTTCTCCATGACATATTCGGGCCCTTCGGAAGAAGGCCTTCACTCTGTTCCCCCGAGCATTCACGGCGAAGGGGCTCTCAACAGCGCCATGATCTTTACCAACCCCACCTCATCTTCGTCCATTTCGTCATGCGCCAACGGTACAGACTCGTCAATGGCCATGCCGAAGGTGGCTCCCGCCTTCCAACGGGAAGCTGCCAGGCTGTTGGTTCAGCACATCTATCGCACCGGACTCCGTCAAGAGTGGCTTCAGGAAGACGAGGAGGCCGAGGCAGTCGTCATGCGCCTGACCGATGGCGCTAAAGAGACGCTCGTCTACCCTCCCAACCGGGGCTACAGCGGGCTTTCTGCCACCCTCGAGGAGCTCGAAGCTAGTGTGAGCAGAATTTGTCACTGGAAAGTCACTGGATAAAGACGCTGACGCGCGCTCCTCGTATCCTATTCTCTCAAGGTCGCCATCGTCAGCAAGCCATCGAGTGTTGGCATGCTCCTCCGTCGGTTTCCCCTGGAGAAGAGCATCGCTCTTGAAACGGGAGAGCAGATCCCTATCGTCTTTGACCTGTCGGAGGCTTCGTGCCTGATGCTGCATTCGGGCTGTTTCCTCCTGAGAAACGCCGACGTTGCAGTATCATACGGCGGGCCGACAGAGGCCATGAAGCTCGCCCAGCAGCTCGACACCGCCTTGGTCAGCGTGCTCTTCCGGTCCTCAATGGCATCGCTGCCCACATCTCGCTTCGCAGAACAACAGAACACACCTCCCAGGAGTCAGCACATCCACCACCAGCATCAACACAGCCAGCAGAGCCACCAGACGAGCATGTCGCGCGTCCAGTCGCAGTCTGTTCAACACTCGCGTACACCGTCAGTCAAAGAGGTCGCCTTCCGCAAGCAAGACGACTTCAAGCCTGATGCTCAGCAGCTCCAGTGGCTCGATTCACTTCCCCGGACCGAGAAGAGCAAGGAAGTGGAACTGGAAGAGCTGGCCGATGAGGAGAAAGAAGAGGCTGAAAAGCTGCGGGCCAACGAGCCGGCAGCCGTCGTTTTGGAGGACACCGAGACGGGAGAGACGATCCTCGAAGAAGGAAGGACCACATTCTACACCTCTTCGATGCTCAGCGGTCTGGCCTTGGCCATCAACATGGTCATCATGTCTCTCTTTGCACGAGACATTGTCCTCAACACCTTGGCGGACTTCAACTACATGCGCCTCGTTCTCCTTGTCGCAACCCTTCCTCGCTTCTTCGTCTCCCAGTTCTTCTGCGAGCACGTCATTCTGATCATTGCCCAGGTCTGCTTCCCAATCTCTCAGGTGGGCACATCTCTGGCAGTGGGCGAAAGAGGGAAAACATGAAGCTGACCGATACGCACTTCCCTTTTTTACCCCAGATGCACCGCAACTCTCTGTTCTACAGCAGCCAAAAGAGCAAGCCTCTGCCAGCGGACCACGCCCTGCCCCACTTCACCATCCACATGCCCTGCTACAAAGAAGGTCTTCAGACCGTCCTGGGACCCAGTCTGAACAGCGTTCGCGATGCCGTCGAGGCTTACCGTCAAAGGGGAGGCACGGCCAACATCGTCATCTCCGAAGATGGTCTCCGTCTCCTCGATCAGAGCGACGCAGAGGAGAGGATCCGGTTCTACAACGCCATGGGATGCAGCTGGGTCGCCCGTCCTGCCAACGGTGCAAACGGATACGAGCGCAGGGGTCGCTTCAAGAAGGCTTCCAACCTCAACTACACGTACACCTTGTCCCTCGAAGTTGAGACAGCGATGGCCCAAATCTTCGAGCAGAACCCAAGCTTGGATGTGTCGCAGGTCTACTCGCAGGCTTTGGAACAGGTTCTGGCAAGTCACAACGGTGACGCTTGGGCCAGCGGCGACATTCGCATGGGAGACTACGTCCTGCTCATTGACTCGGACACCCGTGTGCCCGCCGACTGCCTCATCGATGCAGCCAACGAGATGGAGCGTTCCCCCGATGTCGCCGCGCTGCAGCACTGCTCCGGCGTTACCTTTGTGCAGCACCACTACTTTGAGCGCCTCATGGGCTACTTCGTCGGTGTCTTCACCAACTTCAGCATCTCCTGGGTTTGCGCAAACGGCGGCACGGCGCCGCTCATGGGTCACAACGTCTTTTTGCGCTGGACCGCGCTGCAGCAGTGCCAAGGCAAGGTCGACGACCAGGGTGAGCGATCCATCTTCTCCTCCAAGCACGTTTCCGAAGACTACGAACTCGCCATGAGGCTCCAGATGGCCGGCTACTGCGTTCGCTGGGCCACCTACTCGAACCAAGAGTTCAAAGAAGGTGTCTCGCTGAACCCCGACGACGAAAAGGCGCGCTGGCAGAAATACGCCTTCGGCGCATGCGAGATCGTTTTCAACCCCTTCTACAAGTGGTTCATGGGCCCCATTGCACCCCTCTTCTGGCGCTTCCTCTTCAGCCGAAAGGTCCACGCTTCGTCCAAGGCTTCTGCTCTCTCCTACCTCTCGTCGTACTTTGCCATCGCCGTCTCCCTCCCCATTACCATCGGCATGACGGTGGCACAGGGACTCTTCTGGCCGACCCTGGACTCGTCCTTCAAGCCCGTGTTCGACACCTGGATTGCCGTCGTCGTCGTCTTCAACTTCGCTGGTGCCCTCGGTCTCATCTTCTGCCGCGCCCGGAGTGGCCACAAGGGCTTCTTCAGCTCCGCCTGGGACGGTCTCCAGCATCTCCCCGCCATCATCGTCTTCTTCTCCGGCATCGCCTACCACGTCTCGTGCTCCGTCCTCGCCTACTTCTTCTCTGTCAACATGACCTGGGGCGCCACCAGCAAGGACTACCAGCAGACTTCGATCGGCCAGGTCATCCGTCGCTTCTGGCATTGCTACCTGGTCATGGGCGTGCTTCTCGTTGCCATTTCCATCGGCATGAGCCCGCTGCTTCCAATGACGTGGCGCATTGAAGGCTTCACAGTCCTCTTCCCACTCTTCCTGGCCATCGTCATGCACTTCCTCTTCCCCATCCTTCTCGACCCCGGTATTCTCCACAAGTTCATGCCACGCTACTACGCCAAGCCGGCCCAGGCGCAGAAGATGGCCGTCAGCCAGGACTTCTTCTACGCTGCCAACGGCGCTGCCGTCGGCTCGAAGAAGAGCAGCTCGCGACTCTACGCAGAGAGCTCCACCTTTGGCGGAAGCCACTCATCGCCTTCCTCGGTCATCGGTGCCACACCGCTGGATCCTTACTCGCCCGCCCATGGTGCGGCGACGCCCTACAGCATCTCTTCTCCGCGAACGCCAGCGGCAGGGCTCGAGTCGGAAGTGCCATGGTTGCCAAAGATGCCGAGCAACTCTTACTTTACCGCCACGCCAGGCTGGAGAAACACAGCGTCAACCGCGACGTCTTCGAAGCTGATGCACTCGACTTATTAGAGCTTTTGCATCTTCTTTTTCTCTCTCTACATTCATTACACCTTGCCTGTCTATTTTTGCCTCTCATTGCCTTTCTTTTTCCTCTTGGGCTTTTCTTTGTTTACTACTAGTCATTGGTCACACAGACAAACACATTCTCTCAGACACACAATAGATGTTCAATAACATACCGAGCCGTGAGCAGTCTTTGGACATCACTTTTACTCGCATTCGTTTCCAACGACTTGGCTCGTTCGGCTGATTTAATTGATTAGAGAACCTCCAGCATTTTTTCATTTTTTTTGGCGAACAAGTTTCGCATACCGTTCTCTGAACAAGAGCCATACGTTATCTTTACGCTCTCTGGGCAAAGCCGCCATGGCCACGGGAAGATTGTGACAACCGGAGCAAGTTGCAGCAGCGATAGCCCTGACCCTCCCGAGCGATTCGCAATGAGCAGACCGAACTTTGGCCGGAGAAACGTCTCTCAGGCACAGATAGATTTCGAGGTGCTTTTCCACGTTTCCCACGATGTGCTGGCTCTCAAGTCAAGTAATCCAGGCCTTTGGTCTTGGCGCGCTGTGACTCCCGGTCTGTGCGTCCCGCCACTACTGCATCTCGCCGGACTTTACATCTATGCGTCTGGGTGCAACCCCCTTCTAGCGCGTCCCGGAATGCAACATCTGTTTGTCAACACCCAAAAAAAAATGTATGTCTCGGGAAGGAGAAGGAACGTGCATATGATCTGCAGACGGTCTAGAAACTACCATACAAGCACCCAGGATTGGGTCTCACCCAAAAATTCGTCGCGGGGAGAAAAGTTTGACAGGGAAGAGAAAAAGTCGACGGCGGGAAGCGGCAGTCAATCTTTAATCGGGACGCTAGCCACAGCAGTAGAAAAAGGCTTTCCCTCTCTGACACAAATACAATTAGGGCTGTCAAATTTTGATATCACTTGAAAGCCACAAATTGTAAGCGCACGCTGTAATGCGAACCCTTGATTATCGATAGGTGGTGGTGCAATTAATGTTGTACAAGTTTGTGTGTTTGGATGGGAGGAGTGGTCGACGCAGTCACACCCTGGACAAATGCGAAGACGGACGTCGTGGTAAACCGTCCGCCGTCGAATCGATGCAGGAGGTGCTCGAGAGTGGGAGGAGGAAGCTTGCCAATTTGCATAAGCGCTTGCGGGAAGACGTGATCGAATTGTGTGGCCTGACCCTGCTTGAGTAGGCTGACGATGATGATGTGGTCCTGCGGTGCAGTTTGCTGGTGCTGTACTTGGCTGAAAAGCGCACCTCCTCCGCCCAAGTGAGCCTGGACGGAGTAGTAGTCGTACGTGCCGTTTCGTAGCCGGAGACGGACGTTAATGGCTCGTGGAAAGGACGTATGAGGCACGGGTTGGAGAAGCATCAGCGGATGTTGCCTCGAACCTCTGCTCCTAGACATCGGTCCTGCCGATGACGGGCTCATGGGTGTCGACGGAGGGAGGAGGTCGAGACAGATGCGGGCCAGAACAGACGACTCGCCAGCATGAACAATGTCATAGAGAGACGTAATAGCTTCTGGTACAAAACCGAGAAGGGTACGACACTCTTCGCTCACCAAGTGGCATCGCATGTCCCCATCACAGATGACCGTGATGATGGGCATCTCACACTCGACACTGGGTTCGGATCTCGTGTCTAATGGTCTCATCGCCTCGTTTGGTCGGGGCACCGACGATTGCGTCGGAAGGGACCAGGAAGAAGGCGAGGACGAGTACGATGGACGACTCAGATGTTCAACACCAGGCCAGCTGCTGTGAGGTGCGTGTCTGATATGCGGAAGGTGTTGAGTTGGACTAAGTATGCTGCTCGTTGACGGTATCATGTGCTCGACTCTGCCGGCTCTCGAAGAAGAAGGGAAAGAGCCCTGTTGGTAGTCGCGTTCTTCTCCCTGACCCATCGTCCACGCCCGTTTTCGCCTCTTCTGCCGAACCGCTTTGCTCTCCTCCCTGCAAATTTCGTCGCTAGTCAGCCCACTTCATTCTTGTTGATCGAAAATGGAGGTTAATGGTACTCGCTCGCTAATTTGCTCAAAGATGCAGTGCGCTCCAGACTTCTTGCATCTTGTGCATGATGGACGGGTACTGTCGCACCTCACTTTGCGCATCCTACACTCTCTGCACGCCATGACGGATCTCCGTCTTCTGGATGGTTAGTCAGCCAATACTGGTGTTAAAGGACCCATTGCGACCAGCAAACACACCTAGCAGGCGAAGAAGACTTGGAGCGATCTTCCGCTTCGCCAGACCACTGTGAGTGGTTAGACCAACCGCTTTCGCTACTGTCGCCTCGGACATGTTGTGAAGGATGTGCTGGCGGTTGCTGCTTCATTCTCATCAGTGGGCTTGGCGAGGTGCGCTGCAAAGGCTTCTGATTCGAAGGAAGTGACGTCGCAAGCATCCTTTCCTCTTTTTCGCCTCCAATCAAAGATCTCGACGACGTAGAGAAGGACAAAGAGGGCGATGGAGACCAGGGGTGGTACGCGCTGGCATTCCGCTGTTGCGGAGAGGGCTGGAAACGTATCGGTTGCATGGATCTGGGGCGCGAAATGGAAAAGTTGCAAGTGAGAGTGTGCGAATCTCGTTCATATAATGTCTTATCCTCATCCACTCGCTGTTGTTTACTTCTTGCCAAAAAGGGTACATAGTTTGGATCAATCTGCGAAAATGAGACTTGTCCCCGGGATGAAGAGACGATGGAGGAAAATCTGAGATGGGAATCGGTTTAGGTGGCTTGATTTCGTGTGAGGGTCACGCTGCAGTGCTCGATCAGACGCGGGAGTGTATCAGGCGAAATGTCCCGTAATTGAGTTGAGAACGTCCCGGACACAGCAGCAAGACGGAACAATATTTCTTTTTTTCTCCAGACGTCGAGCTGTTGTCGGTGGCGGGGGACCGTGTCTGTCAACGTGTGTCGCCGCACCCAGAAAGAGGTCCAACGCCATTCCCGAAGCAAATACAAATAGAAGTAAACAGAATAGAAGACGTTTTTTTTTGGTTCCTAATACTAATTTGTTTCTGCACCCGAATGCTTTCTTTCAATTGAAAAACTAACTCGTCAAGGTCGAGGCCAGGCCAGGCCACTTCTTTTCGGTCCCTCTCCGACCGCGGCGGGAATGCAGCTTTGCATGGTGCTCCTCGGTGTGTCGGTCGCTAGACTGACCTCTCGTCCGTTCGCGTTTGAGCACAGATAAGGGTGACTCCGGGCTAGGGTATATCCATTGCAAAACTAGGAAGGCACACGTGCGGAGAAGAAGGTGGCAGCGATATTTAGGGCCTGACGGGAGGACAGCAGCGGAAGATGAGCCAGGAGACTCTCTTTGGTCGTGTGAGGCCCAGAATCACGATTCCGCGCTCTCCTCGACTCACAGGTCAGATTTTCCCTTCCACAAGCTATGCAATACCATAGCAACCGCACGCTTACCCCTTCTCCGGAGGACAAATCTTGATGCTTGCAGGTACAGCGACGAATGTCTCAGAAGAACTCCTGTGGAAGAACGCCACAAATATCAATCGTGTGATGCCTATCAAGATGTGTCCCGAACTTGAGTTGGGCTTTAATCAAGGCTTATAGTGCGCTCCATGGACAAAGTCTTTCAGGGACCGAGGACGCTTTGTCGCGCGAACTGCCCATACCAACCGCAAGCGATTCCTGGACACTCGTGATCCATGTATCGCAGCACACACGCTCTCTGAGAGAACGCGGTGCTATGTTTCTGCCGTGAAACAGGACCGGTGCGAAGGGCGATTCTCAAAGCTGAGAATGGACAACATGCCCTTTGCAAGGCCGAAGCATTCCGACGACCTGTGAACTTGGGACTCCCCGAGAAAAGCTTGCGGGAAAGAAATTGTGGCGAGACCGACGGACATGCGTGCGAAAGCCACGAAAAGAAACGGAGTGTTAATCCTAGGTTCTCTAAAGCTTTTCCCACATCGGGTCCGCAAGACTTGGCAGAGTCTCAATCCACTTGAAAAGGTCTGTGGACGAACGTCTTCCAGCCGCTGGCATCTTATCAGTTCCCATGTATTGTACTGTACAGTACAGTGTTACTAGGCCCTGACCTGTGGACAATCCCATGTATTGTACTGTACAGTACAGTGTTACTAGGCCCTGACCTGTGGACAAGTGACAGTTTTGCGTGAGATTGATTGGTGGCAGAAGGCGTTTTGGCGCACGAATAGATGGTTTCGTCGTCGTGACGACATGCTCTTGGGTGGATTGAGCCCGAGAGACACCTCCTCGGTCCTTGGCTACGAGCCAGCCACAGGAAGCAAGGAGTCTATCTTTTCGGTGCAGAGAAGAATGCAAGCGCAGATGTAGTAATGCCAATGCAAACCGGAAAGAAGCAGAACATCGAGGTGCGTTTTTGAAGGCCTGAATCCTTTCGGCCGACGCCCGGTAGCCCGAGCCCTCGATCCACTCGACTCCTGCAACCTCGAGGGTACATGCTCATTTCTCAATCGAGAAGTCGCTTCCTGAAGTTACCGTGATGAAGGGTGCCGACGGCTAAATTGGCCCCGCAGGCTGCTGGAAAAGGGATCACCAGAAGTCCCAGATTCAGCTGGGGCCGCACCATTCCTGGTCGAGGCTAGAATTGACGCTCGAACAATTCCGCCTTTCATCGTATTGCCGATCACGCCTGCCAGCGACACGTCCGCCCCTTTCAATGGCTTTCAGAGAACATAGTCGTTTACGATGAGTGCCCGGCACTCGCTCTTAGAACCGCGCCTATCGACACCCTCAATCTCACCTTGCGTTTCTAGTGCATGTCGATTGCCTTCTTAACGATGTCATGTCCTTATTACGCCCTCCAGGAGAGCAAAACTTCCATTTCGTTCTTCTTCTGAGCAGAGTCTCAGAAAACCGATGCTATATTTCAACCATGCGAGAGAAGCACAAGGCGTCTACTGCTTGCCGCGGACAAATTGGCCGACGACGTTGGCAAAGTGCTTGCCCTGGCCCTTTGCCACGGTCTTGTCCTGCTCCGTGGGCCGCAGGCTGCCGTCGCCCGAGGTGACGGATCCGGCGCCGTAGGCCGACGAGCCCTGGATCTTCTGCACCTCCTGCAGCTCGGGGAACTGGTAGCCGATGGGCACAAACTGGTGGTAGGGAGATAGATGTGGTCAGTAAAACATAGACTAAAGACTTGAACCGAAATGGAGAACACTCACGTTGATGCCATGGTGCACAAACCAGGGAATCGTCGTGAGGGCCGTCGTCTCGAGACCACCGTGCTGCGAGGCGGTGCTGGTGATGACGGAGCCGAACTTGCCGACGAGGGCGCCCGTGGCCCACAGGCCGCCGGTCTGGTCGAAGAAGGCGCTCACCTGGGCCGGGGCGCGGCCGTACCGGGTGGGGAAGGCGAGGATGAAGCCGTCAAACTCCTTGAGGTCGTCGGGCTTGATCACGGGAAGCCTTTTTGGAAAGCGAAGGGGTTCAGCCTTTCCGATGCAACTCGGTCCGCTCTCACGCCGGGAAGCAGCAAACTCACGCATCGGTGGCAGCCTTGTGGGCGTGCATCTTGGTCAGCACCTCGCTGGGCAGCGTCTCGGCAACCTGTCGACGCCAATGTCAGCGCGAGTCTGCTTTCCGCTTCTTACATGCCGGCGCACTCACCTGGAACTGCTTGACCTCGGCACCAGCGGCCTTGGCACCCTCGATGGCATCGTTGGCCAGCTCGGCGACGTGGCCGTAGAGCGACCAGGTGATAACGGCGATCTTTGCGGACATTTTAGAGATCTGAGATTCGAGCGAGGCGGATTGGAGAGGTTGGGAGGAGAGGAGCGTGTACTGTTGCAACTGCCGGTTCTTATAGGGACTCTCGTTCTTCCTCCTTCCAATGGCGTGCTGGCAGTGCAACCGCGACCGAGACCCAGCCAGTCACGGTCCGTGCGCAATCCTATATCCATTTTTCTGTGGATTTTCCTTCGCTTCTAAACCAGTGCTCTCGCGCGAGAGGGATTAAGTCCGAGGCTTCGGACGGAAACAGCCCACGTGGTACGCACGTGGATGATAGTCTTTTTTTCGGCCGAGGAGGCTGAGCCAAATTGGGTTGGGGCGACAGGCACGCATGACGGCTGTTCGGGCCATTAGGCACCGCTACATGACATCTTGGCTATCGAACCTAGGGAGCAGCTGGGCGGAATAGGAGTGAGGCGGCCCCGTGTGAAAACTTGCAGCCTAATTCATGCCAGTAGTCTAGAATGGACCCGCCTGATGACAGGCAGTAATATTGATAGCTTGCCTGTGCCTGCAGGAGACAAGAGGCGAAGAACCATGCATGCGGGCTAACGCCCCGAGCCGTGATGTGGCAATATAAGAAGCAGGACGGGTGGAAGGGGGGAGCTGAGAAGAAAGAAGAACGACCCTCGAAAGCACGGTGGAAGATGCTCTCCGACAAAGCCCAGCTGCGCTCCGGCTCCAAAGCGCTCTTGGAAATGGTCCAGGGCGGTCATATCACGGTGGACCTCATCCTCACCCTACCCATCGACTGGGTCAGCTTCGCCCTCGAATGGAAGCAAACGAGCCTTGAGAGGCTGGAGCAGGAGCAGGAGCAGCGGCGCGCGCTGCTTCTCTCCTCGCCATCGCCGGCTTTGTCGCCGGCCATCTCGTCGTCCTCGTCGACTCCGAGCCTAGACAGCTCCTCGTGTTCCTCCCCCACCTCGTCGGCGGTGACGACGCCGACCGAATGCCCATCGACGCCGATGCAGGTGGACTTTGCCTCGCCTCCGCAGACCAAGCTCAAGCTGGAGCCGCCACAGTCGCCGCCGCCATTAGCGTACTAGAGACAAAGGGACGTCGGCGCGCCCCATGCGCAGCCGCTTCTCAAACTTGCACACGCCACGACCCTTTGTCCTCGCAATGAGTCGTGTCGGATGTGATCCAATGGCTGGTTCCCCAGGCCAATGTGTGCGCCCATCTTTGAGCGATACACTTACAAGCACCGATTGCCATTCCCACACGACTCGACAGACGTCGCAGACAAGGGAGCAATGGACATCATACAGGCACAGACGCTCTATCCCGTGGCAGTCCGCACGCTTCGACTGGTTGCGGGGCGGACGATCCAGCAGCCGCGGGCCGTGCACGCCATCATCGACGGTCTGGTCGGCTACGACGATGTGCTCTGGCGGGTACCTCTCACCCTCTCCGCCGCATACCTCGTGCACCGAGGCACCGCAAGTCCACGAGCCGAGACAGAGGCAAAGGAACGCACGCGCCGTAGTCGTCGTCGACGAAGGAGAGGCGACTCCAGCTGGCTCTGGTGGCTCCTCGCTGGACGCGACCCGGCTTCTCACACTGCGGCAAGGACTGCTGCTGCAAGGACAACTGCAACAAGCTGGACAAGCGAAAGGGCGAAGAGCGTGCGTGCATGGGTCGAGGACCAGCAGTCGCAACGGGGGTCAGACGAGACCGTCACTGCTTCCAAATGCCGCCGCCGTCAGGACCCGACTCTGAAGCCTCGTCTGCAGTCACCTGAAGAACAAGAAGAGCAGCAAGTCAGAGGCGGTGCAACACCCCAGGCAGTCCCCTCTCCCTCCTCAGGCACAGGCAATCATCCTACTGGCGACTTGCTTCTCTATCACCTGGGTCTCAACGACGCCGTGGGCACCCCATCATGGTGAAGGGCAACTTTCCTGCTACAGAGGCCCACGTGCACAATTCTATTTCAAGCTCACATCCTTGGGGGGGCGGTGTTTTGTTGATGCGTTTCGCGCGCGAGCAACTTTCAAAACAAGGCAAAGATTTACTACTACTGAATCTAATCGACTAGTATTCTTTTTGTTACTTTGTGCGTGCGAGTGTCTGCGCGTTTCCGCGCCAAGGGCCTGAGAGAGAGAGCGACTGGCCCCTGATCGAGGGCCCCCGTCCGCTCATCACCGAAGCGGCGCCACGCTTCCCCATCGTGACCTCCCGACCATGCCCTTTGACGTCCCTCCTCCCGCCATGATACAGTAAACGAACGACCAAGACAAGATACCCCATCCCCTGTTCTTACGACCAGTAGCGCACCGAGGCGTGCGATTACGATTATTTACGACTACACACGAATAAGCAATAGCTAACGACACGAGTGACTGCAAGAGGCGAGGCGAGGCGAGACGAGGCGAGACGAGAAGGGACAAACCGAAGCAGCGAGGGACAGGCACATGTACCAGCAGCCGTGCTACTCGCGTGCGGCCGGGGGCGAGCCGGGGGATGGGACAGGGGGGCTAGGAGGGGGGTTAGGAGGAGGGTTAGGAGGCGAGGAGGACGACGAATACGAGGAGAGGGACCTGTACGGCAGCCCGCGGCCGGCCTTTGTCCACCAGTCGTCGCGGCCGCAATCGAGGGCGTCGTACGGGCGAGGCGCACAGCCGGCATACCCACCACCGAGGACGTCGTTCAGCTCGCCGCCGCCGCTCCGGTCCAACAACTCGTTCGAGGTCGGGTCCGTGTACAGCAGCGAGCGCTTCTCGGCCCCGCCCGACTACCCGCCCTACCAGCACCAAACACCGCAGCCACAGCATCCGCATCCGCATCCGCATCCACATCCACACCAACCGTACGGCTACGGCTATGCCTCGTCGCCGCGCCAGTCGCTGCAGTCGCCCCCTGGCGCCTACCCGGACATGTACGCGCCCGATGCCCAGGCGGAGCACTACTGGTACGCCGGCGCGCCGCCGTCGGTCGTCTCGTCGGGCCACACGCTCACCTATGATCCCTACACGGCCGCTGGCGCTGCTGGCGCGCACGCTGGGAGCACCCCCTACAGTGGCGCGGGTGGTGGATACAGGGGCGAGGAGGCGCCCAGCTACTTTGGCGTCTCGGCCCCGCACCACCATCCGGGCGCTGCACCACCGGCGAGCTCGCACCATCACCACCACGGCCGTGCAGGCGAGGCGCTGCCCAACTTTCCCCAGTGGAGCCGGACGTGGTACGGCGGGCACCTCTCGGCCGACGGCCACGCCTACACCACCGTCCCGCCCCGGCCAGGCTCGGGCACGGGCTGGGAGTCAGAGACGATGACGCGGTCCGGCGGCGGCGGCGGTGGTGCACAACACCACATCTACGGCCGCACGGGGGGAATCAGCGATCCGGTCAAGGAGGAGCGCATGCGCATGCTCGAAAAGGAGTTTGGCAAGCCCAAGATCCGCCATGGCGGCGGCGACGACGATGACGACGACGACAGGACGATGCGGGGCGGCGAGGCAGGCGGGAGCGACGACGACGACGACGACGAGGCAGACCTGCCGCTGGGCAGCGTCACGTCGCGCGGCAAGCTCGTCACCGAGCGGCCCCGCTGGATGCTTGGCGCCCGCTGGCTCATGGGCCTCGCCGCGCTGGCGGCCTTTGCCTGCGGCATCGGCGGCGCGCTCCTCATCAAGCCCGACAAGAACGACGTGCCGGCGACGCGGGGCAGCGCTGCCAGCTACGTCGTCTATGCCGCCAGCGCCATCACGCTCGTCGCCCTCGTCTATCTGCATGTGTTCCGGCCCTGCTGTTGCGACCCGATGCGGCGCCTCGTCAAGCCCGGCGCCGGTGGTGGGCCGGGTGGGCCAGGCGGTGCGCTTGGCGGGCTCGTCATCCCCGTGCTCTCGGCGGCGGGCCAGACGGGCAAGAAGCAGAAGATGCCCGGGGGTAAAAAGGGACGGATGATGATGCAGCAGCAAGCGCCGCCCACGGTCAATCTCATCGTCGACCCGACCCTCTTGGGTGGTGGGAAAAAGTCCAGGCACGGCGGCGATGACTCGTCGGACGACGACGACAACGCCGGCGGCTACCACGGCGAGCGACTGCCCGGCGACGCGCGTCGTAAAAAGCGTCGCAAAAACGGCCTTGGCGTCGTGGGCAACATGCAGATGCAGCAGCGCTGGCGCGTGGCCCGCTCGACGACGAAGCTGCTCCTCATCTGGGACTGTGTTCTTTCGCTTGTCTGGCTCGCTGCGGCCATTGTCGCGATTGCCTTCCAGCCCAAGGCGGGCGCCTGCAAGCCTGGCACGGGCAACGGCTGGTGCGACTTCTACAATGCCGCCATTGCCTGCGGCGTCATCTTTACCCTCACCGCCTGGTTCGCCGTCTACCTGGGCTACCGCAACCTCAAGGTGTCGAGCAAGCCACCGCGGGCGATCTGATGTGCGCCTGTGTGCCCGATTTTCCTACTTACCATCGACCCGAGCGCGTTCTCGTCGCATTCAAAATCCCACTCCCCGTTTCACTACTTAGCTTCGTCATCATCGTCATCGTCGTCATCGTCATCCACAGTCAATTCTGGCCCCGCATTCAAACTCATCGGCCCTGCTTCCCCCACATTACTGCTTCCTTCCCAGTTTTCCTTACAAAGACACATTCTAATTGCTGCAATACCAAATGTTCCCTTTCGCCCCAATCTATCTATCTGTTTAGTGGCTCTGACGACGGTGCTGTGGCCCGCTGGCAGAGCCACACGGCCTCGCTGCGCTGCATCACGACGGGGCTGAGTGCGGCCACCACGTCGGCTGCTGCTGCTGCTGCTGCTGCTGCTCGCGGTGGCGATGAGGACCCTTGGCCGAGGGCACTGCGAAGGGCGGCGAGAATGTCGCGCGGGCGGCGTCGCTGGAGTCGCTCAAATGCCTCAATGGGGCCTGTGCCGACCAGCGCCTCGAAATGGGGTCCGGCGGCACCAGGAGCGCTGTTGACCGCGGCGCAGGGCTGGTCTGCGACGAGGTGGGTGTAGGTGGCCCACTGGGGCGCGCCCGCGTCGAGGTCCTCGGTCTTGTCGTACGTCCACGCAGGCCATTGCTGGTCCTCGATACGGCTGTGCGAAATCACTAACAATGACGAGGGCGGGCGCGCGAGGTGGAGCGACTGGAAGCGCGTTACGCCCGTCATGGCCGGCAGCACGTCGATGTGGACCGTGACTATGTATGCGCCACCATCAGCTGAAGTGCCATCACGAGACGAGATGAGACCGAGTGACTGCAGATGCTCACCATTTTCGTGCGCGGGCACGGTGCTGTGTAGGAGCTCGAGCGCGGCGCCGCCGGGGTAGTTCTGGGCGCTGATCCAGAGCGCGAAGCCCGCGTGGGCGGCGGCGAGGGCGAGTGAGACGACGACGAGGGCCCTGCGCACGCGCGCCAGTGCCGTCTTGCGACCCGTCCATCTGGAGAACAGGGGAATGTGAGCAGGTGCATGGCAGGCTGAGCACAAGAGCAGAACTCACAGGGAAGAGGCAGCGCGGGCGACGACGAGGTTGAGGAGCGGCGAGAGGTAGGCGATGAAGCGCGTCTCCTTGTGGGCGAGGAGGCTCAGCACGCCCATGTGGCTCGCAGCAAGGAGCAGGGCAGTGCCTTGTCTGTCTCTGCCTGCTCGATCCACCGCCACACCGACGAGTGCGATGAGAAACAGGGGCACGAGGGGCAGCGAGACGAGGCGGGGCAGGGCGGCGACGAGGTAGAAGCTGCGCGGCTCGGCGCCCCACTCGGCCGAGCGGCCCTCGACGACGTTGAAGAGGATGGCCTCGAGCTCGGGCCAGCACGGGCCACGCCGCTGGCCGTCGATGGAGAAGGCGCCGGCGAGGGCGTAGGAGCGGCGCCAGAAGTAGGTGTCGACGACGATGCTCGTCGCTGTATGCGGCGGGGACAGTCAGCGATGGGAAGGGAGGCCCACGGTGGGCAGGGATGGATGGCAAACGCACCGGCAGAGAGAAGGCCAGAAACGAAGCCGGTGACGAGGACGGAGGCCAGCGCACGCATCGCTGCGTCAGGGCGAGCATTGACGAAGCAAATAAGAAGGGCGACGGGCACCACGAGGCCGACGAGCTCGAGGCGCGCCACGGTGGCTGTCGCTGTGAGCAGGGCGAGCGCTGTGAGGCGCGTGCTGCCCTTCCTTCCTCCTCCACGGAAGAAGAGGCCGAGGGCGACGACGACGGCGGGCTGCGCGAGGCCGTTTGGTGTCGTCCGGCCGGCCCAAAAGAGGGGCCAGAACTGGACGGCCGACACGGCGAGAAAGGCGACGCGCGTGCCGGCGGCGGCGGCGGAGCGACGTGGGAAGCAGCAGCGCGAGAAGAAGACGAGCGAGGCGGCATACAGGCTCGCCAGCACGAGCCGGACGAGGAGCTGGACGTCGGCGCTGGTGCGGAGGAGCGGCTGTGCGAGCCAGACGAGCGGCCAGCAGAGGGCCGAGAGGAACAGCGGGGGCACAAACGAGCGCGGCACGGCGCCGGGAAAATGCAGGTGGTCGTACTGAAGGGGCAGCAGCGGGTCAGTCGGCGAAAAAGACAACCCGACAGAGACATCAGACATGGACGTACCTCTGCGAGACCGGCCGGCGTGAGGCCGTACGCGAGCATGTCGTGGACCGCCTGCACCGAGAAGCTCTCCTCGACCTTGGAGTAGGGCGCCACCACGACGTGCGTCCACGCGGCCACAAAGAGCGCGGCGACGGCCATCCATTCCAGCAGCACCGGCGCCGCCATCGCTCCCTGTCCCTCTTTGTATCGTCTCGTAGCGTCCGTCTCCTTTGCTGGCCGTTCCTCGTTCCCAGTCTTCCAGCCTGTCTTCCAACCGGAGAAGAGCGCGACTCCACCTCGCGCTCTCGTCCACGTGGAAAAAAGTGGCGCGCACGGGCCCGGCATCTCTTCTCCCTTGGGTGTCGTGCGACATTTTATGCGCAGAGAGAGCCGGGGGCATAGCATAGTGCCAGCAAGGGGGAAAGGAAGCATCTCTCTCCCACCCACCACCTCCGCCACTGTCTCCTCATCAAGCCTAGTCAAGCCTAGCCAAGCCAAGCCAACTTAAAACAGCCTCCTCGCAAGAAGAAAGCAAACAAGATGGCCTGCACCTGCTCCAACACCCAAGACTGCACCACCTGCAACCAGGTGAGCATTCCCCATCTCTTCCCCTCCCCTCTTTTCAGCGTACACGATAAGCTGACGGAGGTTCTCGCTGCCCAGGGCAAGTGCACGTGCGACGTGTGCAGCTGCACCAATTGCCCCCGCAAGGTGAGGTAACTGACCTGACTCAAGTCGCTCGTCCAAGCAAGCAAGCAAGTGGCGTGCACAGGCTGACCACCACTGTCGACAACAGGCCCACGCTGCGTCGTGCAAGTGCCAGGGCGCAGGCGAGGGATGCGCGTGCGAGGGCAAGGCATGCCAGTGCTGAGCTTCCTGCTCCAGGCCTGCATCGAAGAGGCTTCTCTCTCACCAAGGCGCCCTCCATCAAGACAAACCCCCTTTCAAACCCCACTTGTTCTTGAAGCTTCCTGTCAATAAAGCGCTTTCTCGTGACGGTACTCGAGGCCTCCCCTTTTTTTTTCAAGACACCCACCCACCCATGTCTATTTCTAAATGAATTGAGACTTGCTTCGATGGGACTGGCAGCAGCAGCAGCAGCAGTGATGGTGTACATGCATGGGAAGAACTTGAGTGTGTGTGTATAGATCAGATATCATGGCTCAGCAGGGGCAGCAGCAGGTGCGTGGTTGCTGGCCGGCTTGGGCGTGGGGCCATCGTCGTCGACGCCCATGCGGACAAATGTCTTGTGGACCTCGTAGCGCCAGTCGGTGCAGCCGAGGACGAGGCCCATGGCGAGCGAGGCAAAGAGGAGGGCGACGGTGAGGCCGATCCAGAGCCCCGCGAGGCCCCACTGCCAGGGCCCAAAGGTGAGAAAGAAGCCGAGGGGGATCCCGATGAGGTAGTAGCCGACCAGGTTGGCGACGGCACCCTGGGCCTGGCGGCCGGTGCCCCGGAGCACACCACCGGCGACGCCGCAGATGCCGTCGGCGACCTGGAAGAGGGCGAGGAGGGGCAGGATCGCATACACGAGGTCAATCACGGCACGGTCCTCGGTGAACCAGTAGCCCCACTGGTTGCGAAAGGCGAGAAAGAGGGCCGAGTTGAAGGCGCCGCAGGCGAGCGAGAGGAGCATCGACATGTTCGAAGCGACGTTGGCGGCGTGGGCCTGGCCGGCGCCCAGGTGGTTGCCGACGCGCACGGCAGCGGCGACGGAGAGGGCAAAGGGCAGCTGGTAGGTGATGCTGGAGCTGACGAGGAGGACCGACTGGGCGGCGAGGGCGACGGTGCCAAGGCGTGTCGTGACGAGGCCGACGATCTGGGGAGAAAACACACAAATGAAGTCGAAGAAAGGTGTCAGCATTGGCCAAAAAAAAAGGAGCAATTTTTAGTCGTCAGAAGGGCAAGAGCGGCGCACACACCTCCCACGACCACCACTCGGAGCAGATGGCGAGCGTGCCAGCGAGGCCGAGGTTGACCAGAGGCGAGAGGCCGCTGAATGCGCGGCGCGACCAGCCGGCCCAGGCGATGCGCGGGGCGACGTAGCACTGGAGCAGGCAGAGGAGGGCCATGAGCCACGTGGAGACGACCGACGCGATGGGTGCGCCAATGAAGCCGAGCCGGACGCTGGGTGGGCCCCAGACGAGGAGGTAGTTGAGCACGGCGTTGAGCGGGCTGGCGACAAAGAGGACGACGGTGGGCGCATGCATGAGGCCCTGGGCCTGGAGGTAGCGCCGGCAGATTTCAAAGCACGCGTAGCCGGGCAGGCCGAGGACGAGGATGCGCAGGTAGAGGCTGGCGAGGGCGGCGACCTGCTCCTCCTGGCCCAGCAGGCCGAGGATCTGCTCCGAGGCGAGCCAGATGGCCGAGATGGGGACGAGGAGCACGGCCGAGATGACGGCGGCACGCTGCGTCCAGAGGCCGACGGTCTTGGGTGCGTGCGAGTAGGCGGCCGGCAGGACCGAGTCGAGGGCAGAGATGAAGCCGCTGAGGACGGAGAAGCCGGTGACGTTGGCCGTCATCGACGACAGGCTCGCGGCGGCAAGCTCCGTGGTGCCCAGGTGGCCAAGACTAAAGACACTGACGACGTTGAGCGAGAGCTCGAGCACGTGTGTGGCCCAGATGGGTGCGCTGTATGCGAGCAGCACAGCCAGCTCGCGGCGCGGGCCCGGCTGCTGCGCGGCCTCGTGGGCGAGCTCGTCGAGCGTCTCCTGGCCCGGCAGGCCGGGCGCCGTGCGGTCCCAGCCACTGGCTGCTCCACCGACCAGGCTGGGCCTGCGGTGCACAGTATGGTTGTGGTGGCCATTGCCCGTGCTGGCGCCCGTGCTGATGCTGGCGGTGGCGGTGCCGCCGTAGCCGCTGTGTGCGCCTGCCTGCAGCAGCGGGCTCGTCTCGCGCGCGGCGTCGGCCAAGGGCGACGATGAGGAGGCGCCTTCGTGGTGCGCCGCCGGCGTCAGCCAGCCTGCGCTCTGGTGGCGCGGCATTGGTGTGGCGTCGTCGTCGTCGTCGTGGCTGTCGTTGTGACCGTCACGGTAGGCTGCCACGTGGTCCGCGCCTTGGTCCACGCCTTGGCCATCGCCACCGCTGAACTGTGCTCTCGCCTCTGCATCGCCGGCCGTCGTCGCTGCAGGATGGCCACCGAGGATGTATGCCGAGGGGATGGGCCCGATGTGCGACTTGCCGCCGTGCTGCTGCTGCTCCTCGGTGCTCATCGCATGGCTCGTCCGCCGCGCCCAGCTCCGCCGCCGGTTGCTGGGCGAAAGCACGGGCGATGTGGCGGCGGCCATGACCCGCGTGCCCCCGCGCGCATACTGCTGGTGGTCGTAGCTCGTCGACAGGCCGCCGAACGTGGCGCCCTCGGGCATCGACAGTTGCGACATGTTGTCGCTCTCGAGCGCGCCCGACGCAGACAGGCCCTGCTCCACGTCGTCGCCGTCTTCGTTTTCATCTAGTCCTGCCAAATTCTGCTCGTCGTTGTCGTTGTCACTGTCGCCGTCGACGAGCTCCGACACGAGGTCGTCCTCGAGCGCGGGTCGGTACGAGGTGCCCTGGAGGATCGCATAGTCGCGCTGCATCGACGATGCCGGCGCTGCAGAGTAGTCACAACCGCATCAGCATCTTCCTCTCTCTCCACCACCCCACGCCTACTCACAGCTGCCATAGTGCGAAGGGAAGCTCATGGCTGTGGCTGCGTCACGTCACCGTCGAGCAGCTGTCTTCTATCTCTTCGTCGCTCTCTTTCTCTCTCTTTCTCAGATCAAAATTTCCAGAGATTGGAAAATTGAAGCGCAAGCGCAAGCGCCAAGGCCATAAGACTCTGTGCGCGCGCCCAGCCCGTCCCTGGGCTTGGATGGACGCGTGCACGTGTGTTGGGTGTGTTTCGAAACATCCGACTTCCGAAACCGTCGAAAAAAATCGGGCAGATGGTAAGCACCCAAGAAGAAGAAATGGTGCGCCAAAAGACGAGCTCCGACTAACTTGACAAGGCAAGCAACGGTCAAGGGAAAAAAGGGACGGAGGCGATGCCCCCATGGGAGACCTATTTGCCCTCTGCGCCGCCGCTCGGGACCCGCACGCACCCGCTGGTGCGCTTCGTGGGACTCGCCTCCAGGCTTCTTCTGTCCCGATGGTGCAACAGCGTCAAGGTCAGGGGCCTCGATGGCTTTTTGCGGATTTTGAGGGATGAGGAGAGACTAAAGAGCGGGAGAGGGATACTCACGTATGCGAATCACATCAGTGTGTGAGTGACAGACTGCAGAGAAGCCAGTCAGAGGTGGTAGCTGAAGATCCTGGCAGAATGGATGATCCGACGCTGTTTGGGTGTATGCCGCCCGAGACGATCCAGGATCCCGCACTGACCCGCTGGACGCTCGGTGCACGCGACATCATGTTCACGAACCCGTGAGTATCTCCTTTCATATTCTTTAAATCGGTGATCCTGACGCTTTTCCACATGCAGTCTCTTTGGCTACTTCTTCCGCACCGGGCAGGTCCTCTGCACGGACCGGGGGCGTGGCGTGTTCCAGCCATCAATCGACAAGAGCATTGACCTGCTCGAAGCTGGCGCCTGGGTCCACATCTTTCCCGAGGGCTACGTCAATATGAGCCGAAAGTCGAGGTGCAGGCGCTTCAAGTGGGGTGTGGGCAGGATGCTCCTCGAGGCTGGCCGATCGGCTTTCAGCAAGTCTGCCGGGTCTGCCGAGTCTGCTCTTGCTCCGCTGGTCGTGCCCATCTGGATCACTGGTGAGACGCGTTCCAATCTCTTGCTTGATGGAAAGTGGGTGAGCTGACGATTTTCATCAGGCTTCGACGCAATGATGCCTGAGCCGCGCGGAAATCCGCGATGGCTCCCTCGACCGGGCGCCAACATCACCATCGACATTGGCAAGCCGATCAACGCCACGCTCGACCCCCTCCTCGATACGCTGTCATCCTCGACGAGCGGGGATGAAAAGTCGGTCGAAGAGTGTGTTTCCGATCTCGACATCCTCTCCGATGCATACCCCCTTCCCTCGGAGAGCCTCTTCCCGGAGAGGACCCCGCTGGCACCACCTCCGGGCGGCGTCCCGTGGCCTGTGCCACTCGCTGAATCGCGATCAGCGCACGCAATCGAGAAGCTCGGGGCCGACTCGTCGTTTGCAAGGCATGCCCGCAGCCTCGTCTCAAACGAGCTCCGTGCTCACCTGGTCAAGCTCGGTGCTGAGTCCAGGAAAGCCGGCGGTGTCCCTCTCGGTTTGGTACACAGGCTCATGGACGAAGAGGACGAGAGCAATAGAGGCCTGTTGTAGATCCCCCAATTCCTATTCTCACTTTGTTCTCTTATCTACAGTACATACATGCAATCGTCGTAATCCTATAGAGAAGGTGCAGTGACAGAGGCGAGTCCTTCGTTCTGAGCCTGGTCCATGTTGAGGCTTCTGTCTTAGTTGGAGCTCCTGGCCAGTGGTGAGCGGAATCGAGCCAGGCCGGGTTCGATCTGTGGGTGTTCGACGTACGGTGCCTTTTCTACCGTCGATGCGTCCGGTGGTCCGAGCGCGACGCGTACTACTTTCTCTTGTAACGCTCCTTTTTCTCTTCATTCCATCAGCTCGGCCGAAGTACTGTACTTCCTCAACTCAGTCAACGACTGCAGGCACGCCGAGCGCCCTGGACTACAACTCCGTCAGGGGTCTCGTTAGCTCCACGGGGGATTGACTGCACCGAAGAGAGAGAGGGAGAGATGAAGAAGCTTCGACGCTACACCAGCTCAAGTGATTGAGACAAAATGCAAGCGCACAGTGGACACCCTGAATGCTCGTGCACATAAGGACTCCGCGAGAGCGACGAGGGGCCTCACAAAATGGCAGCGTGTTTCTTCGGAAGGGCTGGTGATCCAGCCACATCGTTGTCAGGTGGGACTGCTCGCTGTTGAGCGGTACCTTTCTCTCACGTCTTCACGTACGCCTCAACAGATACCCGTTTCAGAATGTATTGGCGTGCAATCTCCCCGATATGCACTCGTTGTGAGGGGCGGAAGCAGGCTCCGTGACAGACACAGGGTGCGGCCCTTTCGGATGAAGCGGGAATCCGCACTTTGCCTCACCCGCAGGTAGTCAACTGGCGGGACCTATCTGTGACGGGTTGCAATCACAAGACCCTCCTCGCCGCGAGAAGCCACCGGCTCATGCACCGTCGCGCGCCGTATAATGCACATTGTACTGTACTGTACCTGCTTTGCGGGGAAGACGGACAGGCAAGCGCGCCCATTCACAATCACCGTCTCGTGATTGGACGGCGAGAGGGGCGAGACGGCTGCTCCCAGGGTGTATATGATATAACCTCCGCCCGGACAAAGCGTCCGTCTGATCGTCCCATTAGTCCGGGCCAAGAAGAAAGAGATGCAGACGCATGAGAGGAAGAAAGCCGCGCCACTTTTTGTATCTCTTTCCTCCTTGCGGTCCCCCGTTCCTCGCTCCCCCGATTGTCCCCCACTCCCTCGCTATCTCATAACGAGGCCCCGATGCGATGAGAGAGCAGCGCTGTTCCAGCGCCCAGGACAGGCGGAATAGCAAAAAGGAGCGCAAGAGTAGACCGCCGATAAGCTCGGCAGGTTGAAAACCGCTCGAGATGCGTCTTCCTGGCCTTGCTCGGAACTTTGGCTCCTATCTTGTGTGGCTGCCTCGCTAGCGCCAGGTCTCCCCCCTTCCTCTTCCTCCGACGTGTGCCTGGATGGTGGTGCGCCCGCTAGCTGTATATGGACCGGAAGACAGGCGACGAGGGGACGAGGGGCCTGGCCCTCAGACAACTGCGTCGGATAAAGGCAGATAGCGGCATCCAAACAGTCTACTTCTCTGCAAGGAAGGAGACGGGGTGAAGAAGGAACAAAGGCGAAAGCAGCGAGGAGAGTAAAATAGAACGGTGTGCATCCAGTAACACAGTCGAGCAGTACCTTGGATGATAAGGGTGGGGCGGCAAACAGTGATTCAGTGCCTCTTGCGGATGCCACGGCTCAAATTCCGGAAAGCGACTAAAACAAAGAAAAAAAAAAAGGACCTTGCTGTCCCGGCAAGTGGCCTGTTGCCGACGGTGTCGCCACTCTAACCCACGGTAGCGTGCCATCGGTCTCTGGATCTGCCTTTTAATCTTCTGTGCTTTGATTCTCTCTCCTTTTTTTGTAATTGGAAGCGTACTTGCTTCTCTTTACTCTGCGATGAAAAGGTAATCCTCGGCCCACTCGCCGATATCTGCCGTCCTTGCTGTTTTTTTTTTTTTTTTTTTCGCCCTTCCTTCCCTGGAAGACCAGGGCACTGTGCCCCACAATGCTACACCCATCTGGAAGAAGTGGTCGTGAGACCAAAGAGCCGGGCACGCAAACTCTGCTATCTCTTGCGAAGATACCGATAGTCGTAAGTCTGGACCAGCCAGACCTTGTGCCTGTCGTTGTGTGCGTGTGTGTGTGAGAGAGAGGGGGAGGGGAGAGAAAGAGCGCGAGATAGAGGAGGGGCGCTTCGCCGCAGGTACACATTGCGAATATTCTGGCCCTCCCTGTACCCTAGACAAAGCAATATATGAAGGACATCCCACTTTCTCGTCCACGTCCCTGTCCATCACCTTCCCCCCTTTCTTCCCTCGTCTTGTTGTTCCCCTTTCCCCCTTTCCCTCTCCCCCTTTCCCCTTACCCCCTCCGGTTGCCTACGCCTCTGTCCCAATCCCCTGCGTGCCTCTTGGGCCTACGACTTAGACCAGCATGGACGGAGCAATGTTCGGCGGCTATGGTGCCGCCAAGGCCGACGAGGCCGGCATGAAGCACCACGAGATGATGCCTCCTCGCGTCTCGGGCCTGCACCACGAGGACCGTAGGCCGACGCAGGAGATCTCCCGCGCCGACGAAGGCCCCATCAAGAGCGAAAAGGTGCCTGTCCCCGACGTGCAGGAGAAGCTGGCCCTCGAGAGCGAGGAGGACGGCCTCGACTACAACGTCACCGACGAGGACCGGGCGACGCTGCGCCGTGTGGCTGCACCCATGCCCTGGACCGCCTTCCTGATCGGCATCTGCGAGCTCGCCGAGCGCTTCTCGTACTACGGCACCACCCAGGTGTTCCAGAACATGATCCAGAACCCGCTCCCCGCCGGCAGCACCACCGGCCGCACGTTCCACCCCGATGACGTGGCGGGTGTGTACGGCAAGGGCCAGCAGGCAGCCACGGGCATCACGACGTTCAACACCTTCTGGGTCTATGTCAACCCGCTCATCGGTGGCTACATTGCCGATACATACCTCGGCCGATTCAACACCATCTGCCTCGGTGTCGGCATCGCCATCGTGGGCCACATCCTCTTCATCATCTCGGCCGTGCCCTCGGTCATCAAGGACCTCAACGGCGCCTTTGCCTGCTTCATCATCGGTGTCATCATCAATGGCGTCGGCACGGGCTTCTTCAAGTCTACCGTCTCTGTCCTGATTGCCGAGCAGATCAAGGCCAAGCGCCAGTACATCCAAGTCACCAAGAAGGGCGAGCGCGTCATCGTCGACCCCACTGCCACGGCTGCCCGGCTGTACGACTTCTTTTACTTGCTCATCAACATTGGTGCGCTGGGTGGACAGATTGCTATGCCATTTGCGGAAAAGTACGTCGGCTACTGGCTCGCCTACACGATCCCCACCATCGTCTTCCTCATCTGCGTCCCCGTCCTCTACTTTGCGCGCAACAAGTACGTCAAGAACCCGCCTGCAGGCTCGGTGCTGAGCAACGCGCTCAAGCTCCTGGGCCTCGCCATGAAGGGCCGCTACTCACTCAACCCGATTGCCATGGTTCACAACATGCGCGCCCCCGACTTCTGGGAGAACGTCAAGCCGAGCAAGCTTGGTGCCATGAAGCCAAACTGGATGACGTTCGACGACCAGTGGGTCGAAGAAGTCCGTCGTGGATTCAAGGCCTGCTACGTCTTCCTCCTCTTCCCCTTCTACTGGCTCGTCTACAACCAGATCTCGGGCAACCTCGTCTCCCAGGGCGGCACCATGAAGCTCGGCGGCGTCCCCAACGAGATTCCCCAGAACCTGGACCCGCTCGGCATCCTCATCCTCGTCCCCTTCTTTGAATTTGTCGTCTACCCCGGCTTCCGTCGCATGGGCATCAACTTCACTGCGCTCAAGAAGATCTTCTGTGGTTTCATTGTCGCTTCGATGAGCATGGTCTGGGCTGCCGTCCTCCAGCACTACATCTACACGACGTCGCCCTGCGGAACCAATGCCAGCAGCGACACCGGTTGCCAGTCGCCCATCAGCGTCTGGGTCCAGGTCGGTCCCTATGTGCTCATTGGTCTGTCGGAGCTGTTCGCCTCGGTTATCTCGCTCGAGTACGCGTACACCAAGGCACCCAAGAACATGCGCTCCCTCGTCATGGGTGTCGGCCTCTTCACCAACGCCATTGGCTCGGCCATCCAGCAGGCCTTCCTGCCCCTGGCCACGAACCCGCTGCTGGTGTGGATGTACACGACGTTTGCCTGCATCTCCTTTGCTGCCGGCATCCTCTTTGGCTTCCTCTACCGGGGCATCGACAAGGAGGAGGACTACCTCAACAACCTGGCCAGCGCAGACTACCACTCCAAGCGCTCGTCGCAGCACGAGGAGTGGGACATGCACAACGCCGACCACGCCTCCAACGACGAGAAGCCCAACTAGGGGTTTTGGCATCCGTTGTCCTAAAATGGATTTCAGCAGTCCACCTCGTCTTTTGTCTCTCATTCTTCCCGAGAACAAGAACATGGCGGGATGAGATGCTGGTGTTGATGTATTACTTACGATTGCGAATATCATCTTTTCACGTTGTTACGCTTCTTTTTCTTCTTGGCTCGCGCGACTGACTGCATCCAGAGAGTGACCAAAACTACAAGCATGAAAGGTGGCGGAGAACTGATTGGCAGGCCGGATGATTTAGGTGTCTTGGTAGCATTCATGCAACCCTCCGGGTCTTATTTTCTCAACGCGCTGCTTCCTTTGTGTGATGCTTTTCACTGTGTGCTGAGTACATGTTCTGGATCATGTCTTGGATCGCCGTGTTCTTGGTTGGTCAACACGAGAAGCAGTCGTCCTGGAGGAAAGGCATGGATGGACGACGCCAGCGTCAGCGCCATCAAGTCACACAGGATGCAGCCGTTGCCTCGTCCACAGATCAGCCCCGACTTATGCCGAGTTCCGCACGGTCTCCGACCTATTTCCGAGCCATCTCCGATTTTTATTTTTATTTTTATTTTTATTTTTATTTTTGGTGGAGGCACGGTGAGCCAGGTGAGCTAGTGTAGGCAGATCTCACCAAGATGATGGGAATCGAAGCGCATATAAGAAGCCATCCCTCTTGCCCCTACTGACCGGGGCTTCACCAACAAGCCATAAAAATAAACAACAACAATGAGCTACTTTGAAAAGGTTGCTGCACGAGCGCCGCTCGACCGTCACCGGGTGCTGAGTCGGACGGCGGGCGTGCGCGTGTCGCCGCTGTGCCTCGGCGGTGCCTCGCTGGGCGACGCCTGGTCCAAGGCTGGCGGCGCCATGGGCAACGGTGCCGACGAAACGGCCTCGTTTGCGCTGCTCGACGCCTACTTTGCGCAGGGCGGCAACTTCATCGACATGGCCAACAACTACCAGGACGGCGAGTCGGAGCGGATCCTCGGTGCGTGGATGCGCGCACGGGGCAACCGCGACGAGCTCGTCATCACCAGCAAGTACACGAGCACGTTCAAGTTCCAGCAGGGCCCCGCGGCCGGCGTCCACATCTCGGCCAACTTCAATGGCAATGCGAAAAAGAGCCTGCGGCTCAGCCTCGACCACACGCTCGCGAGCCTGGGCACCGACTACGTCGACATTCTCTACGTGCACTGGTGGGACTGGACGACGTCGGTCGAGGAGATGATGCAGGCGCTCAACCGCGAGGTGCAGGCGGGCCGCGTCCTCTACCTGGGCGCAAGCGACATGCCCGCCTGGGTCGTGTCGAGCGCCAACGCCTATGCGCGCGCCCACGCCCTCGCGCCCTTCTCCGTCTACGAAGGCCTGTGGAGCATTCTGCAGCGCGACATGGAGCGCGACATCGTGCCCATGTGCCGCGTTGAGGGCATGGCCATCTGCCCGTGGGGCGCCGTGGGCAGGGGCAAGCTGCGCACCGAGGCAGAGATCGAGGAGCGCATCCGTACCCGCGGTCCGCTACGTGGCGGTGCGCCGCAGACCGACCTCGAGAAGCGCGTCTCGGCAGGCCTGGACGAGATGGTCAAGACCGACTTTGATGACAAGATCTCGATCACGCAGCTTGCTCTTGGTGTGTTCTTTCTTCCTTTGCTCTTCCCTCATATTGAACACCCTGCTGATGTATGGACCACGATGAACGACAAACAGCCTGGCTCCTGGCAAAGTACCCCTACTGCGTGCCCATTGCCGGCGTGACAGAGAAGCGGCACCTCGAGTCCAACATGTCGGCCGTGTCCATCAGGCTGACGGACGCACAGATGGCCCGCATCGAGGCGCTGTCGCCGTTTGAGCCCGGCTTCCCGTACAGCTACATCAAGCACGACCCGCGCGAGTCGGCCGACCAGGCCCAGAGCAGCTGGCTCGCCTCGTGCGGCGAGCTCGACTGGGTGCACGCCGAGAGGAGCATCAACCGGCTGCCATGAGGCGGCAGCACATCCTCCTCTACATTCCTATTTTAAAATGTGAACGACGTGATGACGCAATGTGCTGTACTGTAATGATTATAGTTTGTTCCCGACTCGGGGCAGCCAGACCTCGACTGCTTGACTGAATTTGAGTTGCGTCGGGAGCGCGGGAAGAAGACTATCACGCGTTCGTCGCCAAAGCTTTGGCATCCTTGGCTCTCTCCCCACTCAATACTGGTATGTGGGCACCCAGGCTGCTGGCGCACGCACAAGCCGCCTAGGCACCATGGAAGGGTACGACCACGATGCCTGGACGGGCGAGCTGGGCACGCGGGAGACGATGCTCAGCGCCTACCGCCTCGCCGCCGTCAGCAGTGCCTTTCTCAACGTCTCGCTGTTCCTCGCCGGCGCCTACATCCTCCTGTCGGCGCCCGCCCGGCTTCGCTCGCCCGTGTTTGGCATCCACATGGCCGCGTTTGCATGCACCATCGTCTACTTTGTCCTCAAGCTCGTCTTTGGCTACCTGGAGATCCGCGAGCGGCTGGCGCGGCAGCCCGACGGCACGTTCGATGCCAGCCTCAACCGCTCCCTGGCTCAGCGTGAGTGGGCCTCTCTTCCCTGCAAACCGGGAGAAGGAAATCACTGACCGTCGCTCGCAAACGATGGGGGCGCAGTCGACGTCGTCAACAGCTTCCTCTCCCTCTTTGCGCCCCTCGTGGCCGAGTCGAGCCTGCTGTTCAAGCTTGCGGCCTTCTACCCCGCCTGGAGCACCCGCCCGCTCAAGCGTGTCCTGGTCCTGGGCCCCTTTGCCCTGGCGCTCCTCCTCCGCTTCGTTGCCTCGCTCCTAGCCATCTGGCACGGCGTCCACTTCTACCTGCTGCCCGTCGAGCGCAAGGGTAGCTCCTTCTACCTGAGCGGGCCCTACGGCCTGGCCATCATCCGCTTCGTCGACGCCTTTCTCCAGCTTGCCTCGTGCCTCTACGCCTCGGGTGCGTGTCTTGTTGCTGCTGCATCTCCTATCTCCATCCACTGCTGACCGTCTTGCGCAACCACCCAGGATTGATGCTGCGACGGGCGTATCTCTGCAGCCGGAATGTCGCTCGGCATGCCGTGCTGTCGATGCGCCCCTCTGGCGACACCTTCGCTTCTTCATCGAGTCTGTCTTGATGAGCTTTGTGCCGCCGCTCATCTGCCAGATCATCATTGTCGCCTCGGCTTTCACGCCCACGGTCGCGGCCGCGCGCGCCAACACGTACGGCATCCTCTTCAACGTCGTCATGGCTCTCTGCTTCTCCATCCTCGCCACCACCTGGTCCTCGATCCGCGACGCAACGCCGAGCCAGATATCTTCGTCGTCGTCGTCCTCCTCCTCTCGTCGCCACATTTCGACGTCGACGTCGCTGCGGCCGTCGAGCAGGGACCGGCCGCCGCCGCCGCCGGCCGAGTCAAAGTCCATCATTGCCGCCGTCTTGGACCGAGCGGGCATCACCAGCCGGGACGGGGCGGAGTCGGAGGAGGAAATGGAGGTGGTGCAGTCGATTACGTCGACGTCGAGCGCAGGCGAGGGCGAGGGGCACGCACCTCGTTTCCCGCACAAGGGCACTTCCGAGTGGAGGAGGAGCACGGCGGCTGCCCCGCGCCTGCACGATCACTCGCTCTAGCGCTCGAAAAAGTAGAAGAGAGCAGCCTCTTCTCTTCCTCTTCAGCTTCCAGTTGGCAACATACGGCAGCCCTTTCGCCCGTATAAGGCAGTTCGAGGAACGAAGGCGAGCCAATGCGCCCGCCTCAACGGGCGACAGGCCGGACTGGCACTTGCCTCCGGTCAAGTGCGCTTGATACATAGATGACTGATGGCAGTGCGCTTTGCAGGCGCCTTAGAATCTTTGCGTCCGCCTCGCTTGCAGCTCACGTATCCTTGCTCTCATACCCCTGTCCATCTGTCCACGAGCAGTAGCTCAATCTGATTCTAGAAAGCGCCATAACACGCAGCTAGGAATATAGCGATTAGATGCACGAAGAACAGGTACCACGCTCTTCAATGAGCGGCCCGATTTTCTTCTTGGAGTCTCGCCACGCTGCAGCCGTGATATGTGCCATACTCCAGCTCCTACAATCTGCCCTATGAAGTAAAGCAGGTACGGCCTCGCAGCATAGAGGGTAAGCGGGGGAAGTCCGATAGGCCCTCCGATAAACAACCACGTGGCATTTCTATTACTGCACTCTCCGCTCACTCGAGCAATCGGACGTCGGACTGCAAGAGGAGCAAGGCAGCCATCGTCGTAAGAGGGCGGTGACTAGAATGGATGAACAGAGCGCCGCGCCTGCGTCGTCGTCGCCGTCGCCGTCGCCATCCAAGGCCGTGTCATGCAAGGAGTGTCGGCGGCTCAAGCTGCGCTGCTCGCGCGTGTGGCCGTGCGACAACTGCCAGCGGCGCAGCGTGGCCCACCTCTGCCCGCATCGGACCTCGGCCTACCAGCGGAGACCGCGCCAGCGAGGGCGGCCGAGGTGAGCAGTGCCATGCGGTGCAGAACGGTGATGTCGCGGCTGACATTGCTAGACAGCTTGAGCTTGAACGAGGCGTCAATCGTGACCGAGGCGGCGCAGGGCCTCGCCAGCCTCTCGGAGCGGTACGGCGAGGACGCAGGCGCAGGATGGGCAGAAGGACGCAGACAGCAGCTGGGAGGTAGGCAGGATGGAGCAGGCGAGGGCCAGTACGTGGGGTCGAGCGCATACAGCGTCTACTACATGCCCGACTCGGGCGAGGAAGAACCACTGCATCCGCGGCGGCCCATCGGCACCGGCCAGTCGACAATGCAGGACGCCGATGAAGATCACGACGACGACGCCCTCTTTCGCACGCTCGCGGTGCCGGGACAGGGGCCGACGCGGGACGAGGAGCAGGTGCTCGAGGCGGTGCGAGCGCGTCTGCCGCCCAGGGCAGTCGCAGTGCGGTGCCTGCAGGTCTACGTGGGCCACGTCTCGTGGATGTACAGCCCAATCGCCATCGACGAGCTCGTGGCCGAGGCCTGGGATCCCTTCTATGGCGGCACTCCAGGGGCTAGCCTCACCCGTGCCGCCCTCCTCCTTGTTGTACTTGCTCTGGGACGGCACTTTGACAGCGACGTGGCCGAGTCGGACGGCCTGGGTCGCGACTTTGTCCGCCTCGCCTGGCACGCATCGCACATGACGATGCCGCGCCGCTACTCGCTCACGGCCATGCAGACGACGCTCCTCCTCGGCCTCTTTGTCATGAACACCGACGGGGGCATGCACACCGAGGACTTCTACCCGCTCATGGGCGCCGCCGTGCGCCGGGCCATCGGCTATGGCCTCCACCGCGCCTCGGCCGAGCGGCGCTGCGACGAGGCCGAGAAGCAGCGCCGCCGCGTGCTCTTCTGGGAGCTCTACTCGTCGGATGCCTACCGTGGCTTGGCCTACTGCCGGCCGACCAACATTCAGGGCGGCACCGTCGACGTCGCGCTGCCTGCGTCGTTACCGGTGTACTTCGTTGCCAAGCACAGGCTGGCGATGATCATCAACCGCGCCCTGGCCGAGGTGCTGTGCCAGCCGAGCCCGCGCTACGACGAGGCGCTGCGCTTCGACGCGGAGCTGCGGCAGCTGCTCGCATCGCTGCCCCGGCTCACCAAGTTTGCACCTTACGGGCTCGGAGACATTGTCGCACGCGACGCAGCCACGCACCCGCACGACCTGCACACCTACCTGCAGGCCCACACGCTGCACATCAACGTGCACCAGGCACTTCTGCACCTGCACCGGCCCTGGCTTGCTCGCGCGATCCAGGCGCCAGGCGACCCGCTCGCTTCAACCCACGTCCACTCCGTCGTCGCCGTCGGCGAGAGCAGCCGGGCGCTCATCGGCCTGGGCGGCGATGTATGCGAGACGCTGCCCGTGCTCGCGCGCCGCTGGGGCTACTTCTGGGTCCATGTCTTTGACGTCGCCATCTGCCAGGCCGTCCACGCGGCCCTCAAGCCGGCGACAATGGCTGGCTCGAGCGCCTACCTCGACGTGCAGCGTGCCCTCGACGTCGTCGCCTCAGTCCGCCCACACCTCTCGGCCCACTGGGCGGCGCGCTTCAAGGTCATCGAGGATCTGCGCAACGTGGCGCGGGACCGCATCGAGGGCACCTCCTCGGCTTCCACTTCGGGTGCATCCTCGGGCGGCCCCTCGTCGGTCGCGGTCGGTCATGGTCCGCTCAGCGAGGACAACGCCCTCAGGCTGCTGGGCGCTGAGCCGCAGGACGCTGCAGCAACGACGGCGGCGACGCTAGGAGCAGCACAAGCATCGACAGGAGCACCAGCACCAGCAACAGCAGCAGCAACCACACCAGCAGCACAGACGACGGCCAGCTACGTGCAGCCTGCCGATCTCCTCAGCGGCTTCTCGACACTCCAGGGCGACTTTCTCAGCGAGCACGACGGCCTCTCGGACCTCCTCTCCCAGTTCCTGGGCCACAGCGACCTCGACGGGCTCCTTGCCGAGCCCTGACTCTCTTTGCACCTCTGTACTCTAATAGTGTCTGGCCCAATTCAATGCTGTACTGTACTGCCACTAGATGACTTTTCACTCGGCCATGTCCGACTCCGATGCACACACGCGTCCAGCTCCGATAGCTAGCTCTGCAGCGAGGCAGGCCATATATAATAAGCAGGGCGGTGAGGTGCCACTGCCCCAGGCCATCATCGGCCATGGACACCCCATCGGCTGCCAGTGGGGACAACCCGCGTCTCTGGTCGTCGCGCAAGAAGCTGCGGCACTTTGTCATCGTCTGCTTCTTCTCTGGCTGGACCTCGATTGCCACGACGGGCTACCTGCCCATGCAGGCCGTCGTCACGGCCGAGTTCTCCGTGTCGCCCACGACGTTTCTCGTCGGCAACCTCCTCTTCTTCAGCGTCGGCGTCGCATTCACCCCGCTTCTCGTCTCGCCCCTCTCAGAGATCCTTGGTCGGCGGCGCATCTACCTCGTCTCGACGCTTGGCTTTGCGCTCCTGTGCATCCCCCCCGCCGCCGTCCCTGCGCCGACGTTTTGGCCCACGCTCCTCGCCCGCCTCCTCCAGGGCTGCTTCGCCAGCGTCGGCAACTCAACGACGGCGGGCACCGTATCGGACCTGTACGGTGCCGGGTCGCGCGGCCTGCCCATGTCCATCCTCTGCCTCGCCATCTACGTCGGCCAGGGCGTGGGCCCGCCACTGTCGTCGGCCATCCTCGCCGCGGGTATCTCGTGGCGCTGGATCTATGCGCTCTGGGCCCTCGTCGTCTTTGGCCTCTTTCTCGTCCTCGCCCTCTTTTTCTGCGAGACGAGACCTGCCGTCTCCAGTCGCGACGCCGAGCCAGACTCGGAGCTGGGCAACAAGGAGGGAGCGGCAACGAGGGAAAAGGTACGGTTTGGACAGGCCGTCAGGATCAGCCTGTCCAGGTCCGCCTGGTGGCTCGTGTCGGAGCCCATCGTCTCGTGCTTTGCCCTCTGGGTCGGGTGAGTGAGCGAGCAGAGACACTTGGCGCGATCTCGGGCTGACGGTCGTGGAGAGAATGAATAGATTTCTGTGGGGTTGCATATTCCTCATCATCGAGTCGGTCCCTACCGTCTTTGAGGCATATGGCTGGAGCGAAGTACAGGTATGCATGGTTTGGCACTCTTTGACCCTGGTCCATTGCTCATCGATCTGTCTGCCAGAAATCGTCGGTCCTCCTCGCCATCTCCGTCGGAGGTGTTTTTGGCTGTGAGTCGTTTCAATCAGCCCAGCTTCATCGAAGAAAAGTGCGCTGACGCCTAGCATCGTCCAGGGCTCATCAATCTGCATCAAGACAAGATCTATTCAAAGGCAGCCAAGAGGGCGGCGCCAGACGAACCTGGGCCCGAAGCCAGACTGTACTGTGAGTTTCTCCTACCTCTCTCTCTCTCTCTCTAGAACACTCACTGACACGGTGGCCGCAAGGGGCATGCGTGGCGGCCGTTGTCGCGCCCATGGGCTTCTTCATCTATGCATGGACTGGGCGGGCGTCGATCACGCCAGTGGTGAGTACCAATTTGCGGACTGTTCAGCCCTCAGATGGCTCAAGAGGGATAATTTCGTGCTTCCAGGCGCCCATCGTCGGCCTGACAATGTTCTCGACGGCGACTTTCATCCTCTATGTCGCGAGCTGGAGCTACCTCGCCGACGCCTACTCGATCTACGCTGCCTCGGCGCTCGCAGCTCAGTCCTGGCTGTGAGTTAATAGTCCTATGCCTTGTTGCCACTCGGCGCTGAGCGAGGTAATCAAATTACCAACAGGCGCAACTTTCTCGCGGGCATCTTCACCCTCGTCGCTCCACGTAAGTGTCCTTGATCTATTCTTCGGCATGGTCTTGCAAAGTGACTTCAGGCTGAACAGCAAGGAGGCGTGGTGAACAGGCATGTACGAGGACCTGTCGCCACCCATTGCAAGCACGATGCTGGCATGCATCGCGCTCGGGCTCGCCGTCTGCCCCTTTGTCTTTTTCTTCTATGGCCCGCGCATCAGGGCGAGGAGCAAGGTCGCAAGCAGCGTGGCCACTGCGCACGGGTCGTGAATGCTGCGATGCCCGAAATAGAGACGGTCAAACCATCTCTTCTTCTGTCTCGGGTCTAGCGCCTGTGCATTCAGTCGTCACAGCTAGTGCTTCGGTAATGACATTGCTTCGCATCAACGCGAAAGAGGATATTTAGGACAAATATGTTGGCTTACACGGTTGGGGGAGCAATCTGAACGACACGATCGCCCTCGATGGACGAGAAGGCAGGTGGGCCGGCGCCCGATTGAATGTGGGAATGAAGGTCAGGCGAATAGAGGCTGACGCCGCTGGAGGAAAGGCGCTTCGAAGACTGCCGACAGCAAAATGGGAGGGGAAACAAGGTTTTCTGCCTCTTTTCGACGAGTGTCGCCTTGAGATACAGCTTTTCGACCTGCTGCACCCTCGCCACGCTCTTCATTATCGGCCGGAGTGCGCCTTGGTTCGAGAGCGTAGGTCCGTCGATCGTAAAGGTGGTAGGGCAGCTGTTGTGCTGAGTTTCGCTTGCTGACGAGAGTGGACCCGGGCATTCAATTTGTAGTGACCGTTCAGCCTTCTGTGACTGCCTGGCATTCTGCGCGGGGGGCCACCAGACTGTGGCAATCCTCTTCTTGTCGACGCTGACCGCCCAGAAGGGGTCGGACAGGATGTCGCGCCTGCACTGCCAGGTCTCGCGCACCCGCGTCAGAGACAGTTCGACCTGAAGCTGCTCCTGTGGCTCTTGAGGGCCACTTGTACCATCTTGTCGCTCATCCTGTACCTCTATCGTGCCTGTCAAGAGACTCGTCAGGGCTCTCGACATCTTACTTCAGAGCATGGGCAGTCTGACCCACCTCTCAGGCAGCTTACGGAGCTGATGACAGGCGGCCCTTCAAGCTTGATGGTGACTTTGGCCATGCTGTAGGCTGCTTCAGACCATCACAGACATGCTCCTCTGTACCATATTTATATATACCAAAGCCCCGGTACTGGCGAAGCCTCTCGCAGAAGCTTCCCCGTCATCCGACGTGAGCCGTGGTCGGAGCCAGGCTGGTCGTGCGTGCACAAGACGCGTGCCACGTGGCCCCTGCTCCGACATTTTCGAGGGCAAAAGTCGGCGTTGACCCTGCAAAAAGCGGCGCTACACTGCTGTTGCTCTTCTATTTCTCTAAATCTGATTTTCCTTTCATGGCTCGCCGCCGAAGGTGACTGTGAGGCTCCGGTCTCGTAATCGCTCTGCCTACGAATGGCTCCACGCATGAGGTCCGTCTGCCGAGAACCGTCTGACGACGTCCGAGGTCCACCAGTCGCAATCTCATTCTTGCTTCCTTGCCGTAGAAGACCTGAGACTCGAGCGGCGGGTAGTGATTGATACACCTACCCGACGGCTGCAGAGAGGACGACTCGAAGCGATGCGCAGGAATGGAAAGCGGACTGAACGCGCGCCTGGTCTGCTGTTGTACCTGTTTCTATCTGCATCTTCGGCGAGCTTCGTGTGTAGAGAGCACAGTTGTCTCACGCGACTCTAGATCCCGCCCTCTCCTCGCGCTCTGTTTCAGCTCCTCCTGGACTTGATAATGCGCAGAGGCTGTAGACCGCCTACGAATGTACAGTGTGGCTTCCACTTCACCCCTGCTTGTAATCAAGGGCTAGAGCAACAGGACTCGTCGATGCACAGAGCAAGCATGCAGCCAGGGGACCGTCCGCACCTCCCGCTCAGTAGTATGGCCACTCGTTTGCAGACAGAGAATCTCGTTATGCACGCATGAGCGAGTGGGGTGAGGATGACTCAGCTTACCAATGAAGCCATTCACTCTCTCTGCGGTAGTAAGTGTCGCTTTGTTTATCGATCTCCTTACTTTCCCACGACGCAAAGGAGGAGCAAGGACGGGATGTGCCCAAGTCGAGGCCTGCTTTCGGCCATCTCTCGGTCCCTGTCAAAAGGCTAGCTTCTCCCCCTGCTGTCGAGACCCGAGGTCGGAAGAATTTTTTGAGATATCTCGCTCACCAAAGACTACAATGCGGCTTGTGTAGTGAAGTCTGAGGCGCATAAAAGTCTCTCCGGAGAGAAGTAGGACCTGTCAAAAGAGGAGAGAGATCATATTAAAAAAAAACTTCCTTATCTCTAGCTGCCACGGCGAGTCTGGCTTGGTCTTGGCGGAAGAGTCAGTCCTAAAAGCGCGGCGAAAGAAGAGAAAATAAAAAATCGGCCGCGTTTTAATTTTTCTTTCCTAAGCTGACGGCGGGTTGCGGTGTGGCTTTTTCACTCTCCGCATCGCGAAGAAACGGAGCGAGCGCTCGATAATTTTACGGACGGCGGGCGCAGACGATTGGACGAGGGATGCCGCATCCCCTCTAGTGAGAGTCGAGACAAGAGAGATAAGAAATGGCATCGTTATAAAAGGCGGGGTGCAGCGACCATGTAGCCAGGCATCTTCACACGGTCTCTTCCTCCTTTCCTTCCTCTTCCTCTCTTGCACAGAGCACCATGTCGGCGATCAAGTCAAACGTCGTCGTCGAGGACCATGTCGTGCCCATCGACAAGGAGGCCGAGCGCAAGCTACTGCGCAAGATTGACCGCAACATTCTGCCCTGGATCTGCGTCGCCTACCTCCTCAACTACATTGACCGCAGCAACGTGAGTCACTGGCAAAGCAGGGGGAAAGGAGAGAGAGAGAAGACGGAAGCTGACTGGGGTCCTACAGCTCGGCAATGCCAAGACGCTCAACTCGGACATCAAGGGCGCGAGCCTGTCGGCCACCGTCGACCTCTCGGGCATCAAGTACTCGGTCGTGGTGGCCGCCTTCTTTGTGCCCTACGTCATCATGGAGTTCCCTTCCAACTTTCTCCTCAAGTACTTTTCGCCGTCCAAGCACATGGCACGCATCATGGCTGGGTGGGGCATCGTCACGGCCTGCCAGGCGGCGGTGACCTCGTACGGCGGCTTGGTTGCCTGCCGCATCTTCTTGGGTATTGCAGAGGCCGGGTGAGTACTCGGTGCTGCCTCGTCGTCATCGTCGTTGTCGCTGTGTTCGGTACTGACTCTCGTCTGCCTTGCTCGGTCCAGATTCTACCCGGGCGCCATCTACTACCTCACCTTCTTCTACAAGCCCGAGGAGCGCGCGCAGCGAATGGCCATCTTTGCCGGGAGCGTTGCCGTGGCAGGGGCCTTCAGCGGCCTCTTGGCGACGGCCATCTCGTTCCTCAACGGCAAGGGCGGCCTCTTTGGCTGGCAGTGGCTCTTCATCCTCGAGGCCATCCCGGCGCTCCTCATGGCTGTCTGCATCTACTTCTGGATGCCCGACTACCCCGAGACGGCCAAGTTCCTGACCGAGGAGGAGCGCGCACTGGCCGTGTCGAGGCTGAGCCGCCACGCGCCGTCTGCGAGCGAAAAGACCGTCGACTGGCCCCAGCTCCGCCAGACGGTGTTCAACGTCGACTTTTGGCTCTTCAGCCTGGCCTACTTCTTCATGACCAACAGCCTCAACGCGACGGGCTTCTTCCTGCCCACGCTCGTCTCCTCGCTCGGCTTCAAGGGCTGGCGCGGACAGGCGATGACGGTGCCGCCCAACGTCTTTGCCTGCATCGTCATTGTCGCCAACTCGATCTGGAGCGACAAGCGGCGGGAGCGCATCACCCACGCCCTCGGCGGCCTCGTCCTCATCGGCCTCGGCTACATTCTCCTGGCTGCGACGAGTCAGGTGGCCCCGCGCATGGTTGGTGTCTTCCTCATCGCCTGCACAAACGCAGCAGTGATTCCCTTTCTCGCGTTCCGGCTGTCGACGGTGTCCGGCAGCACGGCGACGGCCATTGCTTCAGGCGGCACGATTGCATTTGCCAACCTGGGCGGCATCACGGCGCCCTTTATCTTTGCGGGCCACGACTCACCGAGGTACATTATTGGAAACTACACCGTGTTTGGCATGCAGATTGCCGCCGGCCTCGTCATTCTCCTCCTCTGGTACCGTCTCGGCTCCTCGGCGCTGTACACCGTCGACCAGAAGCAGGCCCAGGCGGCCGACGAGGAGAGCCAGGCGAGCGAGCACATGCACGGTGCCGTCGCTGCCCTCCCAGCCAGCAAGGAGTCAAGCGAAGAGCGAGAGGAGAGCACGGCCGAAAAGGCCGAAAAGGCAGCAGACAAGTGACGGCGTACCTGTCGCACTGAGCCACAATTGTATATAGATGCATAGATTGAGCAACGACACTGATGAGCAACGAGCGAGAGAGAGAGGAGTGCAGATGCATTGGGGCGAGACTACTCCTCATCACGCCATTCGCTGCTGGGGTGGGCAAGGCGAAGACTCAGCTCTGAAGTGGCAGGTCGTAAGCCGGACCCTCACAAACGAAAACGAGGGCTACTTCCTAGGCTCAATCTGAGGGCTGCACTGAGGGGTGCACTGAGAGCTGCACTGAGGGCTGAAACGAGGGCTGAACGAGGCCCTGTAAGGCGTAGCCAGAGTGGGAGTAGTGGGCACGCGTCTCTTCGGCGACGGCTCGGTCGCCTAGGCGGCCGAGTCAGCGCGACGGCACAGACCGACTCGGGAAACACGGACGAGACAAGACAAAATCTCATTTCAAGACCAAACAAGAAAAGACAAAGCTTTCGCTGTCACCTCCTAAGACGGTGCCAGCAGTCACGCGGTCGTTGTGTCACAAGAGAATTTGGATAGAGACCATGTTCATGGCGAGGCAGCCGATGTCAGCGAGAGGGAAGCGGGGCTTGTGCAGTCCCTGCAAAGCCGAATCTGAACAACAATGCTTAGCAGAAAGGGAGCCGGATGGCCATGTTCGGGGCGCTCTGCTGTTTGACCCGCGCGCTCATGTGCCGCGAGCGGCTGCCAAGGATGCGATGAGTGAGAGGCATTGACTCGGATGCCGATGCTCTTGGAGCGAGCTCCGTCCGAGGTCGAACTGATCGCAATTCTCAATGAGCCTTCCTTCCTGTACTGAACTGCCCGCCGGCCGAAGCCTGGATATGTTCTGGAACCCGGTATGGGCGGAGAAGAGAGAACTTGCCCGGCCTATGGCTTAAGAAAGGTTCAAAAGCAGGCTTTCTCAGACTGATCAAGCCCCCTTTCACCTCACAACGCAGTCACCTTTGTCTGCTCTCTTGAAATCGGCTGGTCCGCTTCATAGAACAAGATACAACAAAACAAAAACAGACCAAAAGAAAGGTAGACTTGGCAACATATCTCTGCTTTCAAGTGCGACCGACTCTTGTTTCACCATGAGGACTCTCAGCGCCTCACTATACATCTCCCTCTTCGCTCTCGGTTGGTATGCCTGTCTAGCCCTCCCCGTGAGCGCAACGAAAGTATCCCGCACCCTTTCCCAGACGGAGTCTCTATCTTCTGCCTACTGGATGAAGCGAGGCACTGGCACCTGGGACAGCCATTTCCATGATCGACACAAAGAAAAGGCTTTGACGAACGTCCAACAAAAGTGGGTGGCCAAGTCGAACAACTTTACGTCAGTTTCCCGCTCGTCGGAGAAGCCCAGACCCAGCGACAAAATTCGCGGGGCAATTGCCATCAACGAACACTGGATGCCAGAACGTCAACCGACTCAAACCTTCAGCGGCTCGGCCGACGGTGTGGCCGAATTTATGTTCAAGTTCCGCAACTACCCCTCCAAGGGAGAGTCCAGGGGACGAGACTGGGAAAAAATCCTCGTCGACGAGCAGACTGACGAGCCACCGTCCAAGCGGGCAGCGGACGAAGATCCAGACAAGATAATCAGGGAGGCCAACGAATTGATCAATACAGTGGATGCCTTTAAAGTCGCTAAGGCTGTACGCGACAAACTCGGTGATGTTGTGCTGAGCAACAACCTGATAAGGCTCATTAGTGAGGCCCAGCAAGGTATGGGAGCGTTGCAGATTCTCGAAGAGGCTAGGACCAAAGCCGCAAACGACGAGCGCTCAACTCGCAACTTCGAAAGTATAGAGGGCCCTACATCGTCATTCGTTGATGAAGGAGACAGCTCGACTCCATTACTGTCGACGGGCAACAAGGATAAAAAGAGGAAGAAGAAGCAGCAGGGTGGCAAGGGCAAAGGCAAGAAGTATGGATCACATAGCTGAGGGACCCTCAGAGCCACAGATCGGAAAGCAAAGAAGCATCTCGTCAGGGGAGTACCGTGCGTGACATATTTTCCTGGCGCTATCAAAAGTCTGTATCATGTGGTTTGACGTCATGTGAGGGAATACAGTCTTTCAAAAATGCCCCTGCGTGTCTGCCGTTCCAAGAATGAGCGGAGTCACTTCGGTCGCGTATGGAGATCTCTGCCGGCCACAAGCTGAGAGGACAGCAAGTTCTCAGCAGAAGTAAAGAAACGGGCTGAATTCTGGGCTGAATCTATGGGCTGCGGCCTAATTGTGAAACTGGCAAGAGTGAGAGTGGGTATGCGTCCCGTCGGCAAGGGCTCGGTCAATCGGGCGTCCGGGCCAGTAATGTGAGGAAACTTGCACCCGAGCGGACAACGGATATCAAGATATATTATGCGACGAAGGGAAGAGAGCGACGCCTGCTTTATTCTGAAACTTCTCTTGGGAACCTGCTTGAGAGCGCACCTGTGAGCCTTTTCAAAAGCGCGCTGAATCAGCCGAAAAAAAACAATTGACAAAGGCAACAGAGAGAGAGGCAATGCCTCTTACCCTGATGGTCTTGAAGCGAGTCTCGTCCGAGGTTAAACCGAATACGATTCTCACTGACCCCTCATGCTTATGCGAAAAGGGCCTCAGGCCGAAGCCTGGGTTTATTTTGGCACGAGGGTTAAGGGATTGAAGAAAGAGAGAATCGCTCGACGGCTGGCCCAAGAAAGGTATAAGAACAGGCTGAAAAAGCCTGCTCGAACCCCTTCTACTCACAAAACACCCGTTCTCGTCTGCTTTCTCTTGACACCGGCTGGCCCGCTTCAACAAACAAAATACAACAACCCTCAAGAAAGAAAAGGAGCAAACTCGACAACGCATCCCAGCTATCAACTGCCACCGACTCCTGCTTCACCATGAGGCTTCTCAGCGCCTCACTATACACCTCCCTCTTCGCCCTCTGTTTGCTTGTTTGCGTATCACTCTCGGTGAACGCAATGAAGATTCCCAACAGCCCTTCCTGGAGGGAGTCCGTTTCTTCTGTTTCCGGGACGAAGCAAGACATCGGAACCTGGGAAAGCAAACTCGATAATCGAAACGAAGACAAGGCTTGGACGAATGCCCAACAAAAGTGGGTGCCGAAGTCTACCACCTCTTCTTCTGTCTCTTCCTTGCTCGACAAGCCCAAAGCCTGGGACGGGATTTTCAGGGAGATCGTTACCAACAAACGCCGGGTGCCAGAAACTCCTCTGACTCAACCCCACAGCGGCTCGGCCGATGGTGTAGTCAAATCGAGGTTCGGGTTCCGCAACTACCCCGCCAAGGGAGAGTCCAGGGGACGAGACTGTGAAAAGAGCCTTGTCGACGAGCAGACTGACGACCCACCGTCCAAGCGATCAGGCGAAAGCAAAGAAGATTTAGAAGAGCAAATGAGAAAGGCCATGGAAGTATTGGATCCCATGAAGCTTGCTAGGTTGGCTCGAGGCAAGAACAATGACATTGAGGAGAGCAACGCAACGTTTAGGCTCAGTGCTGAGGCACAGCAAATACTGGAAGTATTGCAAATTGGGGAACATGCGAGAGCTGAAACCGCAGACAAAGAGCGCGCAGATCGCAACTTTTTAAGTTTAGAGGGCCCTACAACGTCAATCGATGAAGAAGAAGGTAGCTCGACCTCGTCCGTGTCGACGGGCAGGAAGAGCAAAAAGCAGAATAAGAAGAAGCAGCAGGGTGGCAGAGGCAAAGACAAAAAGCATTGAACGCATACCTGAGGACCCTCAGAGTCGCACATCGGTGAGCCGAAGGAGCAGCCGGCCAAGAGCTTAATATGTGTGATATAGATTTCCTGGTGCTATCGAAACGTCTGTGTATTGTGGTTTGATGTCGCGCGAGAGAATCATATCATCTCAATGCTATCTCTGCGTGTCTGCCATTTCCGAGACTGAGCAGAGTCGCTTCGGTCGCGTACGCAAACCTCTGCCGGCCACAAGCTGAGAAGACAGCAAGTCCTCAGAATAAGAAAAGAAACAGGCTGAATCCAGGGCTGAATCTATGGGCTGAATCTATGGGCTGCGGCCTAACTGTGAAACTGACCAGAGTGAGAGTGGGTACGCGTCTCTTCGGCAAGGGCTCGGTCAACCAGGCGTCCGGGTCAGGATGGTGAGAAAATTGGCACCCGAGCGGACAGCGGATATCAAGATGTACTCTGCAACGAAGAGAAGAGGGCACGGAGTACAAGAAAGGAAGCTGACCAGGCAGTGCAGGCGTCGCTCTGCGACGCCCGCTTGTCTTCCGAATTTTTCCGAAGAACAGGCCTGAGAGGGCGCCTGGGAGCCTCTTTGAAGGCGCGTTGGAGCCTGCTGCGCTGCGCAGCTCTCGATTGCGTGCTTCGGACGTTCGGCAAGGCGAGTTGACCCGAAAAGTAGGGACTGGTAAACAAGGCGAGCGAGAATAGACAGAGCCGCGCGAGGAGAAGGAGTACACAGTGTACTGGGGCGTCCAGGACGCCCCGGACCCTGACAGTATGATGCCACGAGCCGACTCGGAAGACGCGGTCAGGACAAGAAAAACGTGCATACCCGTGGAGGCTGGCTGGGAACACCTTTTCATGATCATTTATAATATCGAACCCAAAGACGGTGCCAGAAGTGACGAGGCGGGTGTGCACATGACAAGCAGGAGCAGGCACCACGATCGAGGCGAGGCAGCGGACGTCAGCGAGGCAGAAGCGGTGCCTGATAGGCTGAATTTGGGAAACCAATGCTAACCAGAAAGGGGGCTGGAGGGCCATCTTCGGGGCACTCCTTTGTGCGCCAGATTCAACAACACACGAAAAAACACAAACTTGTGTTGACAGGGACAATGGAGTGAGAAATGGAGTGAGAGCAGTGTTTCTTACCCGGGTGCTCTTGAGCCGAGCTTCGTCCGAGGCTGGACCGTTCGCAAATTTGTCAGACTTCTCCTGCCTGTGTCGAAGTGCCCTCAGGCCGAAGTGTGTGTGTGTTTGGAGCAGGGGTTCGTGATTGGGGCGAAGATAAAGGTGCTCGACGACCGGCTGCCCATATAAGTGGTACATGAGCAGGTTTTCCAGCCTGGTCAAGCCCCCCTTTCCCTCACGACGCAGCCACGTTTGTCTTCCCTCTCTTGAAACACGGCTGGCCCGCTTCAAGAAAGACGAAACAAGAAAAACAAAAGCAAAACCGAAAGAAAAGCAAACTCGACATCATAACCCAGCTGTCAATCACAGCCATTTTCTGATTCACCATGAGACTTCGCGGCGCCTCGCTCTGCACGTCCCTCTTCGCCCTCGCTTGGCTTGCCTGTCTGATCTGCCCCGTGAATTCAATGAAGGTGACCGACGCACCTTCCTGGAGTGACAGCAAGCTCGATGATCAAAACAAAGACAACACTTGGACGAATGTGCAAGAAATTGGGGCGCCAAAATCTGACCCCTCTACGCCTGTCTCTTCCTTGGCGTTCCACGACAGGCCCAGATCTCGCGCCGGATTTCGCAGGGCACTTGTTGCCAACAAACGCGGGGTGTCAGGACATCAACTAAGTCCACCCTTCAGCGGCTCGGCCGAGGGAGTGGCCAAATCGACGTCAGATTTCCGCAACTATCCAGCCGAGAATGAGTTCATGGGGCGAGACTGGGAAAAGCGCCTTGTCGATGAGCAGACTGAGGAGCCACCGTCCAAGCGATCAGGCGAAAAAAGTGTAGACGAGGAGTTCAAAGAGAAAGCAGCAGGTTTTGATGTCCTTGGCCCTGCTCTCGCGGTACGCAATGCTACCGGTGACAAGTCTAAGAGCAACGAGGTGATAAGGAAGAATTATCTTTTAGGCCAACTGCTGAAAGAGGAAGTGACAAAGATTAATGCGGAAGAGAAAGCCGCAAACGAAGAGCGCAAGACTCGCAGCACCGCAAGTTTGGAGGGTCCTACAACTTCATCTGACGCAGAAGGCAGCTCGACCTCATCGGTGACGAGGGGCAGCAGGGACAGAAGGAAGAAGAAGCAGGGCAGCAAGGGCAAAGACAAATTTAAATGATCGAGTACCCGAGAGCGCTCAGAGCCACGAATCGGTGTCCTTCAGGGGCATAGTATGAGTGATACAAGGGTCTTTGCGCTATCAAACATCTGTGTATTGAGGCCCGGTGTGGTGTGAGAGAAATCAGTCATCTCAAAGTTGCCTCTGCGTGCGTGTCATTTCAAGACTGAACGAAGACGCTTCGTTCGCCTCTGGAAGCCTCTTTCAGAGTAAGCTGAGAGGGAGGAAAAAAAAACACAGGGCTGATTACTGGGCTGAATATGTCGGCTGAAAATTACAGCTGAATCTGTAGACTGGTGGCCTAGCTGTGAGACTTAGCCAGAATGAGAGTGGGGCATGCGTCTCTTCGGCCCAGGCTCGGTCAGGACGTTTAGGCGGCCGAGTCAATGTGTTGCCACTGGCCGAGTCGGAAGACGCGGACGAGACAGGGTTCTCGCATGGACCCGATAAGGGTAGCCGAGACCACCGATCCAAGGGCTTTATTTGGGGACGTTTGCTGTCTGATTCATCACAAGAGCCTACGGGTCGATGGACTTGGTACGTACGAGAAATTGGAGCGCAAGGGCAGCATCTTGGGCGAACCAACAAGACAAAAGTGGGGCTTGTGCGGTGCCTGTAAGGCCGAAGAAAAAAAAACAAGACAGCGAATTGAGAGACGGAGGGTCACGCTCGGGGCGCTCTCCGATTTGGCCCTCGCACTCATGCGCCGCCACTGGCTGACACGACTGCTATGAACTAAGGAAGAGAAGGTGTCGGACGCGAGCTGCCTGACGATGCTACCAGAAGTCTATCAAGCGACAGCAATCACAGCCACTGGTAAAGAGGCGCAGGAGAGAAGGATGTGGAGGCAATAGAAGTAGAGGGCCAAGCACTGTTTGCTAAAGAGGGAGGAACCTGCGAGGACAACAACGACAACTCAGTGAAGAAAACAATGACAAGCGAGTGGAAGGCAGTGATTCTCACTCGGATGCTTATGAAGCGAGCTCCTTCCGAGCTTGCACCGTTCGCAATTCTCTCTCGCCCCTCTTGCCTGAGCAGCAAAAGTGCCTCCCAGGCAAAGTGTGTTTACGTTTTGCAGTGGGGTGCAGGGGTGGAGGGTAAGGGGGAATATCGCTCGCTGGGGGGCCAATGAAAGGTATAAGAGTAGGCCCACCCCGGCTGCTTGACTCCCCCCTCCTCACAACGAACTCACACTTTTCATTCTCTTCTCTCTCTCCACACCGGCTGGCCCGTTCGGAGGAGAATCAAGGATCAAAGAAAGACCCAACAACATACTCAGCAACCAAGCCAACTGCAACCAAACCGCCTGATCCACCATGAGGCTGCTCGGCGCTCCGCCCCACATCTCCCTCTTCGCCCTCGGCTGGCTTGCCTGTCTAGTTCTGGTGCCCGTGAACGCCATGAATCCCAATGATCCCGAGCTCCCTTCGGAAGAAGACTTCGAGAACGCTTACCAGCATTCGCCAAAGGGTCCGATGAGGTCCGACGTCCCTCCATGGAGGAGCGCGAAGTCCTCGGCCCCATCTAGTGAGCAAGGCATGTCGAGGTCCGACGCCCCTACCTGGACGAGCAACAAGTCCTCGACCTTATCCACGAAGCAGGTCATGTCAAGGTCCGACACCCCTTCCTGGACGAGCAATAAGTCCTCGGCCACATCCACGAAGCAGACTAGTTCGAGGTCCGACGCCTCTACTTGGAAGAAGCCCGAGTCCTCGGACCCATCCACGGAGCAGGCTATGTCGAGGTCTAACGCTCCTACATGGAAGAAGCTCGAGTTCGCGACCCCATCCTTCCAGCACAGCATGTCAAGGTCCGACGCCCCTTCCTGGACGAGCAACAAGTCCTCGGCCCCATCCACGAATCAAGTTATGTCGAGGTCTGACGCTCCTACCTGGACGAGCAATAAGTCCCCGGCCCCATCCACGAGGCAGGCCATGTCGAGATCCGATGCCACTACAAGGAAGAGGCTCGAGTCCTCGGACCCATTCACGGAGCAACACGACACGTCGAGGCCCGACGTTGCTCCTTGGAAGAGGGCCGAGCGCGCTGACCATTGGGAGGAGCAGCTAAACAGTGGCTCCTCGGACAACAATCCCGATGACGAAAAGCGAGCCAGGAGGAAGCCGAATGTTCGACAGCGACAAGAGTGGAAGCCGACTGTTCGACAGCGACAAGAGTGGAGGCCGAAGTCCACCTCTTCCCAGTCCACCTCTCACTCTGACGACCAACCCGATCCCAGGCACGCAGCTGCCCATGACCCTGTTCCCGACGACCGCGTGGGCGACCCAGCTCCGCAGACGCACACACGCAGCCCTCTGACCGACGGTGCGTCCGAATCGACGTCGAGCTCTCGCAAGGGTTCCATGGCCAAGACCAGCGCAACAGGCTGGTTTAGAAACGGAAACTACATATTCGCCAAAGACTTCAAACACACTGGGGCACAGTCTAGTACTGTAACAACGCAAAGGCCTCGTCAAGGCTCGACAACACGCGACAAGTCAAGGAGCCCGGACTGGTGGCGCCACAAGGACGAAGAATTCGATCCGTCGGCCGGTGGTCTAGAGAACCGCTTAAAGTTAGAGAAGAGGGAGCTGGAACATCTAGATGGGATCGTCACGGCGGAACCGGACATCAGCGGCAAGCCACCCTACGACGCCGCTGCTGAGCCAGAGAAGGGCCTTTTCAACAAGCGTTCGGGTAGGGCGCATAAACATCATAGTCTGAGAATCGGCCAACAAATAGACCAGCATCTTTCGACAGCCCAGGAGGACGAAGATCTGACCGAACATCAAAAGAAACTTATCGAAGATGTCAAAAACCTTTCCACAGCGATGCAGGATCCTGGGAACTTCAATGCTGCAAAACAATATGAGCTCTACGAAGAAAAAGTAAGGTTAGCATTACTTATGAAGGAAGAGCGAGATCGCCAAGGGGGTGCAACAAGTGAAAATGCGCAGAAAAAGCTGAAGGAACCGACAGGGAGGGAGAAGAGGAAAGAGAAAAGCCAGCAAAGGGAGCAGGAAGCGAAAGCGGAAGCGGCTTCTTCGACAGCGACGAGCTCTGGTGGCCCAGACGGCGGGGCAGAGAAGAGTAAGAGCCAGAAGAGGAAAGAAAAGAAAGCGCAGAAGGAGGAGGCAGCGAAAGCGGCGGCGGCGGCGGCGGCGGCGGCGGCGGCTTCGACAGCCACGGACACCGGCGGCCCGGACAGCGAGGCAGAGGATAACCCACTGACCAAACGGGGCGATGTGCGCGGAGCAGACGGCAAGCGGATTCGCGTCTCTGAGAAAGGCATTTCGCCCAAAGGCCAGGATCGGACAGAAGGAAAAGCTGGCTCGAGCAAGGTAAGGACAACGCCAGCAACATCTGGAGAGGGCAGTGATGAGACGACGCGCGGAAAAGTGGGTACAGACACGCATGAGAATAGCAAGGAGGCTGAGTACGACTCGGATGCAACGTCGCCTAGAAACCCAGGGAAAGAGTCAGAGGCAGGTTCCTCGTCGATGCAAGCGGCCGTCGGTATGATATCGAGAGCAAGTGGGCACCTCAAGTTCCCGGCGGGCTGGAGGCCTGAGCGCAAATCACCTCCGCCTGATGCGCCCGATGAGTCAACAAAAGCTCCACTGGTCAAGCGCGCGAGCAAAGGGAAGGGGACGGCTAGTGGAAGTGCTTCTGAAAGTAATTCAAAGCTGAAGGAGCAAGAACTGTTGCGAAAAGAGCTCGCGGTGCGTAGGAATGTCGTCCAGCACAGGGCAGGAAAAGTAATGGAGGAATTAAAAAATATTATCCACCCGGGTTTTGGCATACTTTCGAGCGAGTTGGCCGATAAAATCGAGTCAGCCGAAGCGAGGAGAATCGAGGACGAGGTGGCCGAGCTCTCTGCGCCTCTATTGAACCAAGCGAGAATCGGACTCGACACTGCCGCGCAACGCCTTAGAAGGGAAGAGCAATTAAACGCAAGCCAGCTTGGGCCGCCGGAACAAGCGGGAGCGGAAGCAGACCAGAAGAGCTCGGCAGAAGGAGAGGAAGACGATGGCGAACAGCCGGCATCGAGCACGGCCTCGCGCTCGAGCTCGTCGAAGAAGAGGAGCAAAGGCAAGAAGAAAAAGTCCAAGAGAGGGTCTAGGGGGGGAAATCGGAGGCGGAGCCTTACCGACACCCCACATGCGCAATTGCTGCGGAAACGCGCAGAGACAACGAGAATCAACGGCCCGCGTGACGAGACGGAGAAGGAATTACTGACCAGGTATTCCGTCTTGGAAGAATCGCAAGGAATGCAGCGTCGAGGTTCCGAAGACGACACCCCTGCAGACATAACCCCGAAAGGAATCCTGAAGCACTCAGGAGGCAGAGCTGACTCTAGTACAAAAAGGAAAGAGGTAAGGTTCGCACCAGGCACTAAAGAGACGTCTCATCCGACAACGGCTACAGCCAAGCAAGAGGGTGCCCACGAGGTCGAATCCATATACGACGCCCTATCCCTCGAGGATCTGGGAGAAGAGTCGGAGACAGACACTTCGTCAGAGGAGATGGCTCATGGCCAGCCCGAGAGAGCAGGGAGAAAGTTCAGCTCTCCGCTGAGCGGGGAGACAGAAGCGGAACAGAACAGCTCGACGGAAGGAGAGGAAGATGACGGCAAAGAAGCGGGGTCGAGCACGGTGTCGCGCTCGAGTTCGAGCTGGTCGAATGCAAAGAACAAGAGCAAGAAGAAGAGGAGCAAGCGAAAGCCCAGGGGGGGAGATTGGAAGCGGAGCCTCACCGATGAGTCACTTGCGGAATTGCTGCAGGACCGCCCAGACGGGATGAGAAGCGGCGAACCGCATGGCGAGACGGGAGAGATCCTATTGAGCAAACGGTTTGTCTTGGACGAGTCGCAAGGGTTGTTGCGTCGGAGTTCCAAAGACGACACTCCGGCATCCACACCGGCAGTCATACCGCCGAGAAGGGGAGACCTGAAGCGCGCAGAGACCCAAGCTGGCTCGAGTTCAAAGAAGGAAAGCCGCGTTCGATTTACAGAGGACACAGTTGAAAAGACTCGTGGCACCGCGACTCGAGCCATGCAAAGGAGTGCCAACGAGGCCGAGTCCATAGCTGATGCCACCGCGCTTGACGAACAGGGAAACCAGTCGGAGACAGGCACCTTGGCAAAGGAGGAGAAGCGTCTGCGGGGCCAGACCAAAAGAGCAAGGCGAAAAGTCAAATCTCCGGTGGGCGCGGAGCCGGAAACGGAACAGAAGAGCTCGACGGAGTCAGAGAAAGATGATGACGAGAAGCCGACATCGAGCTCGGGGCCGCGCACGCGCTCGTGGAGCAAAGCGAACCAGGGGAAAAGGAAAGGGTCCAACGAAAGGTCTACGGGACAGAAAAGCAAGAGGAGCCTCGCCGACGAGCAAAGCGAGGAAATGCTGGTCGAGCGATCAAACTCAAACATCGATGAAGATCTAAGGAAGACAGTCCGAACTTTCACCCAACTTAAAGAAGTTATGGATGAAATCGTAGAGAAGAGTCTGATGAAACGAGAAAGAGTGGAAAGAATCAACAACCTCCTCGCTGAGATGCACACGGCCCTGGAAAGTTTGATCATCGTTGAAGTGGAAAAAACCGCAGCAGCAAACAAAGATCGTGCAGCGCGCAGCAAAGAGATTGCAGCGGGTCCGACGTCTTCTTTCGATGAGAAAGCAAGCAGATCGGTCTCTACTCTAGCACCCTCGAGGGGCCGGAAAAAGAACATGAGGTCGAAAGCAAAGTCCAGGGGACCGAAAAGGGTAGGGAGCCTCGCCGACGAGCAAAAAGAGGAGCCTTTGCTCAAGCGACCAGACCATGAAGACGACGAGAAGTTCAAGAAGCTCGTTATCGATATCGGCACCTTGCAAGAGCCTCTGAAAAAGGATGGACCGTCCCTCATGGAGGAATCTGGCCCGGAAATGATCGAGGAAACCCAGAAGCTTCTCGGAAGTTTGCAAACGGAGGTTAAGGGATTAATGGCCGAGGAATCTGCGAAAGGCGCAGCAGCAAACAAGGACCGTGCGATACGTAATACTGCAGTTCAAGAAGGTCCGTCGCCGTCATTCGATGACTATGTGGGCAGCTCGACCTCTACTTTGAAACCGTCGAGGGGCAGGAGGGGCGGGAAGAAGAGCAAAGATAAGAAGAGGCCCAAGGGAAGGTCCACGGGTCAGAAAAGCAAGAGGACCCTCGCCGACGAGCCGAAGGAAAAATTGCTACTGAAACGCGCAGGCGGCCAGAATGCAGACTCAAAGGGAAAGTCGAAGCCGACGAGGGCGCGAATTGCAAGGGAAGAAACGAGCGAGACCGCAGATCAAGAACCAGCTCAGGAAACTAATCTGGACGGTGCCTTCATCGCGGCTGCTCAAGTCTTTCTCAAAAGAATTGATGCAATCCCGGGAACCAGTCTTAGTCAACTAAACAAAGGCCGGGATCTTCTGAAAGAGTACGAATTGCACAAGGGGAGAGATGTCCTTCGAGAACTGAAAACGCTTCTCCGAGGCCTCGAGAACGGAACAGCAAAGATTTCGAAATTTGGACTGGCCAACGAGAAAGAGTTTTTTACAGCTGCAGACTTCGATGCGACAGCAGAGACTATCGCGTTAGAACGTGTTCTGAAGCCACTATGGGCAAGAGAGAACGAACAAAAAGATGAAGAGGAGGAAGTGGGCTCGAGCTCGTCAACGAGTAACGGAAAAGTCAAGATCAAGATTGGAATGCACAAGAGGAGCTTCGCCGACGAACCGAATGGAGAATTGCTGCTGAAACGCGGACGCGGCAAGAAGACAGACTCAAAGGGAAAGTCGAAGCAGGGAAGGGCGCGAAAAGTAAAGGAAGAAACGAACGAGCCCGACGATGAGGAAATTGACTTGGACGCAGTCTTCATCGCGGCTGTTCGAGCCTATCTCAAAAGAATTGATTCAATTCCGGGAACCAATTTCAGTTGGCATAACAGAGGCTGGCTGCTATTGAAAGAGTACGATTCGTGCAAGAATCCAGGAATCATTGAAGAACTGAAAGGGCTTCTCCGAGGCCTCGAGGTCGAAAGAGCAAATAATTTGGAAGCTGTAGAGGCCAGCAAGACAAAGGTTTTTACAAAAGCAGACTTCGATGCGACAACAGAGAATGATGAGTTCAAACGTGTTCTGGAGCTGCTGCGGGAAAGAGAAAAAAAAAGAGAAGATCAAGAGGAGGAAGTGGGCTCGAGCTCGTCAATGAAAAAGGGAAAGGCCAAGATTAAGAGCGGAAAGCACAAGAGGAGCCTCGCCGACGAACCCAGTGGGGAATTGCTGCTGAAACGAGCAGGAAGGTGGAGGTCGACGGAAGCAATGGCAAGACGGATGGAGAAGAAGGTGGCGCAAAGACAAGACCCCCAATTCATCGAGGAGAAAGCTGTCCGAAGTATGACGCAAAGTGGTTATTCCATAGCAAAGACCTTCGCAAATACCCGCACCAGGATCCAAGTCCTTAAATCGAACAACCATCGAGGTAAAAATAAACGCAAAATCGAGCGACTCAAAGGGACCTTGAAAAAGTTTCAGAATGAGGTCAAACACCACCCCAAGGCAGAAGACCTCAGACTCTACATCAAGGAGGGTGCAGAGAGGGTACAGAAAGAGAAAAAAGCCGATAAGATTGCGAGAGCTGTGGGCAAACCACTGATAAGAAAGGAAGAGCAAGAGAAAGCCAAAATGATGAAGTCGGACTCGACTCTGCCAACGAGAAAGGGGAAGGACAAGGTCGAGGGCAGAAAGCACAAGAGGAGCCTCGCCGACGAGCCCAGTGGGGAATCGCTGCTGAAACGATCAGGAGAAGAGAAAAGGAGAAAGCTTAAGGAGATCGTGGCGCAAAGAGAAAAGGAACGAACGAGCAAAGCCGCAGTTGACAAAGAGATGAGGGATTCTGTTCATGTAGCAAGAAAGACTGTCGAATACTGTCGCGCCCGTCTCCAAGCACTTGAATCCGGAACCGAAGAAGAAAAGGAAAAAAACAAAGCCGAAGTCGAGCGGCTCTACAGTTTCCTGCGTGAATATTACGCGAGGAGCGATGCCAACATCGTTGGTCCCTTCCTTGCGGGGGTCTACCAAGACCATATCGAAAGCAGCGTAGAGAGAGAACGGCAGGAGAAGGAGATAGAGACCAAACAAGCGGAGGCCGAGAAGATCGCGAGAGCTAAGGGGGATCATATGATAAAAATCGAAGAAAGAGAGAAAGCCAAAGGGACGAAGTCAGGCTCGAGCTCGTCAACAAAAGAGGGAAAGGCCAAGGTCATGGACAGAAAACACAAGGGGAGCCGCGCCAACGAGCAAGCCGGGGACCCTCTCTTACAGCGAACGGACGGCAAGGGATACAACACAGAAGAGATGATAAGGCAGGCACTGGAAAGTTTTCGTAATACAAGTTCGGAGTTGAGCAAGGAACAAGGTAGCGATGCGAGCAAAGACTTCTTGGGGAGCTACGGTGACTTGGTGTCACCGGCGAGATCATTTCGCTCTGTTGTCGAGGGTAGACCCACCGCAGCACCCACAGCAGCATACGAAGAACATACGTCCCACAGCATGGAAGATTCAGAATGGCCGTCGCTGTCATCTCATGGAGGAGAAACAGAAAGCTGGATACCGGTGAGGTCGAAGACCACGAAGGATAAGAGGAAGGGCAAAAGCAAAAAGCACGGCGGATGGTCTTGACCACGTACCTGAAAAGATGCGAGAGCTCTGGCCAGCAGGCACGAGCCAGCGAGCACAAAGAGCCGTCAATCAGGGCCACTTGTCGACTTGTCGACTGAGATGAGGGTAGAGGCGCTTCCAGGGATCTGTATATAGTGTGATGGTGTAATGCAAGAATTCATAGTCCTCTCTCAAAATTGCCTGTGCGTGCCTGCCATCTCGAGACTGGGCGGGGGCCCAGCCGTCTCCAGCCATCTGCGGAAGCTCCTGCTGGCGGTCTACTCCTCCACACAAGTACGAGTAGAGGTAAGAGCTGTCAGAGTAGGAGCCACTGGAGTAATGAAGCGGGTGGGGGGAATGCGTCTGTTTGAGAGGGCGAATCTGCAGTGCACCGCGCGTCTTTCTGCTGCCAAGACCCATTTTCTCCCTGGGCACGGCTTGCAGATGCGACTCGGCGCTGCGGCGTGGGGAAGAAGAGGGACGGCGCCTGGGTGGGCCGGCCCACCGTTGCCGGTATCCTATGCGTGCAGGGCTGGCGTAGAGGTGAGCGCGAATCGATCCATGTAGAAGGAAGGGGAGGGGAGGCGGGGTGCGATGCGTGCGCACGTGGGTCTGCAGCGCGTACCAGAGATATGGTTCCAGTGCCTGCGTCATGGCGGCATGTACGCGTGTCTCAGATTTCGAAAGCTATCTCCGTCTCATCGCGCGCTCGCTTGAAGCGCGCAGGACTGGCGGTGCATCGCGCAGCGCACCGCCCAGACGGGCCGGTCAGTCTTTGAGACGCTGATCAGCACGCTCATGTACTGTACCACAGTCAGATTTGCGTACCCGGCGGTGGTTGTGATGTCGCCTGCGCGCCCAGGTCTGGCCCTCCGCGCTGGCAAGCCTGTCGAGTGGTTCTCGTAATCAGCAGGAGCAAGCTTAGTGCCCCTCTCACTTACTCTCTCTCTCGCAAAGACTGAAAGAAACTCTTGCCAGGCTTTTGAGCAGTTGAGCTGCACTCGGAACAAATCAAATGATGCGATGAGCCATTTCTGCGGAGGGCAGCGCTAGCTAATTGGCTTCCCGACGGCCAAAGCCTCAAGAGGCAAGCGCGCTAGAAACAACGCTACTGCTGTAGGGCAATTTACTCTTGTCTCAATGAACTCCAAGGGGTATTGTATCTTTATTTTTACAATTCTCTCTCTCTCATCGTCCCTTTGTTTTGTGCCATGCCACAATATTCTGTTTCCCCTTACTACAGCGGAGCAACTGTTGCCGGTCGGTGTGTCTTGATGGACCAACTCTCACGATCGCGTTCAAAGACCTCTGCAGCGTGTGCTCTTTCCTCGTTGGTGGCGTCATGAAACCTCTCCAATTGCCGGGGCCCATAGACGAGGCAGGCAAATACGTGTCTAGTTTTGTCTTCTCATTAGCAAGCGCCGACCTAGGGAGGGGGAAAACAGGCAGGGGCGAGGGGACAGAGGCGGGACTCACATGTAGACGGCCGTCATGAACATCGATCCAGAGCGCTGGTGCGTGAGCAGCCAGACGAGCGAGAAGATGTCAAAGGCCATAAAGGTGGCGAGGTGCGAGACGTGGGTGAGGTAACGCAGAATCACGTCCGAAGGAACGAGCGAGGGGTGCTGCAGGCCCTCGAGCCATGTGAGAAAGGAGATTGTCTCGAGCCAGACGAGGACCACGAGCAGTGCGATGCTTGCTGCGAGCTGCGCAGAGACCCACGCGGCGCCGCTCGTGTCGAGTTGGCAGCTGCCGACGTAGAACGACGAGGGCGGAGGCGTCTCGGCCAGTCTGCAGGTTGCATCTAGTCAGCTACTCTGTCTCCTGCCAAAGGTGCTTCCTAGCAAGCACACCCACTGAGTGACCCTGACCGAGCCAAGTACGGCACACCAGATGAGAGACGAGGCTACCGATACTGTGGCTGCCACAGCGATGCAGACAAGGCCGACGAACGACGACTCCAGGGCGCTTGCTGTCTTGACCTACGAATACATATCAGCACTGGGCCTCCTGCATCCCGGAACGATGGGCGCACGCAAGTCAACGTACCACACAGGACAGCAGTGAAGAGGCCGAAACGAGAGCAGTGGCCACCATGGTGGCTCTGAAAGACAAGACGCAGCTGGCTGGATGTGTGCTGAGGCTGAAGGCCGCGACAAAGAAGAAGAGAGCGAAGAGCCGCTGCAAGGCAAGCAGCACCGCAGCCATGTGCACAGAGGAGACTGGTCTCGCTCTCAGACGGGCGAGAATGGCAAAGTCCTTGAAGAGATGGGCCACGAGCTCCAAGACGACACACGAACACGTCGAGATGAGCGTGTAGAGGGCCACCTGCTCCTCCCAGAGCAGTTTGACACCACCATCGTCGGCCATGGTTGTCTGCCCTCTTGGCTATGTCTGCTGAGTTGTTGTTGTTGGTGGCGGCTAAGAGAAGCGGCACCACAGTCCAAGTGAGGTAGATCTCGATTCCTCCTAAACCGTCGATCTCTGTGCACGCGTAAGCTCTGCTCGCTCAATCAAAATGCTTCAGGAGCTCATCACAGACGCCACGCCAGCCTTGCAAATCAATCAAACGCAGGCCTGCTTCAGCGGTGCTTTAATACTCCTTGTCTCAGCAGAAATTAGGCCGTCGCGTTCGAGGCTAAGGGCAGCGGATGAGAAAAATAAAATTGACTAGGTGTGCATATCGAAGCTATCTGTAAATTAAGCAGCGCGCTTATGCACCAAATCGGAGGCTCCACTGTTCTGGTCTCAGCTGTGCTGGGCCCCTCGAACGGGTGCTCAGGACCTGTTGTCACGTTGAGCGGCGAAAAGAAGCAAAGACCATGTGTTCACTTAGCACGGCAATGAGGAGGTTTCTGCTAGCCCGAAAGTCGTCTGATATGAGTTCCCTGTGTACGTCAAAGGTTGACTCGCTCCACCATCTCCTGCCATGTCGAGCCAGAGCCAGAGCCAGGCGTCCACGACGCCACTAACAGCGGCCATGGCACTTATCATGGAAACGCCGGCGTCTGTGCGCGAGGAAATGTGGCACCAACAGCTGTCCTTCTACGTCACCCTCGCCTTCTATGTGCCGGCCCTGTTCGACTTTTGCAACACGTTACCGCGGGAAATTTCAGAGATCTACATTCCGGAGATGTGGATCGCAGTAAAGAAGAGGAAACTGCCCTCTGTGGCCATTGTCGGCCTTGTCGTCACGCGTCTCATCACTGTTCCCACCATCGTCAGTACCCTTGCTTATCAGACACAGCCATCGAGCTGCCAGGCCAGCCTGCGCATGGCTCTCGTCGGTGTCGGCATTGCCTCGAGCTGTTGCGAGGCGATATTCATCGCTCGGACACTGGCGATCCAGAACAAGAGCAAGATCCTGCGAATCCTGCTCTGGTTAAATTGGCTTGGCATTACAGTCTCGTACTTTGCTTCAAACGCATCCATCACCGTGGACCAGTGGGTACACTAAGTGTCGTGACACTTGCTTGTACACTTGCTGATCAGTCCTCCAGGTTGCCTGCTCCACCCGCAAACAACCCGTACCTGGGTACCTGCCATCACCTCGCACACATCTCGCGCTGGATCCCCCTGCCATCGCTCTGGATGGCCGCGCTCGACCTGTTCGTCTTCTGTATAACAGTCTACCACGGCATCACCCTGCATCTCTATCACCTGGACCCTTCGAGAGTGTCGAGGATCACCAAGTTGCTCTACCGAGATGCTGGAATTTTTTTTATCTTCTCGTTTCTCGCTCACATTGTCGAGGCAGTTTGGCTGATCACCCATGCGGACGACACCGCATACATGGGCCTTATATACCCTCTGTGAGTCGACCCGCCTCTTTCACCGGTTTCCAAGAGCGTCTGCTAAGCTGCAACGAACCACGCGCAGCCACGCATTTGCTCCCCTCGTCCTCGGCCCGCGCGTCGTCGTAAACTTGCGACTCCTAGTTGTGCGCATCGAAGGCCGGGACAGCGAAAAATACGAGCTTCCTGTTCGTGGACGGAGCTTCTCCAATGCATCCACGATTGTCGCAGAACTTGAACCGGCGAGTCAAGCGCCTGGCGCACCCATTCTCCCGCTCAATTACAGAGCCCATGACACGCAACAGCAACAGCAGCAGCAGCATCGTAAGGCAAGCTCACAATATCCACCGAGCTCATCGCAAGCGGGCCGCTCTGCAGCAGGCTCGCGCTCGTCAAAGTCGCCACGCCCACGCCGGCCGGCCAGTACAATGAGCAGGACCAGCACCATTGACTCATGCCTATCGCAAGATGACAATGATGCGATGGAAGAGCTCTCTGGAGCCGACGCAACTGTCTCTCCGCTTCTGTCATCTCAGTCCCCTTCGCCTTCCCCTCGTTCAAACACTCCTTCTGCTTCATCAACGGCGGCGCCACAGAATACAAGACGCACCGCAGTCAAGAACGCACCGCACATCCCACCAACCCTTACGCCACCATCTACGCTATTGCCGGTCGAGAGCGGCGATCAGAGCCACGATGCGTCAACCTTGTCGGTCCGCTCGCACGCTTCGAAGCGATCGCGTCCGTCAGATACTGGATCGTACGATGCAGCCGATCAGGAGCACAGAGGAAGCCAGGACCAGGGCGCCGAGACCGAAAGCACATTCCAACCTCTTGTCCCTCCTCCCCCCCAATGGACCATATCCTCATCGCATTACTTTACACCACCCCCTCAGTGGACCGTGTCGCACGACGTCTAGCTGGAGGTGGTGCGGTGGCTACATGGTTTCTTTGTCATGTGTATTCTTTGTCCGGCGAGTTAGGATTGATGTAGAAGTAGACAAAAAGCTCTCTCTCAGTGCAGCTGCTCTTCATTCACGTTTTTGGGTTTAGAAACGTTCCATTTTCCCACTTTCTCCTTTTGGCTAGCCTGGAAGCATTCAGATCTTTCTTCTTCCATCGACGTCGCTGCCCACACCTGACGCTGTCCTCGTCGTGTCAGAATTCTCTTTACGCTGTCTTAAAGTCAACCAGGAGTAATTGTGTCCTGCATCTTTCACTCCATACTTAGGTCCAAATGCTCCCACTTTCGATTTGCACCGCATCTGGGCGGCATGAGTTCTGCCTTGTTTTCACAGCAGATGGTTGAGGGGAGCCTTCAGAGGTGCCCTGCGAATCTAGCAGCTGAGATATGCTCTGCAGTGCAGACCGGGTGGTCGAAACGAAACGAGGACAGCGGAGGCAACGTGGATTCCACTGCCACCGGGAGTATGTGCAATTTTGCGCCATTCGTTAATTAATGAGAAGTAATACGACGACAGTGGAGAAAATTGATGCAGAGACAGCGGACTCGATGAGCCAGTCGGCTTCGCAATATTGCCCCAGAGGCGCAATTGCGAAGAAGAAAAGAGAAATGAAAGAATAGAAAGACAATCGAAGCATATTTACGCCGTGCTTGCATAGTGCTAGCCCGGTGAGACGTTAGGCGGCCCCCCCTTCTTCTTATTTTTATTTTCTTATGAATCGAATCATGAGCGACACTTTTCAGCACAGCCGCGCACAACCAATAATTTTGACGAGCACGGGCGCTATAAAATATAAATAGGACATGAGTGGGCGACCGCATGGTCGAACAACCGCGAGGTCGGACAAAGAATGCTTCGTCGAAACCATTTATCGAAAAATATAAAGACAGGACCAAGAGCTCGCATCTCCCTCCGTCAGACCATCTTCAGACCAATTCCTCAATCACAGCGAAACCCTTCAGAATGATGCTCCAGGGCTTCTTTTGGGTCAGCACTCTCTTGACTCTGCTGGCTAGCGCCAACGCTCAGCCCCTGTCATCGTCGATCAGCAGCCTTGTCAAGAGGCTGGATGACATTCCACTGGCCAATGCGACATAACCGATCGTCATGCATTCTCATATAGCACTCGATTCTGCTGAAACCGAGTGCGATCGTAGTCATTATAACTTTGTTGTCACCGTCAACGCAGATGTCGACATCCTTCATAATACCACCTACCGTTTCCTCGTTGGACAAGCTCGCCATGGACCTCAAGGTAAGCGATGATGGCGAAAAACTGACAAAAACTGAACTCCTGACCTAGTTTTAAAAAAGGCACTTTTCTTGATGGCTCCAAGGTCTTCCTCGATCGCTCTTATTTGGCCTCTCAGAACACAGGCTACAGACCATCCGTGGCCAGTGATCCTTCTTCCAACTTTACTTTCATCGCTTTCAACATGTACAACGACATGCAGACCGGCGAGCTTCTGAAAAACCCGTGGGTGCTCAGCACCGAAAATAACACCCAGGGTACCATTGTGCCCGGAGAGTTCACGGCCGTGGTAAGTGCAGCGCTTGTGTTTTTTGGCAAAGCTCCTGCTCAACACTTTCGCAGCTTTACATCAACCGACCGGAGTTCATTCCCAATGGCACTGCCGATCAGATGCCCGAGCCCGTCTGGAAGACTTTCACGCCCGGATCGCAAAATGGCTACAATTGCACACGTGCTCTCACGAACACAACGAGCCTCTCGGCTGCAGAGTCTACCGACGGGATCAGCGGGGCCAACGTGGTCAACGGTGCCTTCACTAGGAGCGCTGCTCACGGTCTCGGCGTGTCTTTTGCTCTCGTTGCTGCGGGAACAATACTGCTTTAGGCTCGCAACCGCATTGTGCGCGCGGTCGATTTACATATTCTTAGCTCTTCAAACAAAGGGTCGCAGAGCTCTCGGAAAATTTACTCACCTCATTCTACTTCATCACGATCCCGAGCTAGACCCTCTTGTCTCCAGACCTGATCTTTTCCTATGTCATGTTGAAATTCTCGTATTTGAGTTCAAAGGAACGTTCAAGGACAGCCATCAAAGAAGGAAGTTCGAGATACAGACTTCGATTATGTGCAGGAGCAATCGTTCTGCACATGCCCTCGGAAAGCGAAGTCAGCGCAAAAGAATTCCCAAACTGCTTTTTCGAGCTGAACGCCCCCCCGTCGCAAATACAGGTCACCTCAAAAAGCCTAGCACCAAGCTCCTCAGGAAACCACAAACCTTCATAGCGAGAGACGGAGACAGCTAGCAGCTTAACGAGGTCATTCGTCAGCATCTTTAGCGGACTTTTGGAGTGATTTTTGTGCAATTATAGCCTCGAATGGGGGATAAATGTCTGGCAAGTATTACTAAGGTTAATGCTTAGACCCCGGGTCTGGGGCTCATGTTTGCAGCTAAAGACATTCAGCTCCAAATTTTTTCTTGATTTATTTTGTGCAGACTTCACATCTCAAGGCATGTGCAAATTACTCTATGCTGGACATGAACGCGGACGGGTCTGAGCTCAGTGTTATGCTCGCAAAGCAGACGGAACATCAAAGATATTCATTCAGTCATCAAGGACCATTTGGAAAATCGAATTTTGAACCTCTGCACAGCCCTCAGTATTGCTTCACCCGGCTGGAAACACTGAGACAAGTACTACAAGAACACATCCGACGACAACGTAAAGCTCGTTTCAACATAGACAGTGGATCATAAAGAAATAAAGAAGTTTGTGGAAGGAGGATCTACGACTAACCTATTGGCACATGGAGCCTGCCACGCCGCCGGCAGCACCTACTGCTCCCAAAACAGCAGCTCCAGTTTCGGGCACAAAGATAGCCAGTATAGCAGTGGCTAGGTCCACGAGAGCACTTGCCAGCCCACAATTGTTTGTGCTCTTTGACGCTGGGCACGCAAACTTAAAAAATTATTGAAAAAAGGTCAGCTATTGTCTCTTTTCCTCACGAACCACGCGCTCTCACATTAACGGTCATGGTGTTGAACTTATGCGTCGTGCCATCGCCGAGCGGATCCTCCGTCAAGTTGGAATACCAGCTGGAAAGTCTTACTTCTGCTGGCACTGTCCACGCTGTCACATTAGGAGGTGCACTCATACCAAAGCGGCCAGGGAGGGGCGCCAGCGACTCGTTGCCTCCCTACACTTGATGGGAGGTTCCATGGCCTTCAGGGCAAACTCCTTGAAGATATCTGCGAGTCTGTGGTCTCGCTCTTGGACATTGGTCGAAAATTTTGCGTCGATGCCCAGCGAGCACTTTCGCACGGCCTTCTGACCTTCATCGTCCGGGCTACAGCCGCCTTTAGCTGTGTCATCGACATAGTCGCATGGCCAGTTGCCCTTGACCAGGCATTCCACATCTGTACCTCCTATTTTACAACCCCTATCCATCACGATCTGCAACATCTTCTGAGGGTTGCATACTCCAACCGGGATGTTAGCGGCGCCGTAGCTGACCAGGTACGTGTGGTTATTGTAGCCGTCAAGATGGCCCTTCGAAATCTCATGACCGCCATTGGACTCGTCTGGTGGCTGATCCGAAGGCGCGTCGTCGTCGGTGGCACGCACACGGTTTGCCGATGGTGCGTAATTGCTGGATAGGACTGGTCTGCCGCCCTGAACTTTGCAATTTGGTCCCATGTAGTGGCAAAGTTCTTCAGCGGAAGTAATGGGGCCCGTCGAATGGTTTATAGCGGCTCTTCTTTCTACGTCACGATTGTGCGGCGTACCGGGCCTTCCCGAGGTAGTTTTCATGGAAGAGAGAGGACGATACACCGAATATGCTGCCGCCTGCGACGCAAATGTGGCGATGAGGAAAGAGAAGAAAATTTTTGCATGCATCGTGGATGAAGCTCTCGGTGGTGATGTTTCTAGTATTGCTGTTTCAGCAAAGTCGACTTTAAGTGCGCAACGACCAGCGTATGCGAGGAGCGAACGGTCAAGGAGCAAAGACGGGAACAGTTGAAGAATTTTTGAGAGGGAGAGAGCCCCTACGACTCCCTTTATACCCTCTTGCTCTCCTTCAACTTTCTGCGGGATTTCAGACGGCTTTGGGCGCATAAATGTGGCCTAGAGAAAAACCGCAAGGAATCTACAGAGTCCGAATCCGTCCAACTCATGCTCTCGTCCAGTGCTAGATCAGAAGCTCGTGCTTTGGTTGCAGTCACCTTGCGATGATGCATGTGAGCACGAGGTAGCGGGATATGACTTTATTGCTCATTAGGGAAACGTGGTGTTCAACGCGGTCACAACTGTGGCGCTGACGCGAGTCGAGACTGAGTAAGGTGCGCGCGCACTCTCATCTCGTTTGTGCAAATCGTGAGGCAATTTACAAGTGGCCTCATGGACTGGTCGTGTCCTTGTGTCTCACTGCTTCTTCACTTAAAGTAGAATACCTACAGCCTCGACAAAGACGATCGGACACGCCACTCGCCATGTGATTTTCCTCAAAATTCGACATGAGGTGGAAAAGAGAAGCAGTGAAGAAAGGGGAAGAGAAACATGTTAATGAAATAAATCTGACGCCCATCGGTCTAGGGCGCAAATTCATTCGCGTACACTACCGACGTCTATAAAGCAGGCCCGCAGCTTCCATTTGACTTCCCCCTACAAGGGCCGGACCCATTCTCTTCCCATTCGCACCAACGCACTCTTGAGAAACGCAACACAACGTCTCACCTTCTCTGCTTCTGTCAAGATGTTACTCGTGAGGATTTCTTTCGCGCTGACCATGCTAGCCATGGTCACCCGTGCGAAGTACGAGGACGGCACTCCCGATGCACTTGATGACGGCATGCCGAACCACACGATGATCGAAGACTGGGACTCAAATGTGACCTGCCACGACGACCATGTGGGTATCTCTGCTTCTCTTCTTACTAGTCGATTTGCTCAACTCTTTGATGATCACAGGCCGGCTGGTCCGGTGATTGTGCCCAGCTTGACGATGCCTGGATCAAGGACCAGGACCAGCCGGGTATTGACGAGCAGAAAAACAAAATTATCTGCAAGAATCTCTGCTGCGTCGTTGCCGTGTACAGGAATGGCAGTTACAACCTCTCTGTCTCAGAGATGGCCCAGTGGGGTAACAACGCCAACTTGCATTGCAATGGTCCAAACGAACAGACGTGGATCAGTGGAAATGAGGATAATTGGAGCTCTCCACAAAATGGTACGTGGAGAATGTGCCTCATCAACAAGAATTCCGCCGACAAGTGTAAGTAGGTGGGCGGGCCGTCCAGATTCCATCCGTGTATCCTTGCTACTCTACCTTGTATGCCCAATGTTCCTTCATTTCAAAAGCTTTGGCCATTGTGGTAGGGCCGTTACCCCTCTTTCTCGCGAGAGACTGTGCGACTGAGGATTTAGCTCTACAACCAGCCCTGCCTCTCGTTAAAGTCAGGGCGTCTTCGACTGCGCGTTCGCAGACTTGACTTGTTTGCACACTGTTGCATGCAATATCCGACCAAGATGCCAGCCCGTATCCATTTATTACTTCCCGTTCATGGCCCCGCACATCCACTCGACTAGAAGCATCTATCATCTCGCAAAAAGAAACAAGAGAAAGACATGAGGGGATTCCAGGTGCAAGAATGACTGGGACCTCTACCTCTCCCTTATTCCTGCATTCGAGATGGTCCTGCCCTCGCCCTCGACGCCTTTTCCCGAAAGCTTCTCGCCATTGCCCATGGCCAACTCCGTCAACACCCTTCCCAGCTCCTGCGTAGGACTGTGGAAACACTTCATCAGGCCCGCACGCAACAGGGGAAGGAGCAACTTTTCCGTAGCCTTAAAGGCCACCGACTGCCTGTAATTTCTCCTTGCTGCCTCGTCATTGATTGCTGCCTGCTTTCCCCCATCGACTGCGGCGGGCCGGGCAGAGTAGACGCGGAGAGCTGTGCTGTAAGGCTCCCGAGACATGAGCTCGAGGAGCTCTCGCTCGGTCTGGCCCTTGACGCGGCCGAACATCATCGTGAACATGCCCGGGGTCGTCGTCGCGCCTTCGCCCGAGACGTAGACAAAGTTGACTTGCTGCGCGCCCAGCGATGTGGAAAAGGCCTCGGCAGCTTTGAGAGGGTAGATGCGCGTGATTTCGTCGTACAGCTTCTCCTCCTTGACGTCCTGCGACGAGCATCCGAGCGCCCAGACGACACCGACCTTGCCGTCGCCGTCACCAGCGTCCTTGAGTTTCGAGAGCACCTCTGTGCTGTAGCTGTTGAAGTCGGCGTGGGGCACCACGGCAATCTTGGTCTGCGTATTAGCCGTCGGGCGATCCGGGTGGCTGAGCAGCGGGATCTCGGCGCGCCGGCCTAAGATCGTCAGGCGGCTGAGCTGCTGCGCGGCGGCAGACGTCGGCGGCAGCGAGAGGATGTGGTGCAGCACGGCAGACCCCACGAGGCCCGTCGCACCGGTGAGGATGAGATGCATTGAGCGTTCGTTGACCCTATTGAGATGGTAATTTTGAGGGATGGGCCCGTGGTCAATAATGCTCTCCTTGTTTTATGTAGTAACGCGTACTGTGACTGCTCAGCACGGACCAATGGCTGCAAGGTGATCGAATCAGGTTCCTCTCGCGCGCAGTGTCCCGACCTTATCTGGCTAAGACTGAGCTCGGAATAATGCTTCCTTTTGGCGCTAGCGCGCTCACCAGGCGGCCGGTGTTCTTCCTCTATTGGAAGCCTCTCATCGACTTTTGCTCTTGATCGCGATGACCATGCCGCAAGCATCTCCCATATGCCTGCCGAAAAGGGAGGGAAAGGATAGCTTGTGTCATAGAAGCCGTTCCTGTGAAGACATGTGTCCATCGAATCGAATGTCCGCAAGCCACGCTAGTGCGTGGGCCTGTTCCAGGCCTCGGAGGCCTCGGATCTCCGCACGGACGAATCGAGCTACTCAAATTTCACAGAGATAGATTCTTCGTTCGCTTCTTCTTCTTCTTCTTCTTCTTCTTCTTCTTCTTCCACCTGCCTCAACTTTATGTTGGGGCGCCGATCATGAAGCGCTTCCTCAAGACGGTCGGCCTCACTGTACTGGCCACCGTCATTGCCATCCTAGCAATTGGCGGCTGCGTCGCCTGGAATTTCTTCCTCCACGAGCAAGGTCGCGCCCCTGCCGACTACCATGCCAGTGCCAGGTCGTCGGATGGTGGAGTTGGCCCTCTCCTCAACAGAGACACCGTGTTCGACGTCTTTGGCAAGCTCAGCATCGATGCGGGCGACGACGACGACCGTGTGACGACGCTCTATGACGGGCCCGTCTTTTCCAACGCAACGCTGTCCAAACGAAGCCTGTTTACGCGTGTGCCCGTCAAACTGCCGCTGCGCAAAGACGTCCTCTCGGGCGAAGCCAGCCTCGTCGCCTCGTTCTATGTCCTGCCAAGACTTCCTCCAACACATACATGGAGAAGCACACACGAGGCGCTGGCGCAGTGCACCCCGCTTGCCGGCTTCGCGGCCAACGTCAAGCGCGCCTCGTCGAGCGAGAGCGACGTGCTGACAATGAAGGACGCTGCGGGCCGTGTCACGCTCGCAAAGCGTTCCCGCGTCATCTTGTCCGAGGACACATCACGGTACGACCTGGCCAAGTACCGCGAGACGTTTGGTGCTCTCGTCGAGGGTCCCGCGGGCAACAACTCGGAGAGCAAGCCACTCGAGGCACAGTCGCTGTCGATGTTCTGCGGTGGGCGGGCATCAAAGTGGCTGGATCCCTTTCGTGTCTACCACGACTTCTCGGTCGGAGTAGGGACGGAGGAGGAGGAAGTTGCACTATATGCGACCAAGCCCTATGTGGGCAAGTACAGCGCCGGGCCAATGGATCTCGTTAGGCTGCAAGACGTGGCGCGGGCTGGGCACGATGTGTATGCGTACGACTGGAACATCAAGCTCGATGTTCTCCCACCCGTCCAGCTCGACTGGGCCACGTCGTCGGACAACTGCTCGTCGACTGCGATGCTCCGCCAGGCCTCCCTCTCTCCCAACAGCAGTACGGACCTCGTCACTGCGCAGGAGAGCTACGAGTTCTACGCCGGCTTCACTGGCGACGCGCACTTCCCCACCTCGAAGCCGCTCGCGTCAATCGCCTACCTGGCCTTCATCACCGTCGTGCGCCGGATCGAGTGGCCCATGGAGCTCCTCTACTGGTGCATCAAGCGGTCCGACACGCGCGGCCTCTCTCCCCTCGCACTCGTCCTCTCGCTCTGCACCGACGTCGCTGTCCTCATCCTCGACTGGCGCACCACCAGACCCTCCCTTTTCGCAGTGCTTCTCCTTGCACTCCGACTGCTGGCACTCTGGAGGGCAAGGCGACAGCGACGGGTCGTGCCCCTCCGCTACGCACTGGCCTTTTTCACTTTCTACTTCTTCCTCGCTCGGTCCGAGCTTGCGCTGATACCTGCCTCATCGCCCTCGCTGACGATCGTCGAGGATGCCCCACTACCGCAAGCACTCCTCTCAGCCGCGGGCACGACGACGACGTTTGTCCTCCTCCTCGCCAATGCTGCACAGGGGACCTTTGCGGGCACCTCTCGATGGTCCCGCCTCTCCGTCACGCTCATCTCGCTTGCCCATCTCGTCTACGCCCACTCCGAAGTAATAGGCGGGCACAAGTACAAGCACGCCGCCTACGACGCCGCGTCGGCGCTGCATTTGGGCCTCGGCACCGCGCTCGTCATTCAAGGATTTATCCTCTATGAGCCTGTCTGACTTCCTTTCCCCGTGACACGCACAAGGCCAGAGGGGATTGGCCAGTGCAAGGTCCTCCCAACATCGGCATTCCTATACTTCCGTGCCGACTGGACACTATCGGCCAGGCTGCTCTCTCTCTCTCTCTTGTATCATAGCGGTTCGAACATCAAGGTAATGTGTACTGTACAGTAGGCAAATGGAGTGTCATCGTCGGCAACATAATCGCACAATCCGATCGACCGAAGAAAAGCCGCCGCGGACGGCATGCTCGGACAGCGGAGCGGGCAAGATCGGAACTATACTCAGAGACGTGTGTTCTCTCTTGAGGGCGAAGCAGGGTGCGATAGGTGGGCGCCTGTCGAGGAGAGGATGTGAACGAAACCGCCGGACGGAAAGAGCCGAGAGAAGGCGCGGAAAGAGCCGACGTCAGTATTGAAGTGCGAGATCTCGAAATTGCACCCTCCTCCACCTGCCGCATGGTAAGGATCAGGGAGCATATATAAGGAAGGATGCTGGGCTAGGAAGGACGGGGATGGCAGGGCGAGCGAGCCAAGCAACAATGCCGGCACACCAGGTTGTAGTTGACAGCTGGGACAAGGCCCTCGATGGCGTGGAAGCGGGCCAGTCGATTGCCTTTGGTGGCTTCGGTCTGAGCGGGGTGCCCATCGACGCCATCCACCAGATCCGCCGCCGGCGCTCGCTGAAGGACATCACCGCCGTCAGCACCGAGAGTGGCATCAGCGACTTTGGCCTGGGCCTGCTCATCGAAAGCGGACAGATCAGACGCCAGATGTGAGTTGGTGCATGCGAGACCGAGACCTTTCAACGCTGACCAAGCCGTCTCGCCAGCTGCTCCTTTGTCGGGCGATGCAAGGTCATGGAGAGGGCATATCTCGACGGCCACCTCGAGCTCGAGTGGAGACCGCAAGGGTCGCTCGCCGAGGCTCTGCGTGCGGGCGCGGCCGGCATGCCTGGCATCTATACGCCGACGGGGGCCAACACCTGGAGTGCGTATCCTTCCACATCTCTCTCTTTCTCCCTGAGCTGACTCTCGACTCTCTTTCTTCAAGTCGAAAGCGGCGAGGTGCCGATGAAGTACGACAGTAAAGGAAATGTGGCAAAATACTGCCCCAAACGCGAGACGAAGATGTTCAACGGCCGCAAGTTTCTCTGGGAGACGGCCATCACACCCGACGTGGCCTTTGTCAAGGCCAAGGTGGCTGACCGGCTCGGCAACTGCCGATTCGCCACGACGGCGCGCAACTTCAACGTCGTCATGGCCCAGGCTACGAGCCTGACGATCGTCGAGGCTGAGCGCATCGTCGACATCGGCGAGCTGGCCCCCGACGACATCCATCTCAACGGCATGTACGTCGACCGGGTGATCCAGGCCGAGAGGCGCGAGCCCGTGTACGAGCGCCTCGTCTTTGCCGACGAGCAAGGCCAGGGCAGCTTCGACGAGGCCAGGCACCTCATCTGCCAGCGCGCCGCCCAGGAGTTTGCCGATGGCATGTACGTCAACCTGGGCGTGGGTATGCCCACCGAGGCGGCCGCGCTGGCCAAGACGGACGTGCACATCCAGACTGAAAACGGCCTCGTGGGCGTGGGCGGCCTGCCGCGCAGGGGCGAGCAGGACCCGGACCTGATTGACGCGGGAAAGGCGTGCATCCGGTACCGCCCCGGGGCCGCTGCCTTTGACTCGGCCGAGAGCTTTCTTCAGATCCGCGGCGGCCATCTGTCGCTGTCGATGCTGGGCGCCTACGAGGTGTCGCAGTACGGCGACCTGTCGAACTGGATCATACCGGGGAAAAAGGTGTCGGGCATGGGAGGTGCCATGGATCTCGTCTCCAACCCACTGCATACACGCATCATCGTGCTGACCAAGCACAACCAGAAGGGGAGCAACAAGAGCAAGATCGTCGGGCAGTGCTCGCTGCCCCTCACGGGCGCCCGCTGCGTGTCGAGAATCATCACGGAAAAGGCCGTCTTCGACGTCGACCCACGCGAGGGTCTCACACTTGTCGAGATGGCAAGGGGCCTCACGGTAGACAAGCTCAGGGCGCAGACCTCGGCGCCGTTCAAGGTGGCTACAGATCTGAAGGAGATCCAGACGGAGCCCGCACGGCCCACTTCGAAGCTGTGACGAGGCTGTTCGCACGCAATTGACATATTCTAGACATCCGCTTTATCCGAAGAATCCCTGCAGGCCGGCCGTCGATCCAAGGCAAAAACCGACGTGAACCCCGCATTTTTAGCGTGTCCTGATTTAGCTACTGTTGCTGCTACACACTAGCTACTTCTGTGTAGGGTCTTTTCGTGTCATAGAATTTGTTGTGGGGAAGGGAATGGGAGAAGGGGTGGATGACCCAGGAGGGAGAGGCCATCTCACTCCGACTTTATGACCCTCACCCCTTCGCCATCCCATCTGCCAGCATGAATCCCATCTCCTGGTTCTTTCGCGGCTTCATTGCCGCGCTCATCACTGTCGGCATTGTGCTGATCAAGACGCCCATCTGGTTCTGGGACATTGCCACGCGACCGCGCCCCACCAAAGAGTACCCCAATGGCCTCCAGATCTACTTTACCTACCTCGCCCGCACCTTTCTGCGCCAGTGCGCCATCTATAAGGCGCAGCCCAACCCCAGCACGCGGCAGCCGAGCAAGCTCCGCGACCGCCTCCTCTGCCGCCACTTCACCTGGATCGAGCCGGCTCCTCTGTCGTCGAGGGAGCACGAAGAGAAGCGCACGACTGCCGCGACAGGCTTTGACGATTCGCCGCTCCCCGTCGCCCTTGATGTGGCGGAGTCAAAGAAGAAGACGGCGGCGCTCTGGTACCTCAACCCAAAGGAGCCCGGTGACATTCCGACCAAGGAGCAGCGCAGGCAGAGCCGTGTCGTCCTCTACTTTCGTGAGTGTTGCGTGTCCCTTTTCACTGCGCTGCGTCGATGGACTGATCTTTTCGTCCCATAAAGACGGCGGCGCATACATCACCCTCGAGGCCGGCGACATGTTCATGGGCCTGACACTGGCGCGCATGCAGGCAAAGTACGTCGAGGTCGACGTCCTCTGTGAGTTGGCGTGGTACCCGGGGGGGCATGAGAAGCAGTGCCTGAAATACAAAATCATACAGCCGTCAACTACCGCTTGGCGCCCGGATCAAAGTACCCATCGCAGCTGTATGAGGCCTTTTCGGCCTGGAGACACCTGCGCGAGATGGGCTACGAGAGCATCTTTCTCGGCGGCGATTCTGCCGGCGGCAACCTGGCCTTGACGCTGTGGCGCTACCTCGACCAGGTCGCAAACGACAGCCAGGCTGTCGAGGGCATCATCCTACATTCGGTGAGTGTGCTACGGCCACCTTCTTGAGAAGGCACGCATCCTGACGATGCACAGCCCTGGGTGGACTGGAACGGCCTGACACGCGCCTCGCTCAACGAGAGGTCGCCCCACTGCGCCGTCACTTACACCTTTGGCATCGAGGGCGTCAAGTCGATGCAGAACAACGGTCTGCCCAAGATGACCGACGGCTGGGCCAGCCCCATCTACTGGACCGACAACATCCTGTCGCGCTTGCCGCCCATGTTTGTCAATACCGCAGGCATCGGTGAGCAAGTTCCCTTCCCTATTTGCAGTAGCGAAACGAACTAATTGAGGCCGGCAAACCAGAGGCGCTTCGGGAGGAGAACGAAATGTTTGTCGCAGCAGCCAAGAGTGCCGGGGCAAAGGTGACACACATCATCACGGTCAGTGTCCCTTGGCGTTTCAGAGACGCCTACTCAGCTTCCCTGACGATTTGTTCATTCGCTCAACAGGAGGGCATGCCCCACGACTTTACCGCCCAGTGGTGGTTTGCCGGCGCCGTCCGCAGGCTGTTTCTGCAGACGCATACCTGGATCGACGGCGTCAAGATGGTCGGAGAGGCCTAGCTGTTTTGTCCCCACTCGCTCGAATCAGTGTGTGAATTACAAAATTGCGCATGATGAGCTCTTCGACACCAATGCAAGAAATGCCAAGAGTCCATGGACAGACGGCGTGAATTATGTGACAATGACGGCAGACACCCTTTAGCTAGCTAGTTGTATGAAAGAAAGAAGAGAGAGTGTTACAGGGGCGAGAGGGGCATCTCGCCTCTCTTGCCTCGTGGCGACAGCGGCACAAGCGCTGGCGGCGGCGACGGCCACCTGTCTACCTCCCCGCGCGCCTCGCTGTCCCTCCAGCGCTGCAGCTTGGCCACGAGGCCGCTGAGCCGGAGCGGCTTCGTGTGCCATTCGTCGACGCCCGCCTCCTGGCCCCGCAGCTTGTCAGCCTCGGAGCTGAGGGCGGTGACGGCAATGATTGTATGCGCCTCGTTGGGCCGGCCCCACGCCTCCTGCAGCCGCCGCATGGCCTGACAGGCTTCGAAGCCATTCATGATGGGCATGTTGATGTCAAGCAGTACCACGCGGGGCCGGTGGCGCTCAAACAGATCCACCGCCTGGCGGCCGTCCTTGGCCTCGATGTATTCGAGGCCAGCACGCCGCAGCAGCGTCGTGAGGATCTTGGCGTTCAGCGGATTGTCCTCGACGACGAGGACGAGGAGCGAGCGTGCCAACGACGACGACGAGGGCGGCATGGACGACGACGACGACGACGACGACGAGTAGGCCACGCGGGGCTTCTTGAGCGCCGGATGGTGCCGCGCATCCGTGACCTCCTTGACGGCCGTGAGCCTCGGCGACGGGCTGACCGAGGCGTGGCAGATGGCATCGAAGCGGCGCAGGTGCGCAAATGTCAGGGGCCGCGGCAGGACGTGGACGTTGCCCAGGCCGCCGTCGTCGCCACTGCCGCCGCACGCGGCCCGGAGCTGGTCGAGGAAGCCCTGCTCCTCGGCCGAGACGTCCTGGTAGGCCAGGGGCATGTAGACGACGCGGACGGGCGACACGGCAATCGTCTGGCGGCCCTCGATGATGCGCCTGCGCATGGCCTCGGGCTTGACGTCGGCGAGGACGATGATGTTGGCGCTGCCGAGGTCGTCGGTGACGTGGCTGCGCAGGCCAAACTGGCTCACGAGTCGGTCGCGGAGGAGCGCAAGCGAGTAGGAGTCAAAGTCGGCAAAGTGCACCTTGGCCGACGACGAGTGCGACGAGGGCGTCGAGCCCGTCGAGGCCGAGTCGCTCCCACGCCGCTTGCTCCACGCGTCCTTGGTGGACTTGGAGCCATCGAGCAAGCGCGGCGTAAAGGGAATCGAGACGATGAACTTGGAGCCCTGGCCTTCGGTCGACTGGGCATAGATGCGGCCGCCCTGCTGGGCCACCAGGCTCCGGCACACGCTCAGCGACAGGCCCACGCCGTCGCTCTCGGCGCGCTCCTTGGCAAAGGGCTGGAACAGGCGGCTGTCGACAAAGTCGCGCGCCATGCCCCGGCCCGTGTCCGACACAATCAGCTCCAGCTTCTGCACCGTCGAGGGCGAGTCGATCTTGAGCGCGCGCCGGTGCACGGCGACGCTGATCAGGCCCGTCTCGGTGGCCTGCATGGCATTGAGGACGAGCTTCCAGGCGACGCGCTTCACCACCTCGAGGTCCATGCGCACGTCGGCCACGCTCCACTCGAGCGGGTCCTGGTGGAGGTAGTTGGTCGAGAAGATGAGCTCGGGCAGCGGTGGTGGGGACAGGGATGGCCGCCGTGACTGCTTGAATATGGCAAACGCCATCAGCATCTAAAATTTGCACCGGCAGCGTCCATCAAGACACGACACCCACCATGCATTCACGACGGAACAGAGACCAGGCCTGGTTGACTGTTGAGGAGATGACGGCGCAGACCGTGTCCCACGTGATCGTCGTCACGCTCGTGGGACCCTGGGCGGCGGCCTTGACCTGCTCAGAGCCCATGACCAGGCTCGGCTTCTTGCCCTCGACCATGAGGCTAAAGTCGACGAGGTCGTCGACGATGGTGCTCAGCTTGTCGGCCGAGAGGGCGACGGAGTCGACGAGCTCGCACAGCTCCTCGCGCAGCGCAGCACTCACGGCGGCAGCCCCCTCGCCGGCGGCGGCGGCCTGCTCGAGCGAGTGGCCGAGCGCATAGCGCGCCGTCTCGTTGACGCCCAGGATGGCGTGGACGGGCGTGCGGAGCTCGTGCTGGACGCGCTGGATAAAGTGGCTCTGCGCCACGTCGCGCTCCTCGGCACGCGCGCGCACGACCGAGTAGATGAGGCAAGCGCCGACCTGCTCGAGAAAGATGCCGTGGTACGGCCGCGGGTCGAAGCCGTCGGCAAGTAGCACCACGACGACCGACGCGGGTTGCGAGTCGGCCTCCATGATGGCGGCGCACATCAGGCCCCGGTCCTGGCCGAGGCCCAGCATCTTGCGCAGGCTCGAGGGCGCGTCAAAGTCGTCGCCGCCGCCCTCGCCGTCAAAGGGCCCCACCTCGATGTACGCCCTGGAGTCGCGGCCCGAGTTGCGGCTCGCGGCCAGGTAGCGTGCCAGAGCCGGCCGCACGCGGTCGCCAGGCATCGAGACGAGCGCCTGGGCATCGGGGCCATGGCTGCCGAGCACGGCGACGGCCCCACCAGTGGTCGGAAAGGAGCAGACGACCTGGGACGAGGGGGCAGGCACAAACGACTCAAAGGTCAGCAGGTCGTCGCTTGGCGATGAGGAAAGTATGTCGTCCATTGCGTCGTCGCCCTCGGCGGCCCCATCTGCTTCTGTCTCTTCGTCGTCCTCCTGCATCTCTATGAGGGCATCGGTCGTGCGGTCGAGCTGCCGCTCCATGGCCATCGTCGACAGCAGCTCCTGCGAGGAGCGGGACCGGCGGTGTCGGGGCATGCGCCCGTCGCCGCCATTTTGCTCTGTCAGCGGCGACGTGGGTAGCGAGCCTGCCGACGACGAGGGGTCGACGACAGACGTCGAGGCCGTCGACATCCGGCTCCTCGCCGAGCGCGTGTTGCTTGACGTCTTGGAAGCCGTCCCTCCGCCTCCGCCGCGGAACAGACGAAGGTCCGAGACATCGAGGATGACGCAGCTGCTCGATGCAAAGAGCTCGCAGACGTGCCGCGCGCCCTTTTCAAAGATATTGGCATCGTGTGACGGCTCGTCGAGCCGCTCGTCCTGGATGTCGCGGCAGAGATCGATGATGAGACGCTGGCCGAGCTGCTCCTCTCTGCGCTGCTCCTCGGCCTCGTCGTCGAGAAAGGCGCGTGCGACGAGGGGTGCGAGGCGCTGCAGCTGGGTGCTCAGCCGCGCCGTCTGCTGCTCATCGACGCCCAGGGCGACGACGAGACCGTCTGCAGTCTCGCCGTGGGCCTTGGCGCTCGCATTGGCGATGAGACAGGCGGATTCAAGCTGGGTCACACCCAGGGCCCGCCGGAGGATCTCGGCGCCGTCTCTGGCGTCGTCCCACCGGCTCACGACGCCCCGCGGCGTCAGCGAGAAGAAGCCAACGGCCTCGTTTGGCAGGTAGCGTACCGCAGCGCAGCCGAGCGTGTCGCGCGCATAGTCGAGCACCTCGCCGAGCCCAGAGGGCGAGCCGTCGTCGTTGGTGTTGGCCCTCTCGGCGTCATGCATGGAGCGATGAGATCTTGGCCGTGTTCCCTGGGCCCTGTGATCTTTCCGTCCTACACGCCCGCTCTTGCCTTGGTCGAGTGTGGTATGTGTGATGAAAGGCAGCTCTCCGATAGGCCCGGATTGCAGAGTTTCTGATACGGGCCCGGCTTCTAGGCGGGCAAATCCTTGGCCCTGCGCACGCTACCCGCTGCTGATGAAGCAGGCAGGGTCCGACGAGAACCGCAAGCCTCTTTTTTCCCTTTAGACTAATTTTCCTTTTTCTCTTTTGTAAGGGCTCCCCACCCTCTTCCAAAGGCCGTGATCATTCCTTTGCATCTCTCTTTCGCGACAGAGTCTGGACCCATAGTCTAAAATTCTTGATAGATGAAGATGCTTCGACTAATTTCACATGCGTTTGTTCTCGCCGACGCGTCGATGGCTGTACAACTTGCACCCGGATCAAGACTCTTTTCCACTTTGTTAAAAGGCAAGTCTGTATCTAAATCGACCATGCTGAAGTGGAAATAAGCACCTGAAGCTATCGCCCCTGCTCAAAGCGTTGCTTTTAAAAGGCTGGGGCTATTGAGAGCATTCGGGCTGAACCTTTGTCTTTGTGCCTTTCGGTGTGAGCGTTCGAGCCCCAAGGATGTGCCATCACGGGTGCTGATCGTATTTGGTATAGGGAGAACAGAAGTGAGCGTGCACGATGAACGTAATACCAGACCAAGCAGGTGTCGCAGTGGCCCAAGCCCGGCACATTCGGCCTATCCTATCTGAAGTCATCCTTCCAGCTGCCTTCCTTCTGCCAGCTCGCCGTGCGACGTGGTGATCATGGTCTACAGCTCGCCTGACTCAGAAGTTTCGAGGCGCACAGCTACGGCGGCTGCACCTCGAAGCAGGATGTGCATCGTCGTACATTGTTGTATTGCTCCGAATACAATCTCCACAAAGTCAATCAAAGGTTTCCTGTTGCTGAGAACGCCCTAAAATTGCATGAATCTTTGGCATCGCGCGTCGATAAAGTTGAACGATCCTTTTGTTTCCGCCTCCAGCTGCATGTGTTGCAAGGCATGGTGCGGTCCAAACCAAAGCGGACGCATGCAAGACTGACTTGCCAGACGTGTAAGGAACGCAAAAGGCGATGCGAGCTACCAGACACACACTTCGCCGAGGCAGAGGCTGACAGAACACAGGCACTGCCGCCGAGCAAGGCCTGTCATCGCTGTCGCACGCTCCAAATCGACTGCTTTCTCCGGTCCAACTCCGGACATGGAAGCTATACACCACCAATCACGAGTAGGAGAGTGCCGGATTCCTTGACCATCTCTTCTCTGCTCGGCGCACAGTCATATTCAAACGATGTGCGATCAGGTGCATCAGACGCCAGTGCAGATGAGCAGAGGCGACCAAGTGCGCAAAGGATCTCTGCTGCCAACCCAGAGCCGATATCTGGCACGTTTGTGGGTGCAGATAGTCGGTCACGAAGTAGGGAAGGGCCAGTGAGAGACACCCCTCAGGTTGATGAAACCAACGGGCAGGAGCGCGACTCCAGCGATGCCATGGTCATACTCTTGCGGAACACAAGCGCAACGGCATCGTCCCTCTCTCACGATCTGATGGGTCACCCTTACGCGACGCTGAACTGGTTGGTCCACGCACGGCAATTTACGGTCACTTCTGGTGTCGCCGTCGTTCCCAGAGAGCGTGGGGATCTCGAAAACATCCTCGAAGTAATTGACGAAGGACTAGTGAAGCGTCTCAAGACACGGTGCGTTGTCAGTGCTGTCTGCTGTTCTCTTGACTTCTGCTGATGATCGCCTTGACAAAGATTGGAGCAAGTGGCCATGATTCATGATAGCATCCCTCGGCCTGCAAGGATCCGGCAGCTATACATCGCCAACCCGACCGCCTCCTCTCGCCTGCTACTGTCGCTACTTTGTTTCGCAGCCCTCCTGCAGCGTTCGCCAAAGCTACCGCTAGACGAGGAACTTATGGAGCTCAAGCGACAGGCCTTGTGCTCCCTCATCACAGCAGACATACCGACTGTTATGGCGACTGCTCGAATGGAAGCGACGACGATTCACGCGCTTACCCTGCTCGGCACGGTCGATCCGCTTGGTCTGTTGCAAGACACAACCCAAGTTCTCCATACGGCACGGGCCAATGGGTCTGCAACTACCAATGTCTCGGGGGTAACAGAAGCGAGTGGGCGGATTGACTCCCTACCGACGGACCCGCCTCGTGCACATACCATGCTGGCGTCGATGCTGCTGCAACGTTTGCCGAAAGCGAATCTGGGAGGCCCAGAGGGGATCCCTTCGACCGAGTTCATCGATCTGGAGCTCAACGAACTCTTGCTCACCGTCGGCGATCGCATTGTCCAGCCTTGCGCTCTGGACCTTTCTGATCTTGGTCTTCTTCCACTCATCGAAGGCTATCACAATCCGTGGACGTACTTCTCCGAGAGTCGAGAAGAAGACCTACGTAGACTTGGCGAAGTCTTGCTCAAGTATCGTCTCGCGATCCTACAGGTCTCCGTCCGCGCGGTCCAATCATTCGGTGTCCACGTCGAGAGATGCTGTGAACATATGCGGACAGATCGACAAGCCGAAGCGGACTGGCCGGTAAGAATGAAGGAAGATCTGGACCAGGCGAGCAACATGATGGAAGATTTGCAGAACGCCTGCGAGCTGAGCATGACATCGCCTATGGCCGCCGAGATCCGCGAAAGCCAAGAGATGTTCAAGCTGTGCAAAATGGAGCAGAACAACCTCCGGGGCTGCCTATTCGTCTTCTTTTTTCGTGCTGCGCTCTGGCCATTTGTCGAGCCAAATGGGCTTGCTCCGAGAGCATCACCGTTTGCTACTTCTGCGATGGTGATGGAGCAATGCGCCATACGGAGCGACACAGCCGGCAACGGTGATGAAGCAGCTCGCCGTGCCGCACACGAACACGGTCTCAATCAGCAACGAGTGGTCAGCCTGATCATCGAGGTGGCAAGAAGGAAGGAGGTTCCAAGCGTGATGACCGAGGATGTAGCGTCACGTACTCGCGAAATGGTCAGTCGCTTTGTAACAGTGCGAATGGAGTGTGCCGAAACAACGCTGGCCACGTTTGCCGACGGTGTTCAGTCAGGTCACGAAAGCGCGCCCTTTCTTGGATGGGCGCCACAGCCATTGCTCTGCACTCTCTTGGTGGATGCAGCCAAGGTTCTAATGGAGGCACAGGTGACCACTTGTGCACACATAGGCCAGGAAGTCGGTCGGTCGTCTGTATGGAGCTTTCTCATGCGTCGAGCAGCAGGTGCCCTCGACTCTTACGCAACCTCGCTGCCTAGGAGATCGTCAAGGGAAAGCACAACCGACAAATCAAGACTCCTAGGATCTCTGCCGTCGATTTCCAGTGCAGCAATCCGTGATATGGACGCCGTCGCTTTGCGAGCTCAGAATGCTGTAAGGCAGAAAAGACTGCTCTCAAGGAAGTCCTACGATGGTCTCACACCCTCAACAACATCATCGACGAGCGACAGTCGACCACCTGAAGACCTTGCACCAGGGGCCGCGCCGGACTTTAGGGCCAGTCGTGAAACTTGGCAGCCAGCGGTCCCTGACTCTGCAGCCTCTTCAGCCAGCAGCAGGCAGGATATCTGGCCACGATACGGACCAGAAAGCACTGAGAATAGTCTTCGTGCCTCTGCTGCCGCTTTTGGCTTTCCGGAGCCAAAGGGCGGCACGATGCACGGTGATAACCTTGCGCAAAGCTGGGCTCAAGATCCATTTGGTCAACTCTTTGCCGCTTGGAATGATGTCCCGTGGGATCAAGCTCTCGGTTAAGGAAAACGATCAAGGGGAGGAAAGATGCGGTAGCGATTGCTTACCTCTTTCGTGAAACGCAAACCATTGTCTATTTGTACTAGTAAATGTAGGGCAACCGAGCCACCAAGCGCTTCGAATGCACACCATCACAAAGCAAATTTACGCCGAGCAGCTGAGCAGCTGAAATTGGCCCCAAGCATCTAAAGATCAATCGATTCAAAGTCAAAGTCAAGAAAAAGGTACATGCACGAGAAGGAGACCAAGCCGGTTAACAAGCGATTTGATGTGTGTATGCGGAGACTACCTCGTCAAAGGGTAGAGAGCAAAAAGCTAAGGTTGGGCATCACCAGCGCTGTTTAAGGTTCGAGGATTTCGATGTGTCGCCTTGGTAGACGGGCAAGTCGTCAGCTCGATTGTGCATCTCGCTGTTGCTGCTTTCTGGTCGAGCCCGATGATACTGAGGCTGCTGTTGGTACATTTCGGCCTGTGCCGCATTCTGAGGGCAGAAAGGACAGCTGCAAAGAGCGTGTGGAGGCACCTGTCTAGCTGCAGCATAGGCAGGGTAGGGCTGCGCGGCTTGATTGGCTTGCTGATTGTTGTTCATCGAGTCGGTCAGCATCTTGACTGCATACAGTCCCATGCCTCCCTTGACGCCCGTTTTGATGAGACCCATTTTGCGCAAAAGTAAGTTTTTCTCTTGTCCGGTGGTGTGAAGAAGGTATGCCAGTGCCTGGAAATGGGATTTGGGTGGATTGGGTGGCTTTAGACGCTTTGATGCTGCCTTTTTTATACCTTTTGATAGTTCACGACGAACATCTGGTGTGGAAAGTGCTAGAGGGAGAGTCCACATTCCGAGCGCAGTAGGGCTCCTGCATGTGCACCGCCTTCTCCATGACCATCGCTCGCGGGCAAGTGTTTCGACGGATCATGCAGATCTTCCGCCGGAGGTAGAAAACTGAATTCGGCGCTCCGAGCTTCCGGCGGGTTTGACTATGTGGCCTTTCCGCTTCAAACATTCAAATTTAAAATACACATTTTTCTAAGGCGGAAGCGACGTAAGGCGGAAAGGAGTTTCCGGCGGAAGCGATAACAGGCACGACGCGCCCATGTTTGACGTGCGTGCAGTTGCGCCAAAGAACTTCTCAAGGGGGGCAGGAACACGCCGAGGACACGAAGAATTCAGCAAGACTCTGGTTCTTAGAAGGTGTCAGCCCGACCTTTCATCAGGGAAGTCTGAAGATTATAAAAGGGGCCTTCTTTCCCCCCAAAAATGTGTAAGGCAGCCTCTACTCCCCCTACATCCTCTCCCTCCCTCCTCTTCCTACACCTTCTCCACACATCCTCTCTTCGACATCAGTCTCGAGCAACTTGGCAAAGATGATTTCATCCGACAGCGCAACGGAAGGCCTCCTGGCCTCCAACCAACATATCTCGTTTGCAAGCTCGGTGGCCTTTGCTATCATCTATGGGCTCGTCTTCCTGTGGCTAGCTTTCAAGACTGCCCGTTCTGTTGGACATCGGTTTGGACTACGTTGCATCTTGCTGCTGTGTCTCCGTGAGTTCTCTTGAGGGTCCAGAAGCCAAAAAAGGGGCATTGCTGATGCCGACTCCGAAACGCAACAGTACGATTGGGATCATTCGCATTGCGAGCAGTCGAGTCCCGCAGCACAGAGAGTCAGTCTGACAGTGGTGTCCAGCTTGCTGCTGCACTGCTGCTCCTTGCCGGCTATCTATTTTTTGTCGAAGGAGTCATGAGCTTCGTAACAGTATGGTACGTCTGTCTTAATCTCGGTTATTCATTGGCACAAATGTGAAACTAAAGTCTCACAACAGGTGCCTGCAAATGCGGGGGATCGAGCTGGATGGAAGTCGTATGCTCGCAGTCCACTTGTTGCAGCATGCCATCGTGGCAGGTGTCTCTGGCATCGGCATTGCAGGAGCTATTATCATTACAAACGCCAAAGATCTGTCCGACCTCAACACGGCCAAGAACCTTAGGATCGCTTCCGGCGCCCTTTTCGCCGTCATTGCAGTGGCTCTAATCATGATCACCGCAGTCGTTGCATGTGCTCACGCAGCGCAGAAGGGACAGGACAACTCGGGACAAGTCAGCGCAGGCGCGCCTCAAGTGGGACGAGCAAGCGCCTTCCTAATCACGTTGGAAGTATGTTTGGTGGTGGAAGCCATCTACAGGATCTGGTCTTCCGCAACGAGCAAGGGCTTCATCGTGGAAAACACTGCCATCGCCGTTCTCATCTTCCTGCCCGAAATGGTCGCCTTGCTTTGCATTTCGGTCGTCGACTTTACAAAGATGCTCCAGCCACGTCTGCTTTGCCAGAAAACTGATTCCCTCGTGTAGATGACCATGTGCAAGTTGCTCTGTCGGAAAGTGAACCTTCGTCTACTGTTCCTGGCCCAAATCGAATGAATTGCCGTAGCCTGCGTTGAGATGGTCGATGGGGTCTGTAGTAAAAGTAGCGGCGACATCGACGCCTTGCGCTTGCTGTGCCATAACAGGACCTCTAAGCGCTTCGGGCAGGAGGAGCGCCATGCGCTGGCGGTACCAGGGTGCAAAGTGGATCATGGCAAGCATGATGCGCACCTCGTCGGTCCGGTTGGGCATACCCGCGTGCCAGAGCCGCAGATCGCGGATGAGAATCGAGCCTGGGGTGGGAGTGGGAGAAGTCACGTCAGCTCATCTTACCGCTTAATCTGGCATGCTCTTGCTCTTGCTCTTCACATGCCGCACCTTTCTTGAACGTGGGCTGCAGCGGCGGCGAGACGCGCCTCCTCGCTGCGAGGAGTCCTTCGAGGATGCGACCCGATGCTCGCTCTCCGTGGGCACCCTCCTGGTCGGCAACAGTCGTGCCACGGTGGCTCCCCAGCCAGACTTCTAGTCGAGTGTTATCACAGGACGAGCAGAGGTTCAGCAGCAGCGTGGTCTGGAACTCGCGGCCTGCTCACCTGTCGACCCGTTGGCCGGCTCCATGTCGACGAGCCCGACATTGACGACGGCAGCAAAGGGGATCTGCCGGAGACGATGAGCAGGGAATGGTCCAGCAACAGGAACACCAGGGCAAGCGCTCTCACCTGGGGATGGTCGAAGTCTGCGTCGCAGTGCACCGGCTGACCGTGTTCGGCGCGTACAGCTGCGTTGGAGGAGATGAAAGACAGCGTCGGCCTGCCGCCAAGAAACGCGCTGGTGAGCTGCGCTGCAATGGGGTTGAAGAAGATGGAGGGGTGGAAGGACACGACCTCGTACGGTGGACTCTGTTGCAGGTTGCCGAGGTTGTAGTTGAACGGTCCCTCATCGCCGCGATCGACGAGGATGCGTGTGTCGCGGACCATGCGCGCATTGAGCGTGTCAATGGCATCCCCATCAACGACGTCCTTAACAGCCACGATGCCATCTCGATGCAGTGCTTCGAGTGCGGCCTGGACATGGCGCTGGTTTAGTCGCCCGTGCCTCTTCTCCTGGCCGTCGGGCTTGATGGACGTGATGGTATTGGCCGCCATGTGAAGCCCCTGACAGCCGGCCGCGGAGAGTCTCAAGCGACAGACAGAAAGGTGAGCGCGAGCAGCACTTGCAAGTAGAGCATGCATCGTAAAGTAGGATACCCTTTCCTGTAGATGCTCGCCTCGGCCCTCCCTGATATACCATTCTTCCAGTCCTTTGTCCACTCGGACGTCCGAACTGCCTGCTCACGCGCGTCGAAAACTTAGTGGAACGCCTAAGTTCGGAAGCCCGAGTCCGGCCTTCCGCACCACCAACGACGCTCAACGCGGGGGGGCCACGATGGACGACGTCGCGCCCTCGCCGTTTCCGCAGAAGCGCCTGGCATGCTTCGGCTGCCGCGACAAGAAGGTGGGTAGATGCAGTCCTTTGCCGAATCAAAGCCGAGCTCACATCGAGATGACCAGCTCCGCTGCGAAACCGACCGGGGCGACCGGTGCCAGAGGTGCACGCGCAAGGGCCTGTCCTGCGTGCGGCCCGAGAGCAAGCGCCAGAAGAAGCGTCTCTCGTCCCAAGCATCACCGGAGACGCCGTCAAGCGCTCGGTTCGAGCACCGTCGCCATGTCCGTGCTCTCGGCCGAGACAAAGGCCGCTGGGCGCACCACCACCGCATCGCAGCATTGCAGGATTCAGCACCGGCGCTCGAGCCAGCGGTGCCCGGCGAGAGCGAGGCGGACCTGGCGCCCATCGAGAGCGCTGAGCGGCTGTTCTGGAGCACGCTGAGCCGGCGCAAGGAGAAGACGTCGGGCCTCTTCAGCCCGCGGCTCGACAATGCGCCTTCGCTGGACCCGATCCTCAGCGGCGTCATCGACGATGCCGAGGCCGAGCGCCTCTTTCGGCGTTTCCACGACACCGCTGGCCGCACGCTGGCCTACTTTGACACGGCGCTGTGCACCTTTGGCTACGTGCGGCGCAACTCGCATGCGCTCCTCTGTGCCATGTGCCTCACCGTCGCCCGCGTCGAGCGAGGCTCTGAGACGGTGGCCGAAGCCCTCGAGGCGCACGTCGACCGCGTCGTCCTGCCCGCCGTGCTGCTCCAGGACCTGCGCTCCGTCGAGATTGTCCAGGCGCTCACGATGCTCGCCGCTTTTCAGAAGCCGAGCGACGACGTGCGTGAGGACCGCGCGTGGACGCTGCTGGGCCATGCTGTCCGCGTCGCCTCGGAGCTCAACCTCCAGGCCTCGCTGTACGAGGATGCTGCTCGGTTCCAGCGCCAGGCCGACGAAGCCGATTGCCGCCTCAGAAGGAACGCCGAGAGGTGAGACAGCTGCTACGCGTTGGGGCTCCACGACAGCTGATGTTGAGTATCTACACAGAGCGTGGATCAACCTCTGGCTGCACGAGGTCTCGCTCGCCCAGCACACCGGCCGGCGCTCCGTCGTCGTCGAGCAGCCGCTGGCGTCGGTGTGCCAGCGCTGGCATTTGGCACCGTACGCCTGCGCCGCCGACCGTGCACTGGTGTCGATGGTGGAGCTGCGGACGCTGGCGATGCGCAACCGCCGGCTCCACGACCAGCTCCGCCGCGCTGCGATGCCGACGGACCGCAGCGGCGCCACGGCCTGCTACGTAGAGCGGTGCCGCGCCGACCTGGCTGCGTGGTCGCGCGCATGGCTCGACGACCCGGGCTCGGCGACGATGCCCCGGCTGGAGCTGGCGACGCTGTATGTCGACCACGCGCTGGTGCAGCTCCTGGGTCTCGCCCTGCACCACATGGCGCCCGCAGAGTGGGCTGCCGACATCATCCTGAGCCTGTACGAGGCCTGCCTGGGATATCTCGCCGCCTTCCCACGGCTGCTGCCCCCGGCCAAGCTCGTGCACTGCTACAACTCCTTCTTTGTCGCCGCTTCGTACCAGACGGCCGTGGCGATGCGCCTGGCCGACCTGGCGCCCCGCTTTGGCTTTGTCGACGTGGCCAGAATCCGACGCCTGTGCGACGGTGTGGTCGCCTGCCTCGAGGGCGCTGCTGCTGCCTCGGCCTCGGCCTCGACGGCCGCGCACTCCTATGCGCGCTTCGTCAGGAACATCCTCCAGCCCCAGCGACGATCCGTGTCGCCTTCGAGGCCCACAAACGAGGGTGCAGCGATGGCAATAAACACCCCTTCGCTCACCGCGACCGCGACCACTACCACCACTACCACTGCAGCAACGCCGCTGTTTGACATTGACTCGTCCTCGCTCGGCTTTGAGAATCTCGAGTGGCTCGCGTGGGCCGGTGCCTCGTCGGCGCAGCAGGACGCCCTGCTGGCCGACCTCTTTTCCTTTCGGCAGTAGCCGCCCCCGTCCTGTCACTCTGCACCCACTGTATCTGTACTGTACTCTGATCTAACCACACTGCACACGAATGATGGCGATCTCTATCAATCACTCGCATTTGCACGGACTGAAACTTGAGAAATCATGCCCCGAGTTTCTCGAAGTCTAAATCGACGTGGCCGCCTATCCCCGTTCTCCCGTTGGGCGTCTATCGTCCATCGGGCGCTTCGATTGGAATATTGCCTTTTTTTTCGACGTGGTTCCGCGGAAATGGCCGGCCTCTTGCCTCGTTAGCTGCAGGACAGACCGTGCGCGAGAAAGCTTCGAGCAGACGTATAAAGCATCAAGCCTCGCCCTCGCTCGTCGCCGCAGGAGCCTCTCTGGGGACAAAAGAAACAGGACACGGGGCGCAGACTTGAACAAAACACGAGGAGCAGCACAAGTCTTGACGAGCACACAGCCATGGCGCCCTTTCGACCGCGCATCGCCATTGCTGGCGGCGGGCCCTCGGGCCTGGCGCTGGGCCTGCTGCTGCACCGGCGCGGCATCCCCGCGACCATCTACGACCTGCGCGGCCGCATGGGCGCCGAGGAGCTGGCCAAGCCGTCGGGCATGCTCGACCTGCACGAGGAGTCGGGCCTGGCGGTGATGCGCGAGTGCGGCCTCTGGGACAAGTTCCAGGCGGCCGTGGGAGACTGCTCCGAGGCGATGCGCGTCCTTGACCAGCACGGCACCCTGCTCCACGCCGACGAGGGCGAGCTGGCGTACCGGCCCGAGATCCCACGCAACGCACTGACGAACCTCCTCGTCGAGCACGTGCCTGCGCAGAGCATCCGCTGGCACCACAAGATCCGCGAGGCGTGGAGCGCGCGCAGCGAGGCCACGGGCGCCACCGAGATCACGCTCGACCTCGGCGCGCACGGCAGGGCGACGTACGACTTTGTCGTGGGTGCCGACGGCGCGTGGTCGCGCGTGCGCCGGCTGCTCACCGACGTCGCGCCCTTCTACAGCGGCAACCAGTTTCTCACGGCGACGCTGCGCCACGCCTCGACACGACACCCGCGCCTCGCCGAGCTCAACGGCACCGGCGTCATGACGGCCCTCGGCGGCGGCCACGGCATCCTGGGCCAGCGCGGGACACAGGACTCGATCCGCGTCTATGCCGCTGTGCGCACACCCGACGAGAACTGGGCCACAACGGCGGGCCTGGCCGGCAAGACGGCGGCCGAGGCCAAGGCGGTGCTGCTGCGTACTCAAGACGGGCCCTTTCACAGCTGGGCCGCCCCGCTGCAGGAGCTGCTCGCCACGGCGTGCGACGAGGAGACGCGCGACAACCCCGGCTGCGCAGCCGACATCAAGCCGCTGTACATGCTCCCCGTCGGCCACACGTGGGACCACAGGCCCGGCGTCACCCTCGTCGGCGACGCAGCGCACCTCATGACGCCCTGGGCCGGCGAGGGCGTCAACCTGGCCCTGTGGGACGCCCTCGACCTCTCGCGCGCCCTCGCCGCCGTGTCCGTCGAAGCAGCGGCTCCCGACGCGGCGGCGGCCTGGCAGGCGGCGCTGGAGCCGCACGTGCGCGCATACGAGCAGACGATGTGGGCGCGCGCACGCGAAAAGGCAGCCGAGACGGCCGCCAACATGGACCTCTTTCTCAGCGAGCACGGGGCCCAGGCCGTGGCCGACATGTTCAAGCGCGCAGGCTACGCGTAGGTGTGCATAATGGTAATACCCTTAGTCATCCTTTACCACATCCCCCCCTTTCTGCTGCTGTAATAATTCTATGTCATGCTGTTCATTTTGCTTTTGCTAAGTGCAGGGTAGGCTGGGGTGGACGTGGGGAGTGAGTGAGTGCGTGGCGACGCTGCGACGAGGGCGTGGAGCGCAGCATCAGATAGTCGCCGCTGCTCCTCTTCCATCCCCCGCGGCTATGCATGTCCGGGTGGGTGGGTGGGTGGGGCCCCGCGTCTGCCTGCCCTTCCACATCGCGCTAAGAAAAGAAGAAAGGGAGAGAGCGGCTAGAATATAAGGTTGCTAAAGGGGACGGTGACCTGGGACGATGGACGTTCTGCCTTGCTTGTCTGAGAATGCTTCGACACCGCCTGCCTCTCCTCTTGGCTGCACTCGCCTGGTCGACGGCGCTGGCCATCGCAACTTCGAAAAGCGACGAGTGCGTCGTGGGCGGCGGACATGTGCTCGCCGCACGGGGCTCGCAGACACGGCTCCTCACTGACCCACGGTCGCCCGCGGGTGTTCATCGCGCTGTGGCGTCCTTTGCCAAGGACATCGAGGCTGCCGTACCGGGGGCTCACGTAAGCGTGCGCAACGTCACGTCCGCCCGCGAGGTGACAAGCTACGAAGACGACGGCGGCGGCATTGCGCGTACGATCATCGTGGGCGCGCTCAACGAGGACGGAGGCCTGGCAGGGAGCATTGCCACCGAGAGCGGGACCAACGTGTCGCACATCGAGGGCCAGTGGGAGGCCTGGAGCGTGTCTCCCGCCCGTCTCTCGAGCGGTTCGGAGGTGCTTCTCGTCTCGGGCGCCGACAAGCGCGGCACCATCTACGCCCTCTACACGCTCTCGGAGCAGATGGGCGTCTCGCCGTGGCACTGGTCAGTGTTCTTGTCCTTTTCTTTATTGCTGTGTACCCGGCTCATTCAGACTACCACGCAGGTTCGCCGACGTGGCAACAAGGGAGCAGGCGCAGGTGCATGTGCAGCCCTGCTGGCACCCCTCGCCCACCGTCAAGTACCGCGGCATCTTTCTCAACGACGAGCAGCCGGGGCTGACCAACTGGGCCAACAAGCACTTTGGCACGGGCAGCACCCTCGGCAACAAGGACCCGCTGATGCAGAGCTTCCTTCCCTCGTTTTACGAGCACGTCTTTGATCTGCTTCTCCGGCTTAAAGCTAACATGCTGTGGCCTGCCTTGGTGAGTTGAAGAGCCCTTCACACCACGGCGGCGCTGGCACACTCACACCTAGTTCATCTATCCCAGTGGTCCGACATGTTTGCCGTCGCCGGGCTCGATGCGCTGCCCGCGCGGCCGCTCGCCGGGCCGAACCAGGCCATGGCCGACGCCTTTGGCATCATCTACTCGACGTCGCACCAGGAACCCATGGCGCGCAACACGCCCGAGTGGACCAAGTACGGCACGGGCGAGTGGAACTACACGACCAACAAGGCCGAGCTCGACGCCTTTTGGCGCTACGGTGCCGAGCGGGCTGCCCAGCTCGACACGATCTTCTCCGTGGGCATGCGCGGCGATGGCGACATCCCGCTGCCGGGCGCCAGCGTGCCTTTACTCGAGTCGCTCGTCGCCGAGCAGCGCAAGATCCTCTCGAACGCCCACGGCGGCGCCGACGTGACGACGATCCCGCAGCTGTGGTGCCTGTACAAGGAGGTGCAGAGCTACTACGACGAAGACGGGCTTGCGGTGCCCGACGACGTGACGCTGCTGTGGACCGACGACAACTGGGGCAACCTCCGGCGCGTGCCCTCGGCCAACAACGAGACGGCGCGCGCGGGGGGAAGCGGCCTCTACTACCACTTTGACTACGTGGGCGACCCGCGCAACTACAAGTGGATCTCGACGATCAACTTTGCAAAGACGTGGGAGCAGCTGAGCGTCGCGCAGCAGACGGGCCTCGACCGCATCTTTATCCTCAACGTCGGCGACCTCAAGCCAATCGAGGTGGCCACCCACTACGCACTCGACCTGTCCTACCGCGGCACCGCCTCGGCTGCCATGGCGCCCGACGAGTGGCTCAGGGCGTGGTCCCGCTCGACGTTTCCCGCGCTGCCCGCGGCGGACGTGGCGCGCGTCGTGGCCGGCTACAACATGCTCAACAACCGCATCAAGCCCGAGCTGCTCAATGCGACGACGTGGAGCCTCGCGTGGCACCACGAGGCCGAGGCCGTCGAGGCAGCCTGGGACGAGCTGACGTCGACCGTGGCCCGGCTGCGATCTGAACACACGACCGACGCCGCCTTTGAGCAGCTCGTCGCCTTTCCCACGCTCGCCTCGGCCAACCTCAACAGGCTGTACACGGCTGTGGGGCGCGCGAATCTGCATGCCAGCCAGGCGCGCAACTCGGCCAACCTCTGGGCCGACAGGGCGGCGGACCACTTCCTGCACGATGGCGAGCTCACGGCAGCGTACCACGCGCTGCTGGATGGCAAGTGGGATGGGTATGTTCATTGCATGTGTGATGATTGTCTCTGAATGCGCGCTGATTTCAGCATCAGAATGATGAGCCAGTCGCACATCAACTACGCCTACTGGCAGCAGCCGATGCGCGACACGATGCCACCCGTCGCCAGGGTGCAGACCGACGATGCCTGGCCTGCCGAAGACGGGTACATGCCCTCGTCGTCGCCGGGGCCCCTGCGCGTCACCATCGAGGGCAGCAAGGGCGCCTGGCCCGGCGACAACGTCAACAACTGCGCTCAGGGTGGGTTTGGGAGATAGCAATGTGAATGAAAGACGAGATTGCTGACTGACAAGAGAGTAACAAAAGGCTACAGCTGTCCTCCCCCGTCGCTGCAGCCGATGGATCGGTACGGCGCGCAGAAGCGGTGGATCGACGTGTCGAGCGGGACGTGGCGCGGCGTAAGCTACACCGTGTCGAGCAACGTGTCCTGGCTGACGCCATCGACGAGGTCGGGCCACCTCGCGGGCGATGGCAGCACCGACGCGCGCATCTGGGTCACCGTCGACTGGGACAAGGCGCCCACGAACAATCTCAGCTACGGCGGCATCTCCATCATGCCGGCCAATGGCACGCTCACGAGGACGTCAACCACGACGGTCACGGTGCCCATCGACGGCAGTAGCGTCGAGGGAGGGCCGAAGAGTGGCGGTTTTGTTGAGGGCGACGGCATTGTGGCCATGCCTGCGAGTAACGCGACAAAGGCAAGCAACACCACCGACGCCAGCTGGCTCTCACTGCCCGGGTACGGCCTGACGGGCCAGGCGATGACGGTCATGCCCGCCACGGCGCCCACGTACGAGGTGGGCAAGGGCCCCGCGCTCGTCTTTGACTTCTACAGCAGCGCCTCGGGCCCCGTCAATGTGACGACGTACCTCGGGCCGATTCTCAACTACCGCGCAGGAAACCCGATGACGTACGCGCTGCAGATCGACGACGGCGCACCAGCGACGGTGCAGCCGATCCCGCTGGCCAGCTCGGCGGGCTCGGACCCGCCCGACTGGAACGGCGTCGTGGCGGCGGGCGTGCGGACAAAGACGACGCAGATGTCGCTCGGCAGCAGCACCGGCTGGCACACCCTCACCCTGTGGAGCACGCAGCCGGGCCTCGTCGTCGAGATGGTAGTCATTGGCCAGGCGCCCCTGACCAGCCTGCCCCCGCCGCCTTCCTTCCGGATGGCAGACTGATGGACGGCAATTGCATGTCAATCACTGTTGTAGTAGTGCATAAGAGAAATGGATTCATGAGGCAGACTCCAGCACGAACAATGGGGTGACCCATATGCAGGGACGAGAAAAAGAAAAGCCAAAAAAAAAAAAGTAGCCGTGCTGCGTCACTCTTGTTGATGCGCCTTGCCGTCTCAGCCGTCGTGGTGCGACAGGCAATACTCGAGGTGCCTTACTACGTCTTCGAGCTTTTGGGCATTTGCGTCGACGGTCGACAGCCTGGCCTCAATGTCCGGGAATGATGGCGGCGAGGTACGCAGGGCTCGGAGCGCCAGGCTTCGCGACCCCTTTTCCTTGGCCTGATTGAGGAGCCAGCGTGCATAGGCCTCGTCGCGCTCCCCCTCGACGGCAGCCACGCGCTCCCGGTACGCCTCGACCGCACGGATGGCGACCAGGAAGTCGTCCATGGTAGGCTTCTGCTTTCGCACCAGTGCCCTGAGGTCTGGCACGTCTGCGTCGCCGGCGCTCTTGTCGCCCTCGTCCGGCTCTGTCAGTGCCGTTTCGTCGCCCAGCTCCGAGGGCCTGGCAAAGGGGGAGAAGAGAGGGTCCTTCCTTTGCAGCCTCCTGGACTGGCGGCGCGACGGGCTGCTGCTCCCGCCTTCGTCTGTGCGAGCGCGCTTGGAAGAGCGACTGCCCGTTGACGACGAGGGAGGGCCTACTTCGGCACTGGAATCGTCTTCGTCGTCGTCGACATCCATCGTCACACCCTCGAGGCCGTCCCAGGGAATGCCAACAAAGCGCGGGCGAGTGTCTGGCTGCCCTTGGAGCACGGGCAGGGGGCGCTCGAGGGAGGAGGGCCTCACGAGATCGCGAAAGCCAGAGAGGTGGTCCACCTCACAGAGCTGCAGGCAGTATTCTGCGAGCTCGGCGATGGCTTCTGCCTCGGGGCGCCACTGAAGCGGACGGCCGTCACGGCTCTTGGCATTGTGCGCAGCGACGAGAAGAGCGAAGATTGGGTGCACGGTGAGCCAGAATGGTTCCAAGTACTTCTTGGAATCCACGTCCGCAAAGAGCGTCGGCACCGTCGCATCCTTCTCGGCTTTAAATTCGCGTCTTCGACCGCCGAGCCTGACGAAAAAATCAGTTGGTGGCCGTCCACTGCCAAAACCCCAGAGCAGGTACTGGTACTAGATCACAGAGGAACGACGGATGAGCGACTGGAGGAAAAAGAAGAAAAAAAAAAAAGAGAAAAGAAAAAAGGAAGAATCATTCCCTGACTCACGCGCTTCGTTCCATCCTCGAGCTCGTGCTGACAGCCATTGGCGACCACACTCCAAGGCTCAAAGGTGGGAACATCGAACGTCTCGTCGTTCTCCTTGCTGGCGAGAAAGGTTTCGAGTGAGACGGCCACGTCGACCAGAGTCGCCAGACTGGGTGTCAATGTGAGCCTAAAGGCGGCTCCCGGCTCAAAGCGCTTGTGGAAGCCCAGACTCAAGAAGATGAGGTTGTCGACCGCGCACCTGCGACGGGCTCGCTGCTGTGGTAGATCTCGGAAAGGACCAGTCGAGCGAGACCAGATGTGGAGCTGCTCAAGCAGCCTTTCGCTGTGAGGAAAGACATGGGCGCCCTCAGGGAGAATTTGCCCGCTGAGAGTGCAGCATCGATACGCCTCGTCGCCCTCAACACCTGGCGTCCTAGTGTTGTTGTGCCGGTTAACCAGATCCAGCGTCTCCTCGGTAGAGCTGGCAAACTCGCGCGGGGGTGTATCTTCGCCAAGAAGCACGGGAACCTTGATGTCTCCCAAACGGAGGCGACGCAGCCTGGTAGCGGCAGGTTCGTGTGGCATTGCCATTGTAGTGGTGGTGCGGGCTTTTGTGTTGGCTGTCGTATCTCGTTGAAGCTTTTTATCATCGTCTGCACTGTGTGCTTGTGACGCAAAAGAAAACTTCCCTCAAACCTGGCGTCTCTCGCTTTGCATATTGCAGAGCAAGCAGAGGACCTTGCAGCGGGCAGCTACAACCAGCCTTTGACTAAAAGGCAAGTTGCCAAAAGAGCCACAAGACCATCAAACTTCCTTCCGTGCGTGGCTTGCCTTGTTGTCTCACTGTGACATAACCAGTAAATTAGACTAAAGGAGGCGACATATATTTAGTTGTACAGTACACAGGATCGTATTGTTTGTAGACAGAGATGCGCTTCCGAAGATGCGCTTCCACAATTTCAATTTGTCGCAAAGGCCCTAGTCGGCAAGCTGGGTGTACGTACTCCGCGGCTACTCAAACAGCGACAGGGGGATGCTGGCTGCCAGGGCGCCGTAGCCGGCTGGGTTCATGTGGAGCCCGTCGCCCGAGTCATACTTGCTCGCAATCACGCTGTGGTTTGCCGGGTCGCGCACGACGGCATCAAAGTCGAGCACGGCGTCAAAGTGCTGCGAGGAGCGGATCCAGTCGTTGACCGTCTGCCGGCTGGCTTCGCGGAGCGCGCTGCCGTAGGTGTTGAGGCCAAAGGGCGTAATTGTCGCGCCGTAGATGGTCTTGCCCTGCGCATGAACACGTGTGATGATCTGGTCGTACGCGGCCAGGAGCTGCTTGACCACGGCGTCCTGCGCCGCCGGCGTGGCGTCGGCCGTGCCAATGTCGTTGACGCCCTCAAAGAGAATGACCCAGTGGGCGCCCGTCTGGGCGAGCACGTCGCGGTCGATTCGGCCGAGAGCATTGGGTCCCAGGCCGTCTGCGAGCACGCGGTTGCCGCCGGCCGCCTGGTTGAGGTACGTCACGGCCGTGTCGTGCGGGAAGCGGGCGTAGAACTGGTCGGGCCACCGGTCGTTGCCATTCTCAGTGCTCGCGCGGCCGTCGGTGAGCGAGTCGCCGACGATGACGATCGCACGGCCCTGCTGCTGCTCCACCTCGAGGGCATCGATAAAGTACCTGTGTCCGGAGTCAGTCTCTATCTTTCACACGTGCTGTGAACAGAGACAAGCAGTAGAGGGAGGCGGTCGACTCACCAATGCTCGGTCGTCACGGCGTCGGTCACGTTGCTGCTCCGAGTCTGGTCGCCCGCGGCAATGTAGGTCGTCGTGCGCGAGCCAGGGTGCGAGGTGATGTCGGCGCCCGCCTGGCCGCCGCCGAGGTACATGCTCACCGTCAGATTCTCATTGTTGGCCACATCCATGTGCACCGGGTCGCTGACGACGAGGGCACCGTTGGGCACGGAGAAGGACGTCAGGTTGGAAAAGGTGAGCTGGTGCTGCGACCGCGCCACAATCGACGAGGTGCCGACGGAGCCGTTGAGCGGCCGCGCGAGCCAGGCCGAGGTGATGTCGAGGTTGGAGCCCCCAAAGACGTTTGTGAAGCGCATACGGACACGCCGGGCGCCTCGGCTGACTTTGAATGTCTGCCGCAGCGTGGCGTTGAGGAACTTCACGTCGGAGTTGTTGTAGGGCGCGGGCGGCAAATTCGCCGGCTCGGTGAGCTGGGGCATCGTCGCCCAGCTTGCCAGCCAGCGCGCCCTGCCCGGGGATGAGCTTGCCGCCGCCGCCGACGCCGCTGCTGCGGTCGACGTGACCACGGCAGCAGCAACGACGATGGCGAGAAGCGCAGAACAGAAGACTAGTTGCATAGGGTTGTTTTGTTCTCTGCGTCTACGCGCTCTTGCTCTTGCGAAGAATGGCGCCAAGAGACGCGAGCTCTATTTCTAGCCTCGTTTGCACTCGAATTCCCCACATATCCCCACCCACCCTTGGCGCGCCCCACGCCTTACGACATACGCTCTCGCAGCTCCCCCCCACTCCACCTCCACGGAGACCCACCCCCGCGCCGAAGCATCATGCTGGTCATGGAGGATGATCTTCTCGTCGCGCGTCCCTTCATAAGGGGCGGCCATATACTTGCCACCGTCTCGCAAGACAGCAAGGAACAGCAAGCAAGCCAGACATGAAGACCACACCGCTATCGCTGCTACTCGTCGTCGCTGCAACGCTGGCTGCGGCACCCGCCGCGCTCGGCCGCAGCATCAACATCACCGGCAACGGCGGCTGGGAGGCGGCCCTCGCGCGCGCCAGGCACGCCGTCGCCCAGCTCGACCTCGCGGAAAAGGTCAACCTGACCACGGGCATTGGCTCCGTCGGCCGCTGCGAGGGCACGCTGGGCCGCGTCGACAAGCTCGGCATCCCCGAGCTATGCTTCCAGGACGGGCCGACGGGCGTGCGCGCCAGCGACTTTGTCACCGTCTTTCCCGCCGGCGTCACCACCGCCGCCACATTCAACCGGGACCTGTTTGAGGCGCGCGCCGAGGCCATGGCTGCCGAGTTTCGTGCTAAGGGCATCCACGTGCTCCTGGGCCCCGTCACCGGCGGGCCCCTCGGCCGGTCGCCGTACCAGGGCCGCAACTGGGAGGGCTTTGGTGCCGACCCGTTCCTCGTGGGCGAGGCCGCCTATCGCTCGGTGCGCGGCATCCAGTCGCAGGGCGTCATTGCCACCGCCAAGCACTTTCTCGTCTACGAGCAGGAGACGTTCCGCCAGCTGTACGCCGCCGACGACCCCTGGACGCTGAACCCGGAGAACAACACCGTCAACACCTACTCGGCCAACGTCGACGACCGTACGATGCACGACCTCTACCTGCGCCCGTTCCAGAATGCGGTGCGCGCCGGAGCGGGCTGCATCATGTGCGTCTACAACCAGATCAATGGCACCCAGGGCTGCGAGGCGCCCGCCGTGATTGGCGGCCTGCTCAAGGACGAGCTCGACTTCCAGGGCTTTGTCGTCTCTGACTGGTCCGCCGTCTTCAACACGACGCCCGCCGTCAATGCGGGTGTCGACGTCATCATGCCCGGCGGCGCCACCACGGGCGGCTACCGCAACCAGGTGGGCGGGCCTGCGCTGCTCGAGGCTGTGCGCGACGGCCAAGTGGACGAGGCGCGCGTCGACGACATGGTCACCCGCTTCCTCACCCAGTACTACCTCCGCAACCAGGACAAGGACTACCCTGCGGTGAACTACAAGGACGGGTACATGGGCACGTACCTCAACGGCACCCGCGTCAACGAGCACCGCAACGTGCAGGCGAACCACGCGGCCGTGGCGCGCGACATCAACGAGGAGGCCATCACGGTGGTGTTTAACCACAAGCGCGCGCTCCCGCTGAGCAAGCGCAGCAAGGTCGCCATCTTTGGCTCCGACGCGGCCACGAACCCGTACGGCATCAACGGCTGCGAGGCCTGGATTGGCGCCGGCTCGAACCTGTGCCCGGGCAACCGCACCACCAACGGCACCAACGCCATGGGCTGGGGCTCCGGCGCGGGCTACTTCCCCTACCTCATCGACCCCGCTGCCGGTCTGCAGGAGCACGTGCGCGCCGTCGGCTCCTTTGAGACCAACTTCAACGACTACGACCTGACGGGCGAGAACCTGGCGCAGATTGAGCGCTTTGCCCAGATCTCCGACGTCGCCCTCGTCTTTGTCCAGGCGCGCTCGGGCGAGGACTCGGACCGGACGTCGCTTGCGCTCGAGGCCAACGGCGACGAGCTCATCGCACGTGTCGCCGCGCAGAACAACAACACCATCGTCGTCGCCCACATCGTCGGGCCGACGTACCTGGACGCCGTCTTTGACAACGAAAACGTCTCAGCCCTCGTCCTGCCCCATCTCCCCGGCCAGGAGTCGGGCAACACGCTGGCGAGGGTGCTGTACGGCGACGTGAACCCGTCGGGTAAAGTGCCGTACAGCATCCTGCGCAGGGACGATGCGTCGCACTACCCCAACATCACGCGCCAGAGCGCCGCCGACGGCACCATTCCCGTCGATTTCACCGAGGGCGTCTTTGTCGACTACCGCAAGTTTGACCGCGACGGCGTCACGCCCCTCGTCCACTTTGGCCACGGCGTCTCGTACACGACGTTTGACTTTGGCGCCACGTCGGCCCAGGCGGCCCCGGCCGGCGACTACTACCCCACCGAGGTGCCGTCGTCGTCAAATAAAAAGGCGCCGGGTGGGCCCAACTCGCTGTGGGAGTACGTGGCGACAGTCGAGAGCAGCGTGTCCAACACGGGCAGCCGCGACGGCAAGGAGGTCGCCCAGCTCTATCTCTCGTTCCCCGACTCGGTCAAGGGCGTGCCCAAGAAGCAGTTGGCCGGCTTCGAAAAGGTGCACGTGGCCAAGGGCCAGACGGAAAAGGTCGCCTTCCAGCTGACGAGGCGCGACTTTGCCATCTGGTCCGTCGAGAAGCAGGAGTACGTGGTGCCCGACGGCGAGTACACGGTCCGCGTCGGCGCCAGCGCAGACGACGACCAGCTGCGCTCCTCGGCGAAGCTCACGATGAAAGACGGGCGTGTGTCCTCATGAAGCCAAGTGCGCCTCTTCGGTACTTGAAGAAGAAAAAGAGCATGTCACCCGTCTTGAACAGTAACTGCACATGCCAAGACATCATTTTTAATAGTCCAAAGTCTGAATGCAACATCATCTTGGCCCCAAAGCAGACCAGATGGACCCAGAGATGACCAGATGGACGCAGAGCTGATCGAATTCGATTTGAATGGCTCAGGAAAAGTGGCCCTCAAAGTGATGAAACTCATTCAAATTCGATCAGATGGCAAACCATGGGAACGGGACCATGATCGAGGCCTCCCCCAGTGACGGGATCGACAGACGGGGGCGGCGTACACCATCTCACCCGCCACCGCCCACGGTGAGACGAGGCGGAGGTGGGAGTACATCGCATAGATGTGCTGCGGTCCAGACCCAGCGGCCCCTGCTTGCTCGTGATCGCGCACTACGGTTCCTGACGAGGCCACCCCCGCGCCGAGGAACGGCATCTGGGACCCGGCGGGGCGCGTCGGCACTGGAGCAGCAAGCGCGCCCCTTAGCGCGCGACACGACATGAGCCTAAATCTGCTTAGCTCACCCCCACATGGCCGATGGCATTGAGCCAAAAGCGGGGGAACGGAGTACCCGCCGAGCCCTGGCAAGGCACTCTGCGAGTCGCCACTCAAGGTCAGGTCATGGAAGCATTTACCCTCCAAAATTTGCTCTCTCTCTCTCTCGGAGACTAGCAGTTGCGGGGCACCAGCTCCGGACTAAAGAAGAGCAAGGGTAGCTAGTAATGATAGTGGCTTCGGTGGGGGCGATCGAGTTAGCTCGTCGACTTTTTCGACAGCGTCCGTACCTTGCACCTGGCTGCAGCCGCTGTTGCGCGGCCCCTGCCGAGGATGTGGGCATTTCCCCCGCGTCGAGTTGCCGTGTCCCCTCCCCTCCCCTCCCTGCCGACGTTGACAGGCCACAGTGGTGTATATAACGGCATCTGGCATCTCGTGTGAGAACAGCCTACCTCGTGTCACCCACTCTCTCTTTCCTCTCTCCTCTCTCCTTGCTACGCTCATCAACGAAATGATCACAAAGTCGTCGCAGGCTGGCGGTGTCGAGACGGTGCTGCTGCAGCGCAGGCTGGAGCTGTCGGCCCGGCCAGGCGTCAATGGCCTGCTTGCGAACCCGCGCACCTTTCTCATCGCCCTCTTTGCCTCACTCGGTGGCTGCGTTTATGGCTACAACCAGGGTGAGTCTGTCGCGACACAAAACATCTCTCCCCCCGCAGCACCGTCCCACTGACGGTTCCCTTCGCCACAGGCATGTTTGGTCAGGTGCTCAACATGAAGAGCTTCCAGGCCGCGTCGGGCACCGAGAACATCAGCAACGACAACCCAACGCTGACGTCGTTCTTGACGGCCATCCTCGAGCTCGGCGCCTGGGTCGGTGTCCTGGCCAACGGTATTCTCGCTGACCAGGTCGGCCGAAAGATGTGTGTCGTCATTGCCGTCTTCTTCTTCTCCATCGGTGTCATCGTGCAGGCCTGCACCCACGGCGGCTCCTACACCTACATTCTCGGCGGTCGCTTCGTCACCGGTCTCGGCGTTGGTTCTCTCTCCATGATTGTGCCCCTGTACAACGCCGAGCTCAGCCCGCCCGAGATCCGCGGCGCGCTCGTCTCTCTGCAGCAGCTTGCCATCACCTTTGGTGAGTTTTTTCTCTCTCTCACTCTCTCGCCCACAGATTTCCATGGCTGACAAGCGGATTGACAGGTATCATGATTGCGTACTGGATCACCTACGGCACAAACTTCATTGGCGGCACCGGCGAGGGCCAGTCGAATGCCTCGTGGCTCGTCCCCATCTGCATCCAGCTCGGCCCGGCGCTCATCCTGGGAGCCGGCATCCTCTTTATGCCCCAATCGCCGCGCTGGCTCATGGACGTCGGCCGCGAGGAAGAGTGTCTCTCGACGATTGCTGGGCTGCGCCGCCTCGCGGTGGACCACCCCCTGGTCCAGATGGAGTTCCTCGAGGTCAAGGCACAGAAGCTGTTTGAGACGCGCGTCTCGGAGATGGACAACCCCCAGCTCCAGGACGGCTCGAGGCGGAGCAACTTTATGCTGGGCGTCAAGGGCTACGCCTCGCTCATCTCGTCGCGCTCCAACCTCAAGCGTCTCACCGTCGCCGTGCTCATCATGGTCTTCCAACAGTGGACCGGTGTCAACTTCATCCTGGTGAGACGCAGCCTCCTCGTCGCCGTGAAAGAAAAGTGTGTGCCGTACTGACGGTAATCCTAATTTCCCCTCACGCCACAGTACTACGCGCCATTCATCTTCCAGAAGCTCGGTCTTGGCGGCCAGACGACTTCGCTGCTCGCCTCGGGCGTCGTGGGTGTCGCCATGTTCCTCGCCACGATCCCGGCCGTGCTGTACAGCGACAAGCTCGGCCGAAAGCCGCTCCTCATCACGGGTGCTGCCATGATGGGCATTTGCCACTTTGTCGTTGGCATCATCATTGCACGCGTCAACCCGGACCCAAAAAACCCCATCGGATTCCAGAACCACCCCGCGGCCGGCTGGGTGGCCGTCGTCTTCATCTGGCTCTTTGCCATTGCCTTTGGCTTCAGCTGGGGTCCCTGCGCGTGGGTCCTCGTCGCCGAGGTGTTCCCGCTCGGCCTCCGCGCCAAGGGTGTCTCGATCGGTGCCTCGTCCAACTGGCTCAACAACTTTGCCGTGGGCATGTCCACGTACAACTTTGTCTCGGCAGCCCCCTACGGTGCCTATATCTTCCTTGGCCTCATGTGTGTTCTCGCCGTCGGCTACGTCTGGTTCCTTGTCCCCGAGACCAAGAACAGGACCCTCGATGAAATCGACGAGCTGTTTGGTGACGACAGCGGACGGTCCCAGCTCGAGTCGCAGATGCTTGCTGCGGCGTACCGCGACGTCGGCCTGCTCGAGGTGGCCGGTGTGGAAAAGGAGGCGCCCGTCGTCAGCGCTCTTCCTCACAGTGATCGCTCGCTCCACAGTCACAGCTCTGAAGCAAAGGAGTGACATGGCACCTTCTCTTCTTGTCGCCATGTATTTCGTCACATCTATCAAGCAAAAGCACTATTTCTTTCCTTTCCCCTTTTCATTTTTTCCCGCCACTCTTTATTTTTTTCTCCTCTAACAAAGTGTGAGATTTGTCTGTTTAATTGTTTTTCCCCTGTCAGGAAGTGAGAGATTTGTCGTCTGGATTGCCGGACGAGATTTCGTATCACGGGCAATCCCCATGATATCATGCAGCTTGTCACCGGACCGTGAGCAATTCGCAAGGAATACTGGGCGCAGCCCCCCGCCCAATCCTCAGATCCACATCGCGCCTAACAAATGAATTTGTGGCATTTCGATCGCCGCCAAACGAAAGTAGATTAGAGTCCCTGGCTAGCTTGGCCCAAGTGGTCCGGTGGTCCAGCCTTTCTGTAGAGGCCCAATTTGACCCTGCGACGCGCTCGGACAGAGGCCTCAGTCATCGGGAACGTCATCAATCTTTCTTTCTCTCTAGCTTTGTTGATATTCGCGTTGATATTCGCTGATCACGGGGTGAAGTGGCAGGAACAGGTGGAGACACTCGCAAAAACTTCTGACAACACATGATCAGCGCTCAGTAGTACGAACGGCGTCAGAGGAGACGACAGTAGCACATTGCTCCGGAGGCGGACCCTCCTTTTTGCTGTGCACTTCGAGACCCAGGCCGAGGGGCTGGACCAAAGTCTTAGCATGTCACTGTACGGACGGGACTCAAACGTCTAGCGCCTACAAAGTCCGAGCACGGCAAAGAAAACTTTGTGTGTGAGTAACACCTCCGTCTGGGCATACGGACAAACCCAAATGCAATCTCGCTCGAGATAGAGCGTGTCTGCATGTTTGCCCGCTTCCTTTTTTCCCATCGGTACCGCATTGGCAACGTTGACTTTTCCCTTCGATGCGTCGTCGGTGACGAACCCTCCGCTCTGCCCACAGGGTCGTCACCTCTTGCCAGTTTCCAGGGTCCGGCTCTGGTAAGAGTTTGCCCATGTCCTTCCGAAGTCAGTCAATTTCGACGTGACAAGAAAGCCTGAAGGCACGAACGAGCCAGTCAAGACAGTGTCCGGACTTGGTGGCGGGCGCTCTTCTCGGATCGCCAAGTCTTAAACAAGCAAAGGATTCTTGTGACCGACAACGACGCAGAACTTGCTCCGATATCTGCATTGCTCCGCCATATCACCGCTATCAGTCTGTTCGCCAATGCAACAATCTCTGCGACGACGCGCACCTGGGCTTCGGATTGCCGGCGATCGTTTCGAGTGCATTGCCGTGCTTGGTTCCAGCCCATTCAGCATGGTCTATCTTGCGAGAGGCATTCCTCAAAGCCCAGGTCTTGTCGACTCATTCTCGTCCTCATCGTCGAGTACATCAAGCCAGCACAATCAGTTTGCTATCAAGTGCCTTGATAAAATCTCTTGCGACGACATTCAACGAAACTGTCAAAAGCGCGAGGCTTCTCTCCACGCCACCGTGTCCCATCACCCCTCCGTCGTCACCTTGCTCGAGGTTATCGACCGAGAGGCAGACAAGTATCTTTATCTGGTCCTCGAGCACTGCCCCGACGGCGATCTGTTCAACATGATCGCTATGCAAGAGCGGTACACCACCGCATGGCAGGAAGATACCGGGTCTGCCATCGGCCTCGGTATTGAGCTTGAGCCGGACGGCGCAGACACTCACGAGCAGAGAGAGGGATTGCAGGCTGACCAATACAATGGCAACCATGAGGGACAGCGAGGTCGTCAACATCAGGACGAAGAGAGGGCACGGACCGAGTTGGAAAGCCTTATCAAGCACGTCTTTGCGCAGATCATTGACAGTGTCAAGTACTGCCACAGTCAAGGCATATTCCATCGCGACCTCAAGCCGGAAAATATCCTGTGTCTAGAAGGGGGTACAAAGGTCGTCCTCGCCGACTTTGGGCTGGCGACAAGCGAGACGAGGAGCAAAGACTTGGGTTGTGGCAGTGCCATCTATAAGAGCCCCGACAGCTTTGGCGGCATCGACAACGAAATGTCCGACTACGATACGGCAGCGAACGACGTGTGGGCGCTCGGCGTGTTGCTGATCAACCTCATTTGTCGCCGCAATCCTTGGAAGCAGGCAACGATGTCCGACACGACTTTTCGTGAATATGTGCGGCGCCCCGATGTCCTCTTGGACATTCTGCCCCTCTCGCAACAAATGTACGAGGTTCTCATACGTGTCTTGACCGTGCACGAGGACGAGCGTTGCAGCCTCGACGAACTGGCAAGCATGGTCGACTCTCTCGAGTCGTTTATTGTTCCCGACAAAGTCGAGAGAAGACGGCCCCTGGATGAGCCCAAGAGCGCAAGCATGTCCCCTGATCCGGTGATGAGCTGGAATCGAGGTCGCCGAGAGCAGCAGCGCGAAAGAGCAAATTCCAAGGACCGTCTTTATTCTCGCGGTGCTCGACGAGGCTCCCAGCTCGACATCGAGCAAGCGGCGGAGTTTGTCGAGGAGCGTCTTCAGCCCAGCGGTGAAGTAGGCAATACGTTTCCTCTCATTCCCGTCAGGTTGCACCGCATTAGCTCAGTTGGATCAACAGCAGAGAACTGAGTCTCGGTGCCACAGTCGCCGCCGCACCGAGTGTCCAGCAGTGCTGTACCGCAACAGTGCTTAAGCTGCCACTACATAGTCCTGAGGGGTGTACTGCACACCACAATCGACCTTGGAATACCATAGACGGTCTCTCTCTCTCTCTCTCTCTCTCTCTTCACAGGAAAAAAAAAAATAAAAAGGGCAAAATAAAAAGGTCGCTTCCATTTGACATGTACTTGTACTGTACTGTAGATTACACTATGCAACCACTACCGAGATTGTGCTGAACAGGCGGCCCCCACACCAAGTGCATCGCTCATTCGCCCTACCGCGTGCGATGGAGGTGATACATGAGCTTGAGCCACGCCACCACTGCCAGTAATTCTTTTAAAAGGGAAGATGACCTCTACCAGTGGCACAGCGGCAAAGACGACACTCAAGACACACCAGCGTCAGTTCCCGATGAAAGGAGGTGCTCCCACCAAGTGTCATCGAGCGCAACGAGAGAGTCCAGGACAGTAAAGCCCCTCGAGTCTCTCCAGATGCCGACGCTGCCAAAGTCGGGGCTGAGCCGGCCGTTGCTGTTCCTCTGGACAGGCTGTGAGAGACCGCCTTCGGGTAGCGCAGTCCAGTAGTCGCCCATGCGAGACGGCGCGTCTGCGGTCTCTGAGGCTGCGTTGGGTTGGATGAAAGGCTCAGATACCCTAGGGGTTGGCTGCTGCTCGTGCTGCGACGAGTGACTGTGCCCGACGCCGTACATGTCAACGAGCATGGCCAGACGCTGCCGTGCTTCGTCGCTCAGCGGGTTGGCCTTGCACAAGGGCAGAATGTCGAGGATGCGAAGAATGTCGGGAGCCAATGTCCGCATCTCGTCCATATTCAGCACCGGGGGAAGACTGGTGACTGAAGCGATTGTGGTAGCGGTGCTGGTCGCATATCTTGGCGTGCTGCTGGCCGTCTCGCTGCTCCCGCTGCTAGGGTAGAAGGATGGAGTATCTGGCGTTCGTCCACTTCCTGTTGCGGCTCTGACCTGGCCTAGAGAGGTGCCCGGGCTGCTGAAATCAGGCAGACAATTGATGCGAGCAATGGGTGCGCTGTCGTCTTTGGCGTAGGAGGGTATTTCTCCCCGGAGCCTGCTTGCGCTGAGCAGCGGGATGGCCAGCGTTGTAGCTGCGTTGAAGAAGGCCATGGCCGCCCAGGGCATCTGGACGACCTTGCCACACGACAAGAGCACCCTCATCACGTCGATGGATCGGACAGACTCTCTGGCGTTGCTGAACGCCTCGCGCTGCAGTTGCGTCAGGACGGGCGAGCTGACGTCCGTGATCGACTCCTCCGTTACCCAGGCGCCCAAGAGGGCGTTGAGAATCTGTCGGCAGCCGACATGGATGACAGCTGCTTGACTGGCCCTTCGACAAGCAAAGTAGTCGCTTCCGTCAAGAAAGTCGGGCTCAGCGCAGTCTTTCTGGATGCTGTGCTTCCACCTTTTGATATCGTTGCAGATAACAATCCCCTGATGTAGAAGCGCTTCTCTCCGATGGTCCACCGAACTAGCCTTGCCTTTTTCTTCTTGTCCACGCCAAGCCTTGATGGCTACAATGTGGTCGGAGACGGCCTCGACATGAGCAGAGAGGCTGGTAAAGAGCTTCCCAAGGATGGGGATCTCATCCATCTCGGATTGCTGCTTGAGCCTGAACACGCGAGGGACACTCTTTGTGGGCGCTCGAAATGCTACTGGTCTCTGCTCCTCGCCATTGACCAGGCGGTTGCCTGGTGGCGCAGCACGAAAAGGCGCCCCAAGACTCGTGCAGAACCATTGAGGATGCTCGACGTTGATCTTGGCTTTGCGAATCGGACTAGAGCTGCCTTGGTCGGTGTACATGCCGACCCATCTACACATTGAAGTAAGTTAGCAAAGCGATAGCTGAGATTCACATAGCAAGGCCGCCCACGCACCTGTCCCAGCTGACAAAACGCCACATCAATCGCCGAGCGAATTCGGTTTCCAGGTCGTTCAGACCTTGCCATAGCACAGTGCTCTCGTCCGTGAGACCAGTCAATTGGATCAGTTGATGGGTGTAGTCTCTGACGAGTGGCCAGTCTTCTGGCTTGCGATGGCCTGCGCTGGGCAGATAGTCGAGGATGAGAGCGAGGACGAAGAGCTCGTTAAGGTAATAGCGGGGCGAGAGAGACAATGTCGCCATGCCAGTAAAGTTATGCCTCGCATTCTCTCGCTGAGTCGAAACGTGGGCAAAGACATGGTTGATCAGCGTGACATGAAGCGATCCCAGATGGGCGGCCGTCGAGTAGTATATGTGGGGGCCTTCGTTGAGCAGCAGAGCAGCGACGGCGAGTGAAGCGACGAGCACGACGCTTTCCGACTGTGTCACACGCCCTCCATGGACGAAGCGGCACCAGATGGGATGAAGCCACTGAGCACTGATGTTAGTCACCATCCAGTCGGCCTGTGGAGAGGAGATAGACCATGTGTCAGACTCAGAGGCGCGAGCTTCGCACAGTACTGTACATTCGACTGGCTCACCTCTTGCAGGAGGTAGTCGAAGAGAGTCTCGCAATCGCTTTGGCAGGGCAGAATCGCAAGGAGATCTTCCAGACGCTCAAGTCGATCAGGAAGAGGAAGGGAGGCGGCCGTGTGCAACGTGGAATGTGACCAGGGACATTCCGAGGCTTCTGCCGACGAAGTGTTCGCATGAGATCTGACTAGATCCTCGAGGCGGCCAAGGCCTCGACGAAGATTCTCAATCTCTGCAAACGATGCCGATGCCGATGACGACGTGGTGCTCCGCTCGTCGTCTTGGGAAGACGGTCGGGGCCTCTTGTGGGCGTGGAGGCGATTGCGAGGGCGAACAGCTCTAGCGGAGCCTGAGGGCGTCGGGCTCGAGGACGCTTCGGGGAATTCGCAGCTGTGGGCAGTACCTCGGAGGACGCAAGAAGAGCATGGCTGGCCCGGAGAGGACACCGTCAATCGCTGCAGCATGGCCAGAGAGGAGGAAAGGGACGATCGCTTCCGCTCACCATCCCTTCGTCGCATTTTGACTTTCTCTTGTGGCTGTGCAAACGAGCAGTCAGACTCGCCCTGCACTCGGCCAACAGGCGAGAGCATCTCACCAAGGAAGGCAGCTCAGCCGAGCCCGTCCTGCCGGTCGCGGCGTCATTGGGTTGGAATGGAAGCCGCGGTCGCTCCGAACGAGCAGGCGAAGCACGGGATTGAGAAGCTAGTCTGCGACTGAGCACGGGCCATGAGCAAGCGCAGCCACGATGACCATGCTACCGGTAAGGGTTGTTCGCTATCTGACTGAAGAACGTGTTCATCTAGATCTGTCTTTCGATTAAAATGTCACAGCACTATACTCGACATCTTCAATCAGTGACATCTTGAGTGCCTGGACGGCTTGCCGAGGCAAGCCGCGGCAAATGTAAATAAGTCTCTTCTAAGATTTTTAGCTGTCAATATTATTAGGTGAGAATGTCCTACGTCGATCTGAAGTCCGTCCATCTCCGCGCAAACCGAGTCCAATCGAGTGCAGACTCCTGTTCACTGTCGAACGATTGGCGGAATCTGGAGGGTCTTCGCGGGTGCTGAGCATCGGTAGTCGAGGTTTGAAGAGATCACCTGGAGGAGCATAAAGCAGCGCTCAAAGTTCGCATTCTCCCCATCACCTCAGGCCCTCTCCGAGCGACCGATCTCATCACACTCCACCTCGGACATGGAACACCCACACGTCGGCCCTGGCAGGTCCACCACACAGCCCGACATTGCAACCATCGAAGATGAGAAAGCGGCCTTCGCTTCGAATGCCATCGACCCGCGGCAGCTCAGCCTGAGCTGGTCCGACATCACCTATGACATCCCGCTCTCCAAGAAAAAGAGAAAGGCCTTGGCGTCGCAAAAGGAAGAGCATAAGCAAGGTGACGTGGAGAAAGGCCTCGCCGAACACGATGCCGTCGCCGCCGCCGCCGCCGCCGCCAGCACCCCTGCATCGGGCGTGCCCCCTCTTGCCCCTACAGATCGACGCATCCTCTCGGGCGTCTCGGGATCGGTCAACAAGGGGGAGATGGTCGCCATCCTCGGTGCTTCGGGCGCAGGCAAGACGACGCTGCTCAACATCCTCTCGGCGCGCCTCAGCTCCGTCGGCACGCTCCACGGCAGGGTCTTATTCCACAACCGGCCTCGCGACCCCGACTCGTGGAAGCGCACCGTGGGCTTTGTCGAGCAGGAGGACATGATGCTGGGTCACCTCACTGTGGAGGAGACACTCGCATACGCGGCGAGACTGCGACTGCCCGACAAGCTCTACACACGAGATCAAAAGACGCAGCGGGTCCAAGACACGATCGACATGCTCAGACTGCAGACGTGCAAAGACACTCGCATTGGTTCGTCAAACACGCGGGGTGTAAGCGGGGGCGAGCGGAAGAGGACGAGCATTGGCACAGTGAGTGGGAAGATCAGAAAGGGCCAGTCTAGCAACCACCTTTCTCACGTGGATCTACACCAGGAACTTGTCAGCGATGTCTCGCTGCTCCTGCTCGATGAGCCGACCTCTGGTCTGGATGCCTATGCGGCCTACTCTGTCGTCGAGCATCTCCGTAGCACCACGCAGCAGCGCGGACTGTCCTGTCTCATGACGATCCACCAGCCCTCGTGGGCGCTTCTGAAGCTCGTCGACCGCATTCAGCTCCTCGCTCGTGGCAAGGTCTACTACGAGGGTCCGCCGAGCGACATGCTCGCCTGGTTCAACAGCATCGGCTACGAGGTCCCCGAGGGTGTCAATCCCGCGGACCACTACATTACCATTGCTGAAAACCTTGATGGGAGTGAGCAGGGCGAGTTGCGAGTCCAAAAGTTGATCGAAGCGTGGGCGACGAGGGACGAAGGGGCGCGAGTGAGCGCAGGGCTGTCGTCGAGGGCGAGCAGCGAGGAAAGCGTCGCAGTCGATACGCTGTTGGATGCCTACAAGGTCTGGCCGACTTCTTGGCTCGGCGAGATCTACACCTTGACCCAACGGAACATGTTGCAACTTGTGCGTCGATTCTTGAAACGCAGGCACTGAGCCTTTGCTGACGCCTGTCTCTGACAGATTCGAGACCGAGACACCCTCATTGGCGGTATTGCACAGACAGTCGTCATTCTCATCATTGTCGGATTCGCCTTCTTCAGGCTCGGGCATGATCAGTCGGACGTCCTGGCCCGCGTCGGCGTCCTCTTCTTCGTGAGTCTGTCAAATGCACCACGAATAGCAAGGCTGTTCTTGCAGCTCACTAGCCCCTCTCTCTCGTGTTGCAGTTGGTGATCAACACCATCTTCAGCGTGATTCTCCCTGTCATCACGCCCTTCCCGCTGCAGCGTGCAGTCATGAAGAGAGAACGCTCGGCAGGCACCTATCGCTCGTCGAGCTTCTTCATGTCGAAGCTCTTCATCGATATTCCAAGCAACGTCTTGCAGCGCGTGCCCTTCTTCGTTCTCTTCTACTGGATGTGAGTCCAACTAGAGAGAATGCTTGGCAGCGGATCTCTCTGCTGACTCTCTTTCAATGTCAAGGGTGGGCCTCCAGAAGTCTGCGGCAGCCTTTTTTATCTTTTTGGGCATCGGTTCCTTGCACGTTGTCGTCGGTGTTTGTGAGTAGGGTAATCGCGGGGCTCGAAGGCGCATGCTGACGCATTCTCTTTCCAGGTCTCGGGCTCTTTGTCGGCTCCATCTCTCCGACCATCGAGATTGCCAACATTCTTGGTGAGTACAAGCTCCACTCGCGCTGTGTCTCACTTCTTCTCATCCTCACTCCCTCCCATTGCTCTTATCAGCGCCCATGATCACCGTCATCTCCCTCCTCTTCGGCGGTAACTTGCTCCCGTCGCCGCCGCCGTGGTTCATCTGGCTTCACTATATCTCACCACTCACCTACGCCTACTCTGCACTGGCGCAAAACGAATTCATTGGCGAGAAGTTCACCTGCACAGCAAGCAGCACGCAGTGCTACGCTACGGGCGAGCAGGTGCTTCAGCAGTATAACTTGCAGACGTTCAACATTGGCGAATGTGCAGGCTTCCTGGTCGCAATCGCCTTTGTGCTCACCATAGTCGGCTTCGTCGGCCTAAGAGTTACCGCGCATCCAAAATTCAGGTACTCGTAGGTTCCAAGCCAATTCCAAGGCAGAGTACGGCAAGAGTTTGGCAAAAGTGAAGCGAACAACCAACTGTATATGATGTGGTCATGTCAAAATAGATTGTTCCTAATAATATCTCACGCTCAGTTCTCTCGGAGACGCTGTTTATCTTTGGTGTGGGAACGCTAGCGGACACACGTGGTGTTTGACTTCGTCCTACCGTAAGCTTACTCCCCTTTGGTCCGACGAGGCGCGGAAATAAGACGCGCGCCGCGCAGGCGCACTGCTCCTCAGATCCGATGTCATTGGAAAACAAGCTTGCAACCATCTCTATCTCACTGGTGACGAGCTTGACAGACGACACAGGAACAAATCATCATAATGGTGGAGATCAGTGCCACGCAAGCTGTCCAGCTTCTTCAGCGGAGGCGCATGCAGAACAGGCAGTCGCAGCAGCGATATCGAGACAAGATGCGTCGTGCCAAGGGCTCGTCCCCGAATGCCGACAGCAGCTCATCGTCCTCCGGGTCGGAGACTTCGCCGCCGTGTATAAGTAGCAATCCCGAGAAAAGGAGTGTGGTCGTGTACCAAGAGGCTACCCTGCCCTTCTACGGAAGGCTGTCGCGGATGCTGGACCCAGCCATCGAAGATCCGAAGCCCCTCGTGCCGCCTCCTCGGCTCGACCTCAGGCTCAGAGCTCATGCTTTTGTCGATGTGGTTCCAAGAATGGCAAAAGCTTTCAATGTGTCGACAGATCTCATCACAGACAAGACAGTATTCATCGATCCATCACGGTCTTGGCAGCAGCAGGACACCGTGTACTACACCTCGTCGACCGGCGAAGCCTTCACGCCTTTCCTCTGGAGGGACAAGCCGAGCACAATGGCACCGACACTGGTGCAACTCACAAAGTCGCATCCCATAGGTCTCTCCATCGCATTTCCATGGCCTTCGGTCCGCGATAAGATGATCGAAAAGGTCGAGAAGGCGGGACCTGGAGGCGCCTTGTGCCATGACCTCTCCTATGGCGGTGGTGACGGTGCCGATTGGCAGCCCTCTTTTATCATTTGGGGCGAGGATGTATTTGATCACACTAGCTGGGAGGTCAGCCAGTACATCTACGGAAAGTATTCCTCTATGTTTGATCAGCAGATTGTAGACCAGACCAATTGGTGGCGGCGCAAGCGCGGCTTGCCTGCCCTTACACTGTAGCCTCGATACCACTTCTCATTTCTGCAATGCCACAACACAAGTGAAACAAAACTTGGGTCTGACAATGAAGTGGTCTCAGTTCGATCGATGCGCCCGGCCGAAAGGTCGTTGTGGGCGTGAGACGCGAAAGGTCAGCTTATCTGGACGTAATCTTACGTTTTCCCTTTTCAACCTTACGGGTAGGTGGTGAGCTCACCATTCACAACACATTGATTTGCTTGCCTAACACGCAAATAAGATGTATAAGCTTACAGCAAGTTGCACTCGCGCGTACGGAATCATCTCACTGGAGATGGTGTAAGGTCCTTGTAGAAATGGCATCATTCCCAGGGGCGTGAGCTCCCTACGAGAGGTGTCGCAGCTCAACGGCCCGCAAAGGTATAAAAGGCGACCTCAACATGGATGCCACACACCCATCAGCACATTACCAAAAGTCACTGCTATCCTCACAATGGCTCGCGAAGGACTCATCTACCTCATCACCGGCGCTTCTCGTGGCATTGGTCGCTCCCTAACGGCGCTGCTGCTCAGTCGCCCCAACAACACTGTCATTGCCGCGGTTCGAAAGATCGATGACGACAACGCCAAGGCTTTGAATGCTCTTCCCAGAGAGAGTGGTTCCAAGATCATTCTCGTCAAGCTAGATGGCGTTGTTGAAAGCGATGCCCACGCGGCAGTCGACACACTCATCAAAGCACACCACATCGAGCACATCGACGTGGTCATTGCCAATGCTGGTGGTGAGTCGCCCTTGCGATGTCTGAAGCCAGCCGGATGCTTACTCTTGCTCTGCACAGTCAACGACTCGCTACCTTCAGTCAACGAGACGACGCCCGACAACATTCGCCGCACGCTCGACATCAACGTCTATGCACCTCTGACGCTCTTTCAGGCCACTCGCTCGCTTCTCAAGGCTTCCCCCAGCGTGCCGAAATTTGTCATCATCTCTTCTATTGCTGGTTCGCTCGACTACATCAGTAAGAGCCCGCTGAGCAACCTCAGCTACAGCGTTAGCAAGGCGGCTGTCAATGTTCTGGGCGTTCGAATCGCTGCCGAGGAGAGCGACATCACTACACTGCTCCTTCACCCGGGCCTGGTGGAGACAGACATGGTGCACGAATTTATAGAGAGACATCCGAGCTTGAAACTAGAGCTTAGCAAGATGGACGCCCTCAAGGTCGACGACAGTTCGGCAAACATTGTCAAGGTCATTGATGGGGCCAAGAAGGACGATTCTGGCCGATTCGTAGACGCAACTACCGGCGAGAACATCCCTTGGTGATCGTACAGCTCGTTGGATGTCGTGTTCTTGCTCTGTAGATTTTTTTTCTTTGTGAAGTGAATGAGTTGACGGACATGTGACTCATCTGTTTCGAGAGCGATGAAGTCTTGTTGGTCGATGCGCCGACAGAACAGTTCTCGTGTCTCGGGCCGTCAGATCCACTAGCGGTGGTTGAGTGAGCGTCGAGAGGGGAAAGACCAAAGGTTTGGCTGCCACCGAATCACTAGTATCATAGCTATTTGAAACAGGATGCTAGTTCTGCCGGATGCCTCTTTCCTTTCTCTTTAGCAGAGCGAACTTCCTCAGCTTGTGCATGTTCTTGCGCTCCTCAGCATGCTCGTCCCAGTCTGGAAGCTTGTTCTCCCACTCGGGCTTGGCAGCAATGGCCATTCGTCGCAACGGAGGGCCGTAATCGTCGATCATGAGGCCGAGCGAGTGATACGAGGGCGTGCCAGCGTGCTCTGGGGGCGCATAGGCACTCTCGCCGTTGTTCATCTGCGCCTTGGTACATTGTTCTCGCGAAGTCTTGACCCTGTCCGGCTCCTCCTCCTTCATCTCTAACAGCCACTTGATTCGTCGGCTTTCATATTCTAGACGTCGCTCCAGCGTGTCTGGAAAGTCAGTCATGCTTCCGTCCCAAATGGCTCGAAGACAGTGTGACTGAACATCGCTTGTCCAAAAGGGGATCCTAGTGGGCGCCAGATTAATTATGGCCAGTGTCGCTGCTCTAGCGTGCAAAAATTGCCAAAAGAGACTGGGCACTCGCTCTGGGTTGTTGACGGTGTTGAAGGGCGAACCTGGTGGTGGGGCACAGAGCGGTCTCCAGAGCGACGCCAGTGCTCTGTGTTGACCGGCATGCCAGTCGTCTTCGTCCGTGCACTGCTGTGGGAGCAAGCCAGCTTCATTGGCTAGCGGCTGCCTGTTGAGCAGGTAGACATAGGGAATCTTACCAATGACGTAGCCCGAAGCAAAGATGATTCGATCGACGTCCTCTAGAACGGCACCGTCTGCTAGAGTGACATGGACCTTGCTGCCGTTCCTGTTCACTGCCAATTTTGCAATTGGAGGAACATCCCTGATCAGGGGGTCGGGAAGGCTGACGATGTAGTCCCAGGCTTTGTGACGCACAGACCGGAAAATGGCCTCATGCTTGCCGACCTGCCTCAAGCCGGCCAGCTGAGCTGCCACGTCGTTTCCTGAATTGGCGTTGCCGACGACTACGATTCTTGCCTCTCGCCCATATGGCTCTGGCCCGCGATATGACTTGCAGTGCTCCACCAGCCCGTGCGACTTGGCTTCTTCCAGTCCTGGCACACATGGGTAGGCAGGCACATCAGTCCATCCCACCGTCAAGATGACAGCATCGTAGTACCTCGTCACTTGTGGCGCCCCCGGCCTGTTCCAGTCTCGCAGTCGCACAGCCCACCGGTTGTGTTCCTCGCTCCTCCCTGGCAGCTCTCTCACGTCGATGCACTCCACGTTGCATTGGATATGTCGACGTATTGGCTTAGCGATCAACTCGAGATAGGCTTGTGTCTCTGCGAGGGTGGGAAACGGGTCATCGGGATCGGCAACAGGTGGAAAAGGGTGTGCGCCAGCCAGAGTCAAGAAGCGAGGCAGCACATTGCCACGCAGTCCAGGATACGCTGGCGACGGCCAGCATGGCTTTTTAGAAGATGACGGCGACTTGTGTAGGGTTCCGTTGGTCAAACAGCAACTCGTACTGGTACCTGCAGGTGACAAATTGACGGGAGGAATGGGCCATTGACCTGCCGTCGCCCCGCGCACACTGGATCTCTCCCTCTGCACGGCGTCGTCATCGAGATACCAAACACCCCCAACGCAGTCTCTCCGCTCTATGAGGTCGACCTGATTGAATGGCCCATCTGTACCAACTCCCCCTTCCTCTACGAGTGCCCTCAGGGCAGCAAGACCAGCAACGCCTCCTCCAACAATGAGAATCTTTCTGGGCCGAGGTGCTCGGACGTAGGGCGGTGGTGAGTGGCTTATCATGCTAGCTAGCCCGGCGCCAATGAGTTGTATCGTAGACGAGACTGCAGCAGCTGGGGGCAAGCAGACTGGCGCGCCATTGCGGAAGTCGGTCTGCTCGCACAGCTGGGTACCGTGACCCTCCCGCTATTTATTCCACCCCACACCGACGCAAGCGCACGGTCAGTTGCAGCGCATTTGGGAGCATATGACCACTTCTGCGCTCTCCTTTGTATCTCAGGTTCTCCTTGTACGCAGTCGAACACTGCGCCACATGTCGACTTGCAATTCCCTCGGACTGGACAACGCTCGTAAACTTGTGTAAGGGCGTGGTCAGTTTTTGGCACCTGAGTCTAAGAGCTGCTTTACAGACAAGGATTCAAATACATGCTTTAAGCTCAACTCGGCGAATTTTCAAATTGAACTTCTGGAGAGGATGACTAACTAAATCCGACAGACCTTCTATTCTTCCGACGAATCCGCCATGATTCTTTGCTCCACTTTGCGGCCCGCCCCGACGACCATGTGCCCTGGGCTAAAAGCTCACTGTGAGCGCTCACAGGCACGTCGACACCACGTCCTCGCTCCACTCGCTAAATGAAGAAATAAGCACCTCAAAATGGACAGTACGGCAGCATTAGCTGTGTGTGGTGGCAAGCTACGCGCCACCTGAGCATAGTGGAGCCGGACATTGTGCGCGAAATCATCGCTAGATTACCGCTCGAGAGGCAGACCAGAAGGTATAAAAGTTGGGTAGGTTGTCAGGCCGTCGAGGTTCGTCACATCGAATAGAAAGTACAAAGCACAGTCACAATGTCTCAATCCACTCAGCCCGTCACTTACAAGTCCAAACTCCAGGGCGCGCGCGTCCTTATCCTTGGGGGCTCGTCCGGTGTCGGATTCGGCGTCGCCCAAGCGCTTCTGGAGCACGGTGCGTCTGTCATCATCTCTTCGTCGTCTCCCGACCGCGTTGCAAAGGCGGTGCAGCGCCTTGAGGCTTCGCACCCACAAGGTCACGTCCAGGGCATTGCATGCAACCTCGGGTCACAGGAGCACCTCGTCTCTGACGTCGGCAAGCTAGTCACCGAAGTGGCCAAGGGCGGAAAGCTGGACCACGTAGTCCACACGGCCGGCGATGCGATGGCCATTGGCAAGCTCGAAGACTTTTCGCTGGCGGAGATCCAGCAGGCGGGCATGGTGCGCTTCTTTAGTCCCTTCATCGTGGCTCAGCACTTGCGCAAGCTGCTCAAAGATGGCCCTGCCTCGTCGTACATCATGACGACGGGTGGCGCGTCCGAGCGTCCGATGCCGGACTGGACCGTCGTTCTTTCCTACATCACAGGTCTTGTGGGCATGATGCGGGGCTTGGCAAAGGACCTGGCACCTATCCGAGTCAATCTCGTCGCTCTCGGACCAGTCGAGACGGAGCTGTGGGACTCCTTTAGGGCCCAGGGCGCATACGAAGCCGTAAAGGAATCCTTTGAAAAGGGCATGGCTACGGGCACCATCGGAAAAGTCGAGGACATCGTAGAGAGCTACCTCTACCTCATGAAGGACAAGAATGCCACTGGTAGCACGGTCACTTCTAACGGCGGAATGGTTCTCATGTAGACACAGCCTCGTCATCGCTTCTGCCCAATGAGATTGTCCATGCAAGAGCTGGAACCGTCACTAAGTTTGCGCCAGTCTGTGTGAGTGTATCATCATGTGCCATCACTATTGCAGTGGGCGTAAGGAATCGAAGAGTCGGTAAGAAGTACAGTTAATTATGCGTTGACTGACAAAAGGTCTGTTGGCACGGCCTTAAGGGCTAGGAGAGAGTTCCCTGCTCGAGTCGTGGAGCTCGGCCGTAGCACCCGGGTAGGTGCCGTTGTACGACTCGATGGCACGGCCCTTCTTGCTGAGGAAGTCGTTGCACTCGCCAAACGCCGCCGTGAGGGCCGGGAACAGCTTTCCGACGGACGCATCGAGGAACTGCTGCTGCAGAGCAGGGCTGATGTTGGAGATGAATGTCGGCGTGCTCGACTGGATGGCCTGGCTGAGGAAGCACGAGAGCTTGGCCGGGTCGGTGAGCTCGTGCATGGCCGTCACGGCGCCGCCCGTCAGGTCGCCGATGTTGACGCCAGAGAAGGAGTTGACGGTGCCCGTGTTGCCGCCGACGGCCATCGTGGTGGGGAAGGCCTCGATCTGCTGGGCGAGGGCGGCGAGAATGTCGGCAAACGTCCACTCAAACAGCGGGTGGCGCTTGTAGAACGGCGCGGGGATCCGCTCGTGGCCGTAGGTGTAGCTGATCTCGCCCTGCGGGTCGCCCGTGTAGCTGAACCAGGACATGAAGTTCTCGGGCGAGAGGTAGCCCTGGGGGAACTCCTCGGATTTGTTGGCCATGAGAGCAAAGACAAAGTGGTGGGCCGCGGGCGTGAATGCAACTCCTGCGTACGGCGGGCTGAAGTAGTTGGGGTTGTTGGCGATCGAGTAGAGCTTGCGGCGGTGCTGGTGCTCAGCAAGGATCGATGGTGTGATGCGACCGTCTTCGGGGTACTTTTCGCGGGCAAGATCCATGAGCTCCTTGGCGTACTGCGGGTACGAGCGGCAGTTGTTGTTGTTGCCCGTTGGCTGGGAGAAGTCGCCTCGGGTGATGGAGGCATCACCCTCGGAGCGGAGGTGGCCAAGGCCACAGATACCGGCTGGCTTGCCGAGGAGGCCCTCTTGCAGTGGACCGAGGGTGGCCACCTTGGGAGAGTATCCGCCGATAGACCACTTGCCGCTGACTGGGTCACCGTTGAAGAACGACGTGAGCGCCTCGAGGATCACGGTGGCGTCTTGCGAGAGTCCGACACCCTAGCGGAGAAATACTTCTTAGCACCAGAGCATGGCAAAGGAATAGACAGACAGAAACGCACCTTGTGGATGCCGTTGATGACATCGTCACGGTCGACGACACCGTCGCGTGAGATGAAACCGTGGTTGGCAAGGGCGTTGAGGCCGGCGCATGGGCCTCGCTGGTCGTCGGGGCCAGGCGCACGCCACTCGTTTTCACCCGTCAGGTCGACGAACTGAAGCTTTTCGTCGAAGATGTACTCCTTGGGGATACCAAAGTTGTCGGGGTATGGTGCCAGGGTGGGTACACCGGCACGCTTGAGGAACTCGGGGTCGACGTTTTCGAGGAAGCTGCGGGACATGGCGTCCTTGCCGAGCAGCTCGGGGAACATGAAGAAGGGGTAGGCAGAAGCTTGCCCGACGACAATGGCCGCCATGGCCGCGACGGTGGCGGAGATTTTCATTGTGAGAAGAAGGCGTCGAGGAGAGAGGTGAGAGTGAGGGAAATATCTGGGGTAAAACGACTGCAAAGACTGCCCCTTTTATGCCCCTTGTCTCACAAACAGCAAATGGCGGTCATCTGGAGTAGTCTCTGGTTCTTCCTTTTTCTCCGCGAGGGCACGTCACTTGCTGGAAGAATCATCCAGCTGCTCCTTCAGCCAAACACTGGCCCCCCAACCGTCGCCCGCTTAACCGAAGCGGACAAAAGTTGCGGGGAAGGAGTAGAGAAGCTTCGCAAGACAACTCCGCTTCTTTCTTTCCATTGCTCGCAGCGGGTCGACAGAGAGGCTAGCGCTGACGTTGCCACTGCTTCTGCTGCTGTTGGGACGCCTGAGGAGCGAAGTAAGCCCAACGAATGAGAATCAGGTGATTAGGTATAGCAACCCTAAGGGGGGAGCAAGTAGAATGTGACCGAGGTAAGGGAAAGGGAGATGCTAGCGCCAAAAGAGAAGAGCAAATGAACGTCCTGGCGTCAGGCCAGACGAGATAAATGACTTGATCCCCAGGGGGCACGACCTGGACGGCGATTGAATGTCGATGACAGCGTTTCCATTGTGACCCTGATTGATATATTTGCTGCCATCAATTTAGCGGCGGACAACCAATTCGATTCCAGATGCAGTGACGCGCGCAGAGTGGCGAAGTCTTTCCTCTACCCCGCACCACCTTTTGGCCGAGGGCTCGGGGGTGCGCGAGAGGCCTTCTTTCCAGTTCCTTACCCCGCTCGAGAAATTTCCCGAAGGGTGATCGTGCGAGATAGAGCACATCATTCTGAATGCAACGCCCCACGGCGTCTGTGTATTATTCGACATGGAACAAACCAGGAATGGAGTTTCCCACCTCGGCCATCGCTAGTGCGTCGGTCTCCAAATTTCAAAGCAAAACGGTGTTTGACCGACTTGCTCTGCTGTGAGGCCTTTTTGTCATCAGGAGAACTTTAATCTATATACGGTCGATCAACCTAGCTCTTGGCGAAAAGGAGGAATTGTCATTGCATGAGCACCGCCCCGCCACCAGCTCAGACACGTTGTAGATGACAGACGACCTCTTGTTTCCGCGCGCTACGTAGTTATGCAGAGCAGTGTGCTGGCCCGCGGCAGCGCAGTAGCCAGTCTTTGCGAAAACAGAAGAAGTGCGAGGGCGGTGCGCACCCCCGGTTATCTAGTTGCCAGACACGGCAACCAACAAAACAGCGACGAAGGTCTTCACGTGTCGAGCGATGGTACCCAGTGTCCGCCATGTTCGCTGCTTCTGCGTTCCCATTGGCCTCGAGCTTCGCAAACCATAATCGAGACAAGCAAGACAAGCAATCGGGGCAGGCCGTAAGACACAAACGCACAATTCATCTCCATTGTCTCATGGCATGCAGTCCCTTTTCGCCTCGCGCGAACTTGGGTAACATAGAAGTCAAGCAGCATTCGATGGTGAGGTGAGGCGAAGACGCGACGGATCGAACAGACTTAGCTGGGACGGAATCTCGAATGCCGTCTTTTGCCCACGTGGTTGCAGTTAGACGGAATTTGCCTCGGCGTGGAGGGTGGTATGGGGCAGAGTGCGGGGGGTCTGCCGGCTTGTCATAAGAACCATGTCGCTGTCACCTTCAGCTACGTCGGTGGCATCCATATCCAGGGACGAGGGAAGCTCGTCTCATGGTAGAATGGGGAAGAGGCCCCGGACGTATGGCTCTGCTTGTGGTATGTCGCACGAATGGACACCGTGAGAGGGAGAAGCGGGATTCTTTTTGACTGCCAGATCGCTCCTTGGTGCCGACTTTCTTTCTGTAGAGTCGTGCCAACGACGCAAGATCAAATGCGGTCTTCAAAAGCCGTCGTGCAGCAATTGCATCAGGTACAAGCAGCAATGCTGCTACCAAAAGTGGGTCATCTTTATGTCACTATCGATTGCATGCAGGGGCCAAGCTGATGACCTCCAAAGGACCAGCAAAGTTACATCACACAGGGGCCTTAGCAAGACGGAGGCCCTCCAGCGGAGGGTGGCCCAGCTGGAAGCGGAGCTAGTCACCGCTAGAAACGACCGTCAAATGTCTTCGTCCTCGTCTTACTCTCGGTCGTCGCCTACTCGTGGCGGACAGCAGACGGCGCCGTCTGGCAGACCACCCGCAACACCTCGGAGTCCCGAGCCGACTGGCACCGAGGATACAGATTGGGACCTCTTTGAGGGGCCCAACAGTCTTGACGCGCGACGGAGCCACTTTGCGGCCTCGACGTATGTGTCGGACTCCTTTGAACGTCTGGTTAGCACCCGTCTGCACGGCAACGACGACGCCATCTCCCCCTTGCTGGCTGCCGACCTGATCCGGGCGTACTTTCTATGGTGGAACAGTCTCCACTGCTACCTCTACAAGCCTGAATTCTACTGTGTGTGTGCTTGCCGAGTAGCGGCAGGGAAGAAGAATGAAACTGACAGACTCGTTGCTCTCGCGGGCAGGCTGCCTGGTCGTCGAAGGACCTCACTTCTCGCCCTTTCTGCTCAACGTGGTCCTCTCCCAGGGAGCGCGTCTCCTCTCCATGGGGGGCCTCTACACCGCCCGTCGCGAAAGCGGCCACATGAGTGTGCCCCCCTCGGATTTCTTTCTGAAACGGGCAAAGCAGAGCCTGGTCGACGAAGTGGACCGTGGCAATTCGAGCACGCTGCTCCAAGGTCTCGTCCTCATGGCCGGCAGGGAGGCGTCGTGCGGGCATCTGGACCAGGCCTGGCTCTACACGGGCATGGCTATCCGGGTCCTGCGCGCGCTGGGTCTCAGTCGCCCACCGTTCCAAGGCCGGCGACGGTACAAGCCGTGCAGCTTCCAGCGCAGGGAGCTCTACTCGCGCCTCTTCTGGACCGTCTATTGCTGGGACAAGACGCTGAGCCTGACGCTGGGTCGCCAGTCGACGTTTGCAGCGCCCGAGGGAGCCGACCCAGAGTGCATCGTCGACGAGAGTGAGGATCACATGGCCTGGAATCCCCATCGCCAGGACCACTTTGCGACCGTCGCCCTGTCGCGGACGATCAAGGCGTCGGCCGAGCCGAGCAGAGTCACGGCCGTCTTTCGCAGATTTGCCCATCTCTGTCTAGTGGGTTCGCGTATTGAATGGGGGGGCGCCTGGCCTGAATCTTCTCGCTTTCTGATCTTCTGCGCCCTCTTCAGATCATCGATGACATCTTGCGGGTGCGCTATGGAGACACATCGGCGCAGAGTGGAGATGTCGCCATCGATCAGCTCGACGGTAGACTGCAGGAATGGGAGCAGGCCACGCTGCAGCAGGATATCCACTTGACGACGGCCAATGTCGACGTGTGTCCCTCCCCGCACATGCTCCAGCTCGGGTGAGTGAACGACAGGATGGGTCTATTCCAAGGGTCGAACTTTACTCGCGCGCTGACAGCAAAGGACGGCGCACAGGGTTCTCTACCACTGCTCGTACATCCTGCTCCACCGTCCGTCGATTGCGGTGTCAGTGTCTCGGCGCAGCTCTCCCCAGCAGAAGCACGCCATGTCCGTCTGCAGGCTCCACGCCTTGCAGGTCCACGATCTGATCCGGCTGCGGGAGCGCGACATGGGGCTCGCGAACCTCTCCTATCTCGTCTGCCACTGCCTCTACGCTGCCGTGACGATCAATGTGTTGGACTTGCGAAGCGCCTCGCGTGACACATCGTCCGCGGCCGCCGAGCAGCTCGCCTTTGGCATCCGCGCGCTCGAGTTCTGCAGCTGGCAGAGCGCCGGCATCCAGAAGTGAGTAGCTTCGTGTGAAAAGCCCGTTCACACGCTGAGCTTGTGCTTCTTGCCTCCTTGCCCGCAGGGCCGTCAAGATGATCAAGGCATACCTTGCCCATCCTTTTGGGAGCACGGTTCCTCAGGGCATGCCCGGTCAACGGTCCAGAGAGCCCTCGATCGGTGCTGGTGAGCCAGAGGGTCCGCCTGAAGAGCACGAGGCACAGCGGCGGCAGCAGCAGCAGCAGCGGCACCCGCCGGGCGTGGCAGTCTTTGCGCCAGAAACTGTCTCCTCGCTGTCACAGAGCGACGACCTGCCTGACATGGATCATGGCTCTCTGCACTCCGAGACCTGGACAGCGGCCCCGACGGCCCACTTTGGCATGCTCTGGCACGACGATCCGAGCCTGATGGGGCACTTCTGGACAAACAGCCTTCTCCCCGACTTTCCAGACGAACTCTCGGGCGCTTCCTGAAGCAGGAAGTAATAAAGAAGAAGAAGCAGTAGCCGTTGGAGCAATCATTTCAATTCCGGAGAGCACAATTCCGGAGAGCAGCGCTCGACGAGGAAGGAGAGAGGTGCTCGACAAGTGACTACTAGGCGTCGCACGTCTTGATCTCAGCGACGGACAGGGTGCTCTTTTTGTCGGCAGAATCAGGACCGTTGCCCTGTTCCAGCTCAGATACTGGCACCAGGTGCGAGCGTGGGTGCTGCGAAGAACTGGCAGGCAGGCTGCTCCCTAGCATTCCAATTCGATACCATGGGCCTTCGAAAAGACTGTTCATCTCCTCGAGACTTCTGCCGGCCGTCTCGGGGATGAAGAGGGCGATGTAGGCGATGCTGAAGAAGCACACGACGGCGTTGAAGGTGAAGAGGCCGTAGCCCTGCATGGTATGCAGCATCGGCTGCAGGGCCCTCGAGGCGCCGTACTGGTTGACAAAGTGAAAGACCATGATGATGGAGCTGGCCATGGCCCGTGTCGAGAGCGGGAAGATCTCGGTGCCAATGAGATACGAGATTGCGTTGAACTGTGCGAGTGTGAGCCTCGTCTCGTAGCAAGGTAGACAGACGGTGCCGCACTCACCCCGAAAGTCCAGCCTATGCCGGCGACAAAGATGGCCACAATCGCAGCTATGCTGCCTCTCTGCTCACTCCCCGTCAGCGTGGCGCTCGACAGGTCAGTCGCACCCAAAAAGGCGGCCAGATAGACGGCGGCGATGCCCTGGAGCGTGATGCCGATAAAGACACTCCTCTTCCTGCCCAGACGGTCTATGAGAAAGAAGGTGGCGGTCAGGGCCGATAGCAGCTTGACGACGCCCAAGATGCCAGTGGTGAAGAGTGTCGAGTTGGAGTGCACACCGACGAGGGCCAGGAGCCTTGGCGCATAGATGGTGAGGCTGCCACCGCCGCCGGACCAGTTGGAGAGAATCTGGATGGCGATGCCGATGGCGCACAGGCGATACAGCTGGGAGCCGTCTGTAAGAAGGGCGATGATGCTGCGTAGACGTGTCTGCTGTGCTAGGGTCTCTGCCTCGCGCTCCATGCCCTTCCACTCTTCGACGAGGTACGGGTGGCTCAAGTCCAGACGGCGATAGTACTGCAGCACCGACTGGGCCCGCTTAGTGTGGCCACGTCTCAGCAACCACCGGGGCGACTCGCGTAGAAAGAGAGAGCCGATCAATGTCGTGCCGCCAAAGAGGTAGTTGATGGACACGGGCACCATCCACCGCTTTGCAGACTCGGCGGGCACGTGGACCTGGCAGCCGTAGTTTGCAAAGTAGCCGATGAGGATGCCAAGGTAGACAGATGCGGCGTAGACATTGACGGCCAGGCCCCTCCGCGACTTGGGTGCAATCTCAGAGAGAAAGGTGGGCACGCACACGGCTGTGCCTCCGATGCCGGTCCCCGCCACGAAACGTCCGGCGTACACCTGGGCGAGTCCCGAGGCGCCACCCCGGTAGCTTGTGATCCAGATTGTGATGCCCGCGAGCCAAAAGAGGATGCAGACCTGGCTTGTCCTGAGACGACCGAGATGATCGACGACGAAAAAGGCCAATAGAGCGCCGAGAACGCAGCCGATCTGCACCATGGACACGACATTGCTCTGCGCAGCGCTTCCATCTTGGATTCCGTATGTCCGGAGCCACTCCTTGTTGGACTCGATGCCGGAGATGATGCCCTCGTCGGCGCCTCGACTGGCGCCCAAGATCCCAATGACAAAGACAGCACACTTCACTCCTGCATTGGAAGTGTCGACCTTCGGGATCAGTGTCGAGCACATGCAGCAAGCGGTCGTTCGCACAAAGACTCACTCCAGTTCCACACCTCGCGCGGTTCGTCTAGGTGGGAAATCGCCATGGTGTCTGCAAAGGGGCCGTGTTAAAGCTAGAGGCCCAGCTTAAGTACAGCAAGCCAGCGCATCTGGGGCCCCACTTGTGAGATATGCGGGAAACATGGAGATGATACCCCGGAATGGCTGACGGGGATAGACTGACGATTCAGGCACACACGGCATCTCGAAACGAGGCGGGATTTTTACTTTCATTTAGCAACGCGCGCAGAAATAAAGCTACAGACGGCATTCGGCATAATCCGTCTCTACAGCACGGCCACGGCATTTGAGGGGCTGGCCACACCGCCGGGAAGGCTCAGAGGCATGCTTACCAGCAGAAAGTCGTAGCTCCTGCGCTGGTGACAAGCCTCGGCTAGTCTGTCCAGGTCCCATGACTCGCCAATGAGCATGCCCCAGCCGCTGAGCAGGACCTCATGCATGCACACCTGCACCTCGGCTCTCGGTGGTGTGCCGTTTTCGAGCCTGATCGGTCGCGCGGGCCAGGCTTCTAGCGCCACGGTGTCGCTGGCCACGGCAGAAAAGCCCGTGTCGAAGAGCCAGCGCAGCGTCGATTCGTGTTGCTCCAGTCCCACATGGGTCCGTTCCTCACCCCGTCGGAGGCCCAGCTCCTCCTTTTCGGGAGCGGAAAGCGCTCGATAGGCGCTGGTCCACCCAGTCCTGATGAGGAGGACATCGCCGCATCGGAATTGGATCCGTTGCTGATGAGCACAGGCTAGCAGGTGGGGCAATGGAATGGCGTGCCGTTCAAAGGGCGAATAGTGCACACCTGCCTGGTCGGCCCAGACGGCATAGTCGAGGAGGATGCCTCTGGCCACGATTCCGCCTCTTTGGGCGACCCGGTCAATGCCGAGGGTGTGTTTTGACGTGTCATTGAGAACAGCTTGAGGCACACCGCCGTAGTACTGCGCTTCCTGGCTGGGCAGTCGGCTCAGGTAGCCGTAGCCCACATGTCGCAGGCCATCCCAGTGCGACGAGGCTTGGGTGTTGAGCGCGATGTCGTCGTCATTTGAGAAGCCCTTGTGGGTATAGGTGTGCACACATGCCCTTCGTTGTGGATTCATGGGCACGAGCGGCTCTTCAAGCGAAAGATTCAAGCTGATTGTCTGGCCGCTGCGAGCGCTCAAAAGGGCATCCCGCACGACATCCTCTGTCAGCAAATTCAAGCGACCTAGTTCGTCGCCATCGCTAAACAGGCCCCAGGCCGAGGCGAACGGGTCGCCAGTCCGCAGTGGGAGATCGCTGTAGGTCCGTCTCTCCTCTGTTTTAGGCCGTTCTGCGTCGCTGGTGATGGGTGCCATGATTCCCCTCAACGATGCCGCTTGCCGATGTTTCGCGCAGGGAGTTAATCTGGCTAATGTAAATCTCAGAAGAGGCTGCAGGGCCCCAACTTTATTTGGCACTAAGTTGAGGGACGTTTCGGCTTTCGCACGGTAAGATTTGATTAGGCGGCATTTGTGCGATGCCGTCGGTCATGAGATAGGACGGAGAGCTTGTTGTGGTTAAATAGCGGCTCATTTGGGAGTGAACAGTGGCACTCACCAAGCACAACATGACCCCAACAGCAGCAGATACCGGCCGTTCCGGCCCAGAGGTCCGAATCCTCACCCCCAAGTGAGTTGGGTTCGCTAGAACTTGCCCCCTTCTCATCTAGAGAAGTTGATGTGGAACGAGAGCAGCGCCATGCTTGGCTACGGCTATCGATTGCAAGACTTTTGGCGAGGTGTGCACCAACACCGGCCCCATGCGATCATCCTCGACTCGGGAAGCACCGACGGCGGACCGTACAAGCTTGGGCTGGGCAACCTGACCTGTGCCCGGTCAAGCTATGAAAGAGACCTGCGCCCCATGCTGGCCGCCGCCTATCACCACGGTATCAAGATCCTCATCGGTAGCGCAGGAGGAAGCGGCAGTAACAGGCACGTCGACGCCATCTCGTCCGTCATTGAGGACATCTGCCAGAAGGAGGGATACAGTTTCAAGCTGGCCGCCATCTACGCCAACGTCGATGGCGCCGTCGTCAAGGACAAGATTCGTGCCGGCAAAGTACAGCCCTGCGGGCCAGTAGAGATGCTGGAAGAGGCAGAAGTGGATCGGGCGACGGCGATTGTGGCCCAGATGGGCGCCGAGCCCTACATGGCCACGCTGAGAGACGCTGACCCGGACATTATCATCGGTGGGCGCTCGTACGACCCAGCTCCCTTTGCTGCGTTTTCCATCTTTCATGGCGTCGAGCCTGCCACGGCATGGCACTGCGGCAAGATTATGGAGTGCGGTGGCATGTGCGCCGTGCCCAAGGGCAGAACTATGCTCGCCACGCTCCACCGCGACTCGTTTGACCTGCTGCCCATGAGCCTCGAGGAGCGCTGTACCAAGCTCTCTGTGGCCGCCCACACCCTCTACGAGAAGACGCGGCCCGACCTTCTCCCCGGTCCTGGTGGTCGCCTCCACCTAGCCGGAGCGACGTACGAGGAGCTTGGCGATGGTCGCAGCGTGCGCGTTCGTGGTGCCTCGTTTGAGAGGAACGAGTACACGGTCAAGCTCGAAGGCGCCGAGATGCTCGGCTACCGGACCACCTTCATTGGCGGTGTGCGGGATCCCATTCTCGTGGACCAGATTGACGACTTTCTGCGCAGCGTGCACGACTACACGGCGGATCTCTTTCCTGATCTCAAGGCTGGCACCGAGGAATGCCAGTTGATCTGGCACGTGTACGGAAAGAATGCGGTCATGGGTTCGCTGGAGACGCAGCACCTCGGCCAACGGGGCAACGCACACGAGCTGGGCGTCATGGGCGAGGTCGTGGCGCCTACCCAAGAGCTGGCCGACGCCATTGCGAGCTCGGCAAGGACGAGCTGCCTGCACATGCCCTACGAAAATCAGCTGGCGACCACGGGCAACTTTGCCAGTCCCCTCACGCCCCTCGAACAGCCCCTGGGCCCCGTCTTTAAGTTCTCAATTTAGTGTGTTCTTTCTCGTCCTTCTTTTACTCCCGTGGCCCTCTGCTGACTTGACCTTTTCTCTCCATTTGCCCCAGCCACCTCATGTCCATCGACGATCCCTACCAGTGGCCCACGCAGGTCCGGACGATTGGCGCCCCTGGCCTCACGAAAGACCCTCTTTCCACCGCGGCAGGCCTGGTCTCGACGAAGGGTGGCAGTCATCTTCGCCCCTCTGGAGCGGTCGCGACGACAGTCATCACTGTCGACACATCCAAGACGGTCGCCCTGCGCCACCTCGCCAAAGTCGTGCGCTCCAAGAACTCGGGCCCATTTGAGATCACGCTGGACGTCATGTTCACCGACGTCGGCCACTATGCGCGGGTCAAAGAGGCCGGCGTGCTCAACATGGAGATGGTCATGCGCCTGTACAGTGTTGCTCGGCACGACGTCATCTGGGAGGGCTGGTTCGAGCCAGCGCTGGCATGGAAGTGCACCATCAAGAGGCCCTGGCGACAGGGCTCGGTCGGTGAGAGAGACACGCTTGGGACCGCTCAACATGCGCCCCTGCTCGACATCCAGGTGCCGGCTCGCGCATGAGAAGCTTGTTCGAATGGTGTTGCTGATGCGACCGGAACTTCTGTACTTACGTTTGATCTTAACCAACACCTCAATGCGCGCTGGAGAAATCACATGGATGAAGCCTCTACATTGAACGAAGCGGCGGAGAACCTTTTTGCAGAGATGTGGTTTACTAGACAATGTGCGGCAAAACTGCTCAGTCTACTGCTAGACACGGCTTACATGCACTGAAAGGCGTCTGAGGGAGAAGCTCAGCCGACGCTGCGCCTCTTCTACAGCCCCAGCACAGAAGGGTCGCCGGTGCTCCAGAGAATGCTCAGCTTCCACCTCTTGATCTTCCACAGGCCATCCGACTGCTTGACTGCGTCGGCGTCGTAGAGGGAAAAGGCCATAAAGTAGGGCGCGTCTTTGTCAAGGCCAGTACCGGGACGAAAGTGGTTCGCGAGGGCGCAGGCACCGACAGATGCCGTCTTGGCTCCCTCCTGGTGGTCAATGCGCACGTTTCCGAGGACGTGGCCGGTGTTCATGGGTCCGACAAAGGCAAAGTTGCCCGTCTTGATTGCTTCGATACCTTCGGTGACCTGTCCATTGATCTCAAAGACGATGTCTCTTGTCAGCGCCGACTCGAGGAGGGCGACATCATTGAGGTCGTAGGCGAGGAGAGTGCGGTTGAGTGCGTCTGTGATGGCCTCGCGCTCGGAAAGGCCAGCGAGATGGATGGGCGTCTTGCTCATCTTGCTCGTAGCGTGTGTGTGCGTGTTGTGTGTAGTGTAAGAAGGCACCGACTACAACGACGCTCTCCTTTATACCCTTTGAAGTTCAGCACAGCAGCAAGGCCAGTCCAGGCAGGCGGACGGTCGAGGTGCAGATGCATGGTGAGCAGGGGACCTTCGGGTGTCATCTGCTCACTTCAGACGGAGGACTGATAGCGCGGCCGCGGAGCAGCAAGGCGCAAGTGTGAAGCTTCGCCCGTGCTCCCACGCCGTGCACGGGCACCGCCGTTGTCGGGGAAACCTTTTCTTGTCGGGGAAAGTCTCGCCTGTCGTGTCGGGGCAATCAATACCTAGTCCGTCGCGCGCACAGAGCGCGGCCCTCCACACGAGGGTTGTGCCGGCGAATCCCTTCCTAGCGATCTCCACTTCGTCTCACGGCAAGGCAACAACACAACGCCGGTGGGAAAGGAGGCCCCGATTGCCATGCTCTTGCCGCGACCTAGCCCCGACCTCGTTGCCATCAGTGCTTCCCATGCCACACAACGTTCTGACATGTAACTTTCATGTCTCAAGATGTGTATCAAAACAGAATCGAATTACAAAGAGAGGCTCAAGGGTCGACGGGGTTCTTGCGGGCCACAATGAGTGGGTCGGCAGTCGCCACTGGGAACTTTGCGGGCAGCGCCTTGAGCGGGACACCCAGACTGGAAGCGAGCACATCAGCACCAATGAGCTCGGCGCCCGTGCGGAAGGCCACGTCCTGGGGCATGGGCTGATCAAAGAAGATCAAGAATTGGATGTGGTCCGGCTTGACGCACTCGATGTGGTGGGGAAACGAGGCGGGGATGAAGTAGACGTCGCCCTTTTGGAGCGTGAAAGTGTCGAGGGAGCCATCGGGATCCATGACAGTCATGCGCGCGTCGCCCTCTTCGACGTAGCCCATCTCGCCGGTGAGCGGGTGCCAGTGGGGCTCCCGCATGCCGTCCTCCAGGACGAGGAGGTTGTACATGGCCATGTCCTCGAGCGCGGGCCAGAACTGGCTGCGTGCCGTCCGTGCGCTGCCGATGTTGGGCCAGTTGACCGGTGGCTGCATGCCGGCATTGTTGAACTTGTTCGGGTTCGGCCAGTGGGCATGCTCGGGGATCTTGAGGGGGCCCTGCCGCTTGACAATCTCCTTGGGGCCCATTGTGTCTTTGGGTATGAGCGACTTCCAGTCCCGCATGTCGTGGTCGTAGGTGTTGCCAATGACGGCGGGCGTAAAGGCGGCAAAGGAGTTGGCCAGGCCAAAGTCGACTGGCCGCTCGTGCCTGTAGGCGATGAGGAGCTCGAGGTCGTCGTCGGCGGCATTCTCAATGTGGTGCAGCGCCCCATTCTTGACGTGGAACATCTCGCCCTGCGTCAGGGTAAAGGCGTTGAAGTTGTTGCTGGTGCCCAGGATGCTGACGAGCGCCTTGCCCTTGAGCACAAAGCCCATTTCGTTGGCATTGACGAGCCATCGCGGGCTCCGGATCGCGTTGGGCTTGAGCACGACACGCTCGATCGACAGGTTCTTGAGCACCGGCAGCGAGTCGGCGGTGATGCTCTGGATGCTCCCGTGCTCCGACTCGAAGCGCGGCTTCTGGTCCAGGAGAGAGATTTTGTGCAGCTTGCTGATGAGCATGATGGGGCGCGCGAGGAGGGGTGGTGGTGGTGGTCAGCAGCCCGTCGCCTATCGTGACTAAGCTGCGGGGAAGGGCGATCATCCTTGCATAAATATTCATTTTATCGCTTTTCTCGAGGCTGCTCCACAGAAGAGGGCTTGCCCATCAGACGCGCTTTATCCGGCCGGCACTCTGCAAACCCACTCTGGGCCGAGTTGGCTGTCCCGCATCACATGTTGGCAGCAGATGCCCCTCGGATCTGATGTCATGCAGCTCTTACAGACTCGCTATTGTGTCGCAGTGGAGGAGGATGTGACAATGCGACCGTGTCCTGCAGCCGAAACAATAGATTACATTGCAATACAAACTACTTCGAGGTCAATTCCCCCGCCCTCAACGAGGCATTCTTTCCAGGAAAGACATCCACTCGTCAAAGTCGTTGCTGGAGTAGGGGAGCTGCGACCATGCAGAGTCAAACAACGCTGCTGGCGTCAGTGTCGTCTCATTCTCACGTGGCGCCTGGCCGCCTGCGAGTGGCGGTGGATTAAAGTCGGCCACCGATGGTGCTTGGGGCGCCACTTGCAAGGTGGGGTACTCTGTCGTGTCTGACGGCTTCAACGACCGGAACCACTCTTGCCACTGCTGATCCAAGGCAGAGCCTTGTGGCGCGTGTTGTCCAGAGGGATCCTGGAGCGAGCTGGTGGAGTGCAGTGCCCTGCTGGACGGCGTCTCGTCGTCAGAGAAGCTCGGTAGCGTAGACGCGCGTCCCTGTCCTTCTGTGTCGCGCTTCGGGTACTCATCATCGATGCTGCTGTCGTCGATCGGTAGACGGGCAAGCCGGTCGTCGTCCCGAGAGCCAAAGGTGCTGTCGAGCTTGGAGAGGATGAGGCTGTGGCGCGCAGGCACCCTGCGCGACTGCAATCCCATCGAGTCGAGCCACGTCTTGCATCGTCTGAGCAGCATCTGGCTGTGCTCCACGCTTGACCGCGTCAGCACGGGGTGTACAGGCACCGGCGAGAGGGCTTCGCGCTGCCAGGCACTAAAGGCCATCGCGTGGATCACTGCGGCTTGAAAGATGGCGTGCGTCTGGATGACGGGCGAGAGCCGGATGGAAAAGACGTCGTCGAAGCTCGTCAGGATCGCACACAGCTCCATCGCAGCGCGCTGGACAAAGGCAAAGGGCAGCCGAGCAAACGTGCAATGGCCTGTGGTCGACGAGAGGCCGTCCATCAGGAAGCGGGCATGGGTGCGATAGAAGAGGATCATGCAGGCGCAGTACCACACGCGCACCGTGAGTATCTGAGGCGACACTCCATAGTGACGAGCGATGGCGGCTTCAAAGTAGGGTGTCAGGTCGTCTTCTTGCGCGCTGCCTGCTGTGCCTTCACTCCAGGCACCGTTGGTCCGAGCGTCGGGCGGCGGCGGCGGCGGCGGTGCTCCCTGCGGAGAAGTGTTCGACGATAAGAGAGGCAGCACGGTGTCCCAGGGTAGGAGGAGCGGCGACTGCCACGCGACGGGCGCCGGCAGGCCATCTTTCCACTTCTGAAGAGCCTGACCCGCTCGCGCAAGATGGCGCGCCAGCTCAGAAGAGGTCGTATGGTCAGCAGGCAGCTCGCTTTGGTTGTCCGACGCTGCGGCTGATTGCAGGGGCTGGAGATGGTAGTGGTGCAGCTTCTCGTGAATCGTCATGAGGCTTGCCCAGCACCGCATGCTCGTATTGAGGTGGCACTTGACCCCGTCCAGGCTTGCCTGGTGCTTTAGATTGACAAGGTCGCGCGTCAGGTCGGTGAGCCACAGCTTGTGCTCCTCGACCGAGTCCGTCTCTGGGAAGGGAGCGTCGCACTCTGCTGCTCGCAGGATCGGCGGTCGCTGCAGCGTGACGGAGGTGATCTGGTCCAAGATGTATGCTTGCCAGAATAAGCGCGAGTATTCCTGCTGCTGGCGAGCCACGGCCGCGGAGGGGATCGTCGAAGGGCCAGCACCCGATCCTGGGGAAAGAATGAGACTGCTGCCAGGTGTCTGTTGTGCGTCAGTATGCCTCTTGGTGTGAAGCTGGAGGAATTGAAGAAGGCGAATCGCATTTCCAAGCCGTCGCCAGCCGAGCTCAAACTTGAGCAGTCCGAAGTTGAGCATTCCGACCGCCAATTGATACCGCACCAGATTGAGCTGCGCTGCCCTGAGACCGTCTCTTCCAGCGACTAGATGCTCTTCGTCGTCGATGCGCTGCTGCAGCTGGACAATCTCCCTGCCGAGCTCCTGCGCGGTGTGGCAGAAGTAGGCAAGGGCCTTCTCCTTCTTGGCCTTGCTGGGGCCAGAGAGGCAAGCGTAGAGGGATGCAGCGGCTCCCATGGCCGCTCGATAGGCGATCTCGTCGCACTTCTCCATGGCACGGATGGACGACAGCGCGCCAATCTCAAGGACGGGGTTGTGCAGATGTAAGATCCCATGGTAGATGGCCGCAATCTCGTGGGCCAGCTCCTCGTCTAGATGCGGGTCAGGCACTACTGCATTTTCCGCGCCGTTGTCGACCTGGCCATCGTCCTGCCTCTTTCTTTTCTCTTTCGCCAAGTCCTCGTCCAGTGCCCGCTTGCTTGGCGGGCCACGCTTCTTGCTCCTCACGTAGACGCACTGATCCGTCCACCTTTTCACGACGCATCGCTTGCATGGCCTGTGTCCGTCGCACTTCTTCTTGTCGCTCGTACAGCGCTCGCACGCCTTTTTCGATGGAAGGAGAGCGCCATTTCCACTGCTCGCCAGCATCGGGCACTCCACTCAACTCTTCATTGGTCTCGCCCGAACGCCCGTCGTTGGTCGCAAAGCAAAGACGCAAGCCCAAAACTGATTGGATCTTGTGCGCTTGTCTCCGCGGATTTTGAGATTGTCAGAAGACGCGCGCGTCAGGACACCTCGGGGAGCGAGACGGGTAAACTCTGGTTAAAAACGTGGAAGATTAAGTCAGTGGCCAGCACCCGCTGGCCAGGGCCGGCTCGTCTGTGCGGAGCGGGTACCTTTTACCACCATCGCGACACACTGCTCGCGAGCAAAGAGAAGCAATGGAACAACATTCCACCGATTCATCGACGCTGAGACGTCGCAGAGGAGGTGCTACTGCAGCAGACACGAAGGCGCCTCCTGCTCCACGAAGACAGAGGCGGAGAGGATCGGTAATTGTCAAGCATGTCTGGCCCTACTACATCTGGTTCGAGGGCACCTTCAGCCTGGCTATGCTCGAGTTTTGGGAAAAGTGTCTCTTCTGTGAGTTGAGTCGTTTTGGTTCGCTATTGAGCGCTGCCATCCATTTACTGGATGGCGACGTCGCGGCACAGTCGCAATCTTTTCGGCCCTCACCTTGCTCGTGTCCTACTACCTCGTCTTTCACCTTGCCGCCAATGCTCGCTTCATCCTCAAACGCACCATGTACTACCTCTTCGGCTGAGCCTGCATCGAATACGCATCTGTGTAGCAGCACACATCATCATCGTCGTCATCGCAGACCTGTGTTTCCCAGGCTGAGGAATGGCAAATGCTCTTGCGCTGCTATCTCGACTGCCTCGGGTATTCAGATCTACCTACTGCAGCAGCGTCAAAGTGTGCTCTACTCAGAATACCATACGGACAACCGCCCCACCAATCTGGCTTTTCGGGCGCGTGCTTGGTTTTTGGACCACAGCGCAGACCATCTCGCACCACCGCATCCTCCGGGAACACAGAGATGCGCCTATGCTCTCGTACGCTTCAAAGTGGCGGCAAATGAGAATGGTATTTCTCTATGGCTATGGCTGGCTCTACCAGGGAATCTGAACAAATGAACCATCTGTCGAGAAGGGCGCATGGTTTCCCACGAGCTGACCGGCTGCAAGGCGAAGAGGGGGAGACACAGAGGTGAATCACACATGACACCGAAGGGGAAAACACAAAGTCGAACTCACTGGGACCATCGTCGGGCAGCGTGGCCAGGTGGACGTAGACGCCAGCGCCCTCTTCCAAGGTGCGGATGCCGGTGAAGTTGTTGAACTGCATGGGTGCAAATGTCAGCCGCAGCGCCATCCAATGAGAAGCTTCTTTCTCGTCGCACTCACGGGCGTCTTGACATGGCCGGGCGAGGCGGCATTGACCTTGAGCGAGGCTGGTGCAGGCTCACCTTTGCTAAGCTGGTGGAACAATCTACTTTCCAGCTCTCTCGCTACTCACGGCTGACATGCTGGGGCAGGTTCTTTGCCTGCATGAGCGTCACCATGTCTGCGGAGGATGAGAGAGCACGTCAGCAACAGTTTCTTGCGCTACAATGCGGACGACAGCCACGAAAGACACCCACTGAGGGCCGTCTTGGACGTGTTGTACACCATGGCACCTGTGCGAGCGGGCTCGAGGCCCGAGCCAAACGTGAGCGAGCCGCGGGCAGATGAGATGTTGACGATGCGTGGCGACGACGACTTGGCCAGCAGGGGAATAAAGGCGTCTGTGAGCAAGACAGACAGTCGGTCAGAAATTTCCTTCTCAGTGACAAGGGCCTTGACCTGCCCAACCCACTCGTGACTTGGACGACGGCGGCGACATTGGTCGTCAGGACAGTGACCATGTCCTCGGCCGTGGTGAGCTCCGTCTGGAGGAACATGTTGTTGGTGCCCTTGCCGCCCCGGCCCGGGGGTGCGCCGACGCCAGCATTGTTGATGAGCACGTCGAGGGCGCCCTGGGACGCTGCCAGAGGTCCCTCGGCCGACGAGAGGTGTGCCACGGCGGCCTGGATCGACTGCTCGCTCGTCACGTCGAGGGTGAGAGGGAAGACCTGAAGACGCACCACGCCAGCTCAGCATACTGCAAAATAGGGCTGTGGAGGCAGAGCTGCATCCCTACCTTGGACTTGGAAGCCGCGTCGGCGAGCTTCTTTGTCAGTTCGTCGGCGGCTGCCTTGGCTGCGTCGGCGCGACGGCCAGCGAGAATGACATTGAAGCCCTTTTGCGAAGCAAGCAAGAAGGCGGCTGTGAAGCCGATGGCTTTGGGGTCCGTGCTACCGGTGATGAGGGCAGTGCGAGCGGCCATGATGTTTCTTTTTCGAGGAGGAGTGGAGAGAAGAAGGCGAAGCTGATGGATGGAGAAGAAGGCTGGCGCTGGGGAGGGGAAGCGGCAGTTTAGGTTTTAACTTAGCGGGAATCTCACGGGGGTTTTCGGGGCCCGTGCACAGAAGGCGGCGCTACCGTCGGCACAGGGTAGGGAACGCACGTGTTCGACGCCCAAACCCGTTCTTTGAAAGCGCATCGATGACTGAAATAGTGTCAGCAGTGGCAGGTACCAGGCCTGAGTCAAGGAGACGCAGGCAAGGACTGTAGTGGCCACTTTACCCGGTGCTAGTCATCGGAGGAGCCGGATACACTTAAAGTTAATGTTGGAAAGGAGAAGAAGAAGTACGGGCGATATCACAATACGAGACCATGTCAACGTCAACGGTGTATGATGTAAAGACCACGATCGAAGAGATCGGGACGATACCGAGCCAGAGCCGCGTTGAAATCGAAGTACTACAAGATGGCGAAGAAAGAGAAAACAGAGCTGGCAGTGGAGACGAAGAAGGGGATGAGCACAACAAAGAGACGGCATCACCGGGTGAACCCACATTGCAGCAGCCCAATCATCTGCACGGCATCCGCCTCGTCTTTGTCTTTGTGGGCATGGTCCTTGCCGTCTTCCTTGTCGCCCTCGACCAGACGCTTCTCTCCGTCGCCCAGACGGCTATTGCAACGGATCTCAAAGCCCTCACCGATATTAGCTGGGTGATTACGTCGTTCTTTTGCACCCAGGCTGCGTTCATGCTTGTCTACGGTCAGCTTCTTACCTTGTGGCCCTCCAAATGGTGCGTCGGTGTTCTGTAAACCTCATTCCTTGATGATGCCGACTCACGCATTGAGCACCCCAGGCTCTTTCTCAGCGCCGTCGTGCTGTTCGAGGTTGGCTCGCTGATTTCGGCCGTAGCACCCTTGATGGACGTCCTCATCTTTGGCAGGGCACTCTCGGGTGTTGGTGCTGCCGGCATTTTCATCTGTTGTCTCACCATTCTGGCCGAGGTTCGTACGTGTGCGTTTGAACTGCGCAAGGTTTGGAGAAGCCTAATGACTTCTCCCTCTCGTAGACAACGTCTATCCGGCAGCGACCAATGCTCTTTGGCATTCTTGGCGCCACTTTTGCCCTCTCGAGCGTCATTGGACCCCTGATTGGCGGTGCACTGACTGACTCGATCGGATGGCGTTGGTGCTTCTACAGTAAGTCCTCGGTACCCCTCCTTACTTTCGCAGACGCGCTCTGACAGTCCTCCAGTCAACTTGCCCGTGGGCGGAGTGACAGTCATTGCTATCGTCTTTCTGCTCCGCGCAACACCGCCTTTGGGCAAGCAGCACGGCGCCAGAGCGACGACATGGCTCGAAAAGGTGGGCAAACAAGTAAGCACGAAAGAGTGATGGCAGCCTCTGACCTCTACGTCTTGACAGATCTGCTCCATCGACATCATCGGGGCGGCCCTTTCCCTGGCTTTCACCATCTGCCTGATTCTTCCCCTCCAGTGGGCAAACGTGACCTACCCTTGGAACAGTCCAAAGATTATCGGGGTGCGTGACAGAGCCGGTCTCACTGCACCTGGATTATGCTCACATTTATTTTGTTCTCTGTGCCAGCTTTTCTGCACTGCCCTCGCGATCCTTATTGTATTCATCGGCTGGCAGTGGTTCCTCAAGGAAAAGGCCCTCGTTCCGCTGCATCTGTTCGGCAACAAAACTGTGTGAGCATTCCCCTGCTCTTGGTTCCACTGATTTCTCTCTAACGATTTTCCATTCACAGCGTTGGCTCGTCCGTCGTAACTTTCTTTTGCTTTTGGAATCTTCTCGTCTTCACCTACTACATTCCCTACTTCTACGAGAATGTGCGAGGCAAGAGCTCGGCCATGTCGGGTGTCGCACTGCTCCCCATGATGATCGCACTCGTGGCCATGACGATGGGTGGCGGCTTCATCATCACCATGACTGGACATTACTGGCCATGGATGGTCGCTGCGCCTTTGTGAGTGGATCCCACTTCGCTTCTCATTTTCGCTCTCGATGGCTGACTGTCACAACCGACAGCTTCCTCGCTGTTGGTAGCGGGTTGATGTATATGGTACGATATGACTCGCACAACTCCTTCGTCATTGGCGCACAAATCCTTGTCGGCCTCGGTGTTGGCCCTCTTTTGCAGACGCCCATCATAGCCACACAGGCAACATCCGACGTTCGCAACATTGCCAAGTGTACCAGCATCGTCAGCTATCTCCAGCGTCTTGGCGGTGCATTGGGTGTAGGCGTGTGAGTACACTCTCTCACATTATTGCGGCACAGCGGAACACTGATCTTATTGAGAGAAACTTGTACACAGGGCGAGCGCCATCTTCGACACGGAGCTGCAGCTGCAGCTAGCTCACCGCGCCCCCGCTGTCGATGCTCATGCCGTCCAGCAGAATGCTACGGTGCTCCTTGACCTCCCCGCCGGTCCCGCGCGCGACGGTGCTCTCGCTGCGTACACTTACACGCTCAACTACATCTACATCATGGGCGCACCCACAGCGTTTTTTGTCCTTCTAGCGGTCGTCTTCTTTGTCAGCCACAAGTCTCTCAAGTCCCGTTCGCGAAGTTGACAAAGATGCGTCATAGCGTAGCAGATGTGTAATAGACATAAGACGGCAGACAATCATCACGATTCCGCGGCTTCTGAGCGGCGAGCATATGTCATCATTGCAGCACGAGCCTATAAGAACGTAACTCAGGGCAAGCGCGAGTGTCTTTGGTGCCGAAGCGTGTTGGAGTTGGGCGTATGTCGTCATCTCACAACGAGGTTCCCATCAATGTGGCGCCTCGAATGAGCGCGCGGGGCGCATACGGCGTCGTCGTGGGCGGCGTCTTGTAGGAATCGGGAATGTTGTCGAGCCGATCAGGTGCTTCAAGAAAGACGACACCCATTCCTGCATGGAGGTGAGAAGAGACTGCGAGAGAGAGCAATGGAGTGTCAACGCGGGTCAAGAGTGAGGGACTGGAAAATGGCGTACATACTGTGGCAGTGCATGAGCCAAGCGCCTGGATTGTCCGCAATGAAGCGCAAGACGAGCCAACCAGCCGTTGGGAGCAGGAACGTGTCGCGCGACGGCGGGTCATTGAGGTTGAGATTGACGTTGCCCGATTGGAGCGCGTCTTGGACATTGGCGTACTGCCACGTCTCGTACTCTTTGCTGCCCAAGACCCAGTACTTGTGACCATGAAGGTGGATGGGGTGTGGTGGCTCGGCCGGCGCAGGAAAGAGGGCATTGGGTGCATTCTGCATGATAACATCCACAACAGCACCATAGGGGATGCGATAGAGCCAGCTGGGGTCCTGTTCGAGGCCCCTTCCGGGTTGCGAGAAGAGCACGGGCAGATTGAGTTCCTGAACGTCGGCAAGGGGCTGCGAGCCGATCTGGAAAACCGTCGTGTTCGTCTGGTTGGCGTGGAAAACGAACGTCATGTCAGCCTTCGAGGGCGGCGACTGGGCAGGAAAAGCGGGGGCGTCTTGTTGGGCGTCGAACTGGTAGGCGCCATTGATGAGCGACGAGTTGTATCGCACGGATGCCTTGCTCAAGTCTGACCAAGGATCACCCAACGCATCCCCATCCGGAGGTGCCATAACAGGGTCTTGGCGTCGCACCATTGCGTTTTCGTCATCGTCGTATCGCAGCACGCCGACGCCAGCAAGGACCTGTGCAAACCCTTGGCTATTGGCTCGGATAAAGTAGTCGCCACCCTGAGCCTTGTCGGTGGGAACTACGACAGTGTACCGCTGTCCAATCGAAACGGGCAAGGCCTGCACCTTCTTTGGTGTTATGTAATCGCCGTCTGCCGCTACGACCCACAAATCGTGTTCGTCGATGGACAACGTCCACGTCCACTCGCCACCCACATTGGCCACGTTGAGCATCGTCCACTTTCCCTGTGTAGGCACAATGTCGACATCTGCGGTCGAATTGGTGCAGCCCATGGGCGACGAAATGGCCTCGGCGTTGTATGAGCCTGAGCCTGGAATAATGAGACAGCCGCGTGAATCGACGTGGCTGGCAAAGTAAGGAAGGGCATCGTAACGCCGAGCAGCCTCTTCTTCCAGATAGTCGGCAGTGGGGCAAAACGACCTTCCTTTGCCTGGAATTGCGCCAACGCACTGGTCAGGATCTGTGTTTGAAGAAGGAAAGGAAGAGCAAGACGCACCATTGATGAGAACGCTGTCAACGCACGTCGTAGGTCGGCCACTCGAGTCAAACATGGCAATAGCCTCGTCTTCTTGGACGTGCCGCCAATCATAGAGTGCCATAGAGCGTGGATTTTTCTCGGCTTCCATCATGGCAGCAATGTCGCCTTCATCGCTCGAGATCAGGCTGAAGGGACGGGTCCGGTTGGCATGTGGATAGATGTAGATGAGACCCTTGACGCCATCATCGAGATAGCCGCGCACATGTGCATGGTACCAGTGAAGGCCGTACTGGCCGGGCGCTGAGAATTTGTAGCTGCATATAAGAAAGCAGACAATCAGTTCGCTTGCTTTGGGCAGACGAGGACCTGCGACTCACGTAAAGTTGCCATTGGGTGGGTTCGCCCATTGGTTCACACCGGGAACACCGTCCATCTCGGGCGAGCCTCGCTGAAAGATGCCGTGCCTACGTGGGTGCACATTAGGGCGCAACAGTCTGTCAACCGAGCCCGGTAGAGCGCCCACATGAAACTCACCAGTGGATGGTCATCTCGACGGGGAGCTCATTCATGATTTCTACCTCGAAGTTGTCACCCTCGTCGCCTGCAAGCGTAGGTCCCGGAGACTGACCGTCTACGACGAATGTCATGCGGTAGTGGCCATCGGGCGCATTGTACTGCGGGGTTAGCGCCCACTGGTGTTTGACCGTCTTGCACCATGCTGTCGCGCTGAGCAACCCGAGCGTGCAGAGAAAGAAGCTAGGCGACGGGAGCCTCATGGTGGCAATGATGGAGGGGAAAGAAGAAGAAGGTCTGTTTGCCTCGCATCCTGCTTCTTATTTTTCTTTCTTCCTTTGCAAGCCTTTATTCTCTGTGATGCCCTGGACTTCCTACCTTGCCTTTCTCCTGCAAGTAACACTCTGGTCCGTGTCGGTCTGCCGCGTCTCGGGTAAACTTGTAGCGCGACACAGGGTGCGCCCAGCGGGACCTGAATTTTTACTTCGGCTGGACCAATAGTCTGACATACGCGAGAACAACTAAGCATAAGAAACGTATGTACTTTACTGTACAGTACTATGGGGCGGCCTTGATTATATCAGCCGCCTTCTCGGCAGCAGCATAGACGGCCGACTGGATCTGTGTAGTAGGGATGGTGGGAAAGAGACTTGCATCGACTACGCGGAGACCCTCGGTGCCGTAGACGCGCAGCTTCTCATCGACGACGCCCCCCTTGGACTTGGGCCCCATGGCTGCTGTGCCGCAGACGTGGTGAATCGTAGCTAGAGACTGCGTGATAGCATCCATAACGTCCTCGCTCGAGGTGACATTGTTGCCAGGCGTGTATTCGCCCACGCGGATCGAGCGCAGGGCATCGGAGCGCATGGCGTCACGGAGCCGATGAAATCCCCACTGGATGATGCGGCGGTCGGCCATCGAGTCAAGGTAATTTGGATCATACAAGGCCGGCTGGGAGGGATCGCGCGAGCCGAGACGCACGGTGCCGCGAGACTCGGGCGTCACGAGGACTGGAACGACGGTGACAATCTGCATGAAAAGACAGAGCGTGGTCTCAGAGACAGGGGAAACGAAGAGAAAAGCTGCGACCCACATTCTTGGTGTTGGTGGGCTGGCCAAAGAGGGTGCTGTCAAAGAGGTACTGGATGTTGTTCTGGTCGTGTGGCAGGCTGAGGTGGTATGAGGCATTCCACTGCTTAAGCAGGGCGTCTGGTACCCGCTCCGTGGCCTGTGCACCGCCCAGATCCGAGTCCAGGGTGCCATTCTTGTCCTTGCGATAGTCGTCTTTGAGTTCGGTAAAGTATGTCTCATTGAGCCACTGTGCCGTGGTGTCGATCGAGGACACGACTTCGTACGTCAGGGAAGGGAACACGTGGTCCTGTGCATTGCTGCCCACACCGGGCAGGTCCTCCACCACAGGGATACCCAGCGAGCCGAGGTGGTCACGGGGACCGATGCCCGCAAGAAGCAGCAGCTTGGGAGTGTTGATGGCTCCAGCAGCCAGAATGACGTCCTTGAATGCTGCAACCTGCGATGTTTTGTCTGGCGGAGACATCATCAGTACCTTGCTTCGTCGGAAAAGTGCAACGCTGGTGCTCACTGGTTACGATGTCGGTATATAGGACGCCCGTCGCCCTCTTCTTGGCCATCGTCAGCGTGTCAACACGTGCGCCAGTCACGACGCGGACGTTTCGGCGGCCTTTGAGGAGTGGCAGGTAGGCGCTGGCCGTTGAGGCACGCGTGGCCGTGCGCGGAGCAATCGACATGGAGTGGTACGCGACGCCAATCGACTCGCCGGCATTGTAGTCGATGATGGGCAGCCCAGGGCCGCCGTGGGTCGAGTTGCGAAAGGCGGCCACAAAGTACGAGGCAAAGTTCTCCTGGGTGCGGGGATAGCTCACGTCGATGGGTCCTCGTGCATTCCTGTAAAGGTTATCATGCGTTTGAATCGTCACTCCCTTGCTTTGCGGTTTGTGAAAGTGTGTAGCCTGGCCAGCCGGCAATAGTCAGCACATGTTCCAGGAAGCTATCGCCTGTAAAGACCGACCTTGTTGAAGTAGTGAGCGAGCTTCGACCACGCCCACGACTCGTCTCCCGTTGTGCGCGCCCAGACGTCAAATACGGAGGGCGCACCTCGCGAGTAGGCCATGTAGTTGACGAGGCTGTAGGATCACTTTCATCAACACAAGATATCGGCACAGCGATTCTCGGATTTCTCACCTGCCCCCGCCCAGACCATGCCCCTGTTGGTACATCATTGTGCGGTTCTGCACATGCTTCTGCGCCACTGTCGTCAGGTTCCAGTCGAGCTCGGTTGCCGTGAGCATCGTTTCGTACGCTGGCGTCGTCACATTGGCGTTGTTTGTGGCGCTACGATGCAACAAATGAGTCTTAAAAAATAAAAAAGTAAGGCGCGCTAAGCGGTCTTTCCTTTGGCACTCACTCCGGGCCTGCTTCGAGGACAATGACCGACTTGGACGCATCTTCCGACAGTCGAGTCGCAACGACGAGGCCGGACAGACCGCCTACAGCGAAGCACCGTGTCAGCTGGCTGCAATCCTGCATAGAAGTGCAAGGGTCAACCCACCTCCCACGACGACATAGTCGGCCGACAAAGGTCCGAGGGAAGCACCGAGGGCACCATGGATGGCAAGGCCAAGGAAAGCAGCGACAACGAGGCACACAGAACGCATCATGAACAGTATCGCGCGAGAAATGGCGACTAGCAAGGCCCTGAGGATCCATTAAAAGGGCGAAAGCCTTGTCAGCCTGCATCACCCTGGCCTTTCCGGACGGCGTTGCCGTGGACCTGCCTCTACTCTGGGCCGACTAGCGCGACACGGTGTCGAAAAAGTCCGAGCGCGCAGATTTGGCGGGTTCGTTCCCAAGGCAAAAAAATTCTTTCTATTCTCTGTGCCTAAATAAGAAAGCTTCCCGGACTTGCCTCAACGTCTAAGCCCAGCAGTCACCTTCTGTGTTCCTTTTTCCTCTCCCAGCCAGGATAAGATGAAGCTCTCTTCGGTCCTCGTCGCCGCTGCTCTGGCTGCCTTTGCGCCCTTGGCGACCGTGGCCCAGACGCAGACGCCCACCTTTTTGTCCAACAGCGGCCTCGTCGTGGCCCCAGCGGCCAATTCGACGCTCAAGACGGACGGCAGCGTCCTTGAAATCGAGTACAACGGCATTGGTAGGTGACGTTGACTACGGAAGAACCGCAGCTGCTTTCCACTGATGAGGCGTGTCAACAGCCGCCGAGGGCTTTGAATCGACCCGCCTGGAGATGTACCTCCTCACCGTCGCCAACGGCTACGCTCCCGCTGGCTTTGGCTCTGGCATCGTAGGCTACGAGCGCTTCGGTACTCTGGCACCCCTGGCCAATCTTCCGCCCAACGGGTACCAGAACGACTCAACGGAGGCGATGCGTGCCAGCCACACGCCCAATGCCTACCGCTACAACATTACGCTTCCCAAGAATACACAGGCAGGCCAGATCCCTGCCAACCTGACCTTCCTCGAGTTCTACCACTCGCCCGACGATCAGGGCATGGTGTGGGTCTCGCTCAACTACCATCCTGTCAACATTGATGCTTCTGCATGATTCCACTCCTCCTCTTCATCCTTTTTTATCCATCCTCGATTAAAATGCCATTATCCTCAAGCGACTATGTGTATGCATTCTATGGCTTCAGCAGCTTGAGGTCAAGCGTTGCACGGTTCGTCCACGTCAGTCCGTTGGCCGACGACGGCACGGTGTAGGCCTCGAGGACGGTGAGGAAGCCGTCGACGTCGTGATCAAGCGCCTGGGCGGGGAAGCCGAGGTCGTAGATGTAGGCGTTGTATCGGAAAGCCTTTTTGTCATCCTCGGAGGTGCCTGGTTGAAAGGCATTGGGGAGCAGCGTGGCCAGGTTAAGAGGCTGGGTGATGCTGTAGCCCGTGACGCGAGAAGCGTTGAGGCCAGCCCCGCGCGCGCCAAAGGCCGACGAGGTGATGGTGACCTGGGCCAGCGAGCTGACGGCGCCATTGCCACCGACGCCATAGTAGACGAGGGGAATCTTCTGCCCTGCTAAAGGAAGATTCGACCTCGGTAAGCACCAACCTTCACAACAACTCCTTGCTACTGTCTGCACCACACACCGAAGCTGAGCGTGCTGTTAGCAGCCGGCGAGACAAAGGTGCCTATGGTGTCGAGACAGGCAACGCTGCCGGCCAGCGAGGCTGCGAGGAGCAGAAACGAAGTAAGCATCGCAGTGGTGTTGTGTGTTTGTGAGCGGTGAGATTCCAGCTTCGAAATCTGGCCTATTTCAAGTGTCACCCCTCGTCTGGCCTCGGGGTAAAGGCTGCCTTGCCTACCCTGGGTCGAGAAAATAAAGAAAAAACAAGAAAAAAAAAAAAAAAAGGCAAAGACGGGGACGAGTTGCGCACACCTATCGTTTGGCGCAGCGAGAGAAGCCGCTACACGCCGTCAGAGAATTCAGATAAGAGGGCTGTCACACACCGAGGGCGCTGTGACGCCTCTACCCCGCCACCCATTGTCTGAGTATTGCCAATGGAGTACATCATTGTTCTCGGTCCGCAGGGGGCACCCTCGCGGTCGACGCTCGAGTTGTTGCACCATTCGTCGGGCAAGCTGGGCGCCTGGCTTGTCACGGAAGCCTTTGAGGCTTATCGCGCCGAGGTGCAGTGTGCTCGTCGACAGGGCGAGTCCAACATTGCCTCGCTGCCCCTGCCACGCACCCTCGACGACTTTTTGGTCCTCGACAACGAGCACCAGGGCCACCAGGCCATCAAGAGCTTCCTCCACTGCCTCGTCCAGGCTCTCTGCGTCTTCTCAACACTCGACCGCCAGCGCGTCTCGGTCCAGCATCTCATCAGCAGTGGCACAGACCACCGCCTTCATGTTGTTGGCTTCTGCACGGGCACACTGACGGCGCAGGCATTTGCCTCGAGCACTCGCCTCTCGCAGCTCGTCTTTCGCCTCGTCGAAGCGCTGCGGCTGGCCTTTTGGATTGGCCTGCGCGTCGCACAGACGGCGTCGTCGTTGACAGAGGAGCTCACGTCGGTGCCCCATGAGTCGTGGTGCGCTGCGGCATCGCATTGCTCCATCGACGACATGCAGCAGCTCCTCCAGTCGTTTTCAGACGCAGCTTCCACACCCGTCGACACTCCCTGGATCACCGTCGTCTCGACGCAGACGCGGCTGTCGATTGGGGGCAAGCCCGCGTCGTTGGATGCCTTTCGCTCCTTTGTGGCCGCCAAGAACCAGGCTGGCGAGACTCGAGTGCAACTGCATCCCATCCAGCTCAATGCGCCATACCATAACCAGCAGGTCATGGGCGAGGCGGCGCGACGAGTGCGCGATGATGTAGCTGCGCGCCACATTCAGATGGGCACCGTCACCCACGGTCGACCGATCCTGGACAACATCGCAGGCACCCCGTTGCCAGTGGGCAGCGACCTCGCCGATGCATTCATCGAATCGATCCTGCTCCAGACGTCACGCTGGGATCTCATGACGGCCCACCTCGTGTCGGTGCTCGCTGCCTCCAGCGTCGGCAATGGCGTGTGCATCGTCAACGGTGGGCCCGACCACTGGCATGCCTCGGATGTCCACCAGCGCATCCAGCGCGCGGGCATGAAAGCCGACCTGCTCCAGTTCCGCCTCCCGGTGCCGGCCCCGTCAGCCTCGGCCCCGTCGTCGACACTGCTGCTCAACGAGAGTGACCCCGACTCGAGCTCGTCCGAGTCGGGCCAAGAAGCGGCTGACGATGACATGTTCCCGGTCATGCCGCTGACGCGCGTCCAGGGGCAGCCCGTCGCTATCACTGTCGCCTTCTTTGGTGAGGTCGAGGTGGGTTTCTCTCTCTCTCTCTCTCTCTTGGTCAGCAGTGTGGTCCCTTTGCACCGACTGAACTTGTACCCTTGCGCAGGACGGCTCTCACGAGGCGACCGAGCGTGTCATGGATCAGGCGGCAAATCATCTCAATGCCATGGGTGCGTATACCGGATTTGGTGCTTTGCGGGCCGCCACTCACACACACACACACACTCTCTCTCTCTTCCTCTCTCTCTCTCTCTCTCTTCCCCTCTCTCTCTCTTTCTCCCTCTCTCTCCCTCTCTCTCCCTCTCTCTCCCTCTCTCTCCCTCTCTTTCTCCCTCTCTCCCTCTCTATCTTTCCCTCCTGGCAGCTCCGTCGTGCTACTTTGAAGACGACTCGTATGCTTCCCAGCTGGGCTGCTTCTTCAACCAGGACCAGGAGCCCGTCCAGGGCGGTCAGGGCCTCGCTCTTCTACGGCGGGTGGGTTAGGTTGCCCTGTGCTCCCTTGATGCTGAGCCTGCTGACAACACTCGCTCCCGCCGATCCGTTCCAAAAGCTCATCACTGGTCATTCCTGGCCTGACCCCGCCCTACTTGGCCACGAAAACAGGCCGGGGCTGATCCCCACGCTGCACCGCGCCGCCTCGACGCTCAAACAGGGCCTCTGCAAAGTCGTCCTTGCCGGCGGCTTTGAGCATCGATTTGGCGAGCGGCGCCGCGCCGTCTATGTCCTGCTCGAGCTGCTGCGCGACGCCCAGCAGGCCGGCACGAGGCCCCTGGCCGTCCTCCTCAACTCCACGGGCAGCCGCAGGGCGACGGCGGCGCGCAGCCACGAGCAGACGATGCGCAAGCTCCTCGACTTTGCCGGCCTGGACCCGCAGGCGGTGAGTGTCTACTCGGGCCCAGGGGGCGAGGTGCAGGCGGTGCAAGACCCGGATCGCCTCTTTGCCGATGCCGTCCAACACGTGAGTCCAAGGGCTTGAAGAATCCTCTTGTTCGTCCCTCTCAAGGCTAAAGAGAATGAATGACGACGACACACCACGCGCAGAATCTGTCCGAGGCGGCGGCGCTAGAGAAGCTGCTGGCGCACTTTGCCCAGAGCAGCCACCAGACGGTCATCCAGCGCAGCGATGGCGTCGTGCAGGCCGACGAGGCACGGCGCAGCCTGCTGTACACTGTCGATGCAGCCCGCTATGTGGCCGCGCTCGTGTGCCAGGAGCCGCCCGTGTCGTCGTCGTCGTCGTCGTCAACAACGTCGCGGCTCCACTTTGTCGGGCTCTCGGCCGACACGCACGACGATCTCATGGAACGCGTCGGGAACCTGCGCCGCATCCTCGCCGACTCGGTGACACCGAGCCTGGAGGTGGGTGATGTCGCGTTTGCCACGACGACGAGACCGACGCATGGGCCGCTGCGCATCGGCATCACCGCCACTTCGACCGAGGGCTTGCGCCGTGCCCTCGAAACGGCGGCCGCCAACGTGCATTCGACGGCACAGCACCGGCGCGGTGTCGCCTTTGTGTTCCCCGGCCAGGGCTGCCAGTACAAGGACATGGGCCGCGATCTGTACCTGGAGTGTGCGCCGTTCCGGGAGCGCATGCAGCGGTGCGAGCGTCTGTGTCGCGCTCAGGGCTTCCCCAGCTTCCTGTCGACCATCTACGCCGACCTGGTCCCTGTCTCGGCCTCGACGCCCATCAGCCAGTCGTTTGCGCAGCAGCAGCAGCAGCAGCAGCAGCAGCAGCAGGAGAAGAGCGCAAAGGACCAGGCCGACCAGCTGGCCATCTTTTCCCTCGAGGTCTCCCTGGCAGAGACGCTCATCGGCTGGGGCGTGCAGCCCGTGTGCGTGGCCGGCCACAGCCTGGGCCACTACGCGGCCTGCTACCTGGCCGGCGTCCTGTCGCTGTCCGACGCCCTCTTTCTCGTGGCGCGGCGGGCGTCGCTGTTTGCGCAGCTGTGCATGCCCCAGACGTCGCAGATGATGGCCATCGCAGGCTGCACCGAGGACGAGGTGGAGGACCACATTGCCCAGGCGCGGTCGGCCGCCACGATTGCCTGCTACAATGGCCCTACCGACCATGTCCTGTCGGGCTCGCGCGACGACCTGGGGCAGCTGCACAGGCACGTGCGCGCCAAGGGCATCAAGGCCAAGCTGCTCGAGGTGCCCTTTGGCTTCCACTCGGCCCACATTGCCCCCGTCGTCGACAGCCTGCTGCGGGCGGCACAGTGCGTCACCGTCTCGCCGCCCAAGCTGGCCATCACGTCCAGTGTGCTCGGCAGACTGGTGCTGCCCGGCGAGGAGGGCGTCTTTGATGCACACTACTTTGCCAATCACACGCTGCAACCCGTCCGCTTCCGTGCTGCCATTGACGCAGCCAACGAGGCAGGACTGCAGATTGCAGACTGGATCGAGGTGGGCCCCAATCCAATCTGCTCCCCAATGCTCCGGGCCAATCCGACGGCAAGTGAGATGACGAAGCTGGCGACGCTCAAGCGTGGCGCCGACAGCTGGTCGGGCCTCATCTCGCTCCTGGGCACCCTCTGGACGTCGGGCTGCCCCGTCGGCTGGAAGGCGTGCCTGCTCAGCTCTGGCCAGGCCTACCAGGGCTGCAACGGCCTCAGTCTCTCGTCGAACCCGGCGACTCGCTCGGGCTCGGGTACGCTCACGCGCCGCTCCTCGACGTTTGAATCGCTCTTTGGGGGCCAGCACAGCAGCGCCTCGAGCTCGCACTCGCACGACATGTTTGACCGCGTCTCTGCCCAGCTCAGCATCAGCGCCCTCGCGCCCAGCCGCGGACCGTGGCTCGAGAGGGAGGATGCCCTCAAGGACAGGCAGGACAGGCAGGACAGGCAGGACAGGCAGGACAGGCAGGACCAGCAGGACAGGCAGGACAGGCAGGACAGGCAGGACAGGCAGGACAGGCAGGACAGGCAGGACAGGCAGGACAGGCAGGACAGCACGGAGGAGTCAGCGGCGCGCACCTCCTTCTCGACGCCCCTCGCCCACTTTGCTGCCATGGTCCGCGGCCACCGCGTCGTGGGCCTGCCCGTCTTCTCTGCGTCGCTCCACGGCGAACTGGCGCTCGAGGCCAGCTGCGCGGTGCGAAAGCTGCCGTGCCAGGCCGCCGCCAGCGCCCGCCGGCGCGCAGTGCGCCTCTCCAACCTCGTCTTCCGTGCGCCCCTGGTGCTGGCCGACAATGACGACACGGGGGGCCAGGCACGCGTCTGTATCCAGCTCGACAGGGACGGCCAGCGCTTTGGCGTGTCGGAGCATGTCAACGACAGCGTCCGACTGCTCATGACGGGCGACGTGCACATCGACGAGGGCAGCGACGGCAGCGACATGGACAACGACAGCGATGCGCAGCACGCGCTACGTCGTCTGGGCGAGATGCAGCGCGAGCGACGCAACGACGAGGCCGGCTACTCGACGCTGGCCTCGGCGATGGCGTACGGCCTCTTTGCCAAGCGCGTCGACTACTGCGCCGACTTTCGTGCCCTGCAGTCCATCACCCTGGCGCCGCCGCCGCCGCCGCCGCCGCCGCCGTCTGGGGACAGTAGGTCCGCAGAGGCGTTTGGCACGGTGCGCATCCCGCTCACTGCTGCCAGCCCGCTCGGCGAACGGGTGCGGGGCACCGTGCTGCACCCCGTCGTGCACGACGTCATGCTCCACTCGGGCGGCTTCGTGGCCAACGAATCGGCCCACCTCGTGGGTGCCAGCGAATCATTCATCGGCTCGCGCGTCGAAGAAGTAAGCTTCAGCGACGCGGCCGCCATCAGGCCAGACACGACATACCGCATCCACATCCGCGTGGCTGCCCACGGCCCACGCGAGGTTGTTGCCCAGACGCACCTCTTTGACGAGGATGGTCAGCGCGTCCTCGCCTGGGCCCGCGGCGTGCACTTCCGCAAGGTGCCGACGGACAAGCTCCGCGAGTCGCTGGCCGGGGCTCGAAGCAGCCCAAATGCAGCAGCAGCAGCAGCCACACGTGGCGTGCCGAAGCAGCAGCAGCAGCAGCAGCAGCAGCCATCTCAACAGCGACGTGAAGAGGAGGAGGGCGACCAAGACAACAGCTACATGGGCCCGTTCATGGAGTCGCTCGCTTGCGATGAACTGCACGACGATGACGGAGCTAATTACATGCATACACTCCTGACCAGTCTCGGGCGCACCTCGTCTAGCGACGGGGGCGACGACAAGGAGGAGGAAGAAGAAGAAGAAGAAGAAGAAGAAGAAGAAGAAGAAGAAGGTGAACTGCTCCTGCGCCTGTTTCCCGGCTTGCGTGGCTGCAGCCTGGGCTTGGGCCCCTCCGACATGGCCTCCGGCAGCGCCTCGTCATCGTCCTCCCTCGGCTCCTCGCCCCAGCAGCACTCGCCCCGCTTCTTCGACTCGTCAAACACCTCCGTCGACAGCGTCTCCCTCCCTCCGGCCAGCAAGAGGCTGGCCGAGGCTGAGGCCGACCGGGTGTACTGACCCCGTGTAGATATGGTCAGTCGGGCAGCGTTTTCCGCTCTTGCTTCTTGTCTATCCCTTATGAATCGAATCCTATTTTCTATTTACGCCCGGTGCCTGCATGCCTATAAACAAACCGGGACTACCTGATCATGAATTAGTCCAATAACCCGACAACAACGCCACTACTATACTACTACAACTACTACTAGGTCAAATAAAATTCTATCAGTCTGTCTATCCCCACGTTCCCTCACCACCTAGGCCCTCGCCACCCAGGCCTAGCCCGTGCATGTCTTGCATTTGGCGCATAATGTCGCCAGACAATGCGTCGGAAGATGCGCACTCGCTGCCGTTCTGCGACGACGCGGCAGGCTCATGCTGTTTGGCCAGGGACGCGGCCGTGCGTGCGATGCTGGCGGCGACGAGGGCCAGTGTCATGGCCATGTTGTCCTTGCCGCCGCCGCCGCCGCCGCCGCTGAGCGCGGGCAGGAGTGCAGGGGAGTGAATGACAGACGACGAGGAAGAGGAAGAGGAAGACGATGATGATAGGGAAGGAAACGAGTAGCACGCGTCCGAGAGAGTCGAAGCAGCATAGCACGATGGCCGTCCAGAGGAGGCGTCGAACTGGCTGGTTGCTGAGGAGAGAAGCGCGTCGTCGAAAAGATTCGCATTGAGCATGAAGGGGTCGCCACTGGGCACAGCCGAAGAGCACGACTGACGCCTGGGCGGGTCGTATCCCTGCTCTGGCTCGAGGGAGCCCTGCTGCTGCTGCTGCTGCTGCTGCTGCTGCTGCTGGATACGTCGTAGCACAAAAGCCGGGTCACCGGCGAGGTGCATTAGCGCTCGGAAGTGTTGCGAAGAGCTGTCCATGGTCGCAAGCGTGGATCGCCTCACCGTCAAAGACTGTGCCTCTTCCTTCTCCGTGGGTGCCTCGTCCTTCTCGTCCGTTTCCTGATGCGTCCCTGCTTGCTGCTCTGGGCTATCGTTTATGAGTGCGTCGGCCTCGTCGAAGCCAAGTCCGTGCGTTTCTCTAGCACCGTCACCGTGCCCTGCCGCTTTCATGAACGTGTCGCCGTCATTGTTGTTGTCGAGAGTGACGGGAGCCTCGGGCACGGTCGACGACGAAGCCTGCTCTGCAACCTGGTCACCAGTCGGCCAGATCGAATTGATGTAGTCGCTGCTGCACAGCTCGTCGGCGGCCATCGTTGGCATGGATCGAGGGGTGGCGCTCTGCAACTGCGTGTCTGCCAGCTGCAAGTATTGCGTGGGCGCACCCGGCTCCACCACCTGCATGTCGTTGACGCCAGACTCGATTCCAAAAGTCATGGCCGTCGCTGGAGGTGTCTGGGTAAAGTCAAAGAGGGGCAGGGTGCCGGCGTCGCCCACGCACGACTTGATGAACTGGTCCAGGTCGTCAGTGGGTGCCATTTCCGACACCTGGCCTTCCCCAGTAGATGTAGATGCGAAGGAAGAACAGAGACTGGTGGACCTAGAAAGCGGCTCTGCTGCTGCTACTGTTGTGGCGGGCGACGCTGGCTGGGCTGACAGCTCTTGTTCTTCGTTGGCGTGAGGCGAGCGTGTCTGAGCCTCGTTCGGCGTCGATTGCTCGGCAAGCATGGCCAAACGTACCTGCTCGGCCTTCTTTGTCCCCGGCTTAGGCTTCTTCTGTGCGACGAGGAGCTTGCATGCACGGTTGCGGCAGCTGAGGGCACGTCGCCCGTCAAAGTGGGTTGCGATCTTGTTCCACGACGTGCCGAGGTTGTAGTAGAGGTCAAGCAGCTTGGTGTCCTCTTCCTCCGACCACGCCTCTCGCTTTATTGTCGGATCGAGGACCTCTTTCCACCGCTTGGAGCACTGGTCCCCTGAGCGGTGGCCAACAATGGTGGAGATCTTGGCCCAGTCGTTGCCGTGCTCGTTGACGCTCTTCTTCAGGGCCTCGTCTTCGGCGGCGGACCAGCAACCCTTGCGCAGGGAGCCGTTGAGGCCGCTGACCCACCGCTTGCGACAGTCTTTGGTCGTTCGATCCGGGATGTTGGCCGCGATCGCCTTCCACGAATACTTGCCGTTGGGAAAGGCCTTCATGGCGGTGATCAACAGTCGGTCTTCCTCCTCGGTCCATCGCTTTCGCGGTCGACAGACCGGTTTCTCGCCCACATCAGCTGCTGTCGTCGTATCCATTGGTGGTAAAACGCCGGGAGAGAGCTGGAACGAAGGAGTGAGGTTGGTTGAGAGGCACTGAAGAAAGGGGGGGGGTGGGGGGTGTCTCGACTGCAGGATCATTTCACGGATCCTGCCCTATCTATGACAATGGCGCCATCTTTACACTGCTTCCAATGCCTTCTTTGGCGTTGTCCACGATTGTCCGTGTCTGCGAAAGGCGTCAAGTACAATCCCGATGCCGGCCAGATTGAGGCCTGGCTCTCGATGCAAACCCAACCTAAAATGAATCTCTAGTGTAAGTGTCAACCGATAACGGGCCGCTTGAAAAGAAAAACTAAAAAAAAAAACAAATTCAAGAATCCAGCTTCGTCACACAATGCAGGTACTCATTGTCTCTAGCGCAAACAAGTTCCGCCCAGGAAAAGAAACTCGGAAATTGCCTCAACGTCCGACTCGTCTGGATTTGCCGTCGACAAGCAGACCTCCGGCTCGTCTTGCAAGCTAACACAGGCTCGATTCGGGAGCTTGCACTGGCGATCTTGTGTCCCGACTCTTCTGGAGATGGCCATCGAAGAGTCGGTTGTCTACTTATCTTGCACGGGAGAGCATTAGCTCGATCCGCAGGATCGATGATCTCTTCGGGAGCCGGGTGCAGGAGATGCCAAACGTAGATTGAGATGAAGCCGCCGGGCAGGGGCAGTTTGGCATGACAGGTGTGATGTTCATCCGGCCGCTAGTGGTGAGGCGACAGACTAACTATGACGGAGCGAGATGCTGCTGCAGGAATAGGAAATGCAGGCCAATGTAATTTTCAGAAATTTAGGGTAGGAACCTCTTGCAAACTATGGTTCCTAATTAAGGTACTGTACAGTATGTTTTTTGATGCTTGTCTAGCAGTTAGTAGTAGTGAATGAGCAACCCCCGCCTCTTTCAATTTTGAAAGGTGCCGATAAGCAGATGCGCACGGACCCTCCGTCGCGGGGCCACCGAATCGTTGATCTTAGGCAACAACCTTCGCCCAGCGGGCAGCGGAGAGATAAAGGGGGAAACTCTGAGTGAACTTTTGGGGCGCATCCTCCCATCCAGGCACCGGAGCCTCAACTTTAATTTCAAGGTCAGCGGTGCTTCGAGCCCAGGCCGGGGTGAATCACACCGGAAAAGCTCGAGATCGACGAGGACAGATTCCACTTTTCAGGGCCGGCCAGCGGGCGCTGGCGTCGTCGGCCAAACCTTGGCGTCCGAAACCGGTCTTTTGACGTCAGAATCATTATGCGCCCCCCTTTTTGTTTTGTCTCACTCTTCGGTAGGCGTTGATAATTATTGCCCGGACACATGTCAGATACACTGGTTCTTTCCGCTTTCTCCAATTCCGACTCGGGACAGGGAATGATAACAGAACAACGCACGTGCTTTACACCGGGCCGTCGCGCGTGTCGCCTTCGCGATTCTGTTCGGCCCAGAACAGCTGGGCATCATCATAGGCCGACGCAAGCACACGGGTCACGCCTGCGTGGCGCGGCACAAAGAGGCACGTGTACGGATTCGTTTGGCTGACAAAGCCGTCGGTGTAGGTGCTTTCTTCGTGGATGCTCTTCAGCGGCTCCTTCTCTACCGGAGGGGCCTGCAGGTCAAACGCCCAGGCGAGACGGGCAAAGATGATCAACAGACTGGCCTCGGCAATGTGCATGCCCTGGCACACCCGTCGGCCCCAACCAAACGCATAGTGATCGCGCCGAGAAGCATCCATGGTCGCGGCCGACTGCGCAGCGCTGAGCGAATCGCCCATAAATCGCTCCGGCATGAATCGCTCTGGCTCGGGATACCGAACCGGGTCCATGTGCATGGCCCTGCATTGGTGGGTGAAATCAGCCAAGAGCCGAGGGATGCAGAGAGAAAAGGTAAATGCCTACCAGACATTGCCAATGACAATCGAGTCCTTTTTGATGAGCATGCCATCGTAGATGTCGTCCTGCGTCACGCGGTGCGGAATGCCCATGATCGTGGGCGGGCGTCGGCGCAGAGTCTCCTTGACACAGCTGCGCAGGTAGGGCAGGCCCTCGATGTGCTCAAAGGCAGGGAGCGTGGAAGCGGGAACGGCGGCATCAATTTCGGCCTTTAGCTTGCGCATGATCTCAGGATCGTTGAGGCAGGCGAGGACAAAAAAGTAGACGGAGCTCGCCGTCTGTGGCCATGTCCACCATCGTTGTCACAGGCGTCAGATGGGAGTCTGGCTGAACTATATCCCGTCGCACTCACCGTGTCCGAGCCAGCCTCGAGAACGGTAGCTGCGGTGTCTGCTCAGAGGCGCGACGACGGTCAGTGTCAACGGGTGCCACGTCACTATGGGAAAGACGGAGAACACACACAGGCAAGGAGCGTGTCAGACATGAGTCCCTTTTCGTTGAGCCCGAGTCCCTCGCCGTCAAAGCCGTCGCCGTTTCTCTCGCGGTCCTCAAGCATGTCATTTACGTAGCTCTTGACCGAGGTAAGTGCCTCGCGCTCGCCCTTGAGCTGATCCATGAAGCCGCCCCAGAGCTGCATCTCCCACTTGTGCAGCCGCAGGGCCTCAGCGCGCCAGGGGCTCAGCCAGTCGGGAAGCTTGCGAAGCAGCGGAAAGTCGTCACAGGGATCTACAAGGGGCCATTGTCAGTCAATGCTGTCGGGGAGGCGGAAGCGGTCGCAGGGGCCACTCACTGCGTCCAGGCTGCCCAACGAGGGCGAAGTTGGCCAGGATGTCGTAGATCTTGTGCAGGCTCGGGTTGTCGTACGCGCTCGTGATGCGCTTTCCGTAGGTGATGTTGAGCACTACCGACGTCGTGTAGCGCCGCACATGGGCCTCCCATCCGTCTTCATGGCGAGTGGCCGTCTTGAAGGAGCCGTCGGCCAGCTGCTTCTGCATAGTGCGCGTGTGGCGCAGAAGATCGCCCATCAGCACCGCAGACTCGTGTTCCTGGACTACGCGGTACGAGCGAGACTTGGTGCCCATGAGATAGGGATGCAGCGAGGCCCGCGCAACCTTCCACTCGCTCGCATAGGGCAAAAACACCATGCGCTGGCCAGCAGACATGAGGTCGTGGGCAAAATGGGGGCCCGCGCGGGAGCTGTACTTTGCACTCCTCCGGTCGAGGAGGTCGACGGCAGCCTGGGCCGTGTTTAGGACGACAAACTCGTTGCTGCCAAAGCGCAGCCGAAAGATGGCGCCGTACTGCTTTGCCCACTGGAGAAACTGCGGGTGCTGCCGTGAGGGATTCACCTGGCCGATGTTGCCAATCAGAGGCCACTGGCGAGGACCAGGGGGCAGACGGACGTTTTTGACATTGCTGTTGCTGGTAGTCGACCGATGGTAGAGGAAAAGGGCAAGGGCGAGGGCAACGAGCAGCCACGTTATGATGGACGACGACAGAGAAGTATTGCTTTCTGCAGACGTGCCTGCGGGCTGCGAAGCGTTGTGCAGCAGCGTCGTCGTACCGTGAAATGATGCTGCGAGATGGTCCATCGTGGTGTTGGGTTGCAACAATGTTTGCGAGATGATCTTTTCCCTCTCAACTTATCTCAATCGACCAAATCTGCCCTCGTTCTCAGTCTCACAGTCCATTTCACTTTTAGCCTCATCGTCTGACCGCGACCGTGAGAAACCAGTGTAGGCAAAAGACCCCGTGTAGGCGCGCTGCTAATGGCGACCACGTGCTCTTCACCGTGGCAACCGAGATGCTTCCTCACACAGACCAGACACGTTTTTTCTCTTCTCCGAATCTTAAAGAAGTAGAAGCACTGCGCTCTGTTTGGATCCTGTTCCTCATCTTTCTTGCGAAGATGGCGCTGTCCTCCCTCTTCAGCCTCTTTCTCCTGTCTCAACTTGCCGTCGGCGGAGTGGTCAAGCGCGCCACGCCTGATCCCCAGTACGCCACAGTCGTCAGCCCGACTGCCAACCAGACGGTCAAGCTCGGTGAGCGAGTTGGTAGACGAGAAAGAGTAGGGCCCTGTATTGACTTTTGAGACAGATGGCTCGACGCTAGTCGACCTCCTCTACTATGGAGTGGGCGGCGATGGCTACACGACGAAAAACATTCGCATCTACATCGCCGACTTTAATGCCACGCACCCAGACGGCTTCAACAGCCTCTCGGGAGATCAACGCTATGGCCTCGACGCCTACATGACTGTGCCTCCCAATGCCTTCCAGCCTGGCTCGACTCAGAAGGAGCAGTCGAGCCATGCATTCAATGCCTACAACTTTTCGGCGTTGCCCCTGCCACGTGCCCACGTGACCTCGGCCTTTTCCGCCACGCTGTCCCTCCTCGAGACGTACACGGCGCCTGACGACGGCGGTCTCGACCGGGAAAACAGGGTGGCCATTCCTATCAACATTGTCCCCTCGTCGTGATACAGACAACCCTCTATTACTACTAAGATACACCACTACTAGTTCTCGCGCCGCGCTAGTGAAGAAATAATGCGCCCCTAGATGTTCCTAGCGCCTGCAATTAGACTAGATAGAGTTGCATCTTACCCTGTGCGCATCCTCACCCTGGGTTGTGTGTAGACGCGCACGGCGTCCACTCATCCTCCAGAATAAGATGTGAGCCGGGCGCAGTAGATCCTTCCCATCGTCACTCAAACATGGCTCCCGTTCAGACAAGCGAAGCAGCTGTCGTGGCCTGGCATACCGCGCCGCAGGTGCAACACGATGTTGTCATTGTCGGCGCAGGACCGGCGGGTCTGATGCTGGCCAGTGAGTGGGCAAGCGTGATCGCCACTGATTAAGAGTGCAAGAGACTGACTATTGGTCGCACGCTTCCCACACAGCCTGCCTTGCACAGATGGGGGTCAAGCCCTTCATCATTGACTCGCAAGACGCATCGCACCATGCGCGAGGCCGCGGCGACGCACTCCAGTGCCGCACCATCGAGGTCATGAAGTCGATTGGGCTTGGCCAGCCGATGATCGATGAGGGCGTCAAGATGTACACGCGGACATTCTGGGATATGACCGTCAGTCCGCCCCAGTGCACGTCGAGGTCCGACTTCTTCTCACCAGACATCGACTGCGACGACTGCTACAGGTGAGGCTCGCCTGGAGGGGAAAAGGAAGGGAGCGTTGCTGCTGACTAGGGGCCTCTTGCAGCCTGGGCATTCGACAGGGACTCGTCGAGTCCATCTTGGAGCGACGATTGCAAGAGCTCTGTGGCGTTCAGGTGCAGCGGGGGTGGTCGTTTGACGATGCCACGCTTCAGGGCCAGTCTGTCAGTATCGGACTCCAGTCTTCGTACGGCGAGAGGCGGCAGATGCAGGCCAAGTATCTCGTCGGGTGCGATGGCGGCAAGAGTGCAGTGCGTCGGATGCTGCGCGATAAGCACAATGTGGCGCTCCGAGGCGATGGACACGACTCGCGCTGGTCGGCCGTCGATGTCATCGGTCTGCGCTCCGACTTTCCCGACTTGCGCAACCTCTCGATTCTCCACGGCCACACCTCCACCATTCTCATCATCCCGCGCGAACCGATTGAGGGAAAGAGCTGCGTGCGCTTCTATTGCCAGCTTCCCGAAAGCGACGACGAAGGCGGTCCCAGCAGCGACGAGAACAAAGCGGCAGCTAATCCTGACCTCGACGACGTGGTCCGTGTCGTCAAGGCGACGTTCGCGCCGTATGCAGTCGACTGGGACGAGGTGCACTGGTTCACCATCTATCGCGTCGGCCAGCGCCTCGTCTCCTCGTTTGATGTGGAGCGCTGCATCTTTCTGGCAGGGGACGCTGCACACCTCCATTCGCCCAAGGGCGGGCTCGGCATGAACACCAGCTTGCTCGATGCCCACAACCTTGCCGTCAAGATCGCCCTCGTGGAGCGGTGGGGCGCCAGTCGCATGGTACTCGACACATACAGCCAGGAGCGCCGACTCGTGGCCGAGCAGCTCATCAGCATGGATCGTGAGCTCATCCGGCTCTTTTCTAACCATCGCAATGCCACACCAGAGACGACTGCGGCGTTGGGCGCCTTCCAGCGCAAGACCGAGGCCTATCAAAGTGGCACATCGATCGTCTACACGGGCAGTTCCCTCGTCACGCCCAGCGAGACGACCGTCGTGGACGCTTTGGGCGACGAGGGCTTGCCGAGGGGGCTCGTGGCCGGTGCGCGGTTGCTGCCAGCTACCGTGACTCGGCACGAGGACTGCAATCCCGTGCCCGTCCTCGATGCATTGCAGCCCTTTGACGGCCACTTTACCGTCTTTCTCTGTCTTGGCCACGTATCCGCCACGGCCGTCTCCACGCTGCTCGCCCACATTGCGCGTCCTGGAGGTCTATATACCTCTATGCGCGACAAGTCCGCCTCCTGGCCCCAGCTGCTCCGCCTCGTCGCCGTCACACTCCAGGACCACCGCTCGCTCGAGGTGACGCACTCGCTGCTGCCCGCCATGGCTTCGCCTGCGTCGCCCCTTGCGCCCTCTGCCTTGTATTGCGACGACGTGCCCTGCCTGTCGCCCTATGCAAAGACGCCGACGGCCATGACGCACCCGCTCCACACAAAGTGGAAGGTAGACGCGAGCACAGGCGCGCTCGTCGTTGTGCGGCCCGACGGCCACGTGGGTGCCCTCACCGCGTCTCTCCACGACTGGGCCACCGTCGAGGACTACTTTGCCCAGTGGCTGTCCCCAGACGCACAGCGGCCCTTCTGATTCGCCTTGTCTGATAGCACGGCATCTCGTAATTGCAATTGGTGAACTTATTTACAGGAAGCCCGAGGCACGCCAGTATTTGACATACTCCTGTACATGCTTGCTGTCCAAGGGTTTGCTCTTAGTCAGTGTCGATGAGTGGCGCTTGGCGATGGCTGTGTCGAGGACGAGGGAGCCCGTGGCGAGCCGAAGAAAGTCTTGACGGAAAAAGTCGACCAAGGGCCCTGCGTCGGGGCACTGTACCTGGACAAGCTGGAGCCACTGGTCAAAGGGACGGACGCGGTCGACGGCAATGGCCTGGCCCAGGAGCGCGACCATGTCGGGCCACGACTGCCGTGCCGGATTCTCGAGATGCATCATCGCCGGTGTGTCGTCGTCGTCGTTGTAGTTCTTTGTGGTGTCCTCGGAGAGGAGAATTTCGACGAGGGCGTCGCCAGCTCGATTGACGGGCAGCCACGAGAGGGTGCCCTGGAGGTCCGGCAGTGCTCCCACGGTGCGCGAGCTCTTGACCAGCGCGGCCATGTGCTCGCTCGTCGACCAGTTGCCCAGGCCCTCGGCGCCGGTCAGCTGGCCGATGCGCACACTCGCCATCGAGACGGCGTGGCGGAACGGCGCCCGCTGGAGAAGCTGTTCGCAGGCGAGCTTGGCCTGTGCATAGCCCAGCGTCGAGCAGGCGCGCACATCGACCACTGGTTCCTCGGGGACGACGACCGCCGTGTCCCTCTCGGACGCATATCTGGCCACCACGGCAATCGACGAGGCAAAGACGAGGCGCGGCCGGATGATGTCCTGCTGCTGCTGCTGCTGCTGTGAGATGTCGACGCCCAGCTCAATCAGACGCGCAAGTCCGTCAATGTGGGGCTGGAACGAGGCCAGGTGGCGGAGAAAGTCGACGGGCCAGGCGTTGTGGATGATGTGCGTTGCATGGGTGACCAGCTCGTGGTACTGCGCCTCGGTGAGGCCCAGCTTGGGCTTGCTCAGCGATGCGGTCCACACACTGATGCGTGTCCGATCGCAGCTGACGCCCAGCTTGGCCATGACTTCGAGCTGTCGCTGCAGCGGGTCTGGACCACGGACGAGGCAGTAGACGTGCTCGACGTGCGGTTGGCTCAGTGCTGCGCGCAGGAGGTGGCTGCCCAAGCTGCCCGTGCTGCCGGTAATGACAATCGATGGCCCCGTGCGAGGCTTTCTCCTTGGCGCATGTCCACCTGTGGCGTCATCACGAAGCGACGATGGGCAGCACTCGTCGAGCTGGCGGAGTGCCCCGTCGACGCATGCCTGCACGGCTGCTGCATCCTCGTCGTCGGTCCTTTGGTCCTGTCGACTGCCCTGCGCGAGTGCGGCGACGAGCTTGGCTACCGATGGGTTTCGGTAGACAAATGTAAATGGCAGGGTGCCGGCACCTGCTTGGAGCATGCGCAGCAGCTTGAGCGCCTTGAACGAGTCCATGCCCAGCTCGAAAAAGTCGTCGTCGACACCAATTTCGCCTTTTCGTCGCCTCAGGAGGCCTGTGACGGCTTCGGTGATTGTCGCCTCGAGGCTCTGTGCATCGTCGAGGTCCAGCAGCGGCCCGGCCACGCGGTCGGCAGCGCGGTAGGCCGCCTCGATTTCGACGGCAAACAGGTCGACGTTGGCCTTGCGCTCGGGGTTGCCCTTTGGCGTGCGGACGAGGGCCTTTTTAGCCTTTTGCGTCAGGACGATGAGCGTGGCATCGATCTGGGCATGCGCATCCGACACGCGGTTCAGCTCGTCGAGCGTCGGGCCGAGGTCCTGCGCAGTCACGCTGGCACCAGCAGTGGACGCCGTCTCGACGATGAGGCCGACCTGGAAGCGGCCATTGCCAAACATGACGGCATCCGTCACAAGCGGGTGCTCGCGCAGGGCCGACTCGGCGGCAATGGGGCTGACTTTTTCGCCCGTGGCCAGGACGATGAGCTCGTCGACACGGCCACGGATGCGCACCTGCCTGCGCCCGTCGCCCGCGTCGGCGTTCTCCTCGAGGGCGTCCTGGACCCAAAAGTCGTCTGCCCAGCCAAAGGGCCGCGCGCCAAGGCGCAGCAGAGATCCGCCACCGTCCTGGAGCGGCAGCGTCTGCAACTGGATGTTGATGTCGTTGCGCACGAGGAGGTAGCGCCAGTTGTACCGACACGACGGCGCGGGCACGCAGATGGGCGCCAGCGCGCCGATCTCGGTCACGCCAAAATGGTTGAGCAGCGACACGCCGGCCGCCTCGAGGCGCTCGCCAAGCGACAGCTTCATGGGCGCACCGCCCACCACGACCTGCTGGAGCTGCTGGAGCAGCGCAAGGCCCGCTGCGTCGGCCTCCATCTCGCCCAGCGTGGCGGGAACGATGAAGATGCGCTTGGCCGGCTGCAGGTGCAGCATCGCGGCCGTCGACAGACCCGTGGGGATCGTCGTCGCCGCTGGCAATACGACCGTCATGCCAATGGAGAGCGAGAGACAGGGCGCGAGCAGGCCAAAGCCGTGGTAGAGGGGCAGCGTCGAGAGCGTCACGCCGACGGCGTCCGCAGACAGCTCGTGGTTGGCCGCATAGCCAAGCAGGTAGCGGTGGCAGTGGAAGATGGGCTTGGGAAGGCCTGTGCTGCCCGAAGAATGAAAGATGGCGACGCTGCAGTCGTTTGGATCCACCTCGTCGCCCTTTTCCACCGTGATGCTGGCGGGGACGCTGGCGTCCGTGAGCCAAGCTGCCAATGGCAGCGCATCCACTTGCCGCACAGCTTCGCCCTCAGCCTCGCCCAGGGACTGCTGGCATTGTGCCCAGGTGACCACGGTGCGTTGATCCGTCAGTATGCTTCGAATGCCCGCGCGCGTGCAGAGTGCCGTGACGGCCTCTGCCGAGAGGCGCGACGAAAAGAGGGCAAAGGGATTGCCAAGCTTGGTGAGGGCGACGAGGTAGACAAAGATGTTGGCGTCGCTGCCGAGAAAAATGGCCACAGGGGTGCCCCTTTCTACCCCGTTGCCACTGTCTCTCTTTGCAGCAGAGCGCCTGGCAATGCCCTCTGCGACGAGCCAGGCCGAGCAGCGGTCGACGGCCTCGAGGAGCTGCCCATGGCTGATGGTGCGTGTGTCTGACGCGACGAGCGAGGGAGCCAGCTGGAGCGCAAAGGCATGTTGTGCGTTCAGCCGGGCCGACTGTTCGAGAAGATCGTAGACGGTGGCGGGCTCTCCCGCTGTGTTGGCCGTCGATTGCCAGCCTGGCGTGAGCCTCAGGTTGGGGCGGATAAAGGGCGCAGAAGTCGACATTTTCCAACCGGGCGAGCGAGAGGCAGGGCGACCGGCGACGCGCGCGAAAGTCACGAGGCGGCCGACTCAGTTTTTAAAGTTGCCGCGCGAGGCCCTGGCTTGGGCGCCTCTTTACCCCGTGCCCGTCAGCAGTAAAAGAACCCGTGTTGGGCGCCTGGCCGCTCTACCCCGGCCGTACTCTATCCCTCACCGTTATATAGAGACTGTCTGTATTCGATTACCCGCGAGGTCTACGCGAGTCAAACCATTATGCGGCTCTCTGTGCCTGTGGTTGCCCTTGCCGTCGCTGCCGTCTCACTCGTGAGCGGCGCTTCAGCGTCCATCGTGCCTTCCCTCGACGCCGATGCCGGTGTCGACTGGCTCCTCGGCCGGTCAGACAGCCTGTGGAAGCGTCAGATGGGGCCCATGCTACCCAACACTGCTCCCGGCCTACTCAGCGCAAGTGGTACCGTTGTGTCGCCTCCAAAGAACGCGACGTTTCGCTTTGATGGCCACCTCTTCAACTTCACTTACGACGGCGTCGGTGGTCGTGACTACCACACGACGGGCGTCCAGGTACAGATGACGACGCAGGCCATGGGCGAGGGCGTGCGTGCAGCGGGTGTGCCAGAAGTCTTCAACGGCTATGCTCGAACGACACAGGCCACCATTGCCAACATCTTTGCCAATGCATACCAGGCCAATACCACGCAGGACGAGATTGACAACAAGCTGTACAACCGGTACGAATACACGCTCGAGGCACCAAAGATCCCTCAGTGGCAGCGCGACCTGCCTGGCTATCTCGTCATCATTGAGTTCTACTCGACACCCAATGTGAGTGCCCATGCATTCAGCCTTACGCGTGGATTCTGACTGGAGATTCTTTGTCGCAGGACACGGGGCTCGTGTGGTCAAATGTCGTCTACCACCCCCTGCAGCTCATCTCCTCGAAGCCTACTTGAGCGGGAGAAATCGTTTCATACTCTTCTGTAGAAGCAAAGATCACCCGAGAGCGGGCACTCCCTATGCAGTCCTTAATATGAAATAACCATTCTTTCATCCTTTCGCTTTTGAACACCTGCCTTGAGGTGTGTGACTTCATTCTTCCGCTCATGAAACCTGCCGTGAGGGGTGTGTGCCGAAAAGATGCCGATCACTACCCTGGTTCTGGCCAGGCACGCCGAGCATGGCGCCCACCTGTTTCTGTGCCTGACACAGTCCAAGCTACATTAATAGCGGAGGAGATCCCAATCCGCATCTTTTTTCTTTTTTTTTTTCTCCTCATCCATAGAGGAAGATGAAGGCCTTTACTGCTGCCTACCTCGCATACCTGCTGGGCTTTGCTTCGGCCAAGGTGGTCAAGTACGAGTGGGAGCTGTCCTACCGCACCATCTCGCCCAATGGCGTGAGCAAGCGCATGGCCCTCGTCAACAACCAGTTTCCGGGGCCGACGATGCGTGCCAGCCTAGGGGACCAGGTACAGGTGACGCTGACCAACAATCTGCCCGACAACGGCACCTCGGTGCGTTTGCCAGCTTGGTACACCCAAGGTACCCCTCTTCGATGCTGACCGCGATGGCACAGATCCATTTTCACGGCATCAATCAACTCGGAACGGTATGTCGCCTACCTTGAGCCATTTGAGACGGTGCTGAACTCACACTGTGCTGCAGCCATGGGCAGATGGCGTGCCTGCGATCAACCAATGCCCGATTCCTGCCAATGGTGGCAATTTCACATACACATTCACCCCCGACGAAGCTGGCACGTCATTCTGGCACAGCCACTACGGCCCGCAAGTGAGTGTGTTATCTCACCCTGAGGGTCGGACCGTGAGCTGACATGCAAAGCTTGCCAAAGTACCCGCTGGGCGTGGTGGGGCCAACGATCATCGATGACCCGTCAGAGCCGTACAAGTACGACGACGAATACGTCGTTGTCGTCACGGACCACTTCAACATCTCCGACTGGACCCTCCTGGCAATTGACCGCACACCGGGCTTTGTGGGCAACACGGGCATCCCTCCCCGTCCCCCTGCTCCTGACTCGGTGCTCATCTGCGCGGGCACGGGTGGCTGCAACACAAAGTCACAGCCATCGTTTCAATTCACACCGGGCAAAACGTATCGGCTGCGTATCATCAACATGAGCGCCTTTGTTGGATTCCACTTCTCCATCGATGAACATCCGCTGCAGCTCATCGGCAGTGACTTTGCTGCGCTCGACGGCAAGACTAGTGTCGAGCAGCTGCCCATCTGGGTTGGTAGCGAAGCTTTTTACTCTCGGAACAATTGATGCTGACCAGTCTTACTCCCAGCCCGCCCAGCGCTACGACGTCCTCGTGCAGGCCAAGACCAACTTTACCGACAACGTGTGGATGCGGTCCGTCACGCAGAATGCGTGCTGTGAGTGTTTTCTTTCTCGGCCAAGTAGGTGGTAATACGCTAACTCCGAGGATATTACGCCCCGACAGATCCAATCCAGAATCCAAAGCTGGAGCTCGAGACACGGGCACTTGTCAACTACGAGGGCGTGTCTGCTTCCAAGGTACCGTCTTCGCAGCCATTTGCCGACCCAAAGGCAAATGACTGTCGCGACCTGGACCTGTCGCAGATCAAGCCCCGCGAGGTCGAGGATGCTGTCGAAACGCCTGACACGACCATTTTCCTCGCCGTGGGACTTTACAACAACGCCACGGCCCGGCAGATTCAGGGTGTCGTCAACAATTCGAGCTATCCCGCCTACGACGTCAACGCCAAGCCCACGTTGTTTGACATCAAGGACGGTGTCGACGTGGCTGCGCTGCCTACGAGTCGCAATGCCTACGCACTGCACAACGGCACCATCCGCGTCGTCCTCAACACTACTCTTGGCCCAGGGGCGCATCCCTACCATCTGGTGGGTGACAATGCACTGGTCTTTGTTGACCTGTAACTGAGTCCTTTGCACAGCACGGACACACATTCCAGGTACTCGGCTATCTCAATGGCACCTACCACGGGAACGACGGCCTCGACCTTGTCAATCCCACCCGCAGAGACACCATGATGGTTCCCGTCAATGCCACGGCCGTTTTCCAGTGAGTATGCTGTCCGCACAAGCGGCACTCGCTAACTTTTGCATCTATTCACTGTCTAGATTCAAGACGAATAATCCGTGAGTAAGGAGCAGAAGACTGAGAACGTGGGATTCAAAACTAAGATAACCCTGCAGCGGCGTGCAATTCTTCCACTGCCACATGGAGTTTCACCTCAACGAGGGCCTGGCCAGTCAATTCGTTGAGCTTCCCGACGAAATCCGGAAGCTCAAGATCCCTGCAGACGCTCGCAATCTCTGCCCGAAATAAAGCTGCATTGTGTGCTTGTATCTATCTCCTCGACATTTTTTTTCTTCCTCTCGACTGCAACACATTTCGCAACTTTAGTCACCTTGTAATGGCATTCGCAATTGGTTTCATTCACCTAGTACATGACGCTTACAATCGGTTTGTATTCATTCAAACATGCTAGTGTCTTATTCAAAGCCTGCCACTACTAGTCTCCGAGCAATGACAAATGCAAACAATCTTATTCGCACAGGGACGGGCCGGGCGCGATGAGCTCCGCAAGTCTAGTCGAAGGAAAAGGAGCTCAGTCTAGGGAAGGCCAACCTCAACAAGGCCGATCTGCGAGCGGCAAGGGTGGAAAGCCTTGACGACCAGGCCGGCCTGCTCGACAAGGGCATCAAACTCCGCAGGCGATCGCTCGATGCCGTTGATGAGGCCCATCATGTTGATGTCGCGCTGGTGGCTGAAGCGCGCGGCGTCGCCGTAGTTGGCCGGCAGCGGGGCAGCAGGCCGGGCGATGCGGTCGTCGCCCGAGGCACACACCATGATCTGTTCGGCCAGCAAGATGCGCGAGTGGGGTGCCAGGGCGGGCTTGAGGGCGCGCAGGATCGCGATGCTCTCGCGGTCGGCCCAGTCGTGCACCACGTGGCGCAGCAGGTAGACGTGGGCGCCCTGGACGGGCTGCGTCTGGAAAAAGTCGTGGGGCTGCAGCTCGCAGCGGTCGACGAGATCGGCGGCGCGCTCCGCCCAGATCTTGCGACCCTGTTCAATGACGGGCGGGCGGTCCTGCACGACGAAGCGCAGGTTGGAAAAGGCACGGCCAAGGGCAATACACATCTGGCCCACGCCGCCGCCCACATCGACGACGGTGGCGCCCTGGCCGAGGCCAGCCCAGTCGTAGTCGGCCAGCACACCGGGCACCTCGACGTCGCCTGCGCCCAGCATGGCCAGGCCAAAGCGCGCCAGCTGCTCGCGCGGCTTGCCCGTCTTCTCGTCGGGCTCCTCGAGCCACTCCCAGCGAGGCTTGCGGCCGTAGACGTCGGAAAAGGGAGCGTCGAGGATGTCGTACGACGCACCTGCTGGTGTGTCGAGCTTCGTCATCAATGCACCCGCCGCGTGGTAGGGCTCCTCGCCATAGTGGTGGATGTAGGCACAAAGACCGGCATTGTCGACGAGGTGGGCCGAGATGCGGTTGTTGGCAAACGTGTCGCGGCCCACCTCGGCCAGCATGTGGTTGGTAGCCAAGCAGCGGAGGATGCGCGCCAGCTTGCGGTGCTCGATGCCCGTGGCCTTGCCCAGCTCCACCGATGTCAGGGCCCCCTTTGGCGAGGCGGCAATCCGTTGAGGAACGCCGGCACGCACCGCAATGTGCAGCGCGCGGGCCTCGAAAAAGGAGCCGCACATCTGCAGGCAGCGCATGCCCGGGTCTTGGACCACTTCCGACAGCATGCCGGCGGCCCCCAGCAGCGTCTGCGAGCTGGCGTAGAGCGACTTGGATGGGAGAGCAGACGTCTTGTCTAGCTTCTCCCACTGCGACAGAATGGCCTCGCCACTGGTGGAGATGAGGGCGAGGAGCGCACGCAGCGACTGAGCGCGCTCCGAGAGCGAGGCGCCGACGACGGCCGACGTCGTCGGCGCAGCGGCCGTGCTGGTGGGTGTGGTAGCGCCTGGTGTCATCGTTGGATTGCTTGTGTCTGTATCGGGGGCATGGCCCAAACGTCAGAAAATAACCCTCTCTATAAGGGTCATTTCGACGCCCAGGGACAGGGTAATTTGACGAGATAAATCCGGCGCTGCCACACGGCGCCGTCTTTGGCGTCGCAATTTTAGACTAAATTGACGCGTAGTGTGGACCGTGCAGGGGACCAGTGTAGTACACCGAACGCCAAACAGAGCAGGCACTACGGCCAGCCGTGGGACGGGGTTGTCGCATCATCAATTATAATATAATGGCTCTTTGTGTTCGATGGCAGAATTTTCCGGCGGCGACACCTTCGAAGAAGACGCCTCTCTCTTCAGAAAAGAAAAGGACGTACCTCGACTCCCTCAGCCGGCCGTGATTACACTAAGAACGATTCGACGACAAGCCCGCGACAATGGCGACCCAGTTTGCCATTGTCGGCCACTCGTGCCGCTTCCCCGGCGGCGCCAACAGCCCCTCGCAGTTCTGGGAGCTGCTCAGCCAGGGCTTTGAGGCGTCAAGCGAGATCCCACGCCGTTGCTTTGACATCGAGCAGGTCTACGAGGCGCCCGAACGGAGCAGCCGCGGTGGGGGCCGCTATCGCCGCATGGGGGTGCGTCATGCGTCGCTGATTCACGATGCCGAGTGCTTCGATGCCACCTTTTTCGGCATCAGCCGGCGTGAGGCAAAGGTTATGGACCCGCAGCAGCGCCAGCTTCTCCAGGTGGCCCACGAGGCCGTCGAGGCTTCGGGCTACTGCCCCTCGTCGCCCACGCCGAGCACGAGAGCCGAGGAGTTCGGTGTCTACGTTGCGGCCGCCACGGATGACTACGTCGCAAATCTGAGCACTCAGGAGGTCGACGTCTTCTACTCTCCAGCCACGCTGCGTGCCTTTCTCTCGGGCCGCATCTCCCACCACTTTGGTTGGGAGGGGCCCAGCCTCGTTCTTGACACGGCATGCTCGTCGAGCCTGGTGACGCTGCACACTGCCTGCCGCGCCATTGCCGCCGGCGACTGTCGTTCGGCCCTCGTGGCTGGTGTCAACATCATTACCTCGCCTGCCATGTTCCTGGGCCTCTATCGCGGCCACTTTCTCAGCCAGGACGGCCGCTGCAAGACGTTTGACGAGAGTGCCGATGGCTATGGGCGGGCCGAGGGTGTGGCGGCGTTTGTAGTCAAGACACTGGACGATGCTCTGGCCGACGGCGACCACATCGAGGCTGTCATTCGTGCCACGGCCCTGAACCAGGTACGTTTATTCCCCTTCTCCTGCGGGGTTTTCTCAGCTTGGTTGGGAATTGTGCCTGACGCATCACTCTGTCAGTCCGGCCTGGCCAAATCGATCACCCACCCGGACCAGGCAACGCAGGTCAAGCTCTTCAAACGCGTCAACGACATGGCCGGCATCGATGCCTCGGCCGTCAGTGTCGTCGAGATGCACGGCACGGGCACAAAGGCAGGCGATCGCTGCGAGATGACGAGCTTGTCGACCGTCTACGGCAAGCAGGCCACCACTGCGCTCCACCTGGGCTCTGTCAAGGCCAATGTTGGCCATTGCGAGGCTGCTGCGGGCTTTGCAGGCCTGACAAAGCTACTGGCCATGCTGCGCCACCATGAGATCCCGCCGCAGATCAGCCTCAAGACGCTCAACCCGGAACTGGCGCCCCTCGTCGCCAACACCCGCATCGAGATTCCTACCACGCAGCAGCAGTGGCCTTCAGCAGACGATGCGCCCCGCATTGCCCTCCTCAACTCCATCGGTGCCGCAGGCTCCAATGCGACGGCGCTTCTGCAAGAGTGGGTGCCTGCTAGCGAGGAGAGCCAGGACCGCAAGCTGGGGTCGGACATGCTCTTCTGCCTCTCGGCCAAGTCCGCACGCGCATTCGACCGTCTTCTCACCGCCTTTATCGAGTACATTGGCACCCATCGCGACAGCACCAGCCTCGGTCAGCTGTGCTACGCTACCATGGCACGCCGCATCCACTACACGTCCTTTCGCCGTGCTCTGCCTGTGTCGCCGCACGATGACCTTGCGTCTCTCGAGGCCAAGCTCGTCGAATGGCGCAACGGTGAGGCACCCAAGAAGCTCGTCTCCAAGGCGACCCCCGTCTTTGTCCTGCTGCGTGCCCAGCACCCTCCCGTCGAGAGACTGCGCCACCATGTGGCTGCTGAGCCCGCATTCAAGCGGGCTTTTGAGACCGTCATCAACTCCGTCGAAGCCAGTCAAGAGATCGACGCCCTGCTAAGCAGCAGCGACAGTGAAGCGGACGCTCGCAAAACGGCGTTACTAGCCTTTGCATTCGAGATCTCCATCATGAAGCGATGGCAGGCGTGGGGCTTGCGCAACATCACGCTCATCTGTCCATCGAAGCGAGCGCATACAGTGGCGCGCATCCTCGCGGGAGACGTGCGTCTCGAAGAGGGATGGCAAAGGTACCAATCGGAGACCGAGGATTTACAAGAGCAGCAGTTCGTCACACTCGACGGTACTCCACACGCGACTGTCCCTGCTGGTGCCATCGCACTGGGCAAGGGGACCATGCGCGTCGTGACCGAGGCCGGTGCAGATGTGGCGCAGCTTCTCAGCGATGCGGCACCTGAGCCCAACACGGCAGGGCATCTGGCGAAACTCTTTGAGCATGGCATCTCGCTCAACTTCTCAAAGGTGCTCGAGGGACAGGGGCGCTGGCCTGCGGTCGACGAGCTGCCTCTCCATCCATTTGAAAAAGACGCCGTATGGGTCGACTACCAGCACCAGCCACCTACCATCGACGACGCCGCCCCTGCTCGCACAGCAACGGCCAAGAAGGAGGTGAAACGAGGCTATGCCATCTCAAAATCCGACGCGCATGCCAAGGGTCACGACGTGCGCGCGGCGGCCGTCATGGATGTGTCGCAGGTGCGCGACGAGATCATGGGCCATCTGGTAGCAGGGAAGGGCATGTGTCCCGCATCTGTGTACCACGAGCTCGCTTTTACGACGCTGCAGCAAGACGTGCACCGGGGCCGGAAAGAGGTGGTCGTGCTCGAGAGTGCACGCTACCATGCTCCTCTGATCTACAACGAGGCTGCGCCCGGACAACTCGTCTGTCAGCTCCTGGCAGCGCGCCAGCCGGGCGTCTATCAGGCCCGTGTTGGCTGGCAGCGCACACAGGGCGACCGTTTGACGCCGCATTTCACGGGTACGGTCAGCGTCAAGGAGGCAAACAGCGCCGCGCTCCACGCCACGGCCATTGCCTCGGACCAGCTGGGCGCCGCCGTTGACACGCGACAGCTCTACAAAACATTTGCCGAGCGCGTTGTCGAGTATGCGCCCCTCTACCAGACAATCGAGAGCCTTTCGCGCTCTTCGGACGGCTACGAAGGCCAGGCCACTCTCAAGCGCGGTGCATTTGTTCCCCGCGGCAGCCGTCGCGATGTGGTCAGCCCCATTCTTCAGGATACGATGCTGGTGAGTTGCATCAGTCGTTGAGAAGAGGGTGCACAGCTTCGCTAACTAGGTCAACGCCAGCACACGGCCGGCTATCTAGCCAACACGGGTCCCAAGTCGTCGCCGGACGTCAGCTTCATTGCCGTATCGCTCGGCTCGTTTGTCGGCCTGCTAGACACTGACGACGAGGCCGTTCAGGTGCGCGCAAGCACCGTGTGGGACGAGCGGACAGCTACCCTCACGTGTCGGGCATCGGCGCACTCGAGGACCGGCGCCGTGCTTGCCTCCTTGGGCGACCTTGTCTTCAAGCGGGTGGATGCCAAACAGTTTTCGGCGCTACTCACAGGTGGCTCGTCGATGGCGACGAAGGCCACACCGAAGACAAGGCCGACAAGAAGCCCTGACTCGTCGACAACAACAGCAATACCGAGCATGGAAAAGCTTGGTGAAAGAATTCGCAAGATCATCTGCGACGGCACGGGTGTGCCTGCCAGCGAAATCCACGGCTACACGGCCCTCGAAGAGCTTGGCGTCGACTCGCTCCTGTTCATTGAAATCATCGAGCAGCTGTCACCCTTTCTCCCCGGTGCAAACGGGTTGCAAGACCGAGCATCGGCCCAGCAGACGGTCGACGACTTTGTTGGCCTCTGTGCATCAATGGTGCCCTCTGTCGAGAGCAGCGTTGCGAGCGAGCAAGTGGCCAGTGGAGAGACCAAGGAAGAGGTAAACACCGACGACTCACCAACCTCGGTCCGTGAGACAACCGTACGGGTCCTGGCCCACATTCTGGCCATCGACGACGCTGCCTCGCTGCTCGCCAGCGACGCTTCCATGAACGAGCTCGGGCTCGACTCGCTGGGGTCCATCGAGCTTGCCGAGGGCCTTGCCCGGGATCTTGGTGTCACCACATGTTCCGACACCCTTGTTGCTTGTCAGAGCGTCGCCGAGCTTTGTGAGATCGTCGGTACGGAGGCAGCCAAGGTGCAACCGCCTTCATCACAGCGCGCACAAGGCCGCAGTACAGCGCAAGTTCATAGCCCAAGTCGCGTTGAGGAAGATAGGCCACTCCCTTCGCCTTCCTTCTACAAGACTGTGACGCCCTCCGAGGTCAGCTTTCTTCGCAGGGCCCTCCGGCTCGCTGAGAACCCGCGTCTGATTCGCAGGGGTGCTTCCCCCGGTGCCGCACCTCTCTTTCTCTGTGCTGACGGCTCGGGCATCCCCGCGTCGTACCTCACGCTGCCCACGGAGCAGGTGCGCGACATCTGGATTCTTCATCATGAACGCCTCTTCGACCCTCCGAGTCGCGACTGGGGCGTCGTCGAGCATGCAGCAGCCCTCGTGGCAGCCGTGGCTGATGTCTACCCGACAGGCCCCCTCATTGTCGGCGGCTGGTCATTCGGCGGAGTACTGGCATGGGAGATGACTCATCAGCTTCAAGCGATGGGTCGCACCGTCATGGGCACCCTCGCCGTCGATACGCCCTGCCCCCTTGGCCACACGCCCCTCGATGGCTCGATTCTTGATGCTTTGGTGCCTGAAGACGGTGGCGACACCCGCCTCGGCCAGGCCCGCCAGCTGATCCGCGCCTCGTTCCTCAAATCGGGCGACTGTATTCGACGCTATGCCGAACTGCCTGCATCGGCACAGACTGCCCTCAATGCGGCGAGGCAGTCCAACAAGCCCGTCAAATTGGCTCTTCTTCGCTGCAGCCAGGACTTCAAGGCGCGCTGGGCCACCGATGCCCAATTCGACTGGCTCACCCGCCGGTCTGGCGATCAGGGCAAAAAGCACCAACTCCTTGGTTGGGACAAGCTCGCCGGCCTCGACGTCGTCCTCGACATTCCGGGCTCCCACTTCACACCCTTTGCCAAGCGAAACGTGAGTTGCTCCCCCTGGTGCCAACTGGGAACCGGTGCTGACTTTGTTGCTCGCAGGTTGATGCCGTTTCAGCTGCCATCGAGCGTGCTTGCTACCTGCTTCAGTCTTAGTACTCGTTTCCAATAGATGTTTACGTTTCTCTTTCTGTGCATCACAACGGACCTGATCAAGTGCATGACACCTCGACGTTCCTCAGCTTTCGTGTGTTTCTGTCGAGCATTGTCGAACAGGCTGGCGTGATCTGCGAAACGACGAGGCAATTCCATTGCACTTTTCATCTCAGGGAGTCTAGTTCCCGCCTCGCTGTTGCCCAGTAGATTCATGCAGTAATGATGCTTGGCATCGTACACTTGCAGGCACGTGTGTAGTCTCTATCTGAAGCTGGTGTGAACCTCCTGAAAGGTGCTCGTGCACTATAAGATCATTCGATCATTGACGAATGGAGAGAAGCGCTAGGAGACAATCGCCAAAAAGAGGTCAGAACAAATTTGTTATCAATCTTGTTGCTCGAAAAGAGGTGGGGGAGAATTTAGTGGAAGAAAAGGTAGAAACGAATGCGAAAGAGGGTCAATAGCGTGTGCATCGAGGGTATGCATGAGTGGCACTTTTACAAGGCCAGCGAACCATCTAGTCCGAGCCGCCGCCGAGAATCGTTCCTACCACGCCCTGATCCTGCTTGCGGGGAATCTTGGAGCCGGGGAACTCAGAGTAGTGGCCCGTGGCGTTTGTGTTGTAACGCGTGCAAGGATTGTTACCGGCAGTAGCGAGCTTCTTGAAGGGCACATTGAAGTTCTTGCCGAGGAAGTCGAGCGCCTTGCCGGTGTCTTTGTAGATGGAACTGAGCAGCGTCGGCACCACCTCTTCCGTCGTGGTCTGGAACAAGAAGCACGACAGTGCCTGCGGGTCGGAGAGCAAGTCGGCTGTGTGCACTGCGCCGCCGGTGATGTCGGCTGCGTCAACGCCAGCAAAGCTGTTGACCTTGCCCGTGTTGCCGCCCAGAGACAAGAGGCTCTGGTCGATGCTGACAGCATGCAGCAGGTTAAGCACAATGTCGTCCAGGCCAAAGGTTGCAGCAAGCGGGCGACGGGTCCAGCTGGGCAGCAGGCGCTCGGTGCCGGGCGTGTAGGTCAGATTGCCACTTGCGCCCTTTTCCACGCCAAAGAAGGCGAGGAGGTTCTTTTCATCGAGGTAGATCCGGTTGTAGCCATTCTCGTCGACGGTGTTGTTGGCAGCAAACTCGGCCACGAAGCGCTCCGCTGCAGTCGTGACGACGAGACCACCAAACGCGGACTGGAAGAAGTACGGGTTGGTGGCCACGCTCTGGTGCCAGCGGTTTGCCTTGTGCTGCAACATGAGCTCGGCATTGTAGACGTCCTTGCCGTCGGTGGCATCGTTGTTGCCGAGTGCGAGCAGGTCCTTGAAGTAGGGCATGTAAAGCTCCACGTTGTCGTAGCCCGAGCCAGGAGCGTAGTAGTCTTGTCGCACAATCGATGCGTCACCTTCGTAGATCTGTGACGCTCGTCAGCGCGACGGTGCTTAAAATCAGAGCAAAACACCACCTCTATTTACTCACGTTGTGCGCGTTGATGCCGGCCGGCTCACCAACAAGGACGTCTTCCAATGCACCAAGGTCCTTGGACTTGAAGGGCCCTCCGATGGACCATGACAAGTCGAGAATATTACCGTTGAAGACAACGGCGTACGCATTGAGAGCAAGTGCCAGGTCGTACTCTACGCCAAACACCTTGTTGATACCGTCAATACCTTGGAAGAGGTTGGTAACACCATTACGGTTGAAGTAACCGTGGTTGGCAAGCTGCAAAGAAAGTGTTGTGAGCAGCTTGACACAACATGACAGAGATTGCACATACGCACGATGTTCAGTCCAGGGCAAGGGCCACGAAGGTCATCGGGTCCAGGGGGAATGTACTTGTGCTCATCGGACGTCAGGTCGACATACTGCTCCTTGGCATTGTACTTGAAGTTGTCGGGATTGAGCAAGGCCGTGAGTCGACGGTGTCCGAAACCACCACCGGGAGTCTCTAGCGAGGACGATGCGTTCTCGGCACGCTTCAGAATGTCGCCAAAAGCGTACTTGCCGGCCTTTATTTCGGCCGCACGCTTAAGGAACTCGGCGTACTGGGGCGAAGAAGGGTCTTTGAGGGCGGGGAAAGCCGAGACGCCGCTCAGAAGGCAGGTTGCCGCGAGAGAGAGAAAGTAGAAAGCCTTCATGGCTGTGAAAAGAGCGGAAGGGATAGAGAGAGGGGGAAAGGGGAGATGAAGATGGAGAAGGACGCGGGGTTTTCTTCTCCTCCGCTTTATATTTCTATGTATCCAACCTTATTGGTCAAGCTCGTCTGTGTGCGAAGAAAGAAGCATACTTCGAACAATCTCTTCTCCGATTGGCCATCAGGACATTCGATGGTGTGATAGCGACGGTGCAGCTTCTGCGGATTTAGGGTGCTCGCAATGGAACATTCCGCTGTCACGGACCCTAACGCATGGGAGCATGTGTACGGTTCACTCACAGATACGCTAGAAGGTCAAGCCCTGCTTCACCTGCAGGTGATGACCTGCAGGATGCCGCTGCAAATCTTGATGCACGATGGGGAAGCTGAGAAATTGATCTGCCCGGGTTCGTTACGGGGAATTTCGCAGTCGTGTCGTTCAATGGCGTAATTTGCCCGACTGATGTGCTCAAGAGGTGTCTGACATTCTTCCGAAGAAACGGTCTTCTTTCACCGGATCTGAGCGAGACAAGAGGTATGATGGATTTCAAGGATAATATCTGGGTAACAAGTGAAAGCGAATGGCGAAGAATTTTCACAAAACAAGATCGCAAGCGGAAAGAACGACAGCAGACCCTAGCTGGCCAGCAATTTCTCAATCTGCCCCGAGATTTTGCTCGGCTTAACGTTGGGGGCAAAGCGCTCGACGACTTTACCGTCTTTGTTGACGAGGAACTCTGTTTGTGAAATTATCGTCAGTACGGGATTGTTCCGCTTTTGTCTCAGCACACGCACTCGTGAAATTCCCTGAGTAGTGTGTTTTTAGCTAGTCAGCACGGAAATTGAAGCTTTCTACGTTGGAACGCACATTTGATGTTTTGCAGACCGAAAAGACCTGGCTTCTCCTTCTTCAGAAAGCGGAAAACCTCGTCTGAAAAGGAAGAGACGAGTTAGCTAAGCCTCACTGACGACCGGAAGCAGAAAAGTCACTTGTGTTTTGACCGTTTACGTCGCTCTTTGCTAGGACGTCCTGTCGTATTCATCAAAGATTAGCCAAGAATGCATCTGCTCACGTTTCCCTGTCAGACGCACAAACGTCACACCGTAATTCTTCTGGCAAAATGCACCGATCGCTGCATCGTCAGCGGCCGCTTCCTTGGGAAACTGTCCACTGGGGACTAGCACCGCGCAGACAGTGGTCAGCCTTTTTTGCCTTGATATGGCAGAATATACGTACAGCCCAAGATGACCAGTCCCTTTTCATGGTACTTTTCGTGCAACTGCTGGAGGTCCGCAACTGTGAGGGCGAGCTAGGTTAGTGAAAAGTTCTCTTTCCGAAAAAAATTGCTCTTTGTACCCACGCTGGGGTGTGAAAATGCACTGTACACCAGTGTTGACGACCAGGACAACCTTGCCCTTCAAGTCTTCGAATGCGACTTGTTCTCCGTTGGGCTTCTTTGCGCTCAAATCGTAAAATGCAACCATTTTTGCAGTTCTGGTGATGATTGTTGGGCGAAAATGAGGTGCTCCGGATCGAGCAGCCATCTTATACTGCTTTGTGCATCCGTGTCTTCTTATCGCCCTGCCTGCTGCGTAAAGGTGATGTCGTGATTGGAAGGTTTGTGCACGCACAAAATGCCCGAGGAGTCCAAGCGCGAAATAAGGATCTTTCGGCGGCAGACGCTAGTGCCGCCGCCGGGATTGGAGAACGCCTGTGCTTGGCACACTCTGCTTTTCGGCCCCGATCGCGTCATCGGCAATTCAGATGGAGCAATATAATCTATATGTCAAATGCCATGCAGGGTGCGAATCTCATTTGCGCAAAGTCACAAACCCTGCAGGAGACTCATCTCGGAAACCGGGTACCTGTACGAAGCCCATCACAGAAGCGCTCGCTCCTGCATCCGAATGTTCTCAATGCGTACAAGTCTCTGAGCGAGCACATCGTCTCGTCGACGCAAAGCCGCCTGGAGCGCGAGATGTCGACAGTGCCGGTCCTGGTCTCTGTCACGCCATCCTTTTCGCTTCGTGCGAGATACAAGCGGAGGTGGCTAGTTGCTAATAACATTCTGCTGGAAGACCCCTAAGCCGTGCTGCAATGGCGCTCCTCCGTCGCCCCCGTCTAATTCCGGCGTCGCGGCGAGTAGCAATCCAAATGGTGTTTGAGAGCCACGAGGGCCTATAAGAAGTGGCCCTCGATTTTCCCTCTACTCGCCCGCCTCATCGTATCTCACCGTAAGATTCCTCTCTTTCCAATTCAGCTCACCATGAGAACGGTAGTCACGGTCTTCTCCCTGTTATTACCAACCTTACTCCTCCTCGTCGACTTTGCATGCGCGCAGCCCGTCAACACGACCAGCAGCGACGAATATGAGTACATTGTCGTCGGTAGTGGCCCTGGCGGCGGCACGTTGGCCAGTCGACTGGCGCGGGCAGGACACAAGACGCTCCTGATCGAAGCGGGAGACGACCAGAGTGCCAATCTGAATGTCACCGTACCCGGCTACATGGCAGCCGTGACAGAGGACAAGAAGCTGCGTTGGGACATTTTCGTCAACCACTACAAAGACCAACAGCGCGCCCAACGTGATCCAAAGTACGTGTGGGAGACATCACCGTTCGAGTACCACGTCGGTCCCGGTGCTCCTGATGGTGCTGAGCCACGCGGCATCCTCTATCCTCGCGCACAAACCATTGGTGGATGCGGCACACACAATGCACTCATCTGGATTCTGCCCCACGAGAGCGACTGGAACAACATTGCCGGCATCACGGGCGACAGCTCCTGGAGTGCAGCCAACATGAAGCAGTACGAGCAAAAGGTCTTTAGCTGGCTCCACACCCAGCCCACTGATCCCACCATCTTGATCAACGACCTGTCGCTTGCGCAGCAGTACGTCGCTGGTGCTGCTGCTGCCGGCATTGGACCGGACCCCATCAATGCGGTGACAGGACTGGTGAACCTGCTCTTGAACGACCCAAACAGCCAGATCAATCCTCAGCGCGACTCGACCGAAGGCTTCTTCCAAGTCCCGCTCACGATGAATGCAGGCACCCGTACAGGCGTCTACCAGCTCATCAAAGAGACCGTCAAGCAGGGCTACCCGCTCACGGTGCAGACAAACACCTTTGTGACCAAGATTGTCATCGATCAGTCCAACAGCACCGCACCGCCCAAGGCGACGGGCGTCGAATTTCAAAAGGGAAAATACTTGTACCGAGCCAGCCCGCTCAGCGTACAGAAGAACCCGTCCACCGCTGGATCGGCCAAGGCGACGCGAGAGGTCATCGTGTCAGGGGGCGCCTACAACACACCGCAGCTTCTGAAGCTGAGCGGCATCGGCCCAAAGCAGGAACTGGAGCAATTCAAGATCCCCGTCATCAAGGATCTGCAGGGTGTCGGCAAAAACCTGCAGGACCGATACGAGATCCCGGTCAACGTACAGCACACCAAGGACTTCAACATCCTCAAGGGATGCACCTTCGACTCCAAGCCGCACGACCAATGCCTGAAGCAATGGCAGAACAACCCCTACATCCTGGGTCAGCGTGGTGCGTATGCTACCAACGGTCTGGCAGCGGCCATCGTCAAACGTTCCAGCTACGCGTCCGACTCCAACACCGACCTCATCATCTTTGGTGGCCCAGTCAACTTTGACGGTTACTACCCAGGCTGGGCCGAGCATGCCATCGCCGACCACAAGCACTTTTCCTGGTACACGCTCAAGGCGCACACCCGCAACCACGCCGGTACAGTGGAGCTACGCTCAGCCGACCCGTTCGACCCACCGTCGGTCAACTTCAACTACTTTGACACGGGCACGACGGAAAACGGAGCCGACCAGCTAGATTTGCAGGCCATTGTGCAGGCCATCAATACCTCACGCAGCGCCCTGGCCGAGTACTCGCACTACGGTCTACTGGGCGGACCGCCATTCACAGAAGAGGCACCAGGTCCAGCAGTGCAGACGGAGGCCGAGCTGCAAGACTACGTCAAGGACCGTGCTTGGGGTCACCATGCTTCGTGCACAACGCCTATTGGCTCCGATAACGACCCAAATGCTGTACTAGACGGACAGTTCCGCGTGCGCGGTGTTGATGGACTGCGCGTCGTGGACGCCAGTGTCTTCCCTCAGATTCCCGGCGTGTTCATCCAAGCACCCATCTACATCATCAGCGAAAAAGCAGCCGATGTAATTCTCAGCGCTGCCAAGTAACGCAGATAGTTGCTCTTCTTTTGTTCCTCTTTAATTACCGTGTCCGTCCACCAGGAGAAACTGGACCGAATCTCTATACAAGTTGTCCTTGCCGTGTAGATCCTTGCTTTCGGACGCATGAGTGATCGGTATCTGTAGATGGCGTCATCGTTCCAGCTGACGAATGCCAATTCTTTCATCGGGCAAGAGGCGGCACACGGGACCGCTGCAAAGCGAGAATTGCAACATCGGGGGTAAGTAATCCAGCCAGCGTTTCGAGAGAACAGGCAAACATATGCAGAAGGGAATGTTCTTCATCTGCACCCTTGGTCGCCGAGCTAATGACATCTATGCGTGCAAGACCATCAATCTAAGCGCCAGAACATGTGCATGTTCGCATGCAGATCTGGTCAGCTCGGGCAGAGACGTCGCTCGTGTCATGTCTGGAATTTTCGCCCACCTCAAAGACGTGCTGAGTCCTCAATCATCAAACTGACGTGATCATGGGTAACTTGTGAGCAATGGTCCTCTGTGTTAGCGGCGATCGCGACAGAGATGCATGTGTCGGGACCCTGTTGAGAACCCTGCATCTCCGCTTCAGATCCTTCATGCACCTCCGGTTGACATTGGCTCTCGTCTCCCGGATTCGGAATTCATAAGAGGTTTCTTTGAACGACGTTCTTCTTCGTGGAAGGACGCAGGCTCTGTCTACGTGCGCCATTGGAAAGGAGAATCCATCCATGCCCTTTACATTTTACTTGCACGGTGTCGTGATGGTAGATCGCAAAGGTGTGCTTCTCGGATGAGCGGATAGCCGCAAACGGAAACGGACAGTGAATCGAATGACGGTATATAGTTTCAAGTCACCGTTGCCAGACCCATGCCAGGTCTACTTCACGTCCAGAAATCAGGCCACTTCGTCCATTCACCGACGCAAGCATTCTTCATGGTGTGGGAGGCGTACAACGGCAAAACGCTCTTTCTCACGGGCACGACTGGCTTTGTCGGGTCGGCGCTTCTATTGCGCCTCCTGAGCCAGTCGCGTCCGGAGCGTGTGTTCGTGCTCTGTCGAGGTGGAGCAAAGTGAGTCTAGACTCCAAATCCGGGCTCTGAGACAGAGACTAAGTGCGGAAGCGACTCGCCATCAGAGGTGCTGCATCGAAATGGGCCAAGCTCTTGCCAGAGCTGCAGGCCACTGCCTTGGTGCAGGATCCCCGCATCACGGTCCTCGACGGTGACATGACCTCGATCGACTTTGGACTGTCGGACAGTGATGTTCAGCTTCTGCGCGAGTCAGTCCACTTCTTCATCCATGCCGCCTCGACAATTCACTTGCGCATGAAATTGCGCGAGCTGTCTTACTCGGTCATTGCGCCAAGTGTTTGGCTTGCTCGACTAGCCTTTTCCAGCCGCAAATTGGAGCGTTTTGTTTTCATCTCCACCGCCTACGCCAATGCACACCTCTGGACCCAAGACGCGTCTTGCAGCGACGTACAGATCAAGGAACAAATCTACCCTCTGATCAAGGATGAGAATCCCTTTTTCGCAGCTCCCAACGCCTGGCAAGACGTGCAAAAGAACGGGTCGACGGCCGAATTTGAAGCACACAACTATCCCTGGGCGTACGCGTATGCAAAGCACCTGACTGAGCGCTTGTTGCTCTTTTTCGCCTCGCAACGTGGCGTTCTGGGCAAGCTCTTGATTGTGCGGCCCTCGGTCATTGGTCCTGCCCAGCAGTATCCCTTCCCCGGCTTCTCTACGGCCACTTCGACGCCAACTACTGCTTGCGCGACCGCGTTTGTCTTGCATCCAGGACGTTCGATGCTCTTTGCTACACGCTGCACAGACCCGGCACGCACATCTACCATTGACGAGGTGCCAGTGGACGTTGTTGTCGATCGAACACTGGCACACTTGGCGGCTGGAACGAGCGGCTGTGTGCATGCAGTCGCAGGGGCCCCAGGTCGCGTCACAATTGAAGACTGGGCCAGAGCCAACAACAAAGAGCGTCGCATTCCGTGGCACGTCAAGCTCAAGTGGACCGACGCCGACTGGCATGCGCGCCAGCTATGCCCGCTCGCACGCATCTTCAAGATCGTAGGCACATCCTTCGACTTTCGACAAGACAAGACGGACGCTCTCGCTCGTCAGCTACCACAACACGAATTGCAGGCATTGAAGCTGTACATGGACACATCTGCTGACTACAGCGTTGCATCGCGGCGCCGTCACATCCGCGAATTGGGCATCGAAATGGCTCAACGCAAAAAGTGGCCCGTATTCCTGGTCAAGTTGATGTGTCGCAAAGAGGCCAGATTGCAGCAGCAGCCGCACGTCTATCCACAGGACTCGGCTGAAACGCCCCTGTCAGAAAAATAAAACAGGGCCCCATGCGACCGCAAAGCCCCCTGTTCCTGCGCGCATGTGACGCGGACGCTCTGTTCGCTTCAACAGATATTGACGGTGAAAAAAAGCCAGCCAGCCAACCCTCTCACTTCCGTAAAAGCCCAACCTGCAGAGCTCTTGCTGCCTTCGCTCCTTTCTCCCCTTGCGCCTGTGACAGCGCCCACAGTTCCCACGGGCCGTACTTGATCGGACCCTCCCACGTTCATTACTCAGACTGTACACACAACTTTCTTTTTCTCTGCTACTATATCATTTCTGCCTGGTGATGTGCGGCCAAGGTGCCAGCAGCCTTGCTGTCTCGAGCTGTACCAATAAGATTGACGGTGCGGAGGCTGCTTGAACCAGTTAAGCCAACGATGCCCTCCCTGACGCTCAAACAGCTCTTCGGAGACCCTCTGTTTGACAAAGCTATATTTCTGGCTAAGGTGACGGAAAAGCCAAGTCACCGGTTGTGAAAGAGATGCTCCGCCCGTCACAACTGTGAAAAAGTCTTCCCGTGAGCAGAGCACTGAGCGTCGAGCTGCTGCTCAGCTGCTACTTTCGGCTCGAGCTCGGGAGCCTCGACTCGGTGCCGATCCGGAATTTCCGTCTTCCGGTTTCCGGGTGAGATATAAACCGTAGATCAAACGCGTATGAGAAGGTCCAATCAAAGTACGATCGTGGCTCAGCGACATCAAAGAACCGCTCGACGTGCACAAGGCAGGAAGGATCGCGTTTCGCCATGCCGCCTCTGAAGGTCATCGCCCCGGCACTGACAGGGCTTGCAACTGTGGCCCTTACTGCCCACTTCTTTGCAAGCCCCATGTTCCAGGACAGCCTGAGTGAATGCGCCATCCATCACAGGGGGCCCTACTTTGTTGCGTTCGGCAACAACATTCCACTTGGCTCCGCCGTGGATGGTCTCTTTTGCGCTCTTTTCGCCGCCTTCAACAACATCGCTCAGACCCTGCTGGGAAAATCGGTGTGTGGTTGTTGAGATTGGCAGGCATGGCAACAACTGAAGCCTCCCGTCTAGATCGGAGTGATGTTTGCAAGCATTTACCTGCCCGTCCAGGCACTGATGCTTATCCTCGGAGCGCAGCAGGGACCAGGACACGTTGCTCTTGCCATCGGCCTCATTGCTGTCGGCCAGCTTATAACCATTGGGGTGACGCTGAACATCGTCTGGTTGCCCTATTTCTGGAATGTCCTAAAGAGACAAGCCTCTTCAGGAGCAGAGGCGGCGCCGCGCATCGTCGCACCTGCGATTGCGATCTCATTGGCCGCCACTGTCCCGGTCCTGCTCCCTACCTTTGCAATCAATGCGGCCCACCCCATTTGGATATGGGGCAACTTCGCCTTTCAGGTGAGCAGAGTCGAGAGCGGCTGTCTCTGTGAAAGCCTGCAAGCTCATTCAGGGATGTGCTAGCTCTTTCCCGTTCTCCTCCTTCCAGTCGTTCAAGCGACTGCGCAGGCCCGCGGCAAGGAGGCCAATCCATCGTACAGGCCCTATGTGTCACTCTTGCGCAGTCTTGCCATCTTTGCTGGCGTCCTGTGGTGGTGAGTGAGCAAGATTCAACCTTGTTGGCTCATTTGGCTGAAGCATGAGCCGCGACAACAAAGGGTGGGCATTCTCCAAGCCCTCCTCGACTACGATCTGCCCTACGCAAAGGAGGTAGCGGGGATGGAGAAAAGCCCTGCCCTCATGTCGCCACTGCTCTCCAAGACACTCGGCATTCCTCATCTCCCTCTGCGACTCCGTCCGACCCTCGCGGCAGAGTTCAACGAAGGAGCAAGGTTTCTTCTCGCGGATATGGTTGCGATTGTTGTTGCAGTGGGCGCTGCGACTGCATTGCACAACGAGAAGCTTGGCTCAAGGGGAGATAAGCCGGCACGTGCCAGTGTCTTCTCGCTGCTGGGAGGACCTGGTGCTTGGTTCATGTCGTACTGGGCTTCTGTGTTCGAGCATGAAGCTAGCTCGACCAAGACCAAGAAGCAGAGATGATCCCACACATGATTTCCGAGGCTACTGTATGTTGTGATCAAAGACTTAGTATTTCTGGAATGACGAAACCCTATTTTGCATTTGCTGCGCGGGCACGAGTTGACTGTCTACACCGACTTTGCCCTCTTGGACGTCATTATCGGATGGAGAACAAATGCAGTGGTCGCAGAGGCAGCAAGCATGCCCAGATAGCCCGTGATAGCGAATGCGGCAAGCTCCCTCTCGCCGATGGCAGTCCTGTGCTGCCGTGCCCATTCCGACGGGAGCCCGACCACTCTCTCAAAAAGATCGGGTGCCCATCTCGACAGGATGTTGGACAGAGAGAACTGCGTGTACATGAAGACACGCTGGTAGGGAATTGTGAGGCCCACGCCCACATGCACAATCACCCAGAGGCGGTGCAGGTCAAAGTTGCGCTTCAGTGCTCCTCGTAGCGCTAGGACGAGCGGAAATGCGAAAAGAACGCCCAAAATGGTGAGCGCGACATCGAATGTCGGAAGGAGGCCGAACAGGAGCGTCCAGCGGTCTGGGTGCGAGTAGCTGAAGCGAACTGCGATCATGGTAAAGCCGGAGAGAGCTAGCAGCGCCGAAAGAGAGAAGAAGACATAGCCGGAAGCCCGATGCAGAGCGCGCTGCTTGTTACGAAGGCGATAGTTGAATTGGAAGGGCGCGAGTGCAAGCCAGAGAAAGCCAGGCAGCAAATGGAGACCGTAGATCAGAACAGGCCGCTTCGGGTATGACTCGTCGATGTGCAGCTGGCCACCTGGGAGCCGGATCGAGGACAGCGGAGGGCTGTGTACGAGATGCGTCTGAACAAAGTGTGACTGAGGGCCAAGGACGTCTGGCAAGAGCATGCGGAAAAAGTGGAACGAGCTGGTGAGGATGAAGAAGATCGCCAACGCGCTGGTGATGGCTCGCATCCGATCTTCTGCTATCTGAGTGCTTGATCTCGTCATTTCTCGTGCGCTCCGGAGAGGATTCTGCTGCGTGCGGCGAGGCCTTGGCCATTGCTAAGCACCGCGGGGTTATATTTATGTCAAAATCTCCAAAGCTCAGCGGGCGCCCACTTTGCGAGATCTGAAGCGCTCCGTCGGATATTTTTCCACATTGCATTTGCTCACCTGGAGAAACAAGAGCCTGAAAATGGTAGCATGAAGTTTTTCTCGGCTTTCGGAACTCAGCACATAGCCTCAGCTCGACGGGCTGTCGTAAGCCTTGCTGGTGTCTACGTGCTCATGCGAGCTGCGGGACAGTTGATTCTTGCCAGACATCTTTCACTTTGTAAGTAGATCGTCATTGCGGGCGTCGAGGCTCGATCTTTTCGGCCGAATCAGGCGTCGGTATACGGCACTTTTAATTAATGACGTGACAGAAGCGTGAAGGCCCAGAGAGGCTAGCTTACCTCCCTCGAATCGCACGCTTGTTTGTTCATGACGCCTTCCTCTGCCTTGCCTTGCTGAGCACTGGCTCATCGTCCAGCTACGTTCGACGCACAGCATGGCCTCGACAAAGAGAGGCAACGATGTCGGGGACGTGATTCGCGGAGCGTCGATGAATTACGTCCTGGGCCTGCGTCCAGGAACTGACGCCGACAGCTTTGTGTCCTACTACCCGCCCCTGCCCATGCGCGAAGGCGTGCCGCTGTCATATGGTGGTTTCGCGCTCTCCCTTTCGATGAACGCAGCCCTGCAGACAGTCGAAGACGCCGTCTACTTCCACCCCTACTCTGTTCTGGGCAACTACCTGGGGCCCACGACCGGCAACGTCGACCTGGAGCTCAAGGTGACAAGATTGCGCGATACCCGCACCTTCAAGACGCGCCAAGTGACCGCCTTTCAAACAGTCAAGGGGGCCAAGAGAGCATGCATGACGCTGACGCTCGACTGCGTGCGGAGATCTGCTGGTTCGGCCGACGACAAAGATGGCGGCCGGGACAAGGAACTGCCCGACGTTGTCTCTCTCGATGTGCAGCCAGATCCCCACCCCGAGCATCACTCGAACCTCAAAATGCTCCACGACCAGCTAGACGAGGATGTCAAGACGGGGTTGCTTCCTGCCAAGCCACGCAAGCTGCACGCCATGCTGTTTGGAGAGGCGACGCATTGCATTGACCTCAAACATCCCCGACACGGCTTCAACTACCAGACCATCGAGGGTTTCTTCCCAAAGGCCAAGACCACTCAGGACCACCTTTCGATCCCCCAACGCGTCGTCATGGACTGGTTCCACGCCAAAGAGCCTCCCGAGGCAAAGGAGTCAACCAAGCCGCACAGCGAGGGCATGCTGCTGCCCCCAACTCTGCAGACGGCCTCGGCATGCTTCCTCCTCTTCGCCATGGACGCCTTTCTTCCCATCACGCCCCTGGTCCTCTCCAGAACGCCACTGCCAAAGGCCCAGGCCCACGCGCTCGACTTCTCCTTGCGCTTCCACATGGACGAGGACCTCGATGCCCAGGGCAGCTGGTTCTACCGCGAGATCAAGACGTTGACTGCCAAGGGTCACCGTTCCTTCAACACGGCACGGGTCTGGCAGGAGCGCGGCGACGGGTCGCTAACCCTGGCAGCGACGATGAGCCAGTCGTGCCTTTTGCGACCTCTGCCGCCACCGGCAAAGCCGTCGTCAAAGATGTAGGCATCCGGTCGCACGCGCGGAAAGTAGAGGAGCCCTAACCCTTACAGTACCTGCCTTAGATGGCCTCGCATTCGATAATGTCCAGAGGCGACCGGGTCTTGTACAGCTTGGTTATCTTCCAGCCAGACGCGGCCAGGAGCACCCCATATTCATGCTCAGTTCTCTCGGTGCCCCCGTAGAGGAGCATCGAGAGCATCCACTGGGCGGCCACCTTGCTCAGATGCTCCGTGACGACAAACTCGCCCAGAAGAAGCTTGGCGCCCGGCTGGACGCTGTGTCGAAGCGCCTGGAGGATCTTGATGGCCTTGTCATCGTCCCAATCGTGAATAATCCAGCGCATCCAATAGACACTGGGCCGTAGGTTGTTAGGGAGCTCCACAGGCTGGGGCGTGTAGAAGTCGTGGCTAACGAGCGACTATGTCTAGCTTAGAGATGATGACGAATAGCAGAGCTTCACTCACGCTTGGAAATGCACCCGTCGTGACATGTCGTCCGGCATCTGCGTCTGCCAGAACTACATCTTTCCAAAATTAGAGACGTGCGCCAAGAGATTAAGAGTCTTCACCCACCTTCCTTCCTCCTTGACAGACGTGTTCGAGGTCTTGGACGACGAATTGCATCTTGGGGTGCTTCTTGGCAACGACGATCATTTGCGACCCTATACCCCCTCCAACATCCACAACGGTGGCGTCCCGACCAAACTGCTCCCACGGGTAGTCTGTGCGATGAAGCCGCTGTGAGCGTGTAATCCATATTCAGATGGCCTGCCTTGTGCACGCACCATCCGCGACACCGCCTGCCATGAACGGGCTGGATGCCTTCATGGTGAGATTAAAGTAGGTCGACAGATCGGCATTTTGCGGCTCGGAAAGGATCTCGAATACAGAAGCCTTTCCACAGGCCAGCTCCACGCCCGTCTTGCCGGCATTCTCCTGTGAAACCAGGTCCGGGACCTTGTCCATGATCTTTGTGACGAAAGCCTGGGACCAGCTCGTCATGGCCCAAATAGGCGCGGAGCTGTCCTTGCGAAGAACCAGGGAGTGGGGCGTGTGCGTCCAGACGTCGGAGAGAGGCTTCGTCTCCTGCAGGATACCCAATCTTGCACTGATTCTGATCACGGCCCGCAGGCGATCTGGCACCGCCTTGCAGCGTGACGCGAGCTCGTCGATTGACAACGTCTCCTGCTTGCCCAATTGGTCGGGAGCGCCGCTCTGGACGAGCGCCACGAGGGCCTTTGTCTCGCTGCCGCCCGTAAGGCATTCGAACACGTACTGCACTGGATTGAGAAGCGCACGAAGGGCCGTCTCCGAGGCGATTCGGAACGACGCAGTGCACGAGCCACTCTCCGGAGTGTAGGGAAACGACCAGCTGCTCTCGGGAGCGACGTCGACGCCATCTTCCTGTTGATCGAGCAGGCCCATGAGCTCATCGGTCCGATCCCGCAGCTCCTTCAGAGCGGCGAGTAGCTCGGCTTTCTTCCATGCCATGTTTACTTGCCCCTTTCTTTCCTTTTGGAGCTGGAGGTGCGGATGCGCTCCACACGCTTTCCGTGCAGTCCGATTGGCGAACGGGAAATTTGAGTCGATTTATACTAAAAAGCGAGATCCGCAGAATCACCGAAACAAGGGCATCGACTCGTCAAGTGCCGTATATTAGATTACAAGGAAGGCCGCTAGGTGTCGCGTCTGTACTGTACTCTATGCATTGAACCCACTGTGTTCTCATTTCAGACGAGTGTCAGACAGTGCAGAGATTGCGTTCACTGCTTGTTGTTGAGCGAGGCGGCGAGGACGTCCTTGTTGGCCTCCAGAAACGCTCGAAGGTCGACCACCTGCGGATGAATGGCCCGCACGTGGGCAATGTCGACTTCGGCGTTTGTCGAATTAAGAAACTGCAGTGTGGGCTTGCTCAATAACCTGTTCGCATGCTTCGCCAATTCACCCGAGCTTACCTCGATTAGCCCGTAAGTCAGTGTACCCTCGAGAGCCTGGATGACGGCGCTCTCTGGAACCTCATCGAGGATTCTTTTAGGCAAGCCCGCACGCAGCCATTCTTCCTCGAACCGTTGGCGGTCTACCAAGTCGCCGGCTAAAGGAATGGTTTTGCCGTGAAAAGTGCCGGGACTCTCGAGGCTTGCGGCAGCAAAGTGGGCCGTGTCCCGGGTGCTGACCCATGGCGCTGGCTTTCGGATCAACTTTGTGCATAGCGTGATCATGAAACCGGCCTGGGATGGATCATCTGGAGAGAGTCTGCGGTGAGCAGACGTCGCGACTCGGGAGTGCAAGGATGCTGCTCACCAGTCAGATTTTCAAAGAAGGTTGAAGGCCTGAGGATCGTCCACTTGTATGCATTCTCGCCAGAGGCACTCTCTCGTATGAGCGCATCCACACGGCGCTTGTTCTCGACGTATGGGATCGTTGTTTCTTTTGTTGTGCTCATATCCATTCCGAGGTAGACGATGTGGCCAACGTGGTGCTTCTTGACCTGCTCGACGACGCGCTTGGCCTCTTCGACCTCGCCGTCTTTCACGGCGTATTCGTCGCGCTGAATGAGCACAACGCCATTGAGAGGGCCATCGGCTGAAGCGCGGACAAGCACGCTGTTGGCTGATTCCTCAGTCCCGATATCGCCCTCGAGCAACGACACGTTTGGCAGCGAGGCCAGCTGCTGAGCGACGGGCCCTTGCGCGGTGCGTGCGAGTGCTATCACCTGAAAATGGCGTCCGGACAGCGTTTCGACTACGCATCTGCCCTGCTTGCCCGTTGAGAGGAGTACCAGAACGCGCTTCACCATTGTGTCGGCCTTGCTTGGGATGTCACAACACCACGTTGCCTCGACTCGACCCTTTTAATGGCCGTGAGTATCCTCTCAGAGCCTCACCTGCGCCGTGAGAAGAACACCCCTGCTTGACACGAGACTCTGGCGCGTCAGCTGATGTGTAGCTCGACTTCTCCAGCTTCTCTCCTTCTCTGGTTGTCTCTACAGCTTTCTTAAAGCCGTGCCAAGACTGCTTCTGCTTGGCCCGATCTCGAATGGCGCGAAAACGCGTCAGCTGATGCTCGTCGACGCTAAAAATAGACGGTAATCTTCTATCCCGATTCCACGAGATAAAGTTGTCACGGAACGAGATCATCCCATCTGTCAGCATCTGTCTTGGCATAGGCAGAGACATCCATCTGCATCATCCCGCGCAAAAGGCAAGCCCAAGACAGCCACTCTCTGGCTTTTCGCCGCCGTAAATAACCGCACGATATTGATTCTGCTTAGCGCACTCGAGCCACAATTCAAACAAGCTTTGCCACTGCGCCCGCCGCACACGGATCCATCGCATGAGCCTCTTCCGTTGTCCAGCTTGGCTTGTTGTGGACATATCTTCCTGAACAAGGAGCTTCTCGACGCTGTGTCTTCGCTCGCCCATTTCGCAAAAGAGGAATCGCCGCTCAGAGCGGATGCAAGAAGATGTCTTGTCCTACAAGCGGCGAGGCCACATTGACGAGACCTTCAATACCCTCGAAGATGCCATCATCGAGAGTGTCATTGAGCCCACGGCGGGTCTGGGTCTGGTAGGCGTGGTCGAAGATGAGCTCGTCTGAGATGATTTTAAAGTCGTCACCAACGGCGTCCTTGTTGATGCACGGGTAGACCTTGTCGATCTGCGAAGCGCGGTCACCAAAGAGAAAAAGCGGCGCAAAGCCCTTGGAGCCCTTGGCGAGGATGGTGTGGGCGCGACGGGTGTTGAAGTACGCACGAAGCTCCTGGTCGCCGGAGCACAGCGGATTCCACACCGGGTTCTGGTTGTCGTTGCTGATCCCAAATAGTCCCTCGACTCCCGGGCACGCAGCCTGGAAAAGACCCCAAGGATGGCCGGGCGAGATGGCGCCAGCGAGGTAGTTGGTACCCTGTCCAGCCTCGTGGAGATGCAGAAGCGAGTATCGGTCCAGCTTCTTGGGGTCATTCGTGGAACTGTAGCCAAGCCAGACGTTGAGCGACTTGACCTTTACCCTGGCCTTGTCCCCCTCGCCGTAGCAGCCGCCACTTGGCGGTGCATACGTTGGCTGCGGTGCCGTGCTCGTCGAGGATGTGGTTGCCTTGCTAGTCGGCTGCGTTGATGGCTTGGCAGTGGTCGTCGTCGTTGGCGCTGTAGTCGGTTTTGCCGTAGTGGACGTCGTCGTTGCGGTCGGTTTGCTCGGCAGGTACGTGCTGGCAATGTCCGCAGCCGAACTGGCTTCTGTGGCTGCCACCGATAAGTCTGTGTACGCTTCTTGCACATCAGAGTCGCTATAAGTGCGCATGGGTGCCGCCGCCGAGAGTGCAGAGGAAGCATCTGCATACACGTCGTCGCGATTGCCAGAGCTGTCGTCGTCATCGGAGAGCAGATCGGCGGCCGCGGCAGCGGCGAGGGCCCCCGCGAGACCCAGTCGGGCGGCATCCTTGATCGCCTGCGCAATGTCCTCGGCATCGTCGAAGCCGTCGATGAGGTCCTTTGCTGAATCCACGGCGCGCCTAGCTGTGCGCGCCTTGTCTTTTGAGCGGTCTTTGTCCGACTTTCGGGAGCATGACGCGGTGGCTCGGGGCTGAAGGTTGTCGCGCTGGTCGTAGCGTTGCAGTCGTGGAGGTGGAAGGGTGACTGTAGGACGACTGGTAGCGCCTTCTCCGGTGTTCGCAACGGCCGCTGTCTGCAGGCTCCGTGCCACATTGCCATTGGAGCAGCCATCGCTGGACGAAGATGACGCGCTGCAGCTTGCATACTGGTTGTTGCCGACGTACTCTCGCGTCGTATAGGTGTAGGCACCCGAGGTTGTCGTCTTGCCTGGAGCCCGTCCGGTAATCGTCGTGCTTGCCTTTGCGTTGTTTTTGTTCAGTGTAGCCCCTCCAGCCAGCACTTTGCCGTACTCGCTCGAGGCATGCGCGCTGTAATCGAGCGAGACCACGACTGGATGAAGTCTTCCGCTGAGTTTTCAAGTAGACAGAGGATAGCAGCCGAGGTCAGAGTCAGGGATGAGGGGAGAGTCAAGATCCTGACTCACTCAGTGGCGTACTTCATACCATCACCGGCCTGTGAGAGAAGGGGTATTGGTGTTGACGATAATCGTACGCACAAAGAGAGAAAGGAGGAGATACAAGAGATCCGATCAGCATTCAATCGATAGCACAGTCCGGCATCGGGGCTCTTGCACTCACGTAGAGATTGGCCACTTGGGCGAGCAGACGTCCTTGCAGAGACTGCTGCCGGTACGAGGCGCACATGACTGCGGCGCCGTTGCCGCCTTCGATAAAGGCGGCTGGGAGGAAAAGCCTCAGCGCGATTCGCAGCACCGTTCAAAGCCTGATTTCTCCCTCACCTGGAGGAGCTTTATCACACGTCGTAGGCCAGTCTTGCGGAATCTCGTAGCGGGTGTCGCAGCCGTACTTGGCCAGGCAGGCTTGGGTGAAGACATCGGAGCACACATCGCTGCGACGACGGGTAGAGCCTGTGGTGTCTTTGTCTGCGCCATCGTAGTTCCACGTCACCTGGTTGCCGGTGATCTTGCGCTTTGTGTTCTCACAGATGGTGTCCATCGCGTTGCAGTAGTACACGACTGTTGGGAGAGGATCGTCCACGGCGACCGTGCGAGTGATTGTCTGTGGGCCGGCATTGTATTGCTTCGTTGTGGTAATGACACCTGCTGTGGAGAAGGCACGCGCCTCAACGGAGGGCACCTGCGTGAGGAGGGTGAGATATTGGCGGAAGCCGTCAGCGCGCGCGGCTGCGGCAGAGAGGAGAAGAAAGGTAAGAGAGCGCTTCATGATGGGTGAAGAGGCGTGTCTAGGGGTCTACGAATAAAAAAACATGTCCTGCTTAAAAGGCATTAGCCCAAGACTAGACCGGTTCCTCACAGTAGCATGGTCGAAGGATGCACACGACTGGAGGGTCCAATGCAGGCTGCTTGAGACTGTGGCTCGGGACCTGTCTAGCATGCTGTTCACCAGCAACAGGCTTGCAAATGCTATCTCGGGCCAGAAAACGTCCTTGTGGGCCCTTTTCTGCAAGGACCGATGCAGAGAAAAGTATCTTTTAATTTACTGGCTGCCTATGACTAGTGCGACATACAGCAGTTTTGTTGCATTCCTTGCGAACGCAACACATGGTAGCCCACATGCTGACCAAACGCCGCCAGCATGATCTGTTGAGCTCCCAGGCATAACCATCTCTTTTCCTGGTCTCCTAAGACGAGTCTCGAACCGAAAGCGCAAGATAACACTTCTGCACTGCTCCTCTGAGGAGGGCTGCTTGTGGCTTGCCAAGCCCAAGTCAGGTCCTGCTCAGACGCGCGACCACGAGGTCCCTGCATTGCGTTCCCGTCGCGTCGTTGGGGCAGGCAGCCTGCTTCACTTACTTTGAATCCGATTCAGGAACCGTGGACCCGCGGCTCACAGGCCACAGATTTCAGACGTGGGCCCTCTCGGTGCTGTTGCGAAGGCCACTTTGCATATGCAGGTAGAAGCGATGCAGGTGGAGCCGAAACGCAGGTACGTGTCACGTGAGTCCGTGCAGACGATTGGTCCGCATAGAAGACAATTTGAGCCCTTCCGACCCCCCCACCATGGCCCTGGCCCTGCCTGACGAAGTCTGGTCGCTGGTGGCCTGGCATGTTGCTCGAGAAGCGGAGACTGCTCCCACAAATGGAGCTGGGGTGAGGATACGCGCTAGGCAGCCCGGTGAGCAGTGGCAGATCCTGGCGGACCGGCACGAGAGCGTGCACCCGCTCATGGGGATGGCGTGGGTGTGCCGACGATGGCGCCGCATTGCCACACCCATGCTCTGGACCAATGTTGTACTCGATATACATGACGATTACGATTCGATGGACCTTCTGATCCAACTCAGTGAGGCACTGCAACCGGGCAGTACGGCTGCCCGCTGCATCGCCACGCTCAACATAGACGTTCGACGAACCCTAGACGAGAGCCGGATGCTGGCCATGGACCAGATGGAGGAGGAGTTCGAGCGGATCATGCAGGAAGATTGCGGGAACACAACGACCATGCCTGATCTGGCTGCATTTGACGCGACACTTGACAGACTTGGGCGGTGTCTGGCAAAGTGCGACAAGCTTGTGAGTGACGGTCTCGCTGAACCGCTGGCAGTGGCCATGGCTCACCTCAAATATACAGACACACTTTGGATGGCGCGGCGACTACCGGCCGACAGCATCGTTTTTTGAGAGTCTAAGCACATGCAAATCGATGGCTTCTATCACGCTGGACGTTGGCGATGCTTGCCTCTTCCGTAAGTTTGCTTCGATGGAGATTGCTGCACAACGCGCAGAAGCATATCAGAAGGTCCAAAAGTAGATCGTGCGCTAGGAACTAAAGCGGACCTCTCTTGGCCCTTAGAGTCATTCCAGGGCTATCCGGCTACCGATGATCCCCTCGATTACTTCAAAGATACCATCAGCCGAGCGGCGCTAGGTATGGGCGCATACAGCCAGGCCATGCAGGCGAGAGTAGCCTGCAACGAGGCGGGTGTCTACAGCGACATGCGTGCGAGTGACGAGAACCGGTGCCGTGGCCTCGAAGCTTGGCTGGCGTCGCCCAACAAGCTCAAGCAGCTCGTCCTGGGCGCACCGATTCTTTATACTCAGCCGTGGCTGCTGCCTCTGTGGGCCCAGCGTGCGTTTTTTATAGACGATGGCAGACGGATTGCACTGACTAGGCCCTCTTGCAGTTGACAAGCTCCGCGACTCGGACGACCCAACTTTTGGTGAGCGCCTGAGCGAGGCAGATGCACCATATGCCATGGCGGCGCAGCAGTTTCGATCACGACTCGTGGCGGCACGCGTGGCTGCTCCTCGGGACATCTATGAGCTTATCCAGAGCGACGATGCCTTCTGCCCGTGGCGGCCCTGGTTTCCCGACTGGGGGCACGAGGAGACGCGCGCCACGATGGCGGCAGTGCTTGAAAGACTGTCGCCGCAATAGCGCCAATCGGCTGCGGGCTGCCTTTTCTGCGCTCAGGATCCGACTTGGGCCTGAGAGCGCTGTGTAGTCCATGGGGCAATGTACAGTACAGTACTTTGATTTCCAACTACGAAGATAGAACAGGAAGCGGTCCTTTGCTACGCCGAGACATTCATAAGCTCCTCACCATGTCTCAAATGCACCGAGATCGGGCGCCTTGCCGTTGTACGGCAGGCCGACGTCCACACCAGCGTCCACGAGCGCGCTTGTCGGTCGCAAATGGTAGTGCGTCAGCTTTGGCAGGCTGCCGTCAGACTGGCGTGCAGCGTCCCAGCCGCTGTGCGATGTATCCACAAAGTCGGCCTCGCTGGGAATCTGGCTCCGCTCCCAGGAGTTGGAGGCCGAGTCGGCGCCGTCGATGATGAGCTTGTTATTTGCTGCTGTCGACAGGTTGTTGCGCAGCTTGCCGAGGACTTTGACACTGCCGTCGGAGGCGAATCCGGTCATGTCAAAGTCGTGCCCGTTGCCGAAAGCGGTGTTGTCAAAGAAGTCATTCACGATTGGGTGGTGGTTGGCGTAGAAGCCTGAAGCCTTGTTGTCGAAAGCGACAGAGAGGCGGACCGTGTGCTTGGCGGCATTGGACACATACTTGATGCCGTTGCCGTTGCCAGCGGCTAGCGGCGTCTTTGTGCCTGGCAGGTAGCCATGGTTCCAAGCCCAAGAGGACTCGATCAGCACCGGCGAGTAGGCATTGATGAGGTCGAAGCCATCGTCGGAGTTGGCCCAGGCACGGCAGCCGCGAAACACATTGTCAGGGTGTCCTGCGCTGATGTGCGCGCCAAAGCCATCGGCACTCTGCCCGGCTCCATTGGACGAGTATGGATCGTAGTTGTCGTGCGAATCGCAGTTGAGGACCGTGTTGTAGCCACCATCCTGAATGAACAGGCCTGGACCCATGTTGTTGTGCAGATTCAGCTGCTCGTACACGCCGTGGCTGCTCTTGATCCACAGACCCCACGATTCGTGATTCTCGTGGTTGTCGGACTGCTGCGGCGCCCCCGTAATCTCGAGGCCCCTGAGATGGAGCCAGTCAGCCGTGACCTCCACGCCCTTGACTCGGCAATCGTCTTTGATGGCAGAAAAGTCGAGCACGGGTGTCTCGCCCGGATAAGCCCAGTAGTGAATCGGCTGGCCGCTCTGACCGGCTTTGTTTAGCACAACACCGCTGACGGTATCGGTCAGGCTTGCGCAACGTTTTGTGGCCGCCGAGTAGGTGTATTTGCCGCCGCGCAGGTAGATGGTGTCGCCAGGCTGAGCCACCGTCTGGGCGTGTGCGATGGAGCCCCACGGTGCGCTTTTGCTGCCGGCAGCACTGTCAGTGCCCGACGGTGAGACATAGTACGTCGCCGGCGTTGCACGCTTGGTCAGGGAGAGGGCGTGGCCGGATGAAAGAGCAAGCAGAGGCAGAAGGAGATGGGCCAGCATGATGAAGGAGCTCACAGGCCACAAGCAGGAGCAGGACGCTGGAGACGGGCGTCGTAATCACTGCTTCTAGAAGCCCATTTTTAAGAAAGCTTCTCGCAAAGATCCCGCTAAGGGAGCGTGGGGGAGACGACATGGTGGTGGGGGAAGTGCTCATTTGTAGCACGTGTAGTAGAGTGCGCTTCTCTAGCGCACCAGCTACCACTCTGCATGACAAACAGTCAGAACCAATGTGCCTCCCACATGGCATGCTTTTCATCGAGCTGGCGGTGCGCGCGATTCACCCTGATCAGAAGACCACCATACAGAATACATTTAACGAAAGCGACATCATCCCAGCTTGTACATGACGAGATGAATGTTGTTCTGCCCCGCCGACGTGCTCGTCACCTCGACATCGTTGTTTGACTTGACGGTCAGGTACGGACGCGAAGGGTGCTTGCTGCTGCCGTCACCACGGAGGGAGAGCACCACGTAGTTGCCCTGGTCGTTGGCGGTGAAGAGCTGCTCCTCGGTATCGTTGCAGTATTGCTCCGTCAGGACCGAGTTGCCGGTGGCCTTGGATGCTGTCAAGCAGTATGGACCGGTGATGGACAGCGTTCCACGGCTGGGGTCCTTGGAAGATGGGAACTGAAAACACCGCGTGTCAGCTATCTGCTCTACTTTGCATCGTCGTGTTTTTTTGAGTAACTCACGTAGTTGAACCCGTTGTTGGGGTTGCTGACTCCCAGATTACCGTCGTTGTTGTACTCGAGCGTCTTGTTAAAGGCAGGAGAGCCGTGCAGCCGGGTGGCATGCAGGTAGCCAGAGAACGACGTCGCTCGCTTCTCCACCTCGATCTGGGTGGGTGCTGCGAGCGTAAGAGCGGCGAGCGAAGAGAGGGCGACGATGGCGTTGTTGACGAGCATTGTGGGAGAGTTGTCTGGTGAGGAGAGACGAAGTCACGCTGCGATCCTGTGCTTTTATAAAGTCTGGACTGGTATGGCCGTGCTCTCGGTGCCGAGAGCGCGCGAATTCTGACGAAGTGTTCCCACAATCGTGCCTGAACGGGTCCCGCGATTCCGTGCATCCATGTACTGTATTACTGTACTGTACCGGACTTCCGAGGCGGTAAATTCGAAGTGCGCGTCGAAAGGCCGAGTAAAGACGAGCGGCAACGCGGCAGCGCACTATACGATTCTATTGGAATTATGTACTGTACTGTACTGTACTGTACCGCCGGAATGTAACCACGGTGTCATCTATTTCGTCGCTTCTTCTCCGGTAGAGAAACAAAGAAAGAAGTCTGGGCCTTCGACTGCAGCTGACCATCGCTGCATCACAGCTTACTCAATCTGGGACCTCGCCAATCGTCATCCTCGCCGTGATTGCGGACGTAATTGCATCCGCATGAATGCGTCCTCAAACTCAGATCGTCAAGATCATTTCGGCGCTCCCAACTTTCATCTCAGGCCACGCCAAACTTCGTCTCAGGCCACATCCTCTGTTCTTGATTGGCCGTGCGACTTCAGCAGGGTCTGCAGGGCCGCCACTTCCGAATCTTCAGTCCCTTGTGCAGCATCGACACACGGGCCGGGCCCACGCATGCGTAGCAACCCCAACACTGCTGCAACGAATATCAGATACGATTGTTACTTGTCGATATGCAAGATCATACAGTCCTTTAATCCTATTTGTTCTTCTGTGTCTTAGACGTCATCTGCTTCGACTTGGCCAGCAACACCGAAGGGAAGTCTAGCATCACGCAACGTCTTCGGGCTCGCGAAGCCGGCTTTAGTCCTTTCCTGACGTTGCTGGACAATGGCCCGAAAAGGCGCCAATCTGGGTGTGGAAGTACACACCCTGATGGTCGTCGAAGTTGAACTGCGGCGTGGCCGTGTTGGCGCCCTGGCTGTTTTCCTGGCCGGGATAGTACTTCCACCCGGTCGAGTTGGCCGGGTTGATCCAGATCTGGCCGGAGAAGTGCTGGTAGCCAACGATCCGTGGCGGCACGTGGGGCACAAAGTCCTGCCCGTTGACCACGTAGTTGAGCTTAGCGGGTCCAAAAGTCTGGTCGACAAAGTTGGCAAAGGAGGGATTGCCCACGCGAGGCTGGCCGACTGAAGCGAGGGCGAACAGAAGATGTCAGGAGAGCACAGTCATGCATGTGTGGCGCCACTCACAGGTTACCACCTTCGAGACGTGGTCGCGGAACGCCACGGCGGCAATCGCTGCTTGAGATGCGCCTAGACTGTGGCCAACGATGGTGAGGTTGGTGTTTGGGTAGCGCGACATTGCGCCATCGATGAAGCCTTTCACTGTCTGTGCGCTCAGCAAGAAGGCATTTTGGAAGCCTTGGTCCACCAGTACATCCAGCGGCACCTTGAGGCTTGGATCAGCGAGCGTCAGGGGAAAGTCTACGTCGTAGGCGACGGAGATCAGCGAGTCGGGATTGGTCCCTTCGTACGCGACGACGATGCCCAAGGAGGAAGAGTGGTATACATTGACCCTTTGCACCACATTGCCGTCGCCAGTCGTGTTGAGCAAGACGCCGTCGGCAACTGCAAGGCCGGCCTTTGAGTCGTTGCAGTACGTCTGCTGGCAGAAGGCCGCCGCGAGCGTGTATGTCTCGAGCAGGAACGGCAAGTCGGCAGTGGGCTGCTCGGTCGAGGTTGTCGGTGCGATTCCCCTGACCTTTTGAAAGGAAGCGCCGGTCGCCGCCGCCGACACCTGGAGCGCGAGCGCGAGCGCAAGCGCCAGCAGAGCGACGCAGAAGAAGAGCGGAGACATGGGGCTGGTGTTTGTCGACCCGCAATTGCCGCTCTGCCCGCCCTTTAAGTAGCTTGCAGGATGGTGTACAGAAGGGGAAGTTCGAGACAGAAGGAAGCCCCCTCTCCGACAAATTAGGCTGTGAACTGACATCGGAAAAATACACAATCGACTTTATTAACAACTAGCTTCATTGCAGCTTGGGATAATTGTTCCGCCGGACATGTGACGTCGTGTCTTAGTCCGCCTGCCACGCATGTCAATGTCAAAGCTCCGCCAGGACGTGATAGTCGTCGGCTTTTTGAACCATCCGTGCCGGAAGCGGTTCTGCCAAACTAATTAAAGTCAGCTTGTTTGGACAATTCTTCCGAGTGCCTCAACTTTCCTCCTTGGAAGCCCGTCAATCAGATAGCACCTCGGGTCCGTCAAAGCAAGGATGGAACTTCTGAGACAGGCGTGTGGTGCGAAGAAGCGACCAGCCGCAGACCCTTATCGGTCGAATTCGAAACTGTGATTGCACCGCTATGGCGCCGACGAAAGAGGTCCTAGCCATATCGTCCAGTTCTGACGGACCTCAACCTCAATACCTGTCTGAGACCTATTGAGAACGTGCCCAAAAGCGTGCGAGGATCGATGGGGAGGGCGGGCAAGCCCGGGCTGGCGGCAATCATGGCTTGATAGATACCATTTCAAGGCTTGTCTATTGGACACTCTAGGAGCCAATCTGCAGCGCCTCGGGGTACTGTTACCGACACTGATGTGTTCTCTCTCAGCAGGACGACAGCGAATCAGACCGTTCATCTTTCCTATTCATTGCTCATTCTAACACCAGAACTCGTCGACAATCACAGCTCGATATGGCGTCCCTCCCGGAGGCTCTGTTGCAAAGCCAGCCCGATTCGCAGACCCCTGACGCTGTCTTCCAAGCCAAAAGCCGGCTTCGAGCCATTCAGAATCTCCCTGACGATGGTCTCTGGCTCGGACAGCATGGCCGTGCCATTGAGGTCATAGTAGTTGGGCCTCTCTTCACTGGCCTCGCGTGCGATCGACACGGAATCCGAAAGCGAAAGCTGAGCAGTGGGAGCTTCGGGTCGAAGAGTAAGTCGACCCTTGTCACCGATCAGCTGCGTGCTCAAGAGCTGGCCAGAGGAAGAGGTTCGAGAGCAGTAGTACTGGGCAAGTGCACCGGACCTGTTCTCTCGTTAGTGCCATCATGCACAGAAGCAGCTGAGAGTAAGAGTACCTACTCGAATTCGACCACGCCAATGACATTGTCGCAATCGCCATACTCTTTCAGCTTTGGCAACACTGTCGACGAGCCTGTCGCAAAGACCTTTTTAACTCTCTGTGCATGGTCGCCAAAGAGCCAGAGGGTCAAGTCGATGTCGTGAATGGCACAATCGACAAAAATCCCGCCGCTGACGGGGGCGTACTGATTAACAAAGTGTCCAGTGTGGTCTCGTGGGTCACACGACTGCGTTTGCAGGACCAATGGCCGTCCGATGGCTCCCTTCTTCAGCTGCTCGGCGGCGAGCTGGTATCTGCTGTCGAACCTTCTGATGAAGCCGATGGTGACATAGAGGTGAGGCTTTTGGGTCCGCCAATGGTCTACGACGGCCTGTGCCTTGTCGATGTCGAGGGAAATCGGCTTTTCGCAAAAGACGTTGAGGTCGCAGTCCATGGCGGCGATCATCTGCTCGGCATGGAAAGGCGTTGGCGTGGCGATCCAGACGAGCTGAGCGCCCTTGATGGCCAACAGCTCCGTGTAGGACGTTGTAAAGACGACATCTTTTGGTAGATTGTCTTGCGCCCACTTCTGTTTCGACTCGTCCGGATCGAACACGGCAAGCAGCTTGGCATTTGGGGTGCGATGGGCGATGTTGAAGGCATGCTGGGCCCCAATCCGGCCCAGACCTGCGCATACGACGTTGAGCATCGTTGTTGGGCGAGTCTCGTGGAGGAGGTGGTGTCTATCGACGTAGAAGAGAAGAGAGCGGAGTAAACACTGATGTTCTTCCTTCGATGCTTCCTTCCCCTTCCCCTAGTCCTCTCCCGGTCCGGTCGGTCCATCAGCGTGGGCGCGCTTGCAGCGTGGGGTATTTGAGTACGTAGGAGTGGGGGGAGCCACCTTACATTCTGAATAACACAATCTTCTACTGGACTATTAGGTTTTTTGGTAACGTGGAGGCGTGGCGGCATTCTAATAAATGGAGGAACCCAGTCTCGGGCCTTCCACCGACCGACATCCATGACCAAGACCGCGAGATGAGCAAGGCACTGGAGAAACCTCTGCGTTGGGGCATCCTCGCGCCCGGTGGCATTGCCAAGTGCTTTGTCGGCGATCTGCTTCTTCCCGAGGATGCAGACGTGCGTGCAAACCACAAGGTCGTTGCCGTTGGCAGCAGAACAATGGCCAAAGCGGAAGTCTTTGTCAAAGAGGTGTTCGAGGGTCGCGAGGGTCTTCAAAGGGACATCAAGGTCAGTCGCCTTGCCCGTGCCCGCTCGAGCCAAAACTGACGTGTCATGAGGCTCGCAGTGCTACGGCGATTATGCAAGCTTGCTCAGCGATGATCAGGTCGACATCGTCTACGTTGCTTCGCCCCAATCTCACCACTTCGGACAGGCCAAGGCGTGCCTCGTAGCGGGCAAACACGTCCTTTGCGAGAAGCCATTGACGATCAACGCCGCGCAGACGGAAGAGCTTGTCAAAATTGCGAGGGAAAAGAAGCTCTTTTTCATGGAAGCGCGATGGACCAAGTTTTTCCCCCTGCTTCAAGAGGTCAGGACGTTGGTGCACGACAAGAAGATCCTTGGCGACCTTGTCCGGGTCAATTCTGACTTTGGAGAAGCCTTCCCCCACGATCATAGGCTGTACGACGCCGCTCTAGGGGGAGGCTGCCTGCTGGACCTGGGCATCTACTCTCTCACCTGGATCTCGGCCTTGCTCTGGGACAGTCCCGAGAACAAACGTGCTGCTCCGCGGATCTCTTCGTCCCTGCTCATGGATAAGACCGGCACGGTGGACGAGACCACAACGGCCATTCTGCAATTCGACAAGATCAAGGCAACTGCCGTGCTCAGCGCTTCTTTGCGTGTCGATCTTCACAGGCCCGGCTACCACACCATCATCCAAGGCACAAAGGGCGACCTGACCATCCACGGCAAGCACACGAGCAAGCCTTTGGCCTACACGCTGCACCTCAAGGACCAACCACCGAAAAGGGTGGAACCCAAGATCCTTGGCTGGGGAATGCGATACGAGGCAGACGAGTGCGCACTACGGATTGCCGAAGGTGCCGTCGAGAGCCCCACGATGGACCACGCAGAGAGCGTGTTTGCCATGCAAGTCTTGGACACCATCCGCAAGCAGAACAACTTTTCGTTCAGCGCGGAGATCGAGTCGCTGGACTCGGGACTTTGAAAATGCAGATCCCAGCCTGTCGACCTTTGACGAAATGTTATGCCTGACCCTCTCAACGCCGGGATAGCCGAACATCTTGATCGTATATACAGTGCATCTTCGCTTTCATTGCCTTTACCTCCTTAGCAAATTACAAAATAGCCTTCTTTTCGTCGGGGCAGACCATTGCAGCACGCCACTTCTGCCACCATCAGCACCCAAGCGCTTGTCGTACGTCTAGGTCGCCGTTGGCTCAAGCAATGGCCGACATAGATCCACAATAAGGGTCGCAGGCCCCATCGTCGTGAGCTTAGTACCCTCTGTTCTCCCCGCACAGTCTCCTAACGGACTTAGAGCTGCTGCGTGAGAAAGTCGACGCCCAGGTCCTGCACGCTCTGCGTAAAGCCGTATGAGAGGTGGCTGCTGCTGAAGAGGGAGTCGAGGCTGATGCCGGTGCAGACGAGGTCTGTGGTGTGGCAGATGTCGCGCACCTTGCCGGTGTCGTAGTACGACGGAGCGATGGTCGCATTCAGCGTTCCCACCAACGCACCGGTGTAGTTGGACGTTCGGTTTCCTCCGTCCTCGTCGACGTTGCCGTCCTTGTTGGGGAGGTGGTAGGGATTGCCGATGAGGAGCACTGCCTTTGTCTGGCGAGCCTGGATCGATGACTGGTTGAAAAAGACCTGCGTAGCCTCGTTGACAACGGTAGCACCCTGCGAGTAGCCCAGCAGGGCGTACTTTTGCGTGGGGCACCCCTTTGTTCCGTTGTTGATGTAGTCGGTGATGTCCTGCCGACCGATGAGCGTTGTCAGCTGCGTGGCGTCGGGTGCGGCGGGGTAGACGACGACGTGGTGTCCACCGCGGGGCACCGAGCTCAACGTGCGTTCAATCATGTTGCGGAAGCCGATCGAAGGGCCCTGGGGCTCGAAGGTGCCCCTCGCTTCAATCAGGACGTAGTCCTTGCATCCGTCTTGCCGTGCCGCAAGCAGCGGCGCAGCGGCAGCGTGCACAAAGAGGAGGGCGCCGAGGGCAAGGACTGGTAGCAGCATCTTTCTTGTTGGTCGAGGAAGCTGGGAGGAAAGCTGGTCGCAACAGCTTTTTATGCAGATCTTGGCGACCCGTCTCGGGGCCGTCTCAGGGCCGTCTCAGACCCGTCGCACAAGCGGGGCGCGTAGTTTCTTCCGCTGCAAGCGAACCGCATCTAGAACAGATTGGAAAATCTTCCGCGTCCTATCTTGCATCGCCACTGCTGCTCTTCCTGCCAAGCCTACCAAACTTTCCCAGCTCTTGCTAGATTGATTCTCGTTGCCGGCCTCTGGTCGCAAGACAAGCCATCTGCTCGCTCGACAAGACTGCAATCTTTCGTACTGTGCCCAAACGACAGCACCCCAAAACTTGTGCGGCCTAGCCTCCGTGATCCCCATGCGCTATGCAGTACGTTCGCACTGCCGCCGCAATTTAATGCAGTCCTTCGCTACACCGAAGTGGGCATTGTTGTCTATAATGACCGGAGTGGCTCGGTCCTCCGAGACAAGGAGCGGCGCGCACGACTCATGTGGCAAAGGGAGAGCGCTAGTGCGGTTGGGAAGCAATGCAGAGTTGATCAAAGCGCGCGGCCTGAAGCAGATACTCTGACATCGTCTTGGCCGCCGGAGAGCAGCAACATATCGCACTCACAGGCACGCACGCCGGCCCATGCTGACGAGTTTATGATTCAATTGTTTGTCAAGCTGAGTGGCCGAGCCATCTTTCGCAACGTTTTGTTATCTATCACGATGCTAAGACGAGCAAAACCGCCATGGGATTTCAGATTGCCACGGGCCTTCGTTGTTGCTATGCAATTTGCTCACCAAGCGAAAACAAGCGTCTGCTGAGTGCAAAGGGCCTGGCGCACCCTCGCGCAAGCTTCCGGGCGCCACAAGCAATCTGAACGTCTTTTGCGGGCAGAAAGTCGACGATGTCAAAAGTCGAACTGCGCATCTGGCCACGTGCCGCAGCTTTCTACGCAACTTGGCTCGCGTCACCTGATGACAGACCGGCTAAACCGTCATTCCTGTGCCCGCGCGCATGCCGCGGACAGTTGCCCCTCTGCTTCTCTAGCAGAGGCTTTCATATCGGGGGCCATCGGCCGAAGTGCCATGGCCCGTTCTGACTTTACGTGAACGTCGCTATGAGATGGACGTGTGAGCGTCATGAAGACGTGTGAACACATTAGGAGATGGGAAGAGTGTCAAAAAGGGCACTCTGTGGCGCACTTGGTTGCAGTCTATATAAGAGCTGGGCCGAGCAACACGAGTCCCCATACACGACACACCCATGGCTGACCATCTACACACCGCCGCGATCGACGGTCGTTCTAGCACTGACAATGGACACACGGAGCCTGTCCATGAGCAGGACAGAGCCGACGCCGACGAGAAGCGGGTAGAACATGCGCAAGAAAACCCCTTCTTGGTCACGTTTGCAGCCCACGACAGAGACGACCCGCGGAACCTGTCCACGATGCACAAGTGGCTCATCACGGCTTTTTCAGGCTTCCTTTGCTTCGCCGTGGCCTTTGGCTCCTCAATGCCCACCGGCGACCTTCCTGGAGCCGCCGACTCACTCCATGTGGGCAGTGTCGCCATCAATCTGAGCATCACGCTGTTTGTCGTCGGCTTCGGCGTGGGCCCGATGGTCTTCGCCCCGCTTTCCGAGCTCATCGGGCGCTGGCCGGTCTACTGCATTGCGACTCTGCTCTATTTTCTCTTTACGCTCCCCTGCGCCTTGGCCGACAATCTGGCGACCCTGCTGGCCGCCCGCACAATCGCCGGCATTGCCGCCAGCGCGCCCATGACCAACGTCGGCGGTACGCTCAGCGACATCTGGGCGCCCCACGAGAAAGGCCTGCCGCTGGCCATCTTTTCCGCGCTCATTTTCGTTGGACCCGTCCTGGGTCCCGTGGTCGGTGGCTGGATTGCCGTCGGCGTGGGCGAGGACGATGGATGGCGCGTCATATACTGGGTGAGTCTGCATCAGCCCTATGTGGTCGGCTTGTGCTCATCTGCATTCCAGACTCTCTTTGCGCTTTGCGGCGTGGCGTTTGCCATGACCCTGTTCACGCGCGAGACCTTGGCATCGACGATCCTGGCCAAGCGTGCCGCTAAACTGCGAAAACAGACGGGCGATCAGCGCTTCACGAGCGGCCCTCGGCCGAGCCTGGGCCAGATGGTCACCTCCTCGCTGACCCGGCCCTTCCAGATGCTCTTCACCGAGCCCATCCTCATCTTCTTCTCCGCCTACCTCTCGCTCGTCTACAGCCTCCTCTATCTCACCTTTTTTGCCTTTCCGATTGTCTTTCAGGGTTTGCACGGCTTCAACGCGGGTGAGACTGGGCTCACCTTCCTCTCGCTCCTCGTCGGCATCTGTCTGGCTATGCTCTATGTCTGGTTCGTGCAGGAGCGCATGTACCACCGGCGGAGGAACGCGCGCGGATCGGCGCTGCCCGAGGACCGGCTGCCGCTCATGTTTGTCGGGAGCGTACTGCTGCCCGTGTCGCTGTTCATCTTTGCTTGGACCTCGCTCAAGAGCGTGCACTGGAGCGGACCGCTCGTTGCTGGCATTCCATTAGGCTTCAGCTTCGTGGCCATCTACATCTCGGCCAATAGCTATGTGAGCTATGAAGCGACTACAGATGACGTCCACCGCTGATTCCTTGTTTGTTTCGCTTTCAGATCGTCGATTGCTACCCCTCTGTCGCCGCCTCGGCCCTGGCGGCCAAGACGCTGGCCCGGTCGCTGTGCGGCGCCGCTGTGCCCCTGTACGTCGAGCAGATGTACAAGGCCATGCATCCCCAGTGGGCCAGCACGCTGCTCGCGCTTGTCTCGCTTGCGATGGTTCCCATCCCCTTTTTCTTCTACCGCTACGGACCGCTTTACCGCCGTCGCTCTGCGCTGGCCGAGAGCAGCGATGTCGTCGACAAGCTGGATCCGTAGGCCATTCACCGAGACAACGATTCCTTTACTCCCTGCAATTTGTCTATAGACCTGAAGCTGCGCAAGCCGCACACGCACTGAGGCAATCAGCTCAGCCTACTCATTGATCCCACGGGCGAGGCACTTGGTCGACCAGGTGATCGCTAATCAGTCGATTGATCGGCACATGGCACCCTGATTTACTCGAGTGATCGACTAAGTATCGGTACCTTTTGAGCGAGCCTATGAGGACGTCACAGGAAAAAAAGGAGCAGACGACATTCGTACGCCACGAAAAATTGGCAAGTGAGAATATGATGTGGCGGCACGATCGTCCCGGCGCTGAGTGCTGCTTGCTTATCTCTTTGCACGTAGTGGCGACCCCGCATTTCGTTCTCACGCCACCTGTCGGAACGGGCCTTTATTCTAAAATTTCAGGTAGACACATCTTACCTCTTGACACCACCACACCCACCATCTCTCTCGAATAGTTACCGATCGTCATTACCACCTCCAAGCCAACACCCGTCAATATGTCTTTCTATCTTGTTAATAATGCAATGAATGCGGCTTTGAACAACGCCCAGCTTTCTGCAAATCTCCAGATGCAAACGCAGTCCTGGGATAAATTTAGCAAGGGACGCCTTCGAGCCGAAGAGGCCTGCGCTGCTGGTCCCACATTCCAGGTCGCTTTTGGTCAGAGCGAGCCCGGTGAGCAAACAGCGAGGAGACTGTGCTAGCCGATGCGCTCACGTCTCTCTGCTGTGCCGGCATTACAGACGCATTTGCCATCTTTACCCACGACGAAATTTGGACGTCCTCACCTCGTGTCTTACCACCTGACCTAAAAGCCAAATTTGATGCTCGTGAAATTGACCTGGGCACCCTTGCAGTCGTTGCGTTAGGGCCAAGGGGTGCTTGGTTTGCGCGGTGGGGCAAGAATGCGGCCTGGAACCTGGCAGCCCTAGACACCCGAGACAGAGAGGCCTTTACACAGCAGGTCAATGCGGCAGCGAGCCAGCCGGGCCAGCTAGGAGGCATCGAAGGCATTGTTGACTTTTCGTTTGGCGATCAGGGTCAAGCGGTTATGATATTCAACCGTGGGAGCAACATCATGTGGACAAATGTGTTTCCACCGGCGCGTGACTTTGAGAAGACCGTAAAGCAATTGGCAGCCGACGGGCAGACCTTCTTTCGCGCCTCTCTGGCTGTGGGCGGGCGTAGCGCCATCGTACTCCAGAAGCAAGGCCGAGCCGCAGCCTGGTCGAGGGACAGTCCCCACTGGCCTTGTGCCGATCTCGCAGCGGTTCTACAGGGCGATCGGGTATCCGAGACGATTGCCTCACTCACCTGTTCCGCCACTCAACCTGAATTTTGGTTTGCGGCCTTCATAGACGCCAACGGCAAATTACGTTTCAGCGCCAACGTGCCCGATGCAGCCGTGGCCGAGCTTGTGGACAGAGTCGTCGGTCCTGCAAGTGGGACAATTCTGCGTGCCAACTTGCAAGTGTCTCTGGCTTCCTCTAGGCTAGAGCGGGACCCATGCGCGTATCCTAGACCGTCGTACCTGGGCACTTTCGAACACGTGCCTGTCATCATGCTCCGTCTCTTGCATCACGTTTGCTTCTTCCGGACGAGCCCGGAACATTTGTGCTGGGTCCTCGAAGACCATTGCACACAGGGAAGAATGCGCAATTCGAACGTCTTCCGCAAATATTGGTTTGCGACAAGAAAATCATCACTAAGTCTACTTTTACAGAAGTCGGAGTCACCAAGTCTAGAAATCAAGCTTCGCGGTCTTCATACAATAGCTTATACTATCTTCGTCTTCCTTTTGAGCTCTTGTGCGATTGGCTCTCCATCATTGGTTGTACAGTCATCTGCGATGCACGGTTCCAAAATCCCGCCGCTCTTGTACGGTCATAGCATTGCCAAGTCCATTGGAACAATTGAGAAAGTTCGCGATCAAGGCGCGGTTCAATTCTCAAGCATGTTCGCTTCTCTGCGCATCACATCACCAAAGACTGCTGGCCCCTGCTCCTCTCGTGCGCAGTGCATGGCCAAAATATAACCATGTGCAGTAAAAAGCCCAAATAATTCTCAGCTCACCGTGATGAGGGGGTTAGGGTTAGGGTTAGGGTTAGGGTTAGGGTTAGGGTTAGGGTTAGGGTTAGGGTTAGGGTTAGGGTTAGGGTTAGGGTTAGGGTTAGGGTT